CCCAAAGAGTAAACCCAAAGAGTAAACCCAAAGAGTAAACCCAAAGAGTAAACCCAAAGAGTAGAATTTCTATCAAACCCATGTAAAGAGACTAAGACCATATTTTTCCAAACACTCCAAAGTTAACATTTATCAATTATCTCAGCAAGTATCAATATACATTCAATAATACTTCATAGATATGTTATCATATACACGGCAAACATGATAAATCAATTTCACAAAGAGTAGTGAACATCATCACAACATATAAAGAAAATGTTACAATTTTTTCAAAGTTTCATATCACACCATGCACACAACAATACACAACACTTCAAAATGATAGGACTCACACTCTGACATGAGTACTTCATGATCATGAAAGAATATTTAATATACAAAACAAAGATGTCATCCACCACAACATCAAACTTTATTGTAATGATTGAAACATTGCTCAACACATACAATTGATGGATCAACACAATCACTATCACGTGATCACATCATCATGACAAGCATGTTTATCAACTTGAATGAACATTCAAACAACTATGTTTCATCTCATCACTCTTCATGAACAACTTTGAACACTCATCCGTTTGGTGATAACAACGAACATGGTAGACGTATCCAATACGGTTGAAAGACACATCTACCATCACTACAAATGATTTCAATCATGATTCCGTCATCACAACATCAAACAACACTGATCAATCACAACAACATTTTTTTGGAAAAATTCTAAATGCGGAAGTATAGGGTCAGTAAATCCAGACAAAATTCAAAATCAAGATGACATGAACATTGACGCATATCAACCACATACACCATACATTTCACATGCACTGATCATGAAAATCACTGAGTTAACTCTTTATTTTCAAAGTAGCCATCATGAATCAACACAGAATCTCCATGAAAAAGTGTCAAACATGACCTGACAGAATCCTTCTGTCACACAATGAATCACAACACTCCACAACATCAATAACAACACAGTGGAACAAGATCAACACATGGGTGGTTGCAACAACTCTAGGAAAAAACCATGTCTCATACAGTAATGCACTTCATAACGAAATCTTCTCAGGTGCTCAACAACAATACATTCTAGACATGAACAAATATAACAATTAACGTCAATGTGTTGAACACCATCCCATCAACCATAAAAAACTATCTGTATCACTCCCCTGACAACTCTTCAAAAATTAATTAATAATCATTTTCTTCACTTCTCAGGTGTCTCATAACAAAATCAACTCATATAGATAAACTCCACAAATTTCAAAATAACAGTATCCTAGTGTGCACAATCATAAAAAATCACTGTGATATTCTTGTAATTGTTCAGTATTGTAATATCATGTGAAAAAGAAAAATTAGCTGAAAGAGTGAAACACCACTTCCACATCTTGTTGAATCAGTGAGTAAAAACAACATGGATGTGTCATACTCATCATGATGAACACGTTGATGTGTATTGTTCATGACAAACTCACTCTCGGAAGGACATGGTATCACACTACCACAACGTTCATCATGATACTCCACCAATAATGATCACATCCATCATCAATTGTCATAAAAATACTCTACACAATGTATTATACAACATAGAAATCACTGGTTTATCGAAAAACTGAATCAGTCAATCTCCAAAGAAACAGAAGAGTCGTATCGGATTATTTTCTCTGGTTTGTTTTGAGCATTTTTTTATTTTTTTGAATTGAAGAAATTTTAGCCCTCAAAATCGTCTGTCCTGATTTAACTCGACCATGATAAAAACTTACTTCATAGTTTCCTCAACAGAGATGTGGATTACGTTCTAAAGGTCAGACCCTATCAATACGTGAAAAAAGTAATCCTTAAATCGTAATGGTTACTTTGTTATAACAACTTTCGGACTGGTGAGAAGTATTAAAGTGTAATTCAATAACTACTTAGTAGCTACCAAAAATTCAACTCTCTCAATATTCTATGGATTAAAACCTAATATCTGTCCAAGAAATGGAATCGTTATTTTATATATTTTGGTCAAGAGGGACATTTGACGTGATCTGACCGGGAAAGCTCATTTTGATCCTTAATATCTCAACAACTACTTCACAAATATTAAAATTTTCAAAACGTACATCTAGATAACATCAATACCTAATTGTTGATATATAGTATGTAACCTAGAAATCAAAGATCATCATGAAAAAAGCCTCTGGAGAGAAACGTGCACTTCCAAACCCTTCTTACTTCCTTGCGTTTCTCTGGTTTTCTCCTTTTTTTTCCGCTGAGCGGTTTTTGGAGTTTTTTACCTTCTACACCCCTTTTCAAATGCTCGGGACTCTGCTCAATAAAGTCTAATGACAAAATATGCAGAAAATCCCTCAAACACCAATCCTTTTCCAAAGGATGGATGTTTGGTGAGTTACAAACCCATTAGTTTTCCTCCAATTAATTCCAAACTCTTGTTGTTGTTTACAATGTAGAAACATTAATTTTTTTTTGAAAAATTTTCATTTCATTTTTGACCTCGTTGAAACTCCTTCAAACTTGATTTTCTCGAAAACTACCCTAAACCTGATCGAATGCTCTATCATGACCCCCATTATTTTCGTGAGATCTACAAAAATGGTGTCGCTTAAATTCTATCAAAAATTTGACACCTGTCACCATTTGTTGAACGACTCAACCAACTTAGCTCACTATCCAATGATGTCGCTAGTACGAATGTACTACTCTTCAAAATCTATCGAATGAAATGCTTGGATCAAGCTCAACATCAAAGATGACGAAAAACCCGACCATGCACGAGAGGTCTACTTTAAGCGAGTACAGTTCAATAATTACCCATAATTAATGGATGAAAGTCATATCAACACATAGATATACCTCCATCCCCGACGATTTCATAAAAATTAAAAATCCCATCATTAAGCATGTCGAAAAATTAAGATTACAAGTCAAGGCGGTCACCTATCCAAACCCTAAGAGAGAAACGTGCACTTCCAAACCCAAAGATCATCATGAAAAAAGCCTCTGGAGAGAAACGTGCACTTTCTCACAAGTCAGTTTCTGTTTCTTCAATTTAAATCTAATAACAATATTTCACCCAGTGAGTTACACAACATATTCAAATTAGAGATGATATCAATCAGTATTTATCGAAATTGAGCCTCACTTCAAGTTTTGGCTTGACTTTTCTATCATTTTGAACTTTGAAATTTTTTAAAAATATTCCACCTCCAGCGAAAAACCGACTCTCCAACACTGGAGCTGATTCATTCAACAGGTACATCACTGTTCATGTCACAAACAATACAAATACTCTACAAATCTCTCACACACACAACGCTCTACGTTTAATTATCAGGAGAGGATCATGTCAAGCAACATCACCCTCACGGTCATATTCAGCGGCTAGGAGTACCACATTTCCGCGTCAGGAGTCAGTCATCAGCACACAACCATAATATTAGTGTTCTACATGGTGAGTAACACTTCATATATCAATTTGAGATACACCTGATCAGTATTTATTGAAAAAGAGCTATATTTCATATTTTCGCTGGACCTCTCTATCATTTTGAACTTGGAATTTTTGAGTGCAAAATATTTTTAAAAAAAATTTACAAGTCCTCAAAAACCTTGTGTTCCAATTTCATTGCTTCTCTCTGGTTTTACAGTTTGAAATACCAGTCCGATAATAAATAATCATCCTCTCTTCATTTACAACATTAAAATTTTTTTTGGGCCAATTTACCTTCAAAATTCAGAGTGAAATAACTCAACAACCACTTCACATCTCTTAGAAATTTCAACACCATTAGAAAGCAAATGAAAATTAGCCTAGGATTTGAGTATATCTCGTCCTCAGCAGTTAACTTCGGACCGTGGACAGGACTTATTGAAATCAAAATTTTTTTTTGATAGTAAAGTCGTTAAAATGGCTCAAAAAAAAGAGTAGGTGGAGCCAAACCCTCTTTCATAATGAGGATTAATCACTCTTTGAAATGGTAAGTCTTTAGGTTCCTCACTCGTTCTCTTATGCAACATCCAATTGAATATATATCCACTTTCACAGGCTGCCGTAAATAATTTCATTCCGTGTGGATGAGGTTTTCTAGGAATGAAAACATGATGAGGACATTTTCTTCCTTTGTGAGGAATCATTGACTCGTCGAGTTAAACGTTTGTTGATACATCCCAAATACTTTGAGCTTTCTCTTTAATGGAATCCAACCAATCATCGACATCAATGTCAATACATCGATACATTTCCAAAAATTTATGTTTAGGTAATCTATTTTGAAAGAACAATCCAAGCCCTAAATTATTCAACGTTGGATTTTCCCAATAGTCGTGCAATGTTGGCAATGCAAACACACTCATTGCTAAAAAGCATGATAGGAATTTATTTGAGTCCTCTAATGTAAATGGAATAGTCCAACGTTTGACATAATTTTCTCTATTTTCCAAACGATCTGTTTTGATGTTAGGTTGTAAGGGTTTTCCTCTAGTTCCTTCTCGCAATTTTATATGATCAACTCGTGATTGCCTTCTATCGTTCATTTTAGAGAGAAATTTTTCCTGTATATCGTCAGTGAATATTAATTTAAAGCAAGAGAGTGGTGTTATTTCGGAAAGTACTCCAATAAATTTGCCTTTGCTCTGATTTTTGGCGTAATAATCGTCAGGCACAACAGTAATCCCGTTACTTGGAATATATTTCTCTTTGTTTGACTTTGATTCATGGTCGTCCAATGACAAATATGAGAGCAAAATTCCAAGTTCAATATTATCATCACCATCATCATCATAAAAATATGAATCCCAATTCAACTCTTCATAATCATCGATTAGGATTGGAATTTTCTCTTCCTGAGGCAAATAATTAAAAATACAATCTAAACATCCACCCGAATCAAGCTGATGAAATGTTGTTGTAACACCATAGCCAGTGTTGTCTTGGCTTGGATTGGGTTTGTTTTGGAGGTTTTGTTTTTATAATCGGTTTTAAATTACTCAGCACTAAAATAAAAGAGCAAAAGCCACAAATTATTACAAATTCAACAAGTAAATATAATCATCAACAGTCAGTTCCTGACGAACCATTCATTCATTCTTTGAATCAAAAGTGTTGTTTTGGAGGTGGATAAGGAATTGTCAAGGCGTTCACTTTTCCATGATCAGTTCGGACGAAAAGAATGAATCAAGTTATTCAAATTGATAGAGTTTCAATTCAATGAGTCATTCAATACTGATAGAGTTTCAACTCTTGTTGAGGTTATCAAAAAAAAAACTCAACAACAACCTTAATCTCAACGAATGAAGAGAAGTAGAGAGGATGAACCTACTCATCCTCCTACTAATCCATCTCTTGCACACAGCATCATTCCATTCTGGGATGAGTACTCACAACAAGTATCGGATAAGCTTTGGGCATGTTCAAGAGATTCCTTTCATGAGTTTAATCAGTACAACAACAAGGGATGCACTGACGGATGGTTCAACTTTTCTCAATTCACTGTAATTGAATCCAAGCCAGTGTTTGATGTTCCACTCAATATTCATCACTCTATAACAGAGAATGTGGCTTTTGATAACTCTAAAAAGCCACCTCAGCTCAAGAAAGCAAAAAAGAATCAAAAGACGCCCCAAAAATTGCAAGCAGACAAATCGATGAAAATTCGTCTCTACCCCAATGAACAAGAAAGGACAACATTGAATCAGTGGATGGGAACTGCTCGTTGGATCTACAACAAGTGTTTAGAATTCACCTGTTTCTACATTGTAAACAACAACAAGAGTTTGGAATTAATTGGAGGAAAACTAATGGGTTTGTGACTCGCCAAACATCCATCCTTTGGAAAAGGATTGGTGTTTGAGGGATTTTCTGCATATTTTGTCATTAGACTTTATTGAGCAAGGGGTGAAGCAAAGCAAAGGGAGACGAAGTACTAGTATGCAGAAAATTTTTTGAGCATGAAAATTATTTCGAATACTCAACCCAAACTCTTTTATTGTTTACAATCGAAACATTCCTGCCCTTCACTACGTTCAGAACAAATCAGCATCAACATCGTATCTCGTCAACATCAAGCAAAATCGTTTTCGGGAAGAAACGCATCAATGTCGCTCATTTCGATCTCGAAAAAAATCGCGAAAAAATCGTCGATTTTTTATTTGCACTTTTTCGAAAATCACATGAAGAAGAGATGGATTGTGATCAGCTCATATTATCATAAATAAACCAGGTGTCAAAGGTGGTGACAATGTCACATTAATGTAAAATTAATAATAAAATAAATTAAGGTTATAAAAATAAATATTCAACTACTTGTCGAAAAGATTCGAACAAGGCAGTCCCGCACTGTCATAATGTCCTTCCTTACCCCAAGAACATTAAGGATCAGCGAAAAAGGAACTTGAAAAGCTTAAGAAAGCATGATAAGGGTGGGAGTGCGATGGGTGGGAAGTCACTAAGCAAAGCAATGAGAGACGAAGCTCGAGTATGCAGAAAATTTTTTGAGCATAAAAATTTTTGAGAATGCTCAACCAAACTCATTTATTGTTTACAATCGAAACATTCCTGCCCTATGTTTGGCGAGTTACAAACCCATTAGTTTTCCTCCAATTAATTCCAAACTCTTGTTGTTGTTTACAATGTAGAAACATATTCGTGCAAAGTCGAAAAAATCGATTACGATCGACCTGAATCGATTACCTCAACACGATTCATTTCTCAACGTCGATGTTTTTCGTCCAAAATCGAAAAAATCAATTATGATCGACCTGAATCGATTTTCTTGATCGTCAGAGTTGAAAAAATCGATCATGAAGAACCTTTAATCAAATAAACTCTGATAATTTGCTTCTATTTGATTTTTCTCCTCTTCCTCTTTTTGTCTAATCTTCTCTTTCTTTACCTCAATCAATTTTGCAACTTCATTCACCAATTTGGTCAAAGGTTTTACATACTGTTCCTCTTGTTTTGCAATATCTTCTTCTTGTTTTTTAAATCTCTCAAGTAACTCCTCCTTTTCTTTCTGAATTTTCAATAATTGATCTGCAATAACTTTTGAATTATTTTCTTCCATGTCTTTCATAGTTTTTAAAAACTTTGTCGAATTTTGCATATCCTTATCATTAGTATCACAGTCTTGTTTAGCGTTAATAAAAATTTGCTTCTTTAACTGATCCAATTTGAAAATCTGGAATTCTAAAACAGGTGATTTGAACGTAGTAACTTGTGGTGTTGACTCAGGTTTTGGATCAAGATCAAACATATCATGCAAATCCATGCCACATATATCAAGCTCAGGAGCCATTGAAGGTGTTTCCTTGGTCTTTGACTCGTCCAATTCTTTCTTAATGACCAATGATTTTTCTTGAATAGAACTTACTCGATAGTTGGCTCGATGCAATAGAACGAGAGTGATTGTCAATACAGATGGAGTGACTGCTCTTTATGCTGCTTGTTGGGAGGGAAATAAAGAAGCTGTGAAACTCTTATTAAGAGTACCAGACATTGATGTCAACAGGAAATTGAAGTATGGTCTCGGCACTGCATATATTTGATTTGTGTGGCAAGTCCTAAAGTCAAAAGTGAAGAATTACAAACACTCACCTGCAGTCAAGGTATTGACATCGACCAAAAATACGAGATAACTCAATTCAGAGTCAGAATTTTTGATAAGCTTGTCACTAGTTTTCAAACTTCGAATTACTTGCAAAGCATCTTCAAGCATTGTTTGTTCAATATTTGCATAGGTTGTGAGAATGGATGAAATGTACTTCTTATAGACTTGAGTGAGAGCTTCTCTGAGACAGGTACAAATTTTGTTGGTCTTGCTTTCTGTGTGGTATTTCATGCTGACTCTTTGAGGTTTTTCCATCCGAGTGAAATCCTCCAAATTTGGTTTTAATGATATCTTCATTTATGAGAGTGGAAACGAATAAATTGATATGGTCAGGATTGTTCACGTCTTCAACAAATCTATTTGCATTCTTGAGGAATGACACAGGATTGTGATCATCGACAATATTCATGTCAATTCGGTATTTACGAGTGCCAAATGTGTAACATCACACTGGATGAGTACCAAGGCGAATGAATTGTTGTTAAGTGCTTTAAAATCAAATTTCCAATACAAACCAGCTGAGGTGCCAGTCGTCCCATGGTATGTGTTTTCCAATGCAATAATTGTATTTCTTTAAGTAAAAACACGAGCCAATCGACTTATTACCTTCACTTCCCGAATTCACAAAGAAGCACACGGTCAAATCGCATTTTGGATGTTAATTTCTCCGCTAATCTCACAATCTTGTCATGTAGATAACGAGTGATAGAATTGATGAATTGCATTTTGTCGACAGTCGCTTGTAACACATGTGGATGGATAGGTACGTTCTAAATTGTAAGAAATCACGTGTGCAACAATGCTATCAATTATAATAGTACAAAAAAGTTTTATAACAAAACGTCTAAAACAAACATGTGTTCTAACTATGCCGCCATTAATACAGCTTCTGGGTAGCGTTTGATGGAATTGTTGATTTCACTTCAACGGCTGCAGGTAATAATTCCATTTACATCATGTACTGAGTATCCATTTCCACACGAGCATTGGGTGTTTCCATTTACATCAATAAAACACACTCCTGAATAACTGCAAAGTATTTCCGAACCAGTACGAGGCGTTAAGCAAATCATGGCACTTGGTGACGACGAGGGAAGTGATATTTTGTAAATTCCGTTGCCTTCGTTATTTTCTTGTAGACGAATTGGGTCTTGAATAGTACTGTACTTGGATCGGCTTTCATTCATGTTCATTACAAACCCAGTCGTGTCTAGAAACAAGGTGTAATTTGCAGTTGATGGAGGATTAGTAACCATGTTGCAAAAAACAACTACAGGAGGTATGCCCGTGTCGTTTTGTATCATATACAGCCCAGACCCAGAAATGCCTTCATACAATTTGCTTGAATTTGTTGGATATTTATATTCCTGACATGAAGCAGCAGTAGTTCCATCTGCATATCTTCTGATTCCATTAAAAGCCACGATACTTGTTTTCTCACAATTGTTACCAAAAATTCCAGTTGGACAAACACACTTGTCATAATCCATACACCTTCCCAATGAAGAGCATACTTGAGAATTGGTAGCTTCCAAACCAAAACAAGTGTAACACATGAAAGGATATTTTGAGCACCAATTACTTGTTCGATTTGGGTCAAAAATGGCATTCCACATCAAGTCACTTTTGTGAGCATACACGCCATATGGTCCTCCTACTCCTGAGGTGGAATTGGTTCCTCCAAATAAATAAATGTCACCATCAGCAGATGCTATTTGACCAGTGTTTATCATGAAATAAGGTAAAACACTGAATGTGTGCTCCCAAATAGTCGGAGTCTTTAGCGAGGCTCTAAATATATTATTTTGAGAGGTTCCAAAGCTTCGTGACCCTCCAAAAATATAAATATAGTCATCAAGTATTTCCCAAAATGCTGAATGGATTGGCACAGGTAGAACGTCAGATACAATCTCCCACGAGGTTAAATCAGCTAAAGGAGCTCTCATTATTTTGTCAGTCACTACTGTGTTCTTTCTTGGTGAAAAATCTATTGTAGAGTTATAGGAATACATTGAGGTAATACCTCCAAAAATGTAGGCATAATCTCCACTAGAAGCTAAAACACCAGAAGCAACAGGTGTAGGAAGAGTAAAAGGTAATAATTCCCATTCTTTGTCTAAATTAAAAATTGGGCATCGATATATCTTATCAGAAATTTCATCATTCACAAAACCTCCGAACAGGTAAAAGTATTCATTGTGTTTAAGAAAATGAGAGTTATAAATCGAATCAGGAAAGCCCAAGTTTTCATGCGAGTCGTATTCCACAATCTTCCATTCTTCTTCATTTTCTGTATGATTCATAACATACATGTTGAAACCATTGTTTCTTCTTGTTGGAATGGTGTTTTCTTGTTTGAGTAAATATGCCAAATCTCCCATTTCAAAGTACACAGGTTTACGGTAATACCAAGCAAGATGAAGATCGTTTTGCATGGATATAGGAGTAAAATATCCGTCTAAATTGAATAAAAATCGTTCCGAGAACGTACGTCCGTTCCAGTATAATGGTGAAGAGTCAATACAATCATGGTTGAAGAACATTCTGGTGTTTTGACATTTACCAGTGGCAAAAATAGAACCATCAGCATAGAAAATGAATGAAGATTTTTCAGATGTAGCAATATCTACAATAGGTTGAAGAGAATGTCTGACCAAGGTTGGAAGTAAAATATTTGAACCAATAGAACCTGTTCCAGTTTGACCAATATCATTCTTTCCCCATGAAAACAATCTCTTGTCTGAACAAACAACAAAATTAACAAAACCTCTTGTGTGAATTCTTTCTGCAACACAAGACAAGTTATTATAGAGATATGAAACAAATTTTGGAGAAAGTGAATCCAATGTTGAATTATCTCCAATTTGTCCATTTTCATTGGATCCCCATGAAAAAACTAATCCATCACTTGTGAGAAGTAAATTATGTTTCGTTCCACATTGAATATCTGTTATTTTTCTTCCTTCCAAATTTCTTAATTTTACCTTCACTGGTTCACCTTGACTCACTGTATCATTTGTTCCCAATTGTCCAAATGTGTTATCACCGAAAGCAATAAGTGTGTTATCAGTTGTGAGAGCGATAGCAAAGTTTTTGCCTGCACATACTCTAGAAACAATCTTGCCCTTTAGTATACCATAGAAATATACGGCGAATGGTCTACTTTTTGGATCAAAAGTTCGATCTCCAAGTTGACCTTTATGGTTAGCACCCCATGCCCATAGCTTTCCGTTCTCATCAATGGCATATCCAGCATCATATCCAAGCGCAATTTGGGTAATGTTTTTACCTCCAAAGCCGTTCATTTTGGTGGGAATTTTCACATTAGATATCAGACCCGTTGCCAATTGAAAATCGTTGTTTACCCCAAAAGTATATATGCCCTTGTTGGTCAAAACTAAATTACTGTGGGTATTAACTTCAAATTGATAAATCTCTAAGCCGTCAAGTGCTTCAACCGGCAGTCTGTATAATAATCTTGAGTCATGATCTGATCGTCCCAAATTACCCTCAAAATAAGAACCTGTTGAGTGTAACTTTCCGTTAGGCATCAATACAAGAACGTGATCAGCACCGGCAGCGATCCTATTCCGAATTCTCATGATACCGTTTTTGTGTGATCTTTCAAGAAGTTGAAAAGAACCACGTCTTGAATTCAAACGAAAATGATGGTCATTGGCATATCGAGAAGTAAATTGTCTAACAAAAACCTCTTCTCCGAATGTGCGGGATGTGTAGTTCTAGGTCCGAGTGTAGTTGAACCAAAGTACCAACATATTTTTTTGAAAAAATGTTTGTGTAATTATTGTTCGTGATGATCATGTGAATGTCTCTCGAAACAATAACAACTTACATTCACAAGTGTCAACAGATTTTCAGATATTTTCTCAGCAGAAAATTGTGTTAAAGCAAGTGTCTTTTTTAACTCCAATTCTGTACTAATGGATGCCATAAGATCAGCTTCCTTTGCTGATGTCAATGTTGCGAATACTGTTTCATTAATATTTAGTTCTGTTAATATGGCGGATGCTTGATCCAATGCATCAGTGGTGTCCACTAATTTTTGTTTTACTTTGGAATCGTAAAAGTCTCGGAATTGTTTTTTTAAATCTTGTTCCAGGACAGAGTAATAGCTTGTTCGTTTGTCTCTGAGTTGATGTGCTGTTTTCAAATCTTCAGTGGATAGAGAACCGGTTGTTGTGCTTGTCTTTCTATATATACTTGAAGATGGGAATTGCGTCTCCGAATCTTGAACTAGATTGTCCGTACTCCCCAAAACAACGAATGAGTTATGATTGTTTAATAGAAAAACTGGACGAAAAGCGTGTATAATTCAAATCGAGGTTGGGTTGATTCCATGAGTTGGTTGTAGTAGGTGGCGTGGATATTGTTGAATGGTTGTTGTTATTTGTCCAAAGAAACGCATTATTTTCAATCATCATCACATACCATTAAGAAGAAGAACTAAGGTAGCGAGCAGTAATGCTCCCACCTTTGTTGTTGTTGGCATCATTCGTCGGTTTTTTTTAATGCTACTGTAAATGATAAGGTCCAAAATGTTTACAGTAGCAGCATAAAAAAATATAAAATGACTGGCCCAACAACAACAACGAAGGTGGGGGCATTACTGCTCGCTACGCTGGTTCTGCTTCTTAATGGTAAGTGATGATGATTGAAAATAAGGTGAATCATACTCAACCATTCAACAATCCGAACCGCATTATTTATTTATTTATTAACATTGTAAATATTTACATTTCCAACGCAACCGATTGTATCCATTACTACAAACAACAACAACTTGATAGTTTTTCAATTGAACAACAATTCACCTTCATTCGTTGTCGGTATGGATACAGACAACCGAGTTCAAGAACTTGAAATGCAATTAGCCAGAATATTGAAGGACAAACAACAAAGCTACATTACAGTTTTAGAAACAAACCTGAAAACCGAACTAAAGGAGTTTTTTGAATCAAAGTCCAAACAAAGATTAGTGAACACAAAGGATGCTCTTGATAAAGCATCTGTAGTATTGGACACTCTGGACATTAATTCAACAGTTTTTGATCAGATGAATATTCTCAAAAGACAAGAGCTCGTAAAAGCAATGAGTTTAGAATTGGAATTGACCAATTTGATTACACTCACCAAACATTCTATTGATTCTCTTGGTTATGATGTGGCCACACTCGTCAATGTAAGTAATAGTATGTTGGAGTATATGTGTTATTTACTTCAATTGTTACAAACCTATTTTTGTTGTTTAAAACTCAATCTGTGACCACCAAAGAATTACACCCAACAAACTTATTCAGATGAATTATTTTTCAGACAAATGGACTTTGAAAGGACACAAAATGAACATTTTCATTTGAATTCAAAACCAGGACTCTTTCAACAGCTAGAAACAGCCAACCAGTTAAACATTACTAGAATACGCAATAGAATTTCTGCAGGGTTGGAGCACGTTCTTGTGTTAATGCCCAATGGTAAACTCTATTCGACAGGAGTTTACTATGAAGGTAATCTTGGACGAACAGTTCAAGACTCTAGACTCATGTACAAGTATCCAGTCGAAGGTTTAGATGGTCTTGAAGTGTATCAATTCGAAGCCAATAGATATTCTAACTTGGTATTAACCAATAAGGGAGTATATTCATTTGGGCTTAACGATCGATCACAACTCGCCACAGGAGGCACAAAGACCAAGGTTCAAGCAACATTTGTGAATGGTTTCAGTATGGGTAACAAAATTGAGCAAATAGCATTGGGTTATAGCTCTGGATATGCCATTGATGAGTACGGTAAACTGTGGGCATGGGGAGCCAATGATCAAGGTCAACTTGGAGATCGAACTTTTGATGAAAAGAACCGACCTTTTGCTGTCTATCAGTTGTTAGGACCACTCAGAAACAGTACTGTTGTCAGAGTTTGTGCAGGTCAAAGCCATGGAATTGCCCTCACGAGTGACAATATTTTGGTGTCATTTGGTAACAATACATTTGGACAATTGGGAACAAATGATACAGTGAGTCAAGGTGAACCAGTGAAGGTAAAATTAAGAAATTTGGAAGGAAGAAAAATAACAGATATTCAATGTGGAACGAAACATAATTTACTTCTCACAAGTGATGGATTAGTTTTTTCATGGGGATCCAATGAAAATGGACAAATTGGAGATAATTCAACATTGGATTCACTTTCTCCAAAATTTGTTTCATATCTCTATAATAACTTGTCTTGTGTTGCAGAAAGAATTCACACAAGAGGTTTTGTTAATTTTGTTGTTTGTTCAGACAAGAGATTGTTTTCATGGGGAAAGAATGATATTGGTCAAACTGGAACAGGTTCTATTGGTTCAAATATTTTACTTCCAACCTTGGTCAGACATTCTCTTCAACCTATTGTAGACATTACATCCAACGAAGACAACTCTTACATTTTCTATGCTGATGGTTCAATACAAGCAACTGGAAAGTGTCCAAATACACTCATGTTCATGAATCATGAATGTATGGATTTGAATCCTCCCTTCTGGAGTGGGGTGAGTGTACCTAAAAGATTTGTGTATCACATTGGTGGAAACTTTACCAATGTTAATCACCAAAACAACATGAATTTGGTTTGGTATCATCGTAAACCAATATATTTTGATATGGGAGATTTGGCATATTTACTCAAACAAGAAAATACCATTCCAACAAGAAGAAACAATGGTTTCAACATGTATGTTTCCAACATTACCAAAGGAGATTATGATTGGAAGCTTGTGGAATTTAATGCCAAAACTGGTACCGGTTTTCCTGACTCGATTTATAATTCTCACTTGCTGAAACATAACGAGTATGTCTACCTGTTCGGAGGTTTTGTCAATGATGAAGTTTCTGATAGAGTTTATAGATGTCCTATCTATGATTTACAAAATGACTGGGAACTTTGCAACTTTACTTTACCATTTCCTGTAGCCTCTGGTATGCTTGTTCCAATTGGTGATTATGCCTATATTTTTGGAGGAATTACTTCCTTATATTCGTACAATTCAAGCATTGATTTTGCACCAAAAGCAAACTCAGTTGTGTCTCAAAAAATAATGAGAGCTCCTCTCACTGATTTAACATCATGGGAGACTATGAATGATGAGCTCCCTGTACCTATTCATTCAGCATTTTGGGAAATTGTTGGCAATTATATTTATCTATTTGGTGGAGCCAGAACTGTAGGAACTTCACAAATTAACATTTTCAGAGCAACACTTCAAACACCATGGGTTTGGGAACACACCTTTGGTATTCTTCCTTATTACATGATTAATACAGGTCAAGTTGCCTCCACAAACGATACAATGTACGCATTCGGAGGAACTAATGCCACCACTGGCGTTGGAGGCCCTTATATGGCCTTTGGTAACAAGACCGACATTACTGGCTCATGGATGGCTATTCACGATCCAAGCAGAACTCAGGCGTGGTGTAAGAAATATCCATTACTATGTTTTTACTGTTTCGGTGTTGAAGCGTCAAATCCAAATGTTTGTTCTGCTGCTGGAAGATGTCTCGATTATGATACTTGTCACTGCTATAATGGAAGATTTGGCTCAAAGTGTGAAAAATTTGGAATTGTTGCTGTTAGCGGAGTTAGAAAATATGCAGATGGAACCTATGCAATCTCTTGTAATAGATACAGAAAACCAACCAACACCTCACTTGTCTATCAAGGAATCATTGGAGATGGATGGTACTGGATTAAACCAGATTACACAAGCAATCCAATTCAGGTATATTGTGACATGACTACAGATGGAGGAGGTTGGACAGTTTATTACACTGTCGGTCAAACATACAGCACCGTTAATTTATTAACTGCAACTCCTTCCAATGGGCTCGATTTTAATAAGGAAGGATACTTTTCTGATTTGAGAAGAGTTCCTTTCACTGATGTTATGTTTGCCACAAATAACCAAAAGCATTGGTTCAAAAGAAAAACGGCTAACTCAATCATCGTAAACAATTATAGATCAGGATTTATTCTGAACACAAACTTTGGAGATCCATATACCTCTCCTTATTATGGAGGAACATTAGACAGCGGAGGTCTGTTTGAGGGTTACATTGACGGAGCGAAGGATACCACCACCGACTATAAACTGTCTCTCACTGATAAAACTTTGTGGGAAGGAGATATTCCACTTTCAGCAGGTATTTGGATTGTTGAATATAACTTTAGAGGAAGTAAGGGTTATAGAGCTAATGCAGTAGGCATTACGAAAAAGTCGGTGTGCAATTGGGGAGGTTGTACATACAGTTGTTGTGGTGACTATGTGGCAACTGGAATCTGTTTTAAGGAAAGCTCTTTTTTGGGATGTGCCACAACAACACCAATGACCGTCTATATTAGATAGAGTGAATGTTTGTAATTTTAATAAATTAATCTCAAAATACTGAAAACATTACGTCCTTATTACTTTTCGTGCCCACAAACCTTGAAAACGGATATGTTTTTCTATTCTAAAGCTCACCACTGTAAATTGGTTTCATGTTAACACCAACTTCAACAATTATTTGATTATTCAACTGATTGATTTAATAATAATATTACACTAATAAAGGCCAAGAGACAGTTTTAAAACACGACCCGTCCTTGCCGATTGTGCCATATATGGAGTTGTTCTTCTAATTTCAGATCCATATAACAACACGGTGTCATTTCTAACAACGGGAATAAGTGACTGTGCGGCATCAGGAGGCAATACTCGATCACTAGCCATCCATGATTTTACAGGATCTGACTTGTGGCCCACTGCAATATAATTACCAGCGTTGGTGTTACTGTCGCGTGCTCCACCTAACAAGAATAATTGAGATTTAGTCGAGACAAGAGCAGCATTGGCTGTGTAGAAGGGTAACAAACCAAAGGTCATTTCCCAAGTAGCTGGATCAGTAAGCAGTGCTCTATAAATGTTCCAGTCTGATTTTCTATAGTCGGTAGCTCCACCAAAAATGTAAACAAATTTGTCAATAATACTTATGTGACCACTGTGCAGTTTTGAAGGAAGGACCTTTGGAACTACCATCCAATTGGTAAGGTTATCTAAGGGTGCTCTAATAATCTTGTCCGTCACAGAAGTTGATAGAATTGGTTTGGAAGAACCAGCTGTATAGCTATAAACAGAGGTTATTCCACCAAAAATGTATAAATAACCATTGATCACAGCAGTCATTCCAGAAGCAACAGGATAAGGTAAATTTGCCTCTAATAATTGCCATCCATTCTCCACATCATAAATGGGAGCTCTATAAATATTGCTTGACAAGTCATCATTTACAAATCCTCCAAAGAAGTAAACAAACTCGTTGGATTTCAAAAAATGACTATTATACAATGAGGATGGGAAAGCATTACCAAGTGATGAATCACGTTCCAATACATTCCAGGCATCTTCGGATTCGTTGAACTCCTTGAAGTACATGTTAAATCCATTACCAACTCGAGTGGGAACAACATTTTCAGTTTGTAACAAGTAGGCTCTTGATCCAATTTCAAAATAAGGAGCTCGTCTCATATGCAGTGGGAGATAGCAATCATTAAATGTTGGCATTTTAGCATAATTGGCGGTAGTCAAAATGTAATTTCTTGGATAAGTGCAGGTGACACCAGAACAGTCTTGTCTTGAACATGCAGCGGCATTGGATGTAGACTCACCATAAAAGAAAGCATATTGCAAATTGGCTTCGTCACCACAAGTTCCAGAACCCCAAATATTGAAATCTGTTGTCATCATGAACGTGTTAAACTTGTTCGTTGCTACTTCAATAATTTTTGGATATCCAAGAGTTGAGAAATCGGAAGTTAAGAAGAGTGTATGATCAATCTTTTGAGGGAGTGGAATCTTGGAAGTTGTTGCGGCAGTACCTAGTTGAGCAGCGTCATTTCTACCCCAATTCCAAAGAGTATTGTCGGTACATAACACAAACGAGCTATGATGTTTAGCAAAGATTTGAGAGGCAGTACAACCCGTTAGAGTTGTCAACTTTTTGGGAACTGCGGAATATGTTGTTGTTAAGGCAACTCCTAATTGTCCATTGTCATTTCTACCCCACAAGAAAACTTCACCTGTGCTGGAAAGTACCATTGCATAATCATAACCACATTGAATATCAACAATAACTTTTCCAGACAATTCGCTTGATTGATAGACCAGTACAGGCTCTCCAGATACAGTCACCGAGATGTTATTGTTTCCCAATTGACCAAATGAGTTATCTCCCCATGAAACGAGTGTATTGTTGGAAGTTAGAGCCAAAGCAAATTCACCTCCTCCACAAACTTTAACAACTGGAATGGAACCCATAGCACCATATGGATATACAGGAAATGGTCGATTCTTTTCGGAAAAGGTTCTATCACCAAGTTGACCTTTTGAATTGTCTCCCCATGCCCACAATTTACCATTCGAATCAATGGCATAGGATGATCTCCACCCTGTAGCAATCTGTACAATAGTTTGCCATCCAAATCCATAGACCTTTCCTGCTGTTAACCTAGGATTTCTATCTCCAGTTCCTAATTGAGAGTAGTCATTAATACCAAAGCTATAAACTCCATCGTTAGTGAGAACCAAGCTAAAGTAATAGTTGGCATCAAATTGAAGAATTTGTAATCCATCAAGTCCTTCGACAGGTAAATTGTACAAGAGTCTGGAATCTGTGTTCGTTCTTCCAAGATTTCCATTGTATGCAATACCAGTAGAGTAAAGTTTTCCATTTTGTCCCAACATTAATACATGCTTCAAACCAACTGAGAGACGATTTCTAATTCTTCTAACCTGAGTATTCCAGCCAAAATTTGGTAAGATGGAATCTTGTGGTGTGAGAATTACAGTGTCATTGACAGCTTCTTTACTTGTGGTGTAATATTCTTCTGTGGTATATGCTTTTTTAGTGAATGCCTAATGATAAAGTTGTAAGTTTAAACAATACTGAACAATACAAATAATAACTTACGCTTACAAAATCTTTGATGTTCTTTCCGACCATATCAGCAGAATTTTGGGTAAGTGCAAGTAAATTGTTCAATTCCAAATCCAAACTCATGACACTTTGTAACTGAGTCTGTTTCGTTGAAAGCATGGCAATAAATTGATCTTCAGTAACATTCAATGTTTCAAGGAAAGGAGCAGATAATTCGATGGCCTCCTTTGTGTCTAACAGTTTCTTCTTTGCTTGAGATGCCGTTAGTTCATCTGCTTGTTTTTTCAACACACTGGAAACCTCCAAGTAATTGAGGTGTACAGATTTTTGAGCCTTTAGCTGTTGCATTTGTTCAGTAGAGGCCATATTCACTCCACCATCGTCTTGTGCCATGGTGATGATTGCAAAACTTGAGAGAATGATGAAAGCCACTTCACGATTTCATGAATGATGAGTTGTGCGAAACATGATCAGGTATAGTAAATGAATGAATTCATGAGAAATGTCCGGAAAATAAATTACTCGTTCGGCAAGAGAGGAATTTACCTCATATCAATCACTTACCGACAACTATTGTGCCTAACTTGCGGGCAGCACTTGCCATTGTTGTTGTTGGCATTTTTCTTTTGTGTGTGGTTGGGTAAGAATACTGTAAAAATTTACGGTTGTGATGGAGACGATTGAGGCAAAACACGCAAGAAGCCTCAATTCCAAAACCACCACCGTAAAACTTTCCCACCACACACAAAGAAAAATCATCAGCTTGAGTGGGATTCCCACAATCAACCAATCAATAACACTTGTGCTACTGCTGCTACCTTACCCTTATCCAACGACAACAACATTTAGTTGCGTATATATAACAACAACCACATCATATAAATCAAGAAGATGGTGAATTTGTACATTGATGCGCAGATTCATCAGCATTCTCCTCAATCCGATGGTTGGCAAATGACCTCATCATTGCCCAAATCCATCTCATCAACACGACAACAATACAATAATAGCAAGCCTTATTACCGTTCCATGTGTATGACACTGTTATTCTATTGTTGTTGCTTGTTGTTAGTAGTATCAAGCACAAGTTTTCTAGTAAGCAATGTCCATTCGTTACCAATATGTAACGGAAGGCTCTCAACAGACAATTTGGTTTGTTCAGGACATGGATGGTGTACAGACGCTGGCGTATGTATGTGCGATCCTGATTATAACGGCACGAATTGTGAACAATTTACATGCAATGGAATTGCAAGTGGAGAAGCTAGTGTTTGCAGCGGACATGGTCAATGCATAGAGCCACTTGGCTGTAGATGCGATGTTGGCTATAAAGGATTGGCTTGTGAACAATTATATGATCCTAATGCTCCATCTACAAGTAGTTGCATTACAGATGCTAGTGGACAATGTACAACCTCGTCTTCACTCTCACAAACAGCAGCATTAGGTAATTCACAATCTGATTCTGGAACCTCTTCTTCGTGTACATCACCCAACGATGTCATAACCAACCCTCTGTGTTCAACTCCTTCAAGCGGCGCAACGAGTTCTTGGTCTTTCAATGAAGATTTTCAAATGTACTTTACCCTGAACGAAACAAAACAAGTAGGGTCATATAGATTTGTTGTTGATAGTTTCAATCAAGATTATATGCTATTGCTTGGCAATGGTGTAACTTTAGAGACTGTTGACAAAATGCGGGGCAATGCGCTTTCATTCTCTGGTATTGGTGGTATTAATCTCAACAAAAGCCCTCTTGCATACATGTCCAATGATTTTACCATAAGCATTTGGATCAAATTGGATTCCACCATAACCTCACAACAAACAATATTTTCAATTAACAGTACAGTCTCTTGTTGGTCATTTTCATTGAATCCATCTTCAATGGCTTCGTTCAAAAGTGAAGTTCATTCTGACCTCTCTTGTTCAATTCCAACCGCATTGATGAATGATGCTGGTTATAAGCATTTGATCATTTCAAAATCAAACAGTGCAGGTCTCAAAGTGATTATTGGAAGATCTCTCCCTAATACTACATACTTTACATGTATTGACGAGCCAACACTCACTTCAGACTTGAATAACCCACAAAACGTCGAAGGAAATAGTGCCATAGGGTATAATGCAAACTCAGGATCTGCATTCTTTGAAGGTAAACTTGACGAGATGCACATTTTCCATAGAACTCTCTCTGATAATGAAATTTCAGTACTTAGATACAAGGGATATGGTTGTTTAGACGTTCAGTACTCAACAAATGAATCATTGTGCAATTATGGTGATTGTATTAGTGGAACAAAGTGTCAATGCAAGGACAGTAGATTCATGGGAGACGATTGTGCTGCTTCATGTTTTGGAATTAGGGCAGATAATGAATCGTTTGTTTGTTCGGGACTTGGTGTTTGTACTTCGCTCGACACATGTGAGTGCGACCAAAATCATTATGGACCCGATTGTTCTTTCTTGAAAAGCGTTTCTTACGTGAATCAGACTTTCACACTAAAATGGAGATTTCATGAGAAGTATATTTCCACAGATCTTAAAGTCGAAGAGTTGAGAGGTCACTTTAATATTACAATAGAAGGAACAACAATGCTCGAATCAAGATTCAATAGAGATTTTGGTCTTGTTCAACTTGACGGAATTTCAAATTACATTGATTTATACAATCATCAAGATGATTCCCCTTTCAGAAAGTTGAGAAATAATTTTCATCTTTTCATTCGTATCAGTTCTCCCGTGTTTGAGCGTGTTTATGATGAAATTTTCCAAGAAATTTTGAATTTAAATAGTGGAGCCAAGTGGAGGCTGGCCATGTCAAACAAGGGATATTTTGTTTTTGAAGGATGGGAACGCTCCTCTTCTCAATCAATTCCACAAAAAATATCTTTCAACACAACAATAATCACTCCTACAAATGATGGCTTCTACGAAATTTTCATCATCAAAAGCGCAAGAGATGGTCTGAAAATTCTGATTAATAACCAGACCGTTGTTTATGATTTTTTAAGAGTTAACAACTTTGAAAAGTACACTGATCCAAACGTTGGTTTATTATCGGATGATTCCTTTGAATATATAACATTGGGAAACAAACCATCACTCAATGGTGGAGGATCAAATTACTTGAACAGCTTTTTGGATAGGTTGATCATTTGGAAAAACGATGATACAGCCCCTACCGCATCCTATGATGATATGACAAAGGAGTTTACATGTTCACTCAAAGATCAAATTTATGCAGATGATTTTTGTTCTTCTCACGGAAAGTGCATTGGAATGGATGAGTGCCATTGTTTCTCGCCGTTTACTGGAACATTTTGTGAGACACCAATTTATATTTGTTTTGGCATTTCAGGCAATAGTACAAATGTTTGCAGTGGCAATGGAAATTGTACAAACACTGATGTTTGTACATGTAACGCAAATTTTGAAGGTATTGAATGTAACGAAACCATTACAACAAACACAACTGGTCCTCAACCAACTTGCGTTCTAAATTTACAAGGACAATGTTCACAGGAATATGATTCATCCTCAGGTACTAGTGGCTATACCTACAAAGGTACGATACCATCAACCTCAACCGGATCTTCATTACCATGTCAATCAGTTGGAGATTTTCTTCAAAGTATTAGTATTTGTACTTTTGATTTTGTTAGATCAGATTTTTATTTAAAGAATTTGAGAAAAATGTCTCCGCTTCCATCCACTGGAACATCATACAACTTTGATAACTTGGTTTATGATCCCATCTTTGACAGAATTTACTTTGTTGACAATAATCAGAATTTCACATCATTTTTCCAAAATGCCAAGATCCAACCAAGCTTTTTACCTGATGGAGGAGAATGTCTTGTTTTTGATGGAACAACTTTTTCTCTGTTTGAAGGATACTCTTATTTGACATCACTGGACAATGATTTTACTCTTACACTCTGGTTAAAACTGACTGCTATGGATATTAGACAAACAATTGTTTCGATTGACGACGAGACCAGATGGGAGCTCTTTATTGATAATGATAACCTTCTTAAGATGAATTATCCTGGTGGTCTATTAACAAGTTCTTTCAGAGCGAGTACTTCTGAATATTTTCTCGTTACAGTGAACAAAACATCAACAACCGGGTTACAGCTCTCTGTAAATATGACTGTTGTTTTTGCAAATTCATCCTTTATTGAAAGCATTCCATCATCAGGAGAGAATGAAAAAGCTGCTTCATCCATTGGTTTTGATGTAGTAACCAATAGCAGTTACTTGCATGGTATGATTGATAATTTTAGAGTGTCTTTTACTCCATATATGGATTATCAAATGAACCAAGTTTTCTTTGGTGATACAGGTTGTTTTGGAAAAGTGAATCCTCATGTATGCAATGGTCGTGGATTGTGTTCCAATTCCGATATGTGTAACTGTGCAGATGGTTATTTTGGTAATGAGTGCGAGTTTACTACTTGCTTTAGAATTTTAAATACTGCCCCCAACGTCTGTAGTTCAAATGGTACATGTTCTGCATTTGATAATTGCACATGTTCTACTGGATTTTCAGGTTCTAATTGTGCCATACAAACCTCTGTAATTAATGATCTATTGTCAAGATTTGGAAGCTCTTTTGAACAGAGATTTATTTTCAATAACTTCAATTTCATGGAATCTGGTACTGCGAGAGAAGCTGGAGACTCTGGTTTTATTTTAACAAACTTGATCACAAGTGATGCTGGTGCTCTTAGTGCTACTCTTGGAGGAGATGCCTCTCCATTTTCCTTACTTTACAATGACTTTATTGTTCATATTCGAGCTTCTTTTGGTAGCTTTAACTCGAACCAATCTTTGCTAAGCCTAAACAACATTGCTGGTTGGAACTTACGTGAAGAAGGATACGATTTAGTTCTTGAAACAAACACTGGTGCTATTATTGAAAGGAGATTGGTCATGAGTTTTATTCTTGTTCTTCCAAATCATGTTTATGATATTCATATTCGAAAGAGTTCAACAACCGGTATTTCTGTTTTTGTTGATGGATCTCTTGTTGGAGAGTTCAACAATGCAACAGAAGATTTGATTACGAGTGAAAGACGACCAAGTACTCTCGGTGGAGACAATCAAAACGTCGTTATTGAAAGTTTTTACGTTCAGTATAGACCAAATCTTTCAAGTAATACCTTCAATCCAGGATATGATCCAAGTCTTTGGAGCTGCTTTAATATTTCTAACACAGATCATGTTTCTGTATGCTCTGGGAGAGGTGTTTGTCATGGAAAAGATGTTTGCAAAAAATGTGCCAATTCTGAGGGTGTTATGTGTGAAATTCCATTTTGTTTCAATGTTTCAGCATCCAATAGAAGTTCAGTTTGTTCAGGACATGGATATTGTACTGAAATTGACCGTTGTGATTGTATGGAACCTTTTATGGGAAGTCAATGTGAAGTGGATCGATCACAAATGTACATGTATAGCGACAACGGAACTATTAGCAATAACGCAACTCCTAGCAACTTTACACCTCCAGATCCATGTACAGACTTGACCACTCCTGGTTGTGTGTCAATTGATTCAAATATCGATCAAAATACTGCACAAAATTGTAGAGACATTGTCAGCCCATCGGCACTATGCCAAAATTTACTCAATGACCAAATACTCTCGTCAAATGTCTCGTTCAACGTTACCGTTTGTGAAGATGGTTATTATGGAGAACCTAATAGTACTATTTGCAAACCCATGTGTTATGGTGTGAAAGCAGAAAATACCACTGTCTGTAGTGGACATGGTAATTGCACGATGAAGAACTTTTGTGTATGTCACATGAACTATGAAGGAGACAATTGCCATATCGATAAAACATACAAGACAATCATTGACGAAGAAATAGCTTCTTGGAATGATACAGAGTTTATATTAGGTTTTCTGGCAAGAAGTAACGACAACACAAGCTTGTACCAAGTTGGTGGAGCTACAAGCAGTTTAGCCAGACTTGATGATTCTACATATCATGCTCTACCACGCATGCTTTTTAATGACTGGTTTATTTCTTTTAAACTGTTCCCCATACAATATGATGACAGTGAAAAACCAATTGTTGTTATCAAGAATATTGCTCATTGGAAACTTTATATGAAGAAGACATCTCTGTTTTTGTCTGGCATCACTAGGGAAAAATCAACTCCAGATAACATTGAACTCACAAAGCTGTTGGAAATTCCAAATATTTGGTACAATATTCTAATCATCAAATCCAGCTCCAATGGAACAAGTCTGTATGTGAATTCTCGTTTTGAGTATAATTTGGCATACTTTGATGACTACTTTTCTCTTGAAGAGTCTCAAAACGGCAACAGCTTTGTTTCATTCCCTTCTTCCTTTGGATATATCGATGAAGTCATGATTGGAAAGGTTAATGTTGGTACTACTTTTGACCACATTCACTCACTCGCAACCAGTAAGGCAGTATTCAAATGTTTTGGAGTTTCGTTGAGGGAAACAGCTGCTTGTAATGGACATGGTTCATGTTTAGGAAATGATATTTGTGAGTGTAATGCTAACTACACCAACACCGACTGTAGCTCGCCAGTTTGTTTTGGTTTGGGCGCAAATGATGATCAAGTTTGCTCTAGTAGTGGAGACTGTGTAGCACCAAACTATTGTTCTTGTGCACCTGGATTTGTTGGAACTCAGTGCCAAACTCAACTTTTAACAACTACATGCAATAGTGCCGAAGGAAATTGTACAGCCAATAACGCTACGTCGTTCTTTAATAACATGGATAACGCAACATTCACATCAAGCACACCTGATTGTTCAAGCGCAGAGAATCGATATGCTTGTGGTGGAATTGGTCCTCAAACATCAACTCCTTCTGTTGTTTTCAACATTAGCACATGTCAAGATGGATATTATGGTGACAATTGTTCATTACCAATTTGTTTTGGAATCAAGTCAGAAGATCCAACAGTTTGTTATGGTAATGGTAATTGTACCATGAAAGACTTTTGTGTTTGCGTCAACTCGAGTTACACAGGTAGAGATTGCGGTAACGATTTGCGTTTTCTGTCTAAACTTACTTCTGAAGAACAATTGTCAATGATACCTCTGAGTATTAGGTTTGTCACTTCTGTATCTCGAGTTACTGACAACCAATTACGTGACTTGGAAAGCGAAATGGTGAGGTTTATTGTTGATGATATGCATCAAATCAATGGATCACTAGCTTTTAAAGAAGCATATACAAAGGTATACCTTCCATATAGTTTTACTTCTCCAATGAGACTATTTACCCGCGACGTATTTGTATCACTCTCGTTTAAGGCAACAGCATTCACAACTTACAATCCTATAATTCATTTTAGAAACGGATTATGGCTCGATGTGCATCTTGAAGATAGATCAATCGTTGTGCAAGGTAGAAGCTTAGATTCGCCAAATCCAGTAGTAATCAGAATTGAAAATGTTATTGAGGTAACAAATGTTTGGTATACCTTGATTCTTTATCTGTCTGACGATAATACCAAAGTTGTCTATAATGGCAATGTTGTATATTCGTCTCCATTGAATTATCAATTCGTAACTCCAAATCCTGTTGAAACTGGTGAGAGTTATATTGGATCCAACATGGATACTCATGGAACACTCATCACGTTCAACGGGTTCATTGATGAAATTTATATTGGAAGAATAGACAGATTGTCCGTAGAAGAAGTAACATCGCTAGTACATAGAAAAACTGGATTTACTTGCTTTACTGAATATCTGACAAGCCCAAATGCATGTAACGGAAATGGAGTGTGTATGGGCAATGATGTGTGTAAATGTAATTCAAATTACACAGGAAGTGATTGCAGTGTTCCAATTTGCTTTGGAATTGCAGATGGACAATCAAATGTTTGTTCGGGACATGGTAACTGCACAGCTCCAAATGAATGCACCTGTGCACCTGGATTCACAGGCAGTCAATGTCAAACAGACACATCTTCAACCACATGTGATGATCCTGAAGGAAACTGCACTTCAAACAATGCCACTTCATTCTTTGAAACATTCAGAAATGAGACATTCACATCAAGCACACCTGATTGTTCAAGACCTGAAAATAGATATGCTTGTGGTGGCATTGGTCCTCAAACATCAACTCCTTCTGTTGTTTTTAATATTAGCACATGTCATGATGGATATTATGGCGTGAATTGTTCATTACCAATTTGTTTTGGTGTAAAATCGGAAGACCCAACAGTCTGCTCAGGCAATGGTAATTGTACCATGAAAGATTTTTGTGTTTGCCGAAATGGCACCACTGGGCAAAGTTGTGCAAACGACCTGAACTATTTAGCGTTCCTAGCGACAACAGAACAACAAATGCTTGCTGACTTCCCTTCTTACAGCTTTAGAACAACAACACAAGCAGATGTTATGGAAGCTGCCCAATCTTTCGCTACCAGACGTTTACTTGCTCTCTCTCAGTCCATGGTCATCACTGACTTGGGCGACGGTGGAATTGAAATGATTGTGGATCAAATAACAGTTGTTAATGGTACCTTATCATTCGGAGAGGAAGGAACTGAAATTACTTTACGAACAGCTTCTTCGGAAACAGCACTATTTAGTTTTGTAAGAGACGTATTTGTATCATTCTCAATCAGAGTCTCTAATTTTAAAGATTTCAGTCCCATCATGTTTCTTCGAAATGGTATTTGGATGAAGGTATATTTGAATCAAAAGCAAATTATTGTTGAAGGAATGACTGAAGAGTATCCATATCCAGTTAAAATTCAGACACAGAGCGTTATTGATCTTGCAAACGAGTGGTATTCCGTTCTACTTTTCTTGTCTGAATCTAGCACTCGCATCGCTGTGAACGGCACCACTGTATTTAACTCTTCATTGGCATATCAATTTAAGGCAACAAATCCACAAATGAACGGTGATGGATATATTGGTTTTATTCCTGCTGAATTGAGTGCTAATGGTGAAAAAGAATTCTTTAATGGTTTCATTGACGAGATTAATATTGGAAGAGTTGATGGAATGTCGTTCGAGGAAGTGTACGAACTGATCGCAGACAAAACTGGATTCTCTTGCAATGGCGTATATCTCAGAAGTACATTGGGATGCAACGGAAATGGTATATGTTTGGGCAATGATGTGTGTAAATGTAATTCAAATTACACAGGAAGTGATTGCAGTGTTCCAATTTGCTTTGGAATTGCAGATGGACAATCAAATGTTTGTTCGGGACATGGTAACTGCACAGCTCCAAATGAATGCACCTGCGCCCCTGGGTTCACAGGAAGACAATGTCAAACAGACACATCTTCAACCACATGTGATGATCCTGAAGGAAACTGCACTTCAAACAATGCCACTTCATTCTTTGAAACATTCAGAAATGAGACATTCACATCAAGCACACCTGATTGTTCAAGACCTGAAAATAGATATGCTTGTGGTGGCATTGGTCCTCAAACATCAACTCCTTCTGTTGTTTTTAATATCAGTACCTGTCAAGATGGATATTATGGTGACAATTGCTCACTACCAATTTGTTTTGGAATCAAGTCAGAAGACCCAACAGTCTGCTCAGGCACCGGTAACTGTACTATGAAAGATTATTGTGTGTGTTATAACTCTACATTCACTGGAAAAGACTGTTCGAGCAACAGAACATATTTGGAACAAGTTCAAGAAATGGCCGCAACGTTTAAACAAAATTCTAGTGATTGCTCATTCAGAGTATCGACAGACTCGTCTTATATTGACGAAGATATCATTCAAGAACTTGGATACGGCAATGTTATTCTTTTAATTAGGCATTTGACACTGGTCGATGAAAGCATTTTGTTCAGGGAAGGTGGTACGGAAATTACTATAATTTCCACCAACCCCGTAAACGCGTTCCAAACTTTGACTCATGATGTTTTTATATCCCTTTCGATCAAGGTTCTGGAGTTTTCTGAACACAGCCCTATCATTCACGTTCGCGATGGCATGTGGTTCAAGTTGTATTTGCAAGGTAAATCATTGGTATTTGAGGGAAGAGATTTGGAAACTTCCTTGCCATATTACATCACGATTAACAACACCATTGAAAATATTGATTATTGGTACAGTATAATATTTGTACTGGCAGATGTTGGTACAACTGTAATCGTCAACGGTAACATCGTATTTACCTCTCCGCTCATTTACACTGTTCAATCTCCAAATCCAAATTTCAATGGCAATGGATACATAGGTTTTATGCCAACTGATAACACGACTTCATATCATTTCCATGGATTCATCGACCAAATTTTTATGGGTACAATTGAAGGTCAGCCTATCTCAAACATAACGGACAAAGTACAGTCAAAAACAGGACTTTCTTGTTTCGGGGAATACTTGACAAGCGCTACAGCTTGTAGTGGACACGGAGTGTGCATGGGCAATGATGTGTGTAAATGCAATTCCAGTTTCACTGGTGCCTCGTGTAATGTTCCAATTTGCTTTGGAATTGCAGATGGAGAAACAAATGTTTGTTCAGGACATGGCAATTGCACAGCTCCAAATGAATGCACCTGCGCACCTGGATTCACAGGAAGTCAATGTCAAACGGACACATCTTCAACCACATGTGATGATCCTGAAGGAAACTGCACTTCAAACAATGCCACTTCATTCTTTGAAACATTCAGAAATGAGACATTCAACTCCAGCTCACCTGATTGTTCAAGACCTGAAAATCGATATGCTTGTGGTGGAATTGGTCCTCAAACATCCACACCTTCTGTTGTTTTTAATATTAGCACATGTCATGATGGATATTATGGTGACAATTGCTCACTACCAATTTGTTTTGGAATCAAGTCAGAAGACCCAACAGTCTGTTCGGGCAATGGTAACTGTACTATGAAAGATTATTGCATTTGTTATTCCTCCACGTTTACAGGACGAAATTGTGCTAACAACATGACCTATATCAACGAATTGAAGCTACAACAAGATAGAGCAATGCAAAACACATCTTTCCGTGTTGCTACCGCAACCAATTACCTAAAAACTGACGAAATATTGCAAGAACTAGCGGACAACAATTTACTTTTGCGAATTCAGCATCTGACTTTAGTGGATAACCAAATTTTATTCGGAGACAACGCTACCCGTATCACCATCGTTTCACTTAATGAATCGAACCCATTCCGTTCGTTGACTCGTGATATTTTCATTTCACTCTCCATAAAGGCTACACAGCTACAGCCAGTTAGCCCAATATTACACGTTCGTGATGGCATGTGGTTCAAATTATATCTGGTCGAAGGCGATTTAATATTTGAAGGCATGTCGACTGAATCGCCATATCCCTATGTAATCCGTATCAACAACATTATTGAGCTTGTGAATGAATGGTATTCTATTCTGTTTATACTTTCGGACGAAAGAACTCAAGTTGTAGTGAACGGTACCATTGTATACTCATCACAGCTAGCTTACCAAGTTCAATCACCAAATCCAAGTTTCAATGGTAATGGATATATTGGATTTTTGCCCATTGATAACGTAACTTCATCGCACTTTAGTGGTTTTATTGATGAAATTTACATTGGCAAAATTTTGGGCAAAGACACTAGCAATATCAGCGAAGTCGTTTCAAGTAAGGCCGGGCATTCATGTTTCGGAGAATACTTAACAAGTCCCCACGCATGTAATGGAAATGGATTGTGTATGGGCAGTGATGTGTGTAAATGCAATTCCAGTTTCACTGGTGCCTCGTGTAATGTTCCAATCTGCTTTGGAATTTCAGATGGACAATCAAATGTTTGTTCAGGACATGGCAATTGCACAGCTCCAAATGAATGCACCTGCGCACCTGGATTCACAGGCAGTCAATGTCAAACAGACACATCTTCAACCACATGTGATGATCCTGAAGGAAACTGCACTTCAAACAATGCCACTTCCTTCTTTGAAACATTCAGAAATGAAACATTCACATCAAGCACACCTGATTGTTCAAGACCTGAAAATCGATATGCTTGTGGTGGAATTGGTCCTCAAACATCCACACCTTCTGTTGTTTTTAATATTAGCACATGTCATGATGGATATTATGGCGTGAATTGTTCATTACCAATTTGTTTTGGTGTAAAATCGGAAGACCCAACAGTCTGCTCAGGCAATGGTAACTGTACTATGAAAGATTTTTGTGTCTGCTCAAACTCAGCATTCACTGGAATAGACTGTTCGGTAAGCATGACTTACTTGGAACTTCTAAAACGTACGAAAGAACAACTCAACAAAACACTACCAGGATTTTCGTTTAGACTTTCATCTTCGTTGAGCTTTGTCATTGATAACAAAACACAAGATTTAGGAAACAGCAATCTCACCATCTATGTGTCAAAATTAACAACAACACCCGAAAATGATTCCATATTGTTTACAGATAATGGTACTCAAATAATTATTTCCTCGTCCCGAGAATCAACTCCTTTGTACGCACTTACGGATGACGTTTTTGTGTCCTTCTCTATAAAACCAGCCATACTGAAAGAATTTAATCCAATCCTTCAAATTAATGATGGAATGTGGTGTAAAATTTATTTGGCCGAGAAATCTCTCATTGTGGAAACACGAAGCGAAGACTCCCCATTCCCAGTAGTTATACGCCTAAGCAACACCATAGACATACCTAATGTATGGTATAAGGTTGTGTTAGTCATGGCCGACTATGGTACAACAGTAACAGTGAACGGAGACGTAGTTTTCAACTCTAGTCTCACGCACCAATTCAAATCAACAAACCCATCTCAAAATGGCGACAGTTATATTGGCTTTATACCAAACGGAAACGATACTGCAAGCAACTTCAATGGCTTAATTGATGAAATTTATATTGGTCATGTTCAATCTAGAACTCCAAGCCAAATTCTGTCACTGATTGTTTCAAAGGCTGGTTACTCGTGTTTCGGAGAATACTTGACCAGTCGCGCTGCATGTCACGGAAATGGTATATGTTTGGGCAATGATGTGTGTAAATGTAATTCAAATTACACAGGAAGTGATTGCAGTGTTCCAATATGTTTTGGAGTTTCAGATGGACAATCAAATGTTTGTTCGGGACATGGTAACTGCACAGCTCCAAATGAATGCACCTGCGCACCTGGATTCACAGGAAGTCAATGTCAAACAGACACATCTTCAACCACATGTGATGATCCTGAAGGAAACTGCACTTCAAACAATGCCACTTCCTTCTTTGAAACATTCAGAAATGAAACATTCACATCAAGCACACCTGATTGTTCAAGACCAGAGAATCGATATGCTTGTGGTGGAATTGGTCCTCAAACATCAACTCCTTCTGTTGTTTTCAACATTAGCACATGTCAAGATGGATATTATGGTGACAATTGCTCACTACCAATTTGTTTTGGAATTAAGTCAGAAGACCCAACAGTCTGCTCAGGAAATGGTAACTGTACTATGAAAGATTATTGTGTTTGCTTCAACAACTCCAGATACTCTGGCAAAGATTGTTCTGTGGATACACTTTATTTGTCCCAACTGTTAGAAATGGCTGGATCTCTCTCCTCTCAAAACCAAGATTATGGTTTCAGATTGTCGACCAAAGCAAGCAGTGTAGAATCTGTGGCAGGTTTATCATCTCGGCACTTGCTCAGCATTGCACAAGATATAACATGCACTGATTTAGGAAACGGATCCATTCCAATTATTATATCATCACCCGTTGTTACTGATGGAAGATATGAATTTATGCCATATGGTACCGAAATTACACTTCACACAGATGGGTTGATCTCTCCACTGTACACCCTTACTCAAGACATTTTTATATCCTTCTCTATTCACGTCACCGAAATGAATGATACTAATCCAATTTTACACTTCAGAAATGGTCTTTGGGTAAAGATTTATTTATCTCAAAAGAACCTTGTTTTAGAAGGAATGACGGAAGAATCATCACATCCAATTAGTATTCAAGCCCCGAATGTTATTGAAGTGACTAATCAAAGATACTCAATAATTTTATATCTTTCTCAAACTGCTACTAAAATTATTGTAAATGGAAATGAAGTTTATGACTCTCCTTTCACATATCAATTTAAGGCAACAAATCCACAAATGAACGGTGATGGATATATTGGTTTTATTCCTGCTGAATTGAGTGCTAATGGTGAAAAAGCAAACTTTAATGGTTTCATTGATGAAATTTATATTGGAAGAGTGAACGGCAAGAGTGTCTCCCAAATTATGGAGTATATAACTGCAGGATTTTCATGCTTTGGAGTATCTATGACTGCTCCAGAAGTGTGCAATAATGGAAATGGTATTTGTTTGGGCAACAACGTTTGCATATGTAATTCAAATTACACTGGCACTTCTTGTAATGCTCCAATTTGTTTCGGTATTGAAGTTGGAAACTCTAGAGTCTGTTCAGGTCACGGAAACTGTACAGGACCAAACGAATGTTCATGTGTACCAGGCTTCATTGGAACGCAATGTCAAACAGATACATCTTCAACTACTTGTGCTGATCCAGAAGGAAACTGTACAGCCAACGATCCTGATAACTTCCTTGCTCAACGTAATTCCACATTTTCTCCCCCACCATTGGATTGTTCTGCACCTGAAAATAGATTTGCGTGCGGTACTGGGCCTTCTCAAACACCTTCTGTTGTTTTCAATATCAGTACCTGTCAGGAGGGATATTATGGAGAACGTTGTGATTTACCAATTTGTTTTGGAGTCAAGTCAGAAGATCCAAAAGTTTGCTCTGGAAATGGTAATTGTACCATGAAAGATTTTTGTGTTTGTTATAACTCTACATTCACTGGAACAAATTGTCATGTCGACCTGCAATACCTCCAACAAGCTGCTTTAACCAAATCTACAATCAAAAGAGTAGCAGGTGCGTTCAACATTAGGTTTGCAATGAGCATTGGAACTGATGGCGTTGAAGATCTTTCTGGTATTGTCTCTACTACTGTGAGCAATTTAACCAGAAATTCAACAACCAATTCGTTAGTGTTTGGCCCTGGAGCAACAGAAATTGTAATTCCAAAAACTGTCAATTCCTCTTCTCTCGCTATATTCAGCAACAATATGTTTTTATCGTTCAAGATCAAATTCCGTAACTTTACCATGAAAAACCCAATACTTTCTCTCACAACTGGAATGTTTTTGAAAATTTATTTAGAAGATACAACGCTCGTAATTGAAGGAAAAACAACAGATACAGAGAAAAAAGTTACCAAAATTCCATTCGCTATTGATTTAACAGGAGAATGGTATTCCATCGTATTGACAAAATCAACCACTGAAGGAACAATGTTACTTGTAAACAATAACATTGTATTTAACGATACATTTAGCGACAATTTCCAAACTACCATGGATTCTCAAAATACTGACTCCTATATTGGTTTCGACTTTGTAAATGGATTGAAGTTTAATCTTGAAGCTGAGATGGATGAGTTGGTTATTTCTGAGTATGATGGATCTGGGGCAACAAATCTAACTCAAAACATAACAAAAGCTTTCCAATGTTTTGGAGTTTCCCTCAATGATCCTGGCGTTTGTAATCGACAAGGTATATGTTTGGGCAGTGATGTTTGCCAATGTAATTCCAATTACACAGGCAATGATTGTTCTGTTCCAATGTGCTTTGGTTTTTCTGCAAGTAATATCTCTTTTGTTTGTTCTGGGCATGGTGATTGTGATTCTCCAAACAAGTGTTTATGTAAAACAGGTTTCATTGGCTCAAATTGTTCAATTGATCAAAGCTCGACTGCGTGTGCCGGTAAGGAAAATTGTACTCTCGATGATCCTAGCGCACAGTTAGCAGGTAGGAACTTGACAACTCCTGACCCATGTGAAAACCCTACAGGTGACAATATTTATAATTGTGGTCCAGGTGCATTATCAAACAGATTAACTGGTGCAAGTTCAGGACCATCTGTAGTATTTAATGTTAGCACTTGTCAAGAAGGTTTTTATGGAAATTCGTGCGAGTTCCCAATATGTTTTTCATTGAAAGCTGAAGATCCTAACGTGTGTTCAGGTAATGGCAATTGTACAAATCCTAATTTTTGCAAGTGCTACGATGGATTTTCTGGATCGAATTGTCAAGTTGATAACGCTTACTTGTTTGACTTACAAGTGACTCAGAACAGAATTCTACGTGATCGTGCAAATACTTTCTTCATTGGCTTGAAATTCAATGACATGTTTTTCAATTTTTACACTCCAACATCCAATAATTACACCAATGATAATATGACAAGTAACTCTAATGATTCCAATAACGGAACAAGCACAGGTGGAATTTCAAATAATAACATGACAAACAATGCAACCTCTAGTTCTGATAATAGCAGTAATGGTAACTTTACAAATCCAAGTACGACATTTATTACAGAAAAGACAATTCCTGATCTATCATTTTCTATAGATTTACATATTGAAAATGCTTCAGTGAGTAATGACGGTTCAATTGAATTCAAAGAGGGAACACAAATAATGTTCAAAACAAGTGAAGATTCAGATTGTCCTCTTTCTGTATTAACAGATGATTTTTATGTTTCCTTTGACATAATGACCTATTCTGTAAACAACACTGCTCCTATTTTATCTGTAGGAGAAGGTGCCAACTGGAGAATCTATTTGGATGGCTTAAAACTTGTGGTTGAAGGAGAAACAACTGGAGTTGAACCCTATCGAATGATTGTTGAAGATGCCATTCCCTATGCCTTCATGTGGTATTCTATTGCTATTATAAAATCATTTGAAACTAACATATTCATTAATGGAGAGTTGAAAGCTACATTCAACAACGTACCAGAGTTTGTATCGTCTAATCCAAATAAGAATAGAGAAAGTTATATTGGATTTTACTTCATGGATGGTATCTCTTTCTATTTTAATGGTAAATTAGACAAACTTGTATTTGTCAAGTTGACAAACACATCAAAACCAGCAATAGATGTCATTTCAGATGTTGCCTCTAGACCACTGTTCCGTTGTTTTGATATTCCAATGACCGACAAATCGGCATGTATGGGTCAAGGCATTTGTTATGGAAGTAACAAGTGTGTGTGCAATTCAAGATACTCAGGTGAAGAATGTGATACACCAATTTGCTTTACAGTTCCAGCAAATGACACTACGAATGTTTGTAGCGGTAACGGAGTTTGCTCATCACCAGACAAGTGTGAATGTAAACCTGGTTTTATTGGAAAGATGTGTCAAACAGAAGCAACAAAAACTTCTTGTACTGATCCTGACAAACCTTGTGTAACTGACAATGCACAAGCATACTTTACTGCGACAAACTCAACACCCACAGCCTCTTGTGCTCCATTCTGTGATGAAGCTGACACGACCACTGTTACAACAACGGCAGCAATACCAAAAGGTTATACTATTCTTTTCGATTTTGCAAATCAACATGGTGAATATCCAAAACCATACACCGGAGGAGGTTTTTTATATTCTTCTGCTGCTGGTGATTATAACTTGGTTGCTTACAATGTTGAAACGACTGTTGACATGCAATTACATTTCAACAACATGAGTAGACTTTCCAGCACAAAATATGGTGATCCTTTCAGTGTTGCCTCCACAGACTTTACATTTACCATTATGATTTCTCTCAATAATGACTCTATGGTGGACCAACCTCTTATTGTTTCTAATTTCATTCTCTATGTCACCACAAACGGTACAATAAGATATACTGAATTTTATTTAGATGGAAGTAATCGTACAATTGAAACTGCACCAAACACAGTCACATTTGGAAAATTGGTTAGCATTGTTTTATCTAAAAGTAAAACCAATGGAGTGAAGATTTATGTGAACGGTCTTTCAATTCATAAGACCACCTCTGCAACGCGTACTATTGATTCTACTAGAGTTAAAACTTCATTCATTGGTGGTGATCCTTTGACTCGTGTTATTATGTCAGGAGATTTGTCTTTATTGTCAATATTTACAGATGTAATGTCTGACAAACAGGTACTACTTGAATATTCTAAATATGTGTCATGTTTTGGAGTACCTTCACAAAATACTCAAACATGTTCTGGACATGGTAAATGTATATATTGGGACAATTGTGAATGTTCAAAAGGATGGATTGGTAAAAACTGTGATGCACATTTTGTTTCACAAGTTTTTAACTTTGATCAAGCCACTATTAATGACAACACTGTGACTGTACCTTCTGCTCTCACACAAGATATATTGTATTGTCATAACTGTTCCCTTGAGGGAGGTTTAACTTCTGAAAACAATTCAATTAGATTCAATGGATACAGCTCTTCGATCGAATTTTTAACAAATTCCACATTCAAATACTTGTACAACGACTTTACAGTATCATTTTGGATCAAAAAGTATCAAAAATTTAATTCCTCATCTCAACAAATTTTATATGTGGGGTCTCCAAGTTACTGGCAATTAGTGGCCCATGAACAGGGATCTAAATATAGGCTTACCATTATTTCACAATTTTCTACCACGACTGTAACGCCTTATTTAACCTTTAATAAGTGGTACATGATAACAATTTCCAAATCATCTGAAGGCTATGGACTTTCTGTATGTGTTAATGATAATTTTTCTGATATGATACTTTTGGATGAGTTCGATAGTTGGAGATTGTTATTGGACGACGTTTTTATTCCATCAGCAATTGGTTTTAATCCAATCACTAGCAGTAATTATTTTTATGGATTAATTACTGGAATGAAATTTGATGTAGGAGTCTTGAATTCAGGAGATATACAAACGAGATATTTTAATGAAGGACCAGTTTGTAACAACATTGGATATACATACAAGGCTAACCAATGTAGTGGTCAAGGTCTATGTAATGAATTCAATAACTGTACATGTTACGACAATTTCAAGAATCAATTCTGTCAAGATCATTACTGTTTTGATATCAAATCCACCAACTCTTCAGTTTGCAGTGGAAAAGGTACTTGTGTCATTACTGGTTTGGGAAGTACAACATGTAATTGTTACACCAATTGGACAGGTTTAGACTGCTCTCAACCAATGTGCTTTGGAGTTGCTTCTAGATCTCCCAATGTTTGCAGTGGACGCGGAAGCTGTTACTATGTCAATAGTTGTAACTGCAGACAAGGATATACTGGACCCAATTGTGAATATCCAATCTGTTATGGAATTCCCAAAAACGATTCAAGGTCCTGCAGTGGACATGGAATTTGTTCAGACACTGATACATGTAGATGTTCATCAGGATGGTTTGGATCTACTTGTGAAATTCCAAGCTGTTTTGGAATTTTAGCAAACGAAACTAATTCATGTCATGGACGTAATCAAGGAAACTGTACAAGTGTGAATATATGTACATGCACAAACGGTTTCATTGGAAAGGATTGTAATTTGATTATGCCTCCAGTTGCTGAAAAGAATTACAGTTTCTCAGAGCCTCAACATGTCACTAATGATGAAACAGCAGAGACTCTTTATATAATTGGAAGCGAAGGAAATGATATAGTTTTTGTTGCACATAACTTTAATCTTGATAACAACAATAGTCTAGTTATTGATAGAAATACAAATCTCACACTAACGGTTCTAGACTCAATTTTCAAAGTACCCGTCTATCAGCCTTTTGACATTATCCTTTCAAACAACTTTACCGTAATTCTGAAACTACAATTTTATTCTTCACTTGCAAGAACACAAACGCTCATATCATTTGCAAGTGGAGCTGATTGGTCTCTTGATCACATTGACGCTGGATTTACTTTTTCAACCAATGTTGTGGGAAATCCAGCTTCGAATAAGACATACTTTATTGAAGTACCTTTCTCACAATTATTCTTCCAAACCAACACGTCCTACACGGTTGCATTTTCAAAGAGTTCCACATACGGTTTAAGTTTCTTTGTTGAAGGTGTTAGATTTGGATACTTCCCAGAAGCAACAGAAAACTGGAGAGTTGAAGATGTCACTCTCAATACTTTGAACGTTATTGGATATAATCCTTTAGATGCAGACAAGTTGTTTTTGGGTAGCATTGCTCAATTAGAAATCAGCTGTGGTATAAGTAAGAGCGACGAATATCTCACTGTTTGTAATGGTTTACGAGCAAATGATCGACGTGTTTGCAGCGGTCATGGCAAGTGTTTATTCAGCGGAAATTGTAGCTGTGACAGCGTACATGATGGTTACAATTGCCAATATCCAAAATGTTTCAATGTTTCATCAACACTTAACACCACCTGCTCTAGCTTTGGCTCATGTGTGCAAGTTGATACTTGTAATTGCACATATGGCCACACTGGACGTAATTGTGAGTTATTGGTATGTTTCGGATTTACCCAAAACACATCCACAGTTTGTAGTGGAGAAGGTGACTGTATTGGGGTTGATACATGCAGCTGCAAACCTGGATATGTTGGTACTCAATGTGAAATTCCGATTTGCTACAATCATTATGCCAATGACTCTCGTGTTTGCTCTTCCAACGGTAATTGTACAAAAGCAGACCATTGCCAATGTAACTCCACCCACACAGGATCCACCTGCGAAATTCCAATATGTTTTGGATTTGCTGCCAATGACACCACAAATGTTTGTAACAACCGAGGTAACTGCAGCGCACCAGATGTTTGTAACTGTAGAGAAGGTTATATTGGTGCAAATTGTTCCATTCCAATTTGTCATGGAATTGCTGCCAATGAAACCAGTGTTTGTGGCAGAATTGGTTATTGCTTTGATACGGATTTGTGTATCAACTACACTTGCAATGGCACTTTTAGTAATGACAGCTCATCTTGCTCAGCAAAGGGAATTTGTGTTGGCTATGACAGATGTGAGTGTGTTGAAAATTACACTGGGCAATTCTGTGAAATTCCAATTTGTTATGGATTCAGAGCTGATAATTCGAGTGCTTGCAGCAACAAGAATGGTACTTGTGTTTCTGCAGATAATTGTGTCTGTAATGAAGGATATACTGGTGATGAATGTGAAATTCCAATTTGTTATGGAGTACTTTCGAACAACAATTCAGTTTGTTCATCTCACGGAAATTGCGTTAGACACAACACTTGTAACTGTTCGTCATCGTACACTGGCAATAACTGTGAAATTCCAATTTGTTTTGGCTACCATGCTGGTCATCCGTCATCTTGCAGTGGATACGGTACATGTGTTGGCGTTGACCACTGCGAGTGCTATGAGGGCTACTCTGGGCACAATTGCGAAGCTGCAATATGCTTTGGAATTTTATTTAACAATGCCTCTGTTTGCTCGTCACACGGAAACTGTACTGCCGCTGATCGTTGTGAATGCACCTCATCGTACACGGGCACCATGTGTGAAATCCCAATATGTTTTGGACTTGCTGCCAATGACACCACAAATGTTTGCAATGATCGTGGAAACTGCACCGCACCAGATATTTGTAACTGTAGAGAAGGATATACTGGCGAAAATTGTTCCATTCCAATTTGTCATGGAATTGCTGCCAATGAAACCAGTGTTTGTGGCAGAATTGGTTATTGTATCGACAAGGATTTATGTATCAACTACACGTGCAATGGAACTGCCAGCAATGACATATCATCATGCTCTTCACATGGTATTTGCATCGGTTATGACATTTGTGAATGCGATGAAAATTACGCTGGACAATTCTGTGAAATTCCAATTTGTTATGGATTCAGAGCTGACAATTCGAGTGTTTGTAGCAACAAGAATGGTACTTGTATTTCTGCCGATAATTGTGTCTGTAATGAAGGATATACTGGTGATGAATGTGAAATTCCAATTTGTTATGGAGTACTCTCGAACAATGACTCTGTTTGTTCATCTCACGGTAATTGTACAAGACGAAACAATTGTGAATGCCTTCCAATCTATGTGGGCTCAAATTGTGAAATTCCAATATGCTTTAGATTTGCTGCCAATGACACCTCAAACGTTTGTAATGATCGTGGTGATTGCATTGCTCCCGATATTTGTAACTGTAGAGAAGGTTATACTGGAGAAAATTGTTCCATTCCAATATGTCACGGAGTTGCTGCCAATGAAACCAGTGTTTGTGGCAGAATTGGTTATTGTATCGACAAGGATTTGTGTATCAATTATACCTGCAATGGCACGGCCAGTAATGACAGATCATCATGCTCTTCACATGGTCTCTGTACCGAGTATGATATTTGCGAGTGTGAGGAAAATTATGTTGATCAGTTCTGTGAGACTCCACTGTGTTACGGGCTCAGAGCTGATAATTCCAGTGTTTGCAGCAATATGAATGGTACTTGTATTTCTGCCGATAATTGTGTCTGTAATGAAGGATATACTGGTGATGAATGTGAAATTCCAATTTGTTATGGAGTACTTTCGAACAACAATTCAGTTTGTTCATCTCACGGTAATTGTACCAAACGAAATACTTGTGAATGCAGCTCGGGTTATATAGGATCTAATTGCGAAATTCCAATATGTTTTGGATTTGCTGCCAATGACACCACAAGCGTTTGTAATGATCGTGGTCATTGTACAACACCAGATGTTTGTAACTGTAGAGAAGGATATACTGGAGAAAATTGTTCCATTCCAATTTGTCATGGAATTGCTGCCAATGAAACCAGCGTTTGTGGCAGAATTGGTTATTGTATCGACAAGGATTTATGTATCAACTACACTTGCAATGGAACTGCCAGTAATGACAGATCATCATGCTCTTCCCATGGTCTCTGTACCGAGTATGATGTTTGTGAGTGTGAGGAAAATTATGTTGGCCAATTCTGTGAAATTCCAATTTGTTATGGATTCAGAGCTGACAATTCGAGTGTTTGTAGCAACAAGAATGGTACTTGTATTTCTGCCGATAATTGTGTCTGTAATGAAGGATATACTGGTGATGAATGTGAAATTCCAATTTGTTATGGAGTACTCTCGAACAATGACACTGTTTGTTCCTCTCACGGTAATTGTACAAGACGAGACAATTGTGAATGCATCTTTGGTTATGTGGGATCCAACTGCGATATCCCAATATGCTTCAGTTTCAGAGCAGACAGTTCCAGCGTTTGTAATGATCGTGGCGATTGTATTGCTCCAGATGTTTGTAAATGCAGAGAAGGATACATTGGTGAAAATTGCACAATCGCTACCTGTCATGGAATACCTGAAAATGAAACCAGTGTTTGTGGCAGAATTGGTTATTGTATCGACAAGGATTTGTGTATCAATTATACCTGCAATGGCACGGCCAGTAATGACAGATCATCATGCTCTTCCCATGGTCTCTGTACCGAGTATGATATTTGCGAGTGTGAGGAAAATTATGTTGGCCAATTCTGTGAAATTCCAATTTGTTATGGATTAAGAGCTGACAATTCAAGTGTTTGCAGCAATATGAATGGTACTTGTATTTCTTCCGATAATTGTGTCTGTAATGACGGATATACTGGTGATGAATGTGAAATTCCAATTTGTTATGGAGTACTTTCTAATAATGACTCTGTTTGTTCCTCTCACGGCAACTGTTCATTGCATAACCGGTGTGATTGCAAAGAGAATTATTCTGGATCTAACTGTGAAATTCCAATTTGTTATGGATATAGAGCTGACAATTCGAGTGTTTGCAGCAACAAGAATGGTACTTGTGTTTCTGCAGATAATTGTGTCTGTAATGAAGGATATACTGGTGATGAATGTGAAATTCCAATTTGTTATGGAGTACTTTCGAACAACAATTCAGTTTGTTCATCTCACGGAAATTGCACAAGAAGAGATAATTGTGAATGTCATGAAGGCTATTCTGGTTCCAATTGCGAAATTCCAATTTGTTATGGCTATCGTGCTGATGATCCTTATGTTTGCAACCGTCATAACGGAACATGTATTTCCTATGACAAATGTGAATGCCTTAATGGTTATGGTGGTATTAATTGCTCAATATTTACCTGTAATGGCGTGCTTGCGAATGATACAGAACACGTTTGTGAAAGAAAAGGTTACTGTAATGGTCCTAACACTTGTATCCCCTATGTATGCTTTGGAATTGAAAGTACTAACTCGAGTGTTTGTTCAGGCAAAGGCTCATGCTTTGCCCCCAATAATTGTACTTGTGAGGCTGGCTGGGGTGGAGATGAATGTACTGTTGAACTTGCTTGGTATTGTCATGGTAGAAACAACTGTTCTGGCCATGGTATTTGTGTCAGCTCTGACGTTTGTGAATGTAGTGCTCTATTTACTGGCGATAATTGCTCAGAGCCCGTATGTAACGGCAAATATGGAATGGAAGCATGCACTTCTCGTGGTACATGTGCTCACAAAGAAGATGAAGGTGCTAACAAATGCGAATGTATTCCAGGATTTACTGGTAGCGATTGTGAATATCTTGAATTGTCAAACAATAACTGTACCTATGATTTAGTGGAATCGATTCTTTTCAGCAAGGATACTATTGTACAATTGATAACAGACCTCTCGTGCTCAAAACAAGTCGTTGTGCACACAGAAGACATCTCTTATTTGAATTTACCATCTCCTCTCTCTATAACTGAACCTATTTTTGTTGATGGAAATTATTTGTGTGTACTCAATATCGAAGACCAACATCCACTCCTTGTCAAAATATCTCCACGCGAAGAGGTCAAGAAAAGATCCTTGTCAACGGTGTCTAGATTTGCTATTTCCACCACTACCATCTCCTGTGTGAACAGAATTGATAGATTATTCGTTGATAAGGGTGGATTATTTGCAATCACATACTCCAATGAAAGAATGAGTCTACTGATCAACGTTATTGATTCTTCCTCAGCAACCACATGTACAGAATACGATTCCTTAAATTTTGCACCACCATCGAGTCAGTTTATCTTTGATGCAACTGGAAGTGATGTGAACGATATTTCTCTATTGAATATTGCAAACTCTACTCATGTACTTGTGAAGGCATACTTTAGAAGCAATAGCTCCACGACTTTCATCAGCTACGAAGTGGATACCAAGACTATCTCTACCATTCCTGTACCCACACTAACAGCACAAACAAGATTTATTACTTCCCTGTTTGCTGCTCATCATAATGGAAAGGATCAAGAGATTCTTGTTATTGCTGCCATACACAATACCGAAACATCAATTTACCTCAAGAATCCAGTTTCTCATGAAGAATTTGCGCTTGCTAGATCATTCCCGACTCAATTCGGTCTATTCGCTCAACTTGGCGATGATGTTCAGCTTGCCCATATTGGTTCTAAATTATTCATGATTAATAGTAACAGAAGCCTGGTCATTATGATCTACAACGACGAGATTGTGTCAGATATTTATTCAATGTCACAAATGTTACCATTGACAAACATGAACTCTATTACTCCAAGCGTGTTAGGTTTATCAAAGACTAGACTGCCATTCAGCGGAACAACGATTGGTATCAACACTGATCACATTCCACGTCGCTCTCTTGTCACTGCTGTTGTCAATGAAAAATCATTCTCCTTCACACTTACAGAATCTTGTATGTCAGGATATTCCTATTGTATCACATTTGGCAACAATGAAATGGAGTCAGAATTAATTCACAGTAGATCAAAGAAGGTTGATTTAACATTTAACATTCAATTACAAAGCACCAATAACTCTACGAACATTATTGACATTCCTACAACATTGAACCTTACGTTCTATGACAATAGATTGAAATATGTCAAACGTATTGCCAAGAATACTCTGGAGATCTCAGGTACATTCTTTAATACCTCCAAGATTACAGTTCTTTACGAGTTTAATGTGAATGGAGTTGCCAAGAACAAGATGGTTTCTGGAAACTATATTTCTGATGAAAAAATCATTGCCCCATTCAAGATTTCCGAGATTACATCTTTCATTCCCGTTCATGTAAGAGTGTCCATTGATGGAGGAGAAGAATACACAAAGAAGGAAATCCAATGTATTGTTATTTATCAAGACATTGAACCCACTATTGTCACTCCTCCTGTTGATCCTACCACAAATACTACAAACCCACCAACCACAACACCTGAAGTGGAAACTGTTCCATTACGAGAGGAAGAAATGGGTGCTCAAGGTGTTCTAGTCTTCTTACCCTCAATATTGACTTATGGTACCGATGAGGAAGGAAATGAAACAACTCCAACGACATTTGTAGATCCAAAGACTGGAAAGGAAGAAATTGCAGTTGTTATCCCCAAATTTACTCCTGTCATTTCTGAGACGACTGGCGAAATTAGTGTCAAGATTACACTTGGATTTGTGAACAATGCAACCAAAGAGAAATGTGCTGGAAAAGGAACGGATACAATTCAAAGTTTAATTGCTTCTGACAGAAAATTCTCACTCATTAACAAACATGTATTCATGCAATTCTCAGTGGCCAAACCAGAAGTATCCAATGCCAATATTATGGAAATGGTTGTCACTGGTTCTAATGGCGTTTATTTCTCTAGCAGCCTTGGAGTACGAAATGGAACCAGAAAATTCATCACAGAAATGAGATTCAATGCTATTACTCAGAGCCAGCTCATCGATTGCCCTTATCCATATGACATTACACAGTTATTGGACATGAGTATTGATCACGATTTTTCATCTTTGGATCCATCTTTGTGGTCCAAACAAGACACTTCCACTTGGAAAGCTTGGGCTTCACTCAATGTCATTAATCCATCCCTTAAGAATTCTCAAATTTGCAAGTCAAGATTTAATTTACCAATCACATATACTGAATTTATTTCCAAGTTTGCAGAAAACTTTACCTTGTCCTTTGGAAGCAGTGTCACTTGTGAGGATGTGACAACCAAGCCATCTGTAACCATTGAATCCGATTTGTCAGACATGGGTGTGACTTGTATGAATGACAAGTGCGTATCTGCCTTCTCATTAGCAACTAAGAAGACTCTTGACTGGACAATGATTGCTGCAATAGCTGGAGGAGGTGGTTTTGCTCTTATCGTTCTACCAATTGTACTTCTTGTAATCATTGCTGGTATTTGCTATTACAGAAGAAAGAAGAAGCAACAAAGCTCCAAGTTTGTCGTCTATGATCATGGAATTGCTGGAGTTGATGATTTGCAATCTGCAATGAATGATTTATTTGATAAGATGAACGAAAAATCAAATGACACTACGAGTTCAGCTTCCTCCATTGGCCAAAATCCTACAGGTAAAAAGGCTGAAGATATTGAAGAAGATAATGTAGTAGATGCTTATCAAGCAGCTTATAGCAATTGGATGTAATAAATTACAATTTGATTTCCTTAACATGTTTTGCAATTTGGTTTTTGTGGTCTGACATTTAGGTTCAATGATTCCACACTGGCAGTTCCTAATTGGCTTTGGTTACGTAAAATTACAGTTGTTAATCCTCTGTTCAAATAAATTCTGAATAGGAAAATTCTTTGGAACAAGGTGCCGTTTGTCTGTAAAATTTGAGAAACCTGATCTTAAATACAGCAACATCAAGGGGTTGATACAGGATCAATATGTTTCAAGAAATGGTGTTTGAAACATTCTTTGAACCATGGCATGTTGTGGAATGTTGAAAAAATCGACTTTGAGTATGTAGAACGGCGGTAGCTTTTCCCCTGACGCATTTCCATAGGACATGACAGTAACCAATTTTGCTAAGTATCGTGACACGAATGTGTCTAAGATTGTAACTCTATTACAACACTGTAATTGTAATTTTTAGAGGGAAACATCGCTACGTTACCTTAATCAGGTCCGTAGGCGTCACTTTGTTTAAACCCTGATAGAAGTCATAATCTTTCCTTTTGGATCAGTGGACTCTTTGTCGGATTCTCCAGGAATCAGTTGCGTAAAAGCCAACCTCTGATCCAGCACCTCAGGTCTTGAACCGACCTTGAACCACGGTAAGCTTCTGTTAAAACCTGAAACTGTTCTTTAGTTGTCTTTTACTCACCTTGTCCATGACAATTCTTATTAAGGGTTGCCTCTTCTCATGGATTCTTGTTCTCCCATGAGCAGAGGATACTGATCGATGCCAACAATGTCGTCATCTCCTCCATTTCAACCTAAGGCACGAAATTTTGGCATTTGAGATTTTACGATAATATTGATACGTTTAATTCTGCAACAATGAAACAAGCATATTCGTTGCTCACGGGAAATCGTTCTTTTCACGGACCTCGCCATCATATGGTACATTTATTTGTAGATGTAAACCTTTCCACTGTCGGCTACTGAATTCACAGGCGCTTTAACACCACTCGATGCTACGGTTCTACCGTCCAAAGAAATTCCTACTGCATATCCAAAGTTGTCATCAGTGTTGGAGCTGTCAGGGACAATTCTTTGCTCTTGCACCCATGACCTTCCTTCTACTTGTTTGAACACGTAAACGGCACCGGTAAGAGTACGGTCTAAATGCGACCTAGTGTGAGCACCAACAATGATAACCTCTGATTCAGCTGACATGGCCACACTACATCCAAATCTGTCACCTGTGACAGAATCATTAGCCCAGAGTCTTTGAGAGAGGGTGTACTCTTTTGCTTGGCCTAATTTTTGAAAAACGTAAACTGAACCGGCAACATCGGTGGCGTTCAACGAATCTTCACAAGATCCAACAACAATGGTACTTCCTCCCTTTGAGACAGCTAATGAGCTTCCAAATCGATAGACTCCTTTGAGCTCAGGTGGAAGAATTTTTTGTTGCTGTGTCCACACGGTACTGTTACCTTTTGAGAACACGTAAACAGCACCTTGACCATTGTTCTTGAACTTGGCACCAATAACCAAAACGCTCGCATCTACAGAAAATTTAACTGAGGTTCCAAATTGATATTCTGCATCCGTGCTTGTAAGGGTTGTCATCAAACTATATGATGATCCCAGTTTTGAAAACAAGTAAACATAGCCCTTGTCCGTGTTTGGAGCTCCAACTGCTAGTAATGATGTGTCCGAGGAAAGAGCCACCGAATATCCAAAATGATCATTGTATTGTTGAGCAGTTCCGGAGGAATAGGACGCAGTCAAGCAATCGGCTTGTCTACTGTACCAGTCACTAGCTCCTGGATCTCTCTTTGAGAATACAGAGACACATCCTCGGGTGCCGTATCTTGGAGCACCAATGGCAATGGTAGTTCCTTCACCAGACAATGAAATTGATTGAATTCCGTTGAAGGGAGTCTGATAACCGACTATAGTACCCCAAGGATTGGTTACAAAATCTTTGCCACTAATGGTGTGTTGATGAACATAATTTGAAGTCGAACTACTCTTATAGTAAATGTAAACGGAACTAAGGTGCTTTGATACAGCTAGATATGATCCATCATTACTCATAGCTAGTGAAGAACCGTAACGGTTGAAGCTGTTATCGTTGTCTGTTGTTGAGAGAATTTGATTCTCCATAAAATCAGCTTTCGCCTCCTTCATCAAAACCATGGCCGTAAACGTCAAGGAAAGGAGAAAAACGACGCATCGGCTCATGAAGTGGAATTGTGTTCGAGTTGCTGTTGTTGTTGTTGGGTTTGTTGGAAAGCCCTCTCGCATTAAGGCTTGCTTCATTTTTTTTAAAATGGGAGCCAACAGTAAACTTACCGTAAAGGAGAGAATGGAAGACCCAACGCTGGGTTCATGGAATTCATCATTTTCATGTTGTAGGTTGGTTTGGATCATGAAGTTAGGTCGAGTCCTGAGCTGCTACGTTCGTTAATAACGTTTGGCATGTTCCTTCCAAGTCGATGACAAAGAGTGGTTCCAAATCTTCTTTCAATTCATTAACACCTCGACCAATTTTTTTTTGTTTCACTTCAATCCACTATTATTTCCTTATTATTTCCGAAAAATCATTTCATTGTGCTGGCCCTCAATAAAATCAGAGCCAATACATGTAGATCCATCAACGAACTGAAGAAGAACCACTTTACAAAACAGGGGAGGATGAAATTAGTTCCAACACCTGCTGCAGCATTCCATCAACAAGTATCATATTTTTTGATTGAGCATGCAAACACTCTTGGTGTTCAACGAAGTGCTCAACCAGGTTTATCTTCCTCTCAGAAATGGGCTCTAGAGTCGTTTTCGTGTGAGTAGGTAACGTCGAGAATCTTTTTTATCACATCCACTTGTCTTTTTCGAACCAATAACTCTTTCGAAACATGAGAATCTTTTGTGCTATGAGGATTCTCACTTGGTTTTTGGACATTTTGACATCTGAAAAAAAACTCAAGGGATCCTCTCTCTTTTATTGTCGTTGTTGCTGGCCAGGTCACAGAGATCGTTCGAGGATCCTCTCTCTCTTTGAAAAGAATCTTTTTTTCATCACACACATACAAAGTGTGAGAAGAATTTTCGCGTTTTCTCAAGTATTGGAAGAAGAATCCTCTCTGATACAAAGACACACTCAACGAGTTATTGTAGTTTCTCCTTCTTTCCAATTATAATTTAAATATATCAACCACAAGAACATTGAGAATCCAAACACTCATTTTGACGTTTGGCATTTTGTGTTCCGATTCCATCGTATTCAACAACTAGTACCTCATCATCATCACTCATTGGTCAATTATATATCAATATTATATATAATTTTCATTCCAACTCAACAACAACAACAACACTTGAATGACAAAAAGTCCAACTCTTGTAGATTTGACCTGTGCAACAACAACCACCGCATTCATCATGATACCGTCGACCGATTCTGAATCGTCCTCCTCCATGACCACAACAACACCCTTGAATGACACACAAGAAACAACAACAATAACTCCATCCATACAACAACATGATGATCCTTCAATGAGGACAACCACAACAACAACAACTTCTACTCCTACTACAACCACTAATCATACTTCTCTAACTAATAATCATTCTTCATCTCCTCCTCTCAATTACTCGATACTCGTTGGTCCTCCCATCGTTTCTGCTCAAGCCATTGCCAATGGTTGTAAATCGTGTTATACTCGACCTCCTCACTTGAAAGCCAAATGTTGTGGTCCAGGAAAGGCGAAACTTTTCAAGAAGAAGTCGAAAATTCTCAATGTCGTGGTTTCATCGACGACCATGATGACTTTGACTACTACCGGAGGTACTACTACTACCGAAGGAATCACCATGATGCAAGAAGAACCAATAGAGGAAGATGAAACCATGAAGAGTAGTAGTAGTACCATGATGGATGATGTTCATGCTGATACTCTGCCTCCACTCCACCGCCGTGTTCACGAAAGTGATGAACAAAAAGGAGACATGTTGTTGAAGAATGAAAATCAGGAAACGAGCAATTGGACCACAACTACAACAACACCCTCATCACCATCCTCATTATACCTTCAACAACAACAACAACCTTCCACACTGTTATTTTCCCAAACTTCTCCTCCTTCGTATATCCATCTCGTTGAAAACAACAACAACACAAATACAACAACCATCAATCATAATAACAACCATCATGAATTGTACCAACTCCATAGCAGTAGTAACAACACAACAACAATCACTCCTCATTCCCCACAATCCAAATTATCTACGACGACAACAACGACAACAAGTCGAACACAACTCGGAGTAGATGCAACCATTCATCATGATGGAATTGAAAAACCATCTCGTATGCGATCGGTATTGAGTGGATTGTTACAACGAAAGAATCGATTATTGGTTTCTTTTGGTTTTGGAGATTCATCGACAACGACGACAACGACGAGTAGTAGTAGTAGTAGCACTAATACTAGTGAAGAACATTCAACCAGTGCTCATGAGAACACCACGACCAAGTAACCAAGTATGTGTGTGTGAGAGATGATGAATATCCATCTCGTTAAAAGTTTTCAAAGAGAATCATTCGAGAGTTTGTTTGAACACGCACACACGCTCAAGAGCGAATAGTTTTGAAACACTCTCTCTCCCGGAGAAACAGTCTTGTAGACGTTTCTAGTGAATGAGTGTTTGATATGGATCATCGTGAACTCCTATCCACTGATTCGAATCAGAGAGTTCATTTTCGGTCCTAACGACTAGTTCTGCTCTTCTGAAGATGCTGATCACTATGGTGCATGTACAGTTCAGTGATCGTAAGAACGTTGTATTGAAATAAAATTGACATCTGACAGTCTGCGCCCATCAAAAAAATATTTCATCAACACACTGTAAACATTCCACATCCAACAACAACACTCGCGTTCTTTAAACACATTCTTCCAGCGTTGAATCATCCTCCTTTCGCAACCACAACAACAACTCTATATATACATCAAATATAGATCTATCACACACGATATTTTCCTATCGAACGATCCAACCACAACCACAAGAGAGAACCATTGACACCACCACTACTTGAATACATCATCCTCATCATCATTTTTCAAAGAATACAACAACAATTGTCTCGATTTGTAATCCTCTAAACAACAACACTCATCCGATTCGGAACAGACTCCTTTTCATTCCATCATCATCATCAACCATAACAATATATAATTGTAGAACTCTCGCATTACGACAATTATATTTTCATCAATTCCATACTTGTTCTTTCTAAAAAACCTTCAAAACAACAACACACCCATACTTGTTCTTTCTAAAAAACAACAACACACCCATACTTGTTCTTCTTCAAAACAACAACAACACACTTTCTAAAAAAAAACACACACACTTTGAAAATGGGTGGCATGGTGAGTAAAGCAGATCCAAAAACAGAATCTTCAAAACCAACAAAACCAAAACAAAACACTCGATCTCCACAACAAAATGGCATGAGCGATGAAGAGTGTGTCATTAACAAACTCAAAAAAGGAAACAAACAAGCTCAAAACATGCCAGAAGAAGAATTAAAAGAATGGGCTCGTTCTCTATGTGATCATAAAGAATTAAAAGAATGGTATTTGAATCCAGAATTTGCCACCACTGTGGAACAATTTGAAAAATTAGAAAAAGTCAATGCAGCTGCACTTTCAAAGAAGAATGAAAATGGATCGAATCATTTATTTGCAAGTACAAGTGAATCGAATCAAGTCGATAAACCAAACACTGATGCTGCTTTTAATTTGGATGATATTGATTTTGATTTGGATGAAATTAGAAAAGATGCTGCTTTACCATACATGCAAGTTGGTAAAAAGATCAAAATTAAATTGATTATTGCAGAGATTTGTAAGAGTGACACTCAGAAAGCACTTCGAAAAATGTTGAGTCCAATTTTGACAAAATTAGATTATCAACAACAATTTGGAATGTTTCATTCGGCTCTTGTGGTTGGTCCATGGTATTTGGAGGTAAGTTTTTGTGATTTGTGTGTGTGTGTGTCTGTATATATTGTGGTGTGTGTATATTGTGTATATATATATTGTGTATTTACAAATGATCTTGTCATGATTTTTGGTTACCTTTTTGTGGTGTGTGTGAAAATATCATACCATTTATATTCCATTGTGTGTGAATATATAATCATTTAATATGATTATACTCGTGTCTGTCACAATCATTGATGTAAATAGTGGAATAACTCATCTCTCTGTATTCCTAGAAAGTGTTACAGTAATGCAGCCATGATTGCAGCTGATTTAGAATTTAAAGGAATGGCAACTTTTGATTTGGATGAAACCATTGAAAGAATTAGTAAGGTCATTATTGATTGGAATGTGAACAGAGATTATGATCAACATAAGGCCAATTGTCAACAATTTGTGGATGAGCTTTGTAAAGCATTGGAAATTCCTATTCATTTCGAAGGTGTGTTAGGAGACTATTTGAATAATTTGAGAACAAAGGGAGTGTGTGAAATATTTTTCCCTGTCAATGACAACATGAAGGAACAATTCGGAATCAGAGAATCCAAAGTTCATTTCAACACTCATGCAGAATTGGATAAATTTGTGAAGGAATTGCTCGAGAAGAATCCCATGTTTGAACAAGACAATAATTTGGACTGGAATTTACTGAAGAGTTTTGATCGTGCATTTTGGTTACGTCATTATCGTCATCCAGATGATCCTACTTATCAACCTCATAATTGTGCAAGTGATGGATGTCCATTTGGGGATCCTTCAGTCACTGCAAGCTTTAAGAAGGAATGGTTTTAATGCGAATAATCACCGAATTCCAATCGACGTCGACCATTCATCTCTCGTGTTTGAATCTTTGTGTACTTTTACTTGTGTAAAATGAAAATTAGAATTCATTATTGTCTTTTGGGTATTTTGCAGAGCGAAATCCTTATATTCTCGTCCTTATTATTCCAACACCCACCTTGGCGATGCAAAATACTCAGAGTAACTATGACTATATGAGAAACAAGTCATCAAGTTTGGGAGAGCGAAGGCCGAACAGAACGTCCAACCGTACACTCATTATGACATTTAGGATAGTATCATCATCGAATTTTGTATTGCCGACCCAGAAAAAACCTCGAGCTGCTTAAAAACTCTACCCTCGCAAAAAAGACAATTCACCTTCAATCGGGCAGCCATTATGGGTAAAAAAAATGAAAAAATGAAAGGACTACGTTTACAACATTCACAACCTTAAGGGCGATGATGCTTCCTTGCGAATTAAGATCATTAATAAACATAATTTATTGACCTTGAATATGAATAGTTTCACCAATACGATCACTATCCACATCAAAATGATGGTTCTGCCTAAAATCATAACCCACCAGCACAATGTGATTTCCTGACAATGCTCCTGCCGACGCCATAAAGTCAGGAATCAAGTCAGGAATAGCCATCCAGGAACCAACAATATCTTGCTTGGAGCCTCTGGAAATGAATCTACCTCCGGGTTTTTCTGGGTCGGCAAATCCTCCAAACAAGTACAGATAATCGTTTGTTTCAACAAGTACAGCGTTACCATAAAAGTGTGGCAACAAACCAAAGGTCATTTCCCATGTTCCAACATCTACAAGAAGAGCTCTGAAAATGTTCATATCACACTTGAAAACGTTTTGGCATCCACCAAAAATGTATAAATGGGGCCACACCACTCCAACATGACCACTATGAAGTGTGGCTGGAAGAAATCGGTTATTGTAAATCGTCCAGTCAGAAATGTTAGAGAGAGGAGCTCGTAAAATGGTGTTTGTTGTTTTCTCATTATAACTTCCGTCATTTTCATTGTACATGGAAACAATACCACCAAAAATATAAAAGTAATCGTTCACAATATAAGTCATACCTCCTGCCACTTTGTAGGGTAAGGTATAGTTGAGTTGCTCCCAAGTTGTTTCAACATCTGCAAAGGATGCTCGATAAATTTTGTCAGAAACATGATCATTAATGAAACCTCCAAAAAAGTAAACATATTCGTCAAGCTTGAGGAAGTGGCTACTATAAATTGAGACTGGAAATCCAGCATTTGTTTCTGGGTTGTATTCAACCAATCTCCAAGATTTTTCGGTTTCATTCCTGTTCCTGTAATACATATTGAAGCCGTTTTGAGGTCGTGTTGGTACCATTCCATCTGCAATAAGAGTGTAAATACGATCAGCTGCTTCAAAGTATGGCATCTTTCGAAGCTGCCATGGAATTGCATGCTTGAGATAGTTATCAACGACTTGGAACGAACTTGTCAAAGTATTACCTCGGAAGAACACATTGGCAACGTCGTTCAGTCCTGATCCATGATATTTACCATCTGAGGAAATCATGAAGGAATGAAAACGACTAGAGACAATTTCCAACACTTTTCCATCAAAGACGTAGGTATGTTTGATTGGTGTGGTAATGGCATTTCTGTGACCAACTCCGGCTTCTCCATTCGAGTTCCATCCCCAAACAAACACAGCATTGTTTTCACAAGTGGCAAAACTTGTATGCCATCCAGCTGCAATAGTTGAAGCATTACAATACGAAGGGAAGACTAATCTTTGGGGAGTATATTTGGATGTGGTAGTTCCGTCTCCCAGTTGATAGTTCGTGTTGAGTCCCCAAGTCACAACATCACCATTCGATAAGAGGGCCACAACATGTTGATATCCACATGCAATGTCAATTACTGGAGAGGCTGCCAAAGCGCCGACAAGTGGAATTCGCACAGGTTCAATGGTTTTGGTAGTGGTAGTTGGAATACCAAGCTGTCCTTGTGAATTGCTACCAAAAGTAAACAAGTTGCCATCCGTTGAAAGAACAGCACCGTAATCATAGCCTCCACAAACTCGCAGAGCCTTTTGTCCATAAAAAGTACCATTGTAGTACATGGGAAATGGTCTTGCTTTTGTTCCTCCTGTTCGATCTCCCAATTGTCCAAAACTATTGTCACCCCAAGCCCACACCTTACCGTTTGTGTCGATGGCATACGAGGCGGTGTGTCCAGCTGCAATTTGAGAAATATTATTCCATGCAAAGCCCATGACCTTAATTGCCTTTTTGGAGTCACTGGTTTTACCGTTTCCCAGCTGACACTTGTCGTTATCTCCAAATGAGTACACACCATCATCTGTGAGCACCAAAGTGTGTTTTGCATTGGAATGGAATTGTAATATAGTCCTGTTTTCGAGTCCTTCCACAGGTTTAGTATAGTCAAGCTCTGCATCATTATTTGATCGTCCGAGGTTGAATTGCTGGCTTACACCAGTGGTATAAAGCTTTCCGTTCGCTAGCATTAAAACTGCATGATACTCTCCTACGGCAATTCTGTTTCTTATTCTTCTCACAAGTTGAGAGTTTTGAACCGTTGGAAGTGTACCTTCAGTTACAGTAAAGTTGAGAGCAGAAGCCAGAGTTGCATTCATATCTCCTTCTGTGTACTCTTCTGCTGTATATGCTTTGATTGAGTGACTCTATGAACGCATGAAAAAAAATGTAGCACGGGGAGAACATTACAACATCAGATCATGGTTAAGACACCCACCAATACAAGAATTTACAAAAATGCCAATCGTTAAAAACGTTGCAATATATGTGACAATTGAGCTGCTGGCCTTAAATACAATACTATAACTTACCCTTACAAAGGTGGTAACGTCTTCAATCATGTAGTCTGCAGAGTTTTGTACCAGAGCAATGATATTTTCTGTTTCCAAATAGAGACTCAAGAAATTTTGAAGTTGAGTTTGCTTGGTTTGAAGTAGCGAATCGAATTGGCTCTTGGCCACATGAGATTCCCAAATATAATTTCCTGCAAACTCTATGCAGTTTTTGCTGTCAAAGAGCTTCTTCTTCTTTCCAGTAGCGTCCATATCTGCTTTTTGTTGTACATACATTGTTTTCACATCAAGGTAGTTATTTCGTCTCCTCATTTTGTTTCGTAGCTCGTCAATTTTTTCATTTGTTATTTCATTGGGCACTAATTAAGGTACATTTTTACGTTAGTTGAATGAGGCAAGAGTGAAGAAGAAGTGGTTTTAGTGTGCGATAGGAATGAAGAAGTCATCACAATGAGCCAAAACGGCCAAGAATTGTATAATAGATCGGGTTAGTAATTCATTTGTTGTTACATGTCGGGAAAACGCCATGATGATACACCAATGACGCAGTGTTGGTACATACCGAAACAATAAACTGTAGCCACCAAAGAAAGGCCCAGTAACAAGCACGATAACACACATGTGGTGATCGTAATGTTATGGCTGGAATTATTTATCCTCATCTTCTTGTTGTGTGTTATTACTAGGGATTGATCAATATACGACGAGAGAATGATGATGATGAAACAATCACACACCGACTTTCAATGGTACGGGTCGGCAAATTGGATGGAAGCCTTTGTACAACGCTTTTTTTTCTGTAAATGTGAAGCGGTTTACTGCCTCATAAAATTTACAGGAAAAAAAGCAAGCTTCGCAACACCCACCCAAAAGCAACATAGGTGTGCTTGTTCATCAGCTTGATCAACCAATAATAACACAATAGTATAATAGCAGCAGAAGCAGTCATTATCTTCATCGTATGAAATCTTCATCGTATTAAAATTCCAACAACAGAACAACCACCTCAACAATAATACAATCATCTCATGAGGAAAAATCTATCAATTTCATTCAACATGAGGAATGATCATATTCTCTCGACAGCAACAAAAACGGTATTGCTTACACTAATCGTAAGCCTCTCGGTTGTTGTTCTGATAGGTGTTGTAGATCTGTCATCGGCTCAAGAAACGCCTACAGCCTTCACAACAATGGCGAGGACCTTTACAAGACGAGAGCAATACAAACAAGCTCTCGATGAAATTGAATCGCAACAAATACCTCTCACTCAAAGCATGATAGATTATCTCAACACAATCATTAATACCATTACCACATTTACGACCATTCCTGTATACACGGAGTCGCTTGCAAGTTGGAATATTCCAGAGTCTTATGTGGACAACATGCTCACCATGAAAAAGAGCCAACTTCTTTACAATACTCAACTCATGGATAACTTGACAAGTCTACGAAAAATGCTCCTGAAACAAATGGAGGTTCAAACAAGCAGTATTAAGGAAATATCTGCAGTAAGTATTTTCACTACTAGTTGTGAATTTTAGAAAATGTGACCATATTTGACAAATTTGCACAATTGATGCTAATCAATGTAATGCTCAATATTGTCACCATGGTATTGTGTCATCATGATGAAAACGACTAATTAATTAGACATTCTCTCAACCCCAATTACTCTATCAAGGTTTTACAGAGTATTCAGATGACACCTCAAACTTTGATAATGTTCCATACACGTTAGCTCAGGATATTGGAATCAAGTCTAGTAGTATATCCCTCCCTAGTATTAACTACATTGCAGGAGGAGAGTCACATGTGGCACTGGTATTGCCCAATGGAAAAGTCTACACCACTGGAGTGTCAAAAGACAATAATTTGGGCCGTACGGCCACTTCCTCAGCTTTGACTTACAATTTTCCGGTTGAGGGAATTCCCTCGAATGTAACCGTTCTCCAAGTAGACACCAGATACCGAACAACTCTGGTGCTGACAGACATGGGCTTGTACACATTTGGTAAAAATGTAAATTGTCAACTGGGCAATGGAAATTGTGCACCTCAAGTTGGAGCCTCAATAGTTCGAGGATTTTTGTGGAGGAGAGTGGATAGAATTGCGGCAGGAGCAGAAAGCTCATATGCCATTGATCGTGAAGGAATGTTGTGGGCTTGGGGAGGAAATGATGCTGGACAATTGGGAGACGGTACCATGGAAAACAAAGTTCGTCCTGTATCGGTGAATGGAATTTTGAGAGGAAAGAAAGTGAAACAAGTGTGTGCTGGCTCTAAATTTGCTCTAGCTCTCACCAATGACAATGTACTCGTGTCTTTTGGATCGAATGCAAATGGCCAATTAGGAAATCCATCAAGTCCTTCAAATGTGTCACAGCCTGTTCCAGTCGTTCAAACAGGATCTCTGTTGGGCAAGGAAATTAAAAAAATTGCGTGTGGAAGTGAGCACGCCTTGGTTCTAACAGCAGACAATGAAATTCATGCATGGGGAGACAATGCCTATGGTCAATTAGGAATTGGATCTAGGACTGATCAATATTCACCTGTTAAGGTGAGCATGTCTGCATGCATTATCAAAGATATCTTCACCAAGCACTATGTCTCAATCGTAACATGCACCAATAACGCCATCTTCTCATGGGGAAGAAATAATTTCATGCAGACAGGTCGAGGTAGTGAGGGAATAGATCAATTAACACCTGCAAGAATACCCTCTATTCAAGCAAGTAAGATTTTGGATATTTCTTTCACGGAGACGAGTACCATGCTGTACTTGAGAAATGGCGACATTCTCTTCGTGGGAAGTAATTTAGATGCTTCCCCATTGTTCAGAACCATCTCAGCAACAGTCAAGTCTTTCACTCAAGAAACGCTGTACTCTTTCATGCATCTTCCATGGCCTCAACGAGTTAATCCTTATTTTTCTTTTGTATCAAAGGCGTACATTATGGCACAGGGACAGCCTACCATTTTCGCAAGACCAGGTCTCGAGTTTGGGTTCTACTCTTCAGACGTCCCTCTCAACACACACGCCATTCAATGGACTCAAGAGATACCTCAACAGTGGCAACTTGTTCAACAACAAGCATCTAACAATGTTGCGTCCTTGTTTGGGCCACCATATCCGTCGTTATCTTTGAGCTTGTTGAGCCCGATTCAGCACTCCATTTACAATACTCACATCTTCAAAAGTGATGAATATGTTTACATGTTTGGCGGCTTTGTGGATCAAGAGCTCTCCAATTCGATCTATAGGTCTCCGTACTATGACATGGCTAATGAATGGGAGCTTGTAAACAGCACGCTTCCATTTGCAGTAGCTTCAGGAATGACTCTTAATGATGACACATATTTGTACATTATGGGAGGAATTACTAAAATGTATCATTTCAATACAACAACAGACACCGACCCAAGCGAAGCGTCAATAATATCTAATAGAATAATGAGAGCACCATTGAGCAATCTTACAAATTGGGAAGAGGTGTTTGATGCCAAAATTCCTGTTTCTCTTCATTCTGCACATGTATATTATGATGTAAATTCACAGACCTATTTCATTTATGGTGGATTGAACAAATTGAGCTCGTATCCCAGCAAGATGATATATACGGTCCACAAAAATTCCATTTTGACATGGAACAATGACACTCGTAAAACTATTCCAAAATACATTTCAACTTCAGTGAAAATGTTGACAACTAGTGACTCGATCTACATGATAGGAGCGAGTATAAGAAGTACCAATTATTATGGGCCTTATATTTTGTACGCTTCCAAGTCAGATCCTGCTACATGGATTGAGGTATCAGCTCTCTCTATCAAGCTTAACAATATTTGTGCAAATTATACGTATGGATCATGCTCGGAATTGGATCAATGCGAGTGTTTCGCTCGTCCACTAAATCAAGGTCCTTCCGCAATATGTTTCGGTATTGAAGCAACTGATCCAACTGTTTGTTCTGGAAATGGAGCATGCATTGCAGATGACGTTTGTGACTGTTCTCCTTCTTCGACTGGAGCCAATTGCTCCATCCCAATGTGCTATGGTTACGGTGCAACAGATCCACTTGTCTGCTCAAGAAATGGAACATGTCTTGGCTACAATACTTGTTCATGTAAGGCTAATTATACGGGCGACAATTGTGAGATACCCATTTGTGATGGAATTTTGGCAACCGATGTTGAAGTTTGTGGTGGAAATCGCTCTTGTATAGCTGCAAATGTGTGTGGTCCATTCAAATGTTTCGGATATGCCAACGGAACAATAATTAATGGCGTTTCAGTGGTTTGTAGCTCTAACGGAAATTGTATCGGACCAGATGTTTGTGACTGTCTAGAAGGTTGGGGAGGTCCAAAATGTGACCAACCAGCATGTGATTTCTTGGTCGGTGTTGATGCCTGTAGCGGTAATGGTGTTTGTAAAAGACAAAATAGCGCAAGTGTGTGTGAGTGCAACCGAGGTTTCAATGGTACTAATTGCGAGAGCGCTTTTGAATGGTGGAAATTTTAGATAAATACATTTTTTTTGCTTGCTAAAAAGATTACAATGTGGTGCGTGAGACCAGGTATATTAAAGAAAATATTTGACCAATTACACTATTTTATTCATTGTTACGTTCGTTGGTTGTTCCTTCGTAAAGACGATTAAAATCACTAAGCTTTTTGATTATAATTAAATGACAACTCCACGCTTTCACACAGCAAAAAAATACCAACCAGCACCTGCCACACGTCACACGCTTCTTTCAAATTCTTCGGGTTTGATACCAAACACAATTCTTCTGCAGTACTACATCTATCATCATCCTCGAATCAAGAAAATTGGTGACACTATTGTAATTGCATTGAATCCATATCTCTCAAATTACCAATCATTTAAAATTAACACAAAAAAAATCATCATCTTCCACTATTTGTAAATTTTCACCATGTCCAAAGCAAGTTGCGACAAATCCATCATTGGAGTAGTGCTTGGCTCTCTCATTCTCCTCTTTCCGTCACTTGCCTATCTGATTGCACAAATTGTCCTTACAGTGAAAAACAATGTCCATCTCGAAGGAAATGATCTAGTCTTTTCCATTCTCACCTACACTGCACTTTCAATTTTTATTTTGACAGGTGTCATTGGTATTGCATCCATTGTGGATTGTTTTGGATCCAATAATGCAAGCATTTCTCGTAAATATCTCATCGGATGTTCCATTCATTGGTTCATTTGGATTTTACTTTCCATCGGTGCTGTCATTTCCTTAATTGTTGTTTATTCCTTGCATTTAGAGTCGATTTTAAAACAACCAAATCCAAATCCAAATAACAATTCTTCAGAACTCGATGAATATACCAAACAGAAAATTCTCGTTGGAACTTGGATTGGTGTGAGTGGTTTTATTTTGTTGTGTTGTTTATTACCAATTTGTTGTTGTGGAATTTCGAGAATGATTTCTGTGGTGAAATCCACAACACGTTACAAGATGGGTGAACCAGGACAGTATTCGAGATTATCCAATGATGATTTGTAAATTTTTAATTTTATATATTTGGATGGAATGTGTGTGAATGAGTTCATCAATCCATTGAATTATTGCATGATTCATTTGATTTTTTTATAAATTGAAAATCATTGTAATTTATTAGTGATAGGCCAGTCGAGGTGCATTTTGTGTGTGAACGATCACACACTTTGTAATTTTTTTTGGTGCTATTTAGGAGGTCTAGTACATAAATGCAAACCTCTACTTTTTAGGAAAATGATACGAGTAAAGTCAGTTTCGTTGGCTTTGTTTCATGAATGACAATGATCATCAATGATGCAAACGCATATGTCATGACAATCACCAACTCAAAACCCTGCTCTTGAAATTTTCATTCCATGATTTGGCAACACAACCATTCTTCATCCCTTTCAATGATTCATCCTAAAAGGAGATCCCAACCCAGAACACGATCGTTGAAATTCCAACATTCCAAAATTTGGTCTGAGCACCCGATACTCTGCGCTCTGTTGTGCTCTCTCTCGACTGTTGGGACACCACACCAGCCTCATAGATCGTTCACTCAACATCAACCACCACCCGAGTCTCGCTTCAATCGATCCGGAATTATTGCATTTTCGAGAGTCGTCACTCGGGTAATGCATCATCACCCCATCCAACACTCAACAACAAAAAAAAGCAGTGTTGCATTTTCCTCTCATATATTTGTTGTGTGTTTTCAGAGCGATACATCAACAGTGCAGATTGAGACAAAACAGAAAGGTAGGTTGTTGTTCATGAGAGCGTGTCTATGAGTCAATGAGAATTTGTGTCATGCATTCATGTTCTCATCGACATGATTCGTTTTCATTGGTGTTGTTGATAAATGTTGATTGCAATCCTCACACACACTGATTGAAACGCGATGGATGGATAAATACTACTGCACGGAATGCACGTGCTTGCTCCATTGTTCTATGGTTGATGTGTGTTTATATATATATATATTGGATTGAATGCATTTTGTATATGATACGTTTCGTGATGATGATTTCATTGCCTTTCCGAACTTTTGCCCCACACACGGAACGCAATTCCATATGAAATTTCAATGAATTGATATCATGATGATGTGCCTGTGGTGTTCTCTTTTGATCAAACTTCATGGTAACATGATGGTCACCCACTTCATTCTTCAAATGCACATCATATGATGGCACCTATCAATTCTCTACTTTCTATGGATAATGCACTTTCTCTCGTATAATTGAATCAATACTATTACAACCACACCAACGATTCAAATACTACTACATTTACCATCAACACACACTACCACCACCATGACGACCACTACGACACGATCAACATTTCTTTGTTATAATGGTCGACTCCAAATTTGATCATCATTCTGCATTCATTCGCCACTTTTGCTCTGAATTAAAAAACGCGAACTGGTGGCCACCAACACACTGCACAATCTGTGTGTTCCTCTATATCCTCTGGCTGCTCTGATAATATTATATTCACCATTTCTCTCGTTGGGAACCATCCCCGATCCATCACTCTTTTGCTTCTTCTTGGTTCATTATTCATACTACCTGTTGATATCTTATTGCATTATATTTTACGGTTTTGTTCTCTCTCAATACTACTACCACTACTACTGCTGCTACTGTTGAAATATTTACCCTAACATTTTGCAAAATACTGATTACAATATCAATTACTTGTGGTTCACCATCATCCATTGCAATTCCTTGCATACATCCTTTAAAACACGCACACAAACGCACACACGCATTGCAAATCACAGAGGATAAAACCACACACTACTCAACATTATTGCAATAGCATTCATTACCTTGTACCATCATATCAAGCCTTGATTTCATCCAATATTTCATTTTCCGGTGAACCTGAGAGCCTCTTCAAAAAAGACACACCCTCGCCTCGATTTCAGAATGACCAACAAATCATCCTCATCACGCGAACGTATGTGTGTGGTATGTGCCCGAACTCATCCTCCCACCATCTTTAGTTGCCGATACAAGGTGCATACCAAGAATGTCGATGTCTTGTGCAGCTTCTTTGAGAGAGAATTGGCTCAAGGAGAGTTATGTGATCGATGCTATCGATTGTGGTACAAACATCGAAAACAACAAGAAGGAGGAAGTGAAAAAGCGAATGGTTCCTCTTCCAGTGCCAAGAGAAGAAGAAAAGCATCAAGCGCAGCCTCTGCCATCAAGAAGAGAAAGAAATCCACACGAAATGCAACCAAGAAGAATGTGAATGCAGTAGCAATTGCAGCTGCAGAAGATGAAGATAGTCTCGAGGAAGAAGAAGAAGAAGACGAAGTCATGGACGAAGATGAAGTCAAAGATGAAGAAGACGAAGAAAACGAATACGACGAAGAGGAAACGGCTGTGAGCACTTTCAAACAACAGCGTGCAGTCAGTGAAGAAGAAGAAGATGATGACTATGAAAGCAATGATGCATCATCTTCTTCCAATGAAGATGGTCAAGTGAAACTTGAAAAACAATCTGGCTCGTCGTCACCCATTCGATTACCATTGAAGAAACGAGCAAAGAGTGGTGCTGAGAGTTCAGTTCACTCAACTTCCTCTTCCACAACTCCATCGTTGCCACACTTGGAATTGAGTGGAACCACCACCAATGCAGCAATGGAAGATAACATGTATGATTATGTATCCTCTGCAAGTAGTAGTGGCGGCAGCTCATCGAATGCAACTTCTCTGCAGAAACGTCATTACATGAAACGAGGAACAAGTAAGGAATTGGAATCTTCTCCTCGAGGCCATGACGATGAAGAAGAAAATGATGCAGCTCATGACGGATTTAACTCTGCAGCAACAACCTTAAAAAAGCGAAACAAGCCATCTCCAGCAAAAACTGAGCAAGATGAAGATGACGATGACACTTCCAACCACAATTCAAATCTTACCTCATATCCATACGTTCTACATTCCATAATCTCGTCCAATAATGCAAATATTGGTATCACACTGAATAATGCTACTTTGAACAATATCACGAATCCTTTCTCAGAGTCTCAAATGAACACAACCAAACATGCTCGCTCTCAAAAATCAGGAGAAACTTGTGCTGTCAATCCTTCGAATAGTCTTGTTCAACGACTGGAAGCTCTTTCTGCACTTTCTAGAGATGTCAGAAAATCGAAACGAAAAAGACTTTTACCCATGAAAAGCCCAGCTCGATCGAAACCAGAAGATGCTCTCAAACTGTTTAAGGGAAATAACCCAGTGTATTTGCAACAAGCATTTTCGAAATCTTCGTTCAATTCTGCGGCTATTGTTACGACTTGCAATGGTTATGGCTCCACATCCTTGTAAGGAGGATTAAACTGGTTGACCTTTAACCATATTCACAATTAGTGACATTTCATACGAGTATCATAGGTACATATGATCAGCAGAAAAGATTTTGTTGAAATTATTGTTCATTCCCAGCCCTCACATGTTTTTGACACCATGAGTGACTCTAGAGAAGCACCATTTGTCTTTTGTGACACATCATTTTCCAAATAAATCTATTATATAAATCATTAATTACCCAACAATTATTGAATCGAAATTCCAAGGTAATGATCAATAGCTTTGAAAGAGGTCTTTCAATCGATGGATGCGTTCAAATCGCCAGGGGTGTTGTATGAAGCGGAAACCATTTCCGAAAATTTTTTTATCAAAAAAAATAATACAACAACAACAATATCCTCGTCATCATCATGAGTGGCTTGCAATTACTGAATCCAAACGCAGACTCTGCCAACATTTCAGAGGCCCGTCTGATAAACATTGCTGCAGCGGGTTCCATTCAAAATCTCTTGAAGAGTAATATTGGACCAAGAGGTACCCTCAAAATGTATGTGTTGATGAGTAGTAGTTGTAGACTCTTAAAATTCTTATATTGGATAACGTACCTAATGTTTTGTATTGTCTCATTGTATACAACAATCCGAATTCAAATTGGTTCTAATCTTGTGAACATGATGGTTGTATGGTGTTGGTTGGGTCATTGCTCGTTTGATACCACATTGATGATACAATCATTTTCCGATATCAAAAATTTAACATCATGATAGGTTGGTGAGTGGTGCTGGTGATCTCAGAATTACAAAGGATGGTAGTATTCTCCTCAACGAAATGGTATGTTTACTTTTTAGACTTTTTTCGTCAATAACGGGTTTTCATGTGTATTTGTTGTTGGTCAACATAATGTACATTGGTGGTGAAAATTAACAATCACCACTTTCGTACTGCTGCTGTCATCCATTCATCAATCTTGTCCATGATTTTCAAATACATTCTTCAATCCATGATTGTCTCCCGTTTCGACATGACATTAATATTCATCATGATTGACATGCCATACTCACACAATTGTGCAGCAAATTCAACATCCTACAGCAGCTCTCATTGCCCGTACGGCCACAGCCCAAGATGATATTACAGGAGACGGAACCACAACAACAGTTTTACTCATTGGTGAAATGTTACAACAAGCAAACAGATATTTGCTTGAAGGTTTGCATCCTTCATTACTTATTGAAGGCTTCTATTTGGCCAAGGCCGAAAGTAGAAAATTCCTCGACACGTACATGGAACAAATGAAACAACGAATTAAGGTCGATCGTGAAGTTTTGGTAAGCGTTGCCAGAACAGCTCTCCAAACCAAGCTCTATCCAGAACTTGCCAATCAAATGGCTGACATTATTGTTGATGCTATCAAGTGTATTCAAATTGAAAATCAACCAATTGACTTGTTCATGGTTGAACTCATGCACATGCAACACAAGATGGACGTGGAAACTAGATATGTGAATGGATTGGTGTTGGACCATGGAGCTCGTCATCCCGATATGAAACGTGAGGCTAAAAATTGTTACATTTTAACATGCAATGTTGGTTTGGAATATGAAAAATCCGAAGTTCACTCTTCTTTCCAATTGAACAGCGCTGAAAAGAGAAAACAACTTGTTGACGCAGAAAGAAAAGTTGTTGATGAACGTGTTCAAAAGATTATTGACTTGAAGCATCAAGTGTGTGGAGATGACCCATCTAAGAATTTTGTGGTTATTAATCAAAAGGGTGTTGATCCAATTTCACTTGAAATGTTTGCCAAGGCTGGTATTATTGCTTTAAGAAGAGCTAAGAGAAGAAATATGGAACGTTTGACATTGGCTTGTGGAGGTGTGGCTGTGAATAGTGTTGAAGAATTGACACCAGAGACTTTGGGTTATGCTGACCATGTTTATGAACAAGTGATTGGCGAGGAAAAGTATACTCTTGTTGAAGGATGCAAGAATCCACACAGTTGTACTATTTTGTTGAAGGGTCCAAACAAGCACAGCATTGCTCAAGTCAAGGATGCAGTGAGAGACGGATTGAGAGCTGTCAAGAATGCTATTGAAGATGGTGTTGTGATTCCAGGTGCAGGTGCTTTTGAAATTGCTCTCCATGATCATTTAATGAAGTATGCTGAAACTGTGGAAGGAAGAACAAAGCTAGGTGTGAAATGTTTTGCTGAGGCTCTTTTGATTATTCCAAAGGCTCTCGCTCAAAACTCTGGATTTGACACACAAGACATTTTAATCAAGCTTCAAGAAAAACATCAAAAGGGACAAATTGCAGGTCTAGAAATTTACACAGGTGACGCCATTGACCCAATTCAAGCAGGTATTTTCGACAATTATATTGTAAAGCAACAAACACTGGAAGCTGCTACTTTTACTGCCACTCAATTACTTTATGTTGATGAGATTCTGAAGGCTGGAAGAGCTCAAAAGCCAAAGACTGAAGAGCAAGACATGGAAGACTTTGAATAAATATTTAATGATTCATTCTTTTATTTATATAATTATTCCAATCTCCATCATTAACACGTTCAGCATTGATTAGCATAGTGCCTTGCGTAATAACAGGTTTTTTCATATTTACAGAACCATCGTTTCACAAGCTCAACCTTATCATTTGGAACAAATTGCATTCATCTCTCTCACGTACTCATCGATTTGAGCAAGTATTATTTGTTTTTGTTCCCTGTTCATTGCTCCGTTCTGTTCCATTTCTTCTATGAACAGCAATCGATCGTTAATTTCTTCCTCAACTGTAGATCATAAATCCCGTTAATCAATGTACGTCACTCATATAAGTTTGAAATCAATTTAAAAAACACTTACTCTCTTCCATTCTACTTTTTTGAGGTTGAGTTTGCTTTGGAGGCGTCACTACTTGTTTATCAATTCTTCCTTTTATAATAACAGAGGGCGTTGATTGTTTTCCTCCAAATTCATTGTATGTCGCCAGTAAATTCTTTTCTCTTTCTCGATCCACTAAACATCAAGCCGTTACCAAAAATCAAGTGTCACACGGATTAAAATCAATTCGTAATAATTCTTCCAGACTCGCCTACTTACCTGTTGCAGAGGGCCTAAATACCTCTCGCTGAAACAGGGACTGGTCAAACAATTTTTTCTTTGTTGTAAATTTTCCCTTATTGGAGTCTGGAAACAAATCCACAGAAGCTGGTTGATTTTTCAATCGGTATGCTCTCAAAGAATCATCCATTTCATGTTTTTTTGACAAGGCAATTCCAGAACTCGGTAAGGATGATTTATTTTTCAATGATGAAAGTACCTCCTTCTTTTGAAAATGAGTGAGTTTCGATTCCGAAAGCATACTCTCGATCAATGATTCTGTATTATATTTCTTTTCTAATTCTCGGGATGTTGCTGAAGTTTTTCGCATTGTTGCGTGTTGATGTTGTTGTGGTTTCGTATTCGGAATGGTTCGTTGTTGCATTTTTATATTTGTAATCGTGTGGCGCCAAATTTGGTATTTTAAAAAAAATCGAACCAAGCTTGATTCCATGTAAAATGAACTCGGTCTCTGTAAAATCCATCATGGAGGAAAATGAACAACTTCGAAATGAAAACTTCTCATTAAGAATGCAGATCTTTCATCTGTCGTCTTCCTCAAATCACTCATCAGATATTGTTGGGATTAAATCAGCATCGTCCTCGGAAATGATTGATTCATCCCAAGTTGTAGAAGAAAATAACAGCAAATTGTTAGAAATTATCAAGAATTTACAACGAGAGATAGAGTCTCAAGGCAAGCAATACCTTAAATGCAAAAATGAAATGCAAACACTGAAAAAAGATAATGAAATGTTGAGGCAAGAAATCAAAACATTAAAGTTGGAAAATATAAAAAATAAATTTGAAAAGGAACGAGCAGAGATTGATAGAGTTCTGTAGGGTGTTGTGAATGAACCTGTGAGCAATACAAAGTACTTGAAATACACAAAATCTCATTATGATTAAACTACACAATGCAATTCATTTCATGAGCGCTTGAAAAGTTGATTATGTTACATAATGTCTTACTCCTTATGTGCTCGAGACTGAAACACCTGAGCGAGTTCATTACTCGAGTCACCCTCTTGCAGAACATGTTTGAAGGCTGGTTTGAAAACGGCCTTTCTCCTTGAAATCTTGGGTTGCATGACAGAAACGTGTTCGTTTGCAACTAGGGCTTTTTGCAGCTTTTCGAGCTCTTCTTGCATTTCTTGCTTCTTTTGTTTTTGTTTTTCTCGTACTTGATGCTTTAAACCTTTTTGAGATCGAGTCATATCGAGCTCTTTTTGAAGTTCTAAGATTCTAGAATTTTGCAGCTCAATCTTTTTGTTTGCTGCTTGAAGTTTGGATCTTTCACTTTGTATTTGCTGACGTGACTGCAAACTCTCCTTTTCAAACTTGTCTTTGAGAGTTTGAACCTTCTCCAATTTGTTTTTCATTTCGAAAAAGTCGTTGGCCCAATTCTTTCCAGCTTTTTGCTTCCATGATGAATCTGTGTCCGAAGATCCTTGCTTATTCGAAGAAGATTGAAGTTCCGATAATTGTTGCTTGAGTGCCTCTTTGTGAATTGTCAATTGTTCCAAATCTTTGTCCTTTGACTTGGTACTCTCTTCATAGTCTGCTTTTATATTTTCAAGGAAATCATCCTTGTCTTCCAATAGCTTTTCCAAGGCTTTTAACTCTTTCTCAAGTAATTTGATTTTGTCCTAAATTGTTAGTAAACAATAATAGCACAGTGACAATGTTCATTAGGTATATAAATGAGCGAACGAAAACACATTGATATAGGTGAACACCGTTGAAAAAGGTAACATAAATGACTTACCTTATGCTTGTCTGATTTTTCTTCGAGGTCAAGGAAGTCAGCCTCCATATTTTCAAATTTCTCCTTCTCTTCTTCGAGCTCGTCTTCTAGACGATCCAGTTTTCTATTGTAGTCCTTCTCCAAGGTTTTTATATTCTTTCGCTCTTCCAATGCTTCGGTTTTATATTTTTCAATAAGACGATCTTTTTTAGCTTCTACTGCTGCAGCTTGGTCTCTAAGTTTTTTCACCTTATCAGAGTACTCATCCAAAATGAAATCTTCTAAATCTTCATCCAGCATTGTTTCATTTTCTGCTTTCTTCAACTGGGTTTTCAGAATGATAATTTCTTCATCTTTTGAAGAAATTTCCTTCTCAAGTTTTACAATCTTTTCTTTGAGATCTTCGGTGGTATCTTCAAGTGTTTCCACCTCTCCAATACATTTATTGAGCTCCATTTCCAAATCTACACATTCTTCGTCCATGTCTTCGAGCTCTTTTTCATATTTTCTCACTTTTTTAGAGAGTTGTTTGTTTTCCTTTTCGAGTCTAGAGATTTCTCGTGAGTTGAACTCTTCTTGTGAACTAGTTTCAGCCTCCAAATTTGCGAATTTTCTCTCAGATTCTTCCAATTTTTCCTCCAAGTCATAGATTCTTTCGTTGAGTTTACCAATCATTGAGCGATACATCTTGTTGCTTTCAGTTAATTTGTCGAGGCCAAACATGATTTTTGCTCTTGCTTCGGACTCTGAAATATTTTGGGCAAGCTCTTGCAGGTGTGCAGTATTGAGCTTGGACTCTTCTTTCACGTTCTCGAGCTCTTTCAATAGCTCGTTGCGTTTTTTCTCTTCTTCTGTTAGCTGCTCTCGCAACGATTTAATTTCCAGCTCAAGTTCTTTGGTCTTGTATTGGTGGTTGCTTTGCAAATCTTCTTGCTTCTTGCTGGATGATTCCATCAATTCCTTCGTGCGATCGAGCTCTTCTTGCAACTTGGATCTCTCTTCCTTTTGTTTTTTCATGTTGCTTTTGAGGGTGGTCAGCTCTTTTTCTAGTCGTGTATTCTCGTTTTTCATATTGTGTATCTCAGCATGATGCTTATCTTTCAATTCTTCAACAAGCATTTCCAATTCCACTATTTTTTTAGGTGGGAATTGTGACTGGCTGCTATTCATGTCACTGAATTGTTTTTCTAATTTGGTTATCATGGCCTGTAATTGCCATGCACTTTTTAAAGTATTGGCATGAACTGAACCTGAAACTCGCGTCTTGATTAAAAATCCAAATAATAGAGATGAAAATGATTCTTCATAGCTCTGTGGAGAGGAAGAGCAAGTACAAATAAGAGTGGTCTTTGCATTTCCCCCAAAAGATTCGTGAAGTATTTGTGTGAGTGTATTGTTGGAACATGCATTGAGGTTATTTTGAGGTTCATGCTGCTGTTTAGCACATAGAGTTTGAATGAGAGACGAAAATGACGAGGAGTGAGCGAGTGAGTCACGGTCACTTCCAGTAGCAATTTCCACACAGTTCAATAAAGAGTGCCACGATTCTTCAGTGTCAATGTCTGTGGCCACAACTTTGATGGATATCACAGTGTGGCATTTCGTCGCATCCAAGTTCATTTTCGCCCTACACACCTGTTGAACTTTTGTTCCAAATCGTAACAGCTCCATAAATTCATCGTAGGATCCAACACAAATTTCAGAAAGATGATGAACGAACAGTCCCTTGTAAGGAGAATTTAACAAGTGTCTCTCTGCATGATTGGGCTCTAATAGATCATATATTTTTTCTTCATATACCTCCATCATGGCAAAAGAAACCTTGTATTCCTTTCTGTTGGCATTTGGTTGGTCGTTACTACTTTCTTCCTCAATACTCTCAAACAGGTCCATTCCGATTCTTGGAACGATTCCGTATTCGTGTTCTTTTTTTTCCAAAGAACCTCCAATCAAACAAAATGTTTTTCCTGAATCTTTGGTACCATAAACCATCATGTTGTGGTTCATTCCCGAGAGGAGATCCTTGATGAGTGAGGAGCCAATGGCTGCTTGATACAGCGCTTCCTGTGAGGCATCACCCTTAAAAACTCGGTCAAATTCCATCTTGCTTGGAAGAGGCTCATCTGCAGGCCAAAAGGTCTTTACGGACTCTTGGGATGATTGCTGCTGAACTACCTTAATACTATTATTTCCTTCAACTACAAATAATTCTTGGTGTTGATGGCTTTGGCTTGTCGAATTGTGGTTGTTGCTTGTCGTTGAGGAGGATCGTTCCCTTGTCGAGGACAATGAAGGCTTGAATCGAACCACAACTTTGGAACGGTGCGGGTGCTGTGAGGACATTTTTTTTGTTCATAAGTGCCTTATTGAAGAACAATGCGAGTGTGTGTCTTGAGTAGTAGTTTTTTTTAACATTGATCAACACATCTAAATTACATGGGATTGGCATCATCACGAAAGAAGATGTAGAGCCTTGATATGAATGGCCTTTCTTCTCACACAGGATGCCTGATGTCTTGTGGTTGTTAATTGTCACACAATTACAAATAAGGCTGACAAACCTCGTCACACAATCGAGCAAATTCCTCTCTTAAAATCTTGTTTTCAGCGACTGGTCTTGGTTGAGCGACACGACAATCGTCATAATAGGCACCACTCTTTCCTTGCACATCAGGAGAGCAAGCCAAGTGAAGAGTATTTTGTGATCCTTGTTTCACATTCTTGAAGAAGAGTAATTGCATGAGCCCAAGAATGATGGTCATGTAGAATGGAGCCTCTCGAACCAATCCTGTTAAGATATTGTGTACACAAAATAATGAAATGTCATTTAACATTTGATCACACGATTTGGGTTTTTGTTGTGTGATCAATGACGTTCAAAACAAAGTGTCGATGATAATATAACATCTCTTTTCACGCTCACACACTTACCTGAACGAATAGCTCCAGGATGGCAACAATTAATAGTAATCTTACAATTAGGATTATTCTTAATTCTCAGCTCATGAATGTTATATACCTGATAAATATTACACAATTTTGTGAGACCATATTGCTTATTCGTGTCAATATAAGCCATACTCGAAAATTTGGTTACTGGTTTCTTGACATGATTCAACAAGGAATAAGTCTTGGTTTGCGCATTCCAAAAATCATTATCATTCACAAACATGTGAGCCATCGATGCCACAATAACAATTCGTGCACCATGTGGGTTCTTGTCCATATTTTGCCACAATAATTCAATCAACAAGTGATGACCCAATACATTCGCTTGCATCATTTCCTCAAAACCTTGTTTTGTGTATCGAATACTATTGGTGACACAACCAGCGTTATTAATTAAACCATCGAGAGTGTCACCTGTTTTGAGAAATTCTTTGGCACATTCTCGAACACTTTCCAAATCATTCAAATCGAGTCGTAAAAAGTGAAGTGAGCCACCACTCACATGAGATGAACCTTGCACTTGATCACGAATGGTACGAATCATCTCGAGAGTTTTATCTTCAGATCGACATGCGAGATAGACTTTTGCACCTTGTCTGTACAAGACTTGAGCCGTGTAACTGTTTTCGTGTCAAATGATAGGTTGTGTGGTCAGTCATTTCATGTGCAATGTGGTAGTACACGTTGGATTGATAGGGTGAAAGATGGCAAATTACACAACAATTAAAGTGATCATGTGGTTGTTCAACAATATATATTACCATCAGAAAACGAATCCGATCAAGTCATTGAAGTCAATCAACGTGTCATTTAACCAATCATCATCATCATGATGATCATCATTCATTTTAAAATATTCTCCCGAGTCATCTTTCAACACTGCTCTACATTCATTCACTCACCTTCCAATACCACTCGTTGCACCTGTCACCATAAAGACTTTTCCATTCAAATTTTGTTCCTCTCCATTCGTACTTGCTCCATTGATCACAAAATAACGAAGAGCAGCATACGAAGCCACTAAAATAGCAGACGCAGCACACACATACGGATGCTGAGAGAGAAACGATCCATCCAAAAGACTTTGTAACATTTTTTTTTCTGCAAGATCGTGCTTAAATGCAAGGACAGCATTCATGAAATAATTTAAGGTTGGGTTGTTAGAGAGTCAAGTTCTTCTCGCTCTTTGAGGAAATATTCTGCCAATGTGAATTCACAGTCTTGTCAACTTCAACCGATTTTGATACCTACCTTCAGAAAATACATGCCAAAAACATTCCATGTCGAAATGATGTGATAGATAGTGAGCCTCTAATCTTGAAAACCAACAGTACCAAAAAGTCTCGCCACATACGAACACTTCGCTGAATGCAAACCTCGTTTGCGTTTTGCTGTTTTGAATTTTATTATCACCTCTCAGAATAAAAAACACATATCGTCATCAACAACGATCCCATTGTAACACACAACAATCCATAAATCATAAAACAACAACTAAAATCAACATATATTGAACGCGGATATGAAATCATTACAACATTTCAGCAAGGAGAATTTCAAGCAGGAATTAAACTTACCAACGTCGACGACGAACAACCAACATGGTGCTGCCGATGGTCAATCCTATTCGTTGAACCATTCAATAACAAAATCTCACAACTTTCCATCGCCGTTACCTCGCGAGAGGATGAATAACAACACCCAACGATCATCATCAAATTTATCAAATTTTGAAAATAGTTCAATAACACCATTCCCATCATTGATGTCCATAGAATTACCACAACAAAGATCATCATTATTCAAGTCATCGTCATCGTCATCATCATCACATATTCACACCTTGCAAGCTACATCCTCTTACATGACCAAGAATACACTATCATCACAAAAAGATTGCTTCCCAATGATGAGAAAAACTAGAGCGCAAACTAGCATGATGAAAAACAGAGAGCGAAGAATAATATTATTCATCATCTTCAACGTGTTGATTTGTGTCTTTGTGGCCACAACGCTTCTATTTCAGTTAATGCTCAAGTTCAATCCAACGTGCACACTCGGTCGTCCACAAAGTGTCCTGACAAGTGACGTCCCTTCGTGGCTACCGCATCATGACGATCGTGGCCACACAACAACCGTTGTCCAGGCTCTTTCGCTTCAACCACCATCAGACACTCGAGCACTATGGGATGTTCTTGACCCCAATAAGAAAAGCTGTGGTGTCAACGACATTTTGGTTGCGAATGGAACAGCTTGCATTCCCTCATTGAGATCTTCACAAATTCGGTTGACCATTTCGTCAAAAGCCATTCTCTCATCGCAGGACAATTCGACAGGAGAGATTGTAACGGCCACGATCAAGGATCCAACTTTCATTGCTTTCTATGCAGGTAATGAATCGAGATTATTGTATCGATTTAATATGACAGGTGTCAAAGAGAGTTTGGTCTTTCAATCTTCATTGATACAAAATCGTACCGTTTATCAATTACCAAACCAACTACCATTAGGCGTTTATTCTTTTTCATTTGAAGTCATTGATTCCTTGTACTTTGTAGTGAATGGTCTTGTCATTGAAGAGGCATTGGCAAGTGTCATTTCCATGGAAGATGTTGCTCAAGATCCAAAAGGAAAAATAGGAAACATGTCCATTTCTGAGATTCATAAGGTCACCAAAGATTTGAATTCCATTCCAAACTCAAAGAAGGAACAAGTCATTGATGCCATTGCAGAGACTTTTCAAAACTTTACAACAACACTGCCAGCCAATGAAGGTTTACAAATGGTTGAAAGTTTGAGAATAGTGACCAATGATTCCAATTATGTTTCCAAAGATTCTCGATACAGAATTTCAGAAATTATCTCACGTTATTCCAATACCTTATTCACCAATGATACTTCCATCGTGTCCTCTCAAACCATGCCTCAACTTGCTCGAGATCTTGTTTCAGTCGCTTCCAATATTGTCAAGCTTGTGAAGAATCAACCAATACAACAAGCAGAGAATCGTTTCATGATCAAACAGAATGCTCATAAGGCCATTCAAAATACGCTCTCTCTGATTGCTCTTCATCAGAATTCAAATTCGGAAATGGTGTTTCAACAACGACGATTGGAAACTGAAAACTTTTTAATGATACTATCACCTCATTCGGTTCAATCTGTAATTTCCATTGATTCCAATACTTCCCTAAGTTTACCTTCCAATCCATTAGTATTCTATGATTCCATCAAGATGAACCTCATGGGAAATATTTCATATGGTTTGATCAAGTATGAAAACGATGAGGATCTCTTTCCAACACAATGGAAAGTAATCGTTTCAGAACGAACAAAAGATCAAACAAAGACTACATCATCATCACCACCCCTCCTAGTTCCAACACTCATCTCTGCAGCCTCTCCCATTGTACAATTCAGACCTCTTCTCAATGGATATTATCAATCTGTGAATGGACTCTCTCAAAATTTCAATATATCCTTTCATGTCCAAGAATATTTATGGTTGAATCAAACCAAACTGAATGAATTCTTTAATAATGAAACCCTCGTGATGAATACGAGCAGCACAACAACGACCAGTTTCATGACCAAACGTTACAAGTGTTACTATTGGAATGAAACACTTACTCAATGGCTTTCCAATGGATGTGAGACGTTTCACACGCAAGATTCTCCCTATGTGATTTGTTCGTGTGATCACACCACTCGATTTTCTGCCTTTGTCGAGTTTTCTATTCATACTCAAGAACATGGATTGAATGATTGGTGGAGTGGCATTGCCTTGACCACATTGATTATTGACTCGTTATTCCTCATTATGATTTCCTTACTTGTCATTGTACTCATGGTTTGGCGAAAGAGTTCACTTGTGAAGAGTCGATATCTTACACCGTATTTGGCTTTGAGTGCCTTATGGATTGAGAGTTTGATGAGTGGAGTGATATCCAAATCCTTGTTATTGAAATTTGGAACTGAATTCTTCTCGTCCTCTTCCTCCTCCTCCACTGTGGATATCCAATGGATGAGTAATATCAGTAGTGTAATTTCCACCTCCTTGTACGCAAGTGCTGTATGGTGTTACATGATCATGTCGTTACGATATTTAATGCATCGCTATTTTTATGAATGGATGATGAAAGCACTCGAGTATAACAAGAAGGATGCCTTAATCAAGTACTTGTGTATTCTGAAACGACAGTCTGTATTGATCATCTCGAGCTTGGTATTTGGATTTTGTATTGCTTTGTATTTTTCCATTTTTGTCATTTTGAGAGGTGTTCAAGTGTTGAGTAATATTCAATTCACACAAGCTGCTTCTATTTCACTATTTTTGATCATGCTATTCATGACCTTTTTCATTGTAGCAATTTATGTGGCTGATGTTTATTTGGATTTTACAAACAAACAAATTCGAGATGAATTAGTCGATATTTCTGAAGAAATGATTTTGGTTGAAAAGGAACAACAACAACAACAACACTTGGTAGACTCTTCTATATCTACCTCGTCGACTACCTTGGACAAAACATGTGATACCAAAACCTCTAAAAATCCATTGGTGAATTTATTGACACGTCAGCCACCAACAGTTAAGAAATTGATTCAATTAATGACAGTGAATGACAAACTCATGTTCCGTGCAGAGGTCATCTTTTTCTTCTTGGGAATGTCATGTTTCATTGTTTCCTATGGTATCGGATTCTCTACCATTGATTTGAAATTTTCATCCAATCTTGATTCACCATCCAATGATTCCAAGTTAACTCTTTTAGATGCCATTGGATTACTTTTTGAAATTCTCATGACCATTTTCTTTATTGCTGCCTTTGGAGGTTTTGCATGGATTTCGTCTGTAGTGATTCAATTGCGCAATGGTCACTCAAGATTCCAACAATTATTGAAACCACAACCCAATAATGAATCCCATCAGAAACAGCATGTCTTGACCAGTGAGGAAATTGACACTCTCTCAGAAAAGTATGAAATTTACAAACTCTTGAAAAATCGATTTTTACTCAAAATCTTTCGACAATATTGCAAATTGGAAATGTCTTTGGAAAATTACATTATTTGGATGAAAATTGAGAATGCAAAAAAGAATTTGGGAGATTTGTGGTGTCATCCTTCATCACCCTCAGATACAAGTGTCACTCCATCATCACCTGGTACTATAACGAATACATCCTCGAGTCAGGAAATTCCTCCATCCATCATGACGAACACAACAACCCATGGACCTCCCAATACCATCATGACTGAAACAACACATCCAGTCAACACTGACCACACCACTAGTACGACGAATGAAACCATTCTCCTCTCATCCAATGATTTAGAACGATGGAATCAACTCATTTCAGAATTAACACAATGGTATCATCTTCATATTCAAGATCATGCAGAAATGGGTGTGAACATTAGTGGAGGAGCCAGACGTAAATTTATGGGAATTTTACAATTGTTGGAAACTTCTTTCACACTTGCATCAGATTCGATGCGAATTGAAAAGAAGACATTATTGGCCATGAAAGAAGACTTGTCCAGTGCTTTGGAAAATGTCACCAGTGATATCATTTATAACTTGTTGGACACGTATGCGAGATTTATCGTCTCTGAGGAGTATAAATTGGTGAAGGAAATTGCAACAGAAAAGGAACGACTTTCATTGTCCATTTTCAAGTAAACTTTTTTCCAAAGTCTCCGTGTTGAAAATTTCAACTCTTCTAATTCGTTGATACACCTCCCACACAAGTCAAACATCAAAAAAAATATATTTCCAATCACTGATTCACGATCGTCTTCATCACACGCTCTTTAAAATACAACAACAAAATCATCCACCCAATAACCACTCAACATCTTTCCAACCATGGGTCAAACACCTCCATCCTCCTCCACTCTTTTACCAACCACAGGAACAGGAACAACAACAAATCGTGTCACTCAAAATATTGAACTACAAACGAAACATCAAATTCCGAATGTGGGTGGTGTGGCCGGAGCAACTTTGATTGCATCCACGATCAATTCCATGTCCTCGGGCGGTGGCACTTCTTCCAATGTCACACAATCAGCAACAAATCCACAACAACTTCAACCCGTTTCAAATTATTTAAATAATGTTTCTCTGTATAATGCAAATCCAAATTTGGGATATGCTAACACTCCAACGTCGGATCCGTTTCGATTGGTCATTAAACAATTTGCTGACATGTTGAGACCGTCTTCGTTGAGTGTATCACCAGTAGTGTCCACACAAGAAGGATTTACAAGTGTGGCATTGAAATTGGATGAAATTGCAAAAATTCATGAAGATATTGTCACCAATTATAAGAAGTATTTAAGTTTGTTGGAATTTTCTGGTGAACAAGAAAAAGGAAATGTATTATTTGGATCAAGTTCTGCGAATTTTGGTGACGAGGATGGATTTTCCAATGAAGCGTTTGAAAATATTGTGAATGGAATTAAAAATCATGTGACATGGGCAAAAGAATCCATTGAGAGTTTGATTGCAGCTTCTGAAAATTTCGAGAGAAAGAGTTTGAAAGGATATCATGCTCGATCGCTTTCATCTTCCATGTCTGGAGTTGCTCCATCTTCGAATACAACTGTAACGATTGATTGGTCGACTATTGCTAACAAGAAGGTAAGTATGGGTGTGAGTGTGTGTGAAAATGACACTCATGTGTGTTCATATATGAATTATTCCAAAATGTATTTTCACGTTAACGGAAATTCATTCAATGTCGGTGATCTACATCTCATTCCTAATGGTATTCAGAAATATTTTGAAATACGAGATGAAATTGAAATTTTATTGACCTTTCATCTCGAAGAAATTCGAGGATATAGAGACATTGTTGAAAAATTGAAAAAATCAGAAGCCAAAGGAGAAATTGTGGAAGTGAGTGTCATTAGCATTCTAATGCCAGATGAGTTTGGAGCTGGATTTTGGAAGAACAAGTGTGGAGAAAATGTATTTTCCATGAAGAAGAATGACTTTCTTGACATTATTGATTTATTCTTTCAACAATTGAAAGATCGTGTGAAAAAGATTTGGGTCGAAGACTTTTCTCACATCATTGATCCAACATGTGACAATGTTGTTTCAATTGTAGATTTTAAACATGTACTGCAATGGTTTGGACCTTTTGGAACAAGTTTCTTTGTGCCTCTCGACAATTTTCTAAACATGAAACATTTCTGGGGAAGTATTTCTGCGATGGAAGCTCAAATGATTCTCGATTCGGCAGAACCAGGGTCATTCTTGATTCGTTTTTCAGGGACAGACGCTGGTAGTTTTGCCATCACTGTCGTCGAACAAGAGAGTAGTGATAATTTGAGTGTTGGAGATGAAGTCACACATTACAAACAAACGTTACATTTTCAATTGACACGAAAACGAGAGGATTCCAAAATGTATTTCACATTGTGTGAATCAGATATGGATCAAAAATTCGAAACGGTAGATGCTCTCATCAAACATTACCGCTTGACATTTAAATATCCATTTGTGAATGACCAACTCAAATTGAAAGCAATTGAACCAGAAGAAGAGACTGACTTTTTAGGATTTATCAAATCGACTCCACAATTGAATCGAATCGATGCAGAAGATGATACCAGCTTTATTGAATACAGAGGAAGAATTCCACAAAGCCTCAAAGAAGCACATGAACTGCAGCGAGCCAAAATCATTGGTGGAAACAACAAAAAAGGTTCTTCGTCCTCAGGAAATGTCACTCCAAAATTACCTCATTTGCAAAAAGTGTTATTTACTGGACTGACGTCAAATCAAGCGTCGTCAACCATTTCCACACCTCGTTCCTCTGCTTCTTCCTCGAGTGGTGGTGCCACAGGTGGTTCCAATACTCCAACTTTGGTTGGTGGTGGAAATGGCACAACCACTGGTAGTGATAAGGGTGGATTAACATTGTCATCGATCACTCAGGTCAGTACGTCCACACCTGGAAAATTAGCAACATCACCACAAGATTCCAATCCAACCGATCCTACTCAATCCACTCAAAACACGGCAGTGAATGTGAATGAAATTATTTTAGAGGAAAAGTAAGATACAAAGATCGACCATTCTGCTCCTTTTTATATCTGCAGAGTTATGATGTTCTCATTTACAAATTTTCACAACACTGATCATAGCATGATATATACAATGAATAATTTTATTTCCTAGTCACACAAATGTATATGAACAATGGAAATGCAAGGTTCTATTGAATTCAACGTTCATCGAAATTCTATTATTGAAATTTACAACATGTTTGTTTCATCACCACCTGTAGTAGACTATTCAACAACAGCTAGTACTCTCTTGCATTTTGGTTCCAAGTTTCTATCCAACTCTCTCAATATTCTTGATCCTTTTCACTATAAAAAGTAGGATGACTATAACTTGGTTTATAATCACCCCAACTTGGGAACTGTGGGAATTGCTTCAAATAATCATTCCAATTAGGTTGTGGAGGAACTGGAGGCACTTGTGGTACATAATTGAATTTTGGAGGTGGTGGCACATAGGTATCAGGAAATTGAGGAGGCACATAATTGAATTTTGGAGGTGGAGGCACATAAGTGTCAGGAAATTGTGGAGGCACATAATTAAACTTGGGAGGTGGTGGCACATAGGTATCTGGAAATTGAGGAGGCACATAATTGAATTTTGGAACCTCTGGAACACTATATGCAATATTTGGTGCCGTGAATGTTGGAATGGTAGGTGCTTGAGGAGCCTCTATTTTAGGGAACGTATAGTGAGGAACGGGTGGCGGAGGTGTGACTTTCCATTGAGTTCCCACACTATGATACGGTGGAAAATTTTGAGGAAAATATTGAGGAACGTAAGCATCGGGTGCGGGTGGACTTCCAGCGAGTACTAGAGTGGTAGCTAGTACTAGACAACCGAGTAGAAGTGTAACAATCAACGATGAGGTTTTGATCATTTCTCACGTGTGTGTGTTTCTGAGTGTGACTCTGAAAGTGTATCTATACGGGTTATTGAACTGAGAGATTTGTAAGCTTTTTTTGTGTTATGATTGGAGTCCAGAGATCTTCAAGAGACGAGAAGGTATTTATGGAGCTTGGTAAAAAGTAAATTGTAGAGATTCATCATGTTCCTTTTAATGTGCTCTGGATGCAGATGGAATTGTTATAAATGTTTATCATTTCGTATTTTTTGCTAGTTTCCAAATTTGGACTTTTCGTGAAATTGGTCTTCATGTTGTAGTTGAAAGTAATGGGAAAGAATTCTAATTACAATACTTGTTCGTATTAGTCGTATCTAGACTTGTTTGGAATGATAGTTCTGACATTAAGGATCACTGGGAACCTAAAGTTAAGAAAATCATAACACTTAAAGCACTTTTTGAACGAGCTCCCATTTCATAGTGCAACAAAGGGCAGAAATTGGATCTTATTCATTCTCCTGTTAAGGATTCGTTTAAACAGCCACTACACGAATCATTTGTTTCGGCACAATCTACAAAGGCGTTAGTACATTCTTAATTGTTGAATCATCAAGGTGGCATGATGAAGCTATATTGTCCTTGCATTAAAGTAACCCAGCACAAATATTGTCGGCGCATTCAATCAATTTATGAATTTTTGTTCAATCAAAAAAATACCTACTTCACTTTTGAACTCTCTCTAATCGGACCCGTACACCACCCTCTTCGTCTTGCTTTTCAAAATCATGTCATCGAATCCAACAGATGCTCTTCTTGAAGAAGGTAAGTAAATAATAATACTTGCAAATGCTGATGGATGCATTATTTCAAACACGGACATTTTAATTTTCATTCTGAATGATGATGAACGTAAATTCCTATGTGTGATGAACGATATCTTTTTCTTCCATTTTCTTTCTCCATAATTTCCAATACACTTTATTCATCATCATTTTGATATTCATCCCTTCATTCCAACAACACTAGCTGCTCAATCCACCATCATGATGGAAAATTTTGAAAAAGTTGGTGTGGAACAACAAGAACCACTCACAGAAGCAACCATGCCATCTTCCTTTTACATTCCTAATGAAGTGGATGTTTTTACAGTCTTCATCAAGGCTCTCTCGGGAAGCAAGTTGAAAGTACAAATTACAAAAGGAGACTCGACAATAGAAATTAAACAACTGCTTGCCGAGTGCATTGAAACATGTTACATGACAAATTATGAGTTCAAAGTGAAGGGAAAAACATTGAATGACTTTTCCGAAATTGCAGACTATCCAGAAATTGTGGACGGAGTGGAAATTACCATGAATGCTCTTCCCTACGATGCAAAATCTGCTCGTGTTCATGTGTATCGCCTCAGAGAACTTCTCTATTCAAAGGTCAATGAATTATATTTGAGTACAGGAATTATCCATTCTCCTTCTAAACATACTCAACATTCGTATCCTTCCTTCATTTCTTCAGTCATTTCGGAGCCTTACAATGATTTGGGTCATGCCTTGAACTGCGACTTGGAGTTGCTACAATTGGAGGGACAACCAATGAGCCTAAATGCATTTACTCCATCCACTAGTGCTTCTTCTGAGGAAGGAAAAAAGAAGAAGAAGAAGAAATCATCAACAAGTGCTTCAACAAAAGTGGACCGTGTGGAATTGAAAACACCCGTACTCATGGATGAAGAGGAAATGGCCTCTCATAATGGAGAGTCAGGAGATATTAAGGCATCATCTACCAATGGTTCGGACGCCACTACTAGCGAAAAGAAGCAACAAGGCTTTACTAACAAGATTAGTGTTGTGGAATTGCCTCAAACTCCCGATGAATTTAATACCAAGAATTTATATGATCCAGAGTCTTTCAAAATGGCCTCTTTGGAACCTATCATTATGCTTTCCAATACTGACCTTCCAAAATGTTTGAAGAGTATTACCTTCTCTGCATGGAATCCTGTGCCAGAGAGTAGAAAATTGAAGGGAGACTTGTTCTACTTGCAAGTTGAAACTTTGGAAAATACTATTGTGCATTTGACAGCTAACGCCTCCGGTTTCTATGTGAATGGCACGAAGGGAAGTAAATTCAATCCAATGCCAGCAAATAAGCCACACAAGAATCAAACCTTGTTGGGACTATTGTGTGATATTTCACCACTCTTTAGAACCAATTTCCCAAAGCTTTTGACTGCTCGACATAGAAAGCATCCTTTCGAGGTCACTCCTGTTCCATTCTCTGTGAATCAATGGATTAACATTGAGGAAAAGCATGAATATGATCCAAACAGAGCAGAAGAATCATTCTTTACCATGCTTGGATCTGACCCACGAATTCAACAACGAGAATGGAATGAAGAATATCAGAGCTGTAAGGAACTTCCTTCTGGAACCATGGAAGATCGATTGACTCGTGATCGAACTCTTTTCAAAATTCACTGCGATTTTGTTGATTCAGCTGTGAAGGGAGCTCGAGCAGTCGTAGAAAAGTACCTCTTACCAATTAATCCTATTGACAAGAAGACTTCACAAGTTTACATTCAGAATAATATTTTCTTCAGTTTCTCCATCAATAGTGATGATCCCAATGAAGACAATGACTTGGATAAATTTGCCTATCAAAATGCCAACAATGATCTCAAGGGAGTGATGGCCTTCAATGAGGCAGATGTTCGAGGCATTCATACACTTGCTTCTGCCATTATTGACTATAGAGGTTATAGAGTAGTAGCTCAAAGTATTATTCCTGGAATTTTGCAGGGTGATCAAGGTTCCAAACATGTGTACGGCTCCATTGATGAAGGTAAATCATTTGTCACGGATCCAAAGTATCATGAACTCATGAAAGAAGCTGCAGAAAAGCTTCACATTAAGGAACACATCATTATTGATGAGAGCGGAAAGGAACACATTCTTGCTTGTCCTGCTGAATGTAAGGGTATTGTTGGCTCTGATGGACGTTTCTATGTGTTGGATTTGATCAAGACCACACCAAGGGACATGAACTTTCCTGATCTCAAGCCAGCCATTTTGAGACCTGAACTTGTTCAAATCTATGTCGCTGCTCATTCGCAAAAGACAGCAACAACCACAGAAACTACCGAGAATCAAGATGCAGTTGTAGAGAGTGCCAACGATTCCACAACAGAAAATCCATCCATTGAGGAGCAATCATCGACCATGAGATTCAATACTGACGTCTTCTCTCAAAACAAGGTTGGCGGCACAGAAGAACAAATTCAAAACGACAAGGACGAAGTTACAAAGCTTGCCAAATACCTCATGGAAGTAGTCTTGCCAAAATTTGTCAAATCCTTCAAAGTGAAGGAAGAAAATCCTTTCGATGGTAAATCACTCACTGATGCCATGCATGAAAGAGGTATTAATATGAGATATTTGGGCTCAGTGGCAACCATGGCCTCTGAGAATGGCATTCCTCATCTTGTTTCCATGAGTGAGCAAGAAATGGTCACCCGAGTCGCCAAACATGTTTTCAACAAGCACTTGAGAGGTGTTGAGGAAGGAACAATGGCCACATTCATTGCTAGATTTATGAATTTATTATTGGGAAGTAATGTTCCAACGATTGAAGAGTCAAAGAAATCATCTCTTGCACCCTATGAAACCCTCACTCAAGCTCAACTCGTCTCACAAATTAAGGATGAAGTTAAAAATCACTTCAAATACGAGTTACCAGAAGGTTACATGACCAAATTGCAAAAAATCTCCACTGTGAGAAGTTTCTGCATGAAAACCGGAATTCAAATGGCTCTTCGTGAATATACTCTCAATTCTCCAGCTCCATTCACAGCCAATGATGTCTTGGCTTTACAACCTTTGGTCAAACACAGCACACCACGATCCAAGACAGCATACAGCTTGTTAGAAGTTGGAAAACAACAACTCACAAAGGGTAACTTTGAAAAGGCATTTGAATTCCTCTCACAAGCCATCATCATGTTCCAACAAATTAAGGGACCCATGAACAATGAAGTGGCTACCTGCTTTAGTTATCTTGCAACCATTCTCTTCAATGCATCGGATTTACCACAATCCTTCTTGCATCAACACAATGCATTACTCATTGCTAGAAGAGTTATGGGTATTGACAGTTCCATTATTTGTCAAATTCATCAATTACTAGGATTGTTGTGCTTTAATGTTGGTCAAGCTGAGTTTGCTTTGAAGCACTTTTTAAGAGCTAGGTACATGCACTTGTTGTGCTGTGGATTTGATCATCCTGATCTCGCTCATATCATGCTTAATATTGCAATGATGTATCAAGATATGGGAGACCTTCCAAGATCTCTCAAATACTTGTTGGAAGTGTTGAGAATTTATAATAGTACTCTGGGTGAAACCTCTGATCAAGCTTGCAGCACTCTCCATGCCATTGCCATGACACACAACTTTTTGAGACAATACAAGACTGCAGCAACCTATGAGAGAAAGAACTTTATCATCTTGAAGGAAAAGTATGGTGAAAATGATGCAAAAACCAAGTCTTCACAACAATGGTTCGAACACTTTACGGGAAGAGCTGTTGCTGTCGAAAGAGAACTCAAGCAGGGAGAGCAAGAAGCTATGAAATTGTGGAATCTTCAGCAATCAATGGCATCCAATCAAACCTTTAGCAAAAAGCCACCTCTTGAAATTTTGAACTTGTTGAAAGAGGATGAACAAAAACTATCCAATTTAATTTTCCCTCAACCTAGTGCCTCCACAGATAAAAAGACATCTAAATAATAAACATGTCCATGATTAATATTTCGGTTAATGATTTAATTTCAACATGCCATTCATGAAGAGGAAGGCTTCATCAAGAAATAAGGTTTCCCCAACTTCCATGTCAAGCCGTAATAAAATTCATTACTGTCCTCATCCAACTAAATATAGAGGAATAATGACATCCAACTCTGTTATATCGTATTCAAACTATTAATCATGTCTAACCATTCTTGAGTGCAATGTCTTGGATTGGTATGGTCAAAGAGTGTGACATCATATCCAACAAATAAGCCAGCAAATTTGGTGGCCCAACCATTGCTGCATTCTCCCTGATGGATTGGAAAGCCTTTTTTCAGTCTGGTGGCCATCTTGTATCCATCCACAAGGATCATGATATGCCAATAAATAAAGATAGGGAGGGCCAAAAATCCAAAACCCAAACAACACATGAAAGCCATAACCAAACTCACAAGCAAGTAGGCAACCCCTTTTCGATCCTGACCCATGAGAATATGGCCAAGTCCAAACAATGTAATATTCATCAAGACAGTAAATATTGGTTCACAAAATACGGAATGATTGGGTATGATCCACAATTTTGGGTCAAGAAATTGACTCTCATTCACAACCTTAATTCGATCACATGGATTTTGTTGTACGTAATGAGGCAATGAATATTCATCAATATATAACTCTTGAAATTTGTGATTGGATCGGGGATGAGTGTCATGGAGGTGAGGGTGATGATTGGTTGAAATTGCATGATGTTGGGAGGAATGGTGAGGTAATGGTGATATGGAGGAATTTGAATGTTGTTGTTGCTGTTGTTGTTGTTGAGCAATGAGCTCTCGATCAAAACTGGTCTCTATTAAAGCGGAAGATTTTTCAATACTACTACTTGATGCATTTTCTTTGGAGGAAGAATTTGGTTGTTGAGAAGCATCCGCTCCATGATGATGATGATATACTTGACCATGAGGGAGAGAGGATGGTGTTTGAAAATACAAAAATTGGGAATGAGGTGGTGGTTGGAAATGTTGAGCATGATGATGAGGATATGGTGGATGATGATGAGATTGGGAATGATTCATCATGGTAAATTCGGAATGATGATGATGATGAGGTTGAAAATAAATTCCATGATGATGCCGATGATTAGGATTGGCTTGATGAGATGGGAGGTAATAGATGTAGGTGGGCGACGGCGAGCCATCATCGGTTTCTTCAAAATGATCTTGATTGTTATTATTATTATTAGTATTATCATGATTGGTAATTGTTGTTGATGAATCTATCATTGAATCTACTCTCTCATCCATCGGAGTCCTTGAGTGTTGCTGTTGCTGTTTCCTTTCAACCTCCTCCGATGATGAATGTGTGGAGGTCGTTGAATTGACCATTTTTTTTGGAAACTTGTTGGAAAGTTTGGACGGGCTTCGAACTCGTGTCACATTAAAACAAAATGTAGATTTTGTTGTGGGCAGCGTTTGGATTGAAAATGGAGAGTTTTTGGTTTAGAAAGAGATTGAGAAATTAGTTACGCACGGAACGAGAGTTGGGAGTACATGTGTGTTTGCAACGGTTGAAATCTAAAAGACATGATCTCGAGCTCAGTTCATTGTTTGTGCACAAGAAGATTTTTCATCCATAATATTATAATCTCTCTTGTACCAAAAATTCAGTCAGCTGTCAAACATTTCACACCAACAAAAAATGCTGCCAAACACAACCCGAGTAAACAGCAAACACCGATTCACAACCATCTCCATACTCTGTACCATGATCGGTTCCATCATTGTTTTACTCTTTTCCATTGGATATTTAACGTCATTAATCATTTTAACAGCACAACAAAAATTTCTTTTGGAAGTTTCTGATAAATCCGATGGCAAAATGTTACTCGCTGTTGAATTTTCTGCATCCATAATATTTCTCATCATGAGCGTTATTGGAATATTTTCAGTGATTGATTGTTGTTCAAACATGTCCTCTCCAAAATATTTCAATGCATGTTCCTATATTTGGACCATTAGTATTGGAATTAGTTGGATCATTATATTTGTGATGATTGGAGTTTATGGAAGTAAATTGGACAAGACCTTGAATTCGACATTACCCAAAGATGAAAAAGATTATCATGTATTATATTTTGCGAGTATTTTGGGAGTGACAAGTGGCGTTTTTTTATTGTGCTGTTTGCCATTGTGTTGTTGTGGAATTGGTAGAATTATTGTCACCATGAAAAATTCACAAAGTACGAAATATAGACCTGTTCTCGAGAGCGATGAAATTTTTGATTAATATCAAAATCACATGATTCGGAGAGTGATGATGAAATGCACCCAAACAATTTTGCGCACGAATATAAATACATGTTATAACTTAATATTTATTTTGAAATCAATTGAAAAACATTGTTGTTTATATGCTTGGTTGGCATGATATTCTAGGAGAGATGTCAGTGATTATTATGGTACTGCAATTTGAATGAATCGTAAATGTCACATGTGACATGAATCTAGTACACTTGGTTAACACAGAGATCCACTTGCAACCATTCTCCTTTTCATGACATCAAATTGTGTTTCAATAATTCCAAGATCTCCTGCAGCCAAAAACATTCTCTCATCGTCTCCCATCATTCCACCACTACTTGGTTTAGAAAAACAAAATCCATTAATGCTTCCATCAAGACCAGCTGGTAATTCAGAATTGGTGTAATCAGAATTCCACAGTGAGAAAATACTTTGTCGTTCTTCAGCTGTGGTGGGAGGGAAAATTGAAAAGCATTCTCGATCTGAATAGTTTTTCGATGCATCCACCACATGGAAACACAACTTGTGTTCTGAAAATATTAATAAATCATTGCCAGCCACGGTCGCATATTTCACAACACGAACACTTTGATTTTTCTTGGGAACATTCTTTCGATGGATACTGAGTTTGGTGAGAGGAGGCGTATTGGATCCACATTTTCGAACATCCCACACAACAACAGTTCCTTCTTGAGATCCCACAGCTATTTCTCGTTGATTAGGACTAAAGCACACAGAAAATGCTGCCTCATCGTAGCCACCTGAAAAAGTTCCAATTGGTAAACATGTCTTGGCGTCATAGAGTACAGTTTCTGTATTGTCCCCACAACTAGCAAGTAGGGAACCGTCAGAATTGGTTGAACAATAATTTACAGGTGATTTTGCTTGGATTGAGGAGGTGGCGATTCGGTGATTATGTACAGATACGGATTTGATGGTCTTGTCATTGTTTCCAACGAAAATTTGAATATTGTTTGAGGTGGCACTTGTCGATGAGGAGTGTGGGCTAATGTGACAACCATTGTTGATTTGCCCTCCCAGTGACATGTCCTTAAACAAAAATTTTCCTGCCTGAATATCTAGCAATGAAAGCTCGCTTTCATTTCCACCTAGTGCAATGATGTTGTTATGAACATGCATACAAGTTGGCTTAAATCCCAGTTTTGATATTGGAACAGCTCTTCTCTTTGAAATGTCATACATTAGGCATTGATTATTATTTACATAGTAAAGATATCCTCGATCTTGGGTGTTTCTAGATGAAGAATTGGTAGGTAACGAGCGACTAGAGAATTCTACAGGAATCAAGTTGCTACCATGTATGATCATTTGGTCATCATCGAGTTGCATGATAAATTCGTCCTCATTATCGTCGTCGTCTTCATCTCTCATCGAGTGAGGTGTCAAATTCTGAAAAGTCTCTCCTACAAAATTCTCACATTTCCAATGACTAAAATGAATCAAGTCTCGCAATTGCCAATGATGATGAGCAGGTTTTCGACGCATATGGTGCAGTTTTGAAAGTGGCGAATTTGAAATCACGTCACTGCCATCGTCTCTAGTGTGATGCGCAAAATCCACAAGATGATGATCTTCATTCCACCACCGATAGAGAGGCGAGAAGAATTGTGAGGTCGAAGGCAATGTTCTATGCATTTGCGGTCTACTTTTTTCAATATTTTCCTTCTCTTTTTCCAGATTGATATGTTCGAAAATTTGTTCCAAATCATGAGAAGCAGCGTCCGACTGTCCAGACATTAACATTTCAAAGAGGGAATATCTTGGAGGTTGAATTCCAAAACTTGAAATGAATCTTTCATTCTCCTGATCCTCATAATTACCACTACCACGTTGTCGATCATTGGTCATTCTTCTCAAGTCAGACTCACGTCGTTGATTTCTTGGATTGTTGGACGGATTCACCAAGACACGAAAGGGTGAGTGTGATGCCTGAGGTGTTGTAGTTGTTGATGAAGTGGATGAAGGCTCTGCTGTTGTAGATGAAGCAGTGGTTCCTCTTCTTGATGATGAATTGGTTGAAGTCGATGATGTCGATGATTGCTGCCTCAACAAATTGGCTCTCCTCCGTAACACGGCAAACATATTTAAAGGATTTTCATCCTCTTCGGAATCGGCTTGAATATTTCTTTCCATTAATATTTGAACAATCTCCGAGGGTCTGATCCGATGCATCAATCCACTACTACCTTCTTGTAGTGCATCATCATCACTGCCTTCTCCGCCACTGCTGTTGCTGCTGCCGCTATCGCTGTCGTGCACATTCCGCAAACGAGAAGGATTCATTCGGTGATCACTCATTTTTTTGTTCAATCTAAAATTGGCAGCGAGAAGAATTTCGAGCCAATTGTCAGAGAGATGTGTTTTGTCCTGCAAGGAAGGAAGGATGAATAAGCATGTTTCAATTCTTGTAAAGAGACAAAATCTGATATAATTTAAACGAAGAATGTTTCCTTCATGTTCATGTTTGGTCAATTAAACTAGACTTATATTTATCATGATCCTGAACAGTTCAATGCATTTCTATCGTTTGAACAGTGATCCTTAATACAATCTTTTCTACCATTATTCAGAAAACATCCTCGTAGGCGCGCACCCTAGTCACACAGCACATGTTTTTTTAACAAACTCTTTTTAATTTGTCTTTAAATAAGGTCCACACAATTTCAAACTTGTCTCATATAAGGTGTCTTGCAATTCTTGATCGTCAGCAAATGCATTGGCTCGAGCCAGTTTTGCATCCGCATAGTAGCCGCCATTAACCAAATCTTTTTGTGGAGCAAGAGCTACGTGGAGTGTTGTTTGTGCTCCTTGAAAAGCGTTCTTTGAGAAATACCATGCCAAAGGAGCATAGATCAAGTTGAACATGCCCATGTGTCTCGTGAGATTGGTTCGAACTGAGCCCGGATGAACACTGTAGGTAGTGGCACTAGTGGTCGAGTCCTTTGACAATTCTCGTGCTAATTTTCGAGAGTACAACACATTGGCAAGCTTACTTCGTCCATAGAGCTCAAAGATATCTGCTACATCCTTGCAGTCACCCTTGACAACATTCTCCTTGAAGGAGCAGAACCCTTCAATGTCTTTCTTTCCCTTACGTAATAACCAAATGGAGGCAATTGAGGAAACGTTAATAATTCTACCATTACATGATTTGATATTATCCATCAATAGCTCAGTCAATAAAAAGTGACCCACATGATTTGTACCGAATTGAATTTCAATACCTTGTTTGGTGACTGAATGTGGACACATCATGATTCCAGCATTATTAATCAAGTAGTCACATCGCTGATAATTCTTTTTAAATTCTTCAGAAAATTTCTTAACACTCTCCAAATCAGTCAAATCAATAGACATGACCACAATTTGTCCCTTCTTCTTCTTATTGGCTATATTCACCCTTGGAGGCTCATCCATCATGAGCTTCTTGGCAAACTCTCCAGCTTTTTGATCCCGAACCGCTAAAATAACATCAGATCCCAATTCATACATGACCTTTGCGGTTTCATATCCAATGCCTCCATAGGAAGCACCTGTTACAATCGTTACTCGGGATGATAAATCCGATTCGTGCAATAACTTCTCATCAACCACTCCTCCATTAAAATAGACTTTTCCCATGTACAAGCCAAGAGCTCCTGCAGCAGTAGCTCCCATAATTTTATAAATCCGATTCATATCATAGCCTTCCGTCATGAAGGAGTACACATAAGATAAGATGTCGAAGAAATTTGAAACATTCTCTTTGATTTGTTGGAACATTTTTTTTAATATCGAGAGGTCTTATTGTGTTCTCCTGATTATTCACCAAAGAAAACAATTGAATACCATACTGATTTAATGAAAAGGTTCCAATCCGTAAGTCGCATGTCCTCGTTCTCGCTCTTCAATCAAAATGAGAAAATTCTCAGAAAATAACAAGGTTGTTACATTTTCAATTCAAATATTAAAAAAAATCATTTTAACAAAGATGACAAAACCTTCGCCGTCTGTGATGGACGACGCTCCTGAACAGGAGGGTTCTGCAGTGCACAACCATTCCAACAACAGAGCCACTCTCAATAATTTTGAATCATCGGAATTAACATCTTCTCCTCGTCAGCCTTCTGCTTTCAACCATTCCACTATAATGACCACCTCAACAACAGCACTCATGAATACAAGTCGTACTAATGTGGCTCCGAATAATTTAACAAGTCATGAAACTACATCTTCCAATCTTCCTCCATCGTTTGAAATTACTTGGCAAAATTTAGACAAGTTCAAATACTACTCCATTGGACTAGCTGCAACGAGTACGACACTCGCACTCTTTTATCCTTTTGATTTGATAAAAACTCATCAACAAATGAATAGTGGAAGCTCCATCAAACAACGTGCAATTTTTAAAAATTTATTTAAAACTTATGGTTTTCGAGGCTTGTACAAGGGATTTGCAATTTCCTTGTTAGGAGCTTGCTCTATTGAGAGTTTATACATGTCGACATATGAAATTGCCAATCAAGAATATTTAAATAGAAATAGCAGTAATGATGAAACTAATGATTCTTTGAAAAACAACAATATGGCAGCTCAAAGAGAAAGTGATAGTACAAGTTTTAATCGATACTTTTTGGCTGGTCTCTCAGCAGATATCATTGCCAATACGTTGGTAGTTCCATTTGATGTGATCTCTCAAAGAATGATGATTTCAACAGTGAAAGATTTATCTTCCATTCATATCATTCGAGATATTTTAAACAAAGAAGGATTCAGAGGTCTTTATAGAGGTTATGCATGGTCCTTGTGTAAATTTGCTCCAGAATCTGCATTGTGGTGGGGAATTTATGGTCTATTAAGGAAAAAGTATTTTGAGAGCATTGTTATTGAGGACTCTCAAAGGAATGGCAATCAACTGGTGAAACATCAACTCTTTTCGTCGGCATCTTCTGGAATATTGGCCGGAACCATTTGTGCGATTGTATTCAATCCATTAGATGTCATCAAAACTCGACTTCAAACTTTTGAACAGAAAATGACATTCAAGCAAGTCATTACAGAGCTACATCGGAGTGATGGATTAGTGAAAGGACTTTCGAAAGGAATACTTCCAAATATTATTTTCATGGCGAGCACTTCCTCTCTTTCCATCACAGTTTATGAATTGGTCAAGATTTTATCGAAAACTAGTTAACCATGGTTTGGTCAATCCATTTTGATGCTTTGTGAATTTTTACAGGACATTATGTGTGAACAGAAAACAACAATGAAACTCGCACAATTCCATGGGAAGAATTGAAAAACAGGAACAGTGATCTAATGATAATAATCATCAACTTCATGCGAGGTTTGATCGATTTCAAATAAAATCATTTAATTGGTGCCAATCAAGAGATTTTCACCTTGCTGAACATTCTTGACAAGTGACAGAACGGGCAACCAACAACAGAAAAAAACACACCTCTCATCACACCCACTACTTTGGGAAAGGATTCGAATTGTTGTTGCTTGTGTCTCTGGTGCGATTTCATCAAGCAACATCATCAACAAATATTACATCGGTTCAATTCATCTCGATTCCATTTCCTTTTTGATACATTATTCAATTTCATCATCATTCCAATATTTTTATAATTAAACACCGAATCTTGTTAAACGAGCGCCGGCTCTTGAACCTTGAACTCTATAATAATCATTGATTACATACAACTTTTGCCAACTATCATTTTGATTTTATTGAAACATTTTAAAAACATATCTGTTGTGTCATCATCAACAACATCTCTCTCCCAACAATGGTTCATTTCAATTCAGCATCCGATACTAAGAAAGCCACATCAGCAGCTTTAGCACAAGAAGAAGACTCTCCTTACTACAATGATAATAACAATGACTCCTCCGATGATGACAACGACACTTCGGGAGTAGACATGACATTTTCACAACTTTATGAAATGATGCGCACTCAACAGACGGTTCCAGCGAATATCATTTTGACCTTATCGAAGAAGGATCTTGTTTTGTGTGAATTGAAGGTAAGTGTTGAATTTTGGTGTTTGGTGAGTCATGATGAAATATGTGGCAATCCATCACATATGATGGGTGTGTGTGAAAATGCAACAACAACTATGAATACATGGTCGACCACTGACTATAATGATTCGTGGCGTGTGCATGGAAATGGAATTAATATGATGATGTGCATGACCACACCTCCTTCATATGGATGGATAAAATGAAAAACTGTCCGAATGTTGCTGCTGCTGCTGCTGCCTCAATGACCTTCCAATTCACGCAACTCATCGTGAAATTCTCATATTTTTCTCGATGACGACAACGACGACGACTACAATTCATCATTATTTCATTTCGCATTTCACGATTCAAATGTTTCATTCTCATAGAGAGAGGGAATGGCCTCTCAATTCAAACGAGATGCACAATATTGGTACGACACTCTGAGCGTTTTCACTTACAAATCGAATCAAGATTTCCTCATGAGTGATTTCACACTTTGTTCTGATATTAATGAAAAATTTAAATTGATTGATCTCGAACGGAAAAGAATTGACATTTTAAGAAGAATATTTGTAGTGTTGCGATATGGAGATTTGTTATTTAGAAAATCAAAGAAAACAAATGATTGGATGTTATGGAATGAATTGAAAGGTTTGCCTATTGCAACAGCCATGTCACATGGTTCTAGGATTATCATTCAATTACCAAAATCAGCAAACACCACACAAAAGAAGGGAATTTTTAAAAAATTATTTAAAAAGGATGAGTCGTCACATGATCATGGATTTTGGACATGGTTATTATGTGGAGATGAAAATGCAAGTTTAGACATGTACTGTACACCAGAATTGACCAATGGATCTGTAAGTTTAAAGGAAATGGAATGGATTTGAAGAAATTTATCAACAATTCACACATATCATGATGAAATCTTCATTGTATCCATATTAATATTCCAATCATGATGAATTCAAACAAAATCATGATGAAAATTCAACCCCTCGCTCCTACAACACTGAATTGAAACCAAATGATGATGAAAATTCAATTCAACCCTTGCTCCTACCCTAACACCTTTTTCACACAATGAAAAACACACATTCTTAGGAAGCTGCAAAGAAAGGATTTCTCGTTTTCAAACGAACTGCAGCGACACATAGTTTAGGTTATTACACGGATGAAATTAAGGAAGACAACAACTCGGTACAATTTTCACCATCGAGTCCCACGACTAGTTCGACAACAAACTCTTCAACGACCTCCAGTACAACCTCTACAAAAAAGAAAAAAGTGAAACAACTTCGACAAATTAGTGTCCAATACACGGATCAAAACAATCAACGAGGAACCATGAAAAAGCTCAAAGACATTGTTGAAATTAAGGAAAAAATTGGATTGAATACTCGAAATTCCAAACTCATTGGAAGCAAGGAAGAAGTCATGTTAAAACATAGACATTGGGGTCTCAATATTTGCATGGGTGGATTTGGAAAACAATTGCCCAATTTCCTTTCACATAAGGAAGCAAAGAAAGCTCGAAAAAAAGGACCCAAAAAGGGAGCCAAAGTTACCTACACGACGGCTGAACCCACTGGTGAACACAGTCATCTTTATTTGTATTACATGTCTCCAGGACCCAATCGTTATGGTGGTATCATGATTGGCGTCGAAGGTTCAGAACCTGGAAAAAAAGATCAATCGGGTGAGACTCATGGAATTACTGCTGGGTCTCCTTTCATTGGCGTGACCGATGGTATGAAATGGAACAAGATTAAGGACATGGGCATGGAGGAATATCCAGACAAGTACGATTCGTTATTTATTGACTTGTCATCGGGATGGGAATTTTTGAAAGAGAAAGCAAAGGAGTGGCGTGACGAAATGGTCATGGATACTATTTATGTGAAACCAGTCAAAGATGCTGAAGAAGAAGCCCACGTGAAAGAACAACAATATCAAGAAGAGGAAGCAGATAATTATTGAAATTTTCTCTCTCTCTCTGCACGCTTCTGTAATGATTTAGTGAGGCAGCAAATTTCATCATAAAAGCCATTATCAATAAAGCTTTTTAGAACTTGCCTCTTCACGAAAACGTTAAGAACGGCAATTTTTTAAGGACAACAACAAAAAAATGTTACCCAATTCAGAAACCTCTACCTCTACGACGATCGGACAGCCTCAACCGAACAACACTCTGAGGGGTGAGATGGATAATGATGATGAAAGAGAGCAACAAGTTGTGTACACATATACTCTGGATCATCTGAATAATAATTTGTCTTCTAATTCTATGGATGAGAGTCCAAGCCTTAATCGTTTTCTTCCATCTTCACCTACCTCATCATCGGCATCTTCAAGCTTTGCCATTGTAAATTCCCACCTTGATGATGAGAGTAGAGATAACGTACTGGTTGGTACTGAATTGTTTAGTAATGATTTGGAGGGCAAAGAGAGGCAAGTAGATTTGTCCTTTTCAGAATTGTCAAAGAAACGGACCCGACAGATTAAGGTGGAAGAATTACGTAAGAAAGAGGCTGCCTACAAGCTCTTGTTAAAGAATGAGGAAAAGAAGAAACGCCGTATGCAAAAAGCTATAGATCAAAAGATGGAAATTGTAAGTATAGGTCTTTATTATTTCAAACATTACTGACGAATCGGAACATTCTCACCCAACACGAACATTGAACCCAAAAACAATCTACATTCCCAATCAACAGGAAAAGGAAAAGAAGAGACTAGAAATGGCTGAGAAGACACTCGACAATATCACCATTTGGAAAAAGATTGAGGAAACACGAAAAAAAAATGTTCAGAAGAAAATTGCTCTCTTGCAAAGCAGTGCGTTCAATGTGTACATGTCCAAGGTAAACCTCATCAAAAAATTGACAGAAATAGAGGGTATGTTTATTTTCCAAATTTTGTTACATGTAATATCTCGGAATCATTATTGTATGGATTTCAAACTTGTTGGTAACGGTTTTCCCCAATCCAAGTCAAAGAAAGCCTGAATCAAATCGTTTCCGAGCTCCATGCTAGCCCTTCCAACCATCAACAAAGCCTACTCTCACATGAACAAGTTAAAAAACAAGCACGAGAAGAACAACGAAAAATTGTACAAGAGCAAGCAAACCACCACGCAAAACATCATCATGTATCAAATATGTCATCAGAGACATCCATACATTCGACATCTAAATTCGCTCAAAATTTGCAACTGCTTACTTCTCTCTCTAAAACAGAGGAAGACAAGGAAATCGATCAAAGCACTCGTAAATACCTCAAAAATTCCATGCAACATCGTCATGACTCTATAGTGCAAGCTCACAAACACTCTGAAGAGATCAATAACAAGGTGATTGAACAATTAATCCTTTCCAAAAAGCAGCAAGTGGAGTCTGAATTTGATAAGAAGATTGTGCATGATCATTTGGAGAAGGTTAAGAAACTCACATACGCCTCCAATGTTGTGGGATTAGAGAGTGAAGCTTTGAAAGAACTACTCGAACTTCCAGAAGAGCAGTTTGAGACAGATATTGGAGTGGCAGATGCGGAAATGGATTCCATCCGGGTGGAAATTTACAATTTGGAAGCCAAACGAAGACAGAATCAATCAAACCATTCTCAACACAAGCTCGAAATTAAGGAATTCATAGAGGTGGGCGAACAAAAGAAGAAACGATTCAAACAAGTCTTGCCCAAACTAAAACAAGAGCTACAAATTATTAAGCAAGAAGCTGCTCAATACGAGGAAGAATATGGAGGCATGTCTCTCACTACAATGGACGAACAAATGACTGCCAACGTACAAGAAATGAAACGTCTAAAGAGCGAGGGAGATCAAATTCTTGTGGACCTCCAAAGCTCCTTGCAACAAACACGGCAGGAGCTTGAGAGTCAAATTGAAGACCTGACACTTGAAGTTGCAGAAGCGGAGAAGAAGGCTCAAGAATGCCAAGAGAAGGTGAATGATGCATGTGCACGGGAGAAATCAAGGGAGGAGCGCCTTACTTACATGCAGCAGTCAATTGAAAAACTGAAAGATGGATGTCAAAACTTTGCCTCCAACTTTGAAAAGAGAAAGAAACAAGCTCACATTCAAACCAATCAAAAGTATGCTGAAATTATCATGTTCCATGACTTGAAGAATATCATGGAAAAAGCAAAGAGATACTACACACTGGAGTTGGGCACAGCCTTGAAAGACAATACATCACTCATGGAATATTTAAACACGAGAGTGAAGAATTTGAAAGAACGATTGGCTGTTTCTGAGCAAGCCATGCAAAAAAGTATCGAGTATGCTACCTTTTTGAAATCTCTCACTCATGATAGTGTCTATTTGGAACATACAGTCATGTCCAAGTATTTGGAGGTACGCGATCAAATTGTCACAGGTTGGCGAAAATCTCTCGAAAGTAAGGTTCGACTCGTGGCACAACAAAATTGTAGACCTTTTATTGAGAGAGAAAGAGCCACTTCGGTTGTGAAACGATTCATTAATATGGTATGGATGAGAGACATGTACAAGTCAGCCATTGGTGTAATTATAAAACCCGAAGACGCCTCAGAACGAGACCGCGATTTGGAACGAGTACGACAACAGGTCGAGCAACAAACATTTAAGGAACAACGGCTTGCAGTGCTACTTCTCGAGTTGTATCGAAGGTATGAAAAACAACGCCTCGAACAAGAGCCCGAAAAAGTCAAACAAGAGGAAAAACAACGAATTATGGAAATAACAAGGGCTGTGGAGAGACACAAACAAGAACTCCTCGATAAGATCCAGTACGAATCAGAGAGCGATGCCGAAAGTGATATTGAGGATTCAGATATTGAAACAAATTCAGAGAGTGACTACTTTAGCGAGGAGGAAGACCAATTTAACTTTGACATTCCATCTCATGTAGACGTGATTAAGGAAGAGTTTGACGCGCTAGTTGAAAACATTAAGGGTCAGTCACAAACACGAATTCATGAAGAACTCGAGGAGGTCAACCCCACACCAGAGTCGGGCTTACTTGGAAAGGGTTACTACAAGCGAGGGAAAAACTTTCGTTTGTCCTTCGCACCCGAAGAACAGACAAGTACAAGAAAATGATGGCCTCTCGCAAAGTTGGTTATTCCTTCTTGGAGAAAGGCAAGCCATCGGTCAATGAACAAGAGAGAGATGTGAAAAAGCAACGCATCTTGCTCGTTACTCAAAAAATCATGAAATCTGTACAAGACTATATTGACTTTTCTAAGGTCGATAAAAAGATGGAAAGTGTGGTCATTCCCAACATTAAGAAGCAGCAAGAACACCAGGCAAGACTTGAGAGCAACCTAAACAGAAACGAACAAATCAACAGAGTGCCAGTTACCACTTCTCAAATTAAACAAGGTATCAACCAGGTGACAAAGCAAGATCAACCACTACTAGGCACTGTCTCATTTGCCTCCATACCAGTTATTCGTCCAACATCCATCTTTGGTGATTAGGTTGGTGAAGCTGTATTGGGTGTTATCGAAAGCAAAATTTTGGGCAGCATAAAAATACAACGCAGAATTATTCAAAAAAATGTTCAGATCATCCGCCTTGTCAATTCACAAAATTATTGCCAACACCGTTTCTAAATTAAATTTACACAATCATTATCAACAAACAGCTAATCGATTAGCGTCATCTTTGAACAATAATTATCATCATCACAAAAGCAACCACCAATTGTTTTTATTAAACTCAACATCATCATGCTTATTTTCTGTAACACAAAGGAATATTTTCATACGATCGAGCGAGACGCCCAATCCCGCAAGTATGAAATTCTTTCCCACTGAATTTAAAGTTTTAGATGAAAAAGAGTATCCCGACATTTCCAGTCTTGAAATTTCAAACCCACTTCAATCCTATGTTTCACCACTCGCAAAATTATTATTTAAAATTGATGGAGTGAAGGGAGTGTTTTTGAGTCGTGACTTTGTAACAGTGACCATTGATGATCCTTCCATGTGGTCGCAGGTAAAACTAGAAGTATTTTCAACATTGAATAATTTCTTTGAGAATGGAGGAGTTGTTTTGAATCGAGATGCCAAGCCAAACGAAGACACCATGATTCAGGAGGGTGATGACGAAGTGGTCATTGCAATCAAGGAAATTTTAGAAACTCGAATTCGTCCCATGGTTCAAGAAGATGGCGGTGATATTGTCTTTTCTCGATTCGATTATGACACTGGTACTGTCTACGTCAAGCTTCAAGGCAGTTGTGCTAGTTGTCCAAGCTCAACAGAAACACTCAAGAATGGTATTGAAAACATGCTCATGCATTACGTGGCAGAAGTTGAACGTGTCGAGCAAGAGTTGGACCCACTGGAAGCTGTCAGTGAAGAGCAGCTTAAAAAGACTGAGGAAAGAATTGCAAAAGAAAAGAACATTGTTGATCAGTTTATGGCGTAGTGTAACTAACCAAACATGGCCATGTTCATTAAGAATAAAGTTTGACCATTCTGAAATTGGTAGATGATGGCATTTGAATGGATCCGCCAAAGCCATTGACATGCCACGTACACTTGGTATCATTATTTAATAATAATATTTTATTAATTTAAATATGCTGCAGATCCTTTTTTGGCGCCCACTCCTACTGTAAAATTTCGTTGTGTCTATTCGCCCAATTCAAAAAAAACTGCCCTCTCAACAACAACAACGAACGCACCATCATCTCGAGAGATTATGCAAGCTTTTCTTCATCTGTTCTTTGTCCATCTCTAAAATTATTTATTGTTAAAGATCCGTGATATACATCACCAACCCCACAACAACACCCGAGCAAGCTGGTTGTTTTGCTTTTACAAACTCTCACCGTCCTCCCTCCATCCACTTAAAAAACGACTCTCATCGTTCACCCCAAATAATAATAATGAACACAACAACCGTCCCCCACTCTCAACAACCACCGACCACCAATGTTGTTGCTCCTCATAATTTGAACTCTCCCCGAGGACGGGCCAATGTAAATGACACTGATAAACGAGCACAACAGCAACAACAACAAAAACCAACGATACGAGCGCATGAAATCGCTCAAATTCCTCCCTACAAACCTCAAATACCTAGACTCATTGGAAAACGATTTCTGGTGGGTGCAAAACTTGGAAGCGGAAGTTTTGGAACAATACATGCAGGAAAAATCATCAGCAACAATCAGGAAGTGGCCATCAAGTTTGAGGAAGTAAAATCTAAATTCCCTCAACTCTTGGCAGAATCAAAAATTTACAAGATTCTATGGGGGTTACCAATAGCGAATAGCAAAAAAACTCTTCTCTCATTACCGGGTCAGAACGAACCCAATCAAGCAATGGCTCTCTCAAAAAGCCAGGACTCGATTACTCAGCTCTCCCAACACTCCCAAAACACATCACAAGAGATTATAGGAATACCAAAACTGTTTTGGTACGGAGTTGAAGAAGAATTTAATGTCATGGTCATTGAATGTTTAGGGCCATCGTTGGAAGATTTATTCAGTTTTTGTAGCCGAAGATTCTCCCTCAAAACAGTTCTCATTTTAGCAGATCAATTAATATCTAGGATTCAGTTTTTGCACGAGAAAAATTTCGTTCATCGAGATGGTAAGTTGAACAATGGTTCACATTTTGAAACAAAAAAGCTTTTATGAATGGGTTCATTCCATTTGTTGCCTATTCCTGCTGATGATCTCCTCAATGTTTACAATTTCCGATTCCTTAATTGACTTTTTAAAACCTACATATCTTTTTTTTAAAACAATGCTTAATTCCAGTTAAACCTGAGAATTTTCTTATGGGACGAAAAGAAAAAGCTCATCATGTTTATATGGTCGACTATGGTTTGGCTAAAAAGTACATGATAGAAGAAAAAGGGGAAGGTTTAAAACACATACCCATGAGAAAAAACAAATCCTTAACAGGAACAGCCAGATACACAAGCACCAACTCACATCTAGGATACGAACAAGGTCGACGAGATGACCTTGAAAGCATAGGATATTTATTTGTTTATTTCTTGAATGGAAGTTTACCTTGGCAAGGACTGATGGCCAACAATCGGCAAAAGAAGTACGAAAAAATTGCAGAAAAGAAGATGAACATTTCGGTGAATCAACTGTGTGCAGGATTGCCAATAGAATTTACGCAATATTTCCTTTACGTGAAAAAGTTAAAATTTGACGAACGGCCTGACTATGATTATTTACGAACAAAGTTTGCAAACCTCTTCAATCGAATGGGATACAAGATGGATTTTGAAATGGATTGGATGAAATTAAGGAAAGATTTAGGTCAAGCACAATATTAAACAATATACTGTTCATCCAATCAATCGATGAAGCAGCTCAACGTTGTCACCTGTCTTTCAAACACTTCATTTAAAAAAATATGCCCTCTCAGCCATTCAAGTCGAGTAGGTTTTTTTGTTGTGGTGCTGTGTACATGAACATTTACCCAAAATCGGGGATGCACGATCACACTATAATCACTGATCCTAATTAAATGATTTCACTACCATCACATCCATTTTGTAAATGTTAAATTATTGATATTCTTGCACTGTTCAAATAATAACACTTCAATCATCATCATCATTGTGCACAAACCAAAATTAGATCTAATCCTCGATGAGTGGACCAAGAAAGACATTGAACTTTGGCTTCAATTCATTGGTCTCGGCGAGTACTATAAAACCTTCATCAAGCTCTATCCCACAGGTTCTTCTCTCAAGAATGAACTGGTGAATACAATTTCATCGGAGGATGACATTCGTAAGAATGCTTGTATTGGACAATTGATATTTTGGTTCGGCCATGTAAGAAAACTCTTCCAGGCCATCCAACATTTGAAACAAAACAAATTTGGTAAGTGAAAAGAATGTGTGATGAATTGATGATATTGAAACAAATATTATGGATATCATGGATCCACGAATGTTGTTTGAATTCCATATCAATGATGACCTCTTCATTGTTTGAACTTATGAAAACATCTCTCAAAATTTCACAACATGAAACATCATCTGACACCACTCTACACCCATCAACAAATATATTAATACAGTATTCAATCCAGATTCCGTAAAATTTGAAACTCAACGACAAGAAAATGACAAACTTACTGGAAAATCCAGCAGTTTTGTGAGTAGAGCTGCACCTCGAATTACAGTCATCAAAAATCGTGACGTTCGTACCTTGACTTGCCACGAAGTTGTTTCCATGTTGAGAAGTGACGTTCGTATTTCAAATTTAAAAGATGAAACCAATGGCATTTTTGCTTGGACACGAGCTCACGAAGAAATGTTCATTGCCCAAAAAATTGATGGTGAAATTTTCCTTTCCGTGACCAAACCAAATGAATATTCTGAGTTTGTGTTTGAGAAAATTCAACCCAATTATGCAATGGCTACGCATGCACTACTTTTTGAAACTCTCACAAAAATTGCAATTGAAATTATGAATAATGGGTTTAAGCCTGTGGAATCTTCATTGATTGACAATCAGTCAGTATCATCAGCGTCGTCATCTTCATCCAATCTCAACAACACAGCAGTGGAAACAAACACCATTTCGAATTATCCTGATGTGTCCTATGCAGAGAAAATTCAAGTCATTATCGGAAAAATTAGAGCTTCTTCAAAAAAAGTTCAAAACATGTCCGATGATGATCTCAAAGAATATGCTGACAATTTGGGAACTGTGGATGGCATCAAAAAAGCATACTTGAATAAGGAATTTACAGCCATTAAGAAACTCTTCAGTTCCATGAGAAATGTGAAAAAAATGGGCGCCTTATCGAGTGCGCTCAGTTCCACTGCTTCGGATTATACAAAATCTGAATGTAATTTAGAGAGACTTCCGGAAGATATTGAAATTGCTGAACGTGAGAGTAAATTATTGTCCACTCGATTCAAAGACACCATTAAGGTCAAATTGGTCATTGCTGAAATTGCAAAGAATAAGAAGGAACGAACCATGAGACGATTATTGTCACCAATTATGAGTAGTATAAGTGCCAGTCCTCAATTTGGTCTCTTCCATTCTGGAGTCATTATTGGGTAAGTAGCGTGCTGTTCTTGTATTGAGTCACGTGTTTTGATATACATGTATTGAACTCTGAATATTTCCTTTGAATATTCCTATTTGGAATATTTCACACACATCATTCACGTCACACAGACCATGGCTCATTGAATGGAATTCCAGTTCGTTGTGTATTCCTCGTCGTTGTTACAGCAATGCAGCCACTCTCGCCATTGACATTGAAGAAATTTCAACCAAAGAGTTGGATTCATGCATTGATCGTGTGAGTCAAGTCATTGCCGATTGGAATGTTCACAATCGCTACAGTCAACAGAAATGTAATTGTCAACATTTTGTCGACGATATTTGCAAAGCATTGGGAATCAAAATGAATTTCACTGGATCCATGGGTCATTACATTACCAAATTAAGAAATAAGGGTTTGTGTAACATTAAATGGAAAGTTCCAGTCGACATTATGGAACAAGTTGGAATTAAGGAACAAAAAATCACCTTCTACACACACAAACAACTTGACATGCTCATGTGTAGCATTCTCTCTAAAATTCCAGACTTTCCCGAACGATATCAAGAAGATCACATGTTATTGAAGAGTTTTGATCGTGCTTTTTGGCTCCGTTCTTTTAAGGCTCCTCAAAACGCCAATTACCATGCCATCACTCCCGAAGAGTTCAGAAAATATAGTGGATTGAAAAGTGAAGCAAATGTGGAAGAGGATGATTTTGGTGTATTCGGAGGAGGTGAGGATGATGATGAGAATAATGGTCAAAGTGGTACCGGTGGAGATACTTCTTCGGGTCATCATTCAAGAACAGGTTGTCCATTTGGTCATCCGAGTGATAAATCTTTCACTGCTGATTGGTGGTAATGAATTTCTTTCTTTGTAGTAATACTGAGAATATTCAAGTAGTTACAACAAGTAAAAAAGCTGATCATGATTTTTTGTAAAATTCTGTGAGATGATGATGATTTGGGATGATTCAGATCCAATCCAATGATTCATCTTTTCATTCAGGAATAAGGCTTTGAAAGATTTTCGGAAAAGCCTTGTTGAATTATTTTTTTAAGCAGCAAAAAAAATGCAACGATTGAAAAGAACTCAATGCGATCATTCAGAGCAGAAACCAATGCATGCAAATCATGGAGTGGTGGAAGAACGGATAAAAATCTCAAAATGTCATAAAAGAAACCGATTGTTGAAAAATTTATTTTATAGATCTATTGATTGTAAATTCATGGGAGGAGCTGCGAGAAGAGAAAATCCATATACGGTTGGAAAGAAGGTGGATTTGATTCCGATCACTAGTATTGAAGATGAGAAAAAATTATTGAAAAGGTAGGATTGTGTTGAAAATGCTGTAACAAAACAATAATGCGAATGAAATTGTCGTCTCTAATCACACATAATTATTATTAATAATAATATTTAATCAATTATTTATTTTCAACTTGCTTCGAAATCAATTTTAATTACTAATGAATCACCAATTATTATTTTTGGACGGACAAAAGATGTGCTTCACTGGGATTTACTAGAAATGGTCATCATTTAATTGCATATACTTTAGAAGATGACATTGCTCAAGACTCTACCAACGCTTCATTTGAACATCAGATGTTAGATAGCACTAAAAAACGTTTATTCCTTGTGTTTTTCCAATTTGACGTGCACAAACGATTAAAATTGGACGTCATGTTTCAATTAGTGACCAACAATGTAACAGAAATATTATTTAAAAAGAATAGACACGTCCTTCCACAAGAAATGCAAAATCATGGTACCAACAATGCTACAAATACAAATTTCCCTACAGTTGACTCCAATGGTCAATTACTATCAAATCCAGACTACAAAACAATTGTAAAGAATAAGAACATTTCTCTCGATGATTACATTCCCAAATTTATGGTGAACGACATTCATTTCCATGTGACTGAATCCATTGAGGAAGATGTGTTTTTTGTTTACCAATATTGCACAACTGTAGCTGAGAAAATTTTTCTGCTTTCAATATTTCCTAACATTCTTAATATTTCAGAAGGAAACATTTATTCTGTCACTATTAGGTATAGCTCTTCGACAGATATCAATACTAGCATTTTTAATCCAATGTTTCATGTGGTGAATTATTGGACAGAAGACGAAGATGGAAGCGTTAACATGTTATCATCACAACATCATGACGCTACTAGGCATTATTATTCATTCTGTACAAGTCATAGCAAATTTTCCACAAACAAACAACAATCGTACTTGATTGCACTGCCAACCTCGAATACCATAGAGTTATTTCTGCTGAAACCCACCGCCATCCATTCTAAATTCCAAGTGCACGATCCATTCGAGAGAGACATTCTTGAAGATCATCAAGATTCATGCATCCACAAAGGACTAAGTGACAATGTCTCCTTTGAATATGTTCCATTACTTAAAAGGAGTGACTTGTTGCAAACAAGTTTCACACACGCTAGCCAGTTTTATCATTTTCATGTGGAGGAGTTTCTCATGTCAACCTTAGAGAAAGGCGAGAAAATTACGGATTATGGGTAAGATTTGAATTGTTATTTGAAATACGACGGTGACAATCACATGCTATTTAGTTTCAAAATTATCAAATGCCAAGATTCAACAAATTGTCTTTTCTTTGTGGTAGTGGTTGATGTGATCTCCATCACTCAAGATTATGCAGAGAGACGAGTGGTTTATCATTGCTGTATTAAATTTACCAATCAATCTGAACGCTGCATTCCAACCTTAAAGATCATTCACCAACAATCGACTCTAATAGATCCCAAATTGTAAGTTCAATTCCTCTTGAGATTTTTATGAAACTGATTGATCTTGCAAACAACAGTTCAACCTTTCAATTCGCACAAACTCTTTGTGTCATGTATTTGAAAATGGAGCCACTAAGACAAACCAATTTTCAAACTCATACCAATGAAAATCTTTTTACCACAGGACAATCCTCGAAAGCAATTCCACATCCATTGTTACCTCTTTGCATTGTCAACAATAATCCTAAATACACATCTCCACAACACCGTTGAGAACATCAACGATGATGAAATTCTTGTGTGAACATGCATACTCCAATTTGAGCCAATCAACTCAACTTGCGTGATCAAAATCGCTTGAAATTGATGTGAGATAATCAAAAAGTTTACCGCTTTTTTCAATTTGAAAAAATATGAATCGACCCAAGACGTACACCAACATCACACAGCAATGGGCTCGGAGATGTCAAGATCTTCTCATCAGCAACCACAGAAGGACAAACAATTATTCATCATTTTCATGTAAACCATCCAAGAGCAGTCATGTCCGTTTCCATCTCAACACTCGCGTGTATGAAAACAAACAATTTCACTTTTCACATCAGAAGAGAGACAATGAAAAGAGTAACAACGAAAGTAACACGGCCAGATCAGCAATTTCTGGAATTACGACTTCACAAATTGTGGAAAATGTCAAAGTATTAGAGACATCATCATCCACAACAAATTCTTCACAACAACCATCCGCTCCACCTGCCACTGCAACCATTGTCATTATCCAACAACAGCAACAGGCACCACAAGTCGTGTCATCATCTGCAGTCTCCACTCACACAATGGAAAATCAATTGACAACTCCAGGAGACCACTCGACTTTTCATCATTTTTCGGCAACAAGTCATGTTGACATGCCAATAACTCAACCCCAATCAACCACAACTTCAACAATTATCAAAATTGATTCACAAGTAATTTCGAAAGAGATTGAAAAAGCAGTCAGTGAACAAATTAAACAAAAGTTGAAACATGCCTATGAGCCATCACGTGACGAATATGAAGTGATTGAACATTTAGAACAAGAACGTTTATATGAAGAAGGAACAAGACAGAAAATGGGATTTATTCAAAAAATTAGAACTTTTCTTAGAAAAAGGAGTACACTTCTTTCTAATTTATTACTCGTTGGAAAAGTGTTACCAGCCAATGCCATTGCTACTCTATTCTTTTCCTATTACAAGATGGAAAAGAATTACAAACAACGGTATGTGAATGAAAACAAATTTCTGACCTTTACAAAACCATTGGTCATCATGTTCTCATCGTCATGACCTTCCAATATTGTTTCCAATGTATTAATTATATACCAACAACACACAACAGATGTTTTGAACAACGAATTACAGCAAGTTTGAATTTTATTGATCACGAAACCAACACATTTAAAGTGAGAAACATTTTCTGCAAAAATCTCGATGAAGTGGTCTTGAACAATCAAGCTGTTGTTCAATTAATTCAGGAAGCAGCAGCCAATACTACGAGTGAGTCACCCATTGTTATTCTTCCAGATGATGACAAGTGGTTTTGTTTGCATCTGATTCAATCTGTCATTTCACAAAACGTGAGTGCTTCTGGTTATTTCAGACAAGGTAAGTTTCAACACAATTCTCAAAGATCATGTGAAAGTATTGACCCAATTCTCAATAATAGACATGAAATTAAAACATCACAGTGAATGGTATGTCTTTGGAATTACCAATGAGGTAGACGTTACAGTCCGAAAGATGCGTGTGGTCATTGTTCAAGAACAATTGTTAAAGAAAATTCAAGATGGAACTCTACAGGAACCACAATTTGGTAAGTTAGTTGGTACCAAGGGATATAATGTGTGGTACATTTTAAACATGTCCAACTGTTTCACTGAAATTATTTTCACATCAACCATGGTTTGCTTTTTTTTGACAACTGTTGTACGAATTCAATTTGAAATCATCATCATCGTGGACACCGACGGCGCCATCAATCGTTGCGACACATTGCGATGAACATAATCGGATTCAACGTTGAACAGAACACATCTACGGAGAAGTTCGTTGGAATACGGTCAAGTTAATGGCCAAGATGTACCGAGAACAATACGATTCGATCATGCACAGTAAGTTTTTTTTAGAGAGAGATGATTCCATTGGTCGTGACTTGATCACACACGAACAAAATCATGTTCTTCTTTTTCACTCGACGTCGCATGATTGTGCCACTTTTGTGAAATTTCATGAAATCGTTACGTCCATTCTGTATACCACAGCTGGATTTGGTGATTTAATGCGAGTGGAGATTGTATTGAGTATGTAACGAAGAACTTGAGATTCGACATTGTGTCACTGAACCTTAACGAGACCCAACATCATCAAACACACATTGCTGTTGTCCATTTGAGAAGATTTGGAATGCTTCTTGAAAGTTGAATATCATGTCCACTGTTTTTGTCCTTTAACTGCAAAAGTTATCCGCAAATGTTGCGCCATGTTGGGTCGATCGAAGAGGCAAAGGAAGCGATGTTTGTCATGACCATGCACCGAATGTCTCACAAAACCAGTATCTAGGGATAAAAAGTAATTGTCAGACATTTCTCGCAGAATAGAACAACAACAAAACAAATATCACAACACACACATTATTGGTTGTAAGCTCTAATCTCGACGAATCTTTCATCAGACCACAAAACATGAGAAGGAACAAGGAGTTTTTTCATGCCATTACTCAAACGCCTGCAGTGATGAGAACATCACAGTATTCTGTTGAATGTGGTCCTTTGAGTAATAATGGTTGTACAGTTACCACAGACATTCACACAGTGTCATCGTTGTCTTTATTGGATCGTCAACATGTTGATTTGCCCGCTTCAGCAACCATTGTCCCTCGCTCAAGAACAATGACCACAGCTTGTGAAACAGCGCTGTTTCCATGTCATCATCGTTTGGTACTGCCGAGCAACATGATTTCCATTCCTTCAAAACACCACATGATTTCCACACAAAACACCCCAAGTGAAACGAAAATAAGAGATTGGAAATGGAAATTGGAAGATGGAATCAGAAAGAAAAGGCAACGAAGAAGAAGAGATACCTGGAAGAACAAGAGTGTGGTTGGTGTTGAAAAAGCAAGTGTGGCTAGCGGTGCATCTCATGCATGTGATAAGCCACATCAAGATGCCAATCAAAACAATGACAAGGACATGTACTCCAACACGGTAGTACCATTTATAATCGTGTCCACACGAAACAAACAAGACATCATCACACATGGGCAATGCCAAGATCAAACACGGGCCAAAACATCCTCGGCATGCACGGAAAATGAACAATTATCCTCCTCTTCGTCACACTCATTACCCTCTCATGAGAATGGAATTATTCCTCACGTGGTGAGTTCGCTTCTAACTACTTCTTTCCTGACTCTAACCAATCAATCTTCATCCTTACCATCACATCATCAAGTACTAACTGTGGCAACGTCGAGCTCGACAACAACCCCACCACCTCAGAGAAAATACGTAAGGACATCAATAACAATTTCAGAGCTGCTCAATTAAGCTGATGTGTAAAAATTTCATCTTTTCGGGCTTTAAAATATAATCCTCGGGAACTAATAATCTTAAAAATCTCTGGCCTTCTTAATTTCTTGATATTTCCTCAATAATTCATCCACTCTGAGGTATTTCTTTGTATCGTTTCTTATGAGAAATATCAAATCTTCTGGATTTAACTTTCCTCGTTTTGACATTTTCGTAGCCTCCATGACAATTTCATGCACATACTCCTTGACCAATTCTTCCATTAGGGCCACAGTTTCCGGTAATGGATGTTTCACGTCTCCAAATCCATACATCATTTGACGAATATGAGGAGCAATATCCGCCTTTTTTCTTCCTGGTCCTCCTTCTTTCGACTCGGCACCAGATTTTGATTTTCGTTTTCTCTTTTTTCCTTCCACTGGTTCATCCTCGTTATCTTCGTCATTATCTTCATCATTTTCATCGTCCATATCTTCATCATCCATTCCAGATCCATAAAACTCATTTCCAGTATTTGAAGATTGATCCAATCCGATATCATTAGCATCTTCATCATCATCCACATCTTGTGGTGTGGAAGCCTTTTTCTTTGCTGGCGGAGGTGTTGCAAACTCCTCTTCCAAATCTTCATCTTCTTCATCCTCTTCTGCTTCTTGTTGTTTTTTACTTTTAGTTTTCTTCTTCTTTTTCTGTGCTGAAGAAGAACCACCCGATGCTCTTGATGATGATTTCTTTCTTCCTCTTCGGGAAGTGGTCGTTGGTGGATTCATGGATCCACTCGTTTCACTTCCTACACTGGTACTATCTTGTTGTTGTGGATCATAATTAATAAACGTTGTTGTAGGATTGGTGCTGCTACCACTTGCTCCTCCGAAAGTCAAATTATTATTACCATCACTGCCAGGTTGATAATTGAAAAAGGAAAATTGTTTCATTTTTTTTTGATTTTTTATTATTGAACAAATCTTTGTATTCATGACAAATTAGACAATAATAAACTCTGATGAAGTGGTTGTTAACATGATTTCGATGTTTTGTTATGAATGATAAGGAGAATTTCAAAAAGTTTAATTTTCCTCATTTGAAAAAATGCCTCCGAGAAAAACTCACAAGTCTCAAACTCCACAGAAACAACACAACAAGGAACATCAACAACATTTGGATGACCCTCATGACAAGGAAGTCGTGGAGCCAGTACTTCAAACAACTGCTGCTCCGACTAGTATGAATGAACAGACAACAGAAGCAACAATATCCGTAGATCAAAATAATTTAAAACAAACACATGATGATTCAGGTGTAAATAACAATGATCATCATCAACACAGAACGGAAACAACAGCTGATAATCAACATCCGCAAGAAGAAAATACTGTAAATAGTAGCAATCATGAAAATAATTTAATACATCAAGATGAACACCAGGAAAGTCCAACACAACATTTAGGATACTCTGAAAATTATAATACTCTTTTAGAGGAGTCTTCTTTGAAAGAAAATATTCCGAATGATGACTCTGAATCATCTGCAACATGTCCAAATCCTTCATCAACGGACCATCCCAACATCAATGAAAAATTCCAATCAAACATGCCTGAATATGAGGAGCTTGATATTCAAGAAGAGGATCCTTCTTCGAAAAGAAAAATATCCATTACTATTAATAATACAAGCAGTAGCATGAATAATAATTCGGAAGAACATGACAACCATAGCACAGTGGTGACTTTACAACAAGTGGATTTGACTTCTCAAAATGACGATCGCACAGATTCAGCTACAATAACCACCATAGAAATTAAGGAGCCTCCCGAACAAGAATCCTTTTTAAAATCTCTTTGGACCTCCAAACAAAAATGGCAACATTTTGTCGAAAAGATTATTATTAACTACAAGTCAAGAATTGAATTTTTAAAAGCTCTCGGAAATTTAATGTATCTCGGTAGTAGATCAAGGACGGATGTGGATCTCACTGGACCTGCCTCAGAAGAATCTGAAACTGAAAATCACTTGTTGGACATTTTAGAAACAGAAAAAATTTCCACAGTCATCACAACGATTGGTTGGTATCAAGATTATGTGGCAGACAAGCACAAATTACAACACAAGAATATTCAAATGGATGAACGATTCACCTACTATCACAAAGTTGGACAGTTTTTAAGACTCATTGAATGTTTCATATTACTTGTTGAAATTATTTTCAAAACTGAATACAAATCGAAAAAAACTGGAAGGAGGAATTATTGGAATGTCATTATTCTAACAGAAATTATAAGGTACGTGAAATTGTCAACTCAATTCCAAACACAGTTAAAAATTTACAACATCAAATTTTTGGTCAAACAACCATTCCATCACCATTTCATCACATGCATGTCCAATGAATTCACCCAATCATCACAGAGCTGTTCTCAAACTAGTCGCCGTTTTCAAATCTAAAACCAATGTACCCATGTTCCTAAATTATACCGTTCTTCCACCAGATGAAGAAGTTGTGAATATGCCTATGGCCCAATTATTACCCGTTGCTCCAAAATATAATCCCTTTGAAAAAGAAAAGCAAGCTCTCGAAGAGTACAGAGAAAAACAAAAAACTCAAGCCAAGCCCAAAATTGGAACACGAAGTGGACGAAAAATACCATCTTCTGATGAAATGTTTGCTGTCTTGAGTCGTGGTAAATCGGCAGTACCAACCACAACAGAATTGGAAAAGCAGTTAGGTCATGCTTCTCAACAGGTGTATATATTGTTGGCTGGACATGACAAGGATATGAATGGAACGAGAGGGAAAATATTATTATATCTATCAGAAGTGATCTATGCTTTTAAACCAGCGGTGTACAGTAAGTAGTTGGCTATTCTGTGAGATCATTTGTGTTTTGGAACTGGAATGGATTCCTTTCAATACTTGTGAAATTATGCTTGTGATATTACATGTGTCCATGCTTGTTACTTTTTCATGATTTTCGAAATCATCTAATTTTTCCACCCAAACAAACAGGTTTTCTACTTGCCAAGTATGGTTTCAGGTCATGGACACCATTTGTGGTGTCACTTCTCATGGAATTATTCTCACTGTATTTGAGCAAAAAAGCAGTGAGCATGATTGAAGGAGAGCAACGAGACAGAGTCATTATGGAACGACCTGCTACTTCTGGTATGGTTATAGAGTCAGAATATAGGAGAAGACTTTCGAGCTTGTTTAATTACTTGTACAGAGGACCAATGTTTGAATTGATCATGAACCGAGTTTTCAAACTCATACTATTACCAATTCTGAAACGAGTACCATTACTCGGAGGGTCATTAGGTGAGTATTTGGTTATGGGATTCCAGTTTTCACAATTATAACTATTATTAACCTTGATTGTGTCATGCAACAATGTATTCACATTTCTTGGATTAGTTGGATATATCGAGTATTTAATCATGATTCAACAGTTTTATTTCTTCTGCAACCCTTCAGTGTAACAGAATTGGGAACAAACGAATTTTAATAATAGTGCTCTATTTATTTCAACGATTTTACGGATATTATTAGGAAGGAACTCAAAAAACCCACAATTATACTGTTCCAAGTGTTGGTGGTGCTACTGGGTAATCCTGTTCAACTCTTAAGGGAAATGATTTCATTGGAATATGCTGTGCATGGAACATGTTAACTTGCTGCTGGGCTTTCTTTTTTTTCATCCTTTTCATCTTTTTCAAAATTACATACAAACACGCAACAATGAAGCATGTCGCCACAACAACTCCAATGACAACACACACCACAACAGCTATTGCAATATCAAAATCACTGTTGCCAGTAGTTGGCTGTTGAGGAGAGCGAATGGGTATGGGAGATTGACCAGGAGGCGTATAAGGATTTAATTCCCTTACAGGATTTGGAACAAGCATAAAAAGTCCAGTCCTATGAACTTGAGCTGTGACTGTGTCGTGTCGTGTTTCTACAATTTTACATGATGCATTGTTGTTCATGGAATTTGTAGAGTTGACAACCTCAAATACTTTGCGATCGGCATTCCACATGGCACATGCTGGAACTTGGCTCTCAAACAATGACCTCTTATTTGCTGTGTTCAATATCTCAAATGTGATGTTTGCCAAGGGACTCTCTCCTACCAGATGCAGTCGTTGTGTTGGATTGGAAGAACTCATGACTGCAAATTCGACAATATTCGAAACAGCACTTCTTAGCTCTTCTGAAGATCCAAAAAGCGTTTGAATCGTGTCATTTTGACGTTTCAAATCATAACTCTTCATATGAATATCTAGGCTCCTCATGGACCACAAAATTCCATTCGAAATCACACTTGGATACAGTGAAAATGAGTTTTTACCATCCAGCGTTCCTTGTAAGCCAGTCAACAATGCTCCTAGACTCGATCGTACCGAATATTGAAAAGAGTAAGGAGTGGTACTGACGGATGGAGGCATGTCTGGAACTAAACTTTTCAAGTAGGAAATAGCCAAATTCTCATACGCGTTATTGATGACCTCTAACTCGTAACGGAGCTGTGGTAACGTCGTTCGTTTGGTTTGCTTGTTACTGCTCGCACTCTTTTCCGTAATATATTTGAACAGTGTGTCACAAATCTTTTTGGTGGTATTAAGAACGCTTTCACTAATGACAATTTGAGAGCTACTTGCTGCAAGTTCGGTAATATTGGCAAGAGCGTCCGCAATGGTTGTCACAGAAGTTTTCGTCATGTATTGAATTCCTGCGTTCATGGATGAAAAAATTGAGAGGGTTGCACTCACAGACTCTGTGGTCTGAGCAATGTTTGATTTCATCCATTTGCTCTGAATAAAGGCGTTCACAATTGTTGCTGTTACATTGGACAATTCTTCTCGTTGTTGCTGAGTGGTTGTTTCCGTAGATATTGACGTAATAACTCCAAGAGAGGCTGTGATGGACGCCATATTGAGAACACTCGACGAAGTAATCATTCTTGATGTCAGTGAGGAGAGAGTGCTTATGGCCATCGAGGTAATCGGCTTTTCAACGGTCACGCTGGATTCCATCTCTGAGGACGCTGCATATCTATCAAATGCCACGACTTTAATCCTTAAATGACATTCACTCGTGTTAAGACAAGTGTTTGGTAGGACTGTTTTGATCGTTTGCATTTCTGATCGTTCAGCCAAAGGAACCCAACACTGGTTCAACTCGTCAAAATACATAAACTTGAATGTGAGTGGCGTATTGCTTGTGATCCATCCAGTTCCACACTTGATATTGAACTGTGTGGTTAAAGCTGACCCCACGGAAGGAAGAATCTCTAAACTTCCTGTAGTTGGCGATGAGTTCACAACAAAACTAATGGAAGCAGATCCAGTGCGAGAAGGAATGCCATCTCGAATGAGCAATGACACAGAATACGTTTGACCAGCCGTTAACAGCTCCGTTGGAATGATTAAATAGCTTTTAGAGAGAGATTCTTCGGGGAGAGTTATGAGTCCTGAACTGACCGACCACAAATAGGTTGGTTGTGACAATGTGTCCGTGCAATACGACTGCAGTATGAGTGGTTTGGAAGGATCCACTGGCACATCGTTGGAAGCAACTGCACCAAGCCAACTCTCCAACGAGCTTTCATCAGCTCTAATGATGGAAACTTGAAGGAGTGAGCTCTTTGATGTTTGAACGACCGTCACAATGATAGATGCAGTGGATGTTCTCGAACCCTTCACCACCGATGCAGTAAATTTATACTTTCCTGGAGCAAGAGAGGTCGAATAGGTGGTGGTAATTGGCAATGAAATGTTTTCACATTGCTTGCTTTGCTCAATACCTTGAGTCACATTGAAACACACAATTTCAATCACTTCCTGTTCTGTGAAATTTTGTATTGGGCTTGAATCAAAAGTGACAACTCTGAATTCAAATACATCTTCCATAGATATGGTAGTGTCACCTCGATCAAATGCTATTGAAAGCGGTGGTAATTGTGCATGAACTGTGAAAGCTAATGAAGTAGTAACAGCCTTGTGACTTGAAGCTGTCACTACAAAGTAGTACATGCCTTCTCGAGACAGTTCTGTATAACCTGGACCAAATATCAACATGGAGTTTTGAGAGATTATTGACACTTGTGAAGCAGATGATTTGGTCGAGTCCAACGAATAGCTAAATGTCGTATCTCCATTTCCCAAATAACAGAATGGGAATGAAATAATGGGTGTGTAAATGACTTCTTGTCCAATCATAATTGTGCTTGACAGCCCCTTATCAATGCTCAATGATGGTACAGCATTGTTCAGGATTGTAACATCAATGACTTTGGTAGTATTCTTTTTGAACATTGAGAAGACATGCAGTGCAATCTTGTAAGATCCCTGTGACAAGGACTGAATCGTTTCCATGTCAATATACAAAGTGGCTGCACTGTTGAACACTGAATTGGAATATGCAGTCTGAATGTATGAATGTAATCGATTCAAATCGTTAACAGTTGGAGCAGAGACTGCAGAAAATGAAAAGCTTAAGGGACGTTTGTCATTGGAGTATGAATCTGAGGCATCTAAATACAAATCATCACAACTGGAAATGAATGGCTTTTCGTTGAGCACAATAGTTGGAGGCAAAGGGACAAAACCACCAATACCAATCACAATCTCGCTGTATACTCGAATCAAAATATTCTCATCAAACGGATTGGTTGCAACAAACGAAATGACGCTTTGATCCACGACAGTAGGATTGAATCCAAGTGTTATTTCTAGAGTGGAATTTGTTGGACCAGAGAGAAGAGAGCATGTAGCATAGTCTCCGAGAAGAGGCAAGTCAGAAGGAGCAATCAACATGTCACAATTGATCACAGCAGGCCATTGAGGAGACGAAATCACAATACCAACTATTTTATCACCATCCGAAGTAAATCCAAAGGAATATGGATCTAGCTTGTATGGAATACTTTGTGGCGTTGGATCGATCTTTTGGTTGCATGACTTTCCTTGAAATCCAGCAATGCAGGTGGAACAAAAAGAGCTTGCATTATAATTTCCGTTGCATTCACAAGTGTCTTGTGCAGTACACGTACCTCTTCCTGAGCATACGATTAAGGTGTTTGTGCTTTCCACCCCATTGCACGAAGTGCCTTGTTGGTTTGTACTGTTGTCGATGTTTCTAGTTCCGTTAAGCTCAAAATTAAAAGAAACGTTCATACACTTTTCTGTGGGATACTTTTCACAAGACAACACAACATTAGATGCTTCAGATAAATATTCACAAGTATCTCTACACATGGGTTCCTCACTTAACTGCTCTCTGTTACATTGTTGGAATGCATCAAGGCAACAAAATTCTTTTAACGCGTTTTGGCAATTCTCGTCACAAGATAGTTGTTGAGCAGCCACAACAGTTGTGTGACATGCTTGAGCTCGTTCATCAAGAAGCTTGGAGAGATGAGACGCATTTACGGCCCCTTCATAAAATAGAATTTCATGATTCATACTTGCTGTCTCATTGCAAAATGAAGTACCGCTTAGGGATATCTCAACACACCTATTGTAAGATGGATACGAACGTTGCTGAGAGCAATCGTCCCCGAAAAAGTTAGTAAAACAGGAGCAATTATTTGGAGCAATACATAGACCACTAAAACTGCAATTGTTGAGAGCGGTGCAATTTGGAGCTGAGCAATCTGTACCAAGGTATCCATCTCTGCATTTGCACTCGTCTGTTGAGACACAATCTCCATGACCGCTGCACACAATTGTAATGTTGGAGTACAGAATTCCATGACAGTAATAATTTTCTTCAGTATTCACTCCAGGATCTGTTTGATTGGTCTTATCATTCGTGCCATTGTGTATGGTTGTGTTTGTGACTGTACAGCTTGTGCAATCCGTCGAATTCAGTGTTGAATTGAAAGTAGAGTTGGATGAAGAAACAGTATCAACAGTACCATTGCTAATCAAAGTGCTATTTGTGGTGTTGCAACAAGTATTGTAGTTCGTGTCATGATAAGTTTCATTGTGTGTGGTGGTTCCATTGGTGACATTGAGAGATGGTGTTGTGCTATTATTTGTGGTTTGAGTGGAATTAGCTGTCGTTTGTGTATTGTTTGCGATGCAAGACGACTGTTCAGCCATGGAGCTGTTACTTGAAAAACTACTATTTGAAGATGAGGTCTCATTGCCTATCGATGTGTTGTTCTTGTCGTAATAGGTTTCATTGCTTGTGGTGGTTCCGTTGGTCACATTTAAAGTTGGAGTTGTGCTATTATCTGTGCTCAGCGTGGAATTATTTTCAAATACTGTACCGTTTGAAGCATTGACCGTGCTGTTCGAAGAATCGTGTGTACAGTTCATACATGAGGAGGTAGAATTATTTAAAAGTGTTTCGTTTTTGTCTGCGGTTGCATTGTTACTGGTCACAGTGGAATTGACCACTACAGTACTATTGTCAACAACACTTGGTTCAGGAATAGGGTCTACAAATGTCTTATAAACGCACGAGCTTGAAGGCAATGTCTCCCAATAACCTTGTGCGTAGGAGGTAACCACATTAAACTCTTGACTTTTAGAAACACCCTTATTAAGGATTTGTAGACTGATCATTTGAGTCTCGTCGTTGGAAGAGCTGAACTTGATAGACTTCACTTCGACGTGTTCCACATTATTGTGAACATCGGTTTCGTTAAATAACCCATTTCCAAAATATAGAGTCATATTCGTATAGGAGTTTGCGCTTGTGTTATACGACAAGGCGTAGTGATTCACAATTAAATCAAGGTCATGAATAAGAGTCGCAGATACTGCAATACTCGAAGGATAGTCATACCATGACAACGTAGCTTTGAAAAATGTGTTTCCGTTGCTTGCATTGGGAATGTTTTTCAATCGAAAACACAGTTTTGATGTGTCAGTGGCTGAAGCAAACGTACCCTCAAGAATTTTAAGCTCCACAGAAGTGTCACCCTTACTAATAAGATTACCAATTTGTACTTTGCCGAATCCATCATAGTAATTTGGCGTACCATAGAATTCTGAAATAGAGTATCGAGGTGTTTCTGTCGAAGAGTACGAGACTGTACCTGTGAGCGGAACTGCACTGTGAATAAGAGCTGCTTTTAGAAGAGCTCCCTTGGGATTTGTAATTTGCAAACGGGTTTGAAAAAATTCTCGTATCAAGGCTAAGGAACCAGCAACAGCTGGTGCAGCCATACTTGTTCCAAACTTTGTGATTCGTGCTGCAGTATTTGAACCTTGGGGAGCACCAGTACCACAATTGTTCGACGATGTGGTTCCGTCAGAATGTGCAGACACCACCGAATGTCCAGGTGCCACAACATCTGGTTTGATTCTGGTACCTGTTTTAGTTACGGGGGAAATGATAGCCATTCAAATTGCAACGAATCATGAGCAATAAATTGTGAAAAGATAATGGAAATAATTTCAAGCGTGTTGAAGTCACATTCATGTCATGCTCGTACTTACCACTTGCAGGACCTCTGCTACTGAAATAGCCCAAATTATTTTCATTGTAATACGAAGTATGGGTACTATAATAGGATGTCATGGTGGAGGCGCAACACTTCATTCTTATTTCGTGTGATGTTGAAGCACAACATTCTGATACGGAGGAAAATCCATATCGTGTGAGTTCTTCTTGAAAATCAATATACGTAACTCCATCAATGAAACCTTCATTGGTCGTTTGGTGAGCTCCAACTGCAATCGAGTTCTTTGCAGTGGCAGGATAACCAACATTTCCAAATTCTGACAAGTCTCCATCGTTTCCTTGAGCGAACACAATCACGGCCTCTTTGTAATCCCACAACACTTGATCTATTGCTTGAGACATGCTATTATACTTGTTACAAACCTCACAGCATGTAAGAACTCCAAACAGCTGTTGGCAATCGTCATTGGACACTTCTGTTCCTGCGGGGAGACCTGCATAGGAGATGGATAGTGTACAACTGCTACAATCATACACACACGAAACGTAGGATGCAGGTGAGCATCCCCAGCTGTTGGAGAATATCCTTACAGAGCTTGCACTACTATAGGGTGTTGTAAATAAAGTGTTCACAGGTGAAGGAAGTGAAAGAACTCCTTGTGCATTTTCCAAGTCAGTGAAATAGACCTTGGCAGAGGGTGCAACTCCATGGTATTGGTTGAGCCCAGAAGTAAGAGCTTGATTTTCTAAAGAACCAAGAGCAGTACCAACAACATGAGTACCATGTCCATTGACGCTATCCTTATTGTTACCATAGAGTGTTCCATAATACACAACCTTCCTCCTGTTCGTATTGAGCGTATTGACAGTGACCGATCTGGTAGAATCCTTGAAAAAACAATTGTCATAATCAAGTCCTGTATCTGCAATAGCAATGGTTTGACTAGCTCCAAGAATGTTAAGGTCGTAGAAGGGAGTAGTCGAATTCGAGTTCGAACCTTGAACCAGGGACGATACTCGCTTGTTCAGAAGAGACACTCTCAATTTAACATCCACAAAGTGCACATTGGGATGGGAGAGAAGCATAGAACCTATTTCTCTTGCGACTAGAGGTGAGAAGCTCAATTCCAATTGATTCTCGCTCACTACACGTAATGGTATAAAATCCGTTCCTTGTTTGAATTTAGTTGAAAAAAGCGAGTTCAATTCACGAGCAATTTCAAATGCCTCTTCCAACATCTTTCCCGAAGCAATGGCACCAAGGGATGAAACAATTGAAACTTCAAAGTCCATCATCATGTTGGAGCTGTCGTCTTTTGGACTTAATCCTCTGACTGAATCCTGTTGGATGGTTGTTTGGGCTGTAGTATTGAAACGTTTAATGCCATGTTTTGACGTGGATGTGCCTTCTCTTTTGTTAAGCATCCTTTTAGACATACTTTCTAGCTTTTCAAAATTAATGGATGTTTTGAATCGAGATTCATATTCTCCAATCCATTCAATAGCAGAGTTTTGATCTTCTGATGCATAAAGTAACTCACTAGTACGAGCCACTACTGCAATCACATGAGCGTTTCCCAGCACATTATTATTAACCACCAACGAGGAGAGTATGGATTCAAACTTGGAGTCACTCGATTCTCGTTTTCTCTTCAAGGCACTCTCACCTTTTGAATGCTTTTGAAAAATTCCATCTCGGAGTTTCACAATAAACTGCCGAGTGGGCTCGAGATTCCTATCTGTAGGCTCGTTATTGGCCTCAGTTTGGGGGTGGATGAAGCGAGGGCTCCCAGCTTTCATTTCTGCAATGCGTGAAGGTTGATTCAATAAATTATTTTCGTGCGTCATTAGAAACGCATGCTGTGATTGTTCCATATCATTGATCATATTCTCTCGATTAAGGAAGGCACGGAATGGTATCTTGTATGAATTGGAGTGCCATTTATCGGATTGTGGAGGCTTCTGAATCGTTTCCTTTTGATCTTGATGCACCTTGGTATTATTAATTGGCATCAATAATAATTGAAAACCACCGAATACAATCAAAAGTACTACAACCAATCCCAGTGTCATGTTGAGCATGAAAATCTTCATTCGTTTGCTGCTTGAGGTTGATAAATTATCTACGTGTGGCTGATTGTTGCTAGGGGTGTTTGCATGAGGATGATTGAGGGAGTCAGAAAACCCCTCATTGAGGAGGTTTCGGCTCATTTTTGTGAAATAGAACCTTGTTGTGTACAGCTGCGCGTTTAAATCCATTTTTGGATTAAGGGAGCACGTGAGAAATGGGTCAACATTTAATTAAATTCTCGCGTTGGTAGTAAATATAATTAATAATCATCAAAAATAATCAGTTAAAGTGAGAAGGAGGAGATGATGGTCATCATCACTGATAAATGTACTCTAGAGCAGAGTTGTGATGAGAAGCAAGCTAGATGGCGCTCTTTGTCCCCACACACAAGTACTGCCAATACTCACATCATATACTTGTTTACACAAATTTACTTCTTCTTTCCTCTACTCTTGCTTGAACTCTTTTCTTCCTCTTCGTCTTCATCAGTGTCGAGATAAAAGTAATTTCCTTGTTCTTTTTGTTCCTTATCCTTCATGGAATTCAATTTGTTGATACGTGGACGATAATTGGTTGGATCACGACGGAAGGTAATGTTGAGAGACTTTAAGAACTTGTTCATACCAGAAAGTAATGGTTGTGGAGTGTTGGCGAGAGCCTTAACAGAAGGAACACCCTCATAAACAATAACTCTATCAGCAAGGTAGGTGGCCATAATAAAGTCATGTTCGACAACGAATGCAGTCTTCTTAGTGTGAAGAATAAATCTCTTAATGACCTTGGCAGCATGGAGACGTTGTTCAGAGTCCAAATAGGCGCTAGGCTCGTCAATCAAGTACACATCAGCAGGAGTACCCAAAGCCAACACCAAGGCAACTCTTTGCAACTCACCACCAGACAAGTATTGAACTTTTTGATCCATCAAGTGGTTGATGCTCATTTGCTTGACAACATCAGCTTGGAATTGTGTATGCATGAAAGCTTCTCTAATCTTGGTAAGCAACAAGTCTTTGACAGAGCCTGTGAACTTGGGAGCGATGGTTTGAGGCTTGAATGAAACACTCAATTCTGGAATGTCAACAGACTCATCGTCTGGCTTCTCCTTACCAGCCAACATTTTAATGAAGGTTGTTTTACCTTAGGGTAGGGTGATATTATAAATGGTGTGACAATGGGTTGGGTATCAGGTTAATGTACATAATGATTTTGAGGTATCATATGATGATGGATCAATCCACACAATAATAATGTTGCAACATATAACACAGGGTGGCAAATTTGAGAACATTAAAGTCACGTCAATAATCATGATTCAAAATATTGCAATTTGTTGTTATAAATCACATGTCTCTCAAATGAACAAACATGAGCTCATACTTACCTGTACCGTTCTCTCCGAGCAAAACAACAATTTCAGAGGCAGCAAATGAACCAGCAATAACATTCAACTCGAAAGCATTTCCAAAAGTCTTTTTCATACTTGGATAAGAGTACGTCTTTCTGGATGCAGATTCTTCAATTTCATCAACGTTTTCACTTGCTTTAAAGTTCAAAGCATCATCACGGAAACGCAAGTTCTCAGTTGGGACGAAACCAGCCAAGAAAATGTTAATACCTTCTCTGACAGAGAAAGGCATGGTGACAACTCCGTAAGCACCAGGAACACCATACAAACAACAAATAAAGTCGCTCAAATAATCCAAAATACTCAAATCGTGCTCAACAACAATGACGTAATTGTCATGAGTGACAAGCTCTCTAATGACTTGGGCAGCTTGTAATCTTTGCTTAATATCCAAATATGAGGAAGGCTCATCGAACATGTAGACATCAGCTTTACGAACACAAACAATAGAAATTGCAAAACGTTGCAATTCACCTCCTGACAAGTCACCAATGTCTCTGTCTAACACGCTCTTCAAATCAAGTTTTTCGATTTGTTCCTCCAACACTTCTCTCTCGTCCTTACTCTTGAGAATTTGCAAGACTTTACCCTTGGCAGCACGTGGAATTTGATCGACATATTGTGGCTTCATTGTAGTCTTCAAGTTATCTTCCAAAAGTCTTGTAAAGTATGCCTGCAACTCGCTTCCACGGAAATATGCTAGAATTTCACTCCATTCTGGAGGACGAGCAAATTGTCCCAAATTTGGCTTCTCCTTACCAGCCAAAATCTTCAAAGCTGTTGATTTACCAATACCGTTTGTACCGACCAATCCGAGTACTTGACCAGGACGAGGCAAAGGTAATCTGTGGAGTTTGAACGAGTTTGGGCCGTATCTGTGTGTGGTTTCCTTTTCCAAATTCTTTGGCAAGTTGATGATTTGAATGGCTTCAAAGGGACATCTCTTAACGCAAATACCACAACCCACACAAAGCTCTTCAGAGATGAAGGCAATTTTATCGGTTGGCTTTACTTCAATACATAATTTACCAACACGGACCACAGGACATGATTTTTTACATTCCTGAGCACACTTTTTGGGTTTGCATCGGTCTTCATTGACGATGGCAATACGGGTGAGCTTTTCTTCGTCGTTGCCCTTTTTTCGTGATGCTGATGATGAAGACATTTTTTTCAAAATTCAACAATAATTTTGTAATCACACTATCAATTCTCGGTTTGAAATTATTATTAATCGAGATACAAATGTACATGGCTATAAATTGGAAAGATTATGTTCAAAAGAAGTTGGTTAGAAATTATTCGTTGAAATAATAATATTTAAACGATTTTTTATGGATGAAAAAAATGTTTGTTTCATCATCATTACCAGAAGAACCTAACACGAATTCTGTGGTTTCTTCATCGTCATCGGATCCGATACAATCAACCACACAGGCATCGTCCACTCAAGCCTCTGTATCCACTCCTTCCACAACATCACCACAACCAGGACGTAAATTAGGAAAAGACGATGATGAAGAGTATTTATTATTCCTAGAAAAGAGCCTTGAGGAAGAACAAAAATACATTACTCCCGAAGATATAGAAAAAGCTGAAGCAATTTATAATTCAATAACGGATGAAAATGCAAAAAATAGATCTGCCTTTACTCTCTCAGTACTGTATATAAAATCTGGAGATGAAATACTGATACATAAAGGAATTTCGTTATTGGAAAGTATTTTACGTTGTGATCACAACATTTTTGAAGTGAATGATTTATCCATGGAAAGTTCCTCTCACTACAAGAGAGATTGTTTATATTTAATTGCTCTTGCTTTCTATTTCTTGAAAGATTATGTAAAAGCAGAGGCTGCCGTTCAAACACTATTGGAATTTGATCGTGAAAATGAACAAGGAAAGAGATTGTATCAATTGATTGAAAGAAAGAAAAAATCACTTCAACATGATGGAATTATTGGATTGGCATTAGCAGGTGTGACCACTTTGGCTGTAGGAGGCCTGATTGGTTTAGGCGCTTTGGCCGTGGGTCTCATGAAATCAAGAAGGTAACAACACCATGGTCTTTGACGCACAAGTTAGTACCCCATATTTGTAAATAATTTATTGGAAATGTCAACACCTTGTACCCCGTATTTGTAAATACCTACCGAAGCATTGATTTATTACCACAATCTTAATAATTTTTACTTTATCATCTGTGCATTGAACACTGTTTTTGAAGGCTGGCCACAATGTTAGAAACTCTGTTAACTCTGCCATGGCATTAGAAATAAGGCCGCCTCACCTAATCACTCACTACCACAACTTTATAGACAAAAGTTTATGCGGCCTCCAACCTCAAATACCCACACGTTGAGCCACACCTTACGATGAAATATTATTACTCATAACGACACAAAGGCAACTCTTTTCTGACCTGGCCTATTGACATCATTCGAACAGGCACACTTCACGACGACGGGCATTTCAAATCACAACATTCAAAAATGTCTACAAAACGACCACTGCATGATGAGAAGCAACACGAAATTGCACCACTTTCCCATCATGATGATCTTTTACTCTACATTTTTTCCTTCCTAGATGTGAAGAGTTTATTGCATGGCATCGAATGCGTGTGCAAACAATGGCGAAATTTATTAACACAATCTCGTCAAGCCGATGATTGTGTATTTGGAACCTTGGTGTGCGAAATTGCATGTCGCCAAATCGCAGGTCGACCCTTCCGAGGACAAATTGGCAGCATGTTTTTGAAACATTTTCGAAATTGCTTACATGAAACGTCTACGGACCCTCTCCGTACCGAGCATGATCATGCGCCGGTTGCCAGCAACAAGAAATTGTCTTCATTTCGATCCATTTTGAAAGAATTTTATGAATTTCCTTTATGGGGCAGAAGATATCAATCTGAAGCCACACAGTCGTATTTCAAAAAGGGTGGAGTTATTGATATTAGTACTTGGGAACCATGTACTTTGATTCTTTGGACCATGAATTTCCTGATAGATGAGAATTCTCTCGATTCACACCTATTCTTCTTGAAAATTCTTCATCGATTTGCATTGATTGGCTCGATTAGTGAATGGTGGGTCGAAGAGGAAGTGATGAGTAATAGTGTCGACCCAACAACTGAGAACTTGTCGAAACCTTGTCCTATGATTGCTCTTGCATTGAATTCGAATCCGAGAGTGATTGCAGCGACCTATCATTATAATTCTCAACATTCAGATCCAGAGCCCAATTCGATTGTGGTTCGTTATCAACACTATGGACACTTGTTGTTGGACATGTTGAATAATTTTGAGAAATGGAGACAACAAAAGAAGAATACTATCGAGTCCGTGTTCGATGAACAACCTCAGAATACAGCATTCTATGTCACTCTGTTTACTCCAGACGGTATGGATTGGATTGAATACGATTTAATGAAAGAACCTTCTGAATATTCATTCCATGACAATTCCACACCGAACATTTTTGACATGTGTCGTGATCCTCCCTATGGAATGAGGAATGCTGATCAAGAAGTTACTCAATTAAGGCAAGAATTGTTTGGAAGAGGAATTTCTAGCAATGAAACAACTAGTGCCACTCTGCCATGTCAAACCCTTAAATGGAGTGCCTATGATTCCATAGAGGGAAAAGGAACATGGTCTGTGTATTGGCTTTCTGGAATGGAGTGGTGGGGAACGTATTGTTTCACAACATTTAATCCTCAGAAAAATTTTGAAATTATTGTCACAACTGCCTCTGCTACGGATTAAGATAACATTTAATCCTCAGAAAAATTTTGAAATTATTGTCACAAGCTTGCGACAGGAAAATGATTTTTATTAATAAATTAAAAAAACAAAAGTAATTCACTGACATTTATGCCATGATATAGGGCCGCTTATCTTGTTCAATGATGGTATAGGAATCTCTTGCTTGTCGATACACAAAATAAATTCCCAACAAGGATAGAAATACAAGGGCCACCACAGAAGCCAACAACAAGCTCACTGAGAAGGTCCATTCCAGTGCTTGATCTTGTTCCTTAAAGTCATAATTTGGAGTTGACTTGCCTTGCTTAAATAAGAAGGTCTTGAATGTAAATGGTTCCATAAAGAAGGAATCTGAAACGGTTTTCTGTGAAATCTTTTTAGAGGTGGATAAATTGGTTTCATCCAGTGTTAGATCTTTCTTATTGACGAGTTCCTTGATAAACATGGTACGAATGGAGAGTGATTTTCGATCTAGTTCTGATGAAGGTCCTAAATGTTGTAATTGAACAAGTGCTTTAGCGTCATGTGTATCGAGACTCTTTCGATTCAACACAATATCCAAATTCGTCAAGTGAATGTTGTCATCCAATGACTTGTGCAGCGCAGAGAATTGCTCAACAAGTTTTGAAGCATGCTCAACATTAATTACCGCTTCTCCGTCATCATTATAGTACGAGAGGGGTGTGTAAAAATCCTTTTCGAACGGTGCCAAGAAGGGTGGATAATTATTCACAAGAGTTTCTTTGGGGAATGCAATTCCTCTCAAATCAGGTGCACTCAGACCCTCATCGATTCGCACCTTAATATTCAAAGCGACAACAGAATCGTCGTTCACTGGTTGATCGACACCTCGTCCATCATCACTATAAGTTCTTCTATGAAGCATAATTTCGAGTTGACCATTTTTGACACTGGCTGCTCCATGAGTTTCAGTGACAAATAATGTGAGTTGCCGATTTTTTGTTTCATCTCGAATGTAACAATTGTACACGATAGGCATGTAGGTGGCTTCGACTTTGTCTTTTCTGGATACTTTCACTGTTTCTAAACCATTCTTATCACAATAAAATGTTTCACCAGAGTTAATAAATGCTGATGCGTCAAATCTTGTAATAATCTCTTGATCCATTCCTAAAGGTCCAACAACATAGATGTATTCAAAATCAAAACCTTGCTGTGAAACTTTAGGATCATAAATTCTCACGTATTGTTTAACATTATCAGCAATAATTTGGCTAACTTGTGTGAAAATGCCACGAGATGCCTTTTTTGTGATTGTTAATGCTTTTGAGGTGGATGACGTGATCATAGGTTTTGGACTTTGTGCTTTTGGAACAAAAATGTAAGCTCCACTGTGTTGTGAGTAAGGGGATGAGCTGTCACTTTCATAGTACATGAGTTGCTGTGAAAGATCATACTTCTTTCCAGACTTCTCAACGGAACACAATGTGACTCCTCCTATTTGAGTGTGTTGACAGAACGTCAGCGAAGTTTTACCATTGGTGACCGTGTAACCGTTCTTGTCAGCAACATTTACCGTAGTTTCTTGCATATCATTGTCAACCACATCTTTACATGGCTTGGCAAAAACTAAAGTATAACCAAGTGCTGGAACATGGGGAATGACCAAATACAAATCCTGGTCGTTTTGATCCAATACTGATCGAATAATTTGAGACTTCAATGGTGTTCCTCTATTGTCATAAAAGCAAATCTTTGAAGCAACATCTACCACTTCATCATCAACATTAATCACAGCAACATGGTGATAAATGTCCCAACCAAGACTGTTATAGATGGCAATAGGTATAGAGTAGTCCTTGATTCTTTGTGTCACTAACTTTCCAAGTGCGTCAAGGAAGGATTTGAATGAAAAAGTTTGGGAAAGCAGTGTGTTATAATGTTCAAGAAGCATATCTCCTTTTGAGATTCGACTCGTCAGTAAGGTGCTCAGAGCTCTAAAGAGAGTTTTCTTTGCTGCAGTAACTCCATTAGATAAGCTTTGAATATAATCTGTTGTGACATCAAATTTAGAAGTACCTGTAATTGCGTCATGGTGAGTCACATCGGCCATAGCCACAGCCAAAACGTCCAGATTGCGAAATCCCTCAGAAATAAATGCGGTTTTCTCTTCCTCCTTTACAAATGGAACAGAAATGGCGAATAATGTTTTGGCAGTCCTAAAAAAGCTCTCGGCAACTCTAATAGATTGTTTCAAAACGGGATATGACGTATAGTAGCCTGTCCAAAATGCCGAAGGGCCATCTGCGTATGGCATGAAATCATAATCAACAATATTTTGTGAATCGGTTTGTGGCTTGGAGGCTTCCATATATTCACTCAGTAAGGAATATTTGATCTTGTATGGGTACTTGGTTGAATTCTTTTCAATGCCACGAATCGCCTTCTCAATTAACTCGAATCGGCTCTTGGCATATTTAAATGTAAAATCGCAACCAGCAGGTATCATAATGTCACTTTGTTTAAATCCAAGTGAATATTTCATGATTTGTTGGTGCAAAATTTCAGCAGCCTCGTCCTCATCGACATACGCAATAGATCCTTGCTCTTCATTAAAAAATAGTGGTCTAACACAATATTGGTAATCCATAACGTTTGAATAAACTGTGGAGCCGTCAGACAATTTCCAAGTGAAAGACATTCTCTTTGAATTTCTCATTTCTGTTTGTATCTTTTGGGGAATTCTCATGATGACGGTGTCATTCAAGCCCGATTCAGCATAGAGACGTGTCATGGTTGTCGTGCTTCCAAATGGATCAATTCTGAAAGAAGTATGTGGTACAAATGTATTGATACCGCTCACCGTTTGGCTATCAATTTGACTGTCGAAAGTGTCCATGACAAATTGATGACCTCTCGTTAACGTGTGAATCACCGAAGTGTAGGTATTGGCAGCCTCGTCGGACATGGTCATTCCACCCAATGCAAATTCAATTCTCTTCTCTTTCAAAAATTTGACAAACAGATTTCTCTTGTGGGGTTGTGCTTCATCCCACCAATAATTTATAAAACTCATCTCCACAAAAATAAATTTTCTCTTTGGATTTTTATCAAGAGCTTCCAAAACGCCTTCAATGATAGGCTTTACGTCCTCTTCATAGTATGCTTTTTTTGTTTTCAACCAACCAACATCCCAATGGCTATGCGGGATCATATGAACCGTTTTAAAATAAATATTATTAGGATCGGAAGAAGAAAATGCTTGTTGAGCATGAACGGATTGTGAATTTGTTGTAATCATTATCATCATGCTAAAAAGAGCGATCATCATCATCAGGATCCCATACAAGCACCGAGCACCGCAAAATCTCACTCCGAATACTCGTTCTGCAGCCATTTTTTTCGTTTCACTAGATTTTTTATTAGCAACCAGAATCCATGAATCAATTGGTCGTTCATGAACGATACTGTGAAGGATTGGAGATGGAGAATTGTCCCTTGGTATGGCCTTTGTAGTTAATGAAAGAAAGTTGCATTTGGGATTGAGAAATTTCTACAGCTGTGAAACCTGATTCTTCATAGTATTGTTGGAGGTAAGGATGGGAAGGATCAATTTCATACTTTTTCACTTTGCTACCGGCTCCAGATACAACTACAGTTGAAGATCATTTCAGTTGTTGGTAAAAATTTGGTAGGAACAGAGGTTCCATAAATGTTGAGTCAATGTGTTGGTTGTTCCAGAACATTAATACATACTTTGATTCATGCATTGTCCATTTTGATCGCAATCAAATCCATTCAAATATTGCAAACTAGTTGTCAGTATTTCAAAAAGTTGTTTGTGCATTCGTATTAGATAATTTGAATGACTCTCCTCTTCGCATTGCAACACACTTACTTGTGGCTACAAATGAACAAAATTCGATATGTTGTCGTACCATGAAAATATAATTCTTCACTTACTCATGTCCAGAAAAATAAACATAAAAGCCGTTTTTAACAAGAAGAGGCTTCAATTTTTGTGAAATATCAGGATTATCTCCATTTTTGCCTAATTCTCAGATTTCCACAATTGTAAGGCAATGAAAATGATTCATTGAAAATTACCGTCGAATCGAATAGGAATTTTACAAACCTGCAGATTTCATTGGATGATGTCCAACAGCAATCTATGAATGTTATGATATTCACACTTGTTCAAAATGCCACTGTCAACTCACCTTCCAATGAACATGGTTACTTCTTGTTAAGGAATCAATAGTTTGTTGCATGATATCCAATTGTTTCTCAATGTTCTTTTGAAGAAGAAGTGCTGTCATATTGACCTTATCACTTGAATAATATGATTCAATCATGGGAGACGTATCAAAAACAGCTAATAATATATTCACATCTCCTGCTTTTACCACTCGAGCATAATATTCGTTGGGTAAATAGAAAATACTAGAACCTGGTCCACCTCGATCATTCTTGATGCTGTAATCAATCTTTCAATTTCATTTCGATAAATATTGAATATGTCAAAAAGTATTTCAGTTAAATTGTTGTTAATATATTATTGAAAAATTAAATTATTGAATGTTACAATCAACAATTGTTTCAGTTAAATAATATGTACATTAGTAATAACAAAAAATTAAAGCATTGAACAAATTTTTCGCCAAGTGTCATGATTTGCCCAATGGCATGTCACTTACTTCAGCATGAGCGTATCCGTAATAATCATGATTTCCCAAAGTGTTATAAAATTGTGATCCAAAAGCCTCTCTTGGTCGATAAACATCCTCAAAACTTGTCTTAAATTGACTATCATGAATTCCACTCACTCCATAATCATAGAAATTATCTTTGAGAAATAATTATTTCCACAATCCAAAGATCAAGCAATTGTAATATATTAATTAATACAGGACGAATTAATAATTCACATCATCAATGGTTGAATCCAAAGAAGACCTACCTCCAACACCAATGGAAAAATCACAACTCGTATTCACGCTCTGACACCATTGAACTATTTGTAAAGCCACATCCGTTTGATGATCTTCACCTTGTCTTCCAAAATCTCCAATCACTGTAAAATAGCCTGTTCCAGTAGATTTCATTGGACCGTTATTTGACTGCTTCGTTGGAATTTGGATTCGGAACGCAAGGAGAGTTGAAAATTCGGTCTGAAGAAATATTGCAATGATGAACATCATCACAAGATGGTTGAGCCTTTCCCGCTTAATGCAGATGGACATTTTTTTCTTGATGGAAGAAATAGCTCCAAAGACTGCGTCGAAATGGTTGCCAGTTCAAATATTTCTTGTTAAATGAGCTTTCGAATTTCAATGAATCAATTTTACCAAAGATTTCAGTCATTTCCAAAGTTGTGTAATTACTATTTTTTGAAAATTTCCTCAAACACTTTCACAAAACAAGAAATGAATAAAGTCAAAGGTCTTTCAATTATTCTTGATCATTGATATTAAAAAAGAAGAGAGAATATTCTTTCTACAAAGCAGCAGTTACAATTGTATTATCGTCCTCCACCACTTCTAAACATCAAGAGTACTCAATCATTGTTCCAATGGATCTCCAACTCGATAAGAAGATACTGTTAGCCTTTTTGGTTGCAGTCGTTGCAGCCTTTTCCATTCAAATGATGGTTCATCATACGAGTGATAATCCCGATATTACGCACCATGCTCATGCTTCCGTTCCCAATGAACCTGCCACCAATGCTCCCAGTGCTCAATTTAAGGCAGCCAATGAACACATGAAAGAAGGAATGAAAGGAATGGCTGAAAGTGCTAAAGATTACCTTCGAGAAAAGAAGAAGGACGTGAAGGAAGATTTGAAAGAAGTCAAAGATAAAGCAACCACGTGGACTGAAAAAGTGAGGGAAGCCGTAAGCGAATTGAAAGATGAAGTCTTGGATAAAGCTACTCAATTGAAAGATAAAGCCATAGGTAAAGTAAAGAAGATGAAAGCAAAAACTGGAGGAAAGGCCCGAAGAATGAAACAAAAGACCACAGAATTAAAAGACTTGGCTTCAGAAAAGATGACCAATGTCAAGGAAAGTGCTTCTGACTTGAAAGACATGACCAAGGAGAAGGCCGATACTCTCAAAGACACAGCAAAGGAAAAGTTGAGTGATTTGAAGGAGAGTGCCTCTGAGAAGATGGCCAATCTCAAGAACGTGGCACAAGAGAAGGCGACCGATTTGAAGGACAGCATCAAAGATACCATGAAGGAGAAGGTCAGCGATCTCAAAGACTCCACTACTGACAAGATGAAGGATTGGAGCGAAAAGGCCAAAGAAAAGGTTTCAGATGTGGCCGGCTCGACCATGGAAGGAGTGAAGAATGTAGCCTCAGACGTGAAAGAAGGCATTAAGGAAGGATTTGAACATGCCCGAGATCAGAGCAATTTAGTGAATGAAGAGAAGATGGCCTATCCTGATAACGCCTTTCAAAACTTGGATCCATTAAAACGTGAAACGTATCGTGAAGATGTTGAGATGGGAAAGGCTCCAAGTGGAATGCAAAACACTCACACCACCACAACCGACACTGGTGTCAAAACTCCAGATTTAACAACAACCACAACTACTACCACAACAGAAGCATCTCCAGAAACTCTGGCAAAAGCAACTGAACCATTGTATGAAGAAGATTTCAAAAAGACACGTGAAAACAAGGGATGGATGGGAGAACAAGCAGAGGAAATTAAAGCAAGCTCAAAGCCTCTTTAGGCCTTCCGATAATTGAATGAGGTTTTGCTTTTATATTTGAAGATGACTCGATGAGAATGAGAATAAAAATCTCTCTCATTAATAATGTATTGAACATGGTTTGCATTGTTGACCACTTAATGATTGGACCTCCTCTATTCATGACAGACCAATCGTTTGCTCTTGAACAAAAGACCTCTGTTTTACAACTGTTAAACGTTGCAATTCAATTTCACGCTGGCCAACCAGGAGTTTTCTGACTTCAAGACAACTGACTGATCAACTCCAGCTCCTAAAACATCGGACCTGAAGCGGATGGAAATTGTAATCCACACAAAACAAAAAATCAACACTGCTGCTCGTAGGAGCCTTTGTTTCGCTTTGTTACTACAGAGTTTAGTGCACTATTCCCGCTACTGAAAAACTTGAGCCTAATTCCTCACACCTTGGCCCTTTCACCACCACTCGGACCAACAGTCTTGTATCCCTTTTCCATAACTCATCTTTTCAATTTTCCTCTCCTGGATATCAACCATTCAAACTTTGCAACATTCAATATAATTACCTCATCTCCATATTAATAGCAACAACAACTTTTTGATTTTACCAAATCAATATATTCATCCAAACATTTTGTGTGCGAACAAAATCATCATCAACATTATACCTCCATTAGCGAAATTTAGTGTTGTATCATTCTTACCATCTCCGTCGTCAAACTCAGCATCAATAATATGAATCAACAACAGCTCATTACATCCATGATTCCCTCAATCATAACCGACACTTTGACTTCATATGGACTCTCTATACCTCAACAAGTTCTCGTCGGAAGTCTTGCTTTCCATCTCATCTTGTACTTGTTCGTCATGAAAATATTATGTTTGACTCTGATTAATCCATCGTTTTATAAAACTCTCTCAAAACGAGATCAAAACGAGTACGAGTCACGTATCATTTCCTCTCTTCACTCATTTGCAATGGCATTTGGTGGAATGGCAATTTTATTCAACGATCATGTGTTTTTATACGATTGGAACATTATGCACAGGTCACTGGCAACTGAATGCTTGTTTTACTTCTCCACGGGATACATGCTTATTGATTTGTTGTTTGTCTTGTATTATTATCCTCAAATTGGAGGCATTGAAATGGTGATTCACCATGTTTTTATTTCGTCAGGCCAAATGTATCTTGTGGAAAGCCAAATTGGAGAAGTGTTGGGTGTTTGGGTCACACAAACCGAGCATACCACCATTTTCATTAATATGAGGTGGTTTTTGGACAAGGCTGGAATGAAGGAAAGCGCAATCTATATTTTCAATGGACTCATGATGTGGCTGGTGTGGTTCCTGGTACGAATTGGCTATGCCGTTTTTAATGTTGTCTTTTTTGTGAGAAAGTGGGATGAATGGATGAAGTTGGTTGAGGAGAGAGGAAATTATGGAGTTTTTCATCTTGTTTTCTTCATTATTCAATGTTTGAATTTGGGCTACTTGAATATCATGTGGTTTACCAAGTTGACAAGAGGAGTCATTAAGGCTCTTTTCAGTAAGGACGAAACAAAGAAGAAGACTGCATAAGAAATATGTAGTGACTAAGAGTTATGTTGCTGCTCTTTTTTCAACACTTGTGAAAATCTCTCTTGCAATAAAAAGAGGTGATTTTGCGTTTTGTAAGGAGTGATTCAATAATTTTGACAAAAAGTGAGCGGTATTGTGTCACGTCGACATATACTTTGTTGATACCCTTCGTATAGCAAACATTTGATGTTAATCACAGGACAAATGTTAACAACCTGAGACGATACCCCATTTTGGTCATGTATTGTAAACTATATTTTCTGGTTGACCAATTTTTTTTAAAAAATGTTTTGAAAAAAATACGCCACAAATCATCACAGGTTTGTTTCACTTTTTTTTGTTTTGCCTAACATTTGTTAATTATTCTTTTCTCATCACTATTCTACATTGATTCTCTCATCATCTTTAAATCCTCTCTCATACTTTTATAAAACAACAGAAAAATGGTAGCCCCAAAGTTGTCCATCAAGCCAACTCACAAGAGAGAGAAGAAGTTCAGAAGATTTGATGCTCACAAATTCAAGAGATTGGCACAAACCACCACATGGAGATATCCACACGGTATTGATAACCCTCAAAGAAGACACTACAGAGGTCATGGTGCCATGCCATCCGTTGGTTTTGGTACTGCTAAGGTTGTCAAGTATCACGATAGAAAGACCCGTTTGATCCCATACGTTGTTTCCAATGCTAAGGATCTTGAAGTGTTGTTGATGCACAATGATAAGTATGCTGCTGTCATCAACCACCAAGTTGGTGCTCAAAAGAGAAAGCAAATCGTCGAAAGAGCCAAGGAATTGGATATCAAGCTTTTGAATGCTACCGCCAGATTGAAGACTGAAGAAACTCAATAATTGTCTTATTTCTCTTAATAAAAAACATTATAAAATTCAAATCATTTGGTATGTTTCTTCTTTTTCAAATCCGATCTGGAAGCACAAGAAGATTTATTCCAAAAAAATGTTTTCAAGCCAGAGTCAACAATCTTCGCAATCATCAGAAAAGCCTTCCAATCCGAGTGGAGGAGGAGATACCTCGGGTGCATCAGCGCCAGCACAACAACCAGCATCCTCGGGATTGAAACATTCCACGCTAAAAGAATTGGAAATGGAATTTAGTTTGTTAAGAGTACCCCTAGAGATGGCCAATCGAGAATTTCGATCCTCCCAAAAATCCGTTGAGAAAGATCTCGGAATTTTAGAGAAGGCTGTTCGTGAGATGATTCAAAAAGCAACAAAACAAAATGTTTCTGCACAGGATCAATCTGTTTTTCTTGATAAAGTTGTTACAAAATTGCGTGGAGTGAAACGAAAGCTTGAAGAAACCGATGTATTGGAAACAAATTATTTGAATAATTGCAAGGAACGTTTGGATCATTTGGAACAGTATCCGATCATTACGGGAGCTATTTCCCGCAGAAAATCTATTTCTAACATTACAGAACATGAATATCAATTATTGGCAGAGTGGCGAAGAACGAGAGTGAATCGAGTCATTGTAGATTATTTGTTACGATTTGGACACTATGATACAGCTCTTGCTCTCTCAGAATCTGAACATATCAAACACTTGGTAGATGTTGAGGTTTTTACTCGTGTCAAGCATATTATAGAGTCATTGATGAATAAGGATTGCTCTGAAGCACTCAAATGGTGCTCTGAGAATCGATCAAGATTGAGAAAAATTTCTGTACGTTCTTGTTTTAATGGACAAGTAGAATTTGTATATTAACTGTGTGATGTTTGTATACAATTTTTTTTACAATTCATTGCACTGTGCCACAACATCTATTGTTATTATGTATATTCACAACCAATTCCTTGAACCATTATGTGGATTGGTGCGGTTACGTTACACATGCGCTATTATAACACACTGCTTTTTTGTTAAAAATAATTATTGACACATGGAAATAATTCATGGCATTGAATCATGAATGATAATTGTTGCAACCATGAATCATTACACATGTCTAGAGTAATTTGGAATTCAATTTAAGAATTCAAGAGTTTATTGAACTCTCCAAGAAGGACAAAAAAGTTGAAGCCATCATGCATGCGCGAAAGCACTTGACATCATCTTCGTCATCTCAGAGCGACTCCAAAAAAAACGCAGAAGAAGAAAGTGTTTCACTCACACCCGAACAAACAAATATGGTCAAAAAAGTGATGGCATCTCTTGTGTTTGGTCCTTCTACTCCCATTCCTGGTTACAAGGAGCTGTATGAGGACTCGAGATGGAATGAATTAATTGAACAGTTTAAATCTGACAATTATCAGGTATGTGAATTCTTGTAAAAATTTTCTGCAACACTGATTGAATGACATGACAATCAATTGTATTACGCTCATTCAATGAAAACGATATTTTGATAATAATAATAATTGTATGATGACAGTTGCATGGACTCACGCGTGAACCCACTTTATTCATGCTTTTACGTTCTGGATTATCTGCTCTCAAAACACCACATTCCTATGAGGAATCTTCGATCAATATTAATGATCCCCTTTCGAATGATTTATTTAGAGAAATTGCTAAAGACTTACCATTTGCTCACCATCATCACTCGAAACTTGTTTGTAGAATTACTGGTGATATTATGGATGATAATAATCCACCTATGGTTTTGCCTAATCAAAACGTCTATAGTTTGAAAGGTCTTGAAGAGCTGGCCAAAAAGAATAATGGAATCATTGTGGATCCAAGAGGAGGGCAAAGCTATAATTTGAGTGACGCTAAAAAGCTCTTTATTATGTAAATAGTTGAAATGTTGATCTACAAGACTGTAAATAATGTACATTATTGTGAAATGATCAATCAACACATGCACTAACTGTAAATGCTCATTTCAGATAAATCAGCATTGTTTTTAACAATTCATCAACAACCTGAGTTAACGCACAAATCACATATTCCTTATTTATTAGCCATATATGCAAGCTTTTCGTAACATATCATCTTCAACAACAATTATTTTCTTCTAGAGACAACTGAGGAGCTTGAATGCTTCATCAATAGTTCCTTATCAGATGCACTGACAGACAAACCATGCAATGTTACATTCTTGAGCTCTGGGGAAGTCTCAGCGAAATTGACCGAAGTCAAAGCATGACAGTCACAAAGTTTGAGGGTAGCAAGTTGATGACACTTTAAAGTCATTCTTTCGAGGTATTGACATCTAGAAATTTGAAGTGTTTCTAAACGAGCATGACTAATAAATGGACGTGATAATCCACACGAACTCAATCTAACCTTATCAAGACCACTGCACTTGCTCAGCATGGACGCCAAGCACATGTCAGAGAGTCTTGCACATTTGGAAAATCTCATTTTCTTTAAAGATTGATTCTGGCCTACTACTTGAATGCTAGACAATTGATCACATTCTTTAACAGTAATCTCACTAACACTACTCTCAGCAGGAAAATGAACTGAGGTTAATGTTGGGCATTGTGAAATGAGAGCAGATTGGATTGCAGAGGAAAGCGTGAGAGTAGTAAGATTGGTACAATTCACAACGTTCAAGTTCTTGACATGCAAATCACAAGTCAATTTGGCCACACCCTTGCATTCAGAAATTTCCAAGTTTTCAACATCTTGTCCAGAAAAATGAGTTCCAACTTTTTCGAGTCTCATCTTGTCACATTTTTGGAATGACAAGGTTGATAACTTGTCAGAGGCACAAATCCATGGACTGGTGAGATTGGTACATTCAGAAAATCGAATATGTTTCAAATTACTGTTGAGACCGCTTGTGAGCTTGGGAGCGACCAGTGAATTACACTTGTCAAAGACAATGGTTTGAATATAATCGGAAGATTGAGAAAGTTCTTTCGAAATCATGGCCTCGTTCAAGCTTGGGCAATCGGAGAATAAAATTTCAGTGCTACAATTACCACTAGTGTTACCCATCAAGCTGAAACTCTTGAACTTTTTGCATGAAACAACGAGTAACTTTTTCAAATTTTGAGACATCACTGACGGCATTTCAAGTTGAGAACATTCTCTAATATTAAGGTCAATCAGGTTTGGTAACATAAACACAGGCTTGTTGAGCATGTTACAATTCACAACTTCTACGAATCGAATATTGGGACTATTGACAGAAATGTTGTTGAAGGAAGAATCATCAACGCTTGGACAATTTCTAATGAACAGCTTGTTCAACTTTTCACTCTTAATATTCAAACTCTTGAGCATGTTACAATCACTAATTTGAACTCCTTTCAACACGTTGGAATAGATGTTGGTATTTGAAATGCGATTGCAATTTGAAATAACAAGCGCCTGGAGATTTGACAAGCTGTTGCATAATAGACTCAATGCATAATCATTGAGACTAACATTATTGGAGATGCTCAACATGCTAATATTTGGGCACTTGTTGATAATATTACCAACAAGGCGTTCATCAAATGGAAGAAAAACACTTCCAACAGCAAGTTTTTCAAGTTTGGGACAAGGTCCAAGCTCTAATCTTTTCAATTGATGAAGGTTTGCCATGTTAAGAGAATCGAGAGACTTGCATTTGGTTGCAATTTGTTCAAGAGAAATGATCTTTTGCAAGTTCAGTGAGGTCAAATAGTCGCTCTCCACAAATAAATGTTTGAGTTTTGTCGCTTCTGGCTGAGGAAGCGCAAACATTTGAAGATTTTCCATCCGAGGACACTTTAGAATCAACTTTTCAATATTGGCACATAAATCAACACTCATGGAGTGAAGTTTGGAGCAGAACACTTCGAGATTCATCAAATCATTACACATCAAGACAATAATCTTTTTCATAATATTTGAAGAAATGGAGAGTGTCTTGTTGTCAGCACCTGTTTGGCAATCAAACAACTCCAAATCTCGCAAGTTTGGCAATGAGGTTATCAACTGCGAAAGGTTCACATGTGCAATGTTACTACTCTTGAGCTTTAGCTCATTGACTTGTTGGGATTGGATCATTTGAAGACCACTCAAGTTCTTACATTGGTCAATACATACTTTTTTAAGGTTGTAGCATGATTCAAAAGTGAGATGTAAAATTTCAGAGCCGCTAAAGTGGAATTTTTCAAGAGAGGAGCTATTGATGGAACATGAGTATACCTTGTTGGTGGAAACTCTGGCAGGATTCTCGCAAACAATAGAGAGTTGACGCAAGTAACGAAGCTCTGAAAAGATCATATCAAAGGTTTTTTGCGTAACACCGTCTAGACCTCTCAGGAATAGAGATTCAAGTCTGTGGCATCCACGAATAAACGAAGAGAGTGCATTAAAACTAATGTTTGCAACATCAAGTTTTAACTCTCTCAAGTTTGCTCCATATTGGCCTAATTCAATGAGATCCTGTTCATGAAATACAATGTTTGAGGTGCTGAGGGCAGAAATTGAGCGAATGTTCTTGCAATTCTTGAGAAGGGACTTGACTGATTGTTGAGTCAAGCCAAAACAATAGTCCATTTCAATAGCCTCAAGATTGAGGACACGTTGTGAAAAGTCATGAATTCCTTGATCACTCAATTTGTGATGAGTAGAAATTCTGAGAGATTGCAAATGTGGAAATTGAGCTATTTGCAAAAGTGCAGAGTCTGTAATACTTTGCTCGACATCATCTTGATTGAACTGAACTCTGTCACCCTGTACATGTGCCAATGTATGAATCGATCCATTTTCTGAAGCAGATACCGATGAGCACATGGGAAGTACTAATTTTGTCAATGAAGGATAAACTTCAAAGAGCTTTTGAAAATTGACAGCTAGGAGCTGTTTGCATGATGATGGTAAAATAATTTCTCCAAATGGATGAAGCATTCGAATCGAGTGTGACTGGCTAGGAGGAAGCAACACTCCTCCATTCTTGAAAATTCCAAGTTGTTCTTGCTTTTGAAGTGAGAGGCCAAATTCATATTGTTGAATGTTGTAAATGACTTCTTTTTGACCGAGTCTTCCAAGAGATTCCATGAGCATGGTAGAGCCCAATGCATAGGCTTTTCTCATGTCAAGAAGCTTGAAAGAGGTAAGATCATCAAGAAAGCCAATCACATCACCCATATTCTTGATTTTAAAGTGGCCATTGTTGAAATCAATCCGTTTCCACAACACAGAATGCTTGGCTATTTGATACCATCTTTTGCAAACTCCAAACATGGCATGAATCAGCATGGGTTGTGAAAGATAGGACATGACAAAGATAAGGATGCCATGAGGTAACATTTCCCATGAAGGACTTGCTTGGACGAGTTGACCACTTGTTGTTGCACAATTAAGATCCGTGATATCGTGCGACGAGTTGATGGATGGAATAATCGCTGCTGATGCCGCTTGTTCAATGTCTAGAGCTGATGGTTTCAATGACATTGTGGAATCCTTAAATGAATGGCTTGGCAAACCTTTTTCTAGATGATTCATATCATGATCAAACGAGCCATTAATGGTTTCGTCTTGCATCATCTCGCCAAGAGCTGAATCTACCAAATGATTCAAGTTGGAATGTAATTTAACCTTTTTAGGAGCAGGTTCATCTTGCACATCAAGGCCATTCGAAATGTTCATCATGGTCATTGTCACTGCAGAATGTCCTAAAGGACTACTACAGTTGTCATTACAATTTGAGTCTTCTTCGAGCGATGAGTTTACATTATCATCAATTTGGAGATGCTTTTTACGCTTTAGATGATTTGCTTGCTCCATAGGATTAAATTGGAAGGAGAGTTGTTGTTGTTGCGGGGTTACAGGAACAGCCGTAGCATGAATGCTTTGCACATTATTGCCATCATGATGGTTGTTGAAAGCAACACTACTGGCATGAGTAGTGCCGGTCATGTTTGATGTTGAGCTCATCCTTTTAACACAAGTTGGATTGTGGGAAGTAAAAACAGACACGTGTTGTTGTTGTTGTACTAATTTTGAGTATTGTGCTTGTGAAACCTTACAAGAAGAATGTTGTTGATACTTTCTTTTTGAAAATCTCTTCTTCAGATTTGAGGGTGCTTCTCAAGAAAATGATGACAAGTTATTTTTAGTTGAAGTACACTCGAGTTGTTGATGAAGGTTTCACAGATGAAGAATGCTGATGATGGATGCAAAGATCAGTGCAAGTTCCTCTTTCCTTCAACAATAATAACACGAAGAAGTATTTGATAATAATACGCAAGCCCGATACGAAATATTACAAAAATTGAGAGTCCACCCAAACCAACAATCCCCGAAATAAAAAAACAAAATGATTCAGTACTATTCTACTCGTATCAAGAAATAATATACTCAATCCGAAACAATGAAGAAAGAAGAAAAAAACGATGAAGCGAACCCAACCAAACACAAAGCACACTAGGAAGGACTTGCTAACCGCTTTTTTTGATGATGTAATGGAAAAAAATTTTGACTCCGATTCAATGAACATTCATCAAGACGAAGTGTTGTTCGACGACGCATCTCAATGCCAAGAGAGGAAATTTATGGTTGGCGCCTCCGACGCTTTTGTGGCTGAGATAATTGTATATGAATGTTCAAGAAGAAATCATTAAAACCAAAAGGGCGAGATTGATTGTTGTTGGATGGAGCATTTGTGAACCTTCTGCTTGTCGAGGGAGTTATCCAAAAGTAATATTAAGAGTCCTCCTCAATCATGAAACTTTCTTTGAATATTCGATGTTTGAACTAACCAAAGTGGAATGCAAGAAGAATTGATCATTGTCATTGAAATGAGGCTCTGCACAAAGAGAACCTGTTCATAGATGGTACAGGTTAGAGCAATGTAATTCAAATCTCAATGTTGAATAATACAATTAAAAAGCAACACCAAATTCTATTCCACATTAGCTTGAGCCCTTTCATGATCTTGATGTTTGAAGAAATAATGTCTCATTGTTTCACACCTTTTGTAGACCTTCATGTCTTCCAATTGGTTTTATCATTATCGAACACTCGTTCCCTTCTAATTGACGCAAGGAATAGCAAGTCCTCAAGACGCAGCACGGAACATTTCACAAATGCTTTTTCAAGTGCCAATCATTCATTTTCATAGATCTTACCTTCTGGTAAGGGTAAACCAATTTACCGTGTGAGAATGTCAAAGTGTACGTTGAAACAACAGACCGTGTCACACCACACGGAAAAAACCACTCAAAAAAATGTCAACAAACGTTTTTGCAATGGTCCTTGTGGCCATGACCTTGTTGATGACCACCTTGTCATCATCATCCACTCTCCTCTTTGTCAATGGCCAAACACTCAGTGGCGATCTCACAATCAAGACTCCAAAAACTTCATTGACTTGCCAACGAACTGTGACTTACACTCCAACCACCACCACTGTGACTTTTGACAGTACCGGCAGATGCAATCTCAACGCCACAAAATCACTCTCTCTTGGAACATTCACTGGCATGAATTTACAAGCCAGTGTCAGTGTTCTTCCAATGATCAAAATGACAGCTCAAGCAGGTGTCACCTTGTCTGTGAATATTTTAGGTAAAATGACAAGTATCGATTTTGCATTCAACGTTGGTGCTAGCATGGGTTTCGATGCAATCTTTGAATATTTGGATAATGATTCTAATCCAGGTTATCAACCAAGTGGTACTGATCAAATTGTCAAATCCTATCCATTGACTTCCCTTCAATGGTCTCAATTGAATGTTGTTTCTACCAAAATTGATGCCAACACAACGTTCTATCAACTCTCAACAGAAGCTCAAGTCGGAACATTGTGTAAAGTCAAATTGATTGGATATCTCACTACGAGCGAAGTCGTTCTCTCAAGTAATGCATTTGTTTCAAGAGATGGTGTTCAACAAATTCTCGTTCCTTCCTCCTTTAAAACTTCCCTTCAAGTTTTGAATATTGCACCTTCGAATGCAGCAGCAAAAATTGGTATTTCCACACTCGTGGCATTCCGTGGAAAGGTCAATGCTAAGAGTACACGAGCTGCCTCCACTCCAGCCAAAGGAGAGGAACGTCCTGACGATGACTCTGCCGATCAGAGTGTTCTTCAAGTTGATACCTCTTCCTACTTGTCTGGACTTTCGAATTTACCAAATGGATTCCAAATTCCAAAACCCTTCTTCTCCTATCAGACCTTTGTGAGTAAATTGAGTGCATCTGGAACTGTTTCGATTGGAAGATCAAAACTTGTCTCAACCTCTTTGACTCAAGTCACTGAAGTGAGTGATGTGAACACAGAAATGACAAGATCCATCAGTGGTTCTTCTGTCTGGAGATTTTATGCATCATTGACTGAACAAGTTCAGAACTTTGTGTGGGATCCTTCGGTTGGTAATTCAGATGAACGTCCTCCTTCACCAACAGTGGTTTCTGGAGCTCACAAAGTGAATGGAATGGTTGTCATGATGATGATGGTTGGTATGATGATCATGTTGCTGTTCATGTAAACATGATTCACGACATGTCCAGTTTAATAAAATTGAACACAACATTTGTGACAACTATAGATGGAATGTGAAATTTATCATCATGTTAATATATATACCTTAACAAGTGGAATGAATCTCATGCGCAGTTCCATTCCAAAGCTTTTAAAGCTTCAATTATGAATAAAGGCGAAACAATCACACTGGAACACCTTAAAAACCAACGGAGAAAAGTTGGTCGTTCAATCAATTTCTCAAACTTTAAAAAATATATTTACATCAACCACACTCGGAATTACACTCGTCGATTGTTTCGCTTAATAACATTAATTATCAACAACAACAAGTGTTAGAAAACAATTCGTGTAGAAATGAAGAGAACCAATACTCGTTGTTTATTATTCGTCAAGGAAAAAGTAACGAAACAAATATCAAATGGAAAAACCGTTCTGATTGCTTCCCATGCTTCTGCTTCCAATCATGCAGTGTTCATTCCAAAGTACATGATGAATACATCGTTCTCTCTCTTTTCTTATCATTCCAATGCAAATAATATTGACCATTCCGATGAAACATTCCGAGCAGCTAATGAGGCTCATGCAACAACCAGTGGTTCCTCCACGAGACCTGAGCAACTACAAGAAAATTCGGGACCATACGTTTCGCAGCTGATTATTGGTGGTGCTAGCGGATTTGTTGGAAAGCAATTACTCAAACATATTCTTTCTCCTAATTCTCAGAAAATTAAGGTTCCTTTTTCGGACCAATTATCAAAATTGTCCCATGTAAGTTTTGGTGTAGAATATAAATTTCAAACGAACGAATGAACGAACGGAAAAAACAATTCGATTGGAATTAATCATGAATTTAAAATTATTGTAAATATTTTATTTTGGACAAAATTATTTTTTCATGTAAACCCATACTCAACAATGGTCTGCAAAATTATTTAACAGCTCACAATTTTATCGAGAAAACCCGAAGAAACGAGACAAGTTTTGGAACAACAATGTCCTCTTCAAAGCTGGGAACGAAAAGACTCGATTCAAGTTCAAATTAAGGATTGGAAAGACTTGAATCCATCAACCACAGAAAAGCAACCATTATTTCTCTTCAAACATCAAGTGAGTGACGTTCGAGAAACATTTGACACTCATAACAAAAAGGTTGCTGCAGTGAATTTGAGTGGAGCATCTGTAGGAGACAAAAACTGGACGCCCGAATATAAGAAGGAAATTATCTCGTCACGAGTTCAATCAACACAACAGTTAATGCAACATCTCAATACTTATGGTGATGCTGCAAGTGTGTTTATTGGAACAAGTGCTGTTGGATACTATCCTTCCACTCCTGATCTCTCTCCACATGCTCCTATTTATACAGAATATAATTGCCCTCAAGCAGCAGACAATCCATTGGGTGAGGTAACCCAAGCAGTCGAAGACACAGTTTCACACTGCCACGTTGACAATATTAAAAGAAGAATAATATTACGACCAGGAGCTGTGATTGGAAAGAATGGTGGCATGTTGAGCCATATGATTGTTCCTTACTTGGGATTTGCATTACCTATTGTGTTTGGAACTGGTAGGTTTTATTATTTTGGACCATGAATAATCATTTTGTACATTCACAACCATTGGAACAATTATGACTTTTTGGTATGCATGCTCATAATGTCATTGAACATGTTCAACTATTCTAAATCATTGTTTACATACAGGTCTTCAACCATTGAGTTGTGTTCATATTTCAGATCTCAGTAACATGTACATTCATGCACTCTATACAAATTTCAATAACTATTACCAACAAGAGAAGGTTACAGCAGCAACAACAACCACCAATGGTACCTCCTCTCATCCACCAACTCCTGAGTCATCTGTTGTTGTATACAATGCAGTCATGTTGGACATGATTACTTTTCAACAATTCGTTTCCTATCTCAATGCAAAAACCAATTTGTTTTATTTACCATTAATTCCAATGTCGTACCGTTTAGTTAAATTATTGTTCGGAAAGGAACGAGCTCAATTGTTATGTGAAGGGCAATATGTCACACCTACACGGTTCATTCAAGAAAATTTTCAATTTAGCTACCCCAATCTCCATTCCGTGATTGACGAAGTTGTATCCAAGCAGTAGTAGAGTATTTATAGTAGATTAGTAATTTGGGATCCAGTCATGTTCCATGAAACAAGAATGTACACAATTGCGCAAATGATTGCAATTTATGAGTTGTGAGATTCAATTCTTCTGCAAATGGATGTTGATTGTGCAGTTGTGTTTAGGTGAATTAAAATCGATTTGCGCCAAAAGTATGAATGAAACTGATCCAAGGGTTCTCGAAATGGATCCGATGCAACGACGACTTTTCGACTGTCGACAGACCAGCTGCATCTGCGTGTTTGATGATCAAGATTCAATCGATAGCATATACCTTCAAAACACCAATCCAAGAAGTGGTTGACAAAAATGCTTACTTGTTCTTTGTTTCACCCTGTCATTGTCACCAGTAAAAAAGAGAGTTTCCAACCCATACGCAATAGGCCTTAGTGTAGTAGCGTACGAACATTTAAAAAAGGGTAATTACGAAGTTGTCTGTTGACAGACAAACAGATGACGATCGCACAAAACATGTTATGACCCACTTTCCATCTCTCAACCACAATTTGTACAAATTCTCACTTTATCTGTAGATGTAAAGTTACAAATTTGTTAAAAGACATTTTTGGTCAATTCATATTATTTGTGAATATGTTGCCAAATTCAATATTAGAGACACAAAACTCGAAAATGCGAACATACTTAAAAATCACATTCGAAAGACCTTTCTCGAGTAAATTATCCAAATCTCAATCTCCCAATGCGTTCTTAACTTTTATACTCAAAATTTGAACAGTGACAGCGTGAACATGGCTTCACGGCCATGAACACTGAGCACTCAACTTGTCAAATCGTTCAATGAATTAATCTGTGAGGGTGTTGAAATTTAAGCTCTGGAATCTAATTAATCTTGTTGTTTTTCAAGCGATACCACTTTCAAAAAACACACAACAACCTCACTCTGACGTGATTTCTTTACTGTCTCATCACGTGTTCAAAAGCTCTCTCTCATAATCTCCCGTTCATCCGTTTTATTCGTACTAGAAGACAACAACGACGAGCACTAATATTACTTTTTCTCACACATAAATCTTTAGCAACACACACACATGTATCATCTTCCCATCATCAGAACAGTAAATCCAAAACATCCACTTCCTCAGAATCAACAACAACAACCCATGATGAAAAGTTATGAATTTGTATCGTTCGATCAATACTCTCTTTCAGGATCACAACAATCTCGAGGAGCACCTATGAACCAAGAGATCAAATTCGTGAACTGTTCTTGCTATACTGTACCTGAAAACAGTTCCAACAACTGTCCTACATCCATGATGACCATGATGAACGCAACATTTCAGAGTTCAACAATGACTCGAGAACACTCTTTGACTGCAGTTCCCTATCAATCCTCTTCTTCTTCTCCTAATCCCAATAACAAGTACTCCATGCCTCCTTCCCGAATCTCCAAGAAGAAACAACAACACTTGAAAAAGAAGATGAGCCTTTCAAACCCTACTCAGAGCCCAACGATGGCCATCCTAAATTCAACAACAAGCTCATCATCCGCTACTACTACTACTACGATTCATTCCATCTCTCCAAATTCAATGACTGGCACCTCCAGCAACAGTACCTCCACAACGACTCAAAACATGCTCTTTGACTTTAAACTTCAAAACTGTGGTTTTGATTTTGTCGTGTTTAATAACACTTCTCCAACGACCTTTAAGAGAAGTTACAATCGAAAGAATGGACAACTCACCAAGAGGCAGAAGGAGTTATTGGAACTGCAACAACAGAAAGGAAAGGCTTCTTCTTCTTTATTGAATTCTACTGCAATCAATACAAGTGCAACGAATACTACAAGTAGCCTTTCATCCTCTTCGAATGATGAAAAGCCAAAGATAATGAATGATGATGATTCCTTGAAAACAGTCAGACCAACAATGAATCTGACCCAACCATCCTCCTCGAGTAGCCCAATGATCATGTTGGGCGCAGTATCTCCACAACCTGATCAATTATCAGCTCATCCTCCAAGTTCTTCCCATACGACTCCTCAACAGACGAAAAGCAATCAAACAACGCTCATTCCATTACGAAGAACTTCCATTTCCATTGCCGAATTATTAAATTGATGATCTTGTTGAATTGTTGTTGTTCATCTTCATTATTGCGAGTAATTAACAGCGACATGAATCTAAACGCGTTTCGTGTGAGCAATATATTTAACGCCTACGCCTTCGTTGCAAATGTTATTGTCACAATCTATCTCAACTCTCCTCAACACATTACTGTTTTCCCACAGTATCAATGATTGTTTTAGCACCTTAACGTTTGCCAAGACCACCCAGAAATTGAATTGCAAAGAATTGGATCCACTTGAAAAAATGTTTCAACATTACCAATTACGGAGAGGCTTTTTAAAATTTTATCAAGATAACCTCTGTCATCTTTATTTCAATAATAATCTCACTCTTTCAACAAGAGGTTTTCATTCAACTCGGAATTCTATTAAATTTTATAACACGAATCATATTCAGTTTGTTGCTGAAAATTCCGAATTTTCATCATCGTCGTCGGGACTGGACAAGAAAATCAAATGGTTTGATCCAAGCTGCAACAATGGCAACAACTCGGAACGAGATGGTACCAATCATCATGGAACAGTGAGCACTCCTATAACAATTTATAACTCTCTTTCAAAAACCAAAGTACCATTCGTGATTGCAAAGAGAAACCATAATTCTGAAAATTCGGAAAATATTAAGAAGGATTCAACAACAACAGTATTATCCACGCCTCCCATTTATTGGTATTCTTGTGGACCTACTGTCTACGACGCTTCACATCTTGGACATGCTCGTAATTACGTCTGTCTGGATGTTATTTATCGAATTTTAACCAATTATTTTCAATATCAAGTATATTATGTGATGGGAATTACAGATGTGGATGATAAAATTTTGAAAAGAGCTGCCGAGTTGCACAAGAAGCCATCAGAAATTTCTCTCAAATACGAACGTGATTTTATTACTGACATGAAACGACTCAATGTCACACAACCTGCAGTCTATACAAGAGTCACAGAGCATATCGAAGAAATTAAATTGTTTATTGAACAGATGGAGCGCAATGGATTTACATACCTTACCAAAAACGGAGGAATTTATTTTGATTCCCAAAAATTTGAAAACAGTGATCACGTCTATGGAAAACTTGCTCCCAACACCAATCAAGAAGAATCTATTCAACAAGAACACATTGAATTTCGAGATGAGAAGAAAGATCCTCGAGATTTTGCGTTATGGAAATTTACCTCAAGAGAATTCATGGGATGGGAAAGTAAATGGGGATTTGGAAGGCCAGGGTGGCACATTGAATGTTCAGCCATGATTGATAGTGTTTTCAGAAATGACACAAAACACAATTTGGAAGATGGAAAATTTGCAACACTAGATATTCACTCTGGAGGAATTGATCTTGCCTTCCCTCATCATAACAATGAAATTGCTCAGAGTGAAGCTTGCCATCATCATCAATTTTGCTCCTCGAAACGTACCAATTGGTGCAACTACTTTATTCATGTTGGTCACTTGCATATTCATGGACTGAAAATGTCAAAATCTCTCAAGAACTTTATAACCATTCGAGAATATTTAGAAAAATATACAGCAGACCAATTTCGGCTATTTTGCCTTCTTCACAAGTATAACGAAACTGTGGATTATAGTCAAGATGCTATCGAAGGTGCAATCCGTTATGAAAAGAGAATTCACGATTTTTTACACAATGTTGCCTTCTATCGAAAGGAACATGAGGAGAATATTGAGAAGGGTATAAACAAGTCAAGAAAATGGGACACCGACCTGAAGGAATATACTCTCCAATTTATGGAATTGAAACAAGCCATTCATGAGGCAATTTGTGACGATTTTAATACTCCACTCGTGATGGATCACATTTCCACAATTATTAACATGACCAATACTCTCTTCTTTTCAAAATCATCCAAAGACCTTCTTGCATTGGATTTATTGGAAAATACAAGTCATTATATTGTTGGAATTTTGAACATGTTTGGACTTAGGTTAGGAATGACAGCTCGACAAGATTTTACTGGTGAAACTGAGAGTGATGAGGAAATTTCCAAACATCCATTCGCAAGCAAAATTATTGCCCTCTTGGTAGAGTTTAGAGCTCAGGTACGAAAAGAAGCTCTCAACTCTGAGCCAAAACCAACCAATATTTTACATATCATTGATGAGTTGAGAGACAAGAAATTGAAAGAGCTTGGTATTCGAATTGATGACAGAAGTTCTGAAAAAAGTATGTGGAGATATGATGTGACTGTCAAGTCGGAGAAGGAACAGTGTTTGGATGGTATGCAGTCAGAAAAGCCACAACACAACGAACAACATCAACAACAACTCGCTCAACGCCAACAAGAAGTTGAATTCAAATTGACCATTCCACTCGAACAATATTTTAAACAAATGCCTCAACATGCCAACAAGAACTATTCACAGTTCAATGAGTCTGGTATTCCAACTCATGATCAAGAAGGTCAACCTCTCTCCAAGTCGGCCATTAAAAAGCTGACTAAGGAATTAGAAAAACATGCCGAATTTTTGGAAAAACATTCACAACGGAAATAAGAATGGCTGTCAATGAATAAACAATCATGTCACTATTCATTACCGTAGGAAGGATCTACTTTTTCTTCTTCAATGTCTTGGAGATCTTTCTCTTCCATCATCCAACATTTGTCAAAACTTCTCAACTTCAAATCCTCTTCACTGATCATTATAGTCACGATTACATTTTGGATTTTGTGACGAGATCTCCATAAAATAACATCGTTTGTACTTTTCGTTGCATCGTTAACCGTCAGACCAATCACGACAGCGTTTTGCTTTCTAATTGAAAGCACATTTGGAATGCTGGCAATGGGACAAGCATCGTCAAAATATTCAAGCATAGGAGTGAGAGACTTCCTACACGCATTGTCATTGAGAATGAGCATGGAATCGCAAATATTAGTAAGACGATAGGTCCAAGGAACGGGCACATATGGTCGCAACGGTTGAAGTGGAGTCCAGTCTCCAATCTCTTCGTTATAGAATACTTTACATGCATTACATGAGGTAAAGAAATATAACATTCCTTTCAATGGCATGTTTCTATTCAATGAAATGAGTCCTTTTGATTTCAGTTGTTCACAGTTAATTTGACCAAGAAAGAAATGATTTTCTGGTGTTTCAAACTGTTGAGGCACATACGGCAGTCCGAACAGTTTCGTTTCAGCGAATAGAGCCTTGTTATCATATGGAAACTCATAATTTGAAACACAACAACTCGTAACTCCAAAAGTAATATTCTTTTGCATTGACCGAATAATAGAGTCACACAAGTTACAAGTTTCTTCGCCTTGAAAAAGCTTTGGTGATGTGAGGTCTTGGAACAGCTGCATGTGAAATCTCACCTTCAAGTTGTAAATTTCTAGAAAATTCCGCAAGTCATGAATTTGAACGAAATGTCCAAATGGACTCGAATAGAATGGATATGAGCTTATTGATGAAAAAATCTCATGTAGAGTCATGTTTTTAAAATTGCTTGCAAAGATATTCTCTTCTTGAAGTGTGTGAGCACACAAGTATTTCCATATTTCCGCATTTCTTACAATATAATAATTCCATCGTTTACATACCAACCGCTTGTCCAGTAGTTTGGGCAGAGGGTAAAAATGTTTTACAATTTCTTCATGAAGCTCTGGAGGTAGTTGAGAGAAATTATTAAAGTCCTCTTCCAGCTTTCTCTTTTTTAAAGATGGTTCCTCAATAACAAGTGTTTCTGCTTCCTCTTTTTGTTCAACATCTGCTTTCATTGTTAAGGGTGGAGCGCCTCCTGTGGCGTCATCGTAGTAACATGTAAAATCATCCAATGACTCGAAAGCTGTTGATAAATATCCAATAGCTCTTAAATGCATTAAACTTCTCAACTCTTCGTCTTGTTCAATGCCCTTGGCGACATTCGCCAATGTTATGATATTCGATTGTATCGTTTTTGTCTGATTGAGAGCCAGCTCTAACACTTCAGCTGACAAGTATTCCAGCAAAAGTAAGAGAGAGCAGCAAAATGCTTCATCAAGTTCTCCATTGATATCTCCAAACTCCGAACTTGTAAAGTAGTGGTTCAAAAACTTTTGCAAATGAGTAACACCAGTTGAGGATTGGGTCAATTTGTGTGCTTCTTGTTTTGCAAAAGTTGATAACTCTCCTGGAAAGAAATGATCGATCAGAATATTAAAATATTGGCGAGACGAGGTCATAGCTTCAAAATTTGGACTCGTCATTAGAACTTGATTCTTCGATATTGGTTCTTTGTCGTTTGGTGTTTCAGATGAATATTGATTTTCAAGTACTAACATCCTGACATACTTTTCATCCATTTCTATCACTCGCTGTACAGCATATTCATGCATAACTTTTCTGAAATTTTCATTTCTCAACTTGATCAGAGGTTCACTCTTCATGAGCAGAAATAACATGATTTGATGCAAATAACTCGCAAGCCTAAATTTTGTACAATCTCCCACAAACCATGATCCGTGTATTTCTTCCATAATACGATCCAAATTTAAATAAGATTGTACAATCGATGGATGAGCAATATCGGAGAGAGAAATGTAGTAGTTCGGAGGGTCTTCCGGAAGTGAATGCACCTCTGGTTTCATTTTTTTCCCTCTTTTGTAATGAAACTGAATTGACAATCCCAAAGATTCTAAACGTAATCAACTAAAGTGCCACACACAATTGATCTCATGGATCATTCTATGAGCTTAATACGCATAAAAAGCTTTACAGGAGCTCTTTAAAAGGGAATTTTTTTCCCTCTTTTGTAAAGTCTTAAAAAAAAACTCTCTGCTACTCCAAAATGAAACGCAATCGGGAAGAAGGTTCTGAAATTAATCATCAGGTTGTTATTGATGATGATGATGAAGAGGAATCATTACAGAAAACCATGATTCATCAAGATGAAAATCTTCAGAGCAGTAAAGTTCAAAAAACGACCATTATGATGATGGATTCGCTATTACTAGCGGATGATATGATTTTCCACATTTTGGAATATTTAAATGTTCATTTGATTTTTAAAACGTGTGTGAGAATTTCTAAACAATGGTTACATGTTGCTCAGAGAATGCCTACCGTGTTGGATTTTTCTAACTCTGTTATTGATCTGGAAACATTGGAATCTGTGATGAAGTGTTCCTATCTCAACAACGTCACTTGCCTTGATTTATTAGGAAACGAAATTGGAAATTCAGGAATTAAAATTCTGGTGAGAGGCGAATCAGTCTTAACAAACTTGACAGAATTGAATCTAAAAAGAAATAATATCGGTGAGAAGGGAGTCTTATCTTGCTAAATGTCCTCATTTAAAGAATTTAAAAATTCTCAACTTGGATTGGAATAATCTCGGCCCATTGAGTATGAAACGACTTGCAAAATCAGAATATCTTTCAAACTTGACCAGTCTTCAATTATCTGACAATGACATTGGAAGCGATGGCATTGAGTACATTGCCAACAGCTCTACATTTTCAAATCTAACATATCTTGGACTGTCTTTCAACTACATAGACTATGCTTTTTCATATTTATGTGATAGTGAATATCTAGAGAATTTAACTGGGTTGAATTTGGATGTAAACTTTCTTGGAGACAAACAATTAATCGAATTTGCAAAGTCTTCAAATTTTCCCAAGCTCACTACTCTCAGTTTGGAAAATAATAACTTGTCAGATAAAGGTGTAAAAGCACTTATAGCAAGTCCCTATTGGAAGCAATTGACAGCTCTCGATTTATCTTGCAATGTTTTAAGTCGTACGATGATCCAACAAATAGAATCCACATTTAAAGGAAGAGTTTCACTTTTTGGAAATAAGGAAGAAAATATCTAATCTGACTGTGGTCAACAATATTCATTTCAGGGTCGTTGATGAAATAAAATGTAATGTAGATCTTCGCCACTCTTTTCAGTAAGCAAAGGCAGACAGTGCAATTTAGAAAAAAAAAATAAAAAAAATGCCCAAACTCTGTGTTCAGTGCAATTCTAGAAACGCTGCTCTCAAACGACCCAAGAATGGAGCCATGATTTGTCGGGAATGTTTCTTTGAGTTGTTTGAGAATGAAATTCATGAGACGATAGTTTCCAATCATTTATTTAAACCCGGAGATAAAGTTGCCATTGCTGCAAGTGGAGGAAAGGATTCGACGGTACTGGCTCATGTGATGAAGGTCTTGAATGATAGACATGGATACGGATTGGATTTATATTTATTGAGTATTGATGAAGGTATCAAAGGATATCGGGATGATAGTTTGGAGACTGTAAAGCGGAATAGAGACCAATATCAAATACCATTAAAAATTCTTGGATATAAAGAATTATATGGATGGTCCATGGATGAAATTGTTCAACAAATTGGTCTCAAAAATAATTGTACTTTTTGTGGAGTATTCCGACGACAGGCTTTGGATCGTGGTTGTGAGCAATTGCGTGTGGACAAGATGGTTACTGGACATAATGCCGATGACATTGCAGAGACTGTTTTGATGAACATTTTGCGAGGAGACATTGGACGATTGCAACGCTGTGTTGATATTATTACACACGACGACGGAGGTTTCAACATTCCACGTGCTAAACCATTCAAATATACCTATCAAAAAGAAATTGTCCTCTATGCCTACTTTAAGAAATTAGATTATTTCAGCACAGAATGTTCCTATTCACCAAATGCATATAGAGGGCATGCAAGAGAACTCATCAAGGATTTGGAACAATTAAGACCTCAAACAATTATTGATATTGTCAAGTCAGCCGAGCAATTTCGTTTTCACAAGAATGAAACTGTTCATGATGATGAGGAACATGAAAGTGCAATGAAGAAGCGAACTCTCACCAAATGCATTCGATGTGGATATATTAGTAGTCAAGAATTGTGTCGTGCTTGTGTTTTCCTTGAAGGATTAAATAAGGGAACCGCTCGACTAGCTCTCTATTCAGATGGTCAGTCAAGACCCAACAGAGGAAAACAAAATGAGGTTCAAGCTGCCACTTTGAGCAGTACGAGTGTTGGAGAGTCTAATGTCTCTTCTGCCGTTACTAGCTATGATGCTGTTCAGAATCACATCGTTGATACAACCTCTGTCATGAAAAAGTCAACACAAGACAAGTCATTGGAGTGGTGAGTGCGTGGTTTTCCAATTTTTTCAATAAAACAAACAAAAAAATTCCCAACAACTCTCTCGTTGAGCAATTCTTCGCGCCTCTTCGTCGTTGAACACACTCTCGACTAACTCTCCCAAAATTATTTACACAAGTTGGTGCTCTAGGTTTTCCGAGCATTTAGGAGGAATCATTACTTATAGTAGCCACCAACGTGAAAGTTGTTGGACAAACGACGTTGCAAAATATCGGGTAGCCTTTCATTCAAAGCCCGATTGATTGTACCAACATCAATATACTTTTTATTGGGATTAATCATTGAACACACAACACCATCATAGAGAAAGCAACAAGTATATATTTCTGCTTGTATACTTTAGTTGAATCAACATGAGCCTTGCCAAGTATCAAGATGATGAACAAATTGATGAAGACACAACATCAGATACTTCTTCATCATTTGGATTTGATGGTACCTCATCCGAAGCGCCAGCTGTTTCGCTTCAGCATCATCATATTAACAACCACCCTGCCATTAGTACTACTGACCACATCCCATCTGAAGAACAACAGCTCATGATATCGGTCGCGGAGGCTGCCAACGATATTTACAACAATACACAACTCGGACTACAGGAGAAGATATTTGACGGGTTTTTCATTTGCTTCTCACAAGCTCTTTTAGATCCTCATTTAGAAGATTTAAAGTACAAGATATTATCTAATGGAGGAATGTTTTTTGATACAGTGTCAGACAAGGTCAATATTATTATTCTCTCTAATTCTAACAATCATGATTTGGACAGGATCAATTATGCTATCAAACACCAATTACCGATCGTTTATGAAGCCTATGTAACGGATTGTTTTACAGTTTGCACTCGTTTGGATTGGAAGCAGTATTGTATTCCACAAATGGAGCACTTAATTGAAGATAATACCCAATTGTTTCAACTAATACCACCACAAAATCTGATTTCATCATCGGAACAAATTCACCAACAAATTCATGACATGAACGCTTCTAACTATAGTCTTAAACTCTTTGTGAAGGGTTCTAGGAATTCAACATACACAGACCAATTTCCGGAAGTTCTCTACACGCTCACATGGAAGCACAAGTATGACGCTCGCATTTTGTGTAGCGAAAAACTTTTTTCTGGAAAACATCAAGCCAAGATTATGGAAGGCCTTGAACTATATCTAGTGATGGGATACAATGATCGTATTCCTGTTTTTACAGATGAACCAAACACGCCATCAACTCCTACCAACATTACCACATCATCGTCAAAACAGAATGCAAAGAAAAAGAAACAAGCATCATCATCGTCCGCAACAACAACGTCTACATCATCAAAAAAGAAGGGACAAACTAAGAAGAGTGAGGAAAAGGCCACTGTTACAATTTCTAGTGTTCATAGACCATCGGACGAGGAAATTGTGGTTCGATTTGGAATTAATAGCTTGTACTGTTCGAAACGATTTCAGTACATGCCATTCCGCCTGTGTGTCAAGTATGCTCCCATGGACTGTCCTGCTGACCAGCATTTCACCATTTTTTCTCCCGAGTTCAAAACCTTTGTGAAAAAGGATGCAAATATCACAAAATATTTAAATCAACCATTTCCTCTTAATCCCACAATTAAGGTTATTACCAAAGCATGTACAACAACCACTAGAGTTGAATTTTCCAAATTTACCGCCTCAAACTCTTGCTCATCACCCAAACAGCCATCTGCCAAGAAATCATCCAAAAAGAATGGAACTTCACAAAAGAAGCGAAAGAAGGATGAAATTGAAGAATCTGACGCTACCACTCTAGCACAATATCCTCAAGTGAATCCATATGAACAGAATGGCGGAGCACATGGTACTCAATGGCCTTCCATGAATGATATGAACATGATGTATCCGTTTCTTTCCATGTTCCCAAATCCTCATCCTGGACTAAATCATCCTAGCTCAATGTATCCTTCCATACCTCCAACTGTAGATCCTAACCTTGCCCTATATCCCCCAATGATCCCTCAAATGGGAATGACTTGGATGAGTGAACCCATTGGTATTAATCCAAGCGGTGACGTTTTTTATTCACAAATATTCAAAGATGGAGTTGTGTATAAGGTAGCCGATCTAGTCCTTGTCTCTCCATGGGAGACTGGAGAAAATGGAGAGCCTATCGAAAATGACAAGCAAGACAAGGATGACGCTCATGACGACAGAAAACCCATTGAAAAATACTGGATTCTCAAAGTGATCAATTTACTTCAAACAAAATCCGGAAATATTCGATTCATTGGACAGTTTTTCTATAGATGGAGTGATTTACAGGGCTTTTCATGCGATATTGAGCAAGGGACCATAACAACAAAATCCAGAAAGAATCATGATTTACCACCAGAGAAGGAGGTATTTGTTTCTTTCGATATGCACATTGTACCCATGTCACATGTGAATGGAAAGTGTTATGCCAAGTTTGTGGATCCAGCACAATTGTCAGACGCTGACAGAAAATGGCTTGAAAGCGACCATAGGTTTTTCTATCAATGTGCCTACAATAGAAAGTCCAATGAATTGGTGCTGCTTGAGGAACAAGTCCTCAAAATTCTCAAAGAGGATGAAGAACACTCTCCACCCCATCCTAACACTCACCCTACTCCCATGCCTAACCCATTGTTTCCAATGAACCCAATGAATCCCATGAATCCAATGCCTTTGGCTCCCATGGGTACATTGAGTCATGGTCATCCAATGGGACCAATGCCCGCCTCAGGCTTATTCCCACTTCCCTCCAACCCTTTTGCTCCTTGGTCACTAAATCCGCCTCCCTTCCCTACTACATCTGCTACATCTTCGAGTTTGGAACCTCCTTTGAAGAAGACATCAAGTGCATCTTCCTCTTCGGATAAATAATAATAATTGTGGATTATGTCTTTAATTGTCAACTATGGAATGAATTATTGTTACATAACACATGACGCTGTAATAAACATGTTGATCATGTTGTGACAGAATTCATTTATTCATTGAATTTGAAAATTAACATTCTTCATTTGTTCCACCACGCTAGTTTTATTGATACTTTGTTCTAATCGTGTTTGAGGTTAACTCCTCCACTTCTTGGGACTCCTGTAATAAAATATTCTTACAACCCACCATTGGAAATGATTGCAACAAAATTTTTGAAATTATTGATAGCCAAAAAGTGTCTGTCAGCTGAATGCAAAGGCGCAACAAAAAAATGCAAAACCCACCACCACCACACCATGATCAAGGACCAAGAAAACCACAATACACACTCGCTCTTGTTGGTCCCGATCGTTGTGGAAAGACCTCTCTAATGCGAAGGTTATTATTCGGAAGCTATGAAATTCCAACCAATCAAGTCTCAGAAATGAATTGGGAACAATTTCAAACTCATTTACAAGACACCAATGGTCTCTATATACCAATATTGGCATTGAGAGATTATGTTCCAATGAAAGAACGTCAAACTTTGATCCCTTTTATCGCTTTCCAACTTTTACGAATGATTATTGGAATGAACATTTAATTTTTAATTTATTGGATCTGCCACCAATCAGAGCAAGACGATTTCAACAAACGATCATGAAAGGTTTAGGATTTTCTGATGGAATTATATTCATGATTGATTGTTTTAATTTTCAACATGATTGGAAAAGTTATTTGGAACAACATTATTCATCCAATTTTAAAGACACTTGGAAACGAACAGTGATTGAACCACTTCAACTTGTCTTGTCTGCTGGTAATATCAAAGATATCATATTCGTTGTAAACAAGATGGATTTAATTGGTTACTCTGAAGAGTTTTTCAAATGTATGGAACAAAAATGAAACTCTTGCAACATGTTGCTATTCCTTTGAAAAGATGAACATTTCATTCCACTATCTGTCACTCAAAATGAAAATATTGAAAATATATCATCCTCACTTGATACTAGTGGTGGTAACAGTAGTAGAAGGAACAAGATGAAAAAACTTTGAACAAGTCAACAATATTGACTCTACATGAATGTCTAAAGAATTTAACAAAACCAAAACATTGGAATCCAAATGGTCCTCTTCGAATCGTACATTACAGAACATACTCCATGTATGGTTTTGGAACCATACTCACTGGAAAAGTAATTTCAGGCTCTCTACGAGAAAATGTCAAATTTTATTGTTCCAACTCCATAGTGAAAGATTATGTGACACAAATTATACAATGGCGAGTTACAACATTCCAATGACCCATTTAGAGGCTGGCGAGTTAGTATCTCTGAATCTATATAGAGGATATGAGATTGATCTTGATAGACTCCAAGGACCAATGATGATCTGTCATCCAACCATTGATCCTTGCATTTCAGGAGATTATTTGGAAAGTTTCAATGTCTTGTTGTACATGTCCTCTCTTAATGTAAATGCTAGTAGTAGTAGTAGAAGTAGTAGTAATATTAATGCTCATAACAGCTTTTCTTCATTACTTGAAATCAATCAAGAATTACCCATCATGTTTATTGGACATGTCTCCAGAGTGAAGATTCTCTCAATCAAGACATTCGATCATGACGATGAGACAAAAAGACACCTTGTTAATTTATCTCTTTCATGGATTAAGGGATTTCCAACACTAGGAATTGAAACCTATCAGAATTATCCTTACTTGAGTCGAGTGACTTTATTGAATCGTTCATTCACCATGTTAGGTTATGGAATTGTTGTGAAAAAACTAAATTCAAATCAACACCAACAACCCTACGCCAAATTACGACATTGTCAACGATTCCATGACGTAATTGTTGTCTCTCACCTAACTTTGATGTGTTGACTTGACCACAAGTCGCGACTTGGATCTGTCACAACATGTCAACCTGTCACAAAATGTCATCACCACAAAACCCATCTTCCACTCTCTCAGCTCGTTTCGGTCACTCTGCTCTCTTTCACAACCATAACATTTACCTCTTTGGTGGTCTTCAAAAATCCGATACCCATTCAAATTCCCTCGTGTTGATCAATGATCTCATCCAACTCAATACTTTCACTTTAGAATTCACCAATTTAACCAAATCACATGATAATAATAATAATAATTCACAAAACATTCCAAGTGCTAGAAGTTTTCACACACTGGTCTCGAAGCAAAATTCCCAAAAGTTGAATCATGTAAATAATAATTCTAATGATGATGAAATGATTCTTTTCGGAGGTAAATCAAATAATGATTCAATGTTACATGATGTTTGGACTTTTTCATCATCAAGTTGGAAAGAAATCACTTGTAAGAATTCACAATTAATTTCACCAAGATGTGGCCATGTGAGTGTGGTTTATGGAGAATCCATGTTTGTGTTTGGTGGATTTGTTAAAAATAATGATATTATTCATGCGAGTAATGAAATGTTTGAGTTGAATTTGAAAACTTTTGAATGGAAGAGCATTTCTTTGAAACTGTCAAATGCCAATGATCATCCACACGGAGTGAGTGGTAGATGTTATCATGCTGGAGTGTTAGACGAAGAGACTGGAGATTGGTATATCATTGGTGGAATATCAACTCGAAATGTCTTGACGAAGGATTTTATCAAGATCAAGTTATCAACCTTGTCACCACGAATGACCAGTGACATGACTTTAAATGATCCTACTTCAAATCTTGTTGTTGAATATGAAAGGATTGATTCCAGTGATGAAAATGTACATCGATTTGGTCATTCCTGTATTCTAGAAACCTCTAACCATCGAAACAATAAGAAAATTTACATGATTGGTGGATGTAATCATCAAGTTCACTTTTCCGATTGTTATTCTTTGGAATTGAATGAAAAGACTTGGAAAAAAGTTTCTCAAAAGGATCATCATGTTCTTGCCACCTCATCGTCATTATTTAAAGAACTCAATGAAGCTGCTGCTAATGATGACACTCGATTTGAGGCATTTCCAGTTTTTCACACAACCACTGGTTTTGAAGAAAATGGAATTTTTTCATATTTTGTGTTTGGAGGAACGAATCAAATCTCTGATATCCATTTCTGTATGTCAGAAACAACAGAAGAAACAAGCAACTTATCTGTCAATGCCACTCCTCAAAACAAAGACAAGTACTTGGCTCACAAAGAATTCAACTACAAACAATTCGATTCCATGTTCAATGATGACATTTATAGACATATTCTTTCGTATTTGAAATGTGTGGATTTGATGAGATTGCAATTAGTGAACAAGAAGTTACGAATTTGTCAACTCACTGAAGAAGATCAATTCTGGAAAGTGAATTACATGAAACAAATTTCAGACTTGAAAGACAAAGCTTTTAAATATCATCATCATTCAACAAGAAAAAGTGCATTACATTCCATAAAATTTGATGACTTGCTCAAACGTACATCAAATTACAAACAAGGATTAGTTCAACTATTTAAAGAGTTTGAAAGTAAGGCTGAAAAGAATTCTAAAAAATTGACAAGTGAATGGATTGAAAAGGTGAAATGGAATGATGAATTCAACAAGTCGTTTTACACCTTGGAAGAAATTTTGCAATATCCCAAACATGGTGTTCACAACACATTAGGTTCACAACCAAGTAGTAGTAGTATTAAATTGGTAATTGTGGGAGATGGATCCACAGGAAAGACAAGTAAGTAATACAAGTATATAATGTATATTCTGTATATTATGAGACATGATACAAATTTTTAAAAACCATTCAATATGTAATTCATATAACCTATTATATCTATTACCATGAATCTGTGTTTATGACCAAATTTGGAAAAGGTCTCTTAATCACACACGTCACTAAACAATTCCCAACCGAATACATTCCCACAGTCCTTGACGCTTACAGTTATTCCAGTCCTTTCATTCCCAACATTTCCATTGGTCTATGGGATACACAATGTCCTGACGAATATTGTCGTACGCTTCGACCTCTGAATTATCCTGGAACCGATCTCTTCTTTGTGACTTTTAGTATTGCCTGTAAGAACTCTCTCTTCAGTATTTCCGATAAATGGGTTCCAGAAGTTCGTCATCATTGTCCCCAAACACCAATTCTTCTCATTGGAACAAAATCAGATTTGAGAATGGATGTAATGTTTGTGAAATCGTTATTGATGGAACATGAGGAAATGCCAATAACTGTGAAACAAGGAGAGTTGATGGCACAAAGAACTGGATGCATTGGATATATTGAGACGAGCTCAAAGACGGGAGAGGGATTGGAATTATTGGATGAGTTGATCATTAAGGCAATCTGTATTGCTAAAGATTCAACATACAAGTCAAATAACAAGAAGAAGAAGAAGAAGTGTTTGTTTCAATAAGAGGTAATCACCATTCATAGATTTGAGACTATTGAAGTAGTATATTTATATATACAACTATTCATTCTGTGATTCGTTATTGAATTTCATGGCCCTCTCAATTTTATGAAAATCTTCATAACTAATCGATCGATGTCCATTCCGGAATGACATGCCCCAACTCTTCTTATTGGTGATAAAATCCAAATCATCCAACAATGTTTTCACATGAACTTGTTGTTTCACATCCATATCAAATTCTACCTTAATTCTCCATGGTTTAAAATCGTCACTCATGGTCACTTGATAAGGTTCATCCTGTTGGGAAACTGTGGCCAACGCTGTGAACGAATGACATTGATTATTGGTTTTACTTGAAGTGCCTTCAAATTTCAATTTTGGAGAATAGAATACAATTCGATCACCTGCTTTCATTTTCGAAAGAGGAGTACATTTTCCATGACATGCTTGAGCAATGCCAAGTTCCATTCCGCGAGAAACATGATCTTTCGAGGCAACTATGAGCCAATACTTGCGCGAGGGAGTTTTCATTTTTTTTTATCGCTGGCTTTGGAGATCTTGTGTCCTCTCGAACTCTCTTGAAACAAACGATGGCGGAGGACAATTATTCACACAAAATGTCCTCAACATGAGTGTGAATCGTGTACATTTCCAACACAACCTTTCATGATGCTCATATGACATGCATATGTCTCTCAGTTATTATTAACAACTGAACGTTCATGACATTCATAAAATTGTGTCAATTTGCTCTTCCGCTCATTTATTCTTCTTCTTCTAATTTTCTCTTCTTCTTCTTCTTCTCTTCCTTCTTCTTTTGTTGAACAGCACCCTTGATCCATTTCGTCTCTGATTTCTTCTTTTGTTCAATGGCTGAAGCAGCTCCAACTTCTAATTGTTTCAAATCCACGTATGGAGTATTCTTGAGTCCAAAAGACTTGGTCACTCCAGCTACATCCAATAATTGGAATGAGAAAATGTCTTTCAATGGATGTGAGGCATACGATTTGATGAAACCTTTGAATGCTTCTTCTGCATTCTTGAATAAATAATAATTGGAGGAAATAATCTTTTCGAGTTGATCTTGAATATTTGACATTTTAGAACGTGGGAAATCTAATTCATTGAGTGGAATGTTTGCCTCACTCAAATACTTTAAGAAACCTGTTTCAGAGGGTAATAAGAGCAAAAGGGCACGACCTACATTGCCTGCTCTTGCCGTACGACCCACACGATGAATGTATTCCTTTGGTGCTTCAGGTGGATCGTATTGAATAATCCAATCTACTTTTGGAATGTCCAATCCTCTTGCTGCAACGTCAGTACTCAATAAAATTCCACTCTCTGCATTGCAAAAATTGAAAAAGGCCTGTGTTCGCTTGTTTTGCTTCATTTTTCCATGAAGAGCTGTCACAGTGACGTTAATATAGTTCAATAATTCTGAAAAGTATTTCACAGCAGCACAACTACTCATAAAGACAATAATTTTCTTTCCCTTCTTTCCTGCACTAGCTGTGGCCATTGTCTTTTTGAGAAATGAGTATAACAAGACGAATTTTTCAGCTGCTGGAACCACCACATAACCTTGTTCCAAATTTTGTGCTGTCGAATATTCTTCCTTATCCACTCCTTCTTCAGGACTAGCAACACTTGCAGAATTCAAGTCCTCAATTCCAACAAAAACAGGATCTCTCTTAATACTCACTCGAGCAATATCGGCAACCTTTGTTGTTTGTGTTGCGCTGAACAACAATGTTTGTCTTCCCTTCGATGGTAATAACTTGACAATGGCTTTCAATTCATCCTCAAAACCATCATCCAACATTCGATCTGCTTCATCCAACACCAAGGTAATCAAATTCGTGACTAGAAAACCCTTCGTATGAAGTAAATGATCCAACAATCGACCCGGAGTGGCAATCACAATATTTGCGCCCTTGACCAACTTTTCAGCCTCTTGATGTTTTGATTGTCCACCAATCAACAAGGCATGAGTTTGTTTCATAAAGGTCATTAAGGACTTACAAACTGCATAGGTCTGTATTGCCAATTCTCTCGTTGGACTCAATACAATCACTCCCGTTCCATTTCTAGGTTTAAACTCAGCTCGATATAACAATTCCAAGCATGGCAATAGGAAGGCTAATGTTTTTCCACTTCCAGTTTTGGCTTGTGCCAGTAAATCCTTTCCAGCCAATGCAATAGGAATAGAACGAGCCTGGATAGGAGTTAGATATTGAAAGGATAATCCCGATTCTTCGCCATGATCAAAGGCTTGTTGTAAAGGCTCACAAAGTTTGAGTTTAGAGATGGAAATGTTCGTTAGGAAGGAACTAGTCGTAGATACTACTTGGTCATTCTCTTGATGATGAGCTACGGAAGTGTCTTTGAGAGAATATCCGTACTCGGAATAGTAATCTTCTTGTATGGTAGAAGAGGAGGTTTCTAATGAGTCTGATTTCAGGGTTGCTCCATTATTATTATTGCTGTTGTTACTTGTTGTTTTGGAAACAGCCTCATCATCACGGGTTTTATTCTTTTCTAATTTTCTCTTTTTAACGGAAGAGGCCTGTTCCGAAGTGGTTGTGTTAGTCTGCTTCTTGTTGGATAATTCTGTTGTTGCTGGAACATGATCCTCTTCTTCTTCTTCACGTGAAGAAGTAGCAGCAGTAGCCTTGGCTTTTAACTTTTTCAAGAGTTGTTGTTTGAGAAGTTGCGAAGACATTTTTTTCAAATATTTTGATGAACAATTCAAGTCAGAGCAAAATTTCATTTCTTCAACATTCCAATGTATCCAACAAAACACCATAACCTCAATGAAAACATCCTTTGAAAACCCGAACACTTCACACTCTTATTATCCCTTCATCTCTTTCTTCACTGAAGATAATTTCGTTGAATTCAATCAAAAAAAATGCAAAAATTCGTTGCTCGAAATGCCAACAGCAAACAATTATCATCCTTTCGTTTCTGCACTCGGAATGTACTGCCCATATCGGACTCGTCCACTAGCATCACCACACGGTTAAAATCTATATTTTCTTTTAGCAAGAATTATCATCATCATACTTGTTTCATTCATACAAATATACCGACCTCTTCTTCTGTACTGGTTCATCATCATCAACAGTCGGATCATAGAAGAGAATTTTCTCGGAATGTACTTGCATTGAAAAAGAGTGGAGTAGAGAATGATCCCTTACTAAAGATGCTTGATTTTGCAAAACAGGAAGTGAGAATGAAAGAAGATGGATTTAAAAAGACAAAAGATGGTCGGTTCTACACCAAAACATATATAGACCCCGAAATGATGACCCCAGATGAAAAACAAGAATATGAAAGCGGTACTTTTGATGACGTTAATGAGCAAGATTTTGAATCATGGATGAAGAAAATGGAAAAGGAAGAACGAGTCATGTCTCGTTCTCATGATGAGTCTTTTTTGAATGATACAATTCCAGGAGAAATGAAAGATTTCAGTTTTTCAGATTTATTGGACGAAGCAGAGCAGTATTTAATTCATGGCAAACCAATTCCTTTCTTTAACCGACTTGCAGATCATGTACCTCGAGGAGAACGAGAAGACATATTCAAGCGAACGGATTATTCTCACTTAAAGGACAATCCACCAACAATGAAAGACGTTCAACAAATGGTTAAATTTACTGAAATGGGATCAGTGAATAACGATGAGAAGAAAGATGTTTTTCGAAAAAAGGATGGAAAGATTGATTATGTAAAAACTGAGCGAAGAATGTATTATCAGGCTTCGAAAAAGTCAACTATTGAAAATTTCTCTGAGGTGGAACATGATGAAGAAGAACCTGGTGACGTCGATGAGGAAAAAATGGAATATGACACACCTGAAGATTTTGAAAGAATTAAGGTTCCTGATGATGCCTTCTCAGCCTATCACTATTTTAGAAATGAAGTTTACCTGCGGAAAGTGGATTATCCAAAATCTCGAGAAGAAGAGGAGCAGGAGATTTCTGAATTTTTCATTGAGGCCTATCATGATCCTCATGCTCCAAAATCATACAATGACGATACCGAAGTGAAAGAGTTCTTGTTAAAGAAATATAACAGTTTTGACAAGGCATTGGCAACGTTAGAAACTGGCCAAAGTAATGCTACTCCTCTTACAGCAGTGAACCGATTATTCGAAATTAAGGAAGAATTATTGAAAAATCAAAAAAAGAAAAAAGATCGAAAAGCAGATCAAATTCTTGATCGTATCACTCAGCTGAATAGAGTTGTGCTTGCAAAAGGACAGATGGACGCCAAATTTGAATATGATCCATCCACAGGTCGAGTGGAACGAAAAAAGAGAATTGTCGAGCAGGATGTCATGTATGAACCTATCAAGAGCGAAGACATCAGCGAAGAAAACAAAAAATCCAATGCTAAATTACCCAAAGCTGAGTTGATAGGTGACACTGAAGATGACATTGATGAAGAGATAATGACTCAATACATGAAAGACTTGGAGAGTGGCGAAACGTATGAAGAAGAAGCCACAACAGAAGAGATTTTATTAAGCAGACTCATGCGGCAAGTGAATCCAAACAAGTTGGACGTTGAAAATTTCACAGAATCAGAATTAAGACGACTTCAAGAGCTTGTCCACGAAAATAAGGATAAATTTGCCAAACTATCGTCAAGAAAAAGAAGGAGATCATACACACCACGAGCACCTACTATGGACATGTTCTTGCCTAGTGACAGTGAGCTTGAAAAAGCCATTGAAAAGGAGTTTGGTATTACCTATGAACAATTTAACAGAGCTGTTGAAGAAAATCCACAATATGCACAAATCATGGGTCAGCTTGGTCATGATGCTGATTTTGCTTTCCGAGCATTGTCACAAGCCATTGTTGAAATGGGAGGCACTCAGAAGATAGAAGAGAAGCTGAACGAAGAGAGTAAAGTGAATCGATCGTTTGGAGAATGGATGAATGTGTTTAAGAGTGACCCTGCCATGGCCAACAAGTCGTTTGAGGAGATAGTACAAGAGTATTCAAAGAAATTCAAAAAGAAATAAATTGTGTCAAACAAACTTGTTTCATCTTTGATGTTCCTAAATTCATTGTTGAAAAGAAAAAATTTAATTGATATCTATATCTATTACTACAAAATGTGTGGCCGAAAGAAGTCAAAATTGTTTTTTATTGTCGACAATGTTGTATGCACAAGTCACGTGCTACACGACAAGATCGGTGCTACTTAAATTCTTGCTATTAATGAGATTAAGCTCTTGATTTTTCTGCTTTTGGAGACCCAATTTTAATCGTTCAAACAGGTCTGTTAAAATTCGTTTTACCTCTTTACCAATATCATCAAAACAATCATCATCGGCGTTTAAATACGTCTTTCGACATTCATCAATTAATTTCTTATTAATATTAAGGGCAAGAGGACCTGAACGAGTATTTTAAATTGAAGCAACATGATAAATTGATTGTCAACGAGAAGTTCACTCAACGTACCTTCAGGATTGACATATACATTGAAAATATTCACAGCCATTTCAACTTTCTTACTCATTCGAGCTTCTTTTCGATAAGCCTTCCATTCTTTCCAAAAGAAAATTGATTCTTCTGCATATTCATCGACAGCAAATTGTGTCAGTATGGTACAAGCTTTTGGGTGCTGTATAATTGGTATTGTAACACACAAGTGTCACGTTCAACAACACCATTTAGAAAGAGACTTCAACACTTACCTTCAATACATCATCAATACTAGCAAAACGTTCCATATAAATATCAACATCCTCTAAACTTAGTTTCAATTCCAAATCATGAGCAGATGGAGAGCGACCTGCTTTGCATGTCATAGGTGATGCATTCTTGGTGTCACATGCCAGGTCTTCGGTTGCCTTTAAACCGCTCACTGTTCGCATGAGGGTTGTTGGTTCAACATATTCATTGAGCCTAACGGGACGCTTTCGGGAAAATAAATCCTCGCACTCGAAGATTTCTGGTGGGCTGCATCGGAACCTTGACCGTTATTATAATTGATACTTGTTGTGAAACCGTTTTGACCTCGTGGTGACCTCTTCAACGGTGTTGACATGTGACTTTCCAAAGAATTACTCAGCGGTGGTGATGATGATGCCAACGAGGAAGGAATTGAAGGACTCTTCTTCATTTTCAATGGTAAGCTGAATTTCTTTGCAAGTGATGACAACGGAGAGGAATTATCAGAACTAGAACTTGAAGAATCATTGTCGTCTGCAGCAATGTTTGATGAAGAGGAATGATTGTTAATACCACCTCGCGGAGAGCCACTTGTGAAATTGTTGTTGTGGTTGTTGATGCTACTACTACTTCCAGAATGCTCAGCTTGATAGACATCATCGAGTAAAATCCGAATGTCTCCAATTCTTTCGTTTTTCTGTCGTTCCTCTTCAATGAGCTTTCGATAATTTTCATCCAAATTTGAAGTAAATTGAGACATGTCCAAAATACTCAATCTCTTTGAACATCTTCTAAAATTTGTAAACCTATAAAACTCCTTCTTCTTATCCAATAATTCAGTAGATTCATGAATACTATGAATAAAGAGTTTTTTCAAAATCATTTGATTACCCAAATTCATGGCATCACTCGTATTCAAATTAAAGAGTGAACTCAATACACGAATGGCTTCTTTACCGCTAAAACAATCTTTATAGGTTGTAAAGAGGCATGTATGATCTTTGGGTTTAATTTCACGTTTGAATTTGGTAAAATAGAGCAAGAGCTCTTGATCCGAAAGTTGTTTCATCAAATTTGTAGGTGTTTTTATAGGTTCGGAAGTTATTAAAAAACTGTTGAATGATGATACAAATGCTATTATGAAAAGACCAATACTCGGTGAGAGAAACAAGTTTTTCGGATATCCACAAATACACGTTGAGCTTGCAATAAATAATCTATGAGAAAGCTTTGGTACAATAGACGAGAGGATGTTGTTCGTTGGAATTTTTTTTTTTGAAAGTTTCTTTTTTTGGTGTTTTGAGATTCTTGAAAGACACATGTTTCTGGTTCGTTCGCATGATATTTTCTTTCCATGTTTAGACAAGTTAGAAAATAGGATGAAAGGAACCAAGGTTGAAAAAGAATCTCTTTCTGGAGATCCATTTGAAAAAAAGTTGGGAACAGGAAGAGACCTGTAGATTGTGTGAAACGTTCGAATTTGAAAAGGAGTGATGCATGAAAATATTTTGCAATCTGGTAAACTGCAAGTTCAACAGATGAGGTCTTTTATGTACATTTGCCAAACATAAAATTTCATGACCTTAACACCACTGACAATTATGGTAAATGTCAGTCGTTCAGACATCGTCTCTGGATTTATTGTATTTATTAAGCTAATAAAATGCAACTGTAAATCATTCTGATAGAAAATTGTGATAATTAAAAATTTTATTCTCAAAACAAAGAAAAAAATGCATCAACAACAACACCAAAATATCATCACGTCGAATTTATCAATTCCGACCATTTCCAATCTCTCTGTTTGCTTTACCTTGTGTTGTAATCACCATCAAACCAATACATTGTTAAATCCGGAATTAAAAAATAGTAATGAAATGAAAAAGAAGAATCAATTATTATTTTTGCAACCACATGATGATGACCAACTGAAAACGGAATCATCATCCAGCATGGATAAGAAACAACATTATTTACCTTCAGAACTTGCAGAATGTATTATCAACTGCTCACAGACTCGGAAACAAGCGATTTCCATGTTATTGGGATTGAATGATGAAACAAGCCAATGAGATGGTCTTGAACTCTATGACTCATTGCTGCTCATGAAAAGAATGAGACATGGAAAATTAAAAAATTGAATGCGAGGAAAATTATTCTCTGATAATGTCAAAGGAGTATGCAACACTCACGGTGACGAGTTTTGACTCTACTTGTTAAACATTTAGGAAATTTTGGACTGAAAGTACGCCTTGGATGGAAACAATTGAGATTTGGATCCTCAAATTAAATGGATGAAAGATCTTGTCTTTATTGTAGTAACAACCCTGTATTCAATTCATTCTTCTCAAAATTGCCAATATACATCATACTCATTTCATTGAGTGTGTAATAATCATTCTCTGCAAAACTGTTACTTCCTCGCAATTGTTTTTCCAGTTCGAGTAATTGTTTGAAAAATCCTTCATTCGGTAACACCGTAGACCTGTATTAAGTTCACAGCATGAACACATGGAATCGTTGAAAGAGAATTACTAACCTAGCTTTTTTAACGATGAAAAAGGCTGGTGATAAGTATTTTTGAAATATTATTGGAAATTGAATAATTTGTTTCACAGCAAATAAACAAACCTTCTCGAAGTGTAATATTAAATTTTCGCATCAAATACGCAATGCATATGGTTGAGCTTCGTGAAATTCCAGCAGCGCCTATTTTGGTAATTCAAAAAAATTATTAAAAATTAAAATTCAATTCCCCAAATAATTATTTTTCAAATGGTCATGATCATTCCAAATATCCACCGATGTGATTCGAAAATCAGAGTAACCAACCACTTACAATGTACCAACACTGCCTTATTTTGTTCATTCATTTGCTCAATAAATTGAAATGTTTCATCAAAATATTTCGAAATATTTTGTTGCGATCGATCGTCCACTTCCACTCTCAAATAACACATTCCGTCGTGTTTTTCAAAATAATTTGGAATTTCTGAGGTACAATTGATAACTCCTTTAATATTTAATTTTTCAAGACCTGGCCATCTGCGTGCATGTCCAAATGCTCCTAAATATTGGAAATAATTATAACCAAAGTATGTAATATTAATAATATAAAATGATGAAATAAATATACCAAATGATGATGACAAGAATAAATATATATAGGAGAAGGTCAATTGTGAACAATAAGTTTGTTCATGAGATAGGTCATCATTGCAAACACGTTCCGATAGACAAGTTAAAAAGTTGTTGTATGAATCATGAACCATTCCGATTTGTATTTCAATAACAATTCATGAGAAAGTAATGATCCACACGACCTACCTAAATACAATTTTGATTCAATAATCGTCGAAGGTTTATTTGCAAAATACGACATTTTTTTCTATAAAAATAAATGTGTATTTCGAATTTGACAGTTTGCAAGGATTTTTCCTATCGCAAAGCATCTACGGGACATAAAAAACTCTCCTGTGGTGCATGCAAACGATTGGCATAACGACTTGTGGAGTTTTGAAGTTTTTCAATTTTTGACACAACAATGAAAGGGGTCGTTTGGGGAGAACATTTCTGGTTTCGTATCAAGTATGGAGGTCGTCTGCAGCAACCATGTTGAGACTCCACATAGCTCTTATTGATACATCTATTTTCTGAAACTTTTTCCATTCTCAACAATTCTTCTTTCAAATCATGTTCAAAATGTGGCTCAGCAAAACCAAATTCACACAGTTCAGAATCAAAAGGATCTTGAATGGAATCAATCGAGTCCAACACGAGTTGGGAATTGGGTTTACAAAGATTTTCCATACATGTACATTCCAGAGCAGTGGACAAGGCTAATTCCAAATAATGTTCGCACATGGAAAACAGTGAAGAGGTTGTCGAAGATACGATCATATTTACAGAGGTATTGGTGGTATTGATCATATGGTTGTTTATGGAATTCTTTGGAGGGGTCAACGGCTTGGTATGCATAATGTTTTTCCGTGGTTTGCATTTTGAAGGGAATTTAAATTTCTTCAACTCGGAATACTCCTGAGAGACTTCTTCGGAACCTGAAAATGATGACAAAGCGGTTGATACAGAGATGCTCGCACAGGAACCCATGGTTTGTGGATTTCGTTAAGGTAAGGGAGAGAATATCTTTTTTTTCAAAGCGTGAGGGGTAATGGTAGCACAAGGGGAATCTATAAATTCGTTTTTCTTTAAATGGAGTGACGCCATAGTCGTACCAAAGATTCAAACATCTTTTTTGTTCATCGTTACATAACAGTTCGCAAAATTATGTGCGGAGTCGCATAACTTTATGGATATTGTGGCGGACATGGAACCATGTAGGTCAAAATTCACGCAGAAAGAATTTTTCAGAATTTACAGAAAACTTTTTGGCCACAATAGGTTATTTTCAGAGTAAAATTCTTGAAAATTCCCAGCTTTTCCCCCCGACACTTCTCCCGCTTCAATTTTCAGGAATTTTAAGACATTATCAGAAAAATTCCTGAAACCCTTAATGAAAAAATGGGACAAGACAATCTGGATCCAAGTTCGCATGTTTTTCTCAAAAGGCAACATCAAAAGCCAAAACCAACTTGTTCAAAAAGCAAATGATGTGCACTCTTCATGGTTTTTAACGGCCAGTCCACTTGGAAGCCCCTTAGCTTGACTTCAAGTCTTCAAACAAATCGGAGCAGTAGTATTAAACCCTCAATCATTCCTAGCTGCTTGCCAGAGTAGCTCATTGTCAAAAGCCCCAACACAGACACCAGGTCAATTGCACCACTTCCAATCTAACAAGACGAATAATGAGACAACAGAAAAACAAGCCAATAACTATAACCAACAATGATTGTTGGTGATTAAGATGACGGGAACGACTTCAACACTCCCCTCGTTGAGTTCTGTTTGATCGAAATCCCTGTCAACAAGACAAGATCTTTTTACACCACCTCTGAGAGAACTTGTAGATTGGCAAGAAAATCATTCTTGGAATTCACTACCTCCTCAATGATCCATAACTTTTGCACTATTCGTTTGTTAAAAAAGACGACCACAAATATACATTCCATGTGTCCAACAACACTCTCATACGGCTGATATGAAATTACATTTTGTGTGTGAACTATGTTTCGCTGCATACCTTGTAAACCACTAACATCGCTAACAACATCACCTGTTTTTTCACATCATTCGATTCTGAATGGCAATTGACCAATGCCCCAATAAAGCCATTGTTCGAATCGAATACAGAGTCCCATGAATTAATTGTTCATTCATAATGAAAATCCATCACCACTGGAAAATCATTATAAGGAGGAATTGGTATTTGACTTTGGATTGTGTATGGTGGGGTACGTTGCTCATTCCAGTTTTAGCTCACCATGTGACACACAAATTACCATTGCCATTGTTTTGATATGGATTTTGAATCAAGCCAGTTCCAGCCATGTAATGAATGACAACTCTTAAACGACGACAATTATTAATCATGGTAATTAACTCTTCGTGAGAGGGCGAATTTAAGTAATGAAATGCAATAATACGTGGTCAAAAACAGGCAACAGAGAGAGCACAACTACTTTTTAACACAACTATTTACAATTTATTTACCATTATTGGAAGTAGAAACCCTGTGTTCTCTTTTGTGATTGAGCCAAGAAACCACGAATGAGCTTTTCTGGTCCAACCATGCTCGTCTGGTTCATTGAACCTTTTTAAGTTGAGGATAAAGATTATCGCGCTTATCAAGATATAACTCCCGTGAAGAGCGACGTAGACTGTTTTTGGCAGATGTACTTGGCCATACTAGACCCCACATAAACGATAATATTTCAGTGCAAGTAATATACTGGCCAACGGAATAAAACTCTAAAAAGCAACTACTCTTATACTTACCTGTGCCATCTCTAAAGCATGCCTTTCTTGCTTTCTTTGCTCTTCGTTTTCATGTGCTATTTGCCTTCTTTGTTCTTCGTTTTGATGTGCTATTTGCCTTCTTTGCTCTTCGTTTTGTTGATATTTCATTACTAGATACTTCTGCTGCAACTCCAGTTCTCTCATCTTTTTCGCATGTTTTTCTTGCTCCGAAAGGTTTTCGTTTGGGGCCAAGATGTGTTGATTTTCGTGTTCGCTAAACTCAAACTGAATACTCTCGGGATCAAGTATTTCGTTTAAGATCAAAGTTATGTTTTTTTGTTTTGGCTGGTTTTGAATTGGTGCTGCTGCTTTTTTTAAAGGTTTTTCTGTCATTTTTTGTTTCAGATGGAGGGGCCATTGTACAAACGCCTACGTTGAAGTAAGTACAACATTAGAGGTCAAGATTCAACCAGTAAGAAACGAATAGGGATGGAGAATGTTATTTCTGTCCAGAGAAGGGAGAGCCATCACCAAGAGAGGAGTTTTTTCATGAGCCAGATCAAATTTCCAATAGATCGGAATACACATGTGGAACTTCACACGAGTTGAGGCAAAACCCGCAATGACTCAGATTGGGATAGATATGAATTGGGTCTTGGTATTTGAAACATGTGTGAGCCTATGAAGAAAGGTGAATGATTTGTTGTCCCTGACATCCATTCACTCTGTTATAATTCCAACAACGTCTTACTGTTGTTGAGAGAGAGTTGATCTTTGTTGCTCCGATGATGAAATTGAGATGGAATTTACAATGATGAATGAGAAAAGAAACCAACATTCAACAACAACACGTTACTGATCTTGTGTTGCTTCTAAAAAAGAACTGAAACTGAGGTGAGTTCATCATTCCTTTTACGAGTCGCTAGTACTTGAGTTTCTGGAAGGACTCCTCTTGAAAAAACATGTTCCCTTCTCTCGAAGGCATCACTTCATTGTTCTTTTTTTGGAATTTTGAGGAAGAGGAGATATCTCCAAGACGATTAAGGTTTTTCAGTAGTTACAGCAAAAAAAATAGAACCTAACGTTCACAAGAAATTATTCGCTCACGCGTCCGATTGGAATAGTACCCACTCACTCGAATACGATGCCTTTATTGAAATATATATCCATAAGCACCAGTATTGAATCGTCGTGTATGGATTCCATATCGGGTTTTGGTTATCCGAGGGCTATTCATCAAGACATGCTCAATTCCATTCCCAATCATAACATGGCGAATAATAATGGCAATAATATACAAGTATCTCATGTCACAACAAGCCATACGACATCGCAATTAGAAGATCCATCCAAGAGCAAGAGTTTTTGTGAGGCAGAAGCAAATGGAGACAAATCCAAGCGATAAATAAACCATGTTTTAATCACATTCATTACATTCTTTTTATTGTTGGGGTCGTCCTTGAGGTCCTCATGGAAATCGTTTTATAGTATGACAACCTGCCTTTAAACGAGAGCATGAATGTAGAAACAGGAGCATTTCCATAACGTTTATCAATAATAAATGGAAATCATTCGTGAAGTAAGCTTGTTCTTTCCAGAGTTAAAACAAAGAACCTTGATGATCACCAAGAAAGGACTCAAACAAGGAGACAAGTTATTCGTTTGTCTTCCAAAGGGAATTTTGTACCAACACTATTGAACCCACTGATTTGGCAAGTATAGGCTTTACATGTAGAACCACAGGTCAACCAAAAGCACTCACTGCAACTCATGGCATCTTTTTAACAAGTTTAACTCAGGACTTTCTCAAGAAGTCTCACTCGTAGGAATTCCTATTCAAGGAGCTGGTAGTGGAATGAACATGCCACTCTTCTCATTCCCAAAGAATTCACAGCTGATGAATTTTTAATACTCATTCCGCTTCATCAAGTTACTCGAATTTTCACAACACCAAGTGATCCACACCATCTTTTGGTGATGAGTCACACTACCTTTCCATGGTATTACTAGGACACGAAAGTTGTTCGCGAGTTTAGAAAGTTCTGTTTCCACAAGCTTTCTTTTAGCCCTGTGTTGCGTATTCTTCTTAACATCTGTGTCAGGGTTCCATTCCCTTTGAATTTCATGCTTAGGACACACCCATCCAACCTTTTTGATTGTTCGTTTGACTGTCCTGTAATGATCATCTGCCATCACTACATCACCCTCTTCCAAAGAATTTTCAAAAAGAGTTTTGTCCCTAATAATTCTAAAACTATCATACTCTGTGGGAGGCCGATACTTGGAAACATATCCAATGCAATAAAGGAAGTCGCACGCAAAATCATCATTTATGTGACCTCAGCATATCACCCAGCTCTGTATATTTCTCTTTTCGCTTGTTCAAATTTTGGTATGTCAATAGAGTCAAGTGCAACAGTACATTTGTGAGCCATTTGAACTCTAGGTCTTCTTCGGATTGCTTTTTAAAAGTCTAATAAACATCAAATTTTATCCAGGTCCGGTTTTCTCGTTTACTTTCATAAAAAAGCGTAAGCGTCCGGTGGTGTAACGGTGAGCATAGCGGACTCTGAATCCGTTGACGGAGGTTCGACTCCTCCTCGGACGGTCGTAATTTTTTTTGTTGTTTGAAGTTTTTCCACCACAACAAATTATCGCTGCAACGCTACTGAAATCAGAAAGGATTTCACATTGCAATTGTACTAACATTTGCTTCACAATGAACAAGCTTCCTTTTCTTTCCAAAAAAAACTTTATCATAACAAACTTAATTAATGAGAGAAATCCATGTTGTGGTGGAGTATATGGAGCTTTGATAGCACATTTTCTCGGTTCTCCTTCCTTCAACCTTGCGATAGCCTTGGAGAAGTTTTTTGGTGTTCTTGGCTGTTGTTCTTCCTCTTCGTCATCCTCTTCGTCCTCAACTGTAGCTACTAGGTCTACCGTATCTTTGGTTTATGGAGGGCAATTAGGGATTGACTTCACCAAAAACAGAGCCAAGTGTGGAAGAAATAATATTTACAAATTTTCAAACTCTCTCGACAATTTGTGTGAAAGAGAAGCAGGTAATTGATCAAGATCAGAATTTTCTTTGAATAATTCATGTCTGTGATTCACTCCAAAATCAATCATGATTTGAATCACTTCTGAAAATAAATCATTTTCAAAATCCAATGAATTGGCAATTTCAAAATAATTATTGCAATCAATCTGAATGGATTTGAATGCAAGAGAAACCAATTCTGGCATTTCATTCGCTGAAGCTGTTAAAATGAGTGAAATGGCATGTTTTGGTTCAATGTGTTCCAATTGATCATAACAATATTTGACAATATATTCCAAATTCATTGCATCTTCAGGTGTGGAAGGAATGAGTGTCAAAATTTCATCTTTTTCATCATATTTCAGATCTTCCAATTCATATCCACTATTGAACATGGCTTCAAAAAGTGTTCCACGAGAACTCAACATGGTTCGATGACCATAAATAAATGAATTGTTGTTCTTGTGAGTGAGTTTGATTCGAATATCACTCGTACGTTTGTCATTCCACAACGACTTGATCATTTCGTTTGGTGATTTTGTATTTTCAGTTGACTCTTCAAGAACGATGGGAGATATCTTTGTAATTGAACTTTTTTCAAGAATTTCAACATAATAAGGAATACATCTTGGATCTCTTATGATGCCAAAATGTCTTTCTCTTAATTTGATTTGAATAAATTCCAAACAATAATTCTTCAATTTGGTCATGATGGAATGAGAGGGTTGTTTTGTCAAGTATTGTTCAATCATCAATAATGTATCAATGACATTATCAGAAGTCATGTGTTTCTCCAATAATACCGAAATAAAATAGTTTTTCAATTCCATAAATTCACTGTGAGCAAGACCCAAAATGTACAAGTATTCAATAATTTCAGAAATCATTGTAGGTTCCACAATCGTATCTGTATCATATAAAACAAAGTCAATGACATTTTGAATCAATTCATGACAAGACATGTCAGAAAGTAAATTAAAATCTTTCAAAATGGTGGAATGAAAATGAGGATAAAATTTTTCAAAAAGTGGTTGAAAAACAATGAGTTTGGTGTTGGGAATCATGTCTCTTTCATGTTTCGATATATGTGAAACGAAAGGACAGAAATGTGAAAGGGATGGTTGATAGGGACTATCTCCATTATATCCTTGAGTTCCATTGCCTGCAATGGTTGTGATCATTCCATTGGAGAGAATTTTTCGAATTCTATGATTCAAGGTATCTGCAATATAAATTTCATTATTAGATGAAACAAAAACACTGGATGGGTGATTGAGTTGTGCATTTGTTGCCAATTGATTGTCTCCATTGTATCCTTGAGTTCCATTGCCTGCAATGGTTGTGATCATTCCATTGGAGAGAATTTTTCTAATTCTATGATTAAAGGTATCTGCAATATAAATTTCATTATTGGATGAAACAAAAACACTGGATGGATTAAAGAGTTGAGCATTTGTTGCCAATTGATTGTCTCCATTGTATCCTTGAGTTCCACTTCCTGCAATGGTTGTGATCATTCCATTGGGGAGAATTTTTCTAATTCTATGATTAGAGGTATCTGAAATATAAATTTCATTATTGGATGAAACAAAAACACTGGACGGATAAAAGAGTTGAGCATTTGTTGCCAATTGATTGTCTCCATTGTATCCTTGAGCTCCACTTCCTGCAATGGTTGTGATCTTTCCATTTTTCATTATTTTTCTAATTCTATGATTTGCGGTATCTGAAATATAAACTTCAGCATTGGATGAAACAACAATACTGGATGGATATTTAAGCTGAGCATTTGTTGCCAATTGATTATCTCCATTATATCCTCGAGTGCCATTGCCTGCAATGGTTGTGATCTTTCCATTTTTCATAATTTTTCTAATTCTATGATTATGGAAATCTGCAATATAAACTTCATCATTGGATGAAACAAAAACACTGTATGGATATGTAAGCTGAGCATTTGTTGCCAATTGATTATCTCCATTATATCCTCGAGTGCCATTTCCTGCAATGGTTGTGATCATTCCATTTTTCATAATTTTTCTAAGTCTATAATTACTTCTATCTGCAATATACACCTCATTGTTGGATGAAACAAAAACAGCAAACGGAGCGTTCAGTTGTGCATGGATTGCCTTCGTCATTTGATATTTGGATGCTTCCGATGAATGAAGAGAGAGAGCCATTTTTTTGTCGCTATGAGCCCCAAAAAAATAGATTGAACTTTATTTAGTCTCAATGGGACCGTTGAAGCAAAATGAACAACCATCCATCCTTTGAAAAGGATTGGTGTTTGAGGGATTTTCTGCATTTTGTTATTAGACTTTATTCTTTGAATCAAAAGTGTTGTTTTGGAGGTGGATAAGGAATTGATCAGTTGTCGGACGAAAAGAATAAATCAATCCTTCAACAATCACAATTACAACACGAAACAAAATTAGAACAAACCGAGAATATAAAAGCACTTGGGAGGAGGTTTCTGGATTTCAGACTGACTGGTGTATTGATAAGACAAGAAGATGAAAGCACTCTACCACAATTTTGAAACAACACACATATGTCTACGTTGTCATGCAAAAAAAGAGTGGAGTTGTATAGCAACATAAGGTTGGCTTGTGTTACATGGATTCTTAAGATGAATGAAAAAATCAAAAAAGCCCTCGCTCAATTTTTCCCAGACCTTGAACGAAGATTTGAAACGACCTCGTTTGAAGACTCACTTCCACGAAGACAAGTCATAGCTCTGGATAATTACATCACCGTTATCCTCTGTGCAAATTCAAAAAAGAAAAAAAAATGTCCACAGAAACCAATAACAACAACACACCATCATCATCTTCGGAACAAGCGCACACCCCTGAACAAATCATTACACCATGGGACGTGGAGGCAGAAAGTGAAATGGGAGTGGACTACTCAAAATTAATTGTCCAATTCGGTTCTGAAGAAATTCAAGAAGATTTATTGGAACGAATTGAGAAGGTCACTCAAAGACCTGTTCATCACTTCCTCAAGAGAAAGGTCTTCTTCTCTCATCGTGATATGCACAAATTATTGGATTATTATGAACAGGGAAAGCCCTTCTATCTCTATACCGGAAGAGGTCCTTCCAGCGAGAGTATGCACTTGGGACACTTGATTCCGTTCCTCTTCACCAAATATTTGCAAGATGTCTTCAATGTTCCTCTCGTTATTCAAATGACCGATGATGAAAAGTTCTTGTGGAAGAATTTGGAATTGGAGGAGGCTCATCGGCTCACTTATGAAAACGCCAAGGATATTATTGCTTGTGGTTTTGATAAAGAAAAGACATTCATCTTCTCCAATATGGAATATATGGGACACTTGTACAAGACTGTTCTTCAAATTGAAAAGGCTGTTACGACCAGTCAAGTCAAGGGAGTGTTCGGATTCAACGATTCCGACAATATTGGAAAATTCTCATTCCCTGCCATTCAAGCAGCTCCATCCTTTTATACAGCCTTTCCTCACATCTTCCCAGAGAATGAATCAACCAAGTCAGGTTCATCAGATTCCAAGAAAAAGTCATCCTCCTCGAGCAAGCCAAAGAAGAGAAGAGATATCATGTGTCTCATCCCATGTGCCATTGATCAAGATCCATACTTTAGAGTCACACGTGATGTGGCTCCTAAATTGGGATTCCAAAAACCATCTCTCATTCACTCCAAATTCTTCCCTGCATTGCAAGGTGCGAAAACTAAAATGTCAGCTTCTGCAGAAAATTCATCCATTTTCTTGACCGATACACCAAAGCAAATTAAGGACAAGATTAACAAACATGCCTTTTCTGGAGGTGGTGCAACCAAGGAAGAACAAGAAAAGTATGGTGCAAATCTTAGTGTGGATGTTCCATTCAAATATTTGGAATTCTTTTTGGAAGATGACGCTCTCTTTGAGGAAATTCGTGAAAAGTATTCAACTGGTAAAATGTTGACTGGTCAAGTGAAAGGTATCCTCATTGATATTTTGACCAAGATGGTGAAAGAACATCAAGAGAGAAGAGCCAAAATTACAGATGAAGAGGTGAAAGAGTTTTTATCGGTTCGTAAACTCAATTTCGCTTGGCCAACAAAGAAGGAGGTTGTTGTACAACCAACTTGTTCTGACAACGAGCAGAAATAAGGTGGTGTGGTGGTGCACGAATGTATGGATGGTCACTTGATGATTGTTTTACATAAATTATTATTTAATCACAAACATGAACGTGTTCTTCACCAAAATTCATGCTTTTCAAAATTATTATCGAACCATCTCTAAAATTGTTGTATTGTCATTTTCAAAAACTCGTAAAACGTTACCGCTTGTTGGGTGAGTATTCTTTCTTTAGTCTCTTACTGGCCTTTCATGTCTTTGACTGTTGAAATAAGTCACCTTTCACCAATTTTTCAAGAAAACTTTCAAAAAAACAAATTTTGCTTCCTCTCTCTCCATTCAACTCGTACGAGAACCACCACAGGAACACCTTCCAATCAATTCAATTCCAATCAAACGAACACCTTTCAATCATCGAGAGTCTTTCTCGACTTCTTTCTCTCTTGATTATTCACAACCAGTGTGTCCGAATCATACAACACAGCCTCTTTCTCTTTGTTATAATTAATATTATTATTATTATACAAATAATATTCGTTTAACAACAGCAACAACAAGAACTTTAAAAAAATAATAATTTCTAAATTAGTGTGATTTTACATCATCATCATTGCAAAATGAAAAAAAAAGACAAGTCATCGAATCATCAAAACAAAGAAGAGGCTCCCTCTCGTGTGTCCATCTCTTCCAATGATTCTTCAGTTTCTAAAGGAAGTACTGAAGAGGTTGAGATAATGACAGATGACATGCCTGGTTCTGCTGCCATGCTCGCAACACAAGGCAACAAACGAAAGCATCGATTCAGTATTAGAAATCTATTGGGAGGTAAAAAGAATGAAGTTGTCAGTCCACGTGCCAGTAGCAACCTGTCAGCTGCCACTCAATCCACTTCAGCTTTGGATGATTTTAAAAAAATGGCAAATATGGAAAAATTGAGTCTAGATGCTCCTACTTTGGACGGTTCGGACTCGAGTGATCAAGCATTACTCGATTTACAACGAAGAATTGCCGAGAATGATTTAAATTCACCAAAATCTCCACATGGACTTTCAACGTTTAAAAGTTCAAGTCAACTCAGTAGTGTGAGCTCTCCCAATACAGCAACGACCATGACTGATTTATCTCCTTTCAAATTGGCAGAGAATGAAAGAATTGTGACCATTGAGGAATTGGAATTATTGAAAAATGTCGCTACCAATGCTGAAGAATTGAAAACTCAACTCGAAACCAAGATTTTACAATTGGAACAATCGTTATCAACGTTGAAACAAGAACATGAAACTCAATGTAAGAAATTGGAAGAGGAGAAACAATTGCTTTCTGACTCGTTGGACAAGTTACGTCAAGAAACAGAATCCAAAGATTCCAAAATTTCACACTATGAAGAACTTGAAAAGAAATTGCAAGAAGAAAATTCCAAATTGCAGCAACAAGTTCAAGAACATGTCAAGATGCTCACTGAAAAATTGCAACAACAAGATGAAAGTGGCAAGTCCATTGTGGAATCTTTAAAAAAGAATCATGAAGATACCATGAACAAGATAAAAGAAGAATATGAAAAGAAAATCAAAGAACTTGAGATTGACAATGAAGGACTTCGTGACGATTTGGTAAATTTAGATTCACGAGCATCCGATGTCAAGAAACAATTAGAAAAGAAGAATAAGGATTTACAACTTTTACTCGATGAAACCAAGAAGAAACTTGAAGAAGAAATTGAAACTCTCAAAAAAGAGAGTCAAAAGAACAAACGAGAAGCAGGTCAACACATTATCAATAGTGGAGGTGACGATAAAGTGAAGGAAGAATTTGAAAAATTGAAACGTTGGAATGAAGAACTCAATGACATGCTCTCAGTGGAACAACAAGGAATTGCTGCTCTTGAAAAGGAACGTGACAATCTTGCATTACAAGTGAGTGAATTACAAGCAAAATTGGAAGGCACTCCAAAACTTTCCGAAGACGGAGAGCCATTGCCTGATCTTGGAACATTGTTAAAACAATTGGAAGATGTCACAATGGAAAAGGAAGTGTTGGAAGAATTGAGACAAGAAGAATTGTTGGATTATGAAAAAGTGAAAGAGGAGTTGACTTTGGAAAATACCAACTTGAAAGACGAATTGGAAAAACTTAAAAAATCCAAATCAACTCCGGTGGTCACTTCTTCTCAACCATCCGCAGCAACCATTGAAGAAAATGGTGTCACTAAAACTCTTGAAGACATCCTTATGGAAAGAGATGTCTTGGAAGAATTGAGACAAGAAGAATTGTTAGAACATGAAAAAGTGAAGGAAGATTTAAATGCTGAAATTGAGGTATTGAAAGAACAAATTGAAGAAATCAAAAAGAATCAATCAACAAGTATGAACAATCATGTTTCGTCCAAGAATGACTCGACATCACAACAACTTCAACAACTTGTTGAAAATCTTCAACTTGAAAATTCACAATTGAGAGAATCTCTCGAACTTGCCAAAAATGTTCAAAAGATCATTGAAAAGGTTGAAGTTGAAAAAGTCGTTGAAAAGATGGTTCCAGTTGAGAAGATTGTTGAAAAAGTGGTTGAAAAAATTGTCACGGTCAGCAATGATGATGATTCTTATATTAAGAAGGAACTCGAGAATTTGAGAGAACAAGTCGATTCTTTGATTAATCAATTAGATCAATCGCAAGAACTTGTTCGAGAATATGAAAAGAAATTGGAAAGTGAACATCTTGTCATGGAACAACTCAAGAAGGAAGTTGAAAAATCTCGTTCGTTGCATGAAGAGTTGAAAAAGAAACCATTCGTGTTGGAAAATTCACAACAATTGTCAACTTCTTCCGCTGCTGTTGTTGCTGCTACAACGATGATTCAAGAGAATTTGGTGAATTCTAAAACTCCTCAAGAAGATTCAAGTGTTAGATCTGAAAGTTCAACATTCTCTAATCAACAAGTCAGTGTTGATGAACAAGCTACACAAGATATTAAGCTTGTGGACAAGCCAGTGATTGCTTCTCTTGAAAAGGATGATCTTTTCAAACTTCGATCGAAATACGTCTTGTATTCAGAAGATGGAGAAGAGAGTCAAACAACCTCACCTCTGCAAACTTTGCCTTCTCCATCAACAGTTGCAGCCGTTGAGGAGGAGCCAGTTGCGGACGAAGAAAAGAATCAAGATGAAGATGACATTTATCAACATGAATTGAACCAATTTGAGAAGGATTTGGATCGAATGTTAGTGAAAAATTCAATCAATTTGGCAGGAAAGATTTCATCATTGAAAGAACTTGAATTGTTGTGCATCAAGTTGAAATATAACAAGACTTGTAAAATTTTGGACTTGTCAAAGAATAGCATTATTGACAATAAGGGACTGAAAGCATTGTGTGAAATGTTGAAGGTGAACAAGACCATTACTGATCTCTATTTGGAAGATACACAAATTTCCACAATTAATCCACACTTGTTTGATGTTTTCCAACACAATTATACAGTCACTAATATCATCTTTTCAGAGGATTTGGTTCCTGACTCTGAATTGGATAAGTTGGATGCCCTTTTGGATCGTAATGAAACTTATTAGAAGATGTGAAGAATTTTTGTGCTCAACTTGACGTACAGAGCGAACATGAAGGACATTTAAGACATGTCCATCAGTATATTCAAATTGATAAATTATTATTATTATTATTAAACAAACAATTATGGAAATATCCAGAATCTGAACTGAATTTTTCAAGCTCTAAAAATGTTCACACACAATTACAGCCACAATTCCACCATCTTGATGCATTCGTTATCATGTGCTGCAGATTTTAACAAAAATGGACTCTCTTTTGACATTGCAATCACACAGCTCGCTCCAGCGAACAGTGTTTCCTTCTCCTTTCCAATTCTATTGCAACACACAAAATAAGGAACTGGCATAGTTTCCGAGAGCATTGGACTTAATCGATTCAACCAATACGTTTGAAGTGACAAGCAGTTTTCAGGCTCCTCTGATGAGGCTAACCAATTTGCAATGAATAACAACACTTCTGTGCCTTGTTCCTTATGAAAAGTACCAAGTTCCTTATTTTTAAAATCACTCGAGAAATTTGTTCCATTATTAATGTCCATACAAATTCCAAGTCCAATACGAACATGTTGAAAAGTCGAGTTGAGCTCAGTATTATTTACAACTTGTACTTTCTTTTCAGTTAGCGAAAAATCAAACGTTTTAAATCCTTCTCCTTCGTTGGCCCATTTCAAATCTTCACAATACAGAAAATGTTTTCTATAATTGACAAAAGAACCATCCGGAGAGACGATATACATGGAATTAAATAATTTGTAATGATTTCCAATGCTCTCATCATCCGCAAGATCATGATGATCCAAGGAAGAGCCATGATCATTCACGATTGGTTCCTTTTCGGGATAACCACACACAACAGCACAATGATATTTCCGAGCCAAATCCCAACAAAACTCATAGCAAGATCCCTTTCCCTTCTCCTCACAATAAGGAAATACATCTTTTCTATTTTCAAATAAATATCCAGTAAAACTCATTTCGGGAAAGATTAAAATATCAAAACACTTGGAAGATGGAGAGATGATCGGATCTACTGAATCATTCTTGTTCATCTTTTTTGAAATATAACGACCCAACATTTCCGTAACTTTTTGTTGATTCTGTTTCACTTGTTTCAGTTGAATGTTATATTGACAAAAAGCGACTCGGAGACAACGTGATGAAGAAGATGCAAAAATATTCATTTTTTTTGATCCTATTTCTGAGTTACGTGAAATATGTTTACATTAGAATAGAATTAATTCATTTTGAATTTTAATATTTGGGATTTGGAAATTGCATTTATTTGGGAGGGTTATCTTCAAGGCAGTTTTCAAACTTTGAAAAAAAATCATGTCGGTCTCCACTACTGGAATTCAAATCACGAACATGATTTGTGAAGTCAAATCAATCACAGAGGCACTTATTGCACAACAAGCAGGGGTTGCTGCTTTACTGGTCGTGTTGGAAAGAACACCTGTGACGACCAGTACTGTTCATGGAAATCCAATACTCATGGCTTCAAACAACACGAGTTGGAATGTGAATTATCAATTGTTGCATGAAATTAAAAATCAATTTCCAAATACAGCTATTATTGCAAGAATAAGGAAGGGACATTTGGTTGAAGGTTTGTATGAATGTATTGTATGAATATTCAATCGATATATTGAATATTACTTAATATTACTTACAAATAATTCTTGTTGAACATATGTGTAGCACAATTGTGTGAAGAAATGGGAATTATGATGATCGATGAAAGTGATGAAATGAATGTTCAAGTGAGTGAATCGTTTGTTGAAAAACGAAACACACATTTAACAACTGCAATGACTTCACCTCAAGTTATTTCAACATTCACAGAAACCGATCATCATTCATCCTACATGTGTGCTTGCAGTGATTTACCAGAAGCTTTGAAGAGAATTCATGAAGGAGCCAACATGTTGAGAACGAGAGGAGAGTTTTGGTGTCCACAGAAAGGTGAATCTTGTACTTCTTCGTTATTGCTGAGCTGCGTCACACAAATTAAGGAAATATCCAAAAGTGTGGACAATATTGTGAATACGTTGAATGAGGAACAAATTGAGAGTTTGGCATCAAGGGAGGAAATTCCGAAAAGTCTACTCCTCTCCATGAGACAACAACAACAATTGTTAGTGCCATTGTTTGCATATGGTGGTATTTGTTGTCCGGCAGATGTTGCTTTGGTCATGCAAATGCCCAATGTGAGTGGTGTCATGTAAGTGTGTTTACATTGTGGTGTCCCAAAAGCGTCTCTTATTATCAATTGTCTTTACAATAATGGTTCATTGGAATGTGTGCATACAAACATCTTAGTATTGGAAATGAAATATTCGGGGTAAGTGTGGAATTATAATTGTACAGAAATTTCAATACTGAAATTGCTGATGAAATCTTAAAGTATGACAACCCTCTCAAGTTATTGCGTTGCATGGTTCAGGCGGCTAGATTGTACAAAAATCCCTCTCTACTCTTGCAGTTAAGCTTGGAATTTGGTTCACTCCAGAGTTCTGTCAGGCCAACCACGCCTCAAGCCGTTCAAGCCAAGAAATTGTTGGATGAAAAAGGATCCTCGCAGCCAGCTCAACAATTAACTGAGCATCACAAGCCTATCGATAGTTCTCATTTACGTGAAGAATTGAGCAGTGTTGTCGCCAATAATGATTTCATGTAAAATGGATTGAATCATCATGTCACACAACTACAAGATGTATGGTGCTCTAATTGCTGTTGTTACTACTCAACATTATTTCATAATTAATCTCTAATTGTATTGTTACACAGTAATTTACATTTGTAGTAAATTATTTGGAATTCCAAAATAATTATTTACATGATCAATTGTTTCACGATATTAAATGCTGTTTTCTGTATAAAAAACAAAATTTCGTGTTGTTCTCATCAAGAACGCATTACCTTATCCAAGTATATAATATGAATAGCACGAAAATAACAAATCCGATCAAGAGACAGAACATTCCGAGCATTCCATGAGTTTTCTGTGATAATATTTTCAATTTTTGTAGTGTTGCATCTAGTACGCCTTTCGTATTACTCATATCATCTCCTATTTGTCTAAAATAGGCGTCTTGTTCTGCCAATTCGCTATTTATCGAGAGAGCAATCTCCTTCAAAACTCGTACTCCCTTTACCATTGTTCCTGCTTTCTTTTCCACGTCCTCTTCTGCTTTATCAATCAATAACTGAGTTTGTGTTGCTGTTCCACTGTTCCGAGAGGGTGTTGTGGTCGGTAAATATGAATAATCATCCTCGTGATGAGAGGCTCCGAATAATTTGGATCGGAGTGTAGCTCCATTCTTTCTCATCATTTTAATAATATTCAATCAACCTTTTGTAATTTCACTGTTGAAATCTTTCGTGTTGGATGGAGATGATGATTTTGTTTTCCGTTGGATAATAAAGGAACGGATAAACAGTATTATTATTAATATTAATATTTTTTTTGTAAGTTGCATCATCCACGATTGTTGTGCTGGCATGATCCTTTCTTCAAGTTCCAATCCCATTCAACGGTCATGGATCCTTCTGTTGTTTTGAAGATCTTGGAACCTTCTCACAACTTGGCGCCAATTCAAAAAACTTTTTTAACTGTTGAAATTTAAAATCCAAAAAATTCCAACCACCATAATGCCCTCCTCATCGTCGTCCTCATCATCGGCTTCACTCCGTAAAATTCACTCACTCATTGAGAATAAAAAGAGAAAACACAATGAGGAGCCCGTAACAACACCTTTGAAAAAAAAGAATGAAATGGTCGTTGATGAAGATGATGATGAACAAGAGGATCATCGTATGATGATGAGTTCTCCTCTTCAAAAATCCTCATCCTCTTTGGAAGCATCTACAAAGAAGAGAAAGATTCAAGAGCCTTCTCCAAAGAAACAACAAAAAATCAATACGACGAATCATTACAATACTACAAGTAAACAACAACAACAACTCGGAAACAAAATAGGAGTTTCATCCTCGAGTACGAATAATAATAATTATACCAACAAGCAAGGCAAGAAGAATGATGGTGCACTTTCGAGTCTTCAACAAGTATTTCAAGACCAGCTCAAATCATCAAAATTCAGATTCCTTAATGAAAAGCTCTATACCACGACTGGTCATCAAGCTAAAGCACTCTTTGAAAAAGATCCATCTCTATTCACACTTTATCATGAAGGATATAAACAATCTATGGAAAAGTGGCCCTTCCAACCTGTCAAGAATATGATTAAATTTTTAAATGGAAAACCAATCTCGTGGGTAGTGGCAGATATGGGTTGTGGAGAAGCTGAAATTGCAAAGAATGCAAAACAAAAGACGATACATTCTTTCGATTTGGTTGCAGCAAATGAAAAAGTTACAGCTTGTGACATGAGAAAGACGCCTCTATCAGACGAGACTGTGGATTGTGTCATTTTCTCATTGTCACTCATGGGTACAAATTTTTTCGATTATTTAAGGGAAGCTTCAAGAATTTGTAAAGTAGGTGGATGTTTGAGGGTAGCTGAATTGGAATCACGATTTATTTCCGAATCAAACAGTAATACTGACTCTGGAAAGCTCAATGACTCGTCGGTGATGGCTGATGAAGGCGAAGAGCTTACAGCGACCAAATCACCCCGAAAAAAAGTGAATCCTTTTGCTAAATTCGTGTCCGTGGTAGAACATTTTGGTTTTAAATTGGACAAGCAATCACAACCAAATGGATATTTTGTCGTCTTTGAGTTTAACAAAGTGAAACCTTGGTCTGAAATCTCCAAAATTAAGGATCCAATTGCCAAGAATTCAGAAGTGCTAAAGCCTTGTCTTTACAAGAAAAGATAAAATACTTTTTACAGTTGTTACCATTAATACAGCTAATACAATTCATTAATTTATTTTCATTACCATTAGTATTTATTTTATTCTCAACAATGTGTGGAATAGCCAAAATTTATATTTACTCATATTGACAGCGCTTTGATACCACCAATCCAATCCCTTGAATCTATTGCATTGATAAAAATTGGTTTCGAAATTTCGATACGAACATAGAGGAGAAGTGCTGATTCTTGTGAATAGTGTCAGCGTTGTGCAAGATTTACTTGAATTCAACCTTATGTAACGAAAGTAAGATCTTCACCCTGAAGTTGGGATAATTCGCTTGTCTTGCAACACCAAACTCAGAACAACATGTGCGAAATTATAAATTTATTGAGACCATTCAAAAATTTCACCAAAACAATCCATTCGATGATAAGACACTGGCCATCTTGTCAAGCGTTCTAATCTTCATTGCTTTTAGTGGCACAAAGCGGCTTCTCAATACCTCTTTCAATATATCTAGTGAACTGCAACCAAAAAGAACATACAACCACTCATGGTTTTTCAATGCAGAATTACCAAGCTCTCACCTTTGACATGTTCTCTTCATTGAGATAATTGACTGTTTCTTTTGAAGCGCGATCTACTTTGTTCGACTCAATGTGACATGAATAAAGTGGAAGCCTGTGTGAATGATGAGTATCGGATTCATTGTTCATTGTTGAGTTATCATTGTCATCATCATTGTCACTCAGTGTCATGATCTTTTCTGCATCAATATCAACTTCTACTCGAGCTCGATGATTTTCAAACAAACTCATCGATTTCAAGTAAAAACAGTCAAAAAACTTGCTATAATTTTTCATCATGTGTAACCCGTTGAAAATCGTGGTTTGGAAGGAAACAAAGGGCTGATCGGCTTCCAAAAATCGTCTTCTCCTCATGACGCAATATTTTCTTAAATATTTCCAATCCGTCTTTTTCGCGAACTTGTTTCCAGAGATATCTGAAATGCCGCGGCAAGGAACTTCAGGTCATGAATGCTTTCGTGACGCTGGTTTTTATGTTCCAAATGCGAACGCGAGTATTCTGTAGCTTTGTGAAATCCTTTCCATAATCGAGTAAAAAGCAATCTCCAAAAGAATTCGTTTTCATAAATTCCTTCATACCATCTCTTACACACTAAAAACATGGATCCGTTCAATAAAAATCCGAGAGGTAAATATGGACAAATATTTCCTACCATCACTTCTGTTGGAACTTGTTGAATCAATTCCCATAAATATTCTTGTTTTTGTTTTTTAATGATTGTTTCTAAATGATCAAGTATTGACAAGTATTGAATCCTGTTCAATGATATGGATGATGAGGAAGAGGTATTTTCTTCAGAAATGGTTGTCTTGATCAACTCGGTAAGTTGTGCTTGCAATTTGTTCATTTTTTTTCTGCAGATTTGAAAAAGCGTGACGCAACTTGTCATCTCTCTTGTAATGCTTTCGCAGAAGGAATTCCCAACATCTTGTTTGTGTCACATGTCACATATTTTTTCTTTCGTGACCAAAGCACAAACGACAAATAGGGTAAGCCAAACAGACAGCAGCAACGTGATGAGAGTAGTAGACAACGCGAGCAATGTAGTTGCTTGCATACAGGTTGTTCATCTTTTTTTTCCACACAACGAGAGTTCATTAGAACAATATTAAAATTACATGTTTGCGAGCTTGACAAATAGTTTGTGCAAAAGAGGAAGAGGTAATTGGTGAACAGTTGCAGCTTCCTTGAATAACTCATGCCTGTGATGCACTCCAAAATCAATCATGTTTTGAATGACATCTGAAAATAAATCATTTTCAAAATCCAATGAATTTGCAATTTCAAAATAATTATCGCAATCAATTTGAATGGCTGCAAATGCGAGAGAAACTAATTCTGGCATTTCATTCATGGATGCTGTCAAGATGAGTGAAATGGCATGTTCTGGTTCAATTTGTTCCAATTGATTATAACAATATTTGACAATATATTCCAAACTAATTGCATCCTGAGGTGTGGGGGGTACGAGTGTGAAAATAAGTTCCTCTGTGTCGTAATAAAGATCTTGTGACTGGGATCCACTGTTAAACATTGCTTCAAAAAGTTTTCCACGGGAAGCCAAGATGGTTCTGTGAGCATATATAAATGAATTGTTGTTCTTGTGGGAGAGTTTGATGCGGACATCACTTGTACCCTTGTCATTCCACAATTTCTCAAATGCTTGTTGTGGAGTCAATGAGGTTTCATTTTCGTCTTCGAGAATAATTGGAGTGAGTGAAGTGATGGAAGCACGTTTGAAAATCTCAACACTGAAAGTCATCATTCTCTCATCTTCATAGAGGCGGCATCCTTCTCGTAATTTCATTTGAATAAATTCCAAACAATAATTCTTTAACTTGGACATGATCGAATGAGAGGGTTTTTTTGTCAAGAACTGTTCAATTGTCAATAGTGTGTCAATGACATTGTCAGATGTAATGTGTTTCTCTAATAATATGGAAATATAATCATTTTTCCATTTCATAAAATCACCCCGGGCGAGTCCCAGAATGTACAGCTGTTCCAGTAATTCATTTCTATCTTTTGGTTCCTCAACCTTATCTGGGTCATATAAAACAAGATCAATGAAATGTTGAATGGATTCATGTTCATGACAAGACATGGACGAAAGCAAATTCAAATCTTTCAGAATTGTGGAATGAAAATGAGGATAAAGTTTTTCAAAAAGTGGTTGAAAAACAATGAGTTTGGTGTTGGGAATCATGTCTCTTTCATGTTTCGATATATGTGAAATGAAAGGAGAGAAATGTGACAGTGATGGTTGGTGGGTACTATCTCCGTTGTATCCTTGAGTTCCATTTCCAGCAATCGTTGTGATCATTCCATTCGTGAGAATTTTTCTAATTCTATAATTTTTGGAATCTGCAATATAAACTTCATTATTGGATGAAACAAAAACACTGCTTGGACCATTGAGTTGTGCATTTTTTGCCAATTGATTGTCTCCATTGTATCCTCCAGTTCCATTTCCTGCAATCGTTGTGATCATTCCATTCGTGAGAATTTTTCTAATTCTATGATTAGAGGTATCTGCAATAAAAATTTCATTATTGGATGAAACAAAAACACTGATTGGAAAGTTGAGTTGTGCATTTTTTGCCAATTGATTGTCTCCATTGTATCCTTGAGTTCCATTTCCAGCAATCGTTGTGATCATTCCATTCGTGAGAATTTTTCTAATTCTATGATTATAGTAATCTGCAATAAAAATTTCATTATTGGATGAAACAAAAACACTGATTGGAAAGTTGAGTTGTGCATTTTTTGCCAATTGATTGTCTCCATTGTATCCTCCAGTTCCATTTCCTGCAATCATTGTGATCATTCCATTCGTGAGAATTTTTCTAATTCTATGATTACAGTACTCTGCAATATACACTTCATTATTGGATGAAACAAAAACACTGCTTGGACCATTGAGTTGTGCATTTGTTGCCAATTGATTGTCTCCGTTGTATCCTTGAGTTCCATTTCCTGCAATCGTTGTGATCATTCCATTCGTGAGAATTTTTCTAACTCTATGATTACAGAAATCTGCAATATAAACTTCATTATTGGATGAAATAAAAACATTGAATGGGTGATTGAGTTGTGCACTTGTTGCCAACATTCGCGATTCGCACGCTTCCCGTGATGATTGTAGAGCCATTTTTTGTGGTTTTTTTGTTAGACGACCACGCAAGCCAACCCACATAACGACAAGAACAACAACAATGTTCCTAATCGTTGTTTTGTAAAGTCCAAAAAATGAAACACCAATTGGGGAGGCGGACAATTTTTGGCTCACTAAATAGCCATCATAATTTGCGAAATTTTTCGCAAGCGAAAAACTCGATAGTATAAGGCTCATGGCTGTGTTCAAAACCTGGACACTGGTGTTGCGTCAATAAATTGCTTACACCTATTATACTTGAAATCATGGTTCTGTTACATCCAATAGCCATGAATTTAAAAAATAACGGGCTAAAAGTGACAAACAGAGATAAGTGATTCTTCTTTTTTACTTTGAAAAAGATTTTTCAAGCTCACGAACGCTTTTTCGCTGTGATGCAGGTTTTCCGGAAACGTCATTTTCTAACAATGAGTAGAGGGTATATGATAGGTACTATTGTGGAGTTTTGGTGCGTCCGGCAAATATGCAAAGGGACTAACGAGCGCTTGGTCTAGGTACCTCTATTTTATACTTCACATTTTTAGACGTGATTTTGCAACAAGAAACAAAAATGAAGCAAAGACTGCGAAAATCATTCTTATCAAGTTACATCATCATACTCTTCGGAATTGACAACACCTCAACAAATAAGTATTTAGAAATTAAACAAGATGCCCTTGCCTGATGCGATGACTGTGGAATTATTGGATGAAGTTGCTTGAGAAACTGAAGCAAAAATCGTTTAGTCGAATAGTGGTTTGGACTTGTAATTGATAGTAATTTGTTGTAGTCGTGTTTGTTATTTACTTGATTTCAATTCAGAGTGATAGTAATTGAAATCGAATAATATCACTTGAAAATACAAGTGAACTGTGGTGCAATAGTATGCTTGATAATATGATGGTGATAACTATTTCACAGAATGAAATGCTATCGGATTGATATATTGATCATTCAAACAACAAATCATCAGCTTTATTCATTGGAATGATTGTTTCATGGAATGCGAGTTGCTTACTGTCCTCGGAAATCATTATTTCTTGTGAACATGTATAACTCTCCTCTCTCGTTCTTGTAATTAATTCTATCATCATCATAGGTTGTGATCGATCTTGTGGTCGCTATGGTTGAAGTGTCTTGTGTGAGTGATTGAAGTCATGATGAATTATTGATGTGGTATGTATGCTCTAATGAACATTTAAAAATGATTTATGGGCTCGCTTTCGATAAACAAACGATTGTAACGTTGTATAGTACATTGCGAAGAGTGTTTCTATGGCTATTGATGACGGATGTGATCACCATTTACAGAGTAACATCATCAATTTTATTGTGATGAGATTATGTCATTCCGAGAGTGAGTTTGGAATTAACATTACATGTCAACATATACACCATGATGAGTGAAGTATATTCATGTTCGTTTCATTCACTGATTCATCAGTTTATCGAAATGGTGTCTCACTCTTTAAATTCATTTTTCTTTTTCACATGACATTACAATACAAATTAATTTCAAGAATGTCACAGTGATTTTGTATGATAGTATTTATAATGACATTGTTATTTTGAACTTTGTGGAATTTATCTATTTGAATTGATTTTATTGAGTGGCATCTTGGAAGTGCAGAAAATATTGTGAATTAATTTTGGGAGAGTGAACTAAATGATAATTTCTATAATAATCTAAAACCAAAGAAAAAAAATCAACGAAAGGGTTTATTAATTGTGACAAAGCCTTTGGTTTAGTGTGTGGAAAGTGTGATGGACAATTTTTGAAACGCAGGCCATTTCGACGAGCAATTAAAAATATATAGGAAATGATTACCCAAAATCAAAAACTCACTTCAGATAGACTTGTTACTGGTATTCAAGAGATATTGAAAAGCAATGGTTAAACTCTAGACGACATTATTGACTATATATTTGAAAAAGATTCAGATTCTCTCTACAAGAGAATTGACTCCTATGTATCAAAAGGCCATACCAACTACACAAGACTAGCACATCATTTTCAAACACTAGCATCACCTGAATTACAAGACAATTTATCACCTGAAGGTGCTGTGTACTTTACAGACACCAGATTGATGTCAGATCATTTCTTTTGCGAGCATTATCAATATCATGCATTGAATTTTATTGTCTGTACCAAAGAAAAGCTTAAAGAACAGCGTGATGAAATGAATGAATTAGTTCAACAAATATTTCACATGTCTCATGACAACAATTCTCTTCATGTGGACGTTTCGTGTTTACTGCACGAAGTAGTTGATCTTATAGTGAAGTTGGAAGGAAAAATTCCTGAAAAATTGGAACTGAAAAGTTTTTGGGATGGCCGTTCTACCAATGAAGTCATTCATGCATTTGTAATTCTTAACAGTATTCTTTCTACACAATGCAGATACAATGCATTCATTACAGATATGTACAAAGGACAAGAAATTCATAAGAATGTTTCGAAATATTTTGATATAAGTTTTTCAATATTGAATGATTTGGTTGAACACGGATTTATTTACACTTTTGAGGAAAATGGGGTGAAGAAAAGCATAACTCTACCTGTTACAGTATATATATGTGCAGATTTGTCAGCATTATGGAAGCTCTGTGATGAAACATTTGTGTGCCCATATTGTGATTGTACTCATGAAAATTATAATACAATATTTGAATACAATCACTCTCTCGATTTTAATTGCAGAAATATTATTCTAGAAAAATACCCAAAATTGATGGAACATGTTGTCATTGATGTACTTTATGCAAAGCTTCGAATTGTTGGGAATTGGTTGGCTAAATTAATGTTGAAACTGTGTCCAGATGAATTAGAGGCAGTTAAAGATGTAATTCGACAGTTCCCATCACTCTCAAAATTTGAATTTAAAGAAAAACCATTTTACAAGCAACAGCTGGCAATGGAAGCAAACAAAGTCTATCAACCACCTTACCTCAATGGAAAACAAGCGGACACCTTATTACTCAATTTTGAGAAAATTTTTTTGGAAGCCTTAAACAAAAGCAGCTTTGATTCACAAGATGTTGCAATTTGGTCAATGTTTCGATATATAATTTATGGATACATGGAGGCCCTTCGCAATTACTTGCAGAGCAAAATATTGAGGAAGATTTAATTCCAACGTTGAAAAAGTTAAATGAGATACTTCGTTTACACTATCCCAATGAAAACTTTGGATATTATGTACATATCGTTTTGAATCATTTGCCTTTTATTGAAGAAATATGGCACCCTTACTCGTTTTATGAATCAAGGATGTGAAGGCGTTCACAGTTTAGGTCGACTTATCAATGAAAGAAAATCGAATCACAAACCGAACTCTTCCAGGGTTTGCTGAATGTGTTTTATTGCCATTAAGGGTGTTATATATGTCCACTCGAAGAGGAAGGGACTGGATTGGTAACAAATAAGAGGACAAATCAATTTCCAAAATTTGGCAAGAAATACTCGAAACGTGGAAACAAGACATCGCTTCCATTGATATTAATGATGAGGCCTTAGAAAAACTCGATAAGACTGCTGAGGAAACATCATTGTCAAGCACTGTCGTCAAAAAGTGCGTGTGGGAAAAAGCAGAGAAGAAAACGAATTCCATTAAGAAGAAAATTCAACACCGTACAAGAATTTTTGAGAACGGATCAAATGCGAAAGTATCGTCGCCTCCTGACAATTCCATTAAGGACTGTATGCGATGTCAGAAACAGCATGCTAAACGACTCGCATGTTTTGGAGAATGATGTAGACATGGAAGATGTTTTTCGGATGTTTGAGGATACTCAAGCTCAAGAGGAGATTTTAAACGAGATGTTTTCAGGGAACTTGTAGATACTTCTCATGCTCAAGAGAGTTTCGAACATGGTAATGCAGAAATGGAAGAAGATCCTGACGAGATTGTGGATAGTAGCGAAGTAGATGGTGAAGTGGAATTCCTCTCTGATTTCGAATATTCGGAATGAATGAATCACAACATGATGATTTGACAACCTTCTCTCCTTCAGATGTTCTGATATGATTGTAGCCTTAACACATTAATGTAAGTATGGTTCTTGTTTAATTAATATTGACGTCAATAACAGATTGTTTCAACTCAAACTCTGGTAAATTAAGTAGTCTTGGTCCACCTTCCAGACATTCCGTCACGATCAATCCACATGACATAATTAACCATTTCCCAGTTGCAATATACTCTGTTGTCATAATCATTGACAACAATGGTCAAGCTAGTATATTCTGATTTTTGAAAGGTTGGTTGTTTCTCTGTAGGAAAATGCAAATTCATGTACCAAAAGGAATCATTACCGAGCTTGGGTAAGCCAGTTTCGGACATGAAGCTGTATTTGAATACTCGTACAGGAACCTCTTCACGATTGATATTAATGCTTGTTTCAACAACCTCCTTCTTACATTGATAATTACGACACAAAATCCAATCCAAAACAGCATATGGAAATCTTCCAAGATTCAAACTTGAACCAAATTTCATACCACCTGGTTGTAAATTAGCCTTCAAAGTAGCATAGGCTTCAGCACAAAATTCATTCCATCTCCTCTCAAGATACAACATCATGTCACAGAATGACATGAATGGTGTTTGCAAATTCTGGTTCACTCTCTCCAAACATTTCCAAAACTCCTCACGTGGAACAGGGTTGGCCACAAAATTCACAATTATATCTACTCGTTTTTGATGAGCCTCAACAGTTTTCACCCAACGACGTTTACGAAACTTGCCAACAATTCCGATACGGGTGGTTTTAGTGATTCCTCGTGTAGATCCTGTATGAATTCCGATAAGGTATGTATACTTCAATTGTTTGTCAACATGCAGCAATACTTACTTTTAGAAACGTCATCCTTTAGCTTTTGCTTCTTTGATGGTTGAGTGAAGTAAGTGTTGTTGTAATGGATGAACTTCTTTGTTTCATTGTGAACCTTAACCGTCTTACTGTATTGGATGACCATGTTGCGTGATGTATCTTAGTTGTTGTAGGGATGAATGATGATGATGATGTTTACAAGTACAACTACGAGTTTCGTTTCATATTTAAATTCTGTAAGTACTGGCTTTCAGCAATGGTAGGCAACACAGAGCACGCTCCAGCTACGGAAGAGTGGATTGTTCGCTTTTGATGCTGCTCCTAAGCTTGACATATTAACGCTAGTCATTGTGATATATTATCGTGACACGAATGCGTCTAAGTATGTAACTCAACACAGTGTGGTAGTGTCAATCATGTTCACCAACCAATGATGTTTCCTTATTTCCTTTCACACCTCATTCACGACATTCGTGAACATCTCCTTCTTACTTCACACCAGTTGCTTAGAGACATCTCCAAATCCACCCTTGGCACACTTTGCCTGGAGCAAGCAGGTCCCAGTAGTGAACTTGTTAAGACAACTTGTCTGGTGGTTCAATCGACCTTGCATCACGGTAAGCTCTTGTTAAAACACGAAACTGTTCTTAGGTCATGACAACAGACAACAACGTGATGAGACTCGTCGACAGCAGCAGCAACGTGAGCGTTGTTGGTGAGCGTTTGTGGAACGTCTTTGAACATTTGATTTTTCAGTTCACGGAAGTTTTAACGAGATGCTGCGAAAATGTTGCATACCAAAATAGATGGTCGAATAACTTTAAAAGCAGTTCTATTATAATTCAATATCTATATTCAATGATTTTATCGTTCAACGGATTGTTGTCTTTGGAGATCGACCACCTTTTCCCATTTCATAAATTCCTCAGTGGCTTGAAGTCTACTAAAAGTGTCATTCAAATTGTTCAAAATGTCATCATATAGAATATTGAAAAGTGTTTCAATTTCTTTCGCGTCTAACAGAAATTCGTGACTATCTCTTACTTGGGAATTTTTCATACGCTCGTGCCATTCATGGAAGGCCTTTTTGGTTGTTGATGAAATATTGACTTCATATTTCGAATAGGGTTTCAAAAAATTTTCTTCAATTTGAGAAAGTTGGGAAAGTGTTAATTTTTGAGTTCTGACCAATTCTTGAACTTGTTCAAAGAGTAAAATATTCTCTAAGGAAAATTCTTTTTCAGAATAGGTTTTCAACATTTCAAAAAAATTCGAGTCTTTCAACAAATACTCCAGAGAATTGGTGTGTTGATGGCTATTGATCATGGTTGAAGGTGTTGTAGATTCTTTGGAGGTAGTTGTAGATTTCGTGTCGTCAAATTTCGTAAATTGTGTACTCTTTCGATACTTCAACATTTTCACCCACTCAATGAAGAGAGTATTTCCTCCCATGATCATGTATGCTGCAAGAGAAATCAACATCCGGAATAAACCGCTCAATACAGAGATTCGCGTTGGGGTAAGGAAAGGAATGAGTAAAATCAGAATGGTAATCAAACAAATCAAATCAATTCGAATGTAAAAGGGATCATCGAAAAAGAGGAAATAAATTAAACCTTTTTTCTTAATGTCTCTTCTGTGAAATATAAAGTCAACAGTACTGTATATAATGGCTGATAAAATTGCCAATGTAATAATCGATCCAGTGATCACATTTCGAGAGATGCTCAATGAATTTGTCAAGTAAATTCTGGAAAACATTGGAATAAACACAAGCATGATTAAAAAGGTAAATAAGCATGCCAAAAGAGTGATGAAAATTCCAAACTTCTTTGAAGCCAATCTCTTGTACAATCCAATATTGTTTCGTTTTGAAATAATTTCATATAAATTTCTCAAATAGAGAACTCTCAAAATTGTGATAATGTAAATCACTGTTGCCATTGTCGCTGTGATAATGGAAATCATGGAATATAAAACTGGACAGGTACTGTAAATAAATTCACCACTGCTCAATATTCGAATCATTACCAGTAATGGGCCACACCAAGGAAGCAATAATCGGATTTTCATTGAATTCTTTTGACACATACAAAAGAGGAAAATGTAATATATCAAGCAACATAAAATGGAGGCAAATTGAAAGTATTCACTTGCTAACAATGGTTCAAACAAGCAAATGCTTGTGTGACATGAATATTGAGAGCTGTTCATCATTTCATTTTGCATGATATAATCCAATCGTTGTGAGAGGGTGATATTTTCGTTAATGGTAGGCAAAAACAGTTCATGTGAAAATGTTGAATTGAGAAAAATGTCCTCAAGAACAGTGTTAGTGGCATTCTCGAAGAAGGGTTGATATTCTATCACCAGTGCCATTGTCTTTCTAAATTTTGACAAAATTTGATTGGTAAAACTCACAAACAATTCAGAGTGTGCAACTTGAAAAAAGTTTTGAGCTCTCCTCAACCAACAATAGTCATGTTTTTCATAACAGGACGAAATACCTGAAGTTGAAACATTCATTCTGCAATATTTCATCTCGTACAAACAAGAAATCATGTCATCTTTCAAATTCTGAATCAAACTGGCCGAGAAAGAGTCGTGGTTAACCTGGTAAGATGACGAATCGTTCATCCAAACATATTGAATTTCATAGGGTGAAAGGATGACAACATTAAAATCACTCAACTCCAAATATCGAGATTTTGAATTCTCTCGAATTTGTCGAATCAATTTTGGAACATCCTTATCAGTCGTGATTAAAAACTCAATTTGATTGGAATCAACAAAAGGATTTCCCAAAATACAATCACACAACATGTTGCTCACTTCAACCAATTTCAATGGTTTGATCTGATGCATGGATAGAGCCATTTTCACACTAGATAGAAATGAATCATGCCGAGTCGCGTCATCAGACTCCAAATCAAAGGAGAACATGTGCACTGTGTGGTTGTTGAGCGCTTGTAGAGAGAATGTGGTTTCCTGTTGTTGATACCGTGTGGTGTTAAGCTGCCGTCTCAATGAAAGTACCACAATGGATGAGTTGGAGCTTGTAATGATGGCTGTAGTCCATGATGGGTTCGTTGCTATCTCTTGTTTTTGTTGTTGCGAGATGACACGTTCCATGAAATTGTCAATCGTGGTTGAGATAATAGGAAGTTTTGCGTCTGCAGAAAATTGGTTGTGCGAGCTGTTGGTCAGTAAGGTGTTGAGAAGCAGCGCCAAGAGCAGTGGCAGCATGCAAACCAGCAACTTGTGAATTGCGCCTCTAAACATTTTTTGCTGTTTGTCTTTGCATCTTGTTAGTGTGAAAAGAGTGCAAAAGTTGAATTGGGTATGAACGATTTTGCCGGGGTGTGATTGGTGAGTGACCTCCGTGCACGGGAGTTGTGCCAATAAATGGACAACCGGAAGTTGTTGTGAACATATCAGTCAAACCCGAAAACGAGCGTTGTGCAATTTCAATGTTGTTGGTTGCAATTCCAGTACAGGAAGGGTAATGGCCTTTAATCTATTTGAATGATAAGACGGACCTGTTTGTTGGTCTTTGTAATTTTGATTCACACGTAGAGCATACTGGTTTGAATTTGCTGAAAACTGAAACAGTATGATGAAACTACAAGACGTAAGGGAAACTACTACTTACTGGATAAACAAACGGGACAAACATAGCCGTCATCAATGGGTTTTCTAGTTTCAAAACAGCTTGCTCTGAAGTCAACAGTGTTCTGTACAGGTAATTGAATGTAGGATCGAAGATTCTTCTCAATCATGAATATTGTTGTGAGATATTGAATCAAACCTTCTTGTCTTTGAGGTTTCAAATACATTCCACCTGTTAAAAAGCAAGCTTGTTGCAAAAATGTGGAATCTTGGGTTGACAATACACATGCATCTAATGTAATTCCCTGAGTACCAATTAAAAAACAATATGAACCAAGACAATTCTCTTCAAAATAGCTATCCACTTACCATCTTTTCGGCAGAAAATATCGAGTTCATGACTGAAATATACTGTGAAGAAATGTCAGGTGAGACTTGGAATGTTAACACTCTCGAGTTGAGTGTGGTTCCTTCTGGTTTCTCCTTCTCCAATCTGTTAATAAAGCATAAAGCCATCGTGAGGGCTCCACACAAAGAGAAACCATGTGTGCGGGATACTGTATGATGGAAACCTGATGCATCTTCGGTGGTGGTTTCTTCTTGATCCACCATGGCTTGATCGTCATCGGAACTGGTATGGTCCTCATTCATTTGAAAAAGACCATTCAAGATTGAATTAGAAACACTCTCAAAAGTGATTTCATTCAAGAAGAAATCTTTCACATCTTCTCCCGAGTTGGCTTGATTCAAGACACTTCCGCTTTCTTTGGAATAAATTTTGTTGTAATTATGAACTTCTTTTTTAGCAAAGGTGGTTCGACTCGGATAGAGGAAATGTGATTTACTATGATCGGAACTAGCGATCACTGCAATCTTTTTATTCCTCTGAATGGTCAGATACATGTTAATAAAAACCAACAAGTGATTCACAAATTGAGAAAATGAAATTAAATTCTTGGATGCTGCTACTCCGTTGGTTAAGTCTAATTTTCTCTTTCCCCACGTGTACGGATTCACATCCAATAAAATTACAAGTAAATCCAAATCATCGTTCGTGGTTATGGATCCCGATGATAACGAGGACGATCCATCATACACCGAGTTGTTGAGTGAAGTCGATGAAGAAGCTTTTTGCATTTTTTTTCTTTTTCAAAGAAGTGTTTTAATTTTCTGAATTATTGTTCATAACAACATTGTTATTCTAGACCTCACTTCACACATTGTTTATTTGTAATAAACACTCTATTTGTAAGAATTCAAAGCCTTTTTTGATTTGAACTAAAAAAATGTTTCAACAAGCTCGGGTGGTTTCAGGCTCCAGTCATGATCAAGCCTCATACAAGCCCCGTCCTCATGATGCATCAACACCACCATCACTCGTGTTCTATTTGAATGATATCTTGTATCACATCTTTTCATATTCTTTATTACCAATTGTTCAATTCCGATACTCGTTGGTTTGCAAACATTGGTATGAATTTTCGAATAGTTCTCTCTTTTACAAGAATTATCAAAAGGATTTTGGAGGGCTTGGAGGATCATTAGTGAATCCCAAACACTCAGACATCAAGAAATATTTATTCGATTGGGTGGAATTTGTGGAACATTTGTATCCACAAGAGTACAACACCATGCAACTCATGCGACCATCCATGTCGATTGAAGACTTCTCAAAATTGTCAAACTCTGAAATTGAACTCAAATTTACAAAACCTTTTCAAGAAAAATTCTTTCAAGATTATTGGAGGACCATCAAACGCTCCAAGTTAATTACGATGGATAATGGATCTGGAAAGAGAGTGAGTTTTTTTACATTCACTCATGGCAGTGATGTCATTCACTTTGCATTTGTGGATAGCAACGGTGATTTGTTAAATATTGATTCAAAATTTGCAAATGCCAAACAACACAAACAATGTTATTTGTATTATGAACATTATACGGATAGTTTGGGTATTTCAGAGACAGATATTTCCATAGAAGGGTCTGACTGGTTTTGTAACCAATTCAAACCGTATGTGAATGTATTGGGAAGAGGATTGTTCCTCTCCATGATGGAATTTGTTTGCTTGTTTGGTGTGAAACCATTCAAAACTACAAAAAAATCAAGCAATTCGCCCCATCAACCTTGTTACATGTATGAAATGAGGACAAATATTAGTTTGAGTGCTCTCAAAGACAAACCTCACCCCATGCGAAAACAAGCTCATCACATTCATCACAAGCTCCTTTCCAACTCAAATTCTCTCCTTCAAAAAGCTTTGGTTAAAAAAGATTCCCATTGGTGGTATCGCCTGTTAAACGCTGGCTATACCATTCCTGTGACAAGCCTGGAAACTCTCGCTTTTGACCATCATTTCGACAGTGAACATGTACAATTTTTCTATGCTTATTGTGACAAACATGATTTGAAACAAGTAGCAATGCAAGTGACACGTGCTCGTGTTGTCTCACTTCTGTCGAAAGGAAAATCTTTTATTGAACAATTGTGTAGTGGTTTCGACCGTTTTGGACTGTCAGATTATTTTCCTCGAGAAGTATGTTCCACTGTATTGTGTGATCAAGCAACTGGAATTCCAAATTATGATTTGATTGATTGTTTGAAAATGAACATTCGAAATGATTTTTATTGTCCCTTTGATTTGAGGAATGTTCATGAGAAACAAGAGATAACTGTTAAGGCAGACGCTACACGAATATTGTTTCTCTTCGAATCTGAAAAATCTCAACAAGAATTTTCTCAAGTACTCCCACAGAGTAATCCTCTCCTTTCCAAGGCACAAGTTGAATATCGGTATTTGAGTCCACAACTTCTTCAAAACAAAGACATGATATGGAAACAATCAAAATCGAATGGTGTGACAACTGATATTGCTTGTTATTGCGTGAATACCATTACCAAATACATTCGAGCAATGGAAACTCATGTTCGAGTGTTGAAATTATTGAAAAATTCTAAGGAAGGAGGGTTACTATTGCTCTTTATTTTCAAACAATGCCAAATGAATCCTACGAAATTTAATGACCTTTTTGGAGGTTTAGGTGAAGATGTGAAAATGTTGTGGTTACCAGACGAGACTTTCATGTTAGAGCGATTCAACTCGGCCATCTTTCAATGATACGCCATTCTCTTGTTGTTGAGCTCATGGATCATGACATATTGTTTTAAGCATGACGTTTTATGAGAAGTGTTTTTCGAATGACATCTAAAATTGGTGGGTGGGGAATTTTAAAAAAAATGAAATCACAACAAAGAATTCGTTTTGTCAAAGTTTTTCCCAATGCCTATACGGAAGCAGAAAAAGATCAAAAACTGGTCCACTTGAAGTCTACAAATCAGCCATCAGGTACCGCGGTAACTGAAAAAGAAACAAAGGATCATGTGCATTCAGGAGTTTCTGGTAATAGTCAAACATCCAAAGCCGGAACGTTGAGACGAAGAAGAAGATCAAAGCCTTTGTTTCATGATGAATCCAATCAACAACAGCTTCAAGAGAGCACAACTTTACTTCCGAATATTCCTCCAAACAAGTCATTCATTTCCAACAAACCAGTTCGGAATTACAAGACTTCTTCTTCCCATCATAACAAGAAGAGAAATGTACCCAAAACCAATCACGAACAAGATCATACAGACGCTAACGACCATCCAACAACCGATCCTACAATTTCTAATTTGAAAAACACGAATACAACAACTCATGATTTGTTGAATCATCACTTGAAAAATTCTGAAACAAGCAACAACGCCTTTATTTAAATCAACAATTTGAACAAAACAAACAAATCGAACAAAGTGCTGATCTTGCAAGCAAACACTCAAAGAGTGAAAGCCAGGGGAAAGGACCCAACGCACACAAGGTGGGGAAGACCCAACACACAAGGTGCTCAAAAACTAATTCCATGAGTAGTAAGGAATCGAAGAAGAATATTTCTGGCTCCATTGATATCTCTGTCAAAAATTGAGCCACATGATGGACAACGAAACACTTCAGATGATCCAACCGTATAAACATGTCCACAACATGAGCAAGTTTTGGATGTGTACGCTTCGTTGACAATATAAATGTGTGTCCACGGATGCTCTCTAGCTTTGTGAAGCAATCTTTGCTTGAATCTGTAATGTGACCAAGTCAACATTTTTCTTGCTGTCTTGCTATTAATTCTCCTATGGAGTTTCTTTACCATTTTCTGAGTCTCAAACGAAGGAAGTAAGATCACTTGGTAGTTTCGACACAACCACAAACACAGTTTCTTGTGTAAATCATCCACAATATTTCTAATCTTTTGTTGAATTCTTCTTCCTGCTCTCTTGTACTTGTATCTTTTGCAATGTCTGACTTCTGGTTGAGACCACTTCGATTGTAACTTGTCATACGCGCAACACAATCTACCAATTCTTTCGGCACCTCCTGAGCCCCATTTGGTTGAATAACCGTTCAAATCAAAGGTGGTCTGAAATGTTCTAACTCCTGGATCCAATGCTACAACTTGTCCTGAATGTTGAGGGGCTTGGTTCTCACCCCTAATATCCAGTACTTGTGGAATACATAAATAATAATGGTTCAGCTTGTTCTTAATAATGATGGAATCATACTGAAGCTCCTCAGGCAAAGGTTCGGCACTCTTGATATTCCTTATAAAAGAATACAGTCCACTCTTTTTCTTCCAGTGCTTGCAATGTAGAACAAAATGATCTTTTCTGTCTTTCTTTCGCCTGAAACGGATCATGAACTTGTCAATCATTCCAGCCTTCTTCTTTTCAAAATTAGTGTTGAACGCAGTCAACAATTCAATAGCGGCAGCGTCTCTTACGTCATAAGGAGTATTCACAACCCACTGATTTTCTGTCTGATAATTATCGTTATTCACCACAAACGTTCTGAAATTCTTCTTATTTTTCTTGACATCTTTGAAATTGTGTGTAAATTCTAAGCACTTGTTGTAGATCCAACGAGCAGTTCCCATCCACTGATTCAATGTTGTCCTTTCTTGTTCATTGGGGTAGAGTCGGATTTTCAATGATTTGTCTGCTTGCAATTTTTGGGGCGTCTTTTGATTCTTTTTTGCTTTCTTGAGCTGAGGTGGCTTTTTAGAGTTATCAAAAGCCACATTCTCTGTTATAGAGTGATGGACATTGAGTGGAACATCAAACACTGGCTTGGATTCAATCACAGTGAATTGAGAAAAGTTGAACCATCCGTCTGTGCATCCCTTGTTGTTGTACTGATTAAACTCATGAAAGGAATCTCTTGAACATGCCCAAAGTTTATCCGATACTTGTTGTGAGTACTCATTCCAGAATGGAATGATGCCGTGTGCAAGAGATGGATTAGTAGGAGGATGAGTAGGTTCATCCTCTCTACTTCTCTTCATTCGTTGAGATTAAGGTTGTTGTTGAGTTTTTTTTTTGATAACCTCAACAAGAGTTGAAACTCTATCAGTATTGAAGGACTCATTGAATTGAAACTCTATCAATTTGAATAACTTGATTCATTCTTTTCGTCCGAACTGATCATGGAAAAGTGAACGCCTTGACAATTCCTTATCCACCTCCAAAACAACACTTTTGATTCAAAGAATGAATGAATGGTTCGTCAGGAACTGACTGTTGATGATTATATTTACTTGTTGAATTTGTAATAAATTGTGGCTTTTGCTCTTTTATTTTAGTGCTGAGCAACTTAAAACCGTTAATAAAAACAAAACCTCCAAAACAAACAAGGTTATTAATAAACCTTGCGTCCTCAGGACTGTGTTTTAGTGATGGTTTTTGAAAGAAATTGCTGTAATTGTTCATTTGGCTTCAACGGCTCATCAAACGTTCCTTCACTCACTCGTGAGCAATTGGATAAGCATGCTGAAAAACAAAAAGTTTATGCCTTTTTTGCGTGTAAGCCTTGTTCCTCATGGTTCTGGAAGACTGTGTTTGATTATAAGAAAGTTTGCAGATGCAATGATTGTCATAAGAAATTGGAAGCCATTCCCAATGAAGAAGCGATTGGAAAAGGATATTACAAGTGTGAGCGTTGTCAGCACGTTTGGTCATCCATAAATGTCCGTTCAGATGTTGGACAACATTGTCTGGAGTGTGAGGAACGTGGCGATTCAGAAAAGAGGCTTTATTATCCATTTAGAATTGGTCCCTCAGAGAAACGAGGTCCACGTAGGAGTCATCATGGCCATTCATGTGAAGCATGTTATTTCCTTAGTTTTGAAAAACGAAAACAGTGCAAATTTAGAGTAACGAGCTTAGTTCCACGAGTTTGGAGCAAGAGTCACGAAAGTACTGGAACTACAATCTCTTCTGTATCTTCCATTGCCTCTCATTTCTCTGGGGTTGGTGTGGATTTGCCAAGGCGTTTGTAATAATAATGGCTTAAATCTTTTCGACATCTCACATGAGATCAACAAATAAATTAATGTTCGTATCCAAAGTTAAGAAGATTCAAGCAGTTTAATTAAATTTACATGGTTAGGAAATATAGCATGAGTGAGAGAATTAAAAACAAGACTGGCAACAAAATGAACAACATATTGTTGGACTGATTGGCAGGTTGAGCAGGCTTAGCAGTGGTGACAGTATCATTTCTCGTAGGAGGGTTTTGTTCTGTCGTCGTTGATGTGCTTGCCTTAGCATTATCTTCGGCATGAGCAACACTTGTTTGGTCCACTTTAGTTGGCTCTTTGCTTGATTCTTCTGGTTTTTCAGTAGAACTTTCTTGAGGTGGAACTATTGCTGCTGTAGACGATGGAGTGGTTGAGTTTGCTGCAGCGAGTGCCTTTTTGGCTTGTTCCTCTTCGTAAATGTGTCGCCATGTCTCGATATTATTCAACACCGATTCGTGTAAGAAGGTCAATTCTTTGAAGGCTGCACAAAGCAATTTGAACAAGGGCGCAACAACAAATTTTCCAAAATCCATCTGTGACTTTGGGAAATCCAAAGTATTACGATCCATGAGAGGGCTAATTGGAAGTCCTTTCTGTCTCTCTAAATCGCCCTGTGAGAAGAATTCATTAATACATGCATTGGCCCATTTCTTTGCAATAGGGAACGGCCTGCTCAAATTGCTAATGTCTGAACATTTCATTAACACTCGCATTAATAGAATTCTATCTTCGGCATTTTCGTTAGATAATCTTCCAGTTCCTATTCGAGATTCGAAAATTGAAATTATAGAAAAGTGATTGCTCATATCGGTAGCTAAAATGGTCTGGACGAGACATTTTCTGCACTCTCGAAATTGTTCTTCACTAAGACCATCTAAAAAATTGCATTCATCCTTTTGTAAAATTTTAAATGCATTGAACGCATGGTAATTTTCAAGAACACTCTTGTCATTATATCGATAGGCCAATTCATCCTCTAAATGTGTGTGTGTGAATAAATCCATGTATGTCAATAACACATATGTTAAGAATGGTTATTATTCGAATACACCCTATATGCACGTACCTGTTGCGATTAAAAAGTTATTGTTCACTCCTGGGTGATCAATGTCGTGTGTGAGCCCAGAAACGAGTAACACAAGTTTTTCAATGTTGGAAAAGAATGCATCAATCTTCTCATTATTGATCAGTACGTAAAGGTATTGTGTAACATCACAACAATGCCTAAAATTGTGATAAAAATTTGCTCTATACTTCTTTCTCAATTCGCTTAAGAAAGCCCACAATTTGTATGGCTTAATATTGAACGTTTCGAACATGTTCAATGATTTGAAGAAGTACATGACGTGTTTTTTCAACTCCTCATAGTCGGAGTATTTGAATGCGTCATAGTTCAGAGATTTTAAATCTACATCGGGCTTATAGGTGTCCAAATTGAATGGCAATTCTGCTTCAGGCTTCGTTAGAATTGATGTATTGGTCTGTGCATTGGGAAGAGTGAGCGTAGAGGAGTAATTGTTGGTGGTTGAGTCCGACGAGCTCCCAGAATCCAAACTATTGCTTCTTTCATTGATACTGTGCCTTCTGGCATTATATTCCTCGGCATCTTTGGTATATTGATTGACTAGCCAATGACGGGTACTTTCATCCATTTCAGTTGTCTTGAGAGAATCTAAAAAGGCTGGCCTATATAGATTTGAAGAACTAAGAGATTTCATCACAGAAATGAGAGCAAGTTTTGTTTGCTCTCGATCTAAACTTCCGCTCATAATGTCTCCTACTGTGCTGACAATTAACTGAATTGGTGTTTCTATTGATTCGCCAACCTTCTTTTTGAACGCCATTAATTCTTCTTCATTCTTCTTTTCTTGCATGTGAAGTTGATTTCTTAATCTTTGCTCCTCTACAATCTTGTTAATATAAAATCTTTCCCTTATTCTTCGATCTCTATATGCTAACACAGTTTGTATTCGTGCTCTGAGAATTTCTTCCTTGATTGGTTTTGGAAGAAAATCTTCTGCTCCATATTGGAATGATTTTGAAACAGTTTCGGGATCCTCGCTACCGCTCATCATTATGCAAGGAATTTCTCTGTTGATGGCCTGTTTCAAGACACGAATGAAGCCAAAACCGTCCATTTCTGGCATCATTACATCTACAAGAAGACAATGAAACGGATCATCATCATCACGCAGCAACAAGCTCAAAGCTTCCTTTCCTCCTGCTGCCGTTGTACATTTGTATCCCAAATTTGAAAGTAATTTTGAAAGCGTTTTTCTTGTAACTAAATCATCATCAATCACCAAAATATTCGGAACAATATTTGAATCGGTTAGTAACTGTGGGATGGAAGAAGAAGTAACACTGTCTCGTCTCTCCGAGGATGAGCCAAGACTCAACTTTCTCTCTTCTCCCAATCGCGTACCAGAAGCAAGCTGTTGGGTTTGTGTCATCATTTTTTGTTTTGAGAGTAGTAGTCGTGTAGAACAAAAGGACTGCTTTGGCGTTCATGGAGATTATCTCCATGTGTGTTGGTGATGCGTGTGTGTGGGTTGTATTCGTGCGGATGGTGCATAGCATCATTGAAAAACAATCATACAACATTTATTTGGTATTCATGAATGCTTTATAAGGAGAACAGGGTTGCTTATCGTACAATGCGTGAATGGGATGGATTCAATCGCGATCTAGAAATATAGATAATAATGGCGTCAGTTGTCGTAAATGACGATCAATCATAGGAATCAAAGGAAGCGTTGGTTCTAAGGTAGGTCCACTGTTAGAATCATTATTGATTTGATTTTCCTTCCTCCAATTCCTTAATTCGTTGTTTAAGCTTTTCATTCTCCTGTTTTAATTGTTCAATATCCTCTGTGGATGGTCCTCCAAGATAATGTTTCACATATCTGGATTCATTTACCGATTTAGAAATATATTTTGAAAAAATCATCGTTTTGTTATATAAATAAATTGATTCACCATTCATCACACACACGATCATCATGAAAACGCTACATACTCGAGTGGATTTTGTGGTCTCTCTGGTTCTTCATACAATGCCACAAGAGCCTTGGTAAAAGAATCCACAACTCCATTCTTCTCTAAATATTTTCGGAATTCTTCCTTTCTTGCATTAATGGACTGTTTGGAGCATGATATCAACATTCCGAAACCATTTTGTCATGTTTATGAGTGGTTCACCATCATCATTCATGAATCACATTGTTCCATTGTACTGCAACGGTTTCAAAAACAAAAATCCATACCTGATACGACATTTTGTTGCAGTATTTTTTTTGGATTTGAGTTTTGTTGGCGCCATTATAAACTACAATCTCAATGGGATTCTGAAACAAGTATGCCTGGCCTCAATCTCGAAGAAGAATTGATTGTTTTTATTTTAATCATTTCTTGATGGATACTCAGGGCACCAACTTCCAAGAAAATTATTTCCTGTCACGCTATCAGCAAGTAAGAATGAATGTGTTTCACATTCGTATTCATTGAAGGGACAAAGACATCGATGTGTTTCATCATTCTCTCGCAAAGGTTCATTAACTTCATTATACATATCTTTGGAAGATTGTCTGCGAAGCCAGAAAGCTCTGTCATAACTCTTCAATAAATTTTCGTGATCTTTTCCTTCATCAGTGTTCACCCATGCGTGGTGTTTGGCGTTGACAGTCAACCAAAATTGATCCAATTCTTGGTGAGTTTTGAAGGTAATTTCGTCAAAATTGAAAGAGGACTTGATTGGTTTGGGGATGGTATAGGTCATGGAACAAATTCCATACTTTTTCAACTTGAAAAAATAATCCTTGACAAGAGGTGATATTTCCGTAGAATTTTTCAAATCAATTCCAATAGCTTTCAGCAATGTTTGTGTAAAATGTTGGCAATTGGCCTGTGAATACCACAAGTCAGTAAAGTTCAAGTAATCCACAAGTAGTAAAGTGAAAAATGTTTTTTCAAAAAAATTGTACACATAGTTGCAAGATGAAACCAAGTAACAATACGAATATTCATAAACAACCTCCTATTGGCCAATATTTTCAACTTACAGTTTTAACATCATAATATTGAGTTGCATTCCAAGTACAACACACTCGAGTTATTTTGTTAATCACTTCATTGATTTCAGTTTCTCCAAAGGCTTTTAAATGGTAAACAAAAACAGCCTTACTCGAGGAAATGGGCCTGACACAAGCAATAGAATTATCGTTAAACTCGATATACCAGTTTCCAACAATGAGAGCCGTGTGAAACAAACCAAATCCACCTGTAATGAACCAAAATATATGGCAGTTAAAAATATTAGGAGATGGCCACCATTTTAAAAACGTACCTTTTTCATCAGAGTTTGCAATATCCAACACGTGACCAACACGACGAATAAAGCGATGCATTTGAGTTTCATTCAATGTAGTGATCACCAATTTCACAGGAAGAGCTGCTTTCTTTTTTGACGAGCCTCTGACGACCATTTCGCTTTGCTTAATGTACGGATGAAAATATCGATATTTGAATCTATCTGGAAGACACAAGTTTTGAGCAGTGAGCAACAGCTGGGTTTGTGACTGTTTCAACGATTTTTCTAATTTTTTACAACAATTCTTGACGGCGTTCGTTTCAGATTCTGTCAAGAGTTCAGGTGAAAATAGTGCTACTGGATGATACATTTGTCTAGACTTCAGCTTGGAATTGTTAGTGGTAGGAGAAACAGAGATTGCGACCGGAGTACTGGATCGACTTGGCTGTTTAGAATAGGGTTGGTGTGACGAAAAAAAAGCTGTGGAAGAGGGAGTGGCAGTTTCTGTGTCAAAGGAAGCTGCAAGGGTAGGATCAATATGCATTGTTGAATTGCAGGAGAAAGAGGAGCTTGAAAGGAAGGATTGGGAGGTTGAAGTTGTTGAGAGAGAAGGTGATTGATCTGTCTGTTGACTCAGGTCAGTGTCATCTACTAAATCTTTCACCAATGACACATCATCGCTGAAGTCCATGACTTTGTAATTTTCTGGAATGTTTTTTTCAAAAATTTTGTCCATCAATCTAAGAAAATCCTTTTCTAATTCGATTTTCTTTTCAGGTGATATGACTCTGCACCACAAGTATGACATGCAGTAAATTTCCCATAGTGAACATGTTTTGTGAGCGTGGGTGAATATATAATAAAATGCAGCTTACCTTGATGATATCTGTTCTTGTTTTGTTTTTCGCAGTAAACTGAATATTTTCTTGGCTGCATTGGTGTCCTGGGTGACTTGTGCAATGGGTTGGCATGATGAAAGGTGAAAGAGAGCTTCTCCAACGTTCTTGTATCTGGACAAGAATATCGACAAGCTTTCATTCTTTTCATTGAACTCTGTGTAACGATTATAATAAAAACGAATAAGCAGTGTATGTGCAAAATCATCACATATGAGAATAAATTCCGATTCCGAGCACTTACTCTGAACAATTGATTTTTCAATGCCCTTCCCAATTAATAATTGTTGAAGATCGGAAAGACTCCAATCATACATGGGCTGTGCCAAAATACTACCCATGTCATCGTCAATATCTTCCATTAATGTGGGTTTGGCAGCCTCTGATGAATCAGAAATTGAATTTCCCATTTTACAAAAGAATATTCATGACTTTGAGCAACAACTATGAATCCGATATGATGATAGTTCAGAATGAGTGGTAGCGGTAGTGAACTGGTGCAATATCGGAATTTGGTTCGTCGTGAGCCAGGTTGGTAGCAGGCCTGATGATGCAGTAATTTTTTTTAGAAAGAAGAAACAAGCTCGGAGTTGGTTTTCCTTGTTCGAATAGAACTGGAGAGTTTAAAATTGTAACCTTGTAAAAAATCGCCACTCTCAATTTCAGATTGGTGTGCATGATGGTCTTTAGTGTTCTCATTTGACAACACACTGATGTCCTCAGACAAAACCTCCCTCCAAAAATAATTGTCAAAATTACAACTGCTCTAGGTCCATTCGATCAATTCAAAATAATTATTAAACAACCAGCAACATGTCCGAACAATTATTAATGAATGCCATAGAGAATGGCGATTTACAGCAAGTCTCTACATTAATAGTTGAAACCAACGCGAACGTCAATTACATTGATTTTCAAAATAAGGGCTACACGCCCTGCCATTTAGCAGCAGAGAAGGGTCTTATGAGTGTCTTGGAATTATTATTGACATACAATGGTGATCCGAATATTCCGAGTGATGATCAAGTGGGTTCTCAAACGCCTCTTCATCTTGCAACCTCTAAGGGATATAAGAAAATAGTAGAAACTCTTTTAAATTATTATGCAGATCCAAACATGCAAGACGCGAACGGCTACACTCCTTTACATGTTGCATGTCGGAAGGGATTTCTTGAAATTTCAAAACTGTTATTGGCAAAAGGAGGTGATCCCGATATTAAGGATCAACAAGGTAAAACAGCCTATTATTGGGCTCAAGAATACAAACACGATGAAATTCTTCCGTTTTTAGTTCTCTTTTCAGCCATGAAGGAATCTCCTTCGTTGCCTATTGAACCAACCGCAGAAGTGAAAGTGAGAGAAAAACTTGCTCTGTATGACTATACAAAACATCATGAACAAAACAAAATTACGATTCATGTCATTAAAAAACCAGATTCCGCAGGAAAGAAGAAGAAGACAACCACAAAGAAAAAGAAGAGTAGTAAATAGCTTTTTAAAGAGCTCGATTATGAAGAAAACAAAAAAATGGACAAAATCACACAACCTGTTCACTCAGTGACAAATTTCGTTCGGGAAAATCCTGGACTGACTGCTTTTGGAGTTTTCTGTGTATTATATTTCGGAGGAAGTTTATATTATAGAAGGGATAAACCTCTTCTCAAGGCTGAGGATGATAATTAATTATTTTTAATTATAGTAATAGTAGTGATTATTATCATCCACCATGACATTTCTCAATTTACCATCACCCGACTTTTCTCCGAATATTATTATTATTCTAATTTTCCAAATTCTCTCTCCGATCATTTCATCATTGGTATACCACACCAATAAAAATTATAATATTTAAATAACATAATTTATAAACCACACAAAGGTTCTAAAATTCAATCCACACGTTCTTGCTTCAACTCCGTTTCACTGCTGACAACCTACCAACCATGATTGAAACAAAAAAAATGTCCTCACTCACAAATAAACTCACACAGTGGGTGAAAAAAGTAGTCAATTCCGCTACGGTTGGCAATGCAGCACCAACCACTAGAAAATTTGTAGGAAAGGATGTCAAGGGAAATAGTTATTATTCCGAAATTATGGGAGGAAGAGAAAGAAGAACTGTTGAGTACAGTGCCGATTATGATAAATCCATTTTACATCTTCCTCAGGATTTACCTTTGGAATGGGTGTCATGGCTCAAGTATATGAGGGATCATCCACCCACAGAGAAGGAATCAAAAATTTTGGATGAATACCGGGAACGGCTAAAAGCAAATGGTGAAAAGTGGGATCAAGAACAACAACGACAAGCTTTGCAAAGTCAAGCCAATGAGGGCATGAAACGAACAGGATTAGGAGGCTCGCGATATGGTAGTACGAATGATGACACATATTCTGGAAGTGATAAGCCACCTTCATTTCAATTTATTGCAGATCGATTGAGACAAGAAGGGAGCATGTCATCCGATGCGGAATCCTTGGCTAACGAAGTTGAAAATTCGGAACGATCACAAAACATTAACATTTCACGAGTGTTGACTTCAAGTGGAGAATTAAAATCGACCCATTCATCTCAAGACCTTGAACAATTACAGAATAGTGAAAGATTTAACAAGTTCGAGCGCACAGACAACACACCAAAAGATCCATACGCACATTTAATTCCTGACGCAAGATTGAAAAGATCTCGTACCGATGCTGATATGCAGGCTATTATTGATAGAGAAAATAAGGAATATGATATACCCAAGGATTTATCAAATCCATCGAACTTGTCACAAGAAGATATTAGAAATATCACACGAATGTACTCTCGAAGTAGGACAAGCCCTTTTCTCGGCAAAAAGCCTCAAATTAGAGCAAACTCGAATTACAAAGTTGACGAATAACTTTTTCATGATTTTACAAACATGATTTCTGAATGTTCGGAAAATGTATATATGCAGTCGTAATGATGAATTTAAGCCAACTGAACAGGGAATTTTTCAATGCTTGTGCTTTTATTTAGTTAATGTAAATAATTGACTATTTCAACAAACCAGATGTAAAATGTTTCAGAATCCCTTAATGTTGTGTCGCAATTAGCATGTCACTAATAGTATGCTGGCTCTCCAAGTAAACCTTCTCGAGTAATTTCTTGTGGAATGCTGATTGTGTTGGATTAAGGTAGAATACAATATGCATGGGTAACGTGCAAATGTGAGGTTGTGTCGAAAATAAGGAAGAATATCTAATAATGTGATTATAACTGATACCATTCGCATTACCCAGTATATATAAAAGATGATTTTTTTTAAAGTGAAATGCTCCATATTCTCTTCCCAAAAACGCTTCATCGTATGGAAATTCCTTTGAGTCATGATGATCCATGACAAGAGGACTCTTCACTCGCCGATCATCACCTTCAACCTTAAACGGTGGCCCACCAAAGAAGTGATATGTGTTGGACATGGATGTCAATAAGGAACAATTGGTGCCTAACTTGGCATACACTCCTGCATGAAAGCTCCAAGAGGTTGGGATTTGTTGAAATGGTGTTATATTGGTCATAATCAGTTGCCCGGAGGAATATGATCCAGCAACACACATACTCCCATCAACCAGTAATATGATGAAATGGAAATTGCCACAATGCAACGACTTGACAGGTTTAGGGCAAACATGAGCTCTATTGACCCAATTATGGTAACCTGTCCATACCAACAAGTAAGAATTTTTGATGCATTTCAACAGCCACACCAATATTTTCAATGAAATATTAACCAGAGCAATATTAACAAGTTGGTCAAATTATTTTAAACAATCCATATGGCTCCACCACCATCCATACACATGACTACATACCTGTTGAATTGTCAATCCAGTTCTGACCTGTCATATGAACATCCGTATCATTAACAATACACACACTAAATGAGAAACAGCATCCAACATGCGTCACTCGACTCTGATTATTATGCAATTGTAAATGCGGCGAAAAAACAGGCTGATCTAAATCTATATTTTCATCGTTCGACAAACGACTATACGCATTAGATCCACGTCCATATAGAAATGTTTCTCTTGTTCTCATGTCCTCCAATAGAAATAGAGCATGTTCTGTATAGGTTGAGATTTTTAAAACCCTCAAATGTGCAGTTGTATCCTCGGTACCAAATTGAAGTTTTTCAACTTTCCATTTGATATGAGAAGTGGACAGATCATCCACATTCGCACGATCACTCTCATTACTCGACAGTTCAAATACTTGTCTTGTATAACGATCAAGCACATAAATCAAAGAAGGTGATCCGACCAAATCTTCCACTTCATTCAGTTCATCAATCTCTACTTGTTGAACTTCATCATTTAAATTAATTTCAGTGATGGGTAATTTTGAATGATTACCACCTCTAGAAACCGTGGATGTGGTTCCGATCAACGATGAAAGATATTCATGTTGTTTACGGCTTGATTTTTTCTGTGAGGATAGGGAAAGAATGAAAAGTTTCATTTTTTTTGTAATGATTTTCCGAGTTCAGAATGGGTTGATTTCTTGATTGCTAACGATCGTTCGAACTACAGTTAAGGTAGAGGTCATTGTTTTCCATTCATTCGACGAACAATCATACATACAAAACTTGCCAAGTTTTCTAAAAAAGGTTTTCACAATAGTCTGAACTATTACTAAAAAAAAATGTCTTTCAATGTATGGATGAAAGGCCTTCTCGTTTGGCTTGTCATGATGGCATGTGAATTTGTGCATGGTGTGTTGAGAGTTGTACTACTACAACCACTCGTGGGTGATTTTAGAGCTCGACAATTGTGTGTCTTTTCTGGAATGGGAATTATTTATATGGTGGCGAAAAGGTTCAAACCTTGGATGGGATTGGTTTCATTGAGGCAATGCATTCAGGTGGGAATGATGTGGGTGTTTTGTACTCTGTGTTTTGAAATTGGTTTAGGAAGATGCATCATGGGTTTGAGCTGGGAACGAATGTTGGAGGATTATAACTTGTTTCAGGGAGGATTTCTGTCGTTTGGAATTGTGTTCATGCTCTTGAGTTTGAGTGTATGCTGATGGGAGGCTCTTCATGACACATCTCCTTGAAAGTAACCTGTAGTTTTATTATTATCATTTGAAATTATGGGATGGTTCAGAAAAAGAGAGTATGAAGAAAATATAATAATTTTGGAAATTTGTGGTCATTTGAAATTCAAACTAAATGGTCTAGAGGCAACAATTGCCTTTGTGTAATTTGGATAAAAAGTTTTGATTATACACCATCATCGTCTGAATTGACGAGGAAAACGAGAGGTGTTGGAAGTACATTGTTGTGTGTATTCATTGTTCCAATATTACGAATAGAATTTTCGGAAGAAGAATTTACCAGTCCTGATAACGATGCCATTTGATTATTGTTGTTCTTACTAGAAAATTAGTTCGCAAACATTCATCGTTCCGAAAATATGTGTTTTTTTGAAATTAATGCACAATTCAATTTGCCAATGAATTGGATGTTTTTGAGCATCCTTCCAAACCTACCTCATGGCTACTACCGATGTACGGAATTGATTATTATTTATCAACATTCCGATATATGATGATGATGATTTATTGTTTACCGATACCGATGATGATGAAATATTTCTCATCATGCTCACTCTTTTCAATACACCAGAACAATTTCTTCTCATTTTTTTAGGCAATTTTCAAAGCTAGTAAGAAATTAGCTTATTTTCAAGAAGAATTCAAGACAAACACCATATTTACAAGATTGTTTTTTCCTTGTACAGGATTAGTACTTCAAGAACATGTTTAAATAGAACAAGAAAGAATTCAAATAGAATAAAAAATGCAACCACGGGAACCTTCCGTTTCTTATCTATTACCCTATCCCAATCACAAGATCAAGGCACATCGGTTCGGAATTAACAAATTGTTATATTTGGAAGCACGAGAAGGATCTACGACAACAGAAAACAATACTACTCATCATCAGGAACCATATTATTTATTTTCGGGAGGAAGAGATGGAACGATCAAATGTTGGGCTCTTCATTCTTCATCAGCACAACATCAGCAAATACATCAACAAGAACACACAACATTATCACCTACAAAGACATCATCTCATTCCCCACACCAATTCATGTTCAGTTTAGAGGAGCATGTGGATTGGGTGAGTGATATGATCTTACTATCGGATAAGAGGCATTTAATTAGTTGCAGTCATGATAATACCATCATGCTATGGGATGTTGATATCAATAATCCACAACATTGTTTAACGTATAGGTGAGTGTGAAGTTTAGCTTGTGACTTGTTTGAACGAAGGAAATTTTGTTTTTAAATATGGGTGAACGTTTGAAACAAACAAATTTAATGATCGGAATTTACATCTATGATGATAAATGTCTTAAATCTACTTGGATTATTTATTTGAATTTCATATCGTACGATAAATATGAATTAACATTTCACGGGATGGTTTCACATACATTGGTTTCATTGTAAAACGACACAACAGAACTCACACAGATTATGTTACATGTCTTGCAGCACCATACACTCCGTTGGGAGGAGAAGCATCTACTTGTTCATTATTTTGTTCTGGAGGTTTAGATAGTTCTGTATTTCTATGGGATGCCGAGAGATTGGTGTCCATTCGGAAATACTTTGCGTCTCTGAATAATCCAACGAGTTCAAACATGCAAGACAATTCTTCTCCCATGAAAACCATTCAACAATATGACATTCAGAGTTTACAAAGTTACTATCCTCCACAATTAAGCCCACAACCAAAACACAGCATTTATGCACTAGCCATGTCTACGTGTAGTGCCAACCCTGGTTCAATTATTGATCAACATGTGATGGTTGCAGCTGGATCCACGGATCAAATGGTTCGACTTTATGATTTTAGAACCTCGACAAAAATTGGAAAATTACGTGGTCACAAAGACAATATTCGTTGTGTCTTGCTTTCGGTTGACGGCAAGAAATGTATTACTGGATCTACGGATGGTACAGTGAAATGTTGGGATTTAAAAACTCAACGATGCTTGCAAACCTATTCATTTTCAAATCCTAAAACATTAGCTCCTTCATCTGTGTGGACCCTAGAGTTTGATCCGCACGATCCTGATCAAAACACAGTCATTGTGGGCACACGAGAAGGTCTAACTTATCAACTCGACACTAAATATAGAAAATCATGCACCATCACAAACCTTCACTCCATTAATCCATACGAAAATAGAAATTCAGTTCTAAGCACCTTAATCATTCCATGTAAAAATAACAAGGCAAATAGTACTCTGTGGGTAGGAGCTCTTGACTCCAATTTATATGAATTTGAATATGGCCGAATTGTGGAAAATATTAACAACACCAACTCGAAAGATATTTTTTCTCAAGACGGTGTGACTGTGATGGCAACCACTCCAAAATCTGCTTCCAGCTCATTTTCTCATATGGACTTTTCGTCTCCAGTTACTTCTTCCAACCTTGTAGAAAATCCTCCCACTCCTAAAACTCCAAGCTCACGAAGTCGAGCCAGCAGTTTCCTCGTTCAACGAAGAGCTTTTAGTGTTAATGCCGGCATTTCACATTACATGCCTCGATCAAAGATTCCTGGATGTCCAGGTATTGTTGAACATTTTATTTTGAATTGTAGAAAACGAGTGCTCGTGAAGGATAATTCTGGTCGAATTTCTCTTTGGGATATCACCAATGGAAAAATGATTGAAGATTTTGGAAATTCACATTCTTCAAATATGACAGACGATGATTTATTTGAAAAATTATGTGCTGACTTTTCAAAAGAAATGATTTCAGTAAGAAATTGGTTCACAATCGAGAAGAAATTGGGTTCGCTTGAAATTGTCTTGACACCCAATGAATGCTTTAATGCTGAAAATTATGCCTATGAATCTGGATTTTTAGATTGTGACGAAGAAGACAAGGTCAATTATGGAGTCATGATCATTCAAGCACTCTTTCGAAGATGGAGAGAAAAACGAAATGAATTACTTGCAGCTCGTCAACAAGAGGAATCCATTCAAAATATTGAACACGGAACCAAGGATGATGAGACTCCAATGAATGACGCGACCACAACCAAAACTGCATCAGAGCATTCTACTCCTGAACAAACGGCACAACAACATGAGTCCTCAATGACCTCAGAACAACAACAACAACAACCACATTCAGATCCCATGAATCACGAACTGCAACGAGCAGAACGAAAATTTGATTTACCTGAAAACACAGCAGTGATTATACATTTCGAAAAAACTTGCTCAGATAAGAGTCCTTTCAAAAAACAAATTCGACATTTTGACGGAGAAGAAACTGAAGGTTTCCCAATTCCTCAATGGGTAGTGGATATTACCAATGGACTGCCTCCAAATGTAAATCCTCAATCTCACAAATTGTCATTTTATTTGGAGCCAGCACCGGATGAACCATTCTTGAAACCATTACAATTGAATTCTGCCAAATCATTGGCACACCGTATTTTGAGAATTTACAAAGTTGCATTTCATGTGGTAAACAAGTTGAATATTGAATTACCAACGTTTGCTGAATTGGAAGAAATTAAGCGAAAATATTATGAATACAAGAGAAAAGAACACGAATTGAATCCAGAGATTCCTCTTGTCACGCGAGAGAGTGATGAAGCATTTGACGAGTCGCTCATACTACCACCGAATATTGATCTCAATCTGAGGTGCAGACCTGAGGATTTGGTGGAAGTATTCTGTCAGGGTCACAGAATGAAGAATCGATGGAATTTGGCAATTGCAAACGCCTTCTTTAGACCAAAAAACGTTTCTTATATTACGCTGCATTATAGACAACGATATTTAATTCCTTCGTCATCAGTGCGACAGTAACAATTGGACCCATATGAATATTTTGTATTCATGTAAATAGTTTACAATGTAAAATGCGAATGGAGTGTATTTTCACACAAGTTATTTCATTATTTCTTTTTACGCGAGGTACGAGGCTTGGTTTGTTTCTTCTTCTTTTTTGGTTGTTCTTCCTCCTCAGCATTTTCCTCATTCTCGTTTTCATCTTCGTTTGTTTCTTCTTCTTTTTTACGTTTGGAGGCAGCTTTTTTCTTTTTTGGAGTTTCTTCCTTCTCGCTTTCCTCGTCTTCGCTTGCCTTTGCAGCCTTCTTCTTTCTTCCCTTAGTCTTTTTCGGTTTTTCTTCCTCTTCTTCTTGCTCTTCTGCAGATAATGTATCCATAACGTCGTCTGTGTATGTTTTTCGATTACGAGCTGACTTTCTCTTGGATCTTCTTGGTTTGCTTTCATCATCATCATCTTCATCTTCATCCAAGGGCTGTTGTTCTTCAGATGTATCATTCTTCTCATTGTTCTTTTCCTCATATTTCTTTTGAAGTTTTTTAAGTGCCATGGCTTGTCTTTTTTCTTTCGACAATGGTTTCTCAGGTTTTAGCTCATCTGGAATTGAAATCAGAGCCGATGAGATTGTAAATCCAGTGCTGGGAACGAAGAAACCTCCTGCTTTTGCTCTTTCATAAGGATATTCCATACTTGTCTCGTTCAAAATATTTGGATCTGCTCCATAGTTCTTGACCATGTCCACAGCTAATTGAATAAATCTATAACTACATGCCAAAAAGAGTGGTGTCTCGTCCTTGGAATTTTTTGCATTAATAATTCCTTCAAGTTTTTCCTTTTCTTTGAGTACAGCTAAAAGTGTTCTGACGCATTCTGTTCTTTGAGCTGAAATCATTTCATGAAGTAGAGTGTCTTTGGTTCCTTCACATTTCATGTCAAAGTCAATATGATCCGAATAATTGTCTAAAATGTGCTGAATCACCACGTCTGGAATCGCTGTTGAACTTCTAATAGCTCGTATGAATGCAGTAGGACGATTTGTAAAGGTGTCCGGCCCAACCACTATTTTTGCATGACAAATGATTGTGTGAATCAAAATGAATCGTATCGTCAATGAGTGAAATTTAAAAACCAAACTTACATGCTGATAATTGCTCTGGAACTTTACTCAATACAACAGGTAGAGAGTTTAGATTTTGCTCAAAGCAAGCCATAAGAGCTGTTCCATGGGGGCAATCCTTCAAATTGGTTAATGAACAACCTGTTATTGTGCATTGTTCAATTGGAAATCCAAAAGTATGTATAATGGAAACAAAATTATAAATGGAATACAAGCGATAATACGCTTTGAATGCTACTCAACATGAATAAAACAACATACCTGCTTTTTCAACCATAAACTCAAGAACATCCTTATTTAAAATGGCTGCAGACACATAGTCATTGTCAGGATCATTCAAATCACTCCAGCCATTTTCATACATGACTTCTAAAGATCTTGCAATGGGTATCTGCTTCTTGTGACAAATTTGCATTAATTGAGAAAATGTTGTATGGGTCATCATTTTTCCAGAATAATGTTTTTTTGCATATTTGGTAATTTCGGCCAATAGTTGCTCTATCTTTCCATTCTTTTGAGAGAGCAAACCCATCCAAGAATTACATGATAACTTGGTTAATTGACTTCCTTGTGCAAGTAAGTATGCTATAATTTGGTGCTTTTGTTTGTATGCTACCTTCTTGCCAATGATCTGATCGAGTAAGGTGCCCGAATATGTGGCGTTACTGAAAGTTAACGAGAGCTCAGTATTGGGGTTAATGTTGTACTTTTCGCACAGAGTCTGTACATTGGTGTGAGTTCCATGTGTTGTTTGATTGAATAATTACTAACCTTGGCAGCCTCTAATGTGTTCAGCCTTCCAATGTTTCCAATCACATTGATTTTCAAATCTTGGTTAAACTCAAAGTCAATGTATCCAGCAGCCTCTTCATACCAATTTCCCTATGGTTAAGAATGGACAATCAAATTAATGATTTGGATCATCTTGACATATTGCCAATACTTACCGAAATATAGGGAATTGTTGATTTAGTTTTGGATTCTCTGAAACTCAACAACTGCTTTCTGCTTTCCTTAATTCGATCGAACAATGATCTCAAATCCCTTTCTTGATAACTGGAAAATATAAAATTAATTTCTGCAAGAGCTGGAAAACGTTCTAAAATATGCTTCAGTGCGGCTGCATTAAAATTGTAAGTGGCGTGCCGTCTGCTCTTTCTAGGCTTTTCCAAGCCAAGTATATTCAACACTTTCAAACTATTCGACCAAACGTTTCTATTGGTTTTATCGTGGTCTGGCATATCAGAAGCATAGCCTGCATAATAATAGCCTCTACCATATTGATTGCTAAATAATTGTGTAAAGTATTGGGTGGGAAATACAAAAGTAATCTCGTTCAACTGTGTACACGGAGTCAATATTTGATTTTTGCAAGCGTCCTGTTCCAGATAGAGCCTTGGTAACTTGATTGACTTTAAACAATCCTTGCAGCTATCAATTAGATCATACACATTTTTCAATTTCGGATCTCGTGAGTGCATCCAGGTAGCAAACTGCATGGAAGACAAATCTAAATGTTGGCTCTTGGATAGGGCAAATTTAAACTTTCTCTGATAATACTTGCTCAATCGTTGCAATGAAAAGTAGTAGGGAACAGCAGGCAAGAAGGTGAAAATTTCAAAAACCACATCTTCCGGTAACTTTTCAAGAGAATCAAACTGAATAATAAAATCATAATCGTTAGTGAATGGTTTGATTTCATCAGAATCATCAATCATAAAATTTGGTTCTTCCACAACAGCCTCTACGTGCTCATCGTCCGATTTTTCTTCTTCTTCTTCCATCATGACGTCTTCATCTTCTTTGACTGGTTGTTTTTTCTTTCTTGGCATTTTTTTCTATTATTATGAAGAAAATTTTGAGTTATTGTTCGAAGTCCTCGTTCGTCAACATTGAAGGCTTCTGTTGAATACAACATTTATTGTAAAAGATCAACTCTATCAAATTCCTCAAAAACTGTAAATCCTTAAAAAGCGCTCAATTTTTGGTCGAGCAACGGTGCGTCCATTCATTCGCACAAAATAAATTCGCGATCGAAGTTTTGATTGAGTTTTTGGAAAGAAAAAAAATTGTAAGGCTCTCTTGCTCAAGAACGCTCGCACACACATTCATTGGGTGAATCATCATCATTGCAAGTCAGAATCAATAATAACAACCCTACTTACATTTTACGTAACATTCCGAGTTTGGAAAATGTCCCAATTTCGACGAAGCATCAATAAGACTTTGGTCATTCCCATGTTGTTCATTGGCAATTACTTGAACAATACTGCAAGCTCGTATTATTCTTCTTCCTCCATGACTCATAATCATGTTAAGAACTACTCTGGAGTCTCGGAACAAGTAGATGCTCCGAATCAACATGAATCATCATGGAGTACAATTACTCGTGGTATTAGAGACTCTTGTTCAATGATAATTTCCAGCTTGTTTAAATTACATACTTAATGTGCTGGAAATATATGATGAATCATCAGCAGCTCAAGTTGTTATTAGTTTGTGAAGCTAACAACACAAACCATGATGAGGTTTCTCCTCTTTCGGAAACATTTTTCTCATGGATGGTCATCATCCATTTGCACGAAAAAGCAGCTCATGTTTAACCTTGCACTTTCATCAACACTCTCTTCAGTAGAAAATAAAAACGCTAGCTTAGTCATTCAAAATTCCAATCAAACTCCAGCTTGATATCTTGGTGCGACTTGTCGATTCCACTAGCCATTAAAAAAATGTCTCAAAAACGACCATCATGGCTCTCTCCGAATTTTTCAAAAACATTTTACGATTCACAAACACTCTCCGATGAGGATATTCTCTTATTAACCGGAAAACATTGGCTCAACGATAACATGATCAATTTTTATTTTCTTTATTTGGAAAATGAAAAATACAAGGAACATCAGAATGAATATTGTTTCATGGCTCCCTCGGTTTCATTTTGGGTTTCCATGATTGAAGATGAACAAGATATTAAAGCCGCGTTGGATCCATTAAAAGTTCAAGAAAAACAATTAATATTTATTCCGATCAATGACAATACAGATATTGAAGCAGTGAATGGTGGAGGCTCGCATTGGAGTCTTGTGGTGTTTGAGAGGAAAAACAATCAACAAGAAGGAAAGTGTAAATTTTATTATTTTGATTCGGGTGGTGCCATGAATAAGAGAGCTGCACAGAAATGTATTGAAAAGATGGCTCCACATTTTGGAGATTGTGGTGCGTTAGATGTAAAATTAGTCGTAAAGGATGCACCTCAACAGAATAAGTATGTTATCATTTCATCTTTTGGAAATTTATTGAACTGTTGTTTCTTGTTAATTCTTGTCAATGAAATTATTCGTTTCACAGTGGTTACGACTGTGGAGTTTATGTGGCAGCCATGAGCGATTATATTGCAGAACATGGAGTTTCAGATTCAAATATTGACAAGGTAATCACTCCCTCTTTTGTGACGCAATTAAGAAAAGACATGTTGGATTTGGTAGAAAAAAAGACAAAAGAAAATTAAACAGATAACTAAATACTTATTTCAACTGGCTCTATTGAATTTTGTAACAACATTACTTAATACTGAACTATTTTGCGAGATTTGTTTCTTTCGAAATGATCCTTTTATTCTCAAGAAGACCATTTTGCCTTTCACTTTGGATGTGTGAATTCAATAGAGTACAACATAAGTGATGAGAACAGAGGCAACAAAGGGAGAAATACCATCGTCCATGTAACATCTGCCAGCCAGTATATATTATCAATATTCAACAGCCATATCGTATCAACACTGTGAATGGAGGTCCCTTCTTTGGGGTACATTCTTCTCTCACATCAAAACCATGTTTCTTTAAAAATTGAACAGGCTTCTCTTCTCGTGACTGATTTTCATAATGATGAACAATGGTATAAATTGGTAATGTAGCTTCATCACTTGCTCGAATGATTGGCAACAATACTTCAGTTCCTAGACCTCTATTTCTTAATTCTGGTTTTACGACAAGTGACAGCAGGGTCCAATGAGGTTTCTCAGTTTGTGAAAGCAATTGCGCATGAATGGTTTCCATACCCTCGACTGCTTTCATGGTTCTAAACAGTCCTTTAATACCACTGAATAATTCACATCACAGATAAAGTTAAATTTTTCAAACCAGTAAAATCAATTGTTGCACACTTACAGACTCTTTGAAGCTTTTCCAATTCCCAGCCTTAACATTTTCCAAAAATCAATTCCTTTCGAGTTGAATGGATGCTGCCATATTGATATGGCTTGAATTTCTTTTGCTTCTTCATTCATTGGATAATACGTGTTCACATAAATTCGTCCATATTTGATTCCATACTTGATCAACATGGAACAAAGGAATAATAAGGACTCATAGGAAACCTCGTCTGGTGTTTCTGCCTTGAAAATATAGCTTAGTAGAGGATGCCAAACATGTTGAGGAAAAGTCGTTGTGTGGATCGTCGAGTCATCACCTCGTGGTGTTTTTAGAGTCATGCTTCCTTGGGATTCCTTCACCTCTTCAGATGCTTTGCTAGGACTCGATGCCTCAGAGGATGGAACATCACTCACAGTCCTTCCTGTCGATGCCATCGATTCATGATGATGAGTAGTATTATACTTGTAAAAGAGTGGCGATCGTAAGGATTGAGCAAGAAAGTTGGCTGCTTCCTGAACTTGTGAAGGATGTATTTCACTCACCACACTCTTTCCTCGCTTATTCATGTCACGTCTCTTTTTGGGTTTGTGAATTTTCACAAATGCAAATGCTTGTTGTTTGAAAATATTCTTTTCAGTTTGTGTCGATGGAACGGATAATACAAGAGGAGAAGAGGCAGTGACTTTCTCATTCAGTGCAGTAAAGTCAATAGAGGGATCACTGGGAGAGGCCACTAAGGATGGATGTTTGGTATTGGCACTTCCTGATCGTTTTCGTTTGCCAGAGTTGGGAGATGCTGCAGATTTCATAATTTCATCTCCAACTTTGGTAGTGGTCATGAACACTCGCCACCACTGTGTTAAAACAATTAATTTCATACATGATGGATATATTCGATTGTTTAAGGATGGAATATTTTCGAAAAAAAATAATACTTACATGCTCTTCCCAAATGAGAAACAACTGTTTGCAAGAAAGTCCAATATGATACATGTCTTCAATTTTCAAATATGAAAATACGTGCAGTTTTAACACATCAGGTAAAAGTTTAAAATCTTTCAGAGCAAGTTTTAAATTGCCATGTTTTCCATCTGCTTTGATCTTGTTTAGAACTTTGAGAGTTTTCTCTGCAGTTGGTCGTTCTCGAGGATCATAGCTTAATAATAATTTTGCCAAGTCGAATAATTCTTGGGAATATCCGAGTACTTTGACACACTGATGTTCAATGTCTGTGAAAAAGTTAGGATTTTTTCTCAATTCCATAGAGATCATCATTTGTTTTCCTGTCATCATTTGAAGTAAAATTCTGAATGGTCAAGGAAAACGCTAAACATGAAACAGAAGCCATAACATGAATACTTACACACCGTAAGAATACATGTCAGTTGCTTGATCGTAAGGTTCCTTGTTTAACATTTCATAGCTCATGTATTGAATTGTACCACATTGAGTATGAGCTCTATTGAATATAACATTGCATAGTTCACATATACAAAGTGCAATAAAATTCATAATTATAAAACGACCATAATTCAATATTCGCTGACAACATTGTTTTCACTTACAAGCTGTGTGTTCCAATTTCTCGACTAATACCAAAATCACCAATTTTAAGAGTACCGTCTGAGGCAATCAGAATGTTTTGAGGTTTTCTAAAAATTATATAAAAATAATACGATTATTCACAGAATCAGAAGATTGTCTTGATATGAACAATCTGTAGTCAAAAACTTACAAATCGCGATCTAATACAAGTTGGGATGCCAAATGTCAATAAATATTTCAGCTAGATTCATTTGTTGAACACTTACGAATAATATTATGTTCATGCAGATATTTAAGGCCTTCTGCTATTTGTTCTGCATACGTTATAATGTCTTCTTCTTTAAACTTTTTATCTCGTTTGATCACACTCGTGATAAGCTTTTGTAAATCTCCTCCAGGGCAGTACTCAATACATAGACAAACAAAGTGAGTTTCCGTACTATATTTGTGAAGAAAGACTTTCAAATATTTCATAATGTTCGGATGATTGAGATCTTTGAGCTTTTGAGCTTCATTGAGGTGAAGATTGGCGTCATCAAAACTCGCCCATTCCATACGTTTAATGGCAACCTCTTCATGTGTCTTCTTGTGCTCAGCTAAAAGTACTTGACCTGTACATTCAAGAGCAATGGCGCACAGTTTGTCATTTTTGGAATGTTAATAATATTGACACAACATCATGGTATCGGATTGTGAACTTATGAATCATGTTCGTCATGTCCTAATACCTACCTTCAGATCCTCGCCCCAAGATTTTGATGATACTGTCATGATGACGAATGGAGTGATCCGGTTTTTCATAAGTCCATCGCTTTTGAAATTTGTCAACTTACTAATACTGATCCATGATGAAAGGGGTGAGTGCAGTTTGTTCAATTAAATATTATTAAAATTGAAATCCGCTCTCCGCTCACTCTTGCAACAAATACTGTAATAAATATATGGACTTCTAAAATACAATAATTCCAAATACTAGAGTAGGCTCTTGTTGTTGTTCTTTCCGTACTCACAAATTTTCGTTTTTATAGAATCTTTTCCGAGTTAATTCAATGGATTACAACCAGAAAATCTCCAACGAATTCAGGATGATGATGATGAAATTCAATGATCTCAACAAGGTGGTGAGCTAGTTGTTCCCGAGTGTTGGAATAACAGAACGGTTCCGCAAAAATCAAAGACCTCTCCAACAACACACTGTATTTTTAACTGATTTTTTGTTCTGGCAAGTTCCAATTTCATAAACGAAACCATTTTCTCGTCTGTGGACATGAATGTTCATCCTTGTGGTTGGGCGAGGTTTCCTATCAAAAAACTGTCTGTTGTTTGGTAAATTGAGAATGTAAGAGGGAAGCTCTTTCTGATACTAAGTGCAAACGGTAATCGATAAAAATCGAAAGAGTCGTTGAAAAAAATGTCAAAAGTCACCCAAACCAAAGTCAACGCATTATTGTATTGGGCTCAAAATGCCACGAAAAACTACGATAACGTGGACATTAAATCTTTTTCATCTCCATCATTTGCTGACGGACTTGCTTGGTGTGCCATCATTCATCACTTTAGACCTGATCTCATTGATTATGGTGAGTTTGAGTGTCAAATTCAGAAAACCACAACAATTTTTATTTGGATGTTCTATGAACAATTAATTGAATTATATTTGAATATTGAACGAATATGAACACACGCCGATGCGATACAAAATATTGTTGTATATTCAATCCTCCATTCTCGATGGTGTGAAAATATCTTGTTCCGAATTTGGCATTTTTGTGGAACACCACTCTTCGCGGACACTTTGACAGCATCCTTGTCACGAAGCGATCCCAAGAAAAATCTTGAACTTGCATTTAGAGTTGCTGAAAAAGAATTAGGATGTACACAATATTTAGAAGTGGATGATTTACTAAGTAGGTTCGTATTGAATTGTTCCCATTTTGTTTTTTCAAACAAATGAAATATATTTGTTCATTATCAAATGTGTGTTGATCTTGGAATAATTCCATTTGCACGCTATTCACTTGACAACAACAATTAATACATTCACACCAAACTCTAGTTCGCGTCCAGAACCAAAATCCATTCAACTCCAACTCAACGAATATCGAAGAGTGTTAGGAAGTGCCAACGAAATTCACAGAAAAAATTCCGATTTTGGAGATCTTATCACAGATTACGAGCAAAGTCAATCAGCTCTTAAAAGAAGTGTCACCATGCCATCGAAAAGTCTTGAAAATCCAGAAACTCCTCTCAACAAAAGCCCAGCTTCCTCAAAAACATCAGCGCTCTCTGTACAATCTTCTCTGGGTACTAGTAAGCTTTCTGTACAATCCTCAATGAATACGACTAGTAGCAGCACCTCAGAGCCAAAGACTGGAATTGTGGCACGAGAAGTCTATTCGAATACTTCGAGTCCAGTCATTTCTGTCACACAACCCACAGTCGAAGGACTTTCTTTGGAGGAAGCAAAGAAAAAGATCAAAGATTTGTACGAAGAAATTTCATCACTCAAAACCGATGCTGATAATATCAAGAGAGAAAATAGTAATTTGAGTTTAATGTTTCAAGAAGCCAAGCACACGAAAGAAGAAACTGAAACTGTTTTTAGACAACAAAATGAATCTCTCAAACAAAAGGTTAGCCAACAACGGCAAGATTTGGAAAATGAACGAAATGCTAAACAGAATTTAGAAAATTCGATTGCAAAACTGAAAGATGACATTGAAAATTACAAAAAGGAAATTTCTGAAAATAAGAAGAAACTTGAAAGTCTTGAAAAAGAGAAACAATCTAACAAGGATACCAAATCTGTGGACGAATTACAAAAACAAGTTACCGATCTAACGAATCAAGTGAAACACAAAGAAAGAATAATCACACAACTCGAAACAGAGAAAACATCATCCTTCCAAAATTTACAAAAAGTATTAGCCGAGAAGGAAAAGGAAATGCAAAGCATGAAGAACAGTTTGAAAAACATGACCGAACAAGCAGATGCCATGAAACAAGAACGAGAAAAACTTGAAACTCAAATCAAAACGTTGAGTGGACAATCGAACAATGACATGAAAAAATTAGAAGAAACTATTCAACAATTAACACGAGAAAAACAAACTGCAGAACGTGCTGTAAAAGATACACAAATGCAAATGGATGATATTACTAAAAAATTGAGCAAGACTGAGAAGGATTTGGAAGAGACAAGAAAAACTCTCGATACCAAACTAAAGGAATCTCAGCAATTGCAACAAGAGGCCAAATCATTGAAAGAACAACAATCAAAATTTTCACAAGATGTCACAGAGAAACAAAAGAATCAAGAAAAAGAACAATCATTGATCAAGGAAAATCAAGAAAAACTCTTAAAAGAAAAACAAAAACTGGAAAAGGAATTGGAAGACATTAAGAAACAACTTTCCAAGCAGCAAGAATCCTCAAAAGAGCTCGAAAAACTTCGCATTGAAAATAAGAAATTGGAGGAGACCATTAACAAACTCACTTCTGAATGTACTACATTGAAGAAGGAAGTTGAAAAGGTGAACAAATCAAAAGAGGAAGCTGAATCTGCACTCAAACGTCAATTACATGAATTAGATGAAAAACATCAACAAGAACTTGCTCAAACCTTGGAAAAATCAAAATTGAATTCCTCTCAAAAACAATCCATTCTCGATTTACAACTTGAAGATTTAAGGGAACGATGTGCAGATTTAAAGAAGGAAAAGGAATCTGTTGAGAATGAACTCAAACAATTGGAATCTAAAAAAAATCAAGAAATTGAAGATTATAAGAAGAAGATTTCGAATCTCGAGTCTGAATTGAAGAACAACAGCTCAACCAAGTCTGTCACATCGACAACAACCACACCAACAACTACATCACCAGGTATTTCCCCTAATTTATCAAAATTAATCGAGCAAGAGAGACAAGAACGTTTCATATTGGATCAATCCATTATTTGTTTCGATGCTTGTACTTTCACACATCAAATTCCAACTCCTGTGAAACCCATTTTCTATGCCTTGTGTCACTGGCTGGAGTCAAGTGAGACCTTTGGAGTCAATTTGGTCTCCACTTTGAATTACAAATTCAATTCATACATTTCAACAGATTTAGAAAAGTCATGTTATTGGCTGAATGTCATGGTTCGTCTCATTCACATGCTCAAACTAGAACCAGAATACGAAAAGAAGATGAAAGCCATTTTGAAGAGCAATATTTTGGAAAAGGACTTTTCAGCACCACTCTCCAACCAAGATACATTCAAATCGAGAGCACCTGTATTCTTGAATTACAAATATTCACAACAACTTGTTACTCAAGACTCTAAATCACAACCATCATCAACAAGCCCATCTGTGGATAAGTTTTTAATTTCTCTGGCTCAATTGACCTATGATTGCTACTTTGAATGTATTTACCACATGCTTCTCAAAGCAAAACCCTTAATTTTGGAAAAGATGTTTGGATTGACTCCAACCAATTCAATTCCATTACTTGGAAAAATTACTGGAGATGTGAAAATTGACGTCATTGTTCGAAACATGTCACATTGGATGGATCAAATCAAGAATAGTTTATTAGACACTCGATTAATTGTTCACATGTTTGAAGTCTTGGCAAAATTACTGGACTCTTTAATTTTCAATCAATTTATTTCATCCATCAGCTCAGAAAGACTTAAAAGCAAGAATGTGAATCAGTTGAGAGATTTATCCATGAATCATGCCATCCATCTTAAAATGTCTGTCTCCTTCTTGGAGAGTTTCTTCTTTGAGGAACATTTAACTGCTGGATTGAACATTCAAGATTTATTCCATCAAACAAGAGTAAGTAATTGTGAATTTGTAAAAATAGAAAGATTATTTTTCACACATTGTTTTCACACATTCACTCCATAACTAATAATAATCACTGCTCATATTCATGTATGAATCGTTAACGTTCTGGTTCATGATTGTTTGAATACTTATTGTTCATATTCATGATTGTGTGAAATGACATAATTGTACAACAAATTCAAATAGGAAGGAGCAGATGTTTGTGTGTTGGGCCAAAAAGATCTTCTCCAACAAGGCAATGATTTACGTGATATCGTATGTCCACATCTCTCCACTCCACAAATTTCCATTCTTTTATTGGAATCTTCCATGACTGCACAAGATTTAATCATACCAAAATTATCATCGAATGGTTACACAGATCCCAACACATTTTCCAAACAAACTTCTCCACTTTTTGATTTTGAAAACAAATTCATGAGTACTGCTACACTTCACACCGTTCAATATCCATCCATTTTGGAAAATTGTAACAAACAAGAATATTTCTTTTTGTTCACAAAATCGAACATGATGGGTCAAAAGAATACTCAGAGCCTTTCGAACATGTCATCCTCTAGCACATTGAATGAAAGTACTTTCACATCGACTCCAACCAAGAATGCACAAAAATCATCGATCCGAGACGATGAAGAATATGACGTGAGTGCATCGTCATGGGCCAGTTACAAACACAATGGTGGTGCACTTCTCTCGAATGAGCGTTCAACATTATCGACGTCATCGGCTTCTTCGCCAAGTAAATCCTCGAGTAGTAGTGCTACATCAAGCAAGAAATCAAAGAGTGGATTGAATATGGATAATGGTTTGTTTGATTGAAAAAGGTTGTGCTGTGTCCTTAAGCTTGGTGGCGTTGTGCATAATAAAAAGTTTAATTGAAATTAATCAAAGAAAATAAGTATGGCGCCAAAAACCGTTTCATTGTTAAATATTTAAAAAAAAATGATCAAGCAACCGCCCTCTGGCGATGAGGAGCAATTCTCGCAACAATTTTTTGGAAAGTCTTCACAAGCGATTTTGGATGAAATTTATAACTTATCCTATGTGAATATTTGTGATGCATATGATCATTTTGAAGATTGGGCCATTCAATTAATCGGAAAGGATCCAACTATTAACAAGGAAGATTTAAAAGAACTGTCTAAATTAATTCATGAGGCAGTTCAAAAGCTTGCAAACAAGAGTATAGCTATTCTTGGTCTTCAGGCTGATCTTTTGGACGATGCTGCTTTGAGGCAGTGTTTCAACTTGCCACAAATACCACCCGATTGTCGTGAGAGTTATTGTAAGCTCGTGACAAGCGATATTACATTACCAACAAGCAAAGAAGATGCCCTAATATTTACAGATGACAGCTTGACAACTTCCGATAGTGAAATACTACAAGTTCTATCTGATATTTACTCTATTCAAGAAGAAATGAATACGTCACATGAGGAGTTGGTGCAAGGAATTGCTAAGGGTCTCACCTTACAGAATGAACGACAGGAAATTATCAAAACTTTAAATTATTATGCTTTACACAACAAGAAACTGGAATCTGTACAACAACAACTCTCGCACCTCGCTATGGGCTTGGAACAAACTGTAAATTCTCTCATCAAACATGCACAACATCTTCATCAACAATATAACAACACGAAGAAAGCATTTGAGGAGCAATTTGGGGCTCAAGATCAAGAAAGTATCTTTTCACAAGGAGGAGGGGTATTCGATGATCAATCATCAACGTTTACTGAGAGCAACAAATCCTCACAATCGGAAATTTCCAAAAAACCATCCAAAAACTAAGTCTTTTCAAAAACTACTCTAAACTCTCCACCATCCTTCCTCTAAGTTCTTCTATTGATGCTTTCAATATAATCCCAATCATCACCATATTTTAATAAATTATTATTTAAAATTCACTTGGCCATGACTGTTTAACCATGCTCTGCACTATTGAGAAAGGATTTTTGGTAAATATTTAAAACAATTCATTTCAAATTAGAGACCATGACGATGATGTGATTTAATGAGTAGAACTCTTTTCGGAATGCATGGATGGTAAATCGGCTTTGACAGTAATATCCGGTTTAAAAATTCGGTGAGCCGTTTCAGCACCTGCAAATATGCTTCCCACACTCACTGCAACAATGAACAAGAACCTCCATGATGTCTTCCTCAATGGTAGTGCTTTCTTCATGATTTTGGCCTCAGCAGTTGCTGCAGTTGAATCTGGCTGACCAGGTCTTTTGACGATTTTCATATTTTTTGTTTTCTTTCTAAAGAAGAAGCGAACATCAAGTGTTATCGTATGGAGCAACTGTTAAACAAATCATATGAGTTGGAGCAATAGTTGTTAGATAATGTCGAGGCCTTGGAGAGTGAATAATTTCAGATCAGAGTATTTCCTGTGTGAAAGTTGTTTTTTCGTTTGTCGCTTTTGGCGCCTTTTCAAATTAAATGAAATCAAAAAAACAAAAAATTGTTGTTTCAAGAACAAAACACTTCAAACAACCGGACTGTTGTTGTTGTTGATACCAAATCACACAAACCACTTGGTGCTAACGGATAGCATGGATTTGAAGATTTTATGATTCCCATTGTTCATTGTTCTTATATATATATTTATTCTAATTCACATTCCATAGACTCAATTTCCTTTCATTCAATCATCAACCACAAGAATTATTCTTCTTCCGGAATCGATTATTCATCACGAACAAGCATATTGAACGAATAGATTTGGCGTAAAATGTCCCAGAACAGAGGCTTCCAACAGCCAGCAGCTCCACCCGATGGAAATTTATCATCATCCTCTCAACAAGGCTTAGCATCATTTCTCCACCCAACATCCAGTAATGGCAATTCTTTCACCACTTCAATAGGCTTATCCTCCTTCCTTTTGAATCCTCCATCCCAACATGTATCTGCAAGCCATAGAGGTCCTCTCCATATTTCTTCCGCTACAGCACCATCGATTCATCCCATAGCCATTTCCGCTTCTCCTCTCTCGGCAGCTTCATCTCAACAACTACCATCCTCATCATCATCATTACCCTCTCTCCTCACAACACCCTTTCCTACCGCTACCATTCACACTTCCATTCCTCCAACTCATTTCCTTACTGGAATGCCACCAACCTCATCTTCAAATAGCTCAAATATTAATACAGACCTCATGTCAAAGAAGCGAAAAACTCCCTCAGCGACATCCCGAGCAGCCATTAATGATGACGACGACGAAGAAGACGATGACACTCACAAGATTGAAATTGATGACACAGCCGATGAAACAACAAGTGAATTCACTCCAACTAAAGCAATGAACACCTTGAATGAAATGACAAGTACCCCTCAAAGCGATGTCAAACGAAGGAAAGGTTCGGATGGTACCACCTCTTCTGTGACAACAACAGCTTCAAACACTCAAAAAGGATGTAATTGTAAAAAAACTGGATGCTTGAAACGATACTGTGAATGTTTTCAGAACAACAAACGATGTACAGATAAGTGTCGTTGTCAGGGTTGCAAGAATTATGACGGATGTGCTGATTTGTGTCGAGTGTTGGAGAAACAATCAAAATCTGGAACTAGCTCCACAGCAAGCAATCAGAGAAAAGTCAACTCTCAAAAGAGAAAACAAACACAGAGTCAAACTAGTAGTAGCTCGTCGATGGGAAGTGGTGTCACCTCGGCCAATACATCTTCTCGACAACAGTCTTCACAAATTGGCAGCCCCTCAATATTGGGAGGTGGAGGAATTATTATGGCGCATGGAACGGTACCATCATTTGCTCATCCCTATCAACATCCACCCATGAATACGGATCAAATCTCGGCCTCATTATATCAACATCCTTTAAGCTGTCTCTTTGGTGAGGAGAGTGTTGTGGAATTGTGCAAGAGACTGGTGATTGCCTCAGTTCAACAAGAGCAAATCTTTAAAGATGAGTGGGCAAGCAAGTCCAGTGATACTGCTAGTGGTGGCTCATTGTTGTCACCTGCTCTCACCTCTCCCAAGAATAGCTCCAAGAGCAACACTGACAATTTTCTTCTATGTGACGAGGATGACGCTACCAATTCTGCCATGAACCTCAATCAAGCACAAGCTCTGCAATCTCCACGAAAGGTCTATCCAAAAGGTTTTGAGAACGGTCTCATCAACTCTATCAACACTCGTGTCGTGCAAGAGTTCAAACATTTCCTTACTCAGCAGCCTTACAATCAGCAAACAGCAGATCAGCAAGAGTAAATCTAGATTTTGTTGTTGAAATTTTACAAGTAATCGTGAAGAGATTATTTACAAAGCTCTTATAAATTTATTCCTTCTTTTCCTCACTTGGTTTTTCTGAGGCGTCTTCTCGTTTGGCTAAAGCTTGAGCCTCTTCGAATTTTTTCTTGAATTCTTGAGCGGCTGTGAAAAGTTTAGTATTACGGTGAGATGATGTCAAATTATCCAGTCAATACATCATCAATGACAAGAAACATAGTGTTAATTAATACTAAATCAAACAAATTCAACTTACTTTCAGTGTCTCTGAAACGAATAGCAAAAATTTCAGACTTGGCTTCATCGTCAGCAAAATCGGCTGGTGATGAATAGACCCAAGCCTTGTCGCTACCAACATTTTGAGTCAATTTCATCTCTGGAATAATCAAGTGGTTGGCACAAATTGTCAAAGTCTTGTCTCTTCTCATCAAAGCTCTCACTTTATGTTTATCGGTCTTGTTTTGAAGGAATTTCATAATACCAACGCCACGTTCCTTCCATTCGCTAGAGTCGTTATCGAATCTGAAGAGTTTGGCACGACTGTTGTTCCATGATGATGAAGGAAATGACAGTTGGTTCCGTGATGAGTGGAGATGATAAACGCGTGATGATGAATAACAATATATTGTTCGTTTTGAAATGACAATATATTATTGTTGAAATTGAACAATTCATAATCAAGGAAATATATACATCATTGTTGTTATTATTATTATTATCAATTTGGATAACGATGATGATAAAACGATCCAAAAGGTCATCGGTCCAAATGATGATTTATGAAACACTTACACTTGATAAATTTCTTCTTCGTCTTCAATTTTAATATGAACATCACGAGTAGGAAGTTCGTCCTTGTTCACTAATGGAGTGAATTGAGCCTTGCATTCCTCTTCCTTGGCGAATTCTTGTGCTCCTCCTTCTTGTGTGTTATCTTCAGTATCAGACATCTTTTTGAGAATGTTGGGTGTTGAATTTTTTTTTGACTTCAATTTGCGAGGGTAAAGGTACTGGTGGATTTCAGTCGAGGGTTTCCACCCAATGGAATTCTTTGTTGGAGAAAGAATATTTACTGAGGTATTTGTTGTTGGTCACGTGTTTCTTGAAGAAAAGAATAGAACGGAATGTGGCAAGTCAAATTATTCTTTCATATGGAATTTTGTGGCAAAAATCAAATATCCAGTATGGCCTTTCATTTCTGGAACGGCAGCGAAGAGTTTTCGTGGAGACCTAGTTGCTGCAGAAGAAGATGTCAACGATGAAGAGGATCCTTCTCCTCCTGCCGTGACAGTGGTGTCAACAGTTGAACTTGGTTGTTGATCGTTCTTCTTTGTGAAATAATGGTCAACGGATGACATCTCTACGACATTACTCATGTACTCCTTCGCCAAACATTCTACAGTTTTGATTTCTACAAAATCAAATTCTCTCAAAGCGTTTGCAGTCTCTTGAATTTGTTCAATGCATGGACTGAATCCACAAAATTTACCTCCAACCTTGAGAAGTCTGAACACGTTCGAAATACATAACCAAGGTTTTGGCAAATCAAGGAAGATAGCGTCCACAGTTTCTGACTTGTCTTGCCCGAGAATTTGTGAGGCGTCATGCTTTGGTCTCAACGTATCGCTCAAAATAATATGTGATGTTGTTTCATTGGGGTTGAATCCATCGAGACAGACGTCACCGTTTGTGATGGTAATGTTATAAAGTCCATTGGACCTAAATTCATTTACGGCCTGCAAAAATCTCTCCTTGTGATATTCAAAAGTGAATAATTGACCATTTGGCATAATTGTCCTAGAAATACTTGTTGAAAGAGAACCACTACCTGTGCCAGCTTCAATGACAATGCTACCTGGACGTAATCGGAAATGTGTTAAAATCAAACTAATATCTGCATGATACAAAATTTGAGTTCTATGTTTCAAAACAAGGGTCCACAAATGAGGAGTTGGTTTGAGAACGTAGACAAAGGGTTTTTTAGAGTCGGCTGTCGAGTCATCATCCTCTGCTGCTTTTTTACGAGAACGCTTGTCGACATGACTATAAATTTTGGATCCGAAAGGTTTGCCAATGATGTTCTCATGCAAAAAGGAGCCAAATCTACAATCAAACGTATGACCCTTTTTAATAACCTCTGCTTTCATGATATCATGATTAATAAAGAAGACCACCATATCACCCTCTCGGATTTTGTTTGAATTTTTATCGGCTAATGAAATAATTTGTTTGGTATTATAAATTTCACTCTTATCGTTCATGGAAGGAACCAACGAGAGAAGGAGAGTTTTTCTAATTTGTTCCAACTCTTCATTCTTCGGAAGAGGTTTTGTGTTGTTGTTGGAATTGGAGGATGTTTTGGTTTTCTTCTTTTCAGGTTCACTCATTTTTTTAAATGCAATTTTCTCTTTGAAATTTTCGGAATGAAGAATTGTTCGTTCTTGAATTCTCATGCTTGACCAGGCACAAGACGAACAACTCTTTCAACAGGATGATGTTGAATGATTGAGAGTATTGGAGAAACTTGAATGTCTAACGCAGACGGGTTGAAAAAGCAAAATAGAAAAAAAAATGAAAGTTTTGCGAAAGCCCGTCGTCATCTTGGCTTGTCTCTTGCTGTGGATCGGGATCATTCTCTTTTCAGTTTCAGTCCATTCAGCCACACTAACGCCACAACAATGCGAAGATTTGGGATTTAAATCATCGGAATTGAGTTGTTCAACATGTAAAGAATTTTCTCTCTTTTTGAGTGAAAAGAAAATTATTGAAAATTGTAATAATTGTTGTCAAGATGTTACAAATCAAGAAAAAGGAGAGTCATCCAGTAACGCAACAGAAAAAGAATTTGTTAGTGGAGTACTCTACATGTGTTATTGTAATATTAGATCTTTCCCTGAAATTGAAGGGTTTATGAATAACGATGCCAAAAAATTTAGAAATTTGCAAGTATTGCAACGTCAAGGAGTTATGCCAACATTGTCCATGAAGAGAAAAGATGGTTCAGAAGAATCTCATTTAGTGAGTCACTGGAAAATTGATGAAATCAAAGAATTTTTAAATGAAAAATTACTTGCATAATTATTGATCATTCGATTAGGAGTTCTATGTTGTAATAAATCTATTAAAAATTTAAATTTTGTTTCAGAACGTCAAATATTTTGAATCGTTTGAGTTTTTCTTTAAGATATTTAAGGAATGGTGTGAAAGGTGGCAGTTCAACAACCAGTCAGTGGTTTGAGTTTCAACAGCTGTGAAAGGCGAGATGCTTGCTCCCCAATTATTTCGAAATCAAGAGAGTGATGTCACTATGAAAATGAAGGTTGAGATTCTTGCGCACAAAAGAAGAAACGCGTTTTTTTAGAATGTTCAACAAAAGAAAAACGCCGCCATCAGGAGAAGATTTTGTCATCATTGTTGCAGTTGCTCGTTGTTGTTTTTTTCATTCGGATTCAACAAATTTTGAAGCACTTTTATTGCTCACATTAAAATTTAATAACTGCCATCAATTACTTTTCAAAAACAAATTGAAAACAGATTCGGAACCATCATCACGCGCATATTGAATTAGAGGAATATTTAAATTATTATTCATCATATGGAAACATCAAATTCTGTAAATGTTTCTGCTGCAGCATCCAGTTTATTAACCTATCCTGTCAACATGTTTAAAGATTTGAGAAGGCGATTGGGACGCGGAGGAGCCCCTGATTTTCACCATGAACAAGAGGCTTCTCCTTCCAACGTGAGTGCAACACCAACCAATGAAGAAGCTGCTTCACGAATGAATCGACAAATTAATTTCCAACAACAACACTCTAATAATAATCGCAACAATAAGAATCAACAACTATCACAATCCAATGACGAAAATGATAGTGAAATTTCGAGTCAACATTTCCAAAAACGTCACAGCAGACATCATGCAAGCATTTCATCATTACATTCATCGGAACGAGAAGACGACAGTGCATCCACGACCGATGGTACCATGTCTGATCGAATGGGACTGAGCGAGCTCGAAACAGAAAACTTTGATCCTCAAGATGATAATCATTCTCAGTCATTGATATGTGAAGATCAAGATGAAGCATTCATGGAAGACCAATTTTTCATGAGCTCTCCTTCACAACAGCAACAACAAAGATATCAACCACGGGAATGCATGAACAGTGTAGAGTCAGATGAAGATGATGACGACGATGATGGAACCATACTTTTCACCAACAATCAGAATTGTTATCAAGATGATGACATTCCAACCCCGTTGAATCTGTCTCCCATTAAGCCATGTGATTCATCTTCAAAACAAGAAAAGAAACATCCAATGGCTTCTCCTCTCCTGCAGCAACAACAAAGAAGGTCAAGTGTATCATCGTCAACCTTCTCTTCCTTTGTGACCAACAAGAGAAAACCAATGGCTGCCACTCCTGGAGGCAGACTCTCCTCAAAAACCTCTTCCACTTCTCACCTCAATAACCTTTCCATCACTAACACGGCCAATACCACCACGAATTCACCACACATTCCCACGGCAACAGTGGATCAACATTCTCCTCGACCTCATCAATACAGTTTCCTCTATCATCATGGAGATCACATGCAACGATTCCGACATACCCGATATCAAACTGGACAGTTACCGGAAAGTGGTCCCTATCGGTTTGATGATTCACGAGAAATACGAAACAAACTCTCTCTCACAAACACTTCCGATATTCAAAATGTAGGCCAATATGAATTTAACGCAGTGAGGCTCACGACTTGTGATTGGTTCATTAATGGCTGGCAAAAAACATCCACGCATATGATCCGAGTTCAAATTGATATCTATAAGAAGAGAATTACATTTTGCTATTTGAATATGGATGAACAAACCGTTCAGGAGAAGCTTGTGATTGCATTTGATGATATTACCGGATTAGAATTTCAACATTCTCCCTTATCGGACGATATTGTAGTGATTGAGGTGAATCAAATTCCATCGGATGCTCCAGCCTCGATGAGATCCAACTTTTTCTTCCTCTATCTCACCAAGGAAGATAGTGCCAAATACATGGACGGAGCATTACTCTCTTCAGACAAACGTTTATTGAAATTGGCCATTGTTGGTCTTCCTACATGGGCCACCATTGTCAATCGGTATAGCATTCCTATTTTTTATAATCATCGCATTCGAGGAGTGATTACCACTCTTGTAAATATTTATATTATTATTAGTTTGATTTGGGGCTTTTATGACTTGTACAAGAATTTACCAATTGTTGGAGGAGCATTGAGAGCCATCTTTGGACCTGTGGCCTCGTTTTTGGAACCCATCATTAAGAATAAGATCATGTTATTGATACCTCTTGTATTTTCAAAGGTTTGGGAAGCGGCACAAATATTCTTCTCTCTATTTGCTCCATTACTTTCAGTGTTCACACCGTTATGGAAGCTCATTGTAACATTATCAAATGCCATTACGAATGTATTCAAACCACTAGCGGATGGTTTTGTGATACTCGTCAATGGCCTTATTTATCCTTTCATTCAATTGTATCATCATGTATTATATCCACTATTTAATGGACTTTATTTATTATTTGCTGGAATTTCACGATTTTTATCATTGATAGGAACGGGCATTTATACGGCATTTAAAATACCTGTACAGTTTGTTGGAGTGGTATCTGCAGAGATTGTTGACATGTTTGTCGACTTGTTTTATGCCTTGTCAACTGCTTTGAGTTACCCAGTGACATTTTTCAAGTTGCTATTTAGCCTGATTGCTGGAATTATTGCTTTTATTTATTCTGCTATTGTGTATCCATTCACGAAATTGGGCACTCTTTTCAAGTTCAAGAAGGATATTGAGCATGCCACTAAGGTGGTCAGTAATGTGGCCGCTGCCTCTAGTCAAGCTGCCTCTACGACCTCTTCTCTCAAGGACTATTTGATGAGCATGAAAGAAAATTTCCAACCCCTCTCAAGTTTATGGAATGGCATTCGACGAATTATTGATAGTATCATTCATACGTATCACACCAAGATCAAACATAGATCTGTTTGGAAGAGGCGTATTTTGATTACTATCATTTGTTTAATTGTTTTTGCTGGTCTTGTCATTGTTTTTGCTCTTCTCACATAGATGGTGTGACAACAATTTTATCACAATAAAATAGGGAATACAACAGTAATAATTTGGAATTAGCACAAGTTACTTCAGTTTGGCTTTTTTAGTGGAGGATGCTGTTGCTGTCTCCTCAGCTTTCTTCCTTCTCTTCTTGAGTTTGGACTTCAGCTTTTTGTACTTTTTGAAGAGCTTTTTCTTATCTTCTTTACACATGGTCACTAACACTTCATAAATTTCTTCAGGACTTGTGTCATCCTTGGTAAAATAATCTTCAAACACGTCGTCATTGTTTTGCACTGAAGCTTCATGATCTGTAGTCATCAAGTCACTAATTTGTTGCATTTGCAAAAGTGGATCTTCCCTAGCTACAATATCAGAATCCACTCTACTAATCCCAAACAATGGACACTCTCTGTCAACATTGGTGTGACCAAATTGTCCGCATTTTGTACACTTTACATTTCTAAGCTCAATACCAAAAGGCTTGTGTTTCACTTTTACAAATTCTGTGTAGGATCCTTCTGTTGGAGCATGTTTAAGGAATGGGAATTTTTCAACATCAGACAACTGATCTTTGGGAATGTACTTCTTTTCTGATTTTGATTCTTCTTCTTTAGTATCATTAGTAAGATGTTCATCTTTAGGATTTTCTATGGCCGCAGCTGATGACAAATTTTCATCACTCTTTTTTGTGTCAATTTTCATAAAGTCTTGAATTGAGTTGAGGCCTTCAGAAGAGCCATGTGCAGCTTTTACTCGAATAATATTTCTATTTCGTTCCTCTCTTTCTTTTCGTTCTTGCTCCTCCCGTTCCTTCTGCTTCTTTTCCCTCTCCAATGAATCTTTTAGACCAGGAGGAAGTTGATACAGAAAAGCCACCGATTTGACATTTCCATGACTGATTGAAGCTGTATCGTCGTTATTATTTCCACGCTTTCTTCCTCCTCTTCGAGATTTCTTCTTGATTTGAGTGTCGGATCCTCGAACAAAATCAGAAAATTCAGGAGTTGTATCTGCAGAAATAGTTGATGATGATGCCGTTGGCTTGGTTGATGGTTTGACAAATTCCAATGGCTGATTCTGTTCAACTTGTTTGTTTGCCGTTTCTTTTGTTACTTGTTGTTGATCATCGATATTTACAATTTTTTGTTTTAGCATTTGCTTTCTTCTCTTCATCTCGGATTGCAATTCCGTTGTCTGTTTCCAAGCAATATTATTCTCAATATTCTTATTTCCTTTCCGAGACGAAGTCTTTGCTGTTGTAACCTGATCATCTTTGTATAATTCTTGTTCTTGTTCTAATTCTTTCCTCCTTTGCTCCTCTTTCTTTTTCTTGGTTAAATATTGTTGTTCCGCAATCCATTTCTTTCTCTGATTTTGTTTGTTGAGAGGGTGAAAGGATTTTAGGTTCAAAAACGCAAGAGCCATTTTTTTTGTTTAAATTTATTTAATTTAAATCCAATTTTAAAAAATGCCTTCATCACCGTTGATGGATTCAACAAACGATGATGATAAGATGAATTCTGCTAGTCTTGATGATGGAATGGTAGTAGCAGAGAGTAGTAGTAATGCAGTACCATCTTCAATATCGGAACAGCAACAGGTTGGAGATAATAGTGTGGATGATGGTTTTAATACAATAACGGCAACACCATCAAACACAATGATGGATTTGTCAGGAGATTCTTCTACTCAGGAATTGAATGGTTATAGACCAGTGGGTGTGATTTCTTTTAACAAGCTAAACATGTTGGTTTATACATTTCAAAACAAGATGTTTATTATGGATCCGAATGAACCAATGCAAATGGAAACAATACCATCGAATCACATGTATGATAATATTTCTGGATGCTCATGGCAAGCAAATGAAGGAATACCTCTACTCTTAACAAATGATTCCTATAATACCATCTCATTATGGAAAAGTGGAGATCATTGTGTGAATGATTTTGTTCTGAGAAAAACTTTTTACAGTGAAAATGTATTGTGCTGTAAATGGTGTGATTCAATTCGAATTTTTACTATTCATCCACCTTCGGAACGACTATTTGAAACTGAGGGAGAGGGAGAGCTTCTTGAAAATAGATACCAATTTAAAACAAGTGTGGCTACTGGCTTAGCTCATGGAAGTAGAGCATTTATCGTTATTACTAGCCATGGAAGAGTGTTGCTCTACTTTTTTGACCATGCTAAGGCACGATGGGTCACGTCTACCATTCAACTAAATCTAGATTGTGTCACTAGTGCAGATTTTACTATTCTAAATAACGGACAAATATGCGTAGCGTGCAATGAACGTGACAGCTCTGCTGTTCACATATCCTATTTTGGAATTGAAGTTGGCAGAAATGTGGATGCCACCCTGCCATTCAATTTGAAGTTTATCTCACGTTCAGTGTTTGTGCTGGATCATTTGGTTGATGGACTCTACTTTATTCCTTTCATGGATCGATTAATAGTGAAAACGAAGAATAACAAATTCAAGTCATTTTTCCAAAAAGATCATACCTTTTCAATATCAAAGGTAATCCCAATTTCTGAAGAATTAAGAAATTCTCTAAGCGGAACGGTTTGGAAGGAGCATCAAAACTTTGACATGCCTGAGGGAGATGCCATCTCATTTAAAACATCTGTGGATGGCCAATATTTAATATTTATTTCTAGAAGTGGAAGAATTACTTTTTACATTTATAACCTCTCTTCAAATGAATACGTACTCCATGATGAGATTTCAAACATTTTCTTGGACGGTGCAAGTAGAGAGCTCGTGAAAGAATCAAACCTTGTGCCTTCCCGAAAAAAGCGAAAAACGAAACAAGCCAACACCATCAGTAGTAGCGTCATTGTCACAAACAAACCAGAAATATTGGATGCTTGCTTATCTCCCAATTCTACCATACTTGCTGTATTAGATTCACACATGAGAGTTAAACTGTTTACCATGAAGAAAAACTCTATAGAAATCTATCGTAAAATGATGGACTGTTCCATGCTCAACGGTTTTGACAAGTGGGATTTACTTGCTTCTATTAGGAACCAATTCACAAACACAGAAATTATAGAGCTTGCAGACTCTTTCGGAAAATCCATGAACAACTTGACTCAAAGCAATATTCATTTTTGGCAATTCCAACACGATACATTTGCACTATTTATTAACTCGTAAGTAGTAGCGATGAAATTCGAAATTGGGACATGACACTTGTATTCTAATTATGAATTCTCTCTGAATTTAATTTGTCATTTTTTTCATTCAAAGAATGCTTCCAAGTGCGGAAAAACGAGCACTCGTCTTGGTTGCACAGTCAATTACCTATTGTAATAGTATTTTACAAATTTTGAGAGCTGAAAAAAGTATTGCCTCTCTTGGTGTACTTCATGCTCAAAATCGTCCAGAATCCTTTGAAGAGCTTATGAAATACTGTGAAGAAATATCTGCCAAGTTGAACGTTGATGATGCGCTTTCATTTATTTGCACAGCCAATTGGACCATACGATTACTGTTATTTATTAAAAAGTGTATGACGGATCTAATCAATGAAGGAAAAACCAAGACAGTTCCAGACTTTAGTTTATCGGTTTATTACTTGGTAAGTAGTAGTAGTGAAAGAAGAGTTTGACATATTGACGTGTGTGATGGAATTTTCAATCTCATCAACTTGTTGTGAATTCACACACTTGTTATTGCACTCATTTATACCACCCACACTCAGATTGGGAGCTTAAAATCTCAAAACTTGTTACCATTATTATTGAAAGAACTTGTGATTGTGTCCGTTGTGGTATTATCTCTCACTCCAAAGATGAAACAAGAGAATCAAATTATGTTACTAAGCAAACATACCATCACTCATGCAGTTAATTTCTTTTGGAAACTTTTGGGTTCAATTGAGGCGACACTGAAAAAAACGGAAACATATAAGGGAGATCATATCAATCCTATCATCATTGAAGAGTGTTCTAAAATCTTGTCAGATGTAAACAAGTCAAGTTATGAAGAAGCACTTTCGAATTATTCAACACAACAGCATTTGGAAATTTTGGATTTATCTCCCATGATGAAAGGCTTTTTGTATCATCCAAATTTTATTGATATACTCCCTCACAGGAAACAAGTGGATTCTATTACTAAGGTAACACCTGTTGTGGAGCGGCCTGAAAGAATTTTGGACCCAAAGAGGCCACTTGTTACTCTCAAAGTTTGCAAGTTGTGTAATAGAGTCACGCAACAAGATCCCTCGCCAATATTTTCCTGGAGTAAGAGATTCTCCATGTCTTGCCTGATGTGTGGCAGTTTTTGGAAACGATGCAGTGTTGAGAGCTGGCAAAGTATGGATAACTTTTAAACATGCATGGTCTCACTCTAATACACATGATGTATTGAGCTTTTCTCAATTCATACTGAGTAGTAATGGAAAACACATAATTTATTGTTTTAATATCCTCTAATCTTGGTAATAAGCTTCTTTTGATATTCTTGTTGCAAAGGTTCATATCTGGCAAAGTCCATATGGTAGTGACATTGACCAGAAGTAAGCGATCGTAAGTGTGAGCTGTATCCAATCATTTCGCTGAGAGGAACTTCTGCACAAATAATGGTAAAATGCTCTAACTTGCTTTGCAGGCCCTTAATTTTTCCTCTTCTACTTCCTGTAAGGTCTGACATGATAGATCCAATATAAGTTCGATCTGTTTCAATTTCAATATCCATGTAAGGCTCCAATAATCGAATGTGCTGTTCATTCTCTTTTAGTACCTTATTGAAGAGAGTGTGAGCACATCCAATGAAGGATTGATTCTGTAACTCTTCATTTCCAGAAATAATTTGCTCATTGTTGTCATCTAAAATAGATGCTCCAACAACGGTGACGGTCATTTCTTCAATGGGGTAACCTAGCAGTGCACCTCTCATGAAACTACTTTCAATGCCATACCGAATGGATTTTTCAAATTTCTTAATCACTTTTTGATCAGGTAAGCATAAATCCTCATCCCATTCAAAATTCACTACATTGCCTTGGCCAGATTCAGATGGTCCTACTTTTAACCACAGTTTTGCGTAAAGCCTCTTTCCAGTCGTCAACTTTTTGTCAAATTCCAAAAATGTCACTGGTGACTCCACTGTAAGTGTCTCTCTGTATGAAATTTGTACTTCTCCCATTTCCACGTTGATGCCATACTCTGTCAAAATTCTGTCCTTGATAATTTCTAAATGCAATTCTCCCATTCCGCTCACGAGGGTTTGATTGGTCTCTTCATTATTCGTAATTTTAAGACTTGAATCTTCTTTTTGAAGAATGGAAAGCGCATTATCAAGGGCCTCTTGCTCTGCCGAGTTCTCTGCCTCAATGGAACAAAAGAATACGGGCTTTGGAACTGAGAGTTGAGGAATTGCTGTGTCAAGTTTAGCTCCATGCTTGGCAACCAGAATATCTCCTGTACCTGTTTCTCGCAATCCCACTAACACTCCAATATTTCCACTCGAAATTTTTTTAACCTCTTGAGGTACGTTGGCATGCATTTGATAAATCTTTCCAATACGTTCTTTTTGGTTTTTGGAATGGTTGAAAATTGCAGGTGATTTAGTAATGTCAATGGCACCACCATATACTCTGACAAAAACGAGTAGCCCTCGTTGTGCATCATTAATCACTTTAAATGCAAATGCATTCAATTCCTTATGTTTTTCATCAATTTTTGGTCCAGGAAGATATCTAATGACTCCATCCAATACTTGTTGAACTCCTTTGTTTTTGAGAGAACTTCCACAAAATATAGGTATAGCTTTTCTAGAAATGGTAATTCTTCTCAATGCATTATGAATATCATTAGGTGTAATTTCTTCCTCGTTCAAATATTTTTCTCCTAAATCTTCATCAATACTAGCAATTTTGTCAATCATTTCTTCTCTTGCTTTCATTACACGATCTAGGTCTTTAGGTTGCACTTCTAGAGGTTTGTACTCTCGCGACTCATCTCCTGAAAATTTATATTCTTTAATTTCGATCAAATCAAAAACGGATGTAAAGGCGTCTTCTGTGCCATTAGGTAATTGAACTGGTATTGGAGTTGGGCAACCTGGCAGCCTTTCCAAAAGTGTGGAAATGGCAAATTCAAAATTGGCTCCAATTTTATCCATCTTGTTCATGTAAACAATTCTAGGAACGTTATATCGATCTGCTTGTCTCCACACTGTTTTACTTTGTGCCTCTACACCATTGACAACATCAAAAATTGCAACTGCTCCATCCAACACGCTGACAGATCGTTCCACCTCAAATGTAAAATCCACATGTCCTGGAGTATCAATTAAATTAATTCTGTGGTCTTTCCATTTAAATGTAATGGCTGCACTTGTAATTGTAATTCCACGTTCCTGTTCTTGCGGCATATAATCCGTGATGGTATCCCCATCGTCCACATTTCCCAAGTGAGAGCTGTACCCCGAATAATAGAGCATTCTCTCAGTAGTTGTTGTTTTTCCAGCATCAATATGAGCAATAATTCCAACATTTCTAATCATATGACTCGGAAGTTCAAACATGATATTTCCCAGAGTATCACCACTATCTTGAGTATTACTTTTAATATCTTTTTGTCGGGTTGTGTGTTTGAGAGAGGAGGAAGCCTTCTTTTCAGAATGATCGGAATATTCTCGTTTGCAAGTACTAGTAGTAGTATTCATCGGAAACATGAAATGATTCGTTTTGCTCCGCATGATGGTCATTGGTCTACTACAACTAGTACGTAATATTGTACTTGATGCTGTACCCAATGACGAGAGCATGTTGTGCTTTGAAGAACAAAGAAAAGATGATGGACTAGGAGCCAAATATCGTTTTAACATTTTTTGTTTTTTCAATTTTATTGATGAATGATAAAAAGTATTTCTCATTAAAGTTATTCATTCAGACTTGGATCAAAACCATTTCAAATCAAGAACACCAACTCACCATGGTGAACTCGTTGGATTAACATTGGTGGTTTTGAGCCACGTTTGCCCAGGTCATCAACACGTAATCACACACAAAAAAATGTCTCAATCCCTTCTTGATTATGCTTATTATTGGTTCTATCGATTTATTGATCTATTCCAACCACAAACTCAATACTGTATTTTAGGATATACTCAGTCTAGTTCTTACACTCCGGCTATATTTACTGAAATAACGGACTTGTTACAACGATCATTTGCAAATAATGATACCAGATCTTCTCCGATTGAAACTCAATATTCATACAGCGTGGAATATAAAAACTTTTACATGACAGTCTTTAAATTAAATTATTATTCAACCTATTATACTGAGGAAAATATTTATAATTATTATATCAAGGGAAAAGCTGGACTTTTACTCACGATCGAAGTTACCAATCACACTTGGGAATCAGATGATTTGCCAAATCGAATTCAATTTGTATTGAAAAAGATTGGAAAGAATGTACCTGTATTATTTATCATTCATGGATTGCAAGAACCAATGGGAAAACATGCGAATAGTATAGCCGAGATGGTACAACAGATGGTGAGAAAGCATGATCATGAAGAGTACTCGTGTATTGTTACCAAAGAAAATGGTAAAGATGGTGCTTTATACGAAGGATTGGAATGGTTGTTCATCATGTCTGCCAAGTGATCATAGCTTGAGTTTGAAAAAAATGTGTAAATACTCTTGTGTTCCAAAATTGCACCAGAAAGGACATAAAATTTAATTTCATGGCCAAACTCAATCCTCATGTTTTTCCGATTACTGTTGTTGTTTCATATTTATTTACCATTACGTGATGATCAATAGTAATTCATGGTAAAATGACAGCTGGCATCCGTTTTCGGTTTACAGTGTCCTGTAATTCAATGAAAAAAACTTCTCGCAAGTCAGGGCAAAAAATGCTGAGGCTTGAGTTTGGCCATGGCAACCACAATTCGGAGTGTAGAGCCTTGAGGTCTTGCTCATCATCATCCGTTGGCCACAATCATCGCAACAACACCAACTTGTATCATCATGATAGACTTATTATTTTATGTAAGTTTCTTGTTGGGATTATTCCAATGATCTCAACCTTAACAAACTGTGCAGTAATTTCTCTCCTTCTATTATGTAATTATGCTGCACCATTTATTTCATCATCATTTTCGTATACAATCTCTGATCAAGAGCATGTCATTGAACAGGTGAAAGCATGGAAGTATAAACAACGAAGTTTTATCAGGGTTATTGAGGGAGATGTGTATCAGGAACGAAAAAGAATGATCGATACCAGAGAAAAACCCCGAGCAGTAGATGTAGTTGATGCAATCGGGGACGCAAAAGCCAATAGCGAACGAGTCAATATAGTAAGCCCGGTTCTTGGAAATATGTCGCAATCCTCATGGGACACTCTTGTGCGGGTAGTCAGTCGAGAGCTTGAGTTGGAACATATTCTGACTCTTGGAAGAAATACAATTTTTGATTTGGGAGAGAAATGTGCAACAGGAATCAATGTAAGTTTTGTGGGATCTCTTTTGCAGAAAGCTTACCAATTGTTGTGATGCTTGTAAGAATTTTACGGAATATGTCTATGGAGAAGAAATGTTTTTCAGAGGCAAGCATTTCAACATTTCCCGAGATCAGTATTCAACATTTGAAACGGGTAAACCTGGAGATTTTGTTCGAAACAGTACAACTGCTAGAATTACAAACAGAATTAGTGCCGGATCGAAACATGTACTTGTACTAATGCCTAATGGAAAAGTATATTCCACTGGAGTCTATCTGAATGGAAATTTGGGAAGGTATGTTTCCGACATAAACTTTATTAAGGCAGTAACAATAATTTTATGACATTCCACAAACTTCAAAAGGAGAATGACGGATTCAAAAATTGTCTATAATGCTCCTGTTGAAAATCTCAAAGGACACAAAATTTTACAAATTGAATCAAGTATGAATAGCAACTTGATTTTAACTGACAAGGGCCTCTATGGTTTTGGAGAAAATACAAACTCTCAAATGGCCACTGGAGGGACCAAGCCAGTCCTTACCCCAACTAGAATCAATGGCTTCAATTTTAATACCACCATTGTACAAATTGCTATGGGATATTCGTTCTCTTTTGCAGTGGATATCACTGGAAAGCTTTGGGCTTGGGGTGATAATCTTGCTGGTCAACTTGGTGACAGAACATGGGACGAAAAGAATAGGCCCTTCGCAGTTTACAGATATGGAGCATTATTGAACCAAACGATCTACAGAGTGTGTGGTGGTTGGAAACATGCTCTAATGTTAACAACAAATGGCTCGTTATATGCAATGGGAGACAATTCATTAGGGCAATTGGGAACAAACTCAAATGTCAATACAGGAGAGCCTGTTAAGGTGAAAATGGATAACTTTGGATATCGAACGATTGTTGACATTCAATGCGGTTATGCTCACAACCTTGCATTGACATCAAGTGGAGAAGTTTTTTCGTGGGGATACAATGAACATGGCCAAATTGGTGACGGAACCACAACGAACGTTCTAAAGCCAAAGCTGGTTCCTGGATTGAGTGACTGCAATGTGAAAAAGATTCATACCAAAGCAAATGTGAATATTGTACTTTGCTCGAATAACACCATCTTTGCGTGGGGAAAGAATGATGTCAACCAAACGGGAACTGGTCTTTCCACATCAACTGTTTCTGTACCAACTAGAATAGATTATACACAACAACCTATTGTTGATATGACATCGTCAGAGAATTACTCATTCCTATTTCTTGCAGATGGCTCTATTCATGCTGTTGGTTTGTGCAACAATGTGCCATATTTCTATGGCCATGAATGTCTTGATTCTCAACCTGCATTGCTACCTGGTGCTATGCCCAACGATCCCAAAAGATATGTTTTTTCATTGGATGGAAAGTTCACCAAAGTAAGACTTCAAGACAGCATGACCATTCCATGGTATCAGAGAAAACCTGTGTATTTCGAAATGGGGGAGGATGGATATTTACTCAAGCCGGAGGTGACAGTACCCACTCGATCCTGGAATGGATTTAACATGTACAGTACGAACGTCACCAATACCAACAATTGGACAATCTTGGAATATAACAATTCAACGAACGAGGGCTTTCCTGTTTCAATCTATAATTCCCACTTTTTGAAACTTAATGAGTACATGTATTTGTTTGGAGGATTTATCAATGATGAAATATCCAACTCGATCTACAGATGTCCAATCTATACCTTGTCGCAGGAATGGGAATTGGTGAATGTTACGCTTCCTATACCGTTGGCATCTGGAAGTATTCAAATTATTGGAGATTTCGTTTATATATTTGGAGGAATGTCAAGATTGTATTACTACAACGAAACCTGGGATGAAGGCCCAACTCTTGCTCCCATTATTGTGGACACGATATTGAGGGCACCCCTGTCTAATGTTTTAGCCTTTGAAATTGTACGAGGCAAGAATATTTCTACTCCTCTACATTCTGCATATTCGGAAATTGTTGGTGATTATGTCTATTTATTTGGGGGTTTCAATGAATTACATCAGTCGACATTTAACATTTTTAGAGCTCCAATATCAGACCCAACAACATGGCAAATGACTTTTGGTCTTTTACCCTTCTATTCAATTAATACTGGAACGTTTGTTTCCACAAACAACTCTCTCTATATATTCAATGGAGGAAATAGCAGCACGGCAAGTGGTGGACCGTTCATGGCTGTTGCTAGCACAAATGATCCTGTAGAATCATGGATGCTCTACAATGACCCAGTCCTTACCACCGAGTCATGGTGTAAAAAGTACAGATTGTTGTGTTTGTTCTGTAATGGCGTTCAAGCCACACACCCAAGCGTTTGCTCATCAGGTGGAGTTTGTGCAGACTACGATACTTGCGTGTGTTCACCAGGAAGAAGCGGTAGAAATTGTGAGTTCGTGAGCATTTTGGCGTTTGAGAACAATCGAAGATATGCTGATGGCACCTATGCTCGATCATGTGAAGAGTACAAAAATCCATTCAATACATCTCGATTGTATTCTGGATATACTGGAAATGGATTTTACATGATTCAACCATATCCAGAAATGCCTCCAGTGCTTCAATTTTGTGACATGACGCCAACATTGCCAAGTTTCACCCATCATCCTGAAATGGTATCGATGCAAACCAAGGCCAACGAACTACAAACATACTACCGTTTACTCAAATATTCAAACTCTATTACCAGCCTTGGAGATGGCCTTTACAAATTAAGGTACGATCCATCAAGAGTTTCTCTGTTCACAAATAACCAAGTACCTGATAACCGAGTTTCACCTCAGTTACAAATACTTTGTAATGTTCCCTACACAGGTGCTCCTCTTTTGTGTAGTTATGCTGGAGCATGCGCAAACAGCAAATGCATTTGCGGTACTGAGAGGTATGGAACTGACTGCCGAAAAGTTGGTATTGTATTGTATGGTGGATATAGAAGATATGCAGACTTGACCTTTGCTGCCTCTTGCTACTACTATCGATTCCCATCAAACTCAAGCAGGCTTTATTCTGGTGAGATTGGAGACGGCATGTATTTAATCCAACCTGACTCCACCAAAGACGCTATTCCCGTATTTTGTGACATGTCATCAAAAGATAGCTCTGGAAATGATAATTCTGGTTGGACCTTGGTGTACAAGTATCCAAAACGAGTGAGCGACGATGCTTATACTATTTGGACAAGCACTAGCGACACAGTAGGAACACCAAACAAGTTCAGTACAGACATTTATCATTTGGCTTCTGTAAAGAATAGTTGGAATATTTTCACGGAGGCAAGGGTTGAAATTACCTCTGAAGGTTCAGTTAAGAGATATATTGTCTTTGGGCTTGGTTCAGACAAAAATCTTTGGTTTACCAAAGACTCGGTTAAACATTCAAACTGGGGGCTACATTTGGGTTATTATGACACATATCAATATTTCGCTGCAATTGGTGACACTGTTAATAACAGAAGGTGGACCGTTATCAAGTCTTATTACAATTGTGATTACGACCTTGGCTGGCTTATTATTGCCAGAGCCACTGACACTTGTGTCGTCAGTGGAAGATGGAAATCTGAGCCATACGGCCATTCCATTTATTACTCAAATGTTGACACCACCATGTATTTCAAGGATATGCTTTTGGCTGATACTGTTATTGTCATGTTGCGATAATTTATTCAATAAATGCAAATGGTGACATACTATGTCACACAATGCTCGGAAAAATGGGAGTGTCTGGCTCCTTTCATCCTTAAACATCACGTCCAAACTATTTTATACTTAGAACTACTACTACATTTCTTCGTCCGTACTCGTTGTTTGGAGGCCTCTCGTAAATGCTGCACTTTTTCGATTGTTCAACTTGTCATTAAAACGTTGACTGTCATTTCTCCTAATGATACGGGCTGAATTTCTATTATTTTGAGCTCTATCCGAAGATAAAGTACCCAGAGATGCTTGTTGTTGTTGTGTCGTGTTGTTATGTTGTTGGTGAGAGGATGGTGTTGTCATGCAGCTTGGTTGAGACTTGTTCGTGGTTGACAATAGAGTTGTGAGATGATTCGTTGTGTTATCACAACAATCCATATTCTCATTGCTGTCAAAACTGCTACTTGCAGTGCTCCTACGGTCAGCACCTAACGATGAATTCAACGAGGAAGGAGTGGATGGTGAGCCTCCTTTCTGTGTGGATTGTCTCTTTTTCAACAAGAAGGAGAATATTTTGAAACCCTTCTTTTGTTCCTGAAGGTCCGTTCGATTCTTTTCCGAGAGTGTTGGCATGGTGTGTCACGGTGTTGTTGTTGTTTCTAGTTTTTCAAAGTTTTTGGTGAGAGTCAATGAGAGAAGAGAGAGGTCTAGAGTTATGTGTGAAGGTCGTACGAGTCGCGATCGAGTTGGCACTAGCAACGGAGATTAGTAATAGTACTTGAGACGGTGTGTCGAGAGTGAGATCAGTGAGGGAGTTTTTGCGTTGTAGGTCAAAGAAACGTTTCCTGTGTTTTTTTTGATCGTTGTTTTTGACAAGAAAGACCAACAACATCATAATTATGATAAACAAAATCATGACATTGATGATTTTCTAAAGAGGCAATAAGGGCTTACGATTCGTTACAACATGAAATTATGATCTTTCCAGAGTCTCAGGATTCGACATTGGCTGTCAGATGAATGGAATCAAGGAAGCTTTGTTTCTTTTAGTATTTAATATTCGAAATAAATCCTAAAATAGATCAAGGTTTGAATAATTCTCTGAATAGGAGCAACATGTAGGACAAGTTGTGGATACTCTCTAGCTCTCTTCCACACCAAGTTGTTGCGGTATTCATCTTATCAATCAGAATTCCATTTATATTTTTATCTTCAAAAAACCTGTCACATTCTTTCAATCTCAAACAACAACATTATGATAAAAAAAATACCTGAACCTCTTTGATTCACACCATAATGTCACCCTCATCAAGTAGCAACAATACCAACATGAACAATAATCAAGATCCAACAACATTCAAGAAGAGAAGGAAACAAGAAGAATCATCCACAATGAAGAAACAAAAAAATGATCCATCCATAGAGACCTCCATGGACCATCAAGTCGTTTCCAAATTTTCTGAAGAAACTCTTGTTCGGGACCTTTTCAATCAACGAAACGACCTTCAGTTGGATCATTCAAATCTCATTCTCAAAAAAGATCATGTATTAAGACCCATTTGGATTTGTTCCGATGTGGATGAACGATTCCATATTTTCATGGAGACATGTTCTCCAATCTATCTACAAGCGTATGATTTTCTAGTGGCAATAGCTGAACCCATTTCTCGTCTTGAAAGCTTTCATGAATATATATTGACCGAATATTCTCTTTTTGCTGCTGTTAGTATTGGAATGAATACTGAACATGTGATTCAAATGTTGGACAAGTTGAGTAAGGTACAATTACCAGATTCGTTAATTAACTTTATTACGGAAGTAACAAGAAAATATGGTAATGTTAAACTTGTTCTACAGAAAAATCGATTTTTCATGGAATCGCAACATTTAAGTGTTATGGAAAAATTATTGGAGGATTCTATCATTCGTTCAGCTGCTGTCAGTCCATCAGATCGAACAGAATTTCCAAACATTGATTCGAGTGGAAGATTCATTATTAAATCAAAGCCATTGGAAATTGAAAAATTCCAAAAACAAGCATTAATTTCAAATACCAAATCTGTTCCATTTAAAATTCAAACAGAAATGATTCAAGTAGATCATGATCAAATAGACAATTACGACAACCATGATGATGATTGTGACATGTCTTCCACACACGTAATAACAAACTATTATCAATTTGAAATTCATCCCAACCAAGTTGAACATGTCAAAAAGAGATGCATTGAAATTGGTCTTCCCACTCTCGAAGAATATGATTTCAGAAATGACAGTTCCAACAAGTCATTACGCATTGATTTGAAACCAACAACTACCATTCGATCCTATCAAGAAAAATCACTCAGCAAAATGTTTAGCAATGGAAGAGCAAGAAGTGGAATTATTGTCTTGCCATGTGGTGCTGGAAAAACACTTGTTGGAGTCACTGCTGCATGTACTGTTAAAAAGAGAACACTCGTATTGTGTATCAACTCGGTGAGTGTTTTACAATGGAAAAATCAATTTAAATTATGGAGTACCATCGATGAACGTCAAGTCATTGTGTTCACCTCTCAAGAAAAGGATTCACTTCCAAAAGAGGAACTCCAAGAACCTTTGATCATTATTACGACCTATTCCATGTTGACACAACAACACAAGAGAAGTGGTAAATCGAAGGAAATGATGAATTATATTCAAAGTAGAGAGTGGGGTTTACTCATTTTGGATGAAGTTCACGTCGTGCCAGCTCATCAATTCAGAAATGTCTCCAGTTTAAAATCGCATTGTAAACTTGGACTCACAGCCACTCTCGTTCGTGAAGATTCGAGAATTGATGATTTATACTTTTTGATTGGTCCAAAATTATACGAAGCCAATTGGCTCGATCTTCAAAAAAAGGGACATCTCGCTCATGTTCAATGTGTAGAAGTATGGTGTCCAATGACTGCTGAATTCTATGCCGAATACTTGATTGCTAATGCCAAGAAGAAGACTCTCTTGTATGTCATGAATCCAAACAAATTCAGAGCGTGTGAATTTTTAATTCGATATCATGAAAAACAAGGAGATAAGATTATTGTATTTAGTGATAATGTCTTTTCATTGGAACAATATGCCACGAAACTCAAACTTCCATTCATTTGTGGTAACACGACGCAACAAGAAAGAATTGAGGTTTTGAATCGATTCAGACAAGGTCGTCCCTTTAACACCTTGTTTATGAGTAAGGTTGGTGACACGGCGATTGATATTCCAGAAGCAACAGTCATTATTGAAATTTCCTCTCATTTTGGAAGTCGAAGACAAGAAGCACAACGTTTGGGAAGAATTTTACGTCCAAAGGCAGGAGGACTGAACCATCAACACGCTTATTTTTACACATTGGTCTCTCAAGACACACGTGAAATGTTCTACTCAACTAAGAGACAACAATTCTTGATTAATCAAGGTTATAAGTTCAGAGTGTTGCCAGATATTGAAAAGTATTATGAACATTGTGCAAGTGGTGAATTAGGATTGTCCTATGGTCGCACCACAATCAATGAGAAGGAATGGCTTGGTGTGGTCAAAGCGGCACGTGATGCATGTGGTGACGAAGAAAAAGTGGATGATGAGAGTAACACTCAACAAGCATCAATTTCTATGGCACAGCTTTCAGGAGGACAAGGAGTTGTTTATCATGTACTTGATGGAAACACTGTAAAGAATAAGAGAAACAAGTCTACAGTGTCAGCTGCAGTTCATCCACTCTTTAAGAATAGAAATTCTTCATCCAAATATTAAATAAATGATTACTGGAAAGCGTTTGTGAATGAACGTTCGAATTCGTTTGGTTTGACGTTCTTGCTGTCTCGTGTTATGGATATTGATGTTGGAATAAATTCAAAAATTAACAACTGGATTTTGAAAGACTTCCACATCGAGAGAGTGTTTGGGAATGTCTCACGAGGACCACATGGTCTGCTTGACACACGTTTTATTTTAAATTGAGAGTGAATCATTCGTTCGCACTCGTTCATCATTGAAAGAGCTCTTGCTCCTCTCGTAAACGAAATGAAAATCAATCACTGAGATCATCACCTGGTCTCACTTTCCAGAATTCCCATTTCCATTCTCATTATTATTCTTTTTATAATATTTCTTATATCCATAAACACCAGCTCCAACCACAACACCACCAATAATCGCTACGGGAAGAACCGTTGTGGTCAAACCAACCGCACCCGCAGCACCAATCGATTGCAACGTAGCAACGGTTGAGCCAGCAGCAACACCACCTCCATTGGCCACGGCTACAGCACTCATCCATGATGAAGCCAGAGAGCATGAAGCAATTCCTGCTTTACCAAACCCGAGGAGAGAAGCAAGAGTTGGAATACCAACGTAGGCGGTTGATCCAGCCACAACACCACCCACAGTTGCTCCCAAAGCTGTTTCTTTCACTGGAGATGATGTATTTTCAGAGTCGTTCGTTGTTGTTGGTGGGTTCATCTCTGATTTTGTTGTTGTTGTTGTTGTTGTTGATAGAGATTTAACCTTCGTGATTAATTTCGAAGAGTTTGGAACAACCGTTTGAGACCAAAAGTTTTGCAAGCTTTCCATTTTTTTTGTAAGATTTTTCATTTATGAAAAGTACAAGGTCAGTTTCTTATTTGAAAATTGAGAAGGAGAATCGAATGAGAATTTAACTTTGTGGTTGTTTCGATTAAAAATCATTGATACACTTAAAAAAAATGAGCGCCAACTCTTCTACGATTTTTTGGCAAGATCGAGAAATTAGATTTGATTCCAACTTTGAGGCAGGGTATGTTGAGTTGTATACAACATTGGACCCGAGAGTTCATCATTCTCTATGATGGAAAATAATAATTTATTGGATAATTGGATCCCGAAATATGGTTGGGCAAATCCATATTGAAATGAATTGCAACAACACACTGTTAGAGAACTTAATTTGAGGAAGGGAGAGTTTGAAATTGATGTTTTGGAAAATGTAGAGGATACGAAAGGAAATAATGGAGAGAAGGGAAGATGTGTCATTACAAATTTACGATTATTGTGGATCTGTACAAGAAATCCGAAAATTAATTTGAGCATTGGATACAATACAATGGTGAATATTAAAATTCAGACAGGATCGAGTCGATTAAAAGGATCCACTCAAGCATTATATTTATTAACAAAATATCATGGCTCAAGATTTGAATTTATATTTTCAAATATGGTGAAAACAAATCCGAGACTATTCTCGACCATTCAAGCAGTATTTAAAGCCTATCAGTCAAGCAAAATGTACAGAGAAATCCGCTTGAGATCGGCCATCATTAAGAATAAGCATTTAGAGTTGTTACCCAAAGAGCAAGTATATACAACATTGAGTGGTGTTTGGAATTTGAGTGCAGAGCAAGGAAACTTGGGAACATTTATTGTGACCAATGTACGAGTGGTGTGGTTTGCAGACCTTGCAGAAAATTTCAATGTATCCATTCCTTACCTTCAAATTGTAAGTAAGAATGCAACGCTACTGAACTGACATGAGGAATGAAATGTCTGTTGACTACTACTTCCAACTCTTTTGGTATCTATAACACATGAATCCTTCACAGAAAAATGTATCATTTAGAGACTCCAAGTTTGGAAAAGCATTTGTGGTTGAAACGAACAGAAGTGCAGGAAGAGAATTTGTGTTGGGATTTAAAGTCGATCCAGTCGAAAGACTCAGTGATTTGTTCAAAGAAGTATCATCTCTTCATCAACTCTTTACAGATAATCCACTGCTTGGTGTTGAATATCAGCCAGAAGAAAAGCAGGCTAGTCTCGAACAGCTCATGGTTCCAAAAACCACAGAGAGTATTAAGTACATTGGAAACAAAGACACCAGTGACCCACTCGCTCCGTACTATGTTGACACTTCCGACAAGTCAAGCAATACTTCGATTGGTTTCAGTGAAGAACTTGGTTTAGCTTGTGAAGAACTTAAGGATGGAATGTCCATCAAAAAGTTGTGGCAATGCATTTACAAGGTGTAAATAAAAGTTGTGTGATTAATCCGAGCGCACGATGGTCATCACACAAGGTTGGAGTCCATAGACAACACGATCATATTTTAAACGTGCACGTTACACGCTAGAACCAATCCAATGAATTCATTGAATCATGCAGGTAATGTTACAGAAACTGCACCCAAACTCTATTCTTTGGCCATATTACAATCATCATGCTCCGATATTAAAAAAAAATGTCTTCATCCATTCCCAAACTAGTTGGTAACACTCCACTCTCCGAAGCAGATCCAGAACTCTTTGACCTCATTGAAAAGGAAAAGAACAGACAATGGAAGGGTCTTGAATTAATTGCTAGTGAAAACTTTACAAGCCAGGCTGTGATGGACTGCCTCGGAAGTTGCCTTACTAACAAGTACAGCGAAGGACAAGTTGGAGCTCGTTACTATGGAGGAAATGAAGTGATTGATGAAATTGAAAAATTGTGCAAGGAGAGAGCTCTTTCTGCTTTTAATCTCTCACCAGAAGAATGGAGTGTGAATGTACAACCCTACTCCGGATCACCTGCTAACTTTGCGGTTTATACTGGTCTATTGCAACCTCATGATCGTATCATGGGTCTTGATTTGCCAAGTGGAGGACATTTAACTCACGGTTATTATTCTGGAAAGAAGAAAATTTCTGCTACTTCCATCTTCTTTGAAAGCTTGCCATATTGTGTGAATCAACAGGGTTATATTGATTATGATGGACTTGAAAAATCAGCCAAAGTTTTTAGACCAAAATTAATTATTTGCGGAGGAAGTGCATATCCAAGAGATTGGGATTATGCCAGATTGAGACAGATTGCCACCGATGTTGAAGCCTATTTAATGTGTGATATGGCTCACTATTCGGGATTGGTCGCTGCCAAAGAGCACAATAATCCATTTGAATATTGTGATGTTGTCACATCCACTACACACAAATCACTCAGAGGACCTCGAGCTGGTATCATATTTGCCAAGAAGGATCTCATGCCAAAGATTGATTTTGCTGTATTCCCTGGAATTCAAGGTGGTCCACATAATCATCAAATTGCAGCCATCGCCACTCAACTAAAGCAAGTACAAACTCAAGAATTCAAGGAACATATCAAACAAGTGAAGGCCAATGCCAAGACACTCGCCAAATGTCTAATTGACTATGGATATACTTTGGCAACTGGAGGCACTGATAATCACTTGGTGTTGTGGAACTTGAGACCACAAGGAATCACTGGAAGCAAGATGGAAAAGCTTTTCGATGCAGTCTCAATCACAGCCAACAAGAACTCGATTGCTGGCGATCCAAATGCATTGTCACCATATGGAATTCGTTTGGGAACTCCTGCTTTGACCACTCGTGGACTCAAGGAAGAAGATTTCGAACGTGTTGCTGAATTCTTGCATCGTGGCTTGCAATTGGGATTGAGACTCCAACAACAAGCTGCCTCTCCCAAGTTACCAGACTTTTTGGCACAAATTAAGCCAGAGGATGAAGAATTGAAACAATTGAAGCATGATGTGGAAACGTTCGCTAAACAGTTCGGCATTCCCGGTTGGAATATTGAAGAAATGAAATTCAAAGATTAATTGCAGTAAACAACATTGCAAACGTGTGCATTCTTGATTTTCCTTCTAAAAGAACATTGATGAAAATCAATGATTTACAAACCAAATTGATACAATTCCGTGATTATCATTGAAGGCGACGATGCAGTGATTGTCATCATCACGGTGATGAAAATAAGAGAACCGGAAATAATGATTATTTCGAAAATAAATTTCTTATGTTATTAATCACGAGCTAATTTTACATCTTAACTTCCTTCAAACCGTCAACAAAGAAGAACAATTGTGAGGTTTTTCCGTCATCATTGAACTTTTGGAAGATGAGCATCGACTTGTCCATATCGTTAGATTCGCCTTGGTAGAATTTGTAATTCTTGATGTCCTTACCAACTTGGTCAGCGAGGAACTTCTTGACTTGCTCGTTGAATTTGGCGAGCTTTTCAGTGCTCTCCTTTTCAATTTTAGCTCTCAAAGTGGACAAGTATGGTCCGACGGTATCAACCAATTGCTTAACCTTTTCAATTCCAGTCATTTCAACCAAGTGGAAGCTATCAACAATTTGGTCAACCTTTGTGGTATTTTCTGGCTTGTTTTCCAATTTTTCGAATTGGTCTGGATCGTAGAGGATATCCTCATCTTCATCTTTAACCATGAACTTGGAGGAAACATTGTAAATGAATCCTTCATATTCAACCTTCATTGGGAAAGAATCAGAGAACAATTCATCACGGGTGAAAATATCAGTGTAGACCTTCATTGTTGTTGTGGTTGTTGGGATGTTGAGATATTTTTTCAAGACGAAAAATTTCAACTTCAAAAAAATTGGTCAGGTCTGCGATTGGTTGGTACTGGGTTTACAATTGTTTGTTTTTCAAATTGCCAAGACGGGTCATGCCGAGGTGCTTATTAATGATAAGGCAATAGCATAGGCAGCATCATAAAATTACATGAAAACTTTTAATTGGAGTACAGTACTCCTTTCCGAACGAATGAATCAGATTAAATCTTGCTATATTCAAGTTTGGTTTCTAACTTCTTCATGTCCATCATCTTTCGAACAGCTTTCATAAAGTCCTCATGTATGACATAGTCTCTCTTGGCTCTGAGAGCAAACATACCAGCCTCAGTACACACGTTACGTAAATCGGCTCCATTGAATCCGTCCGAGAGCTTAACAATGGCATCATAGTCAATTTCACCTTGTTTGGTCATGCTTTTGGAGTGAATTTGTAAAATGGACAATCTTCCTTGTTCATTGGGTAATGAAATTTCAATCTTTCTGTCGAGACGACCAGGTCTCATCAAGGCAGTATCCAGCACGTCAGGTCTATTGGTGGCCATGATAAATTTGACTTGGCCGACATCGTTGAAACCATCCAATTGATTCAACAATTCCATGAGCGTTCTTTGAATTTCACGATCAGCACTGGTACCTTCTGAAAATCTTTTGCCACCAATGGCGTCAATTTCGTCCATGAAAATTATACAAGGTTGGTGATCACGAGCATATCCAAACATTTCACGGATAATACGAGCGGATTCTCCAATATATTTATCTACAATGGCACTGGCCACAACCTTCAAAAAGTTTGCTTCAATATTACTTGCAATTGCTCTGGCCAGCAATGTTTTACCTGTATTCGATTTGTGAAATGATGAGAATGGTTAATTCAATGCAGCAAAGCAAGTAAGCCAAATTTGTAACGATTGGGGAGGGTAGTGTTCAAAAGCAAGTCATTGGCATATTCGAACGTTAAAAAATGTTTGCATGTCACAAATGGTCAAAACATTAATGGAATTGTGAATAATTATTAGTACATGATTGACCAAAACCACAGAAAAACATACCAGTACCAGGAGGTCCGTACAACAACACACCCTTTGGTGCCTTGATACCAACTCTCACGAAAATTTCTGGGTTAATGAGTGGAAGTTCGATGGCTTCTCTTAATTCTCTAATTTGTTCATTGAGACCACCAATTTCGTTAAAGTGTGTCTTATCCAATTTGACATCTTTTGATTCAATCATGTTGAAAACAGAAGGATCCACTTCTCGAGGTAAAATCCTCATGATTGTCAATGTAGTCATATCGAGAGCAACTCTTGTACCTGGCTTCAATTTTGCCTTGTCAATCTTTTTTCTAACTCCGGTAACATATCTTGGTCCACTGCTTGCCTTTATAATAAAACGTTCATCATCCAATTGTTTTAAAACTTCTCCTACAATTTGTCCAACAGATTGAAGAGCTTTAAGATCGTCTTCTGTCTTTTCATATTTCTTTTTCAAATCTTTTTGATTTTCGCGAATCTTTTTTACTTCAGCTTCAAGATTCCTGTGTTGAGCAAGCTTTTCAGCATAAACATTTAGAGCTTTGTTTCTTCTTTCATCGATCTCCATTCTCTTGTTGTTCCGTGTGCGAGTTGTTGTTGTATCAATACTACTACTTTGATCGAAATATTAGAATACAGCACCACTGGTACGCAAGCTATTTTTTTTTTGATGTTTTTTTTAAAAATAACTCGACATTTCCTCCGTTTAAAATTCTTTGTTGGCCTTGCTCTTGTTTTTGGCTATTTTATTGGACAAACATTTTAGAAGAATTCATCATCGGCAAAGAAATTGTTTTTTATAATATAATAATCAATTATTCACTTTGGAAAACAACGCCATTCAATTCAATAACACACAATTACGTTTCCGAAAGAATGTCATCTCATCTCCTAGCCTCTGCAACCGCTACTACATTCGACAAGTATCTTCTGAGGAAGTACTCTCTCATGCTCTATCGTTCTCTTTTAAAAAAGAGTGTGGATTTCCATCTCAAGAATGAGCCTTCTCCATCCAGAAGTTACCGAGTGAGTTATTTAATTCCTGGTGAAGAATTTAGACAATATTTAACTGGAGAAATTCGGAAACAATTTAAACAGGCTCAACGATTATATAACGAAGAAAAGAAGACTCCCGAATGGTTTGAACAGCAACTAAAGGATGGATTTATTTATTTGAAGGGTTTAGAGAGAGCCTTTGATGAAGGATTCAACATGTCTCATAATAAGCGAAAGGCTATCCGATTGAGTCCACTTCTTCATATTCTCAAGTTAGCATGTGGAGAGCATGGAAATTATCATTATCATCAAAAATTGAAAGAGGTGTTCTTATTGGCTACATTAATGACTCATCAAAAAGTCGAGTCGTCGTCTATGACCAAACCTACTTTTAATCCAAAAACAACAGAAAAAGGGGTGAAGCAAAAAGTGACTCAATAAGGGTGTGCGTAGTGAATGCTTGCGATACTTGATGGTTTAATGACACGACCTGGATCCAGTTTTATCACTCATGGAGGATTTATTGTTAAAATCAACTCGAACAGTAATAACTGAACCCATTTGTGAAGATAATTACATGACAGACCTTGTGGAAAATAGAGAGGTTTTGTGTATCATAAGGGTTGTTTTGAACATTGTTACATTAAACAACAATTCGTCTACTGTAAATGACATGCGGACAGTGCCTCCACATCACCGACGGCTCAATGATGACAGTTAAATACCCTTCTTTATTTATGCTTTGTGTGCGATATGTCAAAGCATCAATTTCCATTCATAAAAAACAAAGTGTGTTCGAGGCAACAACGTTTATCACAACAACCACACGAGTATTCTCTCTCAGACGTCGTTGTGGTTTCACTTCTCATTTCGTTGTCCTTTGGTTTGTGCTCTTCATAATCTTCTCATCCACACACACACAGAGAAGTTGATTGTCGTTTCAGAGATTCTCTCATCAAGATTCGTTGAAACTTTCGCACCCTCTCATCCTCTCTCATAACACAGCGCTTGTCTCCTCATTTCGCATCCATCTCATCTCCTCCTCAAACAATTTATCACAACAAAAATGTCTCAATTTAATAACAGCATCGGTCTCTTCAATCAATCCGACAGTACCTCTCTCCTAGAAACCGTCACTCGTTTCTACAATGACAAGATCATTCATGATCATTATTGGCACCACTATTTAGATGATCATTATTATTCGGTTTCGTTCATTGTCGGAATGATTATTTTAGCCTTGTTTGTGTGTGTCATGCTTCCATTGAAAACCTTCTCAGTGCTCTATTATTGCATGATGGGACGTCGAAGAATTTTCAAATCGACGGCTCATGATCGACGACAGGAGGCATCCTCTTCGACCAATGCTTTGCAAGAGGAGTCTTCTCAAGAACGAGAAAATTTGAGAACATGTCATTCTTCTTCAACTCGGTCCATGAAAGATACATGTTTGAATGTGACAAAATTCATGTGTTTGGAAGTGTGTGCTGGATGGGTTCCTTCCTTTCTCATTTGTATCTTGTTGTGTTTGTTGATATTATTTGCATCGACCTTTTCAAAGATTCATTTTGCTGGTGCTGCCATGTTAATGAGTTTGGTCATGTTGTTTTGGTTGGTTCATTCAGTCATGTTGGATGGAGGCGTGTTTATGGCAGGTCTGTTTCGAACTGTGAAAAAGGTCAAAGCTCATTACCATTTAAGGAAAAGACAAAATGTGAATGCTCAAAAAATAGATGCCACTTCTACTGCTTTGGAAATGGATGAAAAGAATGGAGGAGTTTCATCGGATTTGAATCATAGCCATGATGCTTCAAAAAATCATCAAATGGAAACTTCAAATTCTTCATCGTCACAACAATCAAATTCTGACAACAAAGGAATTGCAACTGTGTTCGTTGAGGAATTGGGTCGAACCTATTTTGAGTCCTTGTCCTCACCAATTGTAAAGAAACATCCCATAGTGATCGGTCTCTTGGTGTTTCTATTATTTTGTTTGACATTTGGCATTTTCATTGTCACAACTGTTGTTTCTTCAGATTTTTGTGTGGCCTATGATCCTATTGAAGTTTCTACCTTTATCACACGAAAGAATGACAATGAAATTTGTAGAGAGGGAATTTGTTTCACATACATGACCATTTCGAGAGATATTTCCACACAAATGATTGTAAATTTCCAAGTAGTTGCCACTCGTCTCGACGATGCCTACGTTTATTACGGAACATTTAATCCTCAATTAGATTTCCAATTTAATTCAAATACTTCAAGCAAAGTTCAAGCAAGTTGCTTCAAACTAGATAAGGTCATCAATGAGATCTCTCGATATCAATGTTATGCCAATATACTCAATTTAACTCCATCCTCTTCGTATTATATGAAAAGTGCAGCTGTTGGAGTTCCAAATTATTCCTCTTCTCAAGCATCATTGATGGAAGATCCTATGGTGTATAAATTCAGAACAGCTCCGAGTGCATCCTCGAATTCAGATCGAGTTGTATCTTTTGTGAATGGTGGAGATTTTGCTTGGAAAGAAGCAACATTTCAATTGGCCTCTGTGCTGACAAATTTGGGAAGTAATGTGACAACGTGTCCTTATTTTGCAATGGTTGGAGGCGATATTTCATATGAAAATGGATGTCCTTATTGTTATCCTCGATGGGATCGATGGTTCAAGTATTGGGCCAAGTATATGGTTGTGAAAATTGATTATTCTTCATCGATTTCACACACGTATACATTACCTATTGCGACCGCTGTTGGTAGGTATTTTATGATTTTTTAGGATTCTAATGGTTTTTTATCCTTACTGGAATGTTTGAATGTTTTAACCAACCAACGTTTTTATTGGACATTACAATTCACAAAATTAATAGGAAATCATGAAGCTGGAAATTTCAAACGTTCTTCTCGTGTAACAAACGCCTACTACATTCGACTATTTCCACACGAAATTGAAACTACGACAGCTCCTGTTCCCTTAATCGTTGCGGATCCACAAAATTCAAGAGCTCTTCAATATATCCATTATCTTTCCAATCACACTGTCGTGATGGTTTTAGATTCATGGGTTCATGATTCTCCAGCTCAACAGGTGGATTTCATTGTTGGGTTTTTCTCAAATTTAACAAAGAACAATGATAAGGTGTACAAGAATCGAATTGTAGTCATTCATGAATGCATGTACACATCGGCCAAGACCAAGAGTTCCATTACATTGGAAATGAGAGACAAGTGGGAACATTTATTTTTAAAGTATAATGTGACACTTGTTTTGGAAAATCATGTGTAAGTTTTTGTAGTGACATGACCTTCATAATTATTTTGACATTTGAAATTGAAATTCATTGACTCGAAATTTCACACACTCTCTAGTCATACTTATAAACAGACGTATCCATTACGTTTTGGAAAAGTTATGGATGCAACTGCGAATCCACTTGGCTCCAAAGATGGAGCTCTCAATGATTACAGTTATGAAAGAAATATTTATGGAACTAATGGAGGTGTTATACTGAAAGAAGATGAAAAAGCCATTATTTATGCTGGTGATGGAAGTTGGGGTGCTCATTATTATGGCGACGTTATTGATTGGGGTAATCCAATATTTAGACAAATTGGCATTATTACACATTTTTATCATGTAATGACATTTGACAGACCGGACGGTACCTCAGTCATTCAAACAGTTGCCTATGGTTATGATGAAACCACTGGAAATGGTGTGAAAATTCAAGGAAGTGGACTTACCATAACCACCAAGTAAAAGATCTTATTCAAACCCTTAATGAAATAACCCTTTCTTAACAACCTTGAATGGTTTGAGATGTGCCTAATTGAGCAATGAAACAAAATTTCATTCCAACTTGATACAAGTCATTGCTTTTGGAAATTATTAGGGGTTGTTTGACGAATTTCTTGATCACTTTGAAGTGCTCGGAGATCAATCCAATGAAGTGAAAAATACCATTCATTACAAATTCATATGTATACAATAATTTTAATGATGAACATTTATTACATGATCAATCTCACACAATGTGAGTCATATCCATGTTGTCTGCTGTCTAATAGTCACATTAATGAGCTGCCTTATAATCTGCATAATCATCATCTGTTTCTTCCAAACCACCGTCATCATCTTCATGACTAACCAATTGGTAGAGTTTCCATTTTCCTTTCCAATGCTGCTCACACTGTGATCTATTTGGGATTTGATTCAAAAATTTTTAAAAATTCAAACAATATGTGAAATAGTTCATACTGGCATGAGTGTAGTGACTAGAAAATCACATACAATTGCACAAAAATTTCCAAAATTTCAACTGCAAAATGTTCCTCCAAACTTGCAGACTTGTTTGCAAAATAAGAAGGATCCTTTTGTCGTTTCTTATAATTATAAGCATACTCTCGACTCAAATACACCACATGAATAATAGCAGTTCCAATCGAATACAAGACAAAAATAAAGAAAATAATACTCTCAACCCAATTGATCCAAATTGTGAGTGGTTTCTTTCTTCTCACTGCAATCATGACCATTACAATGTAATTTTCAGAGCTAATTGAACATCAAATTCCTCAACCGAGAGATGGTATGTGGTAATTCCCAACAAGTCATTGACTTGAACGAAGGAAATGACCACAATTTTGAAAACACTCAACAAGTACATGCGCAAACGACGATTTCCCAAAGTCCATGAGTTGAGTTTTTTGAGGGCACGCCAAAGTTTTTGACGAGTTGAGAGATGTTGTTGTTGTGAAGGATGATCGACTCCACCGCTTCCGGATAAAGGTTCAGAGAGAGTCATGTTGTTTCGAACTTGTGAGATTAGTGGTAAATGATTGGCGAGGGATGATTTTACAATGCGAGCAAATGAAATTGGTCGCGATATTCAGTGAAACGTTTCCATCCTTATGTAAAACGGATGATTACTTTTGAAATGTCGTTGTTGTCAAAGAACAGGTACACTAACCTTGCATTCTTGTTTTGGACTTCTTCATCGAGCGAGTTTGAAAATTCTTTTAGAATAATGACGTAGGGTATACTGTTTCTGCTCTTTCAAAGTACTCTTCTTGGTCTAAACTCCAGCTGTTTTGATTTCAAACAAAAAAGGGTACAACTATCTTGTAACCTTGTTCCAAGTTAATTTGTTCACGTTCAATCTCATTCTGTGAATCTTTCAAATATCAAATGCTTTCGTCTTGTTGTCTCACATAAAATTCGTATTCTTAGAATTGAATTTGACGAACCATCCCAAAAAAAAATACATTTTCACAAAAATTCACACACGTGTTGCCCTGTTGGTGTCTGACTCATTGCTATTTTGAGATCGATCGTCCTTTGGACGAGACACTGTGCGTTTTTATTCTCATTCCTTCTTTTCTTTGCTACAACAACAACATGCCACGAGAAAAGACTCCCAAAATAAAGACAAAAAAGAAGAAAATTTTACTTACTCCAGAGAAGGTCCTTCTCTACAAGTACCATCGAGAAACCGTTCAATTACATTTTCAATTCGAAACTGAAATTGAAACCAATGCCATCTATGAGAAGAAACAAAAGATAATTAAAAAGTATGGACGAAATAACATGAAGATTAAAATTCCGCAAGACTTGTGGTCCCGAAGAACACAACCTTCTCATTCGATGACGACGACAACAACCTTTCCTGCCAACAAGATTCATGATTCTAATGTCTTTCTCTGTCGAATTCAAAACGATGATGGTTCCATGTGTAAAATCACAGCATGTCTTAATTCAAGCTCATCACAGAGATCCAAAACGTCATTGGAATTTGAATTTCCATGTGACTTGATCAAACAAACCATTTCTGAAAACTTTACTGAGGCCTATATATTGGGAACTGATTACGTTTTATTCACAAGATCTGTACATGCGACTCACGCTCCGTCAAAACCAGAGATTGATAGGAAACTCAAGTTGAGTGCAGTGTCAAGACCTTCTGAAGAGGTATTGAAGGGTATGGCTCAGGAAATGTCTCGTGTTGACTTGCAGGACAAGATTGAGAAGATGTCTTACAGTGATTTGACAAAGATTCATGAATACATTACATGCATTTCATCCCCAACACCAATAACACCAACAACATCAACAAGTTCGACAACCAATCAAGCAGCAAATGCTCCGTTCGAGTTAAATCCCGAATTCCCTTTCCCGACCGTAGCTCCAACAAGTGAAAATCTCAATGTTGATCAGGAACAATTGGAAGCTCCACAGAAGTTGGCAACAACATACCCTCTCGTGAATGAGATAGAAGCTTACTTACTTGATACAAACATGGCTGTTGGTACTGGGGGTCTTTTACAAACCAATACAGATCCGTCAAGTGCCAATACAGATCAGCAAGAAGAAGAAGAAGAATCGGACAATGTCATGACCGACGAAACTGATCGTCGTAATGGTAATAGTTTCCTTCATCAATATTACACCCAAAACGGACAAGTGTTGTCAAACCCAAGCCTTGTGGATGAATTCACCTCTCCAACTGAATCAAATTTGATCGAAAGTGAGTGGGATGAAAGCCCCAGCGAGGAACGCTCCAAGGATTTGCTATCGATTGAAACCTTCTTCTCCAAGATCCATGACGAACTTTGAGATCCCTAAAATTCCTGAATGGTTTGAATTTCCTTAAACAAGTGTGAGAGCATTCTCTGCATTGAATTTGAATCATTTTGTGTTCATTTGTTTTTAAATCTTGTATCCATCCAACAACAACAACAACAACAAGTAAAGAAACCATGCTGCTTGCTGAGCAGGTCATGACCATAAAATCCATAGTCATCATCCATAAACGATCATCACAATGATGATTACAACCAAAACACAACAAGAAAAATGGGCAACACTCTCATGCCAGCTCTTCAATCCCGATCAACGGATTCTTCCATCTTTAGCGGTGGAGAAGATGAATTCTTGTCCTCCAATAGAAAACTCTATCGATTACCTTCTCTGCAACATGTGTTTGCGAAAAATCATTACATTTTTGTAGCTCTTTATAGAAAACGATCACTCAACAAATTTACTCCGATATTAGAAATTGATTTATGGGAAGAGTGGATGATGAGTGAAAGTAAAGAAGCAGCCGCTTCTTGTAAACATCGGGAAGAAAAGTATCCCTTTATGAAATTAATTGAAAATTCTGTATTGCCGTATTTAGGACAAGAAGAAGACAAGGAGCATTTGATGAGAAAATATTCCAAAGCGAATAGTGTGGATAATATGAATAATACGAATCAACAAGTTCGTCAAAATCATGATTCAGAATCAACTAATAATCTCTCCGATGAGAGTATGATGGATCATGCTTCTTCAAGATTATCAGTGATGGATCAAACCGAGAATGTACGAGTTGAAGAGTTTCATTTCATGCATCCCAATGATGAGGAGTCAACCATTCATATTGATGTGGTGACTTTGAAGAGATCAAAAAGTTTGAATGATCAAGGAAATTGGATTGAGTCGACGAGTCATAATTTAAGCGATAGCGACATGAAAATTACATTGGATGATATTGAAATCATTGGAGCTGTGTGTGACGGCGTGAAATTGGAAAGAAGAAGATTATTCATGAGTCAGCTTAAAGAATTGTGTGAAAAATTATTAATGGAATATTATTCGACGTCTACAAATTCTTCCAACTCGTCGTCTGTGGGGTTATCAACGACGAAAAAAGAAAAAGCATTATCGTCCTATTCAGAAGGTGAAGATCAATTCATGAAAAAGATGTTCAAACCCAAGACTGTAGAATTGATAACATGTGACAGTCTGAGGTAGCAGGTGTTTTCAGACTCCTCACGACCATTAGTGTCAGTATTCAACAAATAATTTATCAGAAACAATCTCCCGCAAATGTATTATTATGGTGCAACACATGAGTCAAATCTTAATACAAGTAACAGAAAAGACCAATATCTGCCTTAAGATGCTGGAAGTTACGGAACAAAGCATCCTTTCTTTCTGTAAATATACGAAACAGGACTGTATTGCCCTTGGCGAATCGTACCAAAGTGAAAGGATCTTCTATAAACTCCATAATTGTGAACCAGTATTCATCTGCCAAATCTGAAAAGTTAACATCAAGCTTTTCAAATAGTTTGACAGTAGGTTGTGAGTTATCAATCGGTGTCTTTGGAAGAAGCATGCAAAACGATGCCGGATCATTGTACCTTAACGCAATATCAAAGAAAAATGAAATATAATCGTATTCATCAAAAACCCATTCTTCGAAAGTCATACGTTCAGATTTTCTTCCCTTCTTCAAGTTTTTCAAATACTTGTCTTTGTAATCTTGCATGAAGGCTTCTTGCAAAACAGTTGATGGAATGTAACTACAGTGATCCAATCTTTCACTAAGCTGTGCCAAACGAGAGGGATGAACAAATCCCATACCAAAAACACTCTTATTCTCATTGTAAACGCGACATACTGACAATAAATTGGGATATCTCAAATTTTCCGTCGTTACTGGTACTGCGGATGTAGTGCCGTTCTTTGCCACATATTCCTTAGCTAAATCTTGCTCAAACAAATACAGAGAGGTAAAAAAGTTTTTAAATTCGTTTTCATTGGACCAACAGTGCCCCAGTTTCAATTTTTCAGCCAACTCACAATACAAATGCACAGCTCTGAACCGGAGACAATCGATAAAGTGTTTAGGCTTTTGTTCCAACACAAAAAGCTTCCAATCGAATTTTTCCATCTTAACCTCATCATCTTCCTTCTCAACCTTTTCCTCGTTTTTTTGATCTGCAACCACAGGATGTTTTGATTGGGCCAATTCCAATCGTTTCCTAACTATATAATGCAACCATGTTTGAAAATTGTAGTAGTAAATAAATGTACGAACCTGCGTCTTCCAACATTTGTATATTGCACATTCGCACAGCACAATTCACACCCATTTTTTATCTTGCTTGTTGAACGTTTCTTTTTTCTTTTTAACGAACATATATGACGGATCAACAATTGCCAATCCGAAATTTAATGAGGTTAAATGTACACGAATTCTATCGAAGGCATCTGATCCTTCGTAGAGATTGGATTCGAAATATTAGTAATTTAAACGAGCAAATATTTTCGACCTTAATGTTCTCAGTGTCCTTATTTACTTATACTTTGAATAGTCTTCTTAATAAGATGTAGCTTCACCTTGACTGTAAATGTGACCCGAGCTAACTTGCAACAAAATACTCAGTTCTATCTGAGAGGTTCCTCACTCTATTGCTCAATCGCAATATTCAAAGAATTTACTCATGTGAATTTTACCAATACATATTGGTTCATCGATTCAATCTCGAGATTTAGCAGTGGTCGGGAAATTCTTCTTCAATAGGATGTCCTAACATAAAAAAAAAATGAATCAAAAGCTGATCAAAATCAACGCAATTCTTAATTCCAATCCGAAATTTGCTCTATTGAAGCAGCATGTTGGTATGATCCGATCATTTTCTTCCAAGCCGACGAATTATCAAGAATCAACAAATTTGGATATAATGAGATCCCTGTTGTATATTCCTGGTAATAGTGAGAAAATGTTGAACAAAATTCATTCCATGAAGGAACGGCCTGATGTGTTTGTTCCCGATTTGGAAGATTCTGTTCCATATCATCAGAAAGAAGAAGCAAGAAAAATCGTGAGAGATTTTCTCTTATCGACTTTTACACCAGATTTAGTTTCCGAATATAGAATGCATATTATTCCTCGCGTGAATAGGGAATGGGAATTTCTTGAAAGCGATTGTGAAGCTGTGGCAATTCCAGGAGTTGTATCCGCAATTAATGTAGGAAAGACCTCCTCCATTGCTGATGTTTTTGATATAGATCAGCTGTTGACAAGAATTGAGAACAAATTAAATGTACCACAATATACATTTAGAATTATTCCATCCATAGAATCGGCAATAGGATTGGTACATGCTTATCAAATTTGTAGCTGTTTACCTCAAAGAACGATTGGAGTTGCATTTGGTGGAGACGATTATGCACACGATCTTGGATTTACAAGAGATACAACTCAAGTGGTTGAAAAGGAATTGACATTTGCAAGATCTGCTGTTGCAGTAAGTAGTCGTGATATGGTTGTGAAATTTGAGAATTGTTGATTTTGTCAATTGCTCGTTCTTTTACTCACGTGCTAAATTTTGTGAAAAAGGTTGCAGCAAGAGCGGCAGGTGTAAGTTTTTAATTCTTGTGCTTTCATTTGTATTCATTTAGTCATATGAACATTTGTATGTGACATTTTTGTGGACATTATGACCATTGTAGATTCCATCATTTGATACACCCAATGTAAATTTCAAAAACTTGGATGGTCTGAAAGAAGAATCCATGGCAGTGAAAAACATGGGCATGAAAGGAAAATTTGCAATTCATCCTAGCCAAATTCCAGTGCTCAATCAAGTGTTTGGGCCCTCATCACATGAAATTGAAGAAGCAACAATAATTGTAGAGGCTTATGAAAAAGCAGCAAAAGAAAACAATCGTGGCAGTTGTCAAGTGAATGGCAGAATGGTCGATATGCCTGTTTATCGAAATGCAAAACAAGTATTGGCATGGGCTAACAAGACCAGAAAGTAAAGAATTTGTTCTCAATAATGTTGTTGTATCTTTTGTGTATATTGTGTCGTTGTGTCTTGCCATCCAGCACTGAGAAGCTCTATAGCTTCTATAAGCATGTTGTTGCCAAAACATGACACTTTTGGAACGCCATTAGTTTCTTTTCACACATACAGTTCGAAAACATGAATCGAGTTCATCTACTTGGATGGAGGGGCGGGCCAAGTTTCATACAAACCAACAACGGCACTCACACATCCACTAATACCAACCACAGCGTTGTTGAGAGACCAAACCTTGTAACCACCATTACCAGCCACTAATAAATCAGAAGTGTTCTTAATAATATTTCTAACAATTTGAGATTTTCTGTCACTAATCTCTTTCAATTTAGCATCAATACTTGAGAGTCTTGAATTTTTGATTGGATTGCTTGGAGTTGGAACAGCCGCAGCATTGGAGGGCTCTACCAGAAAATCACTCAAATTCAAAAATCCTTCAGGTAAATCCCTCATACAATCAGCTTTTTCTCTCAAACACCGTATTTCTTCATTAAAAGTATCAAAAAAGTCATATACATCTGAAATTAACATGAGCAACGTTCCAATAAACCACATTTTACAAGATGTCTCTGAATAATGCTTGGCTCGTGAGTTGTTAAATAATTTCTGCCATACATGTACAGCATTGAGTTCTGTGACGTCATAAAACAATCCAGCCTTAGCTGCCCAACTCGCATGATCATACAAAATATAAATGGAAAGAAGGAATTTTTGAGAAACTCTCACAAAATCAATCCATCTTAAATTTGGTCTTTTTTCTCCCAATTTTTCATTATTCGTTCCTTTTTTCCAATGTAATTGATATAAATTAATGACAAATTTATAAACATCCAAAAGACTACCAATGGATTTAAAAAACCGAAAAACTTTCCGAGCGTCAGAAATGGAAGATTCAAAATTTGAAGTTCTCTTCAAGGCTTGAGTATAGAATGTTTTGGTTTTTTCCAAATCAAAGGCTTCATGATGAATCAGAGATGTTGTTGAATCGGAAGAGGATGAAAATAAATGTTTGAGAACTAATTGTCTTCGAGTTTCAATTCCATACGACACAACTTTGGCTCCATATTGAAGGATCTTGGTTACCCGATCCCTTCCCGATAATGTATCCATGATTTTTACAAATTGGGAGAGAAAAATATAAATTGGATGATCCATGATGATGATGAAATGTTTTTTTGAAATATTTCAATGAGAATTTGAAGATTCGGAATTGAATACTTGTGAGAATTAGTGGTTGTTGTTGTCGTTGTCTTTCTTCTTCTTGAAAGATGGTATTGTTAATTTTCCGAGAGAAGATGACACTTTTATGCGTTTTTTTCTTGTTCACAACGTTATGATGGTTCAACTGAACGTTTCCAACTGAATGATAAAACTCAACGATTAACAGTGATGACAGTTCGTTTTCAAGGTTCGAACGTGAATGTAAAATTTGTGGTACTTCTTTCCCAATATTGTTTACCAACAGCGCACTGATTGCAAATAATCACATGGATGAAATTCTTTGCAACATTTAATTGACTTTTATGATTTTTCTCAATATTTCGAAAGAATTGGAAGAACTCTTGCGTTTTTTGCAATTTTTAAACATTGTGCAAGCCAGGAACATCCAAGCCAGCATTACCATGATGAATCGTGGATTTTCCAGTTCCTCTTTCTATCAGAACACTAAGTAAATAGTTTACAACAGGTACATGACCGCTGTCACAAGCCCACATCAACGGTTTCCAACCGTTGAATGTATACATACTCTTTGTTACATGCATGTGAAACCATCTAATATTGTCCTCATGCCTCTTCAAGTAGGTTTTTATAAGTGCAAGGATCGTGGATTTTCCAGTCCTCATTTGAACTTTTCTGGATCAACATGAAACCATTACTCCATTACACTGGTCTGATGTCCTGTTTTGAGTGTATGCACTTCTGCATGATAAGAGCACAAATACTTGTTGTTTCCACACACTTTACATTCATGTGAGGCTAACTTTTCAATTTGTTCCTTCATCAAGCATTCACCACATTTCAATCCTGTTCTTGTATTTTCTGTTGTTGTTGTTGTTGTTGTTGCAGTTGTAGTAAATGGTTGATTAGTTGTCGTAGGGGTTGAAGTAGGAGGAGGAACTAATTCATAAGTCCAAAAACATCGACTCTGTCGAACAGCATCATACCATTGTTCAATTTCTTCTGGTGTACATCCAGATGGAGGAGAATCATCAAACATGGTCGTTGGTTATTTTTTTAATTGCTGAACTTGTAAACAAAGATCTCCCCTTAAAAACGTTAAATATTATTGATTTGTATTTTCGTTTTGCGGATCAATATTGCCCGTTATTATTTTTTCGTAAAGTGTCTGTAATACTTGGTCATGCTCTAAATTCTTTCGTATGTTCTCACCAAAAAGTTTACTCGTTGTATCTAAAATATTTTCCCATGTCGGATATGAATTGTATGGTTCAAAATAATCAAGAACAGAGTAATCTTCGGAATTGTCTGGCACACTTTCAGTAGTGTTGTTGGCTGTATTTGCTTCATTCATTTTTTGATCCAAAAATAAAGATCAAGAGAACCAAAAGAGCTTTACAATTGAAAAAGTAAAGCTTGAGAAAGGAATTGAGCGAAATACATTTCTTTCTGCTGAATTGCAGTCAAAACGAATCGAGACAACCTTAAAAAAAGTGAAAGCACAACAAATTAGGAACAATTTCGTAACGGTTTTTCTAATTTTGATCATAATGACATGGGATGAGTACGTCCTTTTCACCTTAGCATCAAAAAAAAAACCGTTACATCAGAGTTGGAGATTTTGGCATCTGGCAGGACCATCTCTTTCGCATAGATTTTTTCACACTTGTTTCAACCATCTAACACCCTTGTAAATAAGATTCTCACTAGATCCTACTAGATCCCTATATCCTTGTACATTTTCATCCTCACCTATTTATTTGTAAATTATTGATCTCTTCTCTATTATTTTATTGGATCATCAAACAACATTCATCAACAACAACATTGTATATCATTCTATTCAACATCTATCTGCCATCCTACTCATTGTGTCAATTTCTCAATTTTACCGCCAATTGTATTACAATCTTTCATTTTGTACTTTTTCAACACTTTTCATCACAAAAGTGCCCTTCTTGTATTTTCATTCACATCAAGAAAAAAAAACAAGGCTACTACTACTACCTTCTTCTTACATTCTATAGTCTTGTACCATTACAATCCAAAGAACGATTAAGCCTTCGATTCAACGACACGTCCTCGATTACTACTTTTTACAATTTTGTATACGTTCATCATTGCCTTCTGTTAACTCTCGCACACAACATGTTTAAATTATTTGAATTTGATGAAGAAGAATCTAATGAATGGATTTCCTGGTCCTCCTCTCCTTCGTCGTCGTCATCGTCGTCTTTATCGGTTAAACATCATTTTCCTCATTTAAGATTCACCAACAAGTTGTTACATGATGACACAATTTTGCAACATGAGGAAGAAGATGGACACGCTAAAAGAACTTTCAATCTCGTTGTAGCATTACCAAAGGATGTTTGGACTGAAATATTTTCCTTTTTAAGCACGCATGAAAAGTTGACACAACATGTTTTCATTTGCAAGCCTCTCAATGATTGTATTTACCAATCGATTACTTCCTTAAAGCTAATAGGAATTGAAGCATCCAAGGAGTCCATAATGGCTCAACAAACAATGACAAGGAATGCTTACTCGGAAGATGACAAGTGGCTGATGATGCCATATGTCACTCCTTCGCCATCAACAACCTCCAATGCCTTGTCACAGAGTGTGGTGACATCTCATTCCCAATCAAGATCTCTATCATATGCCTCTAGAATGTCAAGCTTGAGAAGAATGAAGCAATCAACACAAGTTCCTTCATCAACATCTTCATCCAGTTTAACAAGCTTGTCAGATGTCTTCAAGAATGAACTAATTCTTAATCAAAATCCTCTCGTACGCATTCTTGAACCATTTTCCAAGCTGACTCATTTAAGTATTGAATTTTCTAAAGCTCTCACTGGTGAAGCACTTTCCTTGATCCTTAACAAATTTTCCCATTTAGAATCCTTGTCTCTCATTCACTGCAATGAACTAAAATTCATTCACATCACCTTCCCAATGGCTGTTTGCAGTCATTTAAAAAAGTTGGAGATTCGAGACTGTCGAAACATTCAGGAATATTGTGGAGGACTCAAAATTGATTGTCACCTTCTCAAATACTTAACCATCACGAGCACTCCGTGTGTGAATGATCGATTTTTATCCAATCTCATCGAAAGAAATGCAAGTACTTTACAACACATTTCTCTCTTTGGATTGCATGACTTCTCACATTTATGTATGGGAAAACGAATGAGCGAACTTGTCCAGTTATCACTCGAACGTTGTAAGAATTTTTCCAAATTTCATCTTCCGATCAAACAAGTGTGTACTGTATTCCCTGCACTTGTAGATTTAGATCTCAGTTACACTCAATTTAATGACGAAAGTTTCAAGTCATTGACACACGAACAACGATTAGATCATCTTCAAGTTTTGACATTGGAAGGATGTAAACAACTTAAAAAACCCACAGTTGGAGTTTGTAAATCACTCCACACCATGAATTTCGATCTTTGTAGTGACTTGGAAGCAGTAACCATTCCATCTGGTCACTGTCCATCTCTAAGAAATCTCAGTATGAACAATACGAGAATGAATGACAAGTCTCTTGAAAGAATTTTCAATGCCAACAATCACAGAGGAGTGAGTATTGAGGATTATCAAAATGGATTGGTCTCTCCTCCTATCAGCAAATTATCAGCAAAGAAATGCAAGCTGATTTTCAATCCAAAAATTACGTCCTATCATTTGGAAGAATTAGATCTTAATGGATGTTTTAATTGTTCTTCTGTGAAAGTTGTGGATTTGAGCAAGCAATCACTCAAGAAGTTGAATTTGGGATGGACTAAAATTTCAGATGATGATTTGAACAAAATTGTGACGACATGTCCTTCATTGACCGAGTTGTCGCTCAATACTTGTGACAATTTGGTGAATCCACATATTGAATCACAATCGTTGAAGAAAATTTCATTTACAGGAGCTCACTTTTTACACAACCCTGTTTTCAAATGCGACAAATTGCAACAAGTTGATTTTAGAAATTGTGACAACTTGGAAAGTCCAACATTGGTTAGGAAAAAGAGGTCAAAAACGCAGGAGCGAGCTGGGTATAATGTGGTGAGACGACTGAATTTTGATGAGTGCTTGCCAGCCACTAGTAACAGCAGTGACTGCTCACCATCTACAGTAATGCAAAAACATACTCCTATTTTGGAAGCACAAGATGATGACAATGATTACTGTCCGTCACCAAATATGCTACATCCAAAAATGAAAGTCATTGAAGAAGACGAGGACAATTCGGCAGATCATGATATTTATCCAAGATCGAGAATTCTCGCTCAATAAGTGTTCATATAAATTACCATTCATGGGAATTCTTTCACGCTATATCAAAACCTAAAAAAATCAAATGATTATTTCAAAAATTGTTTAATTAAATTTTGGTTTTTTACTTTGAGCCTCCATATTTGAAATTTTCATACTCAATTCTTGAATGACCTTGTTTTGATCTTCAAGCATTCTGCTCAATCTCGAAATGTCTTCCTTATTTCTTTCGAGTTGACTGTACATGTCCTGCAATCGATATCTATCTTCAAACTTTCTCTTTTTGATGAAAGAATCGATATGAGGTAATTGAATGGCAGAAGATGAGTGGTCTTCAACGAGTGGGTTTGTAGTGCTACTACCACCATCATCGTCAGATCCCAATGTCAGAGCGTCAATACTTGGTAGCACTTGCTTGTGTGAAGTGGATGAGGGTGTTAAGGGTGCAGCTCCTGCCATGCTCGTAGCAACAGTAGCCAATGACGATAATGGATCTATTGTTTGTGAAGAGCTTGGGGAAGGAGAACTCAGATAATTGGTACCTGGTGCGAAAGGATATGAGGAAGCATTGATCATGGGTGTCGATTGTCCATGAAGGAGAGGAGTGGAGCCCATGGGATACAGTGTCGAGGCTGGTGTGGTTGATGTCGTGGTTGCTGCTGCTCCACCACTATTCGAAAAGTCAACCATCATCATGGCTGATCCCAATTGCTGTTTTTCTGCTGAAGTCATTGAGTCACGATCTTCCTCTTCGAGTGTTGTGGAGGTAGTAGAACCTGGACTCGTAGTGCTGATTGTATATGGTGTCGTCGAAGTGGTAGATGTGGTAGAGAATGTTCTATGTGAAGTGGGACCAGCCAGTTGTTGAGGGCTTGAAGTTGTTTGCTCACGTTTTCGTTTTGCCAAATCGAGCATCATTTGACTTCGACTTCTTGATCGAACCCAAAAAGCGTCTGAGACGCAGATCAATTTGTTCTTCGAGTCATAGATATCAATGTACACCACTCTACTGCTTGTATTTCCTTTCATGTTGTTAATCTTTGAAACCACTGGAAATTCGACAAAATATCTGTGGTTGTGATGATCGTATGAGAAGAATGATTCTGATACTGTTTTTCCTTCTTCATTGTCACGAAGTTTCATGTAACATTTGCAACTCTCAAAGTCATTTCCGTGAATAATGATATGGTCTTTGATACTGCAGTTGTGAGTAGTCGAGTGTGGATGTTTTGTTTTTGGGTCATTCAATCGCCATCCTTCCTTACAATCCATGTAAGCTGGAAATCGTTGATGATAGCCACCTACAAAGTGAAGTGATGGTTTTGATGGACCCATATATTCATTGTGATGATGATGCAGTGGCTGTTGTGATGGGCTGTAAATTGGCGACGAAGATGCTTGTTGACGCAAATGTTGTGATGATGGATGGTTTGTCGTGGCAATGGGTTTTGCAATTGCATTCTGGTTTGAGTTGGAAGTGGAGCCGAGTTGAGAATTCATTTTTTTTTGAGTTGGAAATTAATGACTGGCGTGAATGAATTTCGAGTAATGTGGTTGAAATTGGTCTCGTGGTTGAAGAAAGTATTCGTGAACACTGCGCAGTAGTGATGTTGTTCGAATCTTTGCAAGATTTCTTGAAAAGAGGGTTTGATTTTTGCAAAAGTGGAAATTCCCAAAGGGATGTTACGTTCTCGAGATGAGTATTTACAAGGGAACCTAGAATGAAGTTAGAGGAAATTTAAATTAATCAATGACGAATCAAAGGAATTATGAGGAAAGGCAGATCGGAATATGAGCGATATTAAGCGCACTACTAATAAGCTTCCAATCTTAAAATAGAGTCTATGAGATGATGTTATTGTTCGTGTGATACTATTACCGTATCAATATTGATTGAGGTCTAAGCGAGGACTTGTGAGTCGTTTGAAGTCTCTTTCAGCTCGAATATGCTGCGGACTGAATGAGTGGGTTCAAAGTTCCGTTGTTTTTTTTGATTTTCAAAATACAATCGGAATCCAGGATTGTGCTTTGCATCGTCATCGTCTTCGGTTGCAACTGATTCAATTAAACTCTACGTGTTTGCTCCACGCATCAGAGAAAGTGCCGTTGGCTGGGTGTTGGATAATGCGTTCATCAATCAGATTGAAGAAAGGAATATGAAGAGCTTCAATCGGTAAAGGATGTCATGGCAAAGTGGTTGAAGAGGAAAGGTGTGCTCACCTTTTAAGGACAATTTCGTTAAAAAGCGAAGTGTTGCAGATCTAGTTGAATACTCGTGAAAATTATACAACCGTGGGGTGAGAATTGAGTAGCGTACGGTGTATGCTTTTATAGACGAATTAAGAAACCATTTAAGGCCTACCATTATTCGCTTCTTGTGATAGCCATTAACGATAAGGCTTGATGTTTGGAACGTTCCTTTAGCACGAACAAGATCATATGCCGATATTAATTCTTTCTACTCCAATGTTACCCTCACCATGAATAAAACCCAGTGAGTACTTTCACAAACACACATCCAAAGAGATAAACAGCTCTACCAAAACACATCCTTAATTTGATTCAAAAAACGATCTCTCACTCATATCAATAACAAAAGCCCCTTCACACAACAAACAGACCTGCACTCGCTCACCACCACTTCCGCCCAACGACCTCTCATTTGACCAAGCTTTTCCAAAACCATCTTCCGTGTTCGTTATATTTCAGCAACACGTCCCTTGAGCGGTGACAATCACACATTAAAAAAACGTCAACATCACTCGAGTGTGTGGTGTCCGTCAGCCCGCAGAAAACAACAACAACATCACACAACACACACTAACAGCCTCCTCTCTTTTGAACTCGCCGCCGCCATAACAACAACATCATCAGACATTCCTTGTTCTCGCCATCTATATTATTGTCAACTTTTATCGCTTTTGAGTGTGCAACGTTTTATTGACATTTATCACTTTTGTCACTGATCTCATCATCCGTGTGGTTCACTTTACCATTTCATTATTATTATTATACACGAAACGATCATCATCATTAATAATAATAATTTTTTTGTGAACTCTCATCTTCACAACAACCAACAACAACAACAACAAACATCACCACCGCTCAAGATATTCCAAATTCAACAACAACAACATCATGAAAAACACTCTTTCTTCTCTCTTTAAAAAGAATAATGATAAAAAGTCAGGTCGAGACTCCAACACAACCAGTCCATTACCACCTGGAGAACATCTAGAGTCATCGACCTCGACCAGTACACAAGCAGTTTCAACCTCCAATTCAAGCTCTGATTTGAGTTCGAGTACTGCGAATTCACCAACCTACAACAACAACAATGGTTCCTTCTCCGGCTCTTCCAATGCATTGAATCATTCAAATTCCTTCTCAGGTGGAATTTTCAACCACTTGTCAGAAGGATCACTTCCAGAAAGTACACAACTCTGTTATGGAACCGTTCAAACACCATTCAACATGTTTGAATTGAACAAGAGAATGTATCAATTGAATAGTAGTAGTTTGTTGAACAAATTATCAAATCCTTCCACACCCAACTCGAGAAATAGTTTGAAAAATTCACTCAATGGAGGTTCGAATTCAAACGCTTCAACACCTCGTGCGAGTGTGAGTAGTGGTAATTCTTCACCAAGTGTGAATTCTGCATCCAATTCTACTGGAGATTTGAATAAGAATCCAACCTCACAGTTCACTATTACACCAACACTCTTGATGGGTAAGAGAAATGAATTGAATAAGACATCAACCGACAAGAGAAATTCATCGGTGTCTCCTGTTCCAGAGAATGCTCGAAGCAGTTCTCCTCTTGTGACCGCTACAACTTCGACCAATAATAGACAATCTCTCAAAAAGAATCAAGTGGAACCAACTCAAGATTCCAATTCAGTGGGTGCCATTGTGAAATCTGCATTGAACGACAATGAAAAAGTTATTGAACTCATTGTGAGCTTCTTGGTTCCACACAAGGATTGGATTAAATCGGTATCGAATAAGACAGAACTCTCTCATATTCGAACTGTTTCCTTGTTGAATAAGAAATGGAATCAATTGTACTTGTCTCCTCAAAGTGAAAATGTGAATCAATTGTGGAATGTCTTGATTGTTGAATTGAACAATAATAATGGATCTGACAACAACTCTGAAACAGATACTGCTGCAAGTGATCTCACGAACAGCAAGAAGTTTATTCAATTGTGTAAGTAGTTACTTGTGTGTGCAAATGATTGGCATTTGACAAGCAAATTCAATGTTCATTTGATCCAACATGCTCTTTCCACATGATCAAAATATTTCAAATCTTTTGATCCTTCCACCTTGTTTTTGATCGACTTTTGCCAAAATTTCGCTTTACTTTGCCCTACTGATATTTGACATGCCATCGCGTGTCCACCCACACACTCGAACCTTTTCTGCCCTTTGAAAAATGAATGAACACAAATCATCATCCACAACAACTGATGCCACTTCTACGAAATCTTCCAAACTATCCGTCATTTCATCGACTTGCTCTCCCACTTCAACGACTCCTCCACCCATCTCCATTCTTCAACGACCACTTGCTATTGGACGACGACGTGGTACTGTGAAACATACCTCTTCCTCCTCGTTTGTAATTCCTTCATCGACGTCATCATCTGTTTCAAATGTCCCTTTCTCTTTGAATGATGATATGGATGATGTGAAAAATGTGGATTCGAAAACACTCACATCATATCATTCATTTTCATTGTTGCAATCCTCTACCGTCTCCAATGATCTGTCCAATACTAATAACAACAATATTGATGTGGCTATTTCAAACTCCAATTCCAAAAATGGAAATGACGAATCGTCCTTGTCCTCGACTCCAACTTCCACTCCAACGTTATCCACAACAGATTGTAAACAAAACAATCTGAGTAATCCATCCACACCAACCATTGGTTCTGGCACCATCTCGAAAGGCTCTGCTAGAAAGCCAAAGCCAATGGAAACTTTCAATCCACAAGATTTTTACTCGGTTGAACTTTCACAATTGACCTATAAGGAAGATCCACCTGAAAACATTGTCATTGTTGACGGTCAAATTGAACATGCATCATTGAATAAGCTTATCGAAGAATTGACCTCTCACGTGAATTATGACATTCACTTTTTGCATACGTTCATGTTAACATTCAGAAACTTTACAGATAAGGAAACAATTTTCAAAAAGCTAGAAGAGAGATTCAACTACCCACCCAATTGTCCTCCAGAAGAATTCGCCACATTCAAACGTGAAGTATTGGATAAGGTTAGATTGAGAATTATCAATTGTATCAAATATTGGATTGAGAACTTTTTCGTTTTCGACTTTGACAATGAAATGATGCAAATTTTGAATCGATTCATTGAAATGGTTAAGAAATCCAACCAAACAGCATTGGCCTCAGTCTTAGAAAAAGCATTGGACCGTGTGAAAAACAACGACACAGGAAAGGTCATTACACAAGTCAAGGGTCCAGAAATTCTCAAATTGAAAAAGGGTCTTTTCAACAAGAAGAAAGAATATGGTATTCTCGATTATCCAATTCTTGAAATTGCTCGTCAAATCTGTCTCATTGACTATGCCATGTTCAAAACCATTGAACCTAAAGAATGTTTGAATCAAGCTTGGAACAAGGAACACCGAGTCACCAAAGCCCCTAACATTTCTAAAATGATTCAATACTTTAACTTACTTTCTGGTTATGTCGCAACAGAAGTATTGAGACCAGAACTCGAACCTGAAAAGCGTGTGAAAACCGTTGAGAAATTCTTGGAATTGGCCAATCACTGCAAGAATTTGAACAACTTCAATGCTGTGTTTAGTATTATGAGCGGTTTGAACTCGTCTGCTGTTCACCGTCTCAGTAAGGTATGGGATGCCATCAGTGAGGAATCTAAAAAGATTAGAGAAGATTTGGAATATTTACGTCAAGGTAACAACTTTTCCAATTTGAGAAATGTTCTCAAGAATGTCAATCCTCCTTGCGTTCCATTCAATGGTCTCTTCTTGACCGATTTGACATTTATCGAAGACGGTGCTCCAAAATATATTAATGGATTGATCAATTTTGGTAAATGTCGATTATTTGCAAAGGTGATTCGTGATATTCAGACTTATCAAAACACAAGATATAACTTTGAAGAATATCCTGAATTGAAGGAATTATTACTTGGTATCACTAAATTGAGTGATGACGAATTATTTAACTTGTCACTTCAAATTGAACCTAGAAAGCAAAAGAAGAAGAAGGCAGCAGGTGCATCCTCGACAGCTGGAGCTTCTGCATCCATGACCAAAGATGACGACGATGAGGACAAGCCAAAACCAAACATGGATCTTTAAATTCCACACCATACTGTCATATGCTGTATTTTAATTTTGTAATGCCAAAATGAATATCAATTAATCATGAACACAATTGTTGTTTTAATCATGATGTGAATGTTAAACAAAATCCAACCCAACACCCCTGGAGAGACTTCAAAAAAAAGAAAAAAATGCAAAACACACCATCTTCGGGTGTTGGCTCCAATGTTCAAGGCTCATCATCAGTTCCGAGCACAAATCCATCATCATCAGCATCGGGTACATTCTTTTCATCAACTATGGTAAACGAGAAAGATATTCAAAATGTACCAAAAGATGCCATCATCATTGAAAAGATTTTGCAAAGTATGGGGATTAAAGAATTCGAACCTAGAGTTACCGAACAATTATTGGAATTGGTATATAGATACGTTTATGAAGTAATTGAGGATTCTTTTGTGTATATGGATCATGCTGGAAGAAGCGATCTTGATTTGGAGGACGTTCGATTGTCCATTCAATCCAGAGTAAATCATTCATACACAGAGCCACCACCAGTTGAAGTAAGTTATTAATCACGAGGATGAATGATAAATTGGATACATATTTGGTTGTTGATACAACATGTTCTTTCGGAACACGGCCAATTGATCAATAATTATTATTATTATTATTTGATATTAATATTATAATTATTATTTCATTTTTCACTCATGATCCAATTTATAATGCTATTATTCACATACAAATAGTTCCTTCTCGAAGTTGCAAATCAAAAGAATTCTCAGCCAATTCTGCTCCCTAAGAAACCACGTGTATTATTACCTCCTCAACATTTATGTCTCGCCAACAGAAATTATCAATTTTCAAAAACGCCCACAACTGAAGAAGGAATTGCTGCAAGAAAGAAACGAAAACAAACAAGCCATGCAGACACCATGGATTTGAATGGTGGAGCAACGACCACGAATATTGACAATGCCATGCAAGACGATGTTTCTGCCGCCTCATCCGCTCACACTGGAGCACAAGAACCAGCTGATACCAATCTACCTGCATCACCATCCAATGAATAGATCCATCATCACTCACATCACTATGGATTTCAAAAAGAATCATAATTTTTCACTTGAATTATTCATTGAATTTTCACACAACCATTCAAGAGCAACCAATTTAAGGTCCGCCCCTTGTTGAACGATTACAAATAAATTATTTCATGACCAATCAATAATGATATCATCTCATCCAAAAAAATGCCTGGAATCCAAATCCTAAAAGGACGTAAACCTGTGAAAGCTCTCGCGTTCAACCCGAAAGGAAAGTTAGCTTGTGGAACGGTGGAAGGAAATTTGAAAATATTTAATGACTTTCATGAACCGGAGTGTTCTGTTCCATCATCGGCTTCTAATAATCCGAAAGTAGGTGTATGTGCGTGCGATGGATGATGAACCATTGTTCAATAATGTCTTTTTACTTTGATATTACTTATTCATAATTTATATTAATTTTTTCCTTGTTATTACAATGTTAAATTATTATATAATTTCTTTATTGAAAATGATGATGATGATTTACTATATTTCCGATTTTTATTCAATTTCCATTCACATCATCGTCAAAATTGATGTCCAAAATAATTCATATCCAAATAGCAGCAACCATCCACAACAACACCATCATCATCACGAGAAATTGATATTAAAGGATCCAATCGAGGTGATGTTACAAAAATCAAATTCAATCCTTGTTGTAGTCATCAATTAGCTTGTATCACCTCAAAAGGTTATATTCGAATTTTTGACACGAAAATTACAAGTTATAATGGAGGTGAATCCATTGTACATCTCATGGTCGGTGACACTCCTTTAAAACATTTGGATTGGTGTTGTAATGGATTGAAAATGGTTGTGGTTGACATTAAGAACTCAATTTATATTTATACTATCAAACAAACTCACGCTACAAATATTGGAGAAATTACCACATCTTCTAGTCTCGTGATTAAAGATCGAGGAGTATTTCCATGCGATATTACAGATATTAAATGGGATAAGCAAGGAAATACATTGTATATTGCAACAGGAATTGGAAAAATATTTTGTGTGAATGATGAAAAGGAAAAGATTAATGCATTTGTGACCTTGAAAATTAATTCACCCTCAGTTTCTACACAACCTTCTCAGTTGTTGACTCAGAAATCATCATTGGATGCAAAAAGTTCAAACATGATGGACACGTCCTCAGATGAAATTGACTCATCATCGTTGAATAATTTCCTAACGACAGATGCATCTCAATTTTTAGTGAGCAAGGGAGCTTTGACAAGTATGGATATTTCGAGTGATGAGAAATATCTTGTGGTTGGATCTGAAGATTCAGTAGTGTCAATTTTTGAATTTCCTGAATTAATATGTGCACATACATTCTCAGACATGAATTCACTGGTTGTGTGTGTTTCAGTGAGAGCCCAAGTTGGTACGAATCCTAACACTGCAACTTCTGCAAGCAAATCACCATACTCAACGAGTCATGTGTTCTTACCTCCAGTCATGGCGTGCTGCACAAGAAATGAAGAAAAACGAAGCTACATGCTGTATGTGATTAACTTGATTGATGGCACTCCTCTCATAAAGAAAGAAGTAAGCCAAGTGACACAAATTCAATTACATCCCTCTATGAATTACATTGCTTACATTCAAGATGGAAGCACCGAAGTCATTGTTGAAGAATTTGCCTGCTAATCCTTAACATGACTTGGTTTCTTTGACCCCCAAGATATTTTCCATGTTTTTGACATGATAGATTTATTTATTCGACGCTAGGAATGAAACATATTTCAGACAATCTTAATCTCCTCTCTTAATAAATTATTCGACCTCAAAGTCACCTTCCAACGCACAATAGCTACTATCATACACAACTCCAATCAACTCGTCACTTTCTGGAAAGTCTGAATGCTTCTTACCACTGAAAACTAGCCAGCCAAGCTCGTACTCAGTATCTTCTCCGCACACATGTACTCCACACAGAGTTCCAGAAGGGGCTCGATACTGAATACATTCTTCTGGATGCTTGGAGCTCAACAATTTCATGACCGAGTCGTACTCACTGGCATCAATCATTTGAAAATTACCTCCCAAACGCTCACACTCTTCACTATCATATCCAGAGCCAGACTCTTCATCACTGCCACGATAATCCTCGTCATCGTCTTTTTTCTTTTTCTTGTGTGACTTGTACAACTTGAGCTCTTTTCCGACCTCAGTGCTCGATCCAGAATGCCATGACCAATCGTATCGATTGACATAGACAATTTGTTTGTCCTCATGACTCTGTGCCAATGAAATACCAATGGAAGAACATCTTTCTAACAATTCCTTGCCAGAAATGTCTTCGTGATGAACAATAAAGCCTCCTACCCACTTATCCTCGGAATTGACAAATCTCTCTACAACCCATTTACCCTTGCGAGCTGCAGCACGATAGCAGAATTCGCTTTGCAAAATGGTACCACCAAATCCGGAGCTGATGGGTCCATTCACTCCATCATGTGCTTTGGTTTTACTGCCTTTGATCAAACACTGAATTTGACCCCATAATATTTCACCCGAGGTACATTCAAACGCATGAGTGCATGGAAATTTCATTTTGATCTTTCCTGCTGGCTTGCTGTTTGATTTGGATGATTCGCTCGTGGTTGTTGTTGATGATGCAGTTTTTGATGCTTTGGATGCTGATCCTCCTGTCGTTACTTTCTTGCTTGATTTCTCTTTTGGCATTTTTTTGACGCTAATCTTTCTTGTTGGAACTGGAGCTTTCCAGTTCGAGCTCACTTCAAAACCTGAGCACTTTCTCAACAGTAAAGCTTTTGTCACGTTTTTTTATTGTTTTTGTAAAACTCCACTTCTCTTTCTTGTATTATTAGATGTCAGTGATTGCATGATTGAAATTAAAGTAGTTTGTCGAATTCCAGAAATCATGGATGCTTCTCTCAATGTTTTTGGTTTGTATCTCATTAATTTCACTCGCTCTTCAGTAGTGATATGTGGGAATATTCCCTTCTCTTCCAATTGATCGTATAGTTCTGAAGGCAATGTCAAGTTTTCCATTTTAGATAATTGTTCAATATCGTGTTCGTATTGATCGTAATATTGGAAATAACGACATTCAGAAATGATGGTTTGTTCGTCTCTTCTTGATTGTTTGGCTTCTTGAATGGATTGTAATTCCAATTCCAGTAAATATTGTTGCTGAGCATCTCCAAGAGAGGGTGGTTGTTGTGAATTGAGCAATTCATAATTTTCTTGCTCATGAGCGAATTCCATCATCATTCTCTCTTCGTTCTCACATTCAGCATTTGTGTTGCCTTCAGTGTAGTCATAAATAGTGGGCAGATACTCAGCTTGCTCGCTTAAATATTTAAAATCAACATCATGTAAACTTGTGACATGTTGTTGAGCTATGATATCAGCAATAGATTTCTTTCTTCCAATATCTGTTCCAACAGAAAAATCCTTTAAATTTAAAATGGAATTCCACATTTTTGGAGTGAATTGAACCGAGTGACACATGTTGAGAGCACGAGTAATTCTCTCTTTTCGTTGCATTGTTTTCATATATCGTTGTTCAGATACACTCGAGCCAGTATCGAGAGAATTATAGTATTCCTCATGATAGATGTCATCATCTTTTTTGGTGATTCGGTTTCTGCTTGAAGACTTTAATTTCCTTCCTTCAATCGGTAAACTTTCCAATCCATGTAAATATTTCTTCTCGGTCAATCTCAAATCAGCATTGTCTGCTCTCAACATTAATCGATATTCAGATCGTGATGTGAATATTCTGTAAGGTTCATCCACTCCTCTTGTCACTAAATCATCAATCAATACTCCAATATATGCCTCAGATCGATCCAAAATAAACTCAGTATTATCCTGCCGAGCATATATGGCTGCATTAATACCTGCAATAATTCCTTGAGCAGCAGCCTCTTCATATCCTGTCGTACCATTGATTTGACCTGCCAAAAAGAGTCCCTTACATTTTCTTGTTTGTAGAGTGTGAGTTAATTCCACTTTGGGTGAAACAAAATCATAAGCAACGGCGTAACCAGGTTGTAACATGTGTACATTCTCGAGTCCTTTCATGGTACGTAAAAATTCAAGCTGTTTCTCTGGAGGTAAACTTGATGAAATTCCATTGGGATAGATCACATTCGAGTAGTGATCATAGGGCACTTTTCCATCGATGGAGCATTTGGGAGGAATACCTTCAGGTTCCAACCAAATACGATGTGAAGTTCTCTGAGGGAATCGGGTGACCTTAATTTCAATGGAAGGGCAATAACGAGGTCCGTTTCCAAATCGAACCTCGTCTGCCAATGCACTACAATTGTTACGAATAATTTCATGTGTACGTTCATTTGTTTCAGTTTCGTAACACATCATGTGAGGTTGATCAAGCGGCACTCGAGTTCCATAAAATGTATTCTCGTCATGCATGTAGGAAAAAGGTTCAATATATTTGGCTGAGGGTTGTTCTGTGAGTTTGGACCAATCGATGGATTCTCGATGAAGGCGAGGAGGTGTTCCTGTTTTCATTCTTCCCATTTCAAATTGAAATTCCTTGTAAAAACAATCACTCAAACTTCCACAAGTGCGTTCTGTTCCAATCTCACTAATTCTACCTCCTGCAAACCGAACAGTATTTCCAATATGAATTTCTCCTCTCAAAAAAGTTCCTGTTGTAATAACTACAGATTTGGCACGAATTTTTGTACCATCTTTAAGAACTACTCCACGAATTTCTCCATTTTCATGCAATAATTGATCCACACTTCCACTTATGATTTGAAATTTATCAGGATATCGTTTAGTATATTCGTTTAAAATTTGTTGCATTTTAGTTCTGTACAAGTGACGATCCATTTGACCTCGTGGACCATACACTGCAGGTCCTTTACTTTGATTTAACACATTGTAATGAATCATTGCATAATCACTCACAACACCCATCAGACCTCCCAACGCATCTACTTCCTTCACTAAAATTCCTTTTCCAACACCACCAACAGATGGATTACATGAAAGAACTCCAATGGTATCTGAACTGTGTGTCACCATGAGAGTGGTTGCGTTATGAAAGAGAGAAGCATGAGCAGCTTCACATCCCGAATGGCCGCCACCCACAACAATAGTATCGAAAAATGTTGGATGTGTACGGACAGTGGAAGAAGAGTGAGAGGAAAAATTCTCTCTATGATTGTTATTGATTGACATTGTTGAAGCATGATCATGTTGTTGTGTGGCAGAGTGGTAGGAATCCACGTTGATTGTATTGGAGTGTGAGTGGTGTTGGTCTGCTGATGAGAGAAAGGAGTGAAAGTTCCGAACCCATTTGGATTGGTTTAAATTCAAATAATAATAATCGGAAGAGGAATGGTTATTGGAGAAGCGATTAGTCTTTAAATGAGCATGTGTTCGCTGCACACATGATTTTGAAATGAAAGAACAAGAGGCTTTGGAGAAGGGTTCATGTTGCTTCTGCAGAAGGATTCTTTTCATTTTTTGAAGTTGGGTTTCATCTTCCTTATTGCTGTTGTTCAATCAATTCGTGAACCATTGGACGAAGGTTTATAAAGAGAAGCATTTGAAAAAGTTAGGAACAGCAGTATTGTGCACAAAACCAATCCAGATATCATTGATCAACTTGTTTCGGCCAAGGTTTGGTTCTGCCACAACAAACTCTGACTGTTGCTTCATTGTAAAACGCAAAATTAGGTTGACTAAAAAATTTGTCTTTTTCGAAAAAAAAATAACGCCAAAACTCTATAACGTAAGTCTCGCCTTCTTCATCTATCTTTGACGACAAATTTTCGCATCAGAATGCCACCAAAAGCAGATCCATCAGAAGTTAAAATCTTGTACTTGAGATGTTTGGGAGGTGAAGCCGGTGCTACCGCCACCTTGGCTCCAAAGGTCGGTCCTTTGGGTCTCTCTGCCAAGAAGATTGGTGACGATATCGCCAAGCTCTCCAAGGACTGGAAGGGTCTCAAGATCACCGTCAAATTGACCATCCAAAACAGAAATGCCGAAATTGAAATTGTCCCATCTGCTTCCTCATTGGTCATCAAGGCTTTGAAGGAACCACCAAGAGACAGAAAGAAGGTCAAGAACATTAAACACAACGGTAACTTGTCTATGGAAGATGTCATTGGTATTGCCAGGACCATGAAATCAAAGTCTTATGCTAAGGATTTGGCTGGTTGCGTCAAGGAAATTTTGGGAACATGCTACTCTGTTGGTTGCACTGTTGCTGGTGAGAATCCAAAGACTCTTCAAGAACAAATCACCAATGGAACCATTGAATACAAGATTCCAGACCAATAAATTATAAAATCATTATTTCATTCAGAACTGTTTGCTTTAAGGTGAATCTTTTTTTTGAAGCTGCCATATTAGGGCAATTTCTGTCCTTGTTTCGGTTTGTTTGAGGAAAACATCTACCTTCTTCAAATCTCCTTTTCATAGGCTAGTTGCTCATGTGGACCTAAGTGAAGTTTAGAGATGAATCATACAAGAAGAAGAGCAGTTGTTGGGTACTGCCTTCATGGACAATAAGAGACTCTGCGCAACAACCACAAAAAAATATGATGAAGAAGCTCCTGCTTTCAGGCCATCATCACACAAGCCTATTGTGCTGTTCAGCAACAACAAGACTATCATCAACACCATCATTACTTTTATTCAATCAATGTTCTATCAATAAATCGAGGCAATTTCACTACGGAAGAGTAGTTTTTAGTTCGTCGTCATCTTCTGAAGATGATCAATCTTCGGCTCATCCTTTCCGTTTCTTGCAAAGAGGATTGAAATTGGCTTCTCCTAAACTAATAATCTTGATGGTATGTGTGAGATTTTCATTATGAAAAATGTGAAAACAAAAATTTATTTGGAATTACTCTTCTGAAAACTATTACAAATTTAATTTTAATGCAACTAACACACATCCAATCTTCTATAAATTTTTCATTCATAGGGTCCACCTGGAGCTGGCAAAGGAACACAGGTAAAGTATCCAAGTGACTATCTTTTCTTAAACATCTATAATACGTTACTGACTTGTTATTGTTTCATTTCTTCGATTAATTCCATGACAATTTGTGAACATGAACTTATGATTAAATTTTACAATGGACATGTTGACAATACGATTTCTCGAACAGTCTCGCCTCATTACTGCTGAGTGTCCTTCTTATCACATCATCTCTGCAGGTGATACTCTCAGAGAGGAGAGCCAGACTAATCCTCAACTCAAAGAATTACTAGCAAGCGGAAAATTGGCTCCTGAGGAAGAAACAGCTAAATATCTTTTGAAGAAAATGAATAGCATTTACAAGGAATATTATGAACAATATGTAACATCAGTGACAACACCATCCAGTTCAGTTGATAAGGAAGCAGCAACTACGGGAACAACTCCAGCTCAAGAAGTAGATCAACAAAATCAGCCAACCAAGGATGGACCAGCAGATTTGATTTCAACAAGTGTTGAGCAACAACAGACCGTTCCCTCTCCTAATTTCATTCTTGAAGGTTATCCTCGCAATCTCATTCAAACCAAACAATTTTTAACCTGGTTCACAGGAGGAGACATTCACTTTTCTAAACATCACACAATAATTCTTCATTTACTTGTAGATAAGGAATGTATTAAGGAAAGATTGAAAGGAAGACTTATTCATGATAAAAGTGGACGTACCTATCATGTTGAATTCAGAAAACCAAAAGTAGACTCACAGGATGATGTAACAGGAGAACCTCTTTCAAAGAGAGATGATGATTTGAATGATGAAGCTATTGCAAATCGTATGGAAACATACAAGTCTCAAACATTACCCACTTTAGAATTATTGATCGACAATGAATTTGAAGTTGTTGACGTGACTGCCATTGAACATGATATTGAAAAGGTGAGATCTAAAGTATTTCGCAACCTGATTGAAAGAGGGTATTTAGCTAAGCCAAAAAGCGCTCCTCCCAACACTGGTAATACCACTGTAGGAACCACAACACCAGCTTCTGGACAGAGTACAACCCCAAGTGGAACCAACGAGCAAAGCTCATAAGGCACGATCGAACATGACTACCTTTATGCTTTGAAGAATTTTTGAAGAGTTGTGGCTTGCATTTCGTATGAATATCATGTTTTTTTGTAGCACAACCGTAGTTTTTCACCAATACACTTACTTTGAACTGAATTTTTCAAATACATTCTTTTGTGCGTGGACTGGCAGCAGCATCGCTCTCAACAAGTTTCATTGTAAAAAACAAAATTTTGGTTGACTAATTCTCGTTGGTTTTTTGAAATTTTGTTGCAAAAAAAATATAACAATAGTAAGTCTTCGTCAATTTTTTGTTTTTGACTGAAAACATCGGTTGCCGTCTGTTAGTGGCTGGAAAGTCCAAGGAAATTCAAGCCCAAAAGGCCGCAGCCAGAGAAAGCGGCTCCAAGGGAAAGAAGAAGAAATGGTCTAAATCAAGAGTCAAGGAGAAATTGAACAACAAGGTTCTCTTCGACACCAAATCCTTCAATCAATTGGTCAAGGAAGTGCCAAAGATGAAGCTCATCACCATTGCCAGAGTGTCAGAAGCTCTCGGTGTCACTGGTAGTGTTGCTAAGAAGGGTTTGAGATACTTGGAAGAAAAGGATTTGATCAAGCCTGTGGTCAAGCATTCTAACATGATGGTTTATGTCGTCAAGAAGGAAGAGACTGCTGAAGCACCAAAGGAAGAAACCAAGCCATCCAAGAAGGAATCCAAGAAAGAAAAACAATAAACTTTCCATCATAATATAAAATTTCAAAATTCAAACAAGATGTTGTTTTGTTTGTTGGCTACAAGGCGAGTTTACTAATTAATTGCCAGTTACATGTACTTGATCTACAAAGAACTTTGCATCAAAATCGTTTATTGCTCGAATAGAACATTTCAGCATTTGTCTTGCCGTCGCTGCTTGGCATAAACTCACCACATTGATGAGAAAAGAATTCATTGACCATGGCGTTTTGTCTAAAATTCGACTTGTCTTTGAGCTGTCCGTAGAGATGCTGCAACTGAGAATCAGATTGCCAATTTTTCATAAAGGTTGCTTTGGTTATGTTGGGGTGTGCAACCTCTGAGGTTGTTAAGATAGTTTTCACTAGATTGTGATCTTGCCGACAGGATTTTTCGACCTTGGACGGGTCATAAACAGTTCGTTCAACATAACCCATATAACCTGGAATGTGATCAGAGCCATAGTTCGTGGAAAGAAATGTTTGCCCTTTCATTGGTCGTGTACTGTCGTTATTAAGGTAGAGAGATTGCTTTGCATGGTCCTTATTTGTGACAACAGACGGGGTCGTGTATGGTCTTCCATATAATGTGTGATTATTTTCGTCAGGAACATGTCCTGAATAGCCTTGAGTTCTGAATTTCTTGTTGTCCTTATGAATACCCTCAATGTCTATGGTGCTGCTTATTAATTCCTTTCCATTGGAATTGTAATCAATGGAATACGAAGACGGAATCACTTGAGAAGAGCCTTCTGGCACTGGATACGTTGTTACAGAAGATGCATGCTCCATCTTTCCTTTTGGACATTTTATAATGGTTGACACTTTGAAATCCTCGCTCACAATGGACTTGACCAAGTGATGCTTGGTCGTGTAATCGCATGGTTTTTTAACATTTGCATGACTGGAATGCGACCGTTGTTCTCTTCGTGTAAAGGGTTGGTGAGCTTGTTCAGGCCCCTTTCTGTATTCCACTTGTTGCGCTGTGACATGACTTGGAAAGTCACTTGTTTGATGTTTTTTAAAGTCTCCACTAGTAGTATCTGATAAATTCTTTCGAATAAACATGTTCGAGTTGGGCATGATCGATTGTTGTTTCGTTTCAATGGAACGTGAAGTAGCTATTGCCACCGAATCGAAATTTTGCATTAAATTCTCTACTCGAGATTTGTGGGTTCTGTTCCGAACGTGATCCATTGTTAAAGTCATATTCGCTGTGTTATTCCGTGGATCAAATGATTTCAAGCCCGACCGTCTTGTTTCACCCAAAACTCCATCGGAGCATGAAGCTGTATTTATATTCATCTCTCGACAATAGCCATAGTGATCTATTTTGGCCTTAATAATTGGTTTTTGAGCGTTGGGAATGTAGCCATGATAAATATGAGGGAACATTTTTTTTTTCTTTAATGAAGCATTTTCAGTAAATTTTGGATTCTGAGCAGTAACGGCCATTTCAACGGTTGTAGATGCAATGTTAGTGAATCAAAAAGCGCCTTATTTGGATTTTCTTGGAGATGAGTATGAGACAAAACACTTTGAAATTGTAAGTAAATCACACTTCTGTGAGAGCTTTCAACGATGCCTCGTCAAAACAACCTTGAAAAGTTGTAAAATTTGAATCCTCAATAAAAAATAGAGACGTAGCCATTCGCGCCTTTACTAGTTGTTTGAATTACTATTGTAATTCTTGAAAGAAGAAAAATATTGCAATTGTTAAACCTTTACTCTTGGATCATCATCATGCTGTACGACAAGCATCCGAACAATCCAGCCAATTTACAAGCGAGAATTAAGGAGGAAAAGCGATTGGCATATTTTGAAAATTATGTCCGGGATAAGCAAATTACTACAAAGAGAGTGGATTTCTGGGATCGGAATCCTCCTCAATATTCATTGACGAGACTACAAATGAAACGATATCCTGTGGTAACAAAGAGGGAGGAATACAACCAACATGTGGATCAAAGACGACTCAAGTTGGTGGAATTGTACAATATTGAAAAACAACAATATCAATTAGAATTATTGAACAATGCTCATATTCTGAAAAAGCGCTAACATGGAGATGTGGATCTCTTGTAATTCTGTAAATCTTTCGAGTTGAATGTGACACATTGGTCAAGTAAAAATGGATTATTATTGAATGTGCCAATCACAACAATAAATAGTCCTCCTTATTGAAAGATATTGGAGGTGTTTGCTGGTGAGATTCATGGCTGCTCGATTCGTGATCTCGAGCACTGCTACCTCCCTTTGAAAATATTCCACCAAATAAGCTGCTCACTACTCTGGACACTTTTGCAGTACTGCCACTGACTGAATTTTTATGCTTTTCAAACTCATTTAATTTTGTGTCAAGGGAATTTACCTTCTCTTTCACATGTGTCACATATTGTAATAAATTATCAATTCTTTGGTACATTTCTTTCACGTGTATCATCATGCTTAATAAATGATGTAGTGTCGTTGTGGTTGTGCCAGAAACAGCATCAATCTTTTGTGTTTCATTAGAATTGGATTCCATTGTTGTTGCTGCTGTTTCTAAAGATGGCTCTTGTTGTTGAATCATTGAATAATAGGTTGAATGAATAAAATCTAATTGTTCTCCCAATTCATCACATCTCTTTAATAGAGCTTCAATAATAGTATCAATTTGTTTTATAATTTGTGATTGATCTCCCTCATGAATAGAATTTAATAACAGATGAGAATATTGTTGAACTAAAAGATCCGTCGTATAATGAATTGGATTAGAAATGGTTGAGGCTTGATGGAGCATCGGAACGGATGCAGTTGATGATGGAGCTGAATTTTCTTGAACACTTTGTAGAGGTTGTTCAGAAGATGATTCCACAACCGCCACGTGTTGATGGTTGGACGATGATTCTTGTTGTTGTGTTTCCACGTCGTGTTGTTCGCTCATGAGAGGACGATAGTACCCACCACAGAATTTTTTTTTGATTTTTTGAAAAAAAAATGATGCCTTTGCTTGAATCGGGTGCAGTTCCTTCTGCTCAAAATGAATCCATGACCTTTACAAACACTCCATCCACTATTTATCAAGCTCATTCTTCATCAAATAGATATTCAGCATCTCCATTTTCATCGGGATCATCAGGAGTACCCCTTCAAGCTCTGTTGGATGAGAAAGAGCAAGAAGAATTAATTTCAAAATTTCATTCTCAAGCTTGTACTCAATACAAATTGTATTCGTATACAATTGGAACAGCATGTGCCATATTTTGTGTTTTATTTCTCTATTTTGCGTATGTTGCCGAAGATTTCGGTGAATCAATCGGAATGCAACGTGTGAGGCTCATTCATACATTATGTAGTGTTGGATTGTTATGCTTGAGTGTGAGATGTTTTTATAGATATACTCTTTGGAAGAGATCAAAGAATTTGAGCAGCGATAATAACAATTCAAATCTAAGAAGAAAGAGGGAAGAATCAATTTTACTTGACGTTTCATACAGCAATGAGGATGACGAAATTTCTTCATCATTGAATATTGTTGCTCCTTCGGAATCGTGGACTCTTCTTCAAGCTCATGAGTTTATTGCCTTCAAACAACGAATATTGTTTATTTGCTTATTTGTTGCTGTATTATTTGCTGCTATTGAGCTTTTGTTGTGGGCTCCTCATCTTCAAGAACAATTCACATCACTCTATTCTGGAGTGGATGTTAGAGGCGATGGCTTCCACAGCTTCAAGTTAGCAATTTTAATATTTCCATTTGTGTTGCCTTTGATGTTGGTTGCCTCAGAGTATGGACACTACTTGTTAAATCAGAATTTTATTGAAATTATTGATTTGAGTGAGCACCGATACAAGTTCAAGAGTTTGTAACAACAACAAATCAAGTATGGTCGTTCCTTCTTCTAGTTTCTCTAAAGTAGTAATAATAAATTATTGGAGTCAACTGCAACAACAATTTAGTTCCTAAAAACGCCAATTCAATTTGGAAGTGGAATTTCCAAGGTTTTATATTGATGGCGAAGGCGTACAAATTGTTAGAAAAATGCTGCCAGAGAGATTGGCAATTTGTGAAAGTGACCAAAATCGCGATACTGAATCATTCACAATTTCGATAACCTTACAAATTTAATACATTTTTTCTCCATGTTCCTCTTCCCATCTTTCCATTTCTTCTTGATATTCATCAACATACTTTTGCTTGGACTTGGCATCCAATTCTCTCCATCTTTGACCAGCAACCTTGCTCAATTCAGTAACCTTAGCATCAGGGAATTCCTTCTTCAATGTTTCTCTGACATCATTGTAGAAACGTAAATAAGAGGAGATTGGTCTTCTATTTGCTTGCTTTCTTCTTTTGTAAGCACCCATCTCTCTGTGATAACGGGCCTTGTCTTGAGCAGCCAAATCGACATAGGCAGACTTTTCTTCCTCACCCAAAGCATCCCATCTCTTCTTCAATTCACGTTGAACCACAGTAAATTTCGATTGAGTCTCAGTTGTGATGGTTCCATTTTGAGTCAATTCGTTTTGAACAGCAACAAAGTTGCGAGTAGTGTACCACAACAATGGAGTCAAGGCTCTCTTTGGAGCGTTTGGATCCTTCTTTCTCATATTGGCTTGCTTTTGCTTTTCAGCTTGCTTTTGAGCAGCCAAAGCAAGTCTCTCCTTTGACTTTTGTCTTTGGGCCTTCAATTTTGCTGCTTGCTCCCGTTGAAGCTTCTTTTCCAACTCCTTCAAACGTTGCTTTTCTTTTTGTTCCTTTAATAACATTTCAACATTGAATTTTGGTGCAGCTGAGGCTTGATCAGCAGCATTCAATGATCTGATGGTATGATAGGAAGCAGCTTGCGAAGCAAAGAGAGAGAATTGTTGTGGCTTGCACACAACAGAAAACAAGAGACGTCTTGACAACATGATGATGAATATTTTTTAGGAATTGATTTGGAAATAAATTTTTAACGTTTTTTTTTGTGAATGAAATCACAACCACAATCTACAGAGTTCCAAATTGATAGGTTGAAAAACGAAACTCTATCAAACAACCCGTTTTTAAAATCTTTCATAACGATCGTAACGGCTTAAAGGAAAAGTGGAGGTAAGGTGCGTGAATCTTCATGGATTTTCGAGCAATTTCAGATAAAGTGGAATGATGTTGTGGACAACACCTATTTAATTCTGATTTACAAATTTTTGATACAATTCGAGTTTGGATCGCAACGCGTCTGTGATAGCTCCTGATTCATCATCGTCAATCGAGTCCTTGTACAGTACTTGTTCAGCTTTCCTCTCCATCTTTTCAATTTTTCGTTTTAATTCCTCTATTTCTTCTTCCTTTTTTCTGTCGTTTGCCTTCTTTCCGTTCTTTTTCGCTTTCTTTTTACATTCTCTAAGGTATTCATTTCCTAGGTTTTTGGGATCTCGGTGTAGATTCTCGCTCGAAGAAGCTTTAGTATTCTTTTTCTCAATGGATGGAAGTTTTGATCGTTTCTTCTTTTTTGGAACTGTATGAGGGGAGTCTCGACCTTTGTCTACCTCATTGCTTGGATCTTCCTTTGAAGGCACTTTGGTTGGGCTGGCGACTACATTATTTGGCACTTTTTTCTTGCTTAACAGAATTCGCTGCTCAATTTCATTTCGCTTTTTCTCATCAATTTTGATTTTGACCTTTCTAAGCTTTTCTGCGTAATCTCGTTGTTGTTCAATGAGTTGTTTCTTTCTTTCTCTCTCACGCTCTTCTTGAATCTTCCTCTCCTTTTCTTCCTCCAAAGCTGTAAAATAAAGTTTGTTGTACGCAAATGACTGATGTTTTCCGTTTCTCTCTTCAAGGTCTCTCTGTCTTTCACGCTCCTTTTCCTTGGTTAGCATTTGAAGCTTTTCAACATAATTATGAGCGAATTGCTTGATTTCCTTATGGGTTTCTTGATTCGGTAGATAGAACTTTTTCAGTTCTTTCAATAGTTCCTTCTCTTTTTTCTTTTCTTGCTCCATTTTCTCTTGAAACTCTTCCTCCTTTTTCAGATACAAAGGTTTTTCTCCTACGAAGGTCAATTTTCGCTGAAGTGCTTCCTTGGATTGTCGTAATCGTCGTTGTTCTTCTAGTTTTTCTTGCAAGAAATCTCGTAATGGCTCAGTTGGACCATTAGGAACGGGCTTGCTTTCTTCGTTTTTTCTTTCTGAGGGTTTCTTCTTCTTCTTTTTCGTTTTTTCTACCGTAGGGCGCTGAGGGTCGCGAACAACAGCGTCTGCTTCTGTCATCTTAGGCGATGGATTCTCTAGGTCTTTCTTTTTCTTTTCGTGTTTTGTTGGTGAGGTTACATTCTCTGCTACCACTGGCTGTTCTGTGGTGTGCACTTGCTGGTCCATTGACAATTTTACACTGTCTTCTTCTTGCACTTTCTGTTCTTCTCTTTCCACCTTAAGTGCTGACTGTGGAATCTCTTCTTGAACATTTTCTGGAACTGGATTTTCTTCTTGTATGCCGTCAGATGTTTCACTACTTCGCTTCGGAATTGTGGAAATTACTTCAGCGTCGTGCTCTTGCTCGGAGGGTGTACCCTCTATATCCTTCTCTATTGGGGTTGCTGTTGATTCTGTGACACTTTCTTCCAGTATTGATTGAGGAGGTTCTGCATTTTCTGAGGAAACAGGAACCTCAACAATATTCGAAGCAACGTTATCACTCATGCCATTTGGACAAGGCTGTTCAACGGATACAAACTCTTCAGAGTGTATTTTCTGCGATAAGGTGCTTGATGCAGCTTCTTGCTTCAAAGCTTCATGTTCCTCGAGATATGCTTGTTGCGTATTAACCTCTGGAAGAGATAACTCGGGGTCCTTCCTTGAAATTTGCGTAATCTCTCCATGTCTTTCGCTCTCAACCTTGATGGTTTGCTCATGTTGTTCGAATTTGTTTGAAAACTCGTCAGTTTGTACAATCGGCTCGTCCATTGATTTATGTATCGGAAATATTTTTGGAGACTTTGAGGGTTCAGGAAGGATTTGAGGCGTAGATGTTTCTTGCAAAGACGCTGAGAGATCTATCGAGAGTTGTTTGTTATTTGATAGAGCTTGGTCTTGTTGCTGATCTTTCATGCTGGTTTCGGTTGCTGATGATGACTCCTCTGAGGGTTGTTGTTCGTTGATGGGAAGTGAGGTCATTTTATTTTTAAAGAAAATCAGTAGTTGAGCAAAACGGACGTTAAGAAAGCGCGGTTAAAAGGAACTCAAGACAATTTCTTTTGAATTCCATGGCAGAGTTGAATTTAGCTCATCGTTGATCAAGCTGTACTCATTAACATCCCTGAAGAAGAAGTGAATCTTTTTCTCAAATCTGTCAACAATGATAATGGATTGAGATTTTGTTTTCCAATTGGTGAACTTGCTTTGATAGTGCACAAAAATGTCATTGATGGTGCTTCGGTCATAGAGGTGAATGTCTATCCGTCTTTCTGCTAGAAATTGTGGATTTTTCAAGTTAGCTTGTGAGTTAGTGGTGGTATGAGAATTGGAATTGGGTGAAGTATTCTGAAATTTTTGCTTGTATTCCTTAATGAGCGCAATAGGCTCAACCTCAAATTGATGTTCCTTCATGAATTCGTCACTGAACTTGTCGATATCATTAATAGATATGGAGTTGTCTTGGTATTCATTAATATTCCTGATATTTAACAGCTTACTAAACTTCGAAACGAGATCTTGAGGGCTTTGGTCATTGTTCACTTCCCTAAAACATTCATGCATTCTTTCTCGTAATACTTTCACTTTTTGCCACAAATGGTCATTGAGAAACGAATTGGAAGCACAGTATGTCTCACCATTGGTAAGTCGTTCAATATGTAAATGTTTGGTCAATTTTACAGGCCATTGAGAGAGTGGCTTTCCATGCTCATCTCTTATGAACTCTCTGTTGGTGAAATAGACCAAATCTGAAGGAGTACTACTGTCCAAGTAGGAAAATAAATTTCCACAAAGTACAATACATCCTTTCGTTTGAAGCCATTCATGTTCATGTTTTTTCACAAGTTCAATGTAATCATTGTGGCTTTTCATGTCTTGTTTCTCCAATAATAAATCAAGCAAAAGACGGCTTCGTATGACTTTTGTTGTTTTAGATTGGCTTTCCTTTGCATGACAATAAGCTTGATCGTGAGAATGGTTGAGAGGCAGCTTTGAGGAACTCGGTTCTTTCTTCTTATAAAGCTCCAATGTTGGAATTTGTTCTGCATAATCGTCATCTACATTTGTTACAATGGCCATGCTACCATTATGGATATTCACCCCAAGCCACGTATTGTGATACACCAAATCTGTGACACATAATATAGAACCAGCAACTAGTTGAAAATCGCTGTGGGTAGGCCGATCGTATTCTTCATCTCGGTTCGAAATTAAAATGAAAGGGTATCTTGTATTGGTTGATGTCTCTCCCTCTACGGAATTGCTCGACTCAGCACAAGTTGAAATGGACACAATGCACATGAATGCTTGTATTTTTTTTAAATTTGAACTTGGAAATTGTGATGTCATTCGATTATCTTTCCTTCGTTCATAGTTTTGTAAAAAAAATGAGTACGAGCGTTAAAATTAGCATGTAAATTTTGGAAATCGCAGTTGCTTGTTCCGTGAGAGTAGATAATTCGACCTAGCCCATTCGACATTGTTTTTTTGTTCAACACGAACGCAGTCTTGGTATTATCTAAATGTATCAAAATTACATTTTCGGAGGAGGACAATGTCCAACTGTTAATTATGTTTTATTTACGCAAATAATGAGTCAGCTTCTTCGTAGAATCACCATCTCTAAATTTCTACAAATAGAGCAACGAAGAAAATCAACACAAACGCACTTGAAGTGGAAAAAAAGAGCATCAAAATAACGACAGTACGAAATCGTTTGATATTAACTATTAATAGTTCAATCAATAGAGGAGGCGACAATAGTGATCGGCTGGAGAAGCACTACCAAGCTGATGACGTACAATGTGCCACTTTGCGAAATATAATAATAACAAACAGATTTTGCAATCAGCGTCGTTGATTTCGTGTTGGCTAACATGCACAAACACGACTTCAAATATAATATTTACATTATTTGTGATACAGGGACTTTTCAGTACATTTCTTACATTTTTTCTATTATATTCAACAGGGGTTCATATTCATGATCACACCGAAGAGCTAAAAAGAGCACAACAAAGTTTAAACATACACTCAGAGCTCGCAAAGTTGATCCAAAGTGCCTCTGCTACAGAAGCTATCCTAAAATATCGAGTTTATTATGGAAGTTCGGCTGTGATGACAAATGCAACTGATATCATGCCTTGGATTTCTATTTTAGCACATTTAGGAAATGTGTTTAGCAAGAAGGCCTCTTTTATTCAGCATGCAAGATTTGACCATGCTTATGTTGGATATTATAATGATACGTTCGAAGTGGCTGAGAACAATATCACGAAATTCTTTCAAGTAATTCCCAGGCAACTAAGTTTTCCATCACTATCGGTGAGAGATTTACGACTAGTTAAGGAGGCTCCTTATCAAGATATTGATAGGCCTTGGGTTAAAGAGTTTTTTCACAAGAACGCCTCAAAGCCATATTGGACAAATACATTTATGAGCCTGTATGGACAAAGAGCAGTCAATTTTGTGTTGCCCATATTTGTGAATGACAAAAGCTTTCGACGTTCTCCACCTTCCTTTCCAGTACGCGTAAAAGATTCTAATTTAAGCAATGCTACTTTTCGGTACAACACTCCTTTTTTACAGATAGATAATTTATTTGCCATGGTAGGAATTCAATTCACTCTGGAATATCTTTCAGACTATCTGAAAAATTTAACACGTGACTCTGACGTATTGAGAAGCTTCATTCTTAACTCCAATAGAGAAATTTTAGGTAGCGCCTCAAAAGGAGGCGCCTTAGAAAATGACACCTTCCATCAGGAACTCTCTACATTCATTTTCAACAAGAACTTGGGACCCAGTAACACCTCATCATTGTACAGAACAAATATTTATTCTAAATTTCAAGTGAACATTGGAATTAATACTGGAAACATGTTATGTGGATGTAAGTTTTTGAATGTTATTGTTTGCATGATTTTGTTTTCAAATATTCATCCATTTATTTACAATATCCATCTCTTAAGGTATGGGCTCCCCTTTACGATTCTGTTACACAGTAATTGGAGATAACGTGAATATCGCCTCTCGATTGCAATACTTGGCTCAATCATATGGATGCCATATTTTTATTGGAGAGAATGTTCAAAAAGTTGTCCAGAAAGCATTTATTTGTTTGTTTGTGGATTTTATCAAGTTGAAAGGGAAACGCCTCTCTACATCTGTTTATTGTCTGGCCTCATTCGAGAATGAAGCCAGTGAAATTCAGAGAAAATTAGCTATCGACTTGGAAATGGCAAAAGAATACTTATACAAAGGAGAGTATTATCATTTGAGACAGGTTTGTGAAAAACTAGTTCTATTATTTATGCTCCAAGATGATTTGAAGCCCGAACAAATAGAGTTTGAGAGTGAGTTACATCAAATTATTAATGATAGAGAAGAATACTATGGTTTCTATACCATTCCTCTACGACTATTACATCGATCGCTTCAGCTCATAACTAAGGCAGGTTGCGACACTTAATATCGCTCAAGCAGCTATTGGAACACTTCTCAATGTAGTGATTCTTTGTCATACCCGAATGGTTGATTGGGTCTAACTTGATTGAATTTAGCATTTCGTAATTTTGAATTACAATTACAAATTGACCGCCAACACACGACATAGTTCATAATATCATCATACATCCATCTCTCAACCTCATCTCCAATTGTCAAGAAATCCTTTTCTACCATTATTGTGGTGTCTCTCACCCATAAATGTTCTTTCTGACGCTTGAAAACGTTCATCTCCACTCAACTACTCGATGAACTCGATGTTTTCTTGATTTCGTAAAAAATAAGATTTCAGTTTTAAAAAAGCGCAATCATCAATACACGTTATCTGCAAGAACAATTCAAAGCTGCAGAAAGTAACTACATCATTTATTATTACTACTACTAGGGGCTTTGAATTATACGAAATGCCTTCAAGTCCGTTATTAGACACTCTTCCTTCCAAAGCGAAGGAAATGGATGGTTATTATGAAGAGTATGTTGATCCAGATGAAGAGTTGAATGCTGCAACCATTAAGGAAAAACAAGAAGCAATTAAGAGAATGCTTCTCCTATCTAAAATGGCTCAAAAGTACAACATTGATGACGATCAATTGTTTGATGATGATGAAGATGAAATTGACACCACAGCCACCCAGGCTGGATCCGTTCAAGTCTATTCTTCCCATAATGCTCAGCCTCGGCATCCTAAACTGAGCGAAATGAATTCTTCTTCCCTAGTCGGCTCGTATTATTCTGAACAATCATCGTCCTCACAAAAGATGTTGCTTCAACAGAACAATACTCTCAGCTCTCCCAACCTTACCGATTCTGCTGTGCGGAAACGAGGTATCAGTCGAAGACTTGCAAGCACAATGGCCTCAAGAAACAAATTGCTGGATTCTGCTAGTTTTGATACACTGAGCACCGGTAGCGACGACATGTCTGACACACAAAGCCACATGACGTCCGATGGAGTTACAACATCTGGAGCTATGACAACGCATCAAAAGGATTTCATTCAATTGAATACGCTCATGGCTCAATTCATGATGTGTGGCTTTCCAGTTATTATTTTTGATAATTTTGCAACTCTGGTGTACCTCAACAAGGAAGCAGAAGATTTATTTGGTGTCTATTCGTTTTCAGTGCTTGGAGAGCATGTGGCTGATCTGTTCTTGGAGGAATCTGTTTATGAGATTCATAGCTTAATAGAGGAATACACTGGAAGAAACATAAGCAGCTCTGGATCAATGTCCTCTTTACCCAAGAATTTTTCGCCTGAAGAATCAAAAAAGAGAAAGGAGTCCCTGATGAAAATCAGAACCCTGAAGGCAAAGTCAACCGTTCTGAAAACATTTTTTTCTGTAAAGTGTCGGTTTACCTGCATTAACAAATTGGGAGCCGAAAACTTTGTAGCTTATATGGAGGTGGTGAAAGAATCTGCGGAAGGAAAAAAGGAAATGGCCATGAGACAAGTCTATGAAGCGATTACAGATCTTTCCGTTATTCCTATCGTTTCAATCTCGCAAGTGGGCATAATTCAAACGTTCAATGGTGCTTGTTCATATACCTTTGGTTATCAGAAGAAGGAAGCCATAGGTAAAAATGTTAAAATGTTATGCAATGACAAGGATAGAGCAAAACACGACTATTACTTATCAAGATATCAGAAAACTGGTGAAAAACGCGTTGTAGACAAGACACGTATGCTCAAAGCTAAAACAAGAAGGGTAAATCAATTCGTATCGAGTTGAGAGTTTCTGAAATCATTGACCCTAGCTCGGGTGTGTCTTCTTTTGTTGGATTTATTAGGGATTTAAAAAATACCCTTACCAAAGAAGAACAATTGACAAGATTAGCAGACAAAATTTTCCCCAAAAACGTGGCTCAACGTATCAGTTTAGGGGAGAAAGTTATAGACGTCTTTGATCTATGCAGGTATGTGAGGGAATATTTTAGAATTTGTCTTTAATTACCATTGTTTTATCTTTAATAGTGTGCTATTTTGTGACATTGTTGGTTTCACCAAAATGTCTAATGGAAAACGGCCAGAAGAGGTAGTAAGCATGCTTCACGAAATATTTGGCAGCTTTGATGATGTTTGCACCGCTTTCCAATTGGAAAAAATTAAAACCATTGGTGACTGCTACTTTTTAGCAAGTGGAATACCCAAATACGACCCAGAACATGCAGACAAAATTGTTAAGGGAGGACTAGCCATGATTCGTGTCATTCAACATTTTTGCAAAAAGCACGAGCCCACAGAGCTACATGTACGCATTGGAATTCATAGCAGTGGCGATATCATTGCAGGTGTTGTTGGAAGAACAAAACAGACTTACGATTTATTTGGAAAGGTATGTTGTTATGGCAATCATTTTATTGATATTTATTTTACATAATTATGTCAACATACTCAACAGGGAGTTGAGATTGCTCAACTAATAGAAGCAACAGGAAAAACCAATCAAATTCACATCTCAGACACGTGTTACTCTGAACTGCAATCAGACAAGCTTAAAAGTTTATTCTCAGAAAATTACAAGCAAAACACAGAATTGAATTTAGAAAAAATAGGACAAGTTGTCATTCCTGAGAAAACTTGGATCACTGAGCTACAATGAACATGTTCGTTCCTGAAGTTAGTAGGTCATTATCAACTTGTAGAAAAATGATAATGCTACAATAGTTTCATGTTGGTTAGCATGTACTGTATTTGTAACTCTCTCTCCGTACTCATGTCATATTGTCGTGAAGAATAAATAACAGTGATCAAAAAATGTACATGAAACTGCACAGAGGTCACATGTACCATATCATCATTGATTTGATACATAAAAGTATGAACTGCTTGAATTTCACTCTCACCGAGGTTTACTCCCCCAAAAATTTTCCCAAAACTTGTTGTAACGTCCACGTTCTTTTCAATGACCTGAAACTTTGAAGATGCTTTTTGTAATTTTCCAATTTCATTCTCAATAAATGTATTCTTTTCATGTTCATAATTTCCATGAATATCATGCAATTGAATAATGAATGAATCGGGTACCGTTTGTAACTTGTTCTGGGATGCGTTGGCTGCGTTGCTGAGGGCGCTAAAGGCTGTCTCAATTTGCAGCAATGGACCATCATGCTGAATAATTTGGTATTGCAATATTGGAATTGAAACTATGAATATAGGTGACATTCAATGTTGGTATGTGTACATATTCAATCCCAATGATTCATTAATTTTTTAAATCCCAATAAAGTTATAAGGAATTGCATTTGTTATGAACAAGGAATCATATTTGTCAAGTCGAATTCGACTTGCCACTACTCACCTGAAACAATACGATTCTTATCATTACTCGACGACAAGCAAGACAAGTTAAAACCCTTAAATTGCTGAGCTTGGTTGACCATTCCATCTCTCAATCGGGCAACCTTAATATTCTCTCGTGAACGATTAATTTTGAATGAAACTGTCAGAGTTCCCTTGTTTTCACTATTTTCCAATTTTAAATCTACCACATGTTCCGTATTTGCTACATATTTGTTCGTAATGACCAGAGAGGCTGATCCGAGAAAATCCTTCATGATTCACAATAAATTTCAATAAACGCTATGTTTGTACTAAATTAAACACTTACATCCTAGATGAATAATCATCATCATGCAACAATGAAATATAATAATAATCATTTTAGCTTTCATCATCAAATAATAATTACCTTTGAAAATCGATCCCAGTCCATGACGACAAATTTAATCTTGATTTGGTTCGTGTAATCTTTGAGAGGATTCAGCGTAAAGGTTTCATTCCACGATGGATCTAAATTTTTCTTAATCACATTGGTTTTGAAAAGACAACCCGGATGGACGCTATCATTGGTTGATTCATCCAAAGTGGATCCATGATTGTGGTTTCCCACAACCGATGAATGAAAAGAAGATGATCTCAATTTTTCGGAAGCGTTCAGTTGTTGTTGCGGTTGTTCAGTATCATTATGCTGTTGTTGTTGTTGTTGATGAGATAAAGAAACGTCATCCACATAAACCTCACAGTAGGGATCCGAGAATCCGTTGAGGTCGGCCACAGGAAGAGAATTTGCTTTGATGATTTTAATTTCAATGATATCATCGGTGAGGAGAGGAGCCGAAGAGGTGGTTATGGTGTTTTGAAGAATAGAGGAAGAACGAGTAGCAACAGAATTTGTTCTGGAGAGCTCGGAAGAAGATAAATCAACACCAATATGCTGGGTTGTCATCTTTTAAAACTTGCCAATTTTGGGTGGTGAATTGTGTTATGATGCTCAACAAATGATAAAAATTAAATTCTTTGAAATAATTCAAAATCGTTGGGGTTTGCCAAACCTAGCTGAGGAAGATGACAATCACGTGATGATGACTTGGGTCTCTCTGCAAACGTAAAGCTGTTTGTTTCAAGTTTTCAAACATTTCAAATGTCGGCAAAGATGGCAAAACAAATGAAGAATGAACTCTTTTTAGTCGGCATCATCACACTGAATTTATCACCCCACATCATCATTGAATGGCTACAAAATCTCCAGTAGTAAATAACCAACGCAAGCATGAATAAATATATTGAATGAATTCAATTTTAATCTAGCAGTTGGAATAAAATCATCAGAGCGGATTAATAAAATTTGAAATGTGTTTAGGCGTTCGTTCAACCATATTGAATTAGACCAAAACATTTATTGTTGAGCAACTTCAGTCTTCTCCTTTTCTTGGAATTGTCTGACGTAGATCTTTCTAGCATTGAATTCGGATTCGTTGAACATTTGGATAGCCTTAGCAGCAGCTTCAGGAGTATCAAATTCAACAAAACCAATACCCTTGGATCTCTTGGTTTGAGAGTCAGTGAAGATTCTTGCATAAGTAACGTTACCAGCAGCGCTGAAGTGTTCCTTCAAAGCAGCCCAGTTGGTTCTGTATGGCAAGTTAGAAACGAAGACTTTAGTTTGAGAGGCCTGTTCGGACATGGTTTTTAAAAGAGGTTTGGCACAAGGTGGTGTTAAAGTATTTTTTTCAACGAAAATATTCAAAAAATTCTTGAAACGATATTCGTTGGCCAGCTAATTACAACAAAGCGTTTGTTGCTTGGCTTCGAAAATTAACGACTTTTATTCATTCGATTTAAATATCGCCCAAACAATCGGCATCCCAATGTCCAAGCCAATCGGTATTACCAACCGCTTGTTGTCCACTACCTTCTCCGAAAAAGCTCAATTTTGAATTGGCAGACTTTAGCAGACTTCATGGTGTCCTCTGGCAAACCCCAACAACATGACGTCGCGAGCAAGGAATCGAAAAGTTTTTCACAGGCCACAAAGTGAAAACAACACTTGCCATTGAATATTCCAATGCATTGTAAATGGTACATGCCCATGATCCCATGTTGACAAGAGCGATCTTTAAGAGGCGGTACTTCGCAAAACAGTGCCTTAAAAAAATGACCCTCATACAACAAAACACTGATTATGATCCCAATCATCCCAATATCAACAATTCAACAACATATGAAAATCAAATAGATTCAAACATGGTTCAATATCAAATGACCACTGATCCAAAAGAGCAACAACAGCAACCGCCCACTGAGTATCAAATGCCAATGCAATTACCTCCACCTCAACAAGTGTACCTCGTAATGCCCAACAACACTCCATATGAGGTGCCTCAATCAACACTGCAACCACAAACCGTTCAGTATGTGTACACCACTACAGCCTCAGCAAACGCCGGTTCCATGGCTAATGTAGAGCCGATTCCTCAGGGTTTGATGAATACGTCGGTACAGGTCGTCTCCTCTCCCACAACCGAGAATGCCGGCTTGCTTAATCAAGATACGGATGGAAACTACGTCATGAAGGCTGGATGTAATGAGTTTGCTTGGATCACAGGTGTAGTTGGATGTATCTTCTTAATATTATTCCCCTTTTTGGGTCTTCCATTTTTGTTGCTTGCAATATTTCAAAGAAATTCGGATTATGTGTTCGATGACAAGTCCAAAGAGATGGTTATTCATTTGTACGGTGCATTCATTCCTTTTGGATGCTTAGATCGCGAAGAGAGAATACCATACCATTCCATCAGTGATATTGTTATTCAAGAAGATTGGTCGATTCGAGTCAATGGACAGCCTTCAGCAAAGATTTTTGCACTTTTAAAGAATGGATCAAGTGTTCAAATGACTAAAGGTTACACTGCCAGAGCTGTGGCTTCATCGAGAGCAAGAAAAATTAAGGAATTGCTAAGGGAAAGATTGACCGTTTAAGCAAGATCAAGATCTGTAAAAATGTTACATTTTCTCATAAACTCATTTGAATATCATGATAGCACCAAACACTATCACCAAGCCATATTGTACATGTCTTTAAAAGTGCACAATCACATCCGAAAAATATGTTTTTGATTCATGCCACTTGGAAACTGAATTTTTCAAGTTGTTCTTCATTGACACTTCCATCATGCTCAACAAGTGACGAGAAATGAACGATCGTGTTCCGTATGGAGATCCTCTCTCGAGTAAAATTGAAAGAAATTGAGAACTCTCTTCCTGATCAATCAAGTTCACAGCATAATATGGAACATTTTCATGATATCTTCTGCATTGAATCCAAAATTGGTTGAATATAAGCTCGAAAACTCGTAAAGGATCTCTTTCATTGCCAGAAAAATCTGGGAATAGTTCAAGAATTTTCATACTTCCTGTCATGACCTTCTTTGCAAATATGTCTACTTTTGTGAATATTAGCACTACCTGTATTCCTGGTGTGCTCAAAACGCTTATAAAGTTTTTGATATAGACTTTCAGTAGGAGTACATTTTTCTTGTACGTGTCAACATCTGCTAATGGAACAAGAAATAGCACAATTGGAGCTAAATCACGTCTTTCATTAAACTCCAAAGGGCTGACCAATGAAATATATGAGATTTGTGATGATACAACTTTAACACACCATTTTCTTTGCCCATATTGTGCTATCATTGGTTTGTCTTCATTAATGTATGGTGTATCTTTCTTTTCTTTGTCATCCGCCACTCCTGTCATGGAAAATGATGTAAAAAAGCTATTCGGAAAATACGCTTGAAAAAGCATCTCCATTATCTTGTTATGTGATAGCAAATAATTCATTGTAATGTCACTTTTTGAAAAATTATTTGTAGAAAGTAAGGCATGCAAATTTTCGAATAACAAGTGAAAATTTTCACCAAAGTTTTCAGTTTTTGTGGGTTCTGTATTGTTCTTTGTGGCAGATAAAGGAGAAAAATAAGCATCTTTCATCATTTGCTCGTACGTGATTTTTACAATTGGAACGGCCCATAAATCCTCCATAGCTCGAATGATTTTCAATATATCTGATCGATTCTGATGAGAAAGCCTAAACGTTACTGTTCTCATGATTTCCATCTGTTTTGAATAATTGTTCATTAATTCTGAATAATTGCTCCATGTTGAACGATGACTTGAATGTTCTTCTATGAATTTAATTTCATTCAATACATCTTTCATGGCTCGGAAACAACGGTTAAGAATTTCATCTCGGATCATAACCTCCACCACGGAAGATGATTGATTCATCATGACTGTTGTATGATTATTATTATTTTCATCAGCCAATCCCATCAATGCCAACAATTTCTGTTTCTGAATCCAACGGAGCAGTGTGGATTTACCTGAAAAAGTCGGTCCGCATATCAGCACTCCATAATCAAATGAAGGAGTCGATGCTGTTCCGCTCCGAGTCATCATTTTTAAATTGCAAATCAACCCTCATATTTGAACCTTCATAAACATCCATCAGAATGTCGACATCAGTCATGACCTCTCAGTCCATCAGAATGACGACAAAACCGTCTTATATAATTACCAGGACTGTGCAAATAACCCTCCCTCCGTGTAAAATTTACTCTGTTATTTATCTGAACTTTCTCCCATAAAAGTCAGATAAGAGATTGAGTCCAATGTTGCCAGTCCTCCCTTATTTAATCCACTTCAGTTGGCAACTGTCAGTTCAATTCGATGAACCTTTCCAATCGTTAGCCTGTCGTCTGCAATCCCAACAACAAAAAAAATCTTCAAACTTGAGTCGCTCCTCGCCCTTTTGTCTCACCCTCTTTGATCATTACAATGAGTACTTCGGTTTCAACCGTTGAAGCAAGTTCTTCATCCCCTACGGATCATCATCAAGATCATAATTCTTTAAAGCAGCAAGAGGAACATCCAACTTCATCTCCTCCTGATGCATCGACTCATACCAACAATATGTCAACTTCGGTTGATACTGAAGATCAAACCACCTTCTCAGATACTCGCTTGTCTGTGAGTGGTGAGGCTTCTCAATTAGATGTTAATCTAGATTTTACTCCTCATCAGGGAGATGTTAGTGCCACCACCGCCACCACCATCACAACAGAAACATCGTCAAATGCCACTAATCAAGTGAAGGAATTCTTTGAAAAGAAAGATCCAGTCGTATTCATCAATGAACGTGATGTCATTAAAGAATACAAGATGAATGTCAAGTGTGCAGCCAATGTCCGTGCTTTGGATCCAACTCCCATTCTCAAGACTCAAACTGTGGAAGTTGGAAAAGACGCTCAAAACCATCCAATCCGAAGACGTGCTGATTTTAAAGATTATTTGGTCGATGGAATGATCGATAAGGAGGGAGATGCCAAACAAATTTACACTGCCTACGATGCTTTTAGATTGGCAGCTGAGAAATACCCAAATAGAGAATGTTTGGGTGTCATTACCGAGGTGACAGATTCTCAAACTGGAAAGAAGTCTCTAGGAATGAAATTTGAAACCTTCTCTCAAGTGAAAGAAAAGACTTTGGATTTGGGATCTGCTTTGAGAAATTTGGGTCTTGCTCCTCATTATCACGTTGGTATTTATTCAAAGAATCGTCCTGAATGGCAAATTACTTCTGAGGCTTGTCACACACAATCACTAGTGACTATTGCTCTTTATGATACATTGGGAGAAGAGTCTTCAGTCTACATTATGAATCATGGTGAAGTCGTTGCCTTGTTTGTCAGTGGTGATGATGTCTTTTCCAAAAATGTCTTGAAGTGGGTCAATCAATGTGAATATTTGAAATTTGTCATCTTGTTCAAAAATCATGAAAATCCAAACTATGACCAAGACGTTCAAAAGTGGAAAGAAGAATTCAAAACCAAGACCAAAGACTCTGTTAAATTATTCACCTTCGAAGAGGCCTTGCAATTGGGAAGTGGTGAAAAACGTGTTCCTCCTACTCCTCCTCGTTCCGTTGACATTGCTACCATCATGTACACTTCAGGTACGACAGGAATGCCAAAAGGTGTCATGCTCACACATCTCAACATTGTTTCCACAGTTGCAGGTGTTCACTGTAACCTCATGAGAATCAATGAGACGGATCGTGTCGTGAGTTATTTACCATTGGCTCACATTTTAGAAAGAGTTGCTGAAATGGCCTTCTTACAAGTGGGTGGCAGTATTGGTTATTGGCGTGGTGATGTGAAAAAACTCAAAGATGATATTGGTATTATTCAACCTACCTTGTTACCTGCTGTTCCTCGTGTGTTGGATCGTCTCTACGATGGAATTAATGATCAAATCAAACAAAAGAAGAAGATTGCTCAAATGATCTTCAATAAGGCATATTCTCAAAAGTTGAAATATATGCAACAACACGGTGTTGAAGTCAAGACTCCAATTTTGGATGCTCTGGTCTTCAAGAAAGTGAAACAAGCGGTTGGAGGTCGACTTCGTGGAATTCTTTCAGGAGGTGCACCTTTGAGAAAGGAAGTTCAACAATTTATTTCTGTAGTGTTTGGATGTCCTGTTGTTCAAGGTTATGGATTGACTGTAAGTTTTTTTTTGTGTGCGTGTGTGTGTATATGAAATTGAACATGTGTTTAATTTGGGTTCAATGATTCAATGCAACTGTGTGTCTATCTCATTCGCACATGCATACACACATCGTGATTTGTGATTCAACGAAATAATTTGGAAACATTTATTACATATGAATAGGAAACATGTGCTGGATCTACCATTCAAATTCCATACGATTTTTCTACTGGTCATGGAGGTTGTTTGTTACCATGTTTGGAAATCAAACTTGTAGATGTTCCAGAAATGAACTATTCCAACAAGGATAACAATTCTGGAGAAATTTGTATTCGTGGTCCAAATATTTCACTTGGCTATTACAAGGAAGAAGAAAAAACTCGTGAAGTCTATGACGAAGATGGTTGGTTCCACACTGGTGACATTGGTCGATGGAATCCAACAGGAACACTTTCGATTGTTGACAGAAAGAAGAATATTTTCAAACTTGGTAAGTTTTCTTTGAGAATTGTTCACGTTTACCAATGTCATCCAATGATTTCTCTTACATCATGTCCTATGGATCTTTTGTATTATTATCATCATTGTACTTGTTTTCAATGATTTTTACAACAACATTTTTCAATCACAACAACAACAACAACAGCTCAAGGTGAATATGTAGCAGCTGAAAACATTGAAGGCAAACTAAGCAAAGCTAATTATGTCTCACGTATTTGGATCTATGGAGATTCCTACAAGACCTTCCTCGTCGGTGTCGTTGCTGTGAACGGTCTCAAATTACTCGATTGGGCCATCACCAATGGAAAAGTCTCTCATCAAGGAGCTGTCTCTGCCATGTCTGAACAAGATCAATTACAAAACTTGGAGAAGTTATGTGCCGATCCAGAAATCAACAAAATGATTCTCAAAGAATTGGAACGTGTTGGAAAGGAATGTAAATTATTAGGATTTGAAATGGTGAAGGCTATCAAATTGATTCCTCGAGACTTTGAGTTTTATCCTGGATGTACCACACCCAAGTTGAGTTTGGTGAGAAACAAGTTGAGAGATACATTCCAGAAGGATATTGATGAAATGTATGAAAAGACTAAGGTGAATTAATTCCGTCGTAGATCATTGTTGTATGGACATTGGTGCTGAAAAAGCACATGATGATTTCCAATAATAAATTTATTATTGTTCATGAATCCAATGATTTTACTTGAAGAGTTCTTCACCGCATTTCATTGGCTGCTTTGGCGAACAGGTCTCAGAGATGAGGTGTTTTTTTTTTGAACCAATAAGGTGAAGCAACGTTTCATAATAAAATGTGAGCGAGTAGCTATTTGTTACGCTGTTGCTCTGGCAGAGCAGGTGAGCCCATCATCACTACCCTCGCTACACCAGCGATTGTGTTGCGCTTGCTTAACGAAAAGAAAAAATGTGCACACATGAAAGGCCGAGGTAATGTAGAATGGGTAGAAAAAACTTTAAATTTTCTTTCTGGGGGCAAACTCGATACTTGTTTACAGAGCTTGGTACTCTCATGCGACGTCAACAGTTTTCTAAAAGTGATTGAGGATAGTGACGTGGATCAAGACTTGAAAACGAGGATTCTTCATGCCACCCCGCAACAAAATGACAACTGCAAGAAATGCCTCACTGCAGCCAATTGGAACGATGTTGAAGGGGCAAAACATGCATTGCCCGAGTTTTTAAAAACATGGGCTACCAAAAGAAACAAAAAAGATATTGATGCGTTTATTAAAAAGTATGGTTTCAGATACCACAACAAGCTCAACCCACAAGGAATCAAGTTGTATATAGGAGGTACTCATAAGCGCACTCTGGAAGATGTTTTCAATGAATTGATGACTCTATTGAACAACCTCGAGAAAGACAATGTTCCTCAGGAAGTGCCCACCAACAAAAACCATATAGAATCTCTCAACTGCTCGACATCAAATTGTACCAGAGCAATCCAGCATCTGTAAGTACGGATTTGTATATTCCAGCCTTCAAATAAAAAGGAATTTACAAATTTCACAGTTGTCGCAATCACTCACAGAATGGTATCGATTCGAGGATTGAAAGATTTGTAAGACATGACGAGTATTAGAGCATTGTGTTTGTTTGTTCCGAGTAGGTTGAAATATTATTCCTTGACTAATTTCAACACGGGCTCCAAAATATCGCTTTCATAAATTGTTTTTGATTTTGATGGCATGACAGATTCATTCAACATGTAATCCAATAGTGAAAATAGTCCAGAAAAGAATGTATGGTTCAATTGAGTGGATTTGATTGTAATATTGTCGTTTTCGGTATATATAGATAATGTTTTGAAAAATTCCAACACAGCACACCTGTATGCTGTGAACGATTTGTAATCATGTGTGACATTTGGATCGAGAAAATGTTCATCATTAAATAAAATCTCTTTCACAAGTTTCGCAATGAATATAGCCATGGAATAAATATCACCTTGGACTCGTTGCAAGATTCGTTGTTGAATGTGAGAGTAAGGATATTGAGCAACAATAACAAATTGATTGTGTTCTGAGATATCTCTTACATCATCACCTTCAAGTTTGTGTTCCAGTAAATATGAATTATTCAAGTCTGTAACCACTAGCTCTCGGCAAACAACTGGTTTAAGGATCTTAGCTTCATCAAGTGAAAGCGTATTCAATATGGTTGAATCAAGTTTTTCTTTTGGATGAGGATAAGTTCGTGTCATAACGTTTCCTAAAGAAATGTTTCCATGCATAACATCAAGTACTTCATGTAATTGAGTCAGAATTTTCATGCAATGTCCAATCCATTTGACAATTAATAGAACTTTTGTTGTAGTATTTTTTTCAAAGTCAAGATTGCAGTTGGTTATTTGCGATGAAATTGGTTTCAAATTCAATTCTTGTAATAACTCTTGTTGAGTTATATATACTTCATATGTGCTTGGTAAATATTCTTGTTCAAATACAGTAGTGCTGTTCTGTTGAACAATATTATCTTGTTTCAATCTGCAAATCATAAGTGAGTACAGGGCTGCCTTGATATCAAAAGATTCCTCATTCTTAATACAAGAATACTTGTATACTTTAACAATATTTGGACACTGTTGATTGATTAGTTCTAGATTAGAAACAATGTATTGCATAGTAGCAACTTGATCCGTATTTCTCAATGTTACCTTTGTAAAAATCCCTTATTTGAAAGAGGATGTTTAAATGCAGATATATACTAAATGATTCTATTGTTTGAATCATTAATTAGAGTAGGCATAGATAGATGGTGAGTATTTTTAACTCCAATTAACTGCAACAAGTATGCATGAGCTTCTTCAGGAGAATCAATAAATTTTCGCTGTGATTCAGCTCGGGAGCTAGATATCATTCTTTCATTATTAGGAACTTGTTGGATATTGGGTGAAATAGGTGTAGAGGTTCTAGCTTGATAGTTATTTGATTTTGGTTTTCTTTCATCTTGATGTTTCACCTTTGCGTTTTCTGGTAGCAGGATGTAAAAGCATTTGTTACTTGGTATTACGTTTCTGTAAAACATAGTTGAACAGTTTCTTATTCTGTATAAAACTACTACCATACAGTCAGTCACAGTATCTTTCACATAATGAAGGTCAAAAAAAGGATTAGTATTATTTAGTGGTGTCAAAACAAATGACGTCATTAAGGTAGCCATGGTTTGTTCATTAATATCAAGGCTTTCCTCTTCTCCATATTATAATTTTGCTATTTTCAAATATTCACACACACTGTCCTGTGACTCAAATGTAACAAGTTGTACGCCAAATATATATATAAAGCTATCATGTTGAATTATAGTTCTCAACATCTTCTCATACAGCTTTGATGTATTAATAGTTTTACCAACAGTATTAAATGACGGCGTGTCCAAATTTGAAATGACTGGTATAAATTGAATACACCTTGTCATAACAATAATGTTTCCAATATACTGTAGAGCAATACATAAATCACCAATCTCACATAAATTCAAAATAGGGGAAACCTTAATTCTGTACGTATAAGGTGGAATGTTTTGTCTTTCCACGTACTCAAAATTTTCTTCGAACTCCATTCTCATTTCAATGAATGATATTGAAAAGTTCGCAATTAGAGCTCCATATACTCTAATATTCTTTGCATTTTCAATAGATAGGTATTCATCTATTTGCAAAGCCTCCAACCAAGCCTTTATCACTGATCTTAGGAACAATATTATTTTACGGTAATCCTTGTGATTAGCGACTTGGTTATCATGAAAGTGTTCTTTTTACATCTCACCCACGAAAAATGTAAGTCCTTTAGTTGGTACAAGATTTGATAACTTCTTGATAACACAAAAAAATTCGGGGTAGAGAGTTGTTTTGTCTATTAGCTCCTCAGAAAGCCATTGTCTTCTTGTTTTAAGAGATTTTTCTAAATATTGTTGACCTTTTAATTCAGCCCTATCATGAGCAGGTCAATGTATTAAACAATTGATTATTCAAATTACTTACGTTCCAATTTCAAAAACGCCTGCTTTCTCCTGCATGATGGGATAAAAGAACAACAAACTCATGAATTGTTGAATCGTAGATTCCCATGGGTTCGAAAGAATGTACGCGTTAGCATTTTTGAACATTAGGAAAGGAGAATAAATGTAGCCATTTGTCAAATTAGTTATAAATCTTGCCTGCACTTCATTTTCGGAGAGAGATGGTGGCTCAGTTTGTAGTTGATTCATAATCGCTTTTGTTTCCGCTTCATCTGATTCCACAGAAAATTCGTCCTTATGGTTCAAAAGTTAAACTAACTTCAATTTAAATAAAACATACTTCAAGCACAACAATAACGTGTTTCATGAACTCCCTTGTTGTCTCTGGAACTATTAAAAACGTCTTTGCTTGGTATACTGTGAGCTGTTTTTGGTAATTGGTGTTGAGTTGTTCTGAATATTGTTGAAGTTTTGTTGAACACCAAAGGTCCTCATATTCATCTCCATCATCATCACTCTCAACATCAAGCTTTTTCTTCTTCTTGTGGAGCCTCAAATGACAAGTTTTTTTAGCCAAAATAGATGTGCCATCTGATGGTGCGGCTTTCTGATCCAATAGTTCTCCTCTGAGGTTTTCTCTGTTCGGAGGGGTTTTAAAACGATACATTTTTTAAATATTAAAATTTTGGCCAAGTCATTAAGGCTCTTGATGTTTTGCTCACAAGTAAAGTCTTGATCAACGGCAAACTTTCTCAACAAGACCAACGCTGCTCCACCTTCAAGTTTCTTCATACCATGCAAAGAAGCAACTTGTTGTGCACAGTCCATTTCTTGTAATTGTTGAACGAAAGAAGAACCACCATGGATGGTTGTTGATACGAGCTAGTACTATCACGAGGTAATGGTAGTTGTCTACGGCATCTTTTGTGTCGTCATGAATCATCTATTTCTTGAGAATATCTGTCGCTCGTTGAGAATTGCTTTTCGCTTCATTTTTTGACAGGTTGAGATGAGGTTTTTTTCTCAGATCCACACTCAAACGAAGTCTCACAAGCAAATAAACGCTTATTCTCAGACCTCAGACCGCTTGGTTTTCCACAGCAGCCAGTACTGTGGCTTACAGAATGAATTCCTATAGTCATGTCAAACGTTCCTTGAAGTCGTTGACGACAACAGACAGTTGATGGCCACGAAATAGAGCGCCCTGAATCTTTTGTATTGTGAATTCAAGATTCTCTCCACCGAAAAATTTGTGCCAAAGGTTAAAATGAGCAATCTCTTAGCATACTCTGTTGAAAGTGGTGTTGTTGAAGCAGCAAGTTCATCACCAACAGCTACCAACGATCAGTCTGAAAAAGATGATTTCTCTCCGACAACCGAAATCAATGGTCCTTTTATTGATGATATTATTTTTGAAATTCTTCAATTCCTTGATTCCACGTTTATCATTCAAACTTGTATGAAAATTTCAAAACAATGGAGACAAGTATCATTTCTTTATCATTCGCAAAAAACCACTCTCTCATTATCATTCGCAAAAAACAGCTTGAAACATGTTCGTGAATCAATCATACTTTTAGCTAATTGTGAATGCTTGAAGAACTTGACTTCTCTGGATCTGTACCGAAATACAATTTGCAGTGAAGGTGCCAAATTTATTGCCGAAAGTGAGTGCTTGAAGAATTTGACTTGTTTGAATCTGGAACGCAATTATATTGGCAACGAAGGTGTCAAATTTATTGCCGAAAGTGAGTACATGAAGAATTTGACTTCTTTGAATCTGAAATACAATTCACTTCGTAGCAGTGAAGGAGTCAAATATATTGCCGAAAGTGAGTACATGAAGAATTTGACTTATTTGAATCTGGAACGCAATCGAATTGGCGTTGAAAGTGCCATATGTATTGGTAAAACAAAATGCTTGAAGAATTTGACTTCTTTGAATCTGTATTACAATCGAATTATGCCTGGGGGTGTCGAATATATTGCTAAAAATGAGTGTTTTAAGAATTTGACTCATTTGGATCTGAGCTACAATGCAATTGGCAATCGTTGTGTCAAATATATTGCTGAAAGTGAGTGCTTGAAGAATTTGACCTATTTAGGTCTGCGTTGTACTAGTATTGGCAGTGAAGGTGTCGAATATATTTCTAAAAGTGAGCGCTTGAAGAATTTAACTTCTTTGGATCTGAGCTACAATGCAATTGGCAATCATTGTGTCAAATATATTGCTGAAAGTGAGTACATGAAGAATTTGACTTATTTAGATCTGCGTTGTACTAGTATTGGCAGTGAAGGTGTGATAAATACATTTTAATTAAGATGACCCATTTAGACAGATTCTGCTAAGATCAATTGATGTTCCTTGTGAAGCTCTTGTCGGGTCTATTTTTTGTAATTGTAGAAAGGAAGAACCCATGGATGGTTGAAGATATTAACAAGTGGTCGAACGAAGCACGTGTTGAAATAAAATACAAAATCAGCAATTCTATCAAGCCAAAATGTCACATTGTCAATATCGAATTCCAAAGACAGCCATGGTAAATATTCTTGGAAAGTAAAAGGGATACTTGTGGTTCTTATATCCAAAGATACTGATGGGAAGATTTTCTAAACATTTTTTCGTTCACTGTGTACCCTCCAAATACAAATGCAATCAAAAGCATCACTGATCGTCAAACATTAATTCTCTCACAGCCATAAAAAAATGACATCACGAATCGGTAGGTTATCAACCCTCGTTGCCAAATCGAATCAATCTCTCATTGGATGCACATTCAACCACTTAACATCATCACTGATCCGGACATGAAACATCTTCATCGATTGCTTTTATTGAAATTTTTGACTGTTGACAATATTTTAACATAATGACACCAATACAACAATAATAATAATTATCCAATTTCATCATTTCACACACGTACAACAACAACAACAATCTACATTAGGACAATATCAACTCTATCAAACTCTAGGAAAAGGAAACTTTTCAAAAGTCAAATATGGAGTCGATGTCAATGATGGCACTGCTTGGGCTGTCAAAATTGTCGATCGTAAAATGATTCAAAAAGAAAATTTAGAGTCTCAATTAAGACGTGAAATTGCAATTATGAAATTACTTTCACATCGACATGTGGTTAAACTTCGAGAAGTTTTACAATCTCCAACAAATATTTATATTATTTTAGAATTAGTGACAGGAGGAGAATTGTTTGATCGAATTGTCAAGGCAAAACGATTCGATGAAAAGACCAGTAGAAAATATTTTCATCAATTGATTTCTGGAATTAGTTATTGTCACTCTCAAGATGTGTCACATCGGGATTTAAAACCAGGTATGTGAACATTTTTTCAATGTGACATTTTCCTACACTGGTTATGGAACGCAAACCATTCACACATTCACACTCGTTCACGCTTTGAATAATCGAAAATCATTTAGAAAATTTACTCCTCGATGATAAAGATGTTTTAAAGATTAGTGATTTTGGTCTGAGTGCTCTTTGTGTGGGTGCTGGTGATACCAAGAAAATGCTCATGACTACTTGTGGAACTCCAAACTATGTTGCTCGTAAGTATAGTGTATACGATGATCATGTTCTCTCTCATTGACATGTCATCGCTCATTCCACAATAACTTTTTCTCATGAACAACCTCTCATTCTCTCGTGGTTTCCATTCTTCATGGCATTATTGTACAAATAATTTTTCATTGTTCTTGAAACCATCCATTACAATATATCCATTCCCAAACAACACTCAGCTGAGGTCCTTCTTGAAAAAGGTTACGATGGTAAAAAAGCTGATATTTGGTCGTGTGGTGTCATTCTCTACGTCATGCTCACTGGACACTTTCCATTCAGCGCCGATTCCATTCAAGAATTATTTAAAAAAATTAAAAATGGAGAACACAATCCCTTTCCGCAATACGTGTCGAGTGAGGCCAAAGATCTCATTAAGAAAATGTTGATTGTGAATCCAAATTATAGAATTAGTATTGAGGGAGTGATGAAACATTCATGGTTTATGGAAGATGGTGGTTCCGAATATACCAAACAAAATCTTGAATCATCCATTTCATCGAGAGAGGATAAAATTATTATAACACAAGAGGAAATTGATCGTTCTGTAACGGATTGTTCAGAAACACAGGTTCATTCTGCAAGTCAGCATGTGTCTGCTTTGGATTCTCCATCTTCAAATAAGAAAGCTCCATTGAATGCTTTTGATTTGGCGAGTATTATGATGTCAGGTTTTGTGAACCCTTTAGTGAACCATGTACCAAATGCTTCTCACAAGACAGTGAATATTAGACGTGAGACTCGATTCATTGCTCGTGGAGATAAAAAGACAGTGTTGGAGGAAATTCGTTCAGTACTGTCTGAGAAATTGCAAGTGAAAGTCTCAACGACACATTTAAGTGATTTGGAAAGTGGAAAACATTCACAACAAAATGCCAGCGATCAGAATTTATCAGACATGAAATGTTTTGCTACAGTGAAACAAGTAGGAGTTACTTTTAGTGTGAAAGTCGATCAGACAAGCGTTGGATTTTGTCTTGTAGAAATTAGAAGAGGAAAAGGAAGCATTATTGATTTCAATTACTTGTATCGACAAATTTTGTCTCTGATGGGTGAAGTTGTCATTTCAGGTGGAGTTCAAACATCATCCTCTGACCGATTATCTCAATAATAATAACAAGAGTTTTCAAACAAAAATGTTTATCATAGTTATGAAATTTGTAAAAAGTGAAAGCGTTGAAGAAGAGCCTTGTGCGAATTGAACTGTATTGACATGTCATCACTCTTAGTAACAACATGGACCTTTTTTAGAGGTGTCTTCTTTTCCTTCTTCTTTCTTGTACGATTTGTCAAAACTGTTGGAACTGCTGTCACTGGTCCCAACAACGTTGAGCTCAGTTTTTTTGTGATCTCCTAATTGATTTTGGCCTTGCGACTGTAAGCTCATATTTTTGGTAATTTTCATAATGTGAGAAACTAAAAAGTGGAAAGAGGAGTCAATATTGATGTTTTTACGAGCTGTGAAAATAGGTTAGTATATTGATTGAAAATATACTTTCATGTGACACCTACCTGATGTTTCAAACCAAGCGATAAATCCGTTTTCCTTTGCAAACTTATTCATCTTGGTCTTATCAATAGTAATTTCAGGTAAGTCACACTTATTTGCTAATAAAATCATGGGTATAGGAGTCACACCATCGGGAAGGACTACTTTCGAGTTGATGTCGTCTCTCCATTTTTTCACGTTATCCAGAGTAGAAGGTCTTGAAATGTCAAAGCAAACTACAGCAGCAATAGCATATTTGTAGTAAACTCGTGTCATGGCTGTTGTGTTATTAATCGCATTATTTTTTCGAAATCATTTCCATATTATTGCATTATTTGGAATTACAATGTCACGTGACATGACACTATTCAAACATACCTCCAAAGCGTTCATGTCCAGCAATATCCTTTTTAATGGTTTAATTGTGTTAAATTAATTTCATCAAACAGTGCCTCTGCAAATGTTTCAACCTACCCATAATTGCAGTGACACTGAAGTATTCTCATTCCAATCGATGTGCTTTAAGCAAAAGTCAACACCAATAGTTATACGATAATTACTAGTAAATTCTCCTGTACAGTATCTTCGAATAAGACTAAATATTTTAAAATCAATAATATCAGCTCAATATTAATAGTATCTCACTAAATGTTCTTACCTTGTTTTTCCCACTATTTTTCCCATCAGTACATGCAAGACATGGATTTAAATTACATATTTTAAGAATAACTTGTAAAAATTCACAACAAACCTACCTGCATAATCGCCCACCACTAAGACTTTGTACAAATGATTATTTGTCTTGTTACTTGGCTGATCACTCCCGCTGCTACTTGATGCTTGTGCCGATGATACTATCGAACTGTCCAACTGATTGCTGTGTCCGTCATCAACATGATTAGAATAATTTAAAATATCGTCGTCGTCCATATTCTTTGCCTCTAATATTGAAAGAGTTTTACAAAATTTGAATAGATATACGAGCTATACGATTATGATTCAAAAAAGCTCCAATTATTGATCCTTCTCTAATGTTCATTGAAATTTAACCAAATAATTTCAGCACATGGCTTCTTCATCATCACAATGCTCTACGTACACACAAAATTCAGTCTGACTATAAATACAACTATAATTGATGATATCCGTAGTATTCCGAGAGTCGGTTTCGATTATAACAATCAAGAAGACCTTGTTGGAACAAAATCACGATACTACCACGTACGAATTTTTTTATAAAGACGAAAGATTTTTTCATTATTCGAGGTTCAACTTTGAGAGAATGGAAAGAGTGTTACCTCTGAGTGGATCTTTGAAAGCAGAGAGAATGCTACTACACGATCCAAAAGTTATGAATCCATTGTCCTACCCAATACTCTTGTGAAAGGTCTTCTTTAAACGTTACGCACAAAACGAATCCATAAAAAATGTTCAAATCCTCAACCAAAGTAGTTCTCAATCAACACAAGACTGGAGCCTTGTTGCTCAATCGTTCTTTGAATCAGACATCATCAAGCCGTTTCTATGCTACTGATAAGAGTAAGTTTCGCATGGATAGGAATAGGGCCTATCAATGAGTTCTGGTTGGAATCTATCATCATGTTTTTCAACAATTATTGGGTGATGATGGCAAACGATAAATTATGCCGAAACAGAGCAAGTTGTTGTTATCGGTGGTGGACCAGGTGGATATGTTGCTGCCATTAAAGCAGCTCAACTCGGTCTTAAGACTGTTTGTGTTGAAAAGAGAGGAACATTGGGTGGTACCTGCTTGAATGTTGGTTGCAGTAAGTACAGGAAGATCCATTCAACTTTTGCATTATTAATTATTATTCATGTTTGGGATTAACATGTACATTTAAAATCATCATCACATTATGAACGCATTCAATGAATTGTGTTATGTATATTTATATGATGGATCAATGACCTGAATTCAATCAAAATAATTGTCGTCAATATTCGAATTTTAAAATTATTTGTCTTCAACGAATACCTTTCTCTCAATAGTTCCTTCAAAGGCCTTGCTCCACGCTTCACACATGTATCATGAAGCTCACGGATCAGGCTTTGCCAAGTGGGGTATCTCATTGAAGGACGTCAACATTGATGTTGCTACAATGCAAAAACAAAAGCAAAAGGCTGTTTCCGGATTGACAGGAGGTATTGAACACCTTTTCAAAAAGTATAAAGTTGAATATGTGAAGGGTGAAGGTACCATCGTCGGAAAGAACGAAGTTGCTGTTAAGGGATTGGACGGAAAGAACGAGACTATCACAACTGAGAATATTATTATTGCTACTGGTTCTGAACCTACTCCTCTTCCATTCCTTCCATTTGATGAGAAGGTCATCTTGTCATCCACTGGTGCTCTCTCACTCGATCACATTCCAAAGAGAATGGTTGTCATCGGAGCTGGTGTCATTGGTTTGGAAATGGGATCTGTTTATGCTCGTTTGGGATCTGAAGTCACAGTTGTTGAATATGCTGATCGTGTTTCTCCATTCTTGGATAAGGAAGTGAGCGCTACATTGAAGAAGATTTTAGAGAAACAAGGAATGAAATTCAAATTGGGAGTTGCTGTCAAGACAGGAAAGGTTGTTGATGGAAATAAGGTTGTTCTTGAGCTCGCTAACAATGCCTCTGGCGCAGTTGAATCATTCGAAGCTGATGTTGCTTTGATTAGTATTGGCAGACGTCCTCACACTCAAAACTTGGGATTGAACAATGTTGGTATTCCACTCGATGAACGTGGACGTGTTGTCATTGATGAACACTTCCGTACAAAGGTTCCAAATATTTATGGTATTGGTGACGTTGTCAGAGGACCAATGCTTGCTCACAAAGCTGAAGACGAAGGTATTGCAGTTGCCGAGTCATTGGCTGGACGTCATGGTCACGTCAATTATGATGCCATTCCAAACGTTATTTATACCCACCCTGAAATTGCTTCTGTTGGTAAGACTGAAGAAGAGTTGACTAAGGAGGGCATCAAATATAAGGTCGGAAAATTCCCATACATGGGTAACTCTCGTGCTCGTACAATTGATGATGGTACTGAAGGATTTGTTAAGATTTTGACTGATGCTCAAACTGATAAGGTTTTGGGTGTTCACATCATTGGTATTTATGCCGGAGAATTGATTTCCGAGGCAGTTTTGGCTATGGAATATGGAGCTAGCGCAGAAGACATTGCCCGTACATGCCATGCTCACCCAACATTGTCTGAAGCTGTTAAGGAAGCTGCTTTAATGGCCTACGATGGAAAACCAATTCATTTCTAAGTTAGTTAAAATGTGATACAATACCTCAATTAAGTTATAAAATTTGAAGATCAATGGCTTATTTCAAACACTGCAGTGCACTTGATGGAAGCAACTTATGTTTGACATCTTATCGGACTGGTTTTTATTCTTTGGAAGCTTGTTTTGAGAGTGAATGCTGTCCAGGTCTGAAATTTTTTGCCGTGTGCGCCAAAAACTGAGAACTAGGTGCATTCCTGCGCTTCTTTGTTGCAGGGCTGTCCACTATTGCTTGGTTACTAGTATATGCAATGGAATTAGGGGAAGACATTGAACTATTGTTACCGTCATTGCTATTCATTTGGTTTTGAGTTGAACACGTGTTGAACGTTGTTTTCTGAGCAATATCCAATGAGAAATGAGAGTTTTTCAATAGCTGCTCGATCCCAGAAACAATATGGCCATACTTTTTAGCAATACGACCGTATTTCGAAAGAAACTGTAGACCTTTGTAATCTTTCAATAAATTGTTGGCAATTTGCTCTTGTGTAGTCACACTCAAAATTTCTGGATCAAAATACATCTCCAAGTGAATTTGTGCAGCAACGGCAAATGCAAAAACAAATGATGCTGTCATGCCGAAGAAAATAGGATTTTCAGTCAAGGCACTGATCACATCTGCTTCCTTAAGAAGTGCTTGTTTAAAAGGAAACCTGGTGCTAGGATTGTGGCATTTGGAAATTACCACTCTCAATGACTCAATGTTGAGATAGGTAACATTAAGTGTATCCTTAAATAGGCCAATCGCAATATATTCTGGAGCATGACGCAGATCTCTGTGATGAGACTTCATGAGTAAATGAACTTTGGCCAATACTTCTGTTTGCCGAATATACGTGTGCTCGTTTAAATCTTCGTCTACGATTGCAACAATATCACTAGGCATTTCCTTTCCTGTGGAAATTTTAAAGGCAACCGAAAGTAAGTGGCTGTACTTGATATGTGGTTCCCACGACACACGATGATCAAAGAAAAATAATCTTGTCACTCCTCGCTTCTTATCCAAATTATTGACATTAAAAACATTGCTGTTAAAGCATTGTTGACCATGCAGTAATTTTCTATTTCGCTTCTCGAAATAATTATCTACAATTGAGGCGTAATTTTTAGCAATCAAATCTTCACCTTCACCAGCAAGAAAATATGCCAAGTAGTTGTACGTGGACATGACACAAAAACTTTCAACATCATCAAAAATTAGCCCCAAATACTTTTTCGATTCGTTAAACGATTCCCATGCTTTTTCTCTTCTTCCTGAGCTGTAGTTGGGTTAGTAATTGATAAGAATAGAAAATCATTAGAACTTACTATTGATCACAGATGGCTTGTATTGAATAAAACAATGCCAGAGAGTATTCATCTTGTTGCAGTTCTGAATCTCTGAGTATGGTGTCACTATCATTAAAGAATAATTTTTCCATGTATTCATAATTAATTACAGCCATTCCCATTGCCATTTTTCTAAAATACATTGTTAAGGTTTGTCGTTTCACGCAACTTCTCGTCATGGACTCGAGTAATTGAATCTGAGGCATCTCTGTCGAGAGGGCTCTTTTAACTAGAGAAGATTTTGGTTCCTCTTCTCTTCGAGTAGTAGATCTATTTACATGAATAGTGGATACGTCTTCGTTATTTTCAATTTTTGTACATTCAGAGTTAGTGTTATTTTTTGTCCTCCTTATATATTGTTTGTTTTTTCCTCTCTTGTAAATACATTCTCTTGCATGAATTTCACATTCAGAGCATTTGGGCAAAGTTTTTGAACATTTCCGATGTAATTTGCGGCAGCTCAAACAAGATATGGTTGGCATAAATTCACTAGGAGAGTTAGAAATTTGTGACTTGTTTGCATTTTCTTTCGTCGAGCTGTCGCTCAATTTTGAAAATGTAGTTGTGATGATGGAGCCTGTTTCATCATGTAGCTGATGTCTTTGTTTTTCAGGCTGATTTGTGCGTAAACTGTTTTGATTAGTGACAGCCCTCTGGCGGTCTTTGCAAAAAATTAATTCATCATCAACTGAATTATTGTTGTTGCTGTTGACTGACTCCTCTGTGGTGCATATTGGTGGTTGTTGATCTGTGGGAATTCTCATCTCTAGTGGTTGATTTAATTTTCCATTTAATTCACAAGCATGACCATCGTTTGGTGCTAATCGTTCTTGCTGTTCCGAATGTTGTTGTTCGTTGCATTGCAACAAAAATAATACCGATGAAGCGTCTAATTGCAACATGGGTTGATAATCCTGTGACGTCGGCGGTGTAGTAGAAGAGCAAGTTGAAAAAGGTTGTTGCTTGGACATTTTTTGGCCTGCGCACATTAGTTGCTTTTGTTGTTTTGGAGACATGTTGATTCTCTTGTAATGCTCGTCTATTATGAATTGAACCAATGAAATCACCTTTAGATATCTTTCCATATTGAACCATAACATTGTTCTATTTGCAAAAAAGAACACGGCAAAATGAATCAACTTGAAAATTCCCTAGCTTTTGGCCTTAGCCATCACTTTTCAAAGAGCTATTCCACAACAGCCATCAAAAAATGTCGCAACTAATCGCCCACAATCCACAGCCAAGATTACCACCACATGGTGTTGGGCGCAACCTGCAATGGATTCTAATGCTTGTACTTGTTGCATGCAAGTTGCTTCTTGTTCATGGTGCTGACACCAACAAGCTTGTCATTTCATCTTGCAGCAACGGTCAAGCATGGACAGCCACCAAAGGTTCTACAAAATCCAACCCATCTGTTGACAGCAACGACTTGCCAGCTCCAGGAATAACCGGCTCTTTAGTTTGGAGTTTTTCACAATTTGATGCTCTCACATTTGTGAAACCTTCTTCTGATTCTTGGGATTTGTCCACAAGAAGAAATTTGAAATTATGGATCAAAGCTCCTTCCGACTCGAATGTGCCTACTACCTCCAAGTTTTTGTTCATGTATTTAGGAAATCAAAAGAATGGCGAAAATATTTTCTACTACACTAAGATTTCTCTGGATTTCAGTGGATGGAAAGAATTCTTGCTTTCCAAAGGTTCTTTCTTTTACAAGAATTCCTTGCTTCCTTGGAACACTGTTGATACCATTGTTCTGCGATTTAGTGGTCTTGGCCAGACAGCAAGCGATGCGTTGACCATAAAAGTGGGAGAAATATCCATGTCTGACGTATCAGGCCCTGTGCTGACAGATACAGAATTCTTTAATACCTTAGACTATGATTCATTCTCAGGTTTAGCGCAGGTCAAAAGCAGCATTCAAAGCGGTGATCTAGGTTCAGCCAAGTCTAATTTGTGTTCATATTTTAAAAGCAGAACGAATGTAACATGGTCCATCAATCCATTTTCAATTTCGTTGGACAACCTGTCACCCTCTCCTTATTCGTCTTGGGATTCCTTGTTAAAAGATGCTGAGTACATGCTTCAGGGATATGTCAATCCTATTGGCATTGCCTATCAATATCCAGACTTATCAAAATTGGACTGGAATTTTAATCCGACAGCACTTGCTGGATCCAAGAACTCTTATGACCCTACATGGACTTGGAATTTGGCTCGATTTGAAATGATGGAATCTCTCGGAAAAGCTTATTGGTATTCAATTGCAAAGCCTTATTCCACTTCAACACTGACTCCATCCTCTTTGTTGAATTTGTTCTCGACCTATATCAATACATGGATCCAAACTCAACCACGCCCATCCATTGCAAGTCAAGGAGATTTCAGTAATTGGAGAACCATTGAGGCAGGAATTCGATTACTCAATAGTTGGCCTAAGGGTTATCATTATTTCCTGTCGACCATGTCGTGCTCTGATTTGATACTCATGTTGAAGAGTTTTCATGAACAAGCCTCGTATTTGAATTTATTTCCAACCGAAGGTAATTGGTAAGTTTTCGGTCAATTACTAAATTTCCATAACACTTTCTTTGAATCCTGGCTCATTCCATCTCTATTGAATATTATGAACCTTTTCAAAATCAACTTTATCCCACATTCAGGCTCACTATGGAAATGAATGGGCTCTATACTACTGGGTCCCTCTTTCCCGAATTTAAGGATTCCTCTCGATGGAGAACCTTTTCGAGTCAGCAACTCGCTGCGGATCAAGGCATTCAATTTTTAAAAGATGGCGCTCACTACGAATTGAGCACACAATACCATCAAATCGCTATTGAGAACATGATGGGTCTCTATGAAACGGCTCAACGTGTTGGAAGGCTCCACGAATTACCCTCCGATTATACATTCCTATTGGGAAGGGCTTTGGAATTTAATGTAAAGGTAATGACTCCTTCTGGCATGATGCCAGGACCTTTGAACGATGGTGCCATGATCAATGCGATGGATATGAGTGAAAAGTATCGGAATGTGTTTCCCAATTCATCCTTAATTGCATGGAGTGCTGAAAGGAAAACAGCCGTAAACAACAAGTATTCGGAACCTGCTTTTAGGAGTGTGTTTTTACCAAACGCCGGTTTTGCAGTGATGAGAAGCGGATGGAGTGCTTCTGATCATTACGCATTGATGGATGTAGGTCCATTGGGACACGCTCATGAACATCAAGACAAGTTGAATATTATTTTGGAACCCTATGGACGTTCAAGACTCTTATTTGATAATGGTGGGGTAAGTCATATACTATAATTCCAAATTTCAAAACATTTACATCTCCATCCTTCGTATTCCCAATAATGTAATAATTTGATTCTCTTCTTTAAGGGAAATTATGATACCAGCAAATACAGAGAATTTGCTCTCTCCTCTCATTCCCATAACGTTCTGTTAGTCGATCAATTGAGTCAAACTCGAGTGCGAGATTCAACCAACGGCGATCCATTAGGTTTCGGAGCTTCCAACACTCGTGCAGCCTTCTTTGAAAGCACTCCTCAATTGGATTACTGCAGAGGAACCTATATGGACTCGTATGGAAGAGTGAGCAGTAGTGGTACCGTAACCAAAGTATTGAACCGACCCGTTCATCATCAGAGAGAATTGATATTCGTGAATCCATTTGCACCCTCTTCAGCCATTTCTTTTTATATGGTTGTTGATACGATTGGTTCTTTGGATGGTCGTGGACACGAATATGAATTGAGATGGAATTTAAGGACGAAGAATATTAAGGAAAATCGAAATATGAAAGCTATATCGACCTCGGATGAAGGAGAGAATATGCACAATTTAAATGTTGTGGCATTGTCAAAGGCCAGTGATGTGACCTATGCACAGGGTCAACAGAACAATCCAATGATTGGATGGGATGTTCAGAGGGGACAAATTTACACTCCCATCACTACCATACAGCACAGACAATATGGCTATGCTGCCACGTTTGTGACCTTGCTAATTCCCATGAAGAGTGGTGATTCTAGTTTGGGGTCGAATTCTTTACAACAAGTTCAAGAAAAGGTCATGGTTGGAGATTATGAACAAGAGTGGAGAGAGTATCGAGTTGTTTTTTCACAGGGAATTGAGATGCAAATTCATTTGGATCGAGTGTTTTTGAATACTACAAGCGTGAGTCCTCAACATACGAGAAGTTTGAGAATTGTACAAAAAGTGAAAGGGTTGTTGCATTTGATCAGAGGTATGAAAGTAATTACACATTCTCAAATAATTCCTGCTCGATTGGTAATGACTGGATTTATTGGATCAACTTGGTTATTCTATGTAGTATTTCATTGTTGCTCAACAACTCCTTGTAATCTAATAGTCGTACGTATGAAACCAATAACTTCCCAGTTTACCTATAAAAATTTACAGTTGTCGTTTATTGACTCATATGTACATGAACACTTTATTCAGTGTGTACAACATTCTTCAATGCCTTCTTATCCTTAATATGAGTGTACAAGACTCGATTAATCTTTACGAAACCATCAGAGTCATTAACATCGGCCTGTTCCTCCTGATCAACACCATCATTGAATGAAAGAGCTCCATCGTCTTCATGTCTATTGGAGTAATCGTTTTGTAGCACACAAATACCACCACAGTAGCCACCACCACCTCCTCCTGTTTTGTTTGTAAAAAACGAAAAGATTAGTTCATGTGACACAATTAATTACAACATAATCAGCTCAAACAAACACATACCTTCATACAATGATCCACCACCTCCACCAAATCCTCCGTTGGCACCACAACTATTGCTATAAGTACCACCTTCACCTCCATTGAGGAAACTCTTGCCTCCAACACATTGATCACCTATTTCGATTCATGATTACAAATGATCATTAAGCAGTTCATGAACGATTATGCATACTTACCGGTCAATCCGTCCTTATAGAAACCACCACCTCCACCTCCTCGATCACCTTTAGCACTTGTGTCTTTTCTTGAAGAATAGAGCTCTGGATGACATCCACGACCACCAGGACCTGCGACCTTCCATGAATACCAGTTGGCTCCAGCTATTGACCATTTCAAAATATTAAATTCAAAAATTCAAACATATAAAACTCAACTTACATCCACCTGCAGCAACAATGATAGGTTCACCATCTACAACAACAAAAGTTCCTCCTCCACCACCACCTGTGTTGATCAAGCATAGTATTAAGCAGTTCATGAACGATTATGCTTGACACTCTGAAAAAAAACTTACCAGCACCACATGAGCTACCATTTTGACAATCATCACCGACTTGACCTACCAAAATGGTCAGCACAGTTCCTCTTCTGAAATGGAAGATACCGCTCACTCTTGCACCATATCCCTCTCTCTGTGATCCAGAATAAGTGTTTTTTCCTCCTCTCGCACCAGCTGCAATTATTTTATAATAGCCGGTGATTGGAATTGCCCATTCTTGCTTTCCTCCGACTAGTTTCACCTTATCTTTCAAGAATTTGCAGTGGTCATAGTGAGTACCAATTGTGGTTGGGCCAGTTCTTCCTTTTGTACCCAAAGTCGTAAATGTGATATCGAATCCTTTGGGAATGTAGCTCTCTAAAACGCATTCTCTTTCTTGGTATCTGTAATCCTTGACAAGGTGACTTGCTTCTGGATTCAATTTAAACTTCATTGCATCATAAATGATTGGGAATAATTCTTGTCTCTTATGTACCAACAATGGATGCGAGTCAATAGTTGAGAGAATATCATCGTCAACAAGAGGGAATCTTATCTCATTGAGCAATTCATCTAAATACTGCATTCTGGTTTCCTTTGAATGTTCAATCCACTTGATAATGGCTTTTAAAAGTGATCCTTCGCTACAAATTAATTGTTTTCCTCTCACCAACAATCTAATATCATCAATTGACAATAACACAAATTGCTTTGCTTCACTAAAGTCGTCGAATTCTGCAGCAATCTTGGTCAACAGAGTATTTTTGAGGCCACTAATTTCAGTGAACTTATTGACATATTTTTCACACTTGTCCAACAAGAGAAAACAATGCTCTGCATCAATATCAGTCTCCTTCATTGTGGTTAGCGTTAACTCTTCCAAATCTTTGACACCATATCGATTTGCAAAAGCGTACAGATCAACAAAGTTATCGATCGAATGGTTGGCAGTGTCTCCACGATGAACAACGCTCAAGAAGAGATCCCTACGCGAAAACATGACGTTCAATTTTGAAATACAAATAATCCTAATACTTACATGGCAATTTCATTGGTTTCTACCTTCACTTCAGAACCCGGAGTGAAATCAGATCCATATAATTGATCCTTTAATACTGAGCTCCAATTAGCAATCTATCCGATCAAATTTACAATATGAATATCCAATGAAAGCCACACACGAGATCATCAAGTATTTCATGTTGAATTCAATCACAAGATCAACACAACGGAACCACCTACCAAAGCTCGAACAACGGGATATTTCTTTCCAGAATCAACCACCAGAACAGCATCAGCAAGATCTTTGTTTCCGAGAAGTTGGCTCAACTTGATCATGGTTTTATCCGTACATTCCATCCAAACCTCTTCCTCATGATCATCAGCTGCGCTGCCAAAAGAAGAGATGAATGAACTCTTTTTACTTTGATCTTTGGAACCACTGGTTTTTGGTTTCTTATTCCTCCCCAAAGAAAATAATGAGGAGAGCATGTTGTAAAGGAATCGGAGATGAGGTGTAAAGCAAATTTTTAATTATTATTTTCAGAAAGTGTTCTTGCACAGGTGAACTTGCAAGTTCGCGGTTCATGTTTTACAGTTTTTGCATTGTATCGAATGAGGAAGACCTCAATTTCAACACAAACATCAATCATGACAGTGAGGAATCTTTTCATTTTGAAGGCGTGGAATGAATTGAGTTCACTAGCCAGAGATCAAGTCCGTGAAGCAACCCACATTTCCTTTCATGTGAAATTTGAGTAAAACGTTTCTTCTTATACTAAACCTATAAAAGTGTCATGCTTTGGCAATGACGAAAAAATAAGGTAAAAATATATTTGGGAGCTCGTATACACATCCCATGGCAGGATGTAGTAATTTTTCATAAGCCACACAACGACGTCTGGAATCTTTTCTGTCCATCACTGTTTTGGAATGTTAACAGGTTTGAAACTCTGGCTTTTTTAATAGGTGGACGTTTCTGCGCGTTGTTGAATTTGGCCAAGTGGGTGATCTCATTGTACTAGTAGATAGACTACTAATTGCTCACTCTCTCGCGAGTTGGTGCTACTATAATCTACTTTCAAAAAAAAAAGTACAAACTCGTCCTTCCACATCCACAAATACATGATCAACGAAAATGGAACATAAATTATCAACGAGGAAATTAGTATTCTTTTCGTCCAAGATAGACATAATTGTTTTGATTGTTCGAGCACTCCTCCAACTACTTGCATGGTGGCTAATGTTTCCAACAACATGTGAGAGTGCATTCTCTCATGACTTTTTTCTAAGGAGCAGCTCAAACCAATTTGGTGAAGCTGTAGAAAGCGTTCACAACTGCCCATACATTGATGTTGACGCTGAAACTAGTGATGATCAGATTCATAATGATGAACAAGTTCGTTTCATCATTGAAGAGGATAGTTTGTTTTGGAGATCAATCTCGTGCACCCGTGGAAGAATGGGACGAAGACAAAGTTTGCTTGAAGAGTGTGACTTCAAGGCAGCCATTGCAGAGTTAATGGACGCTGATAGAGCCACTACTTGAAACATATTCAATTTGGAACCTATAATGTGGAAGGAAAAAGGAAGGACCTTCACACAAGCTCTCAAGTTTACGAAAATAAAAAGAGCTTTTTCGGTGTTAATTCTCCATCCATATGGATCATGAATCTGTTTAGCTCGTCGACTCAGACGTCTTGACACCTGTGTTATCCAGATACATTTGTTATGTATCATACATAGTTAAAGCGTCTTCATTCACAACAGTTCATTTAGGCGGTCATGTACATTTTAAGGTACGTGCAAAATTGATGCATTCTCCTGTGAATAAGTACATTTCGCACGTTCCAATGTTGTATCAAGCAGTTTTTGAAATGTGATTCGCAAAATCGAGAAATAATAAATTGCTTGTGATTGGAAATATTTCAAATAAGGAAATGCCAGAAAAATGTGACGGATAGGGACACATGGAATCTTTGTCCCAACAATTCAATGATAAAAGAACACTCCCATGATGCAAACACTTGAACATCGTAACGATCATTATAATAATTCAGAAAATCAGCATGACCCTGATGGTTTCACTACATCATCTTTGCACAAAGACATGGAACGAAGCCAAGACCCCACACCTCAACATTGGGCAATGATGAAATCTTCATCGCCAACATCGTCATCGTGTTGGAACGGATTCTATGAAGTCTTACTTCATTGTTTACAGTCCTTGAGAAGAATGATGTTTGTTCTTATTAGCCACAACGAGAATAACGCTACATTGATACCAATCGTGGACCCCCATTCTCCCAAGTCTCCTCCTACAAGTCCTAGGAATGAACAAATGATAATCGATCCTTTCCCACCCACTGTTGTTGATGACACAGCAGTTTCCAAAATATCAAGTTCTGATTCGTATATTGATGACAAAAACTTGAAAGCTAGAGAGAATAATTCTGTTCCACCAATTTTGAATTCGCCCTCTCAAACTGTAGTTTTTCACACCGATTCCGTGGATAGTGAAGGAGGGTTGCAAACACATCCATCCATTGACGACAATAATTCATCTCTGTCTTCAAATGCATCACTTGCTTCGGCATCTTGCGCAAGTTCTTCCTTTTCCTCGTGTGAAGATTTACATACCTTTCTTGAATATGGACGAAGGCAGAGTTTGTTTGAGCCTGGTGAGTATGTTTCGGTGATGACAGAAATATTAGATTCGGAGCAATGTAAAAGAAAGAAACAAGCGCAGCTACATTTTGATGGGTTACAACTTCAATGAAATCATCACAGTCATTACTAGCTGGCATGTGACATGGAGGACTTCAAGAAATACTTCTTCGTTGAGATAACAGCAATCGCTGCTAACGAGGTTATGCAAATGGCAATAAAATCAAATTTCTTCTACTTTTCCAAAAATCTCATCCCAATCTAACTTTTCGTTCATGTCCAAAATAATACTGTGAAGTGCAATGTGAAACATGTGACATGTTGGATTTTCCAACCTTAATGAAATCATACGCGCAACATCAATTGGAATTTCAACCTTGTACTTGGCACTGCATGAAAAATATTCGTCGAACAGCAATCTTGCTTGCCTTTCCATTTCTTTAAGCCCTTTTCTAGATGTGCTTCTAGGTGACAACATGTAAAATCGCTCTTTGAATTCACAAATACTTAAACAACAGCTAACTTGATTGTAAAGAGAGGTACCCTTCTTAGCCCACTTCAAAATGGCATCACGGGTTGAAGTATCATTCAACATGTCAAGTAAGATAATGTGAGAAGCTGGAAATATAATGGTCATTTCTCTTTCAAGAAGTTCTATATGTTCTCGTTCTACCTCTTGTTGCATAAATAATTTTTCATTTTCTTGTTCCAAAATTTCAAGCTCCTTTGAGAGTAACAACACTTTGGTCCTCAATTGTTTAGCCTCTTTTTCGAATGATGTTTCCAAATGATGCTTAAATTTTTCAACATGTCTACAGACTTTGTGTTTGTTTTCAAAGAGTTGCTGCAGAACAGGAACGTTTTGAGTGTTGCTCGTCTCATTAGAATTTAGAAATTGCTCAATAACACTGTCGTCACTGCTGTATTCGGAGCTATCGGTATCGTCCTCTGGAGTGTTTGTCTGCCCATGCCCGTCAACGGTGCGACTCACCTTATTCGATTCGCTTGACAAGAGCATTTCATTGAACTCCTTTTCATCTTGCTGAACTTCAGATCCGCTCCATACGTTTGTATTAATCTTTCGAAATACAGCCATGAAAGCCATCTCACAAAAATCCTCTTCATTATTGTGATCAATTTCTCCAAGCGAAATCTCAACAGCAAACATTCTTCCCGATTTGGTTTTACCAATGACGTTTCTTGGTTTTCCAATCATTCTCTTAACTCTGTGTTTTACGTATTCTGACATGTACTCATCATGGTGATTCGCAAACACGGGAGGCATCAATACCTTAACACTCTCACCGATTAATTCGGTATGTCTCCATTCAAACAAAACCTCTGCTGCATTGTTTACTCCCAATATAATTCCTTTTTCGTTTGCAATTACTGTTGGATCTATCATGACCTCTACAAGTTTGGATATTTTCAAACCTTTTTTGAAGAGGTCAAAGTTAATACTTTTAGGAATGTGTTCCAATAAATTGAGAATTGTAGGAGTAGATGACACCAGAGAACTAGAGAGTGAAGAGGATGATGTCAAAGTTGACGTTGAATAGTCTGGCATTTGATAATGACTTTTTGTCAATTCATATTTTGCATGCTCATAAACAATTTCAAAACCTCGCATCCACATCACGTATTGTTCATCAATGGGCGCCACAACTAACAGTGTCTCTCTTTCTCCCAGAGAATTTTCCACGAGTAATAATAAACTATTCTCCTTTCCACACATATTCACTGCTGGTTGTGGTAAAGATGGTGTCACTTGTGGTACACCTGACGTCGTATCCTCCTTTTTCTGGTCTCCTTTACAGTTCAGTTGCGAAGAATACACCATGAGATATCTTTGCATTGGGGTATGAAAATTAGAGGATTTAAACTTGATCAATACGCCATCCTTGGATAACGTAAAGAAAAATCTGATGTATAGGTAAATCAAATCCAGATTCAGTTTAAAAGCATAATTCTGAAAATTTCAATCTACCTACTTTTTCCATCTTCCAAACAATCCTTCTTGTCTCGTGATTAATTCTCCACTGGCAATCATGATTTGATTTTCATCTTCGTGATGATGGTAATGATGGTGATGATGGTTTCTGAGATGCATGTTGTAGCAATGAGAACAATGCCATGGAGCCTTTTCGCTCAATTTTTCAGTGATTTTATAAAAAAACACTCGGCAACACTACCAATCAAGAGCAAAAAGCCTCGTTGTATTGCTTGGCATGTGTTCTAAATTTCTCCTTTTTCAGACGTGAAAGGTGAAGAGGGTATATGTTTTGAGAATGGTTATAGCGCACAATACACGAGTGGAATGATATTGTCCACAATGTATTTTGCAAAGTGTACTGGAGGATAGAGTTATGGATTGGTGGAATCCTGTTCGTCCTTATCCAAAGAACGAGAAAGAATGAGTGGACTCTTGAGAAAATTTCTCTTACTGATTCGATCCAGATGGAAATCTCTATTGAAACAATTGTAATGATAGACATTACACAGATCTGGATAAACCACAAGCATGGCATTTTCTCCAATAAATTTGTTGCAATAACTGCATTTGGTTTTTCTAAAGACCACTCGTTTTCTGCGTTGATATTCAACAAGTTGTCCTTGTGTTTGAATGTGATCCATCTTACTCATGCTCTTCATCAAACTCGCCGTTCTCACATTGGTTGCATTTTGTTGGAGAGTAGATGTCAAAAAGGGAAGTATTTTCTTGGTACATAAATTGTTGGGAAGCATTCGAAGCGCTGCAATTGGATCAATATGTTTGGCATACTTGTTGAGAATTTTAATTCCAAATTCCATATGCCCACGTCCTTTCGATTGCTTGGTAGAGCCAGCATCTTGAAAGCAAAGTTTGAGTAAAATTAAAAAGAGCTCATTGTGAAGTGTCACTTTGGTGTAATTTCTGTCGTACATTTCTGTAGAAATTTCAAAACTGCTTAGAATACCATCTTGATATTGTTGCATGAGATTTTGGTAAAATTCATGTTCATATCTTGCTTGTTGTTCTTTACAATAATTTTCAGCTCCCTCTGTAGAACACAAATCAAACAGTAAAATTCGTAAAGCCTTTTCATGTTCTCGTGCAAGAGAGTAGAGTAAAACCATTTCTTGATATAAATTGGTACCGTGTAAGCGAGCCAATACCGTTTCGAGAGTTATAAAATCTTTGCAGTCTTGGATGTGAAGCATGAGTTTAGTTCTTAGATCCCAAATAGATTCTGAATCTTGCCTAATTTCATACGAGTTAATGACATCAATATACTTCAATGCAAGCAATGTGTAGTATTGGGTTTGGATTGGAATTTTCTCATTTTCTTGCAATTTCGTATTCTTATTGTGCTCATGAATGACATATTCGAGTAAAAGTTGAATCACTTCGTTTTGAGTTTCTTCATCTAAATGTTGCCGTACAAACTTTAAAATGGGGTCAATGCCCAAATATACGACATTGTGAGTCAAAACAGAAATACTCTTGAAATGATCTAATTTGAGACACCACTCAATATTTGACCAAAATAATTCCTTTTTCTTATCAGCAATTTGGTCTTCGTCCATAGATGGCATGGGTCTATCAAATATCTTATGAAGTATGCATACTGTTTCATCGAAGGCATATTCACCCATATCAGATTTGTTATCATCACTGTTCATGGCAATGTTCTTTAACAACATTAACGACTTGTGAACGTTTTCAAGGCTATAATTAAGATACGTTTGGTAAAGGAGGGCCATATAGTATTCTTGAGCCTCTGGGGAAAGAATCTCAACCTCAGCTTTCAATACCTTCATGCACACGTCGAGTTTGCAATAGCATTTAGTGTACAGTTGTTGTGCAGTGAATGTAATTTCAGAGTCAGGATCTGGCTTTAGAATTGCTTTGGTTTCTTTTAACATTCGATTGAGTCTTGAAAGATCTCCAGAGTCTAAGTACATTTTGAAAAGCAAATTATCAATAGAACTTTTTGCAGAATTTGAAATGAATGCCTCTTCGAAAAGCAGTGAATCACCTTTGATATTCCTCTCAATAGAGCTAACTTTCTTTCTTCGGTATTCCAATAATGGTCTTAAATATTTCTTACATCTTATTATCAGTTGATTCGCTTCTTTTTCCACTTCTGCATTTGAGGTCTGCAAATCTCGTCGCTTGGCAATTTTCTCTACGAAAATGTCATAGAGACTCTTGGGCTTCTTCTTTTCAAAATTTAAATATTTTTGTGTCCAACTGATTTTGGGAGTGAAATGGTCATCGTTTAGAAGCATGGGTCTGTAATCTGTAAATAAAATGATTAGCTCTCTCATATCAAATCCGAGACGATATTCCAGAGCTTGTTCATGCTCTCTAAAATATGTAAATGCTTTTTCGACATCTAAATGGAACAAGGAAGCAAATGCTGCCTCTAATAACAGCTGTTGCCTCCATCTTTTTTCGATTGTCGAGTCAATGTGCTCTCCTTTTTCTCTCTTAAACTCTAACATTCTTTCAAACAATTCAAAAGCTTCACTACAGTGCGCCATTTCAAACAATGCAGAAATTTGCTTCTCATACGAGATGGGTGACATTAAAACAACTGTTTGAATTTTTTCTTTTTTGCTCTCCTTCTTGAATCCAAGAGTGGAGCTTGTTGTGTTCGTTGTTGATGTAGGCACAAAACTGTCACACACAACAAATACTCCCATGTTGACCGATCCTTGAACTAAACTCCATGAAGAAATATTATTCAACTGATTTGATTCTTGGGAGCCGTCCTCTGAAGTATAAACTACAGAATTGGTAGATGGTTGAATATACAATGTTTTCACGAGACGTGCATCATAAATACTATAAATTTCAATCTTTTTTCCTTGATCCAGAACACCAACTGCATACGGAAATGAAAACGAAATTTGTTGTGGCGGTGACGACCATGTTATTGGAGGTCTGTTAAAAATTTTAGGTGTTTACGGTGTTTTTAAAAGTTGCCACATTCGCAAAAACATGTTTGAAAATTCGTGAACGCTTTCACAAACTGCCCTTACCTGGTAGAAGGTGTTCCTCGTTGCTCACTCGAAGAACGATTGTTCATATTTACAAAAACACTGATACTGTCCGTTCGGAGCAAAACTTCGTCATAAATCAAGACACATAGTGGACGATTATCGCCAGATTTCGAGTCACCCAATTCCAATACTGTTGAAGGTATCATTGGTTGTTTTGAATCCATGATTCCAGTATCCATATTAATTAATGAATATTCTTTTTTAAATCCAACAATTAAAGTCTTATCAAACCAAGCTAAACAATGATGATCTTGAATTGCCTCAGGCAAAACAAATTCCTCAGAAACAAGTCCCACTGAAAGACAATCTTGCTCCGTATAGTGAAGAATTTGTAACCTTTTCTTACTGCAAACCAATAGTCGATGATTTCTCTTGCATTCATCAATAGTAAAACATGTGAGCCCAACAGATTCTTGAATTCTCTTGATATGAGTGAGTAATAATTGCTTTCGTTCTTCAATAAATTCATATCTGAAAAACTCAATGGCGTTTTGTACTTGAATAAATAGCACTTGAACTTGATCATCGCAAACAATTTGTTTGATCGGAACTTTACCCCATAACGCTTGTCCAACTGCTACATTTTGTCCCGTAGAGAGAGTGGTATGTTTTTTAGAAGCATTGTTGGTGAGAGAGCTCAAGGCACAAGCAACAGGCTTTACCGTACAAACATGATGAACCGTGATGGGTGGTTGCTCCTGTTGAGAGTCATAGGTTTCGTTATGATTTTCGGAAAAGGTATTTGTTGATGATGATGATGAATTATTATTTTGATTTCTATGAATGTAATAACATGAAAGGTATCCTTCCGATGTTGCAAAAAACAACAAGTGATTGGGATTGTCAATGCAGGAACATTCTATAGAACCGAACTGAGATTCGGAATGTTGAATGGAGAGCGGAACGACTTCCATCAATTATTGTGTGTTTATCAAATCAATATAAACAAGATGAAATTTTGAACGATGAATAATTAATTTTGAAGGAATAATGTACACTATTCTCGAGTGATGTCAAGTGAAATCAAGAGTGTTGACGTGTTTTTGGCAATTTTTTAAGCGTTGACAACTTTTTATTGTACAGAGTTGACACCAGCAACTGGAGAGGTTTCTTCGTTAGGAGTAGTGGTTGAAGATTGTGTGGCGTCCTCAATAATTGGGGATTTTTGTGACTCTTCAGACTTTTTCTTGCTCTTTTTCTTGGACTCATTAGATTCTGGTGCCTGAATTCCAAGAAGATTTTTCATCTTTTCCCTTAACGACTTATTTTCCTCTTCTAATTGCGTTATTTTGTTTTGGAATAAAACAAAGCTATTCTTGGTTTCTTTCACAGTCTTTGTAAATTCATCCATTTTTGATTGTGAGGTCTTGAGTTGTTTGGCCATGATATTTCTTTCATGATTGGCAGATTCAACCTTCTTTTTAAGAGTTATGTTTTCCTTTTCTTTCTTCTTCAAAGCCTCAATAACTTCGTCGAGCTTGCTTTCGAATAATTGCTTTTCGAGGCCTACTCGTTTTTGCTCCGTTTGACCTTGCTTGGAAATTAGTTCCAATTGCTGCTTGTAAATCTCAACTTGGGTTTGTAGAGTCTCTCTTTCTTTTTCAAGTGTGAGTCTCTCCATGGCTTGTAAATCAAGTTTTGAGCGAATATCATCCAGAGCGTCAGAAAATTTCTTACTCAAACCATCATACTTCTCATTATGCTCTGCTTTAGTTTTTTCATAAGCCTTAAGTATTTCATCATTACTACTCTGCAATAACGTGCAATATTGTTGCAATTTTTCATTTTGTTCTTTGTAGACAGAGAGTTGTCTTTCCACTGTCGTATCGAAAATTAATTGACAAACGGAAAGTTAATGACCAAAATAAAGGTTATAACAGATAATCAACAACTAAAAAACATACACTCCAATCCTCTTGTCTCACTGGCTTGTAATCTACGACATAAAATTGCATTCTCTCTTTTTAAATCAGTATTGTGTTTTGCAACAGTTCCTGAAAAATGTCGATCCAATATGGTATCTACAATCTTCAATTTGGCTTCACTGGGAGATGAATCATTCATCTTCTGAATAATCTCATCTTTCAATTCCGATATTGTTTTCACAGTTTGTTGTTCAATTCTCTCTAATTCGTCCTTCTCTTCTTTCTTTAATCTTGCAGAGAGTGTTTCTATCAAATGACGAACTTGTTGATCATTGAACGGTGATGAGGTAGATGATGATGATGTCAAACTAGTACTATTGTTCTCTTCCTTCTTTGTATTGGCTGTTGTATTTTGGCTCGGAGATGACAAGGATGAATTACTTGTTGTATTCTTTGTACTTTCTACTTTCTCATTCTGAGCAGCCATTGCAGCCACTTCATCCCAACCATCCGAATCATTCTTGGATGATGTAGATGTTGCTTTGTGTTGAGAGGAAGCCTTGTTGGATTTGTTAGCCTTTTTACCCATTTTTTACTTTTGTGATTTTGTAGTTTGCTTTTGGAGGTGAATATTCAATCATTTAATAAAAGTTTTTGAATGGGAGAATCAATGAGAAGTGGCACTTACCCTTCCATCAACAATACTGTTCTACCCAAGTGGTCCAGTAGAACCAATAAATCAATGACATTTACAAGATAAAAAAATGTGGTTGAAAGGTTGTGACCTATCATGCTCGATCACTGAAGCGAATTTGAAAACGACGAGGACTGTATTATTTCGCTCTAGGAATGGTCATTCATCAATGAATCACAACAACATGAATTATTGTATGAAATGTCTCTCGGTTCTGATGCTCGGAATGTCACTTGTCATTTTGTTGTTGAGCAGTCCAGCAATTGTTCATGGACAACGACCATATTCTTCTCCATCAAAAACTGAAGTCTCATCAGTGCCACTATTTCCAACAGATCAAGCATTACCGAAATCATATGCAGGAAATTTGCCTGTAAGAAACGGACAGGATCGATTGTTTTATTGGTATTTTGAAAGTTCCGATAAAACAGCCCAAGATTTGATCGTAGTTTTGAATGGAGGACCAGCGTGTTATTTTGCTGAATTGCTTTTTATGGTGTGTATTTTCATCTACTATATTTATATATTTATTTTAAAATCCAAAATATTATTTGAACATGAATTTATTGACATTATTTGGCAATGAAATCAATTCTCTTCAAATCAGGGAAATGGAGTTTTCAGTATTGAAGGAGATTTAGTGAGCGGAAAAGCAACAAAGGTCACACTCAACAGCAAATCATTTCATCACTTTGCTCATGTTCTTTATATTGACTCACCACTTGGAACAGGTTTCAGTCAATTCTCAGCAACTTCTTCAGATATTGACTCGTACGCAAAATCCATGTTTCCAAGTAATCCATTAAGAGAAAAATCAAAATTCCCAGGAGCTACCAAATACGTCGTTCAAGACATTCAAGATGCATTGTTTGGATTTTCCACAATTTTCCCAAATTTATCCTCACTTCGATTGCATATTTTTGCAATGGGTTACTCTGCAAAAGTAGTTCCCTATCTCGTACAACAGAATTTACCATCTGCTGGAAATCCTAAAAAACTCAAAATTTCTAGCGTTATTTTGGGCAATCCATTTGTACAACCTTCACTTCAATATGCATCCTATGCCAAGTACGGATATATTTCTGGATTGACCATGTATCGACAATTTGTAGAAATGAATCGACAATATGAACAATGTCTGACCGATGTGGAGAATGGAGATTATACTCGATATGACAAGGAATGTCACGGATTGATTGAAGGATTACTTGTCAACTCTGGAAATGTGTCACCTTTTAACATTCGTGAACAAACAACTCAAGAATATGTTCAAAGACAGAATTTGTTAAATTCCTATGTGAACAACAATTTATTTGACATGTTGAAAGGACTCGCCTCCATTCCATCCAAAGTCAATATTCCTCACTGCAGTAAGAAGGTCAATGATTTATTCCACGAAGAATATCATTTGGATCTCCCACAAGAACTCTTTCCAGCTCTCCTTAATGAAAAATCAATCATCACTCCAAATTATGCGAGATCGGCTGTTCGATTTTTAGTCTACAGTGAACAATTTAATTTAGTCAGCAATGTCTTTGGTGTGAATGAATTTTTGAGACAAATGTTAAATTGGGATGGTCAAGTCTATTTCAATAACATCAATTCGACCATTTTTAGAGTCGATGGACTTGTCTCTGGAAGATTTAAATCCTATGGAGGTTTAACACAAGTCGTGTTGTACAATACCAATTACAGGGAAGGAATGCAAGATAATCCTAATTTTGGATCAACCATTTACACCAATACCAATGTAGACATGGTAAGCTCAAAATTCGAAATGGTTCGACGTTTCATCACTCGGCAAAGCACTGACGATCTTAGAGATGATCGAAATAATTTGTGTTCAGACTCTGATGCAGTGTGTCATTCCACAGTTCAATATCCATGTCCCAATAGTTGTTCCAATCGAGGATCTTGTAATTTAACGACTAGTAGTTGTGAGTGCAATGCCAATTTTCATGACAATGATTGTTCTGTGGCACGATTACGATATTCCATTGATCAACTCGCCCAAACGGTTTCCTTCCCTAATTTATTTATTTCTGGAAGAGATACCATTGTGTTTGAAATTGAAATTCAAGAACGTACTTCTTTATTGGATATTTATTTGGATGTGGCTCGAAAGGGAGATTTTGGAACACCTTTTGTTTTTCTCAATGTTTCTACTAGACAAGATGCACTCTCGAGTCGAGAATTGAAAAATTTAGCCATGCAACAAATTGGCTACAATCTCTTGAATGGTTATAAGAGTACAAGATCTGAAGCTCAGGCCAGTCATGCACACTTCTTTTTCACACGTTACAAATCCTTCCAATTTTTTAACACTTCTCATGAACCAAACAAAGTCATTGATGCACAAGATGTTGAAATTCGAAGAAATGAATTTCACACACTTGCCATTGTGATTTACAATTCAGCAGACATGCCAGTGGAATTTAATGTCACACTTCGAGCTTCTCCTGCGAGTGGAAAAGTGGAATTGGCAGGAATATTCTTTTCCTTGAGTGTGGTCCTGTGCATGATTGTGGTATTTGAAATTGTTCTCATTTATCAACGAATGAATAATCGAAAATTATTTATGAAAAGTGCAACACATCGACAAGATATTCCAATGAGAGATGTTCAAAGAGAAGGTCTTTTGAATAGTCATAGTGAGGATGATGATGATGATGAGGACGATAATGATGTATTAAACAAATAAAATTCCATGTAAATAACTTGTTCTATAAATTATAAATACTCTAGTAACATGCATTATTATTTACATGATTGATTGTCCAAAAATAATATCAATGTACAAAATGGACAAGTTGGATGTATCAAAATATTTACAATTTACACTGTGAAAGATTTTCATGATTCATGAGATTACCAATAATTGGTGTCAAAACTCGTGGCTGATTTTTTGAAATGTTTCTTTGCATGTGCGTTTGATCTCTTCTCTGATGAATCACTTTCACCACTCAACTCTGGAATTAATTCACTCCAATACATTGGTTTATGTAAACGACTTGTAAATTCTTGAGCTAGCTCATCCGCTTGCTTCTTGGTCAAACCTCTCTCCATTTCATATTCATTTCCATTGTCATCCAATCGTACGACTCGCCACACTGGTTCATGGATCCATTGGTTGTGGGATGAAGAGTTGGAATTTTCATCATGATGACGGTTTGGAGAGTTGGATTGTAATGATAATTGAAAAGTTCGGATTTGGGGATGATGATGTGAATTGGTAATCCCTACTGTACAATGATGTTTGAATGGAAAAATATTATTGCAAATGACTAGATGATAGCACGTGCTTCTTGTCGTATTCGCAGCTAAAACTTGATTATTGTTCACGAATTTATCGGAAACCTTTCTCAGCATTTTTTTTTGGTCTAATGTTGTTGGTACCGATAATAATTTATTAACCATCTCTGGTTGGGAAGAAATGATTGGATTAGATCAAAATGTCGGCCTTCAATGCTCAATTCTCTTGATCCAAAAGATTTCACAAATGAGCCATCTAATTTAAATACTTGTATTCGTGCATTACTATAATTGCATTCAATAATATGTTGTGAAGCTTGTTCATAAATCAATGATGAAGGGTAACATAATTCTCCTTCATCTTTTCCTGATTTTCCAAATGAATTTATCTTGTTCCAAGAGTCAATACCGTCGTACTTAAACATTTGAATCTTGTTGTTTAAATGAGTGCCAACAACAAGAAATCCATAATCCTCAATAAAGGTCATTCCATAGGGAGAACCATGTAAGTATATTGTTTGTACACGTTCTCCAGTTTCTAAACACAAAATCTTGACACAATAACATCTTGAACGTTTTTGATCTTTGTTATCAGCAATAAATACCTGTTTCTTGGCTCGTGATATTGTCATGGATTTTTCTGGGTTATAAAAATAGGTTTCAGATTTCCATAAATACTTGAGATCATAATTGCTTTGTGTTCTTTGGTTATTGAGCAACATACTCAAGTCATATTTACAAACAAAATATTCATGATGAAACTGAGCAATGATCAATGCATCATTAAGGCCACCTTTATAATTACTCTCAATGCACATCTTTGCGGGAAAACTCAGCGGAATGGATTTCTTAAATCGATAAGTCATCAGATCGTGTACTAATACTCTATGGTTGTTAAAATCTGCTATCAATATACAGGAATGATTGTAACTAACGACTACATCTTTTGGATGATTGAGTTCGTGAGTATTTCTTCCGAGTACACCAGTTCCTATCACATGTTTCAACTCAAAATTCATAGAAAAAGGTATCTTCTTATTTCTGATCTGTTCTCTAAATCTCGGAATTAATTCTAACGTTAAGAATTGTTCAACATCTTCATCATGAGATACTTGATTGGATGAGGTCGTTGTTGCTTTGGAATTTGATGGTGGAAATAAATCACAAAGAATTAATTTCATTTTTTTGTGATGATCAAATTGAAACTTTCTTCGTCTATCATCTTGTGTGACCAAAAATTAAAAGTTATTCTTTTGTTTGTGTTTTCAATATTTTCTAATTTAATTTAAATTATTAAAAAAAAATGCAACATTCCTTGTTTGAGGTTGTTGTTTCTCGCCGATGGGACAAGCTTGAACAATCGGTCATGAAAATTTTCTCACAAAGCGGCTCATCAACAATAGTAAACACAACATCCACGAACGGATCGTTACATTCTGATGGCGCCCAAATGGATATGACTTCTGATGATGACGGAAATGATCCGGAAACATATGGGTTATCAAGCCCACACGGTCATCGGGAAGTGCTATCCAATGATCTATCACTCTATTTACCTTGTCTTACAAGACAATATCATCAATCTCCGAATCATTCAACTGGAAAGAGTAATCTGTTTAATATCTTGCATTCGCACAGATTGTTTGAGCAAGCCAAGCTTTGTAATGATTATAGGATAAAAGTCAATTGGGATCAAGTACAGGAGAGTTTTATACAGTTTCTAATGTCTTCTCCATCAGCTATGCCGCAACAGGCTACAAATATTGCAATTTCTTTCGAAGAAGCTTCTCATCAAAACAGAACGAGGTACGTTTTCATTCTTGAATTGTATAATTAATAACAATACTACTTGGATATTAATTCGATATTTAAATATGATACTATGAACGTGTAGTCTTATTCTGAGAGAAATATTTGGAAGCACTTCAAACACCCAAAAAAGCACTTTGTTTTGCAATGATGTTTATTGCTCTGAAATTTGCAACCTCATCTCTTCAGCCCTTTTTCAAATACCATTGTTTTTATTTTCCTCAGGTTTAGAATCCACAGATTCACGTATTGCAGCGATTGCTCGAGTAAGAAATCAGCAGTCACCAGCCGGAGGACTGACATGGTATTTTAGAGAATTAATTCGTTTCTTGTTTCTGGTAGATCCTTTAGCGCAGAGTGGTATCTTTGATCCATCATTGCTTGTTACAGAAAGTGCTAGTTCTGGATCTTCATATTCAGAAAAGTATATAATTTCAATAGTGCTTAACCATCCTTACATTTTGGAAGATTTAATTGAGTTTTTAATCCGAGAGTTTGCAACAAACAATCAATATATGGTGCGATTGGAATCTATTTTGAAGCAACTAAGTTCAATCTCTAGGTCCTCAGCTGAAAAAGTTAGATTTTATTGCATGAAATTTAGGAAATTTTCAGAGTTATGCCTATATATTACGTTTGAAAAGATAAGGGATTATGTTGGCTTTTTTAATAGCTGTTTCAATGGAGTTTTAGAAAGTGGAAATTTGTTCTCTGAAACAAAATCAGCTGAACTGGCCATATTTGAGAGCGTAAAAAAGAATCCTAAAATTCAAGAAATATTAAGTCGGCACATTGTCGCTGAATTGCAAGGAGAAGAAACGTCAGTTGCTGATACTTGCTCTCTACTTCGACTTTGTTGTGCTTTGATGCTTCTTTCAAGCTATAATGTATTTAAGAACGATTTTTCATTGGTTATTGCGTCCAACCATAATTTGCCCGTTAGCATCCATTTGACAAAACTCAGATTTTCATTTTTATTTATTTGTGGAGAAAATATCACTGCTTCTCTTTCATCGGATTTGACAGTAATAGATTTACCCAAGAGCAATATTGTTCAAGTTTTGCGAGATTTTATAAGAAGTCTAATGGAAGTGTCAAATTCTATGAGCACGTCTGATACACTGTCCTCACATGACAAGACAACTATCAAAAATATTTTACTACTTTTGGCCACCAATTTTCATGCACAGCTCTACAAGAGCATTGCAACGTTTGTGCTAGATACTCTGCATCCAACATTGAAAAATGCAAAACACCTTTCACACAATGCTTCTTCATACAGCTCCGGCTCTGGCGGACAGCAAACCGAACAAACAAAAATACCATCTAACAAACTGTCGAGACAGTTACTAGATGAAAACACTCTAAAGAGACAGCTAGGAGACAGAATTGCAAACCTTTTTGTTTCAGAACTATTTCCTGTCGAAAAACTAGCCCATGATATCTTAACTGTCACCCCACTTCCGTTTTATACAGCAGACAATGATTATGTGCTGCAATGTGTTTTTCGAATGCTAAAGAGTAGACTTTTCAGAAAACACTCTGTTGATGCATCTGATTGGGTGTTCCAACAAGTGCGTTCGTTGTACCCAGTTAATGAGCAAATCACACTTCACCACTTGATACCAAAAATCATTCACGAGTTAATTCACAGCAACTGTATACCATATGCCACCATGCCTTTCGATATGAAATTATTTAACGATGAAATGATCCTAGACGTCTTCGAATCAAACACTTCAAATCAGATTTCAAGAGCTTTAATTTTATATTACATCTTGTCGGTGAACAATAGTGTAAAAAAGCATCGATATGGACCCACAATAATAGAAAAATGTAATGTTGTGGAAGTGGTGAAATATGTCAAAGAGCATAGGAAACAAGTTGGAGTTTTCTACAGTCAATTACTGTCCGCCGTTGAGGAGCTTCAATATTTATTTCATTTGGAAACCTTATTGTCAGAAGGAATATTTAGCACTGAAGCCGTTGCGATAGGTTCATTATCTGACAGCGATATTTCTAATGCCATCCAATCACCAATGTCAGATCAAGCTAAAACAAAGCTGGTGCTAGATGAATTGAGAATTTCCTCTCCTGAATTATCACAGCAGCACATGAATGAAATCATCTACATGCTCGACATATCCAATAAGGAAGGGCTTATGCAAAATTTCCAAGATGTGAGATATTACGTTTTTCTAGCTTTTCAAGAATGGTGGAAATGGATGTTCTCGAAAACAAACCCAATGCGCCTTGCCCTTCAAACGGCCAATGTGCTTGTGCAGAAAGAATCTGGAGAGCTGAAATATTACGACATTTATCAAAATATTTTATTGCTTTTCAGAGTGGATCAACGTATATTTCAATGTCCTCCTTTGTTGGATATCTTCCTGCAAATGCTCTCCCTTTTTATGAGCGCATCAAGAAAATTTATTTTGCAATCCACTCATTCTGATGCTGGTCTGAAAGATACTTTAATCAAAACGCAAGAGAGTTCAATTTTGCAACTCTTACTCGAGTACTTGAATCCACGCATTCTCAATAATGGTTCGGTGGAGAGCGACAAACCTCTTCATGAAGACGATGGCAGTACAGACATGAGAATTGTTCAACGAAAAATTTGTCAATTCATTCATCAGAGATTTATTGAAAATCCAACTCTCTCCAAGCTCATTCACTTCCAAACGTATAATCCTGCACTACTTCCAATAACTGTCTCATTGATTGACTCGATACACATTTGTATGGACTTTATTCTAGAGTTGTTGAATCAGCCAAAAGTGAACCAGCAAATGTTTGCAGTTCAACTTGCCTCATATTTGTGTGAAAAATATCCACTTCAAAGGTACATTGACATTGCTCGTGCAGCCATCACAAAGCTTAAACAAATTGCTCATCAACGATCTGCTTTAATATCAAGCAATTTTTCTGCTCCTGAAGGAAGCATTGATTTATTTTCAAGCAAGCAACTCGTTAATCAACAAGAAGATTTGAACAACGCACAGGAAATTTTAGAAACATTGCTTAGACTTTCAAGGGCTTTCCCTTTTCTTTGTTTAGAGTGTATTCAGGTTGTTCATGAATTGAAAACAGTGTTTTCTTCAAAGCCTAAGGTGCTCTTATTAGTCCAGCAATATTTTGTGAAGTTGACTACTTCCACTCATAATTAAAGAATTGAACTGTTTAATATTATTGTTTAAAATTCGTTTCTGTATGTGGTCTCTTTCGATAACACTCGATGTAACTGACCCTTACCAAAAGTGGCAGGATTTTCATTGCTCACAATGCAAGCTTCAGTGTCGTTCAATAAAACAACCTTTGCTGTCTGCTTAAACAAATTATAAATCACGCTGTCCAATTCTTTTCCTGTTTGCTTAAAGTCTGGGCCAGCATTGACCTCGAGCAAGTAGACTTGATGATTTTCATCGACTAAAAAGTCTAACCCATACAATTCAAAGCAATGGGGCAAGGGCATAAAATTCAATTCGCCACTCACAGCCGCAAATGTCTCTCCTGTTATTTCTTTCACTTGTTCGAAAATTCGTTCTAATTGTGTTCTCGAAATGTGTTCAGCGTCTTCCTTGTCCAAATTCCAGAACAATTTCACTGATTCGCTCTCTTTGAAATCTACTTCATTCACTTGAACGCACGTATTTGTAATGTGTGAAAATGTGTCATTGACTCGAGTCATATCAAAAGGTCTCAACGCAAACAATGCCAATATTTGATCATAGACATAAACCTGTAAGGCGCCCACAGACACAACATAAACTCTCAGGTGAAATTTTCTTCCACCACACAACAATAAAGGTCTATCCACATAGCGTTGAATTACCCATTCTCTTAATTGCCTCAAATCAACATGTTGCTCAGAAGACAAATCCTTATCTTCATCAAGTTGTTCCTCATCTTCTTCTTCTTCTGAACGGTGTTGTTCATGTTTTTGTGTAAAATAATTTCTCAACGCCTCCAACGAATTGAAAATGAAAATTTCAGCTCCCTTATTAGTGATGGATGGTTTCAAAATCCATGTGGTTAAATTCATCAATTCACCCTCCTGTAATTTTCTTTCATTTTCTTGAAGAGATTCAACTACTTCATAAATATCATATAAACTCTCATCAAAATATTCGGGATCATCCAATTCATAGAGATAGGTCTCAGGAATTGACCTTTTTAAGCAAGTGGTTTCTTGTTTGTCTAACTTTTTTGTCATGTATCGATTTAAAACACTTGCAAATTGTGCCTTTCTGATGAGACCCTTCCGAACACAATAATAATTACATCGGAGAGGTGTTTTTGATTTTTCTAATCCTAAAGATGATGATGGTTCATGAGACATCACTAGATTCCAAGCAATGTTTTCATATTCATCCCATTGAACATGAATGTTGAAATGTTTGATAAAGTTTTCTACGGATTGTTCATAAACAAGAGCAGATGATGATTGTGATTGCTCACAAGTTTCGGAAGCAAATTTCAAAACGTCCTCCCGAGTGAAAATGTTGTACTTGGAAAGAAATTTAGAGTTTTCTTCATTGTTGGTTTCTGTGAGTACCCGGAGAAGTAATTCTTGAGAATACGGGCAATCAAGATGGATGAGAAGATTTTCTTTTGCCAAATCTGTGTTGTTGGGTTGTTGGTACATTTTTTTGTTTCAATTCAAATATTCATTTTAATTGTTGAGCTATGTCGTTAAGAGTATTGACACACAACGTATTAGGCAAAATTGATTTCAAATCCTACATTTAAAGTGTTTAAATCTTTTACATTAATGTTATGAAAAATTCCATACCAGTCCAAGTATCATTAATTTTTAAATTCACATTCATCACAGGGTTCATTCGAGTGAGAACGATGTTCCTTAAGGTCTAACTGGTGAAGTTTGTTGTCAACCAGCTGTAATGTTCGTTCAATGTAGTTCAACTGTGCAATCTTAAAACGTGCTTCATCCAAGTCGTCCTTTTTAAATTGTTCATCAATAGAACGCACAACAAGCCTCTTCCTTTCATTGAAATCCATTTGTATCTCAGTCAAACTCTCTCTGTTGTCTTCACTGTCATTAATCTGTTCATTCACTTCCATAATTTCCATCAAAAATTCAGGAGGCAGTTGCACGTCGTTCACTGACTTATGATTGCATGGACCTAATTTTTGTGCCTCCTTTAATTTCAATAAATATTCAGCTCTCAATTTGGTACTTTTCAATGTTTGATAAGCTGTGTTCACAATGGCAGATTGCATTCTCGATATTTTCTTTTCAGTTTCTGATTTTTGGGCAAATTTGTCAGGATGAAGAACCTTTTGCAATTCCTTATATTTCTCGTGTAAGACTTTTGGATTAACCGAAAATTCGTGAGGTAAATCCATGAGGGTAAAATAATCGATAGAGGTTTCAGGATATTGTCCGGATAACGTGCCATGAGTCTCAGAGGATGGTGGTTGAATTTTGTTACATGAACTACAAAATAATAAATGGCAAGATAATTCCGTTTCACAATTCCAACAAGGGTGATGATGCTGTTGATGATTCAACAGTATTGGATCTGTGGCTCGAGGACATTCCCGATCCATGTTTTTAGAACACACCTGATTTGATGTATGTAAATTCGTATAAAAATTTCTATTGCAGATGATGTGCAAGCCGTGATTGTTGATAATAAAATTCTTGTCCATACGGATGATCGGATGATGGTTGTTCCGTTTGAGACCGTTCTGCAGGAATGACGACAAGGACGAGGAAATCAATGTTGATCTTGCTTTCATTTTTTTATGAGGATTTGGATGGAGTCCTTGTGCATTCAATCAAGAACAAATTTAGCTAATTGCAGCACGCTCTTCAACTGCTCCAAGAATGTAAATTGTTCATAAGTTCAATTTAATTGAAATGCACTTCAAAATAAACAAGCGTTGCTGTTTCACAAGAAAAATGCCTCGACATTCAAACTTTTACACAGACGAAGGTTTGTTTTTGCTGGTTGATGGTGTTTGTCTTAACCCGATGACTTTTTGAATTATTAACTATCGATTTCACTATGAATTGATTTGTGTTTCTATGTCGATATTGGATAATATCGGAGTGTAGACCTTGATGATGATTATCATGACGAACACCATGGTGAACATGATGACCATGATGGTAGGTTAAGGAGGAACAAACGAAATTATTAATAATCCCTCTCGTATACACAAATATATTGATGCATCAACATATTTGCTTCACATCCTATAGAAGACGATCCAGTTCTCAGACTTCAAGACTTTATACTACACGGAATTGACCAGGAATCTTCTAAATTTATTCTTTCTGTTTTTCCTAGTATTAAAACAGAAGTGGGAGAAGATTTTCTTGAGGATGTGCTCCATCGCAATGATGGAGACGAAGAAGCTAGCGTCAACGAAATTTATGAATTGGCTCAAAAAGAACATGAAAGAAAGAAACAACAAGCAAGTAATATAGTAATTAAATCCAAATCAGGTGACAACAAGGCAAACAAAAACAAGCAAAAAACAACACAACAACAAGCATCATCTCAGCAACAGCCACAACAAAATAAGAACCAAAAAACACAATCAACAGGGAAAAACAAGAAAAAAGATAAGGATACTAAGAGTAATATTATTTATGTGACAGAATTGGATCATTCAACAGAAATTTCGGGAACGCCAACACCAACTACAGAAGTTTCTGATGCTATCTTTTCCACACCTTCCGAAAAGCAGCAAGGTATGTTCATGGTGCATTCAAATTTTTGGAGACAGTTATGCTATAACTTTGTAACATACCCAACGAGAATTTCATGATGGGAGAGAAAGGCGTTCGTAAGGGAGAGCTTGGCTTTGATCCATCTTACTGGTGAATAGGAAGCAAAAAGATTTCGTTTTGGCACAAAAACAAAAATATCATCAAGAGAGACGAAACATTTACCTACCATCATCACACAAAAATTGGTGCTTGAGTGATTTAATTATTATTTAGATCAAAATTCAATTCATTAGGTTTTGATTCTAGTAGTGATGTCTGCTGGACGTGGAAGAGGAGGTTTGCTTCTCTCCGGGACATCATCCACAGCACAACCCCAAACCGTTGCAGTGGGGAGAGGCGCTTCATTACTTTCCACTCCGTCTTTACAAACTTCATCTTCTGCCCCAACCATAGTTTCTAGTTCGAATACTCCAACAACAACCACGACATCAGTGGGAGGAAGAGGCTCTGGATTTATCAATTCAACGTCATCAACAACCACCACAACTGCTACTACGAAGACAATAGCAGGTGGTCGTGGTACGAGTCTCCTCTCAAAACCATCTCAGCCTGTAATAACAACAGCAGTAACACCCACACCGCACACAACAGCTTCATCCGATTCGAGCAGTGGTAGCAGCAAGCCAATCCCAGCAAGCAGTGTTGGGAGAGGATCAAGTTTCTCTTCCACATCTGAGAAAACTACCTCTGTAAAACCCATTCCTTCTCAAACTCACTACTATTCCTCGTCTTCGGAGGACGAAAGAGATGATGAAGAGCTCTCCTCTGATGAAGAATATTTACGGTCTGTTTCTTCCAAGACGAAAGCTCGTACTACAAAGAAGAAAACTCTCGACAACCAAGATGAAGATTTGAGTGAAGATGAGAAAATAGTTTCCTCAAAATTATCAAAGCCACCTCTTCTCTCTCGAGAAAATCAACAACAATCACAGCACCAAGAATCCACAATAGCAGCTTCCACATTTGCTCAGTGTCTTACCACCTCCCTTGCCAACGAATCTTTTGCAAAAACCTTTTTCGCCAACTCTCCCGAACGCCTGTCTCCCTATTATGAAGTTCTTAAATTATTACACAACAAATCCAAACAACAACCAAACATTCCCGAAATTTTTTCATTTAATACTCCATCTCCAGATGATCTTGTTCAATCTGCTAGGTCACAACATAAGACAAGTCATCAACCTCTTGAAAATTTCCAACCTATTCAAAAGAAGCAAACACCGACTAAATCAAAAGGAGATACCTCAGAAAAAAAGAAAGAACCAGCATCTCCAGTTCCAAAACACACCACAGGAAAACAAATTAAGCCACCTCAAGACTCTGAAAAGAAACGAATTAACGTAGTAATTATTGGCCACGTTGACGCCGGAAAAAGTACCTTAATGGGACATATTTTAACAAAGATGGGTTATATCCCAGAGAAAACGCTTCACAAATTTAAGAAAGAGTCGGTGGAAATTGGAAAATCGTCATTCCACTTTGCTTGGGTCATGGATGAACATGAGGAAGAGCGAAAACGTGGTGTGACAATGGATGTTGGTGTAAAGTATTTTGAAACTGAACATCGGCATGTCACCATTTTGGATGCACCTGGACATAAGGATTTTATTTCAAAAATGATTACAGGAGCAGCCCAGGCAGACTTTGCAATTTTAGTTGTCGATGCTACACCAAATGGGTTTGAAACGGGATTCACAAACGGAGGGCAGACCAAAGAACATTTAATTCTCGCCAGAAGTTTGGGAGTGGAACAAGTGATAGTAGTAGTCAACAAGTTAGATACAGTTGCATGGTCTAAGGATAGATTTGATTTCATTGTAAGCCAGTTAAATGATTTCATGAAGCAAATAGGATATCAAACCCAAGACAGTAATCATGTTTTTTATATTCCAGCAAGTGCTTTTCAAGGAGATAATCTTATTGAAAAGTCTTTGCAAGTACCATGGTATGATGGTCCAACAATTGTTGAACAAATAGACAAACTCGAACCAAAACCTAGAGACACCGAAAAAGCTCTCAGACTGTCCGTTTCTGATGTCTATAAATCCTTGGCCACTGGAGTTACCATAGCTGGTAAAATTGAAACCGGTACACTCTCTGAAGGTGATGAGGTTATTGTAATGCCTATTAAGGAGGTGTGTACAGTCAAAACCCTTCTCAGAAACAAGCAACAAGTGAAATATGCGTATGCCGGAGATAATGTTGAAATTGGGTTAGGTAATATAGATATTGACAAGTTGATGGTTGGCCAAATTATTTGCCCTGTTGGAAATGAAATTAAGGTTACAAATAGATTTAGAGCTCGAATAGTCACATTCGACATGAAAATACCAATCCTGAAGGGCTCTCATGTTGTTCTGCATTTGCACAATATTGACGTCCCTGCTGTTATTACCACACTTGAATGTATCCTCAACAGGCAGCAAGAGATTGTGGAAAAGAAGCCAAGATGTATTCTTAAAAATTCAAATGCCATTGTGGAAATCACAACAGAGACTCCAATCTCGATAGAGCAATATTCGGATTTCCCAAAGTTTGGACGACTGACCATCAGATTAAGCGGAGAAACTGTTGCGGCCGGTGTTGTAGAGGAAGTGAAGAAATCAAAGAAGAAGAAAGAAGGAGCTTTATAAAATAATTATTCATTGAAAACTTCCTCATTGCTTGTCTTTTCTAGTTCTGGCTCAATGTACACAATCATGTCAAAACTTAAGCCATAAGCATCATTTGATTTGTGTAAATCAATATCGCGGCATGACAACGGAAACACATTCATTCTTGTCTTGCCACCGCTTGTACTGGATACAAATACCGCTCCTCGAGGTGTTTTTGAGGATTTATTTTCTCCATTCTCTTCTGAATCCAAGTGAAAGTTGAAATAAAAACTCCACCATAAATGACTACTCTTTTTTCCAGAGTCAACATTAATGATTAATTCAGTATTAGGAGCTACAAACTCAGATGGATAATTATCTTCATCACAACTTTCAGAAAATAATATTGAGCTAGGATTAAAACTCTTTGATGACAGTTTCTTTTGAATATCTTCACGTCGCTGTGAAATATTCCATCCAAAATGTTCCTTTAAAATTTCAATTTGTTCGTTCGAGACAAAAAACGAACGTTCAATACTTGTCTTTTCAATTTGAGAAAGTACAGAACGATAATGAGATAGCACACTCTCAGAAATTGGCTGTTGTGCAATTCCAAAATTTTGTTTCAAGTGTTCTTTCAAAAGTTTCGTTTTGACGGATAATGGAATGCAAAACTGTGAACAGACTTGTTCAAGGAAAGAGGTTGGAAAATTTAACAAGTTATCGCTCTTTTTTTCTGAATAACGACGACCATAGACTTGTTCTACAAACAGTGCAAATTCCATATAATCATATTCATTGAGAGCTGGGAGTTGTAAAGAATCAGAAGATGACTCTTCATGTCCATAATGAATGGCCACTAGCTTGTAAATTCCATCCAAATTCATCTTGAGTTGTTGAATTAATTGTTTCAAATCTAAGAATTTGGCCAAATAAATCATTTGACACAACAATTGAAAAGCATTGCAAGATGCATCTTCAATTGTTTTCCTCTTTTTCGGTTCTTTTGAATCATACTCATCAGAGTCATACTCCTCTTCTTCATCGTCATCGCTACTACTCTGTAATTTAAATAACGAATCATCCAAATGATCTGTATACAAGTATGTGAGAATCTCTTCAAAGGCTTGACGATTAAGTTTGGCTTCATTTGGAATTATGGAGCTTTCTATGATTGAAAAATCAATCGTGTACAAACGATCCTCTGTTGGAAACTTTACAGAAGAAGCATTCATCACGCCATTCAGACCATTGGATGTGGTTGGTAGATTCATAGAGTCTTCTTGTTTCCAATGTCCATTCCGAAGTAAAACTCTAAAGTAACGACTCCGTGAGAGAAAGATCTTGTGCAAATAATAATCATGGAATGAAGTATGAATCATCACGTCGGGTGAAGGTTGATCCATCTCCTCATCAGCAACTCTGCTACTACTGTTGTTTGTAAAGGACCAACGAAGAAATTGATTTAAATATTCTTGTTGGGATGGATATTCCTTTTCAAAAGTATCATTGTCTTCATCGTTACCAAAAGAATGATATCTCTTTGCCCATCTTGATTTAAAACGAAGCTTATCGTTGGGTGAAAACATTTTTTACTACTTGTCAAGACAAGATAACTAGTTTGACCTTTCACATCTGGTTTCATACCAATGACATCAACATAAATCAGTACGAAGTCAATAGTTTTGAATCTGTTATCAAGATCATCAATTAAAAAAAATGCTCAAAAGTGAATGCAAAGGTTTTTCATCATGTCTTAATTTTGCTTCCCAATGTTACATGCTGGGTTATTCTTCCACCTTGCTACCTGAAGGTACGGGGCAGGTACAAGCGTTTGGAAAACAAGGAAAAATTTATTCTCGCTTACGATCATTGAGTTCATCATCGGGATCAAAGGTCGAGACAAAAGAAGAAGTGTTAGATATGGATTCTTCTTCGGAATATGATCTACTTGGTCAGGTTCAACAATTGGTTTTTGCATCGGGAAGTAATGATAGGAATAATTGTTTGATCGATTCTGATGAGCTCCATGACGAGATGAAAGAGTTTAATGCCAAAATGAACTCGAGAGTCAATGCTTCTGAAGTGTATGATTTGAAAGAGAAATTAGGTGCTCATTCCAAATCATCAAGAACTGACAACGATGATACCAACACTGATGATGAGAATGATGATTCAGACAGCAGCAGTACTACAAGCACAGAAAATCTCAAAGAAGTCTTTGATTTCAATGATTCAACTGCATTGACAAGGTTGATTCCAATTCGTATACCCTCACGCATTGGAAACAGACCTTTTCGAGTGAAGAAGATTGCATGTCTGGAAAGTGGAACGATTATACTCAATGAGTTTGATTCGAAAGTGTTTGTGATTGGAGAGATTGCTGACGGAATGGATCGGAGGACGGAGCTCACAGAAATTTCACTCAAGTACTTGGACCACTTCGGATGCAAGAACCAAGTGGAAGACGAGCGTGTGGTGGAAATTTTCACAGGCGCTGACTTTGCATTCTTTATCACCGAAGGCTTAGGTTCTCAAAAGAATTTATATTCCTATGGGCAAAATAGACAATTCCAACTTTCACATCCATCGATTTCTCATTCAGAAGTTGAAGAGGCGATTAGAGTTAACCCAAAATATTTCAATTACGAGAATCCATCCATGATTAGTTGTGGCTCTCAACACGCGATACTTGTGACTGATATAGGTAATATTTACTTTTGTGGACGTTTACACAACTTCCAATCCACGACCTTTATCAGTTGTAGAATTTCAACCATTACCACTGGGTGGATGAGAGATTTCTTAATCTCTAAGAACATTTACTTGGATTCAGACTACAACAACATGATAGAAAAATTTGAAAATTTTAGCATTAACCCAAGTAGCTCTTCGATGCACAATAGCCCAATTGTCGTGACAAAGAAAAATAACTACAAAATATGGCAAATAATCAAAAGTAGAGAGATACATACAATTTTCAAAAACTGGATTCACAGATACTACACCTTACATTTTCCAAAAGACGAAGAAAAACGAAAAAAACAGGTCCGCCAAGAGTCAGACTCTGAATCGGATTCGGAAGAGCCAGTGACAACACCTCAGGAAGAAGCGAGTCAAAATACTGCAGTGAATGAGCCAACATCTTCCTCAGCAACCCAGACCGAGAATACTAATACAGGTGAAGCAAATTCTGAGACCGAGAAGGCACAAGCATTGCTGTCACCCTTGGACATTCTTTCACAAATAATTACTGAGCACTATCAGAATCTCCAGCCAGAATGTGAAAATAATGTAAAATCTTCTGACATTTTACAATTGTTGAACCATGCATTCAAAGTTGATTATTACGAAAACGTCAAAACTAATCCCACTGTCTCTGGTACTTCTTTGGAAACTATTTTTGAGCGAGACTTCCAATACGAAGTGTTAACAGAAATTATTACAAATAGCCTATTTTTGGAAATCATGCAAAAGCTCTTAACTGATGAATGCATATTTGAACGTTCCATAGTAGAACAGTTTGCATCCATGTCTACTATTGGTTTTGCAAATTTCATTTACGAAAAGCGCAATAATCTTGTGATTTACGAAAATACGTACTGCTATACACAAAAAGGTTTTCATTATGCTAAAAATTTAATGAACACATTCTATGAGTCCATGATATTAACCAGTTGTGACAGATTATATCACTTCCCTGCACGAGGCATTTCCCCTCAAATGCTGACATGGAATTTATTGGATCCTTATATTCAAATTGGTCCAAAACAGGCAGAAACATATAGACACCGAAATGGCTTCGACCGTGTGTTGCGAGAATGCTACACTCCTGATTCGTCCATGATTGATCCCTATCTATCTGCGGTTGATGACGGCTTTTTGACCGTGTTTGACATGTATTGTGACATTTTCTATGCAACAAGCTCAGAATATTTATGGTATGACAAGCATGAGCAAACAACAGATATGAAAGACAATCAAGAAATAATTTCCCAATTACGCTCTATTCATAATCCATTACCATATGATATTGAAATTGAGCTCAAGAAGAAGGATGATGGTCATGACATTTCTTTTTACTTTAACACTCACAAAATTAGAAATAGAGGAAATATTGCAACCATTCAACGTGTGTCAGAGGGAATTGTAATGACCACACTCGATCGGAAATTGTATACTTTTGGTTCTAATGCTTATTCTGAGGCAAGTATGAGTTTTGAAACATCTATAATTTCTTACACGATGCAACAATCTGATATTTTGTAAAAATTCAATCATTAGTTAGGAGAAGTTTCAGTGGTAGTGAACTCGGCTCATTTCAATCTGAACGAACACATGACTGCACTAGAACCTGTGAATGTGTTTTGTGATCAATATGCAATGGTGGTGGAAGGAAAGAGAGCCTGGTCACATCAACTTGATCCAAAATGGTTTGGCAACATTCCTCAAACGATCCTTTTGAGACAACTTCTAACACCATTCCAGTACGGCAGTGAAGAAGAAAGTAAGGTATTTCCTAATACTTTTTACTTTTCTGGAGATAGCTCTGGAGCTCGCTCGATTAACGACTATGATGACGATGGACGTAATAATGACCAAGACAACGATGATGTAGACCCAAAAGACAAAACCATAACTGAGTTATTACACAAAGACTCTGAAAAGATTGTTGAGTTTCCACACTTGTCACTTTTAAGATATCGATACATGCCCTATTTGCACAAATTGAAAATGCATATTGTATTTGGATTGGACTTTTTCATTGTTTATTTCACTCTAGATAATGGCAACACGGCAAAGCGCATTATGGCAAACAAGCTCTCACAACTAGTGAATTCAGACAAGTTGGCAGATTGTACAATTTTCCTTACCAATACAAATTAGAAAACAACCTATATTTCTTACGTGAGAACATTTTTTTGTAAAAACTTGAGAGAGACCATCACCATTCTCAGGGATCCAGTCCATTCATTCTCTTTTTGGTCACTATAAATAATGCTTCTTTCACTGATCTTATCGTCGTCTATGTGCACGTTTTTAGACAATTCCATGCAACTAGGAATTGCTTTTGCTGCATATGAAATAAGCTCCTTCAAGCAAAATAGAAAACTTTTCATTCCTTGGTTGAAGGAATTTAAATTTCTTATAGAGGAGTAAAATAGATCATATTTCTCTCCGCTCTCCAATTCTTTGACAGTGGTGTGACTTCCTTTAGGAGTAATTTTGTACTTGCTAAATTTAAATTTGGATAATTTTTGAGCAATCATGGTAATTAAGAGAGCACACAAGCCCCATCCAGCATTAATTTCGTCCCATGAAACTTGTTCAGTTCGCAACGTCCCCATTCTCAAGCCATTAATCATCATTATTCGGCTTGGATTTTCATGAATTGAAAATAATTTTGCAGGATTAAATTTCTTCTTGCTACTTCTCAGCTGTATTCTCCTATTGTCTTCTGATACATTTTGCATATTGTCCAAATATTCAAAGTAAGCCTTCCAGTAACCCTTTTCTGTTTCTTGTTGTGCATTGATTTCATTTTGTAAATTCATCGCCTTTCGTCCAAGGCGACACTGTCTGTCGGTGTGGAAAAGTAAAATCTTCTCTCTCTCTTCAAATTCTTCATTTCGCAGCTTGTCCATTTCTTGTTTATACTTGTTAGCATTTGATTCAAGTGCTTCCTTTGACGGTAATTTCTTTTCTTTTAACATTTTCTCGAATCCATCACATTCTCTCTTCAATAAATCCTCTCTCTTCGAAAGTTCTTCAAACAAATCTTTCAAACAAGCTCCACACAGGGATTGCTGATGTAAAATTGAATCCAAATTTTCTCCATTCTCCAATAATTCATCAATCATGTAATTAATTTCCTCAATTCTCTCTATACTTTTACTATTGCTTTGAAAAGTGTCCATAATGGATGCTGTAGGAGAATTGAAATCACTCAGAAATACAAAACTTTCATCAAGAGTATTCGGATCGGAACTTAGTGGAGTCGGAGGAACGAATACATCTTGAACGTTTTTACATTGAGTACAAACGACTCGTTGATTCATCATTGGAGAAAAGAACGGATTGATCCATGGAGAGGTTGGTGGTGGTGTTTGCATGAGCTGAGCAGCTTGATTGATCAATGAATATTGTTGTTGCTGTTGCTGTTGTGGTTGGGAGGGCAACATGATGTTCCGATGATATATATATAACGGATGATGGCAACCGTTGATTTGTACAATGAATTGGAATTAGATGAATGTGCTGTTCCAAGGAGTATTATTCTCAAGTATTTGCATTAAATTGCAACAAACTATTTTACAGCTAAATTACAAGCAAGAGAGTAGGAACGACACAGCTCGGAAGAGTTTTTTTGTAATTTTCTGTTGTAACCGAGCTCAAACAATCGAATTTATATTATTTTCGAAATCCATATTCTCTCAACAAACACAAAGCAGGAGGATCTATTTCTGTAAATGAGTGATGATTGTCGAAATGTAAAGACGTTACATTGTCTTTTTGGTAGCATTTGGAACACAAATCAAAATTCACACACTCGTCACACTTAAATCGTGGGCCAGTAAAATTTTGTTCTAAACATGAGTCGCATTTGACACCATAGTTAATGAGCTTGTCTTGTTCAATCATTTGCAGAATGTCTCCGTATTGTAATTCCTGTACAGTTACACTCATATCTAACAGTCCAGATTGTTGAAAGTGATTCAAACTCTTGACATAGCTACGTTCAATGTTTTCTTGGCCCATATAATACATAAATCCCAAGTTCAAATGAGCTTCTTTGTTGTTTTTAGATAGAGCCATATGAAATAGTGAAAAAGCTTTCAAATAATCCCTTGTCACACCGATACCATTCTTAAACATTGAAGCAAGTGCAACCTGTGCACGGTCATTGTCCTTGTCAGAAGCCAGTGTAAAGTATTCTTTTGCTTTGGAGTAATCTTGGTGTAGAAATCTTCCATGTAAGTACAATCGCCCAAGAGTGAAGAGTGCTTTAGGATGATTTTGCTTTGCTGCTTTTTCATACAATTGAATTCCTTTTTCAACATTTTGTTCGACTCCTGTTCCATTCATGTACATTCTCCCTAACAAAAATTTGGCACCTGCATGATTACGGGAAACAGCTCGCTTAAGGCTTTCCATAGCATTGATGAAATTTTGTTCGACACCTTTTCCTTCTTTATGCATTAACCCAAGGAAGTATTGAGCATTTGCAACGTCTTTGTCAGCAGCAATCGTAAACCATTTAAAGGCTTCGTTATAGTCTTGCTCAACGCCTTCTCCTCTATACGCCATGCATCCTAGTTTATATACGGCCTTTGAATGTTGAAAAGCAGCTTTTTTGTAAAAAACGAGTGCTTGGGAGTAGTCTTTTCTTTTGTGAAACAGAACTCCCACTTCATAATGTTCATGTGCAGTTAAATCAATATGAGAAAGTTTTTTCAAGTTGGCGGTGGTACTTAGCAATTGGATGGATGTTGCTGGAAGTTTGCACTTTCTGAGACCAAGTTCTGTTAAATTGCTCAAATAATGGCTTTCAGATAACGCTTTGGCACAGTCGTGGTTTAGTACATTGAAACTTAAATCTAACATGGTCAGGTTTTTGAAGTGTGGACATTGTGCAATTCTGCTCACTGAAGGATATTTAATTAATAGTCCTCGTAACATTAATTTGGTCAATTTTTGTAAACTATCTATCTGAGTTATATAAATGATTCCGTTCTCACCAAAACCATTATAAGATAAATCGAGCTCCTTGAGATTGCTAACGAATGAACTTTCAGACAAAAACTTCAATCCTTCAATACCCAAATCGTTTTTACCCAGTTTAAGACATGTTAAGTTTTTCATATTCTTGTTTGTTGCAATAATATTAATGTCATTTCCAAGATAGTTTCCGTTCAAATTTAAGTCTGTGAGATTGCTTAAATTTTCGGTCATGCTTAGTAATTTAGCTTCCTCATGTCCAATTAGGACATCTTCCAAATTTAAGCTAGTCAATCGTTTCAAATGCGGACTTGATGCAATAGGTTTCATCCCATTGTTTTCGCTAACAAAATTGAATTTCAAATTCAAGCTAGTCAAATTTTTCAAATGTGAACAGTTGGCAAAACATTCCCAATGTTCTAATGGTCGTTCCGAAAAATCCAAAGACAGAGAAATTTCTAATGATTTGCGATACCATTGCTTTGAAACTCGCAAACAATTTGTAATAATAAATTCAGACTCTAAAAATTGTAAAATATGAAAAACCATATCATCAATCAACTCGATACACCTTTGCATTGGACGATCATTTCTGCATAAATCTTGTAAATTTTCTTCCGAATAACAAGATCCACCACAAATCGCATCATGATCATGATTGAGCATTTTTATTAATTTGAAAATGATGTTATTATTTGTCATCGTCATTAAAAATGATACTCGACAAAAACACCTTGTTGTTGCAGCGAAGACTATTCGTGTTGCGCAATCACTTGTGTTCTCCCCATCATCATGAAAAGAATTACTATTTCAAGAAGAACATTAATTCTGCTGCTTGGGCGTTAGACCATTTGGGCATGAATGTTGTTTCTTTGACTCCGGGACGATTCTTTCATCATCAACATGATACAAAAGAAATTCAAAGAAATACCACAAGTAGTACTACTGCTTTGAATGATCATAATCAACATATTCCGAAAGCTCAACAAGCATCTAATTTATTTAAACAATATTGGGAAGCTATTCATTCTTTCATCCAAGATGGCAGCAAGAGTCTTGAAGAGAGTATTCGTGCACTTCCTGGAGTAAATATTTCCAATATCAACAAGTTGGAAATTCCTGAAGATGTAGCCTATAAGCTCGCTCAATTGTATATGAATAAGCTCGATAAGAACGGCAAAATCCGATTTTTTGAAGTGATGGTGATGCATTTTGGTGGAATACCAATCTCTTCATTATTACAAATGATGAGATGTAATAATAATAACACTGGCCAGTCGACCACTCATGAAAGTGAAAATCATTTAAAAATTCTTTCTCAAACTATTGAAAAATTGAGAGCGTCATTGCAAAATGTACAATCCTTGAGCCAAAATGGAGAACATTTGGAGCGTAATATTTTAGGATATCTCAACACAATTCAACAATTGAGAACAACCATGGAGCCATATTATGAAAAGTTCTTAGAACAATTTATCTTAACACTCATGAAAAAGGAAGTGCCTTTCAATTCTCAAAATCTCAACGGCTTGGAATTTGTGATGCAAATGAGACAAGATTTGTTGGAAATTATTTCAACACTCCAAAAACAATCAAGCCATGTCAATCAGGATTACAAGAAGTTTATCTTGCCATTTTTACTTAATGATCTCAATACCAATCTTGTCAGGTTGTTGTCAAGTTGGTTCTCTCCATCCTTTCTTGAGTGTAAAGAGTTGGATTGGAGACAAAGCAATGCTCAATTATTGGAAAAGATTATTCACTCAGAACGTGTACATCCAATAACAAATATGGAAGCTTTGAAAAACAGATTGGCACCAACACCTAATCGAAAAATGTATGGTCTGTTCCATGCAGCCATGCCAAGAGTGCCACTTGTGGTGTTACAGGTTGCCCTCATGGATCACATTGCCTCAAACATGCGGGAAATTCATGACGTTACAAAAGATGGTTCACCTCAAACAGTGAACACTGCAATTTTCTACTCAATTTCCTCCACTCAAGGTGGGTTACAAGGTATTGAACTGGGTAATTTTTTGATCAAAAATGTGGTGGGAATTTTAAAACAAAAACGATTGATTACTGATAACTTTTCTGGGGACATTAATCAATTCAGCACCTTGTCACCAATTCCAGGATTTATTCGTTGGTTAACTCAAAAGCTGAGAATTGAATGCTCTCAAGATGAGGAACTGAAGAAGAAATTCCACGATGAAAAGCTTCTTTCAAAGTCTGACATGGATCTCATCAAACAGATCGCTGTTGAAGAACCTAAATTGTTTGGTTTTCAATTGTCACAAGATACCGTCATGAAATCTGGATGTGAGCTACTTCTTTCACTGATTGAATTTATTTTATCATCGCCAGAGGCAACCACTCTACATCCCAATGATAAGCTTCAACCAATCATGCTCCGATTATGTGCTAGATATTTGTACTCGGAGAAACACAAATCCAAAGCATTGGATCCAGTTGCTAATTTTCATTTAAGGAATGGAGCATGCTTGGAACGTATCAATTGGAAAGGAGATTTAACTCAACGAAGATTGAAAGAAAGTTATGGAATGATGGTAAACTACAAATATGTTTTAGAATTAATCGATGAAAATCATCACGATTACGTCATTAGTGGAGCGAAAATGATTAGACTTGGCGAATTGTTTGACAAAAGATTATTGGAATAGGTAAAAGAGAGTGACAAACAAAATTTTTGATGTTAACCAAGTTTATTTTGTAAAAGAATGAAACACAGATTTTCGACCATTATTTGGCATTACCACATCCATCTTACTCAAATGTTTCAAAAAGAGAATTCTTCCAATTCTTCCAGAAGGTCGTTGCACTCCTGTTCATCCATTGGAGGGCAATTGTTGTCCATTGCAGCCCTTTCATCTCTTATCTCAACGGATCTTGTCTCACCTCCATTGGTAAATGTTGGTGTTTCGACAAGCGCATTGTCAAAGAAATGTTCATCTTGGGCTGTCAGCATTTGTTGTTGCTGATGATCAACAGGTGGACTTTGAAGACAGGTCTCAGTCCCTTGTTGATGTAATGAACCACAGTTGCCACCTTGGGCATTGAATTGGTTGGGAATATCATTGCAGAGCAACACTGTTGGCAGTGACATGACATGTGAAGTCCAAATGAAAGGATACGCCAAGTAAATGATAGGAGAGGGATTCAATGGCAGGTTACTCCCTTGAACAGTTTTAGGTTGAGAAGAAGAAGCAATAGCTTCAGCAGTCGTGGAAGGAAATGACTCACATGATGAGTGATCATGATCTGTTCCAGCGCTGGATGAAGACGAGCAGGATTGAGTTTGTCGCTTTGTTTTCTTTACAGCTCTTTCCTCTGAGGAAGATTTCTTTGGAGCTTGTTTTCTCTTCGTTTGTTGGTTGTTGTTGAATTCTCGCTTCATTGCCCATGACTTCTGGACTCCAATTCGAATTTCGACTCCTTCTGGTACTTGCAAGGCAACCATGCTTGGATCTACACCGTTGCTGCAATGAACGGTGATCTCATGCAAGAGAGTTTTTAAATTACGAGGTCCTTCCCATAGACAGACACCTTCATGTGATTTGAGTTTGAATGTATATCGTTGCTTTTGCATTCTCTCTTTGAAATCACTGATTTCGTCGGTGATATCTGGGATGAGGTTGGTCAACAAGGAAGGAGGGGTGTGGTCGCCATCCATCTTGTGGAGTGTTTTTTAGTCTGAGCACTAAATTGTTTTCTCCAAGACAGATGAAAGGTTCCAAAAAAAGACTCCCAGTTCGCGTGAAAAAAAAGGCTACAGCACTGCAGGTTCCCAAGTTGTCTCCAACCTCAGTACTGATGCAGCTCGACGATGCTTAACTTCTCAAATCGGACGGGATGAGGTGCATTCATCGTGATATGGCCGTAGCCACTCCTACACCCAAGTTGATTGTTTTAATATGGCTTGCTGCTTCAACGGTTTGAAGTTATGTAAGGCTGAAAAGATAGATTCTTGTTCATCTTGGCATCACTTGTCAATAAATAAGATCTTGATGTGTGTATAATGTATGTAAATTCTTGAATCAATTTCTAAGGTGAAAGTCCTAAGAGGTTGGAATTTTCGAAAAGAACCTCTCAGGCACCTCGTCTAACTTGATCACCTTATTTGAAGTTCCAATTTAAAATTCAATATTCAACAAGCAATTCATGAAGTTTAAAAGGACATAGCAAAGCTAGGTTTCGATCCTAGGACCTGTGGGTTATGAGCCCACCGCGCTCCCCCTGCGCCACTTTGCTTTACATTGTTAAAGTCTATCTCAAAATTTAACTCAATAACAACTTCTATTTTTGGGCATGCCACAAATTTTGGCTCCAAATCTTCAATTTTAACTCTCGTGTTTTATAATCTTTGTTTGATTTGTGCAATTCGTTCCTGTACTTGATCTCTGGTCATTTGTGCTGGATGAGTGGTGTTGTAAATTGAAGAAGAGCCAGAAATGGCCGCTTGTGAAATGAGTTTTAACAACAATTCACAATCATTAAGAGCGTTTTGATAGTTTTTCGTGGTTTCATAAATTTTCTCACGCATGGATAAAAAGGTGATTGTTTCTTTTGGCTTTTGCTTCATACCATTATTCAACACTCCAATAGCCCATTCATATTTGCCGAGAAGGACCAAATAATTACAAAATCGTATAAAGAGGTTTTTCTTTGTACATTCCAAACGCATGGCTTCAGAATAATGGAATATTACCACGTCTTTAGCCTCACATTGCATGTCCTCAAGACAACATGCCATGAGATAATTCGTGTTTGCATCTGTGGCATCCACTTGCAGTCCAATATCTAAAATTGATTTTGATCGTTCGTAATTTTTGTCTTTCTTCATAATAATATTTGCCAATTGGTAATGGGAAATGCTGGTATTCAATGCGTCGATACTGAATGCACGTTCCCACATTTCTCTTGCTTTTGATTCGTCTTTTTTATAATGGCAATAAATGTCTCCAAGTACAGCCAATGCATCCACACAAGTCGAATCTAACTCGACAGCCTTTTCGTAATGTTGCAGAGCCACATCTTGTTCACCCACGGACAGATGATAATTTCCTAGTAAATGAGAAATTATTTGTCTTGTTCGTTGCTCCTCACTAGCAATTTCCTCTATTTGAGAAATGGTTAACCTTGCTTTTTCAAACTTTTCCTCACCTAAATAAATCCAAGCGAGTTCAGAAAGAGCATCGATTGTATCTTGTTTTGAAACATTGAATTTAATCACCTTTTCAAAATTCTCAATCGCTTGTTCAATCTTTCCAAGTTTTTCCAAGTTTCGTGCCCTTTCCAAAAGCAATAAAGATACATTGAGTGAGGTAGATGATATCGAGGATTGAATGGAATGATTTGAATACACGGCACTATCCTCAACTATTTTCATGGCCCTCTTAAATACGTTCTCAGCATGTTCCCATTCATGACTCTCTCTCAAAAACACTCCCAATGAAATCCAAGTCTTTAATGAATATTCAAAATTTTCTTTTAATACATCCTCCGATAGTGAAAGTACCAATTGATTCTTCTCAACAGATGAATGGGAGTGTTGTTGTTGTTTCACTTCATGTTCCTCCTCCTCTTCGGAAGAGGACAATGGCTTTCCCATCAACCAATTCCAAGTGATGGAAAAACTCTGAAACAAGGCTTGCATTTTTTCTTGATGATGACTGTGAATAGAATATTAAATCAATGTTGATACAATGTTTTGGTTGTTTGGATTCTCAGTGAAGAGAACTGAACAACATTATGTCGTGTTGATGTGTAAAGATCGAATTCGTATTGAAATTTAAATAATTACATGAAATCATAATTTTCGAGCTTCAAAACGTTTTATGAATCTTCTTCACAGTTATTGAGAGGATCACGATTCTCAACAGTTTTGAGTAAAAGTACGAATGAGTGATGATGTGGATGCAGCAAATGATGGGGTTCGACAAGAAGAGGATTCTCAAGCATCGACGGCTGAAAACAACAAATTTTTATTATCCTGTTTTACAATCTTGTGCAGCTGCCAACTGTCAAAAACAAAAAATCAACTCCCATCACAACAAGAATGAACAGAGCTCTCTCATTGGTTGCTAGAAAGTCCCAAAACATTTCACTCCACGTGAACAAGAATGGCATGGCTCTCATGACCTTGCAATTCAACTCTCCTTTGGCTCAACAAAGATTCTTACAAACACTCAGAAAGAGAAACAATCCAGGATTCATGGATACCGTTTCAGGAATGGTATGTAGAGCATCCTTTGTACATGATGTTCATTGTGTTTTTGAATATTTAAATTTTCTAACATTTTGTTTGGTGATACGACGATGATGAATTTTCTATAATGTAATTTGCAAATTTGGTGATGATTCTCAACAATTTGCGAATCTTTCTCGTGTGTCGTACGACCAACACAACAACAATTGGATTCTTGATTGACAATGAAATACTTGTCTCTATTGAATACGTCTGTTTGATGATTTCCACAACAACAATTATTATTGAAACATGAATAACATTGCCACCACAACACCAACAACAAATACTTCCAATGCGTTGAACCAATTCATCAAATTCCAAATCAAACATTCAATATCCTGACTTTTATGACCACACCGTTCATTCTTCTCCATTCATCAAATTCCAAATCCACAACGTGTATATTCACACTTTCTCGAAATATATACAAACAAAACACTCACAATACTACACACTCATATGAATAGTATGAAAGTCCAGAATTCAAACTTGACTGTAAACCATTCGAATTCCGTGAAGGTGAACCATTCTTCCTCCTCAATTATTTGGGTGTCATTATTGTCGCTTCTACCATTGCTTTTGCTTTCATGTTGTGTTTCAGTAGTTTGATGAGATATACTTTGGTCGATGTTGCTGTTGTTGTGAAGAGAACTAATCCTCATCCATTCTTGAATATTAAGAACGGAGCTGATTTGCAAGCAACTTTAAATCCACTTTATGTTCCATGTCAACCATTCACTCACTCCACTGACTTGAAGCAAATGTTCTACAATGAATTGAATAGAGCTAAGGATAATACTTTGTAAATTTATTTGTGTGTGAGATGAAGATGAATAGTTCACAAATGCTAAAATGGATCAACTAATGACAACAAGTTGTAGTAATAATAAATAATGATTATGAAATAAACATACGAATGGGAATTGAATCATATCATTGAACATTGTTTGAGCGAACTTTTTACTGAATGCACCACAGATGATGAATGTAATGAATGAATACTCTCGTATTTGTAATTCGGTCACAATTCCACAATAATTACTCGTCTTGGAAATTGAATTTTTGGGAAGTGGCAGTATTGGGTGTTGGAGTGTCGTCATTCAAGTCCATTTCAAAGTCACCACCGCCACTCATGGCACTACCTGGAGAAGGATCTTCAGCTTCTTGCGCAAAGGTTGTTGGATCTAAGACTCTCTCCTTTGAAGTGGAGAGAAGTGCCTTTTGATAAAATTCTTTAACGTCATTCATGAATTTATCTGCTTGAGCATTGGCCTCAATATTCTTCCATTCTTCGTCCAATCTCACAACACCATAAGGATTTTGTGGATTGTTATAATTATAATTAACCGTGGTTTGTGTAGAAGTTTCGTATGTGACAATGTAGTATGGAAGAATGAGATCCTTATTGAATAACACAAAGCTCATACCATCAGAGCTCTTGAGCGAATGGTTTGACTTCAATTCATTAATGTTTGTGGCCTTCATCTTTGCATAGTCCTTGCTGCCAGTTCTTCCAGGCAATACCAAGAACAGCATGATTTTCTTTTCTTTGGTGATAACGGGGCTAGCATGTGTTGGTGAATTTGTAAAGACATAAGGTGCTGAGGTTTTAACATTGTTTTTGCAAATCCAATCAATATTATCGTCTGAATAGTCCTCAATATCCATAAAAGTTAAGATTGGTTTCACTTGTGAATATTTGGTGTCCATGTCTGAAAATGTAATATAATACAATAAACACCATTTGTTCGTAAAATAACTTACCATAGGCAATATTGTGGCGAGCTTGCTCAAATGCTTTTACAAGCCATGACGTAACTATATATTTCACCTCGGTAACCTTGAACTGTGATTTTTGTTGGCAAAGTCTATAAAATTCACTTTCAGCAACTCTAAAGTGAATGTGTGACACTTCATTACTGAAGGTTCTTTCAGGTTTGAAAGTGAATGTACGAGCTTCATCTCTTTCCAATGTGTCATATTCACCAGGAAGATACATTCTATTCCTCTTTGCCTCTTCTTCGTCGTTGAGGCCTTCAGATGTGGAAGTGCTAGAAGTCGAATTTCCAATCCAATCAGACAATCCAGTTGAGCTTGATTTGGAACGAAATTGTTCAACCTGTTTTGTCAATCTGGCTGTTTCCTTCTTTTCTAAGTCAATCATTTCTTTCATTCTATTAATTCTATCTGTGAGAATTTCAACATTATTCTCATATTTAGGGAGAGTAATATCTTCAAAGTAATTAACTGGAGGTTTTTCTCTTTGTTTACCGTTATTTTGTTCCTCAGTTTCAATAACTTCTTTTGTTTCCTTCACAACACGTTTAACTTTGATCTTTGGAATTTGAGGACGTTTTGGCAATTCACCAGTCAATAACCCTTCCATTGCTTCCTCTTCACGACCTTTACATCTAATCAAAGCATCTCTGATCTCTTTTGTTTTCTTGTCTGGCATAATTTGTTTGATGCTTCTCACCTTTTCCTTGTAACCTTTAATGTGTTGAGCAATGAAGCCTTCCTCATCTTCTTCGACCACTTCAATTTCTCTCTCAACGACAACCGTCTTTTTCTTTACAAAGTATCCTCTTTTTTCATTCTCCTTTTCAACACTCTCATTCAATAATCGGGTAACTATGAATAGTTTCATAGGTGGCAATGACAGTGCCGATCATGATGATGAATCAGAAAATTCAAATAAATCACGGATTTTCAAACGAACCAACGGAATTGATATGATGATCATCAAAATTATCACCACTACAAAACTAGTCGGAATTAACTATACGTACCAAGTTTAGATCGTGCCAAATTTAAATCTCGTTGGAGTAGTTGTTTGAGCTTTGGAGAGGAGACTTTGGTGAGTAATTGTTCAATTTCTTCCAAGTCTGTGGTAGTGAGAGCATCAATCGTTTTAAAGTACTTCTCTGCAAGGGGATTTTCTTGTTGTGGTTCAATAATTGAGCTGATCATTGTGATGTTGTTTGATGGAATGATGATCGGAATGAAATGTCAACAGCTGTTTAATGAGAACAATAAATTACTAGTGTCAATGATGCTCGTAAATTAAAAAGCAACGATAGAATGAGTTGGATGAACAACAACTATGGGCAGTCTTGTGGGATGATGAATTTGGTGACAGCACTTGTTGGATTTTTTTGTGATGTGGTTTTTGGAACTTGAAATTTCTTGTGGAAATGTGAACTTGAGTATGGGTAGCGCTACAGAAAAAACCCTTAGTTATTGTTTTACTTTCGTGAGTGATAGTGAGTGTGTAAGTCTTCGTGTGCTTCATGACTGCAAGGTTCGTGGTAAAGATCCTTATACAATTGTTGTACCTCCTTGTTGTCGTGACTCTTTCTAATGGTAGAAGCTTCGTCCAACTTGTAGATAGACTGGAGTCGTTTCTTGACAATTTCTTGGTGTTCAAGTTTTTCAACAACCTTTGGTTCTCCACCACCACCAACACAGCCACTTGGGCAAGCCATCATCTCAATAAAGTGGAATTGTTCTTCGGGTTTCAAGGTCTTGGTGTATTCGACGAGTTTCTTCAAATTTCCAGAACCGTGAGCAACCGCCACTCTAATATCTTGACCTAAAATCTTGATGGTTGCTGAGCGAATACCATCCAATCCTCTAACCTCTTCCAAGTTTAGTTTTGGAAGTGGCTTCTTTTCAAGGATTTCATAAGCAGTTCTGAGAGCTGCTTCCATAACACCACCTGTCACACCAAAAATTACGGCCGCTCCAGTACCCTCGGCAATGGGTGAGTCATAAGTTGGAGACTCCTTTCCAACTGTAGATGGCTCCAAGTCATTAATTTGGTTCATCTTGAAAAGTTTACCCAACTCTCTCGTTGTTAAGACATAATCAATATCAGGAACAAAGTTGCCTTGAGCATCTGTGTGTCCCATTTCAGGTCTTTGAGCTTCACCCTTCTTTGCGGTACAAGGCATAATTGAGACGTGAATAACTTTCTTTCCCTTTAGAATATGTTGCATCTTTGGAGTCCAGTAATTTCGCACTACAGCACCTAACATCTGTTGAGGTGACTTGCACGAAGATACGTTTGGAATAATTTCAGGGAAATCTTTCTCAACCAAGTTAATCCAACCAGGGCAGCATGAAGTGTACATTGGGAAGGGTCCTGGAGGATTGCTTGTCAGTCTTCCAATTAGTTCAGTACCTTCTTCCATAATGGTTAAGTCTGCTGAGAATAAAGTGTCAAATACATAATCAAATCCTAGTTTTTTAAGCCCTTGAACTAATTGAGCTGAGCTATAATAACCTGGTTCCTTTGCAAACTCCTCGGAAATGGCAACTCGAACTGCTGGAGCTGTAGATGCTACCATAATATAATCCTTCTCTTTGCCCATAAAAGCACTAGCGTGTTTCTTTTGCATTAACAAATCAGCCACCTCTTCGAGCTGTGCCTTAATAGTAATGGCTCCAACTGGGCAAATCTGACTACATTGACCACATGAAATGCATGGAGATCTTCCTTCAGTGAAGTTACTAGCCTCACTCAAAATCAAGTTCAATTGTTGTACTTGTTCATTGTGGCCTCTGCCAGACATGGAGAGAGCTTCACGTTCTTGGATAAAGTTACAAGTTCTAATACATCTTGTACATCTAATGCACTTATCAGGATCTATTTGAATTGGTCCTTCAGTTATATAGTCTGGAGTACCAATATTGGCCACTTTCTTGAACTCGTCAGAAGTGTCGGTATAAAAATCTCGCAAGGATGGAGGAAGATCCTTCTTTGAAACGTGATACTTTTCAAGCAAGTTTTGAAATTCACACATGTTGTTTGCAGAGCATGAAGGACAATCCAAATTGTGATGAGAGAGCATAAATTTCAATACTGATTTAGCATTATCATAGGTTTTTTGAGTTTGAGTCCAATAGCATCCGCCTTCCTTCACCTTATTCACGCAAGAAGGAACAAGCTTTGTTTGATTGTCTGTTTGAGGATACATGTGACGACCGGTTTGTCTTATTTGATCCTCAATGTCATGTGGATTAATTTCTTCCTCCACAAGACAAATTCTACAGTTAGCTGGTGAGTGTTCCTTCAAACGAGGATGATAACACAAAGTTGGGATTTCAACTTTAGCCTTTTCATCGATAACGCCGTTAGTTTTAGAAATCATGTCGTTGAAGAATAATTGAGCCTCCAAAATTGTACTTCCTTTGGGAACTCTGATTGGAAAACCATTGAGGAAAATGTTGACCATTTCTAAAGAGAATACAATTTGAAATACATCGTGATGATTGTACAATCATTCAAAATTTTGGAAAAGAGAGAATTAAAACAAGAAAGTGGATATATCAGCTGTTGTTGTGATGTCCGCACTTACCAGAATTTGCACATACTTGAGTATTGGATGTATACTCTCCAAAACTGACTGAGTGAGTAGGTTTATCAGGATGATCACCCGATGACGATTGTTTTCCGGAACAAGAACCATTTCCACCACATCCACCACCTCCATTACAGGCATAGTGTCTAGTGCTGTTTTGCAACAGGGCCTTTTGTTTTTCAATCAAAGAAAGAGAAGGAGAGGATAGCCGAGCTCCGGAGGATGATAAAATTCGGCAACCATTCTTTCCGCTCTGCTGTATCCACCTCGTAGTCGTTCTCAATGGTAATTTCATCTCTTGTGTTTGATCGCGAACTATGTTGTTGTAGTTTTTTTGTTGTATTGAATACAATTTGGTAATTTTTAAAGACAAAGCTCACCACAGGCCCTAATAAGGAAAAACCAATCTTTCGTTCATTGTAAATATTGTGTGTCAAAAACAATTTGAATCATCATTGACAAATAACAATTTAAATCAAATTGAATCACCAAAAAGATAAATTAAAAGAAAAAAATGTAATGATGAGCAAAAGATAATTTTTTGAAAAACACTAGGAAACAAAATTCTGATTCTTTTTTCTAAAGGAGAGGTTATTGATTTAAAAACGAGTCTCACAAGAGGATTAATTATATTTTCGTTTTCATTGTGGCGTATGATACAAAATTTTGGCTTTCTACAAAATTATTTTGTGCAATGGTTGTGCGGGATCAAAACTTTTAGTGCTTCTTTGCAGGAGGAGAAACCTTCTTGTGGGAAACCTTTTTAGAATCATGAATGGTATCATTGTTGTCCTCTTGAACCTTGCTACAAACGGTCTCGAATTTAGCACATTTGGTAATAGAAGCTTTAGCATGACACACTTGCTTTCCACCCTCAAGAGCATACTTGCAACAGACTCTTTGACCTTCGGATTTCTTGACACAAGTCTTTGTATGTCTCTTCTTGACGCAACGTTTTGGAATATTTTCATATTGAGTACAGAATGGAGTGGACTTGTAAGCAGCACAATAATACAAGGTCTTTCTCTTGAGGCAGACACGGACCTTTCTATATTCATCACATTGCTTTTCCTTCTTCCATCTGATACAATACTTGATCTTCTTCTTGTTCTTACATGGTTGTGGATTGTATGTGTCAGGCTTTGGAACGTAGCTATCACCTGAAACTGGTTGAGCACAATATTGAATGTAACCAGTCTTCTTACAGAATTTAACATTGTCATATCTATCACAGAGGCTTCTCTTGGCGAATTCTGAACAAATCTTGTGGCATTTCTTGTAACAGACCTTTTTGAAAACCTTTGGTGGAGCATATGGATCTGGTTTACCCTTTGGAACGTTTACAGCATTGTGTGGAACATACAAATCTTGAGCCTTGACTTCAACGTACTTGCATTCCTTTCTACATTTGTTGCGATGTCTGACACAATAAGAGTCTACCTTATAATGAGCACATCTCTTCTTATGGTAGCATTGCAACTTGGGAATGTAAGAATACAAATCACATCTTGCGTATGGATCTGGCTTCTTGTTGGCATAATTGTCGACACAAATTTCACGGAATGCCCATGCACTGCACACGCCATTGTATCCCTTCTTCTTGCAACTCTTTCTAAAGTCTTCCTTGGAACAAACAGTGAGTTTCTCAGTACGGGCACATTCAGGTCTCGTACCGTGAGCCACACAGATGGTGCTTGGACCTTCCCATTTCAAACATTTCTCATCACGCTTGTATTCAACACAATGTCCTTTACCAATGGTCTTGTATTGAACGCAACGTTTGGTCGTGCCTTCCCAACCGTACGTTGAGCATTTGCCCTTAATGGAATCGTATTGAATACACTTCTTGTAACAATACTTCTTGTGATCTCCATAAGAATCCACATGTTTTGGTTTTGGAGTTGGTGGTTTTTTGACCACTGGATGCGCTTGAGTGACCGCAATGCAAAGCAATAATGCAAAGCATGCGCAAACGGCTGCTGATATGAAGAAATTCTTGCGGCTTTTCATAACAATAGTGATGGATTTTTAAAACTGATGATAAATTCGTGATAGAGACTTGAAATGAAATATTTATTCATTAAGTTTTGAATTTGTATCAGTTCATCAACTGTTTCGACATAGTGGGATGTTGGTTATTTTTTGAAATGACATTTGTGGTCCGACACTGAAAATAACTCGAGAGTTGCAGAAAATTTACATTTTTATATTGACCAACATTGCTAAGAAGGAGAAGCAATAGATGTTGTCATTCACAATGGAAAACATAACTACTCTGTGATTCTTTTCTGTAAACTACGTTGACTAGATCGTTATGTCCAAATCCAACACCAGAGCAGTGGAATCAATTAATTTATCCTTTTGTACGACTTTTTGAGAAAGATGTTGTAGAAGTGCTTCATCCAATTGGTGCAAGAAATAAGTATCTGCTTCAAACGTATTTTTTCTGTAGAGGAACGTATTGTCCAACACCTCTCTGTTGAACAGGCTCTGACAAATGATGGAGTTAGCTGCAGGATCGCAACTTTCATTCAACACTATATCTAGTAACAGGACGTAAGGTCAATAACAAACTTCTTCATTTTGTAACTTACCTTTGCCTCTTCCAACCTGCATTCCTGTAGTTTGATTTGTCAATGTTGGGGGTATGGAAGAGAAATTTCCTGGTTGAGACTCAGTTTCATCTTCATCCTTTTTCTTCTTTGTTGGAGTGACGTTGTCTTTCTTTCCTGGTGGTCTTCCTCTCCGTTTTTTTGAGTTTCCATCATCATTAACAGTCATTCCAGAGGCTTTCAAAGTTTCATCCTTGAAAGTTTTTGTTTGTTTTCTGCTCATCGTAGTGTTTTGTGCATTGTCTTTTTGAACTTGTTGTTTCTTGTCCTGTTTCTGTTTTGAACTTCTCTTACTTTTTTGTTTACCTTGCTGAACTTCCTCTGTCTTTCCTTCATTGGTTTTTTGTGGAGTTTTATATGGAACAGGTGTGATCAGAGATGAATGTGGACTTGTCAGTTCAGATGCATTATGAACAATTGAACCTCTTTCAAATCCTTGGTCTGGAAGCTCCATGTCGGGAGGTGGTGGGGGAGCTTGAGGATTCTTTACGAACGAAGCTGTTGCTGGAACGGATGTGTTGATGAAAAATATGGACGAGCTTCCACTGCTCAGAGCAATGGCACTCTCACTCACAATATTGGTAAATTCCAAGAATGCTTTGGCGTCTTCATCAATTTTTGGCTTCGGAGATGAATGTCGGAACATGCTTGAAGAATCTTGCTTATGTTGCTCAACATCGGAACCAGAGGCATCTTCCTCTCCTTGAGGAGAGGTTGTCGTGGCACCCTCATCAAGCCTTAGCTCGTCTTCGGTGTCAGAGTCTGTCATTTCCTGATCACGGGTATGTTGTGTTTTGTCGTGTTTTGCCATTTTTTAGTTTTAATTTCAAACGATTAAGGCTCTCATGATTTTCCAACCATCATCTTTTCAATGGGTCCAATTAAATGAAACTATTCATGTTTACCTCGTCTTCACATCCATTCTCTTTTCCAATTTTCTTGCTTGTATTGGATCTGGTAAATGACTTGAAAAGGAAAATTTGGAGCATCGACCTAACTAAGCTTCTTTGCGGGAAGACAGCTAACACCCACTCAAAAAAAGATTTAATTGCTCTTCACCTCGGTTAATGCTATAATTTGTAAATACTTAATTTTGTATCAACAGAACAAACAATCATGATCAGAAAATATTTCTCGGATTTAAACACATCTCTATGGCGGCGCATCCGACGTTGAAGCGCACTAAAAACCTGTCAGATATTCGTCAAGTCAAAAATGAACATGAAAGCACAAAATAAATTTATTCGTTAGCTGTCATGCAGCAGAAGAGGTAATAGTACTGGTTTAGGGTTGCAAGGTATCTGTCTTCCACAAGCTGTTCGTTGGAAGAGGTACGATAAATTCTCGTGGGATTTCCGTTCCCTCCAAACCTCATAGTATGAGCGAACATATCTTTGCCATACTTGTTCAGTCGTTCATGCACTGTCATGGCAAATGGGTACAATGTTCTGTAAATAAATAAATACATGATCACATGTTCTTGGAGAATGTGTAAATAATAAGGCATTTTCCAATACGTGCCTATTGTGTCTCCAATAACAGGGACAATGACAGAAATATAATGGTCAATTTTCTTTGCAACGTTGTGTAAATCATTGTCTGAGCAAAATGTTGGTTGTACCAATAATTTAACGAGTTCAGATCCTGCTTGAAATATTCTTGTCACCTTTCCAATCCAAACGTATGCAAGAGTAGAGAGTTGTTGATTACTTGCGTGCTTTTCCATGATTTGAGTGATATCTTCAATAATTTTGTTGCCATATGTTTCCCATACATCGTCTCCCATTAAATTAATTTTGTCATTTTGGCCATAATATCCTTTGTCCTTGTAGTATTGTTTCAACTCTTTTTGACATTGCTTTGAAATTTTCAATGCAGCATGCAATGCAATCTGTAAATGATTTTCTCCCAATCTCATGAATTGGTGCAAAATGTCAGGAATTCTTCGTAAAATGGAAATATTGGCGAAAATAATATCACCTAAACCAGGGTGTCGGTGTCCCTTGTCAGTAAAAAGTTCAGTGAAACAATCCCAGGTTTCAATTTGGATTTTGCCTTCAATTGTCTCTCGTAATGATTTTCGTGTGTTTTCTTTGGACTGAAACAACATTTTCAGTATTTCTTGAGCTCGATTATTGTTTTTCCACTTGAGCGAAAACAAGAATTGTTTGTGTGTTTCATAATCAATAGGGCATACAAAACATATTCTATTCTTATCATCCGTTTGCAATGCAAGCATGTTTTTTAAATCTCCACCCATTGCTACATTAAATTGCAACCGAATAATAATTTTCTCTGAGGTACAGGTTTTCACAAAATTTTTCAAAAACGAATCTTTCTGAAATAGAGCAATTGGTAATTCAAATATAAACCGATGGCTTTCAAATTTTGCAATCAATGATTCAATTGGCTTGAATGAGCTCAATAATGTACAATGATTGTCGCTGTTTTTAGGTAACGCTGCCAATAATTTGTAATTACTATGATGTTGTGCAGCATCGCAAATAACAAGCCCTAAAAAGCAAAGTATTTCATTCACTTTCCTACTTAATTTATGGGCATCAGTGGACACTCTTGCCATTGAATAAACTTTAAATTCTCCTTTTTTGTTAAATCCAAATTTTCGGCTTCTGAATCCAGAAATCGGAGCATGTTCCAACCATTTTCCTGTCGAGCGTATCACTTCTATTACTTTTGTATTTGTTAATAATTTTGAAAAAGACTGAATTGGATCAATCGCAAAGCCTTTGATATCGTTGTTGCTTTTGATGATGATCATCTCTTTTGCTATTTCATCCTTAATCCCTTTCCGATATTTCGAAATGGTTCGGTCACTGAATGGAATGTATTTTGTTTCATACAACTTTTTAATTTGTTTTTTGCTTAAACCAGTGTTGATGATATTACGTTCAACTTCTTCAATGGACAATCGATTATGTTTCTTTTCGACCATGTTGTTGTTTTCGTCAAGTGTTATGATTCGGAATTTAGTGTACCGCATTGTTGGGTGTATTGGATCAGAAAGCGTTAACGAGATATTTAATTCTGCATTAGTTTGATTGATGTAATTGAATTCCTGTAATTGCTTTGTAATTGATGAAATGATGGAGGACCATAATTGAGAACAAGCTGTTGTTTTACTAGCTTCAGCTAAAGCGAATAATGGTGTACGTTTTTTCTGAGCTAAATCCAGTCCTAGGACCTCTATCTTTCGTTTCAGTTTGTCTGTTGTTGCTTCAGTCAGCACTACTTGTTGCTTCGGTTTCCCTCTGCCCTTGTTGAACCAATCAGGAAGAGACTCACTCATTTTATTTTTGATTCCTTGTGATCAGCTGACGTGGGATTGACGAATATCTGACAGGTTTCTAGTACCAATTGCGCCGCCATAGCAACACATCATTAATTTTGGGTCGATCCTTGATCACAACAACGTCAACCAATCCTTCACAAAAATACTATTCATTCGATCGACGAGTAGTAGAGCCTTCGGCTGATGATACTGCTCATGAGAAGCTTACATACAATCCACAAGAAGAGGCCAAACAAGCCAAGCAGGACATGTCTGGCGAAAGCGAACCTCAGAAAGTGCCTCCAGAAGCTGGTATCGATGAAGAAACTTTAAAGCAAGCGTTGAGGTATGAACATGAGCATCCATCGCATAAATCTCACAAGCATCGAAGAGATGAAAAATGGGCCACACAACAATCTGCAAAAGATATCAGTATTTCGGAAGAGTAGAAGCGACTGTATAGGAACCAGGGTTTGCTACTCAGTGAAGCATTGTTATTCTCATATTAAGGAAATGAAACCACGTATCAATTAAATGTTGGACAAATCCATAACCACCAAATTTGAACTCTGCAAAGTTTACGACGTTCATTGATACTGTCTTTTCTGATATCTGTTAGCCAATTTCATCCACTGCTTTTGAAGTACAATCATCATCGCTATTCCACCATGGTGGAGCACAAGTTCATCTGGTCTCCATCTCTTCATGTGTTTTCATCTTCTCGACTCATCTCCCAAGTTTACAGTAAACTTCAAAAAAAAATCCTCTGAATTCAAGACAAGTTCAAAATGTTTCCCTATCAACCTCATCAAGGCGTGGCTCAGCCATATAGCTCACCTCAAGATATGTCCTACGCTTATCAAGGCTTATCTCATCATGAGCAGCAACATCAACAGCACGTCCTGATGATGCAGCAACAACAACAATTAGCTCCGGGCCAAGTTGTTGTGGTTCAAACAACCACCACTACTTATCATCAGCAACCTGTGTTTCACTCAATGCAATACGGAGGCATGTATTCTGATCAGTACTCCATGATGACCATGAACCAAAATTATGAACCTCCTCAATCTTTGGATCAGTTGCCTTTCTTTAGCTCAATTTCGGTGGAGGACAAAAAGACAGATGTTGCTCCAGTGTTGTTTAACTTTGACAATCTCGTAGTTGACGCCCTTGTTCCCAATTATTTACCAGCTTATTGTGTTGAACAGCAGAATGATGAAATTATTAACAACAATGTGGTCAATAACTCGAGTTTCAACACAAACACAAATGTTTCAACTGTTGTCAATAATGTTTCAACAACCAATGTTCAAAACAACACAGTGAATAACAATCAAGTGAATACAAATGTTACTCCTGTTGTCACTCCTATTTCAACCTCGACCAGGCCAACTTCTCCAAGTACAACCACTACAAAACAAACCATCACCAACGTTATTGAGAAAAATACTAACCTTACCATCAATAACACTAACAACGTCACAAACCAAGTTACCAATGTTACGAATGTCACAAGCAAGGTGGTTCCAAGCAGTCCAATAGTCTCATGCATCACAACAAACACTGATAAAAACGTTTCAATCAAAGATGTCAAGAAGGAGGACAAAGTCGTAAAGAACACGACTGTTCTTATTACCAACAATAACACGTCTGTTGAAAATAAGGAAGTGAACAAACAGGTAATCGTTAATGAACAAAAACCAGTAATTTCTTCAACAACCACAACTAAGGCTATTGAAACCAATACCGTGTCAATCAATAACAATTGCCCAACAACTACAACCACTACAACTCAAACTACAACCTCTGCTGTCTCAACTCCAACGAAGGAAATCAAGAATACCATTTCTCAAAAAACCGAGGTTAATTCAAGCAACATTAAGACCTCAGTTTCAGAGACCAACATTAACAACAACTCTACTACCAACAAATCAGCCACTGTTTCATCCTCTTCAACTACAACGTCAAACATCTGTAATAGTACTACAACCAATATGGTCAACAACGTTACAAATGTGGTAAATAACGTGGTAAATAATACGGTGGTGAATAATAAGTTGGACGAAAGATCTGCTGTGCTTAATAATACAAATTCTCAAACCAACGAAACAGCATCGAACACCAAGCAAGAAGTAACAACCAATACTGTAAACATCAAGAACATTCATATCACCAATAACATTAACAACACAACCAACGACACAGTAGTGAATAATGTTACCAACACCGTTGTAAATAATATCACAAGAACACCAGACTCCACTACCAACACAACAAATACTACTGGCACATGTAACATCTCCAACAAAAACGAAGCCAATACTACCAAAAACACTTGTGTTAATAGCGACAGTTCCAAATGTGTGACAGTTCAACAAACGGAATGTCCCAAACCACAAAGAAAATGGGTGATCGAGACCACCATTGAGAATTTCAAAAGTAATTTCTCTCATCTATCGGGTGTTTCTCCGCTATATCTATCAACACTTACAACCCTTGAGAAATATCAAACCACACTCAGAAAAACTTTGGAGATGGCAACCGGGGAGAATGTTGAAAAATTCACAGCTCTTGCTATTCAATGCGATACAGAGTTTGAAAAGAGTATTGCATGGTTGGAAAGAACTATTGTAATGCTGGAAAGGGAAAAGATTGCTTTGATGAACTGGACAGAAAACAAGAGTCTGCCAAACTTTTTGAACATGACCGTAGAACAATTGATCGAGCAATGTAAAAAACTTCCATCTCATCCAAAATTTGATGAATCAGTTAAAACCTTAATTGATTACTTCCAAAGATACGGAAAACTAGTTCAATATCTGGTCCTTCTGAGATACTATTACACTTCTATTCACAAGAAATACGATCCTCCAAAAATAGTTGTGTCTAGAACGGAAAAATGTGGGGTTTCAAAGATGTACAATGATAATGACTTTGATCATACTTGGGATGCTTTAAAATCCACAGTTTCATTTTGGTTGCGACCATGTCAGTTCAGTGACAAACCTGTCCTATACGAAAATGATAGTATTGATGTGAAACGCATTCGCAAAGGCTTCATTAACAACGCCTATTTCATTTCAGCAGTACACGCAGTTGGCCAGAAGTGTCCAGAAGCTGTTAAGCGTAGATTTGTTGAAATAGATTTCGTTAGTGGGCGTCACACAGTGAAACTATTCAAGGACCAAAATCATGAGAAGTTTGTCACAATTGATGACAGCTTCCCAATTGAATACTTGGGAAAGCCAATTGCAACAAGTTCTTCTTGTCAAAATGAGTTTTGGCCTCATATTTTAGAGAAAGCCTACGCTAAATTGCTTGGAGGATATCATATGTACTGCCATGGAGGAAGCCCAAGCAATGTTTTGCAATCTGTTTTTGGTTGTTCTGAGTCTCTCAAGCTGAACCTTGGTAAGAGTTCTACTGTAAACGAAATTTGGACCAAATTGCAACAAGAGCAGTCCAAAGGAAGCATCATGCTGGTTTACACCAATTCTGGATACAATGAAAATACGGAAAACGATTGCCATGCCTATGTGGTTCAACAAATTGTCGAAATTAAGGATAACTCCAATGTTGTGCACAAGTTGATCAAGCTTTTTAACCCATGGGGATTAGCTTACGCTTCGAACAGTGGCGGAGAAGCAGCTCTAGACAAGGCTTATGCGTTGATGGAGTGGAAAGGCCGTTACAGTGATGGTGATTCAAATTGGAATGACTATTTGATCAAGAACCTTAATATCGAAAGCAAGAATGACGGAGTTTTTTGGATGTGTTGTGAAGATTTTTGTTCTCACTGGTCACACCTGATTGCTGCTCAATTACCTGCCCAAGAGTAGAAATAACACGTCAGCAATCTTGATACGGGGAGATTGCACCCAAGCTGGACTTGATTCTCAGGAGCTAAGTATTTTGCTAAAAATAGGTAATCTCTCTCAAATTAAAATCTCACTTCTTCGTATTGAGGAGTTGCTTCAACGACTGCTCTGGACGTTTGGTGGTGCTGGCAAATCGGAAGTATTTCAATTAGCAACCATATTGCAAGGTTCACCAATTAAATTCCCTAAGTCTGTTGAATTCTCTCACAAAGATTGAAATTTTGCATCGTCCATACAACACACCAATTAATTTTTCAAATAATCTTCTGTATTCTTCTAACAGCAACCAACATTCTTCCGAATTTCTTCTCCTTGTAAAAAACTCCTATCAACTGACAACCACACTAGAATTGTAACTCTATTACATCAAAAAACAAACTCATCAACAACATGCCAGCCATTCTCTCTAAACCATCGTCCTCTCCTTTGGTCCCCACTTCTTCCTTCCCCAATTTTCTTCATGAATGCTATGATTTTGCATTTAAGAAACATTACAAAGCGACGAAATATTCTCTGATTGCATTAGCCTTGTCGCTCTCAGCATTGGTATTCGGAAGTGGATTCAAACTCTACAGTACGATCAAACAATCCAGAAAACGATCACTCTCCTCACTTCATTCAACTGCTGTGGCGCATGATTCCAAACCATCTGCAGAAAAACCGAAACAAGACTCGCCTACTTCTGCTTCTTCTTTCGTTACATCTTTTGTAACCAAAGTTTACAAATTGTGTGTGATTGCCTTTACAAAGAAACCCTCCAATCTTCAAAAAGATGAATTCTCTGGAAAGGTATTGGCCATGTCTGCCTCGCTCGTCGCACTAATAATTATTCAATCTTTGGTCACTAGAAAAGCAAATTTGGTGAGTGGCGACATGATGGAGTATTTGATCGCTCAAAAGAAGAGTCACTTCTTTTACAGTGTTGCAAAATTCTCATTATTCCTCGTCATTCAATCCATGATTGGACCTTCTGTGAAATATCTTGTGGAATTAATTGCATTATATATGAGAAGAAATTTAACCATGCATGTGCATGACAAGTACTTTTCAAATATGGCGTATTATAAGGTCAATAATTTGGATAAACGTGTTGGTGCAGCAGACCAAAGAATTACTCAAGATATTGATGTGTTTTGTAATCGATTGGCTGAATTATTCACAGACATGTTACATCCAACATTTGAATTAATCTTGTACTCGATTGAATTGGTACGATTACTTGGACCCTATGCCCTCATGAGTGTGGTCTTGTATTTGAGTTTTGCAATTTTCGTCTTGTCCAAAGTTTCTCCAAATTTCACAAAAATCAGTGCACAAGTTCAGAACATGGAAGGCAATTTTAGAGCCATGCATAACCGAGCGAGTGTCTTTTCAGAGTTGATAGCATTCTATGGAGGAGAGAAAACTGAGAGAACTAAGATTGAAAACTATTTTGAAAAGTTAACCGAGTATTCAAGCTATGTCATTGGTCGAAACTTTTCCTTTGGTGTTGTGAATGATTTTTTCACCAAATATTTCCCTCACAGTTTCACAACACTCATCATTGGAATGCCTGTATTCTTTGGTCGTCTCAGATTTTTGAAAGGAGATGCTCTGATGGGTAAATTGAGATATATTATTGCAGTCATTACTTTGGAATTCTATGCATTGGGAAATGTCATTGAACTGTTTAGAAAATTATTGAGATTGGGTGGAATGGCTCAACGAGTGGCAACATTATACGCTGTTTTGAATGAAATTAAGCATGGTAATTCCAAGAATATTAACTTTCAGAAACATCATGAAGGAGAAATTGTTGAAGCAGATGAAATTCGTTTTGACAATGTCATTATCAAGACTCCGGATAATATCACACTCGCACGTAATTTGTCATTCCATGTTGGAAAGAATGAGCATATTGTCATTTCTGGATCGTAAGTATCAGCCATATTTGTGAATCATATTCATGTTTTTCATTTCACACATGAAATGTATTCCAATCATCAAACAATTCAATCTTACAGAAATGGAAGTGGTAAATCTTCACTGTTCAGAGTACTTGGTGCCTTGTGGCCTCTTCACAGTGGAATTATTTACAAACCACAAGCCAATGGTTCGCATGCAAGAGGTCTCCACAATGACATTTTCTATCTTCCTCAAAAACCCTATAATATCAAAGGGTCTTTACGAAGTCAAATTATATATCCAGACTCGACTCTCAAAGAAGGATGGACAGATGGAAAATTGGAAGAATTACTCAATGATTTTGGAATTGGTTATCTCTGTAAAAGAAGTTCCAAAGGATTTGATTATGTCCATGATTGGGATTCCTTGTCACGTGGTGAACAACAAAAACTTGCCATGGTACGATTGTTTTATCACAAACCTCGATATGCAATTTTGGATGAATGTACTTCGTGTATCACTGCAGATGATGAAAATCGTCTCTATCGAAAATGTACCTCTCATGAAATTACTTGTATTACTATTTCACATCGACCAGCTCTCGAGAAGTATCATACACAACGATTGGTATTTAATGGAAAAGGAGGATGGGTATGGCAACAGATTAAACATGGAGGTGAGAGTGGTGTCGATGAAGAATCTTCGTCATCAGAAATTACAGAACCAATCTATGAGTTGAAAGGAATGGATTTATCCATTCGTGATGATATTAAGGATGAATAATTCAAGAGTTGAAATTAATGAGTATCATTTCAGAATCAAGTAGTGTGACAACAATTTGACACATATATTCCATGAATAGTACATACCAACAAGACAAGATAAACAAATATTCTTCTAAATTCATTTCAATATTACAACAACCTCTGAGCATACTCTTCATGAATGAATGAATACATATGCATAATATTAATATTTCAAAGCATGTTCCTTTAACTCTGGAAAAACTGCAAATACTTTGGCTAAAATATAATCTCCATATCGAATGGGAGGCCATTTCTTCTTATCCTCTTCCTCAATCGCCAATTCTTCCAAAGGAGTGACAATGGTCTCAAAATTTGGATCAAAAAAGAATGGAGCACTCAATCGATCTTCTCTACTCGGATTACGAACTCGGTGTGGAACTGCTTTATATCGTCCACAGGTCCAACGTTCGAGCATGTCTCCAATATTCACTACAAATGTATTTTCAATAGGTGGTGCCTTGATCCAAGTTCCAGTGGATTTATCTTCTACTTCAAGACCACCGACATGATCTTGTTTGAGAATGGTCAAACAACCATAATCTTGATGTTTACCCACTCCGAATCGTTCTTCACCATTTTCAAATTTTGCTTCAGGATCACTTGGATCTGTATATCAGAGTTCATGGTTTGTTAGCAATAATGTATTATGGAAAAGGATTAAGGTCGATGCACATGTATACTTGTTTCACACACACTCATGAATTTAACTTACAATGGAATAATCGGAATGGAATGAATGGCTCAGAAGTAAATTTTTCTCTAAAGAATGAATCACCTAATCCTAAACTTTCACCAATCGCTCTAAAGTCCATTTGCAGAAATTACGTGAGAAAAAATCATTGAAAAACACTTACGACATGATGACATGGCCTAATTCAGTCAATGCATCCAAATATTTCAAAACTGTTGATTTAAATTCAGGAAAATCAGTCTCGTCTGGCCATTGATTTAAACCATGCATTGGCAAGCCCTTTTGTACAGCAGGATGATTGTCATCCAACTCGGCACTAAAATAATACCCTTCTTTCCAATCCTTCTTGCCATAAGTGAGTTCTGTAAAACAGGATTCAATGATTTGATTTCCATTTTTGGCGAATTGTAAATGTGTGAAAAAATCCAAGTTCCAAATTTCACACATGAACACACATTTTCATCATGAATTGAATTACAGAAAAAAACTGTCCCATGACTACAATTGCTCGCCGCATAATGACCTACCTCCACCCAATTCAAAAAATCCTCGATATACCCTACTGTTTTTCATGTGAAATCTATTTTTATATTCCAAAGGTTTCGCAAAAAACTCTCTTCCTTGTTTCATCAAAGCATGGACCAATTCCGGATCCACACCTCCATAATTTGCAAGATAGAAAAATCCATAACGTTCACATGCTTGACCAATTTCCTTCACTACTTGTTGATACGATTCATCTTTTGAATTTTTTAAAAGTGGAGAAATGTCAATGACTGGAAGTGTGATTGGTTGCTGAGAGGAGGTGTCCGTGGTGACAATGTGGCGTGTTTGGGACATTTTTTATGAAAATAAATTACAGAGATGCGAAAGGACATTTGAAATTTTGGAAATTTCCAGACTTGGTTTCTATGGAGTTTATTAAAGTTCAAAGAAAATATTCTTAATCTTGTTGTTTTCAATTAGTTTGTGCTTAGCTTCCAATGAATCAAATTCTACGTAGATGGTATCCAAAGAGTTGCATTGAGATAGTTTTTTAACATAATGCAATGCAATGGCATGTGAACGAACAAGTCCAAGATGAATTTCTCTTAATTTTGGAAGTTTGTGAATTTGATCTAACATGTTCATCTCACCAAATGTTCTAATTCTTAAATTAAGAGTATGTAAATTGGAGGTCTGAGATGAAAAGTGAGCACACAAATGATTAATACCTTTCACTGTCACACTTGTTTTTTCTAATGTTAATTCTTCTAAATATGGGTGGGTTTGTTCTGAAAGTAATTGAATAACATTGTCATCGACATTATGGTTACAATCCAATCTCAAAATTCTTAATTGTCTGCATGAGTTGATGATTTGTTTGTAATCCTCTGTAGAGACAGGAACCACAGGATAATAAACAGGTTGGAATGCAGTGACTGGTCCTTCAGATTTCAAAATTTGAGTATATGGGAACGAAGTTTTGGATAAATCTAAAACTTGCAATTGGAATGCAAGCATTGAGTTACCAATCGATGACAAGTTAATACTATCCGTGGTACCTCTAATCATTAAATTAGTGATAGAGTGTTGGCTCTTTGCTAAAACTGCTACATTTTGTGAAGTAATGGTTCTACAATGATTAATCATCAATGTGGTAATGCACTTGTTCTTTGTAAACGCTTCCAAGAATCCATCGTTGACATTATGTAAATTAATCAATTCCAAGCAGTTCAATGCGTTGGCATTGATTTCCACTAATCCATACAATCCATTTTGAATTGATTGACAATTTTGAAGCACTAATTTGTTAATCGTTGGGTGGCCATAAAGTTGCTTCAAGTTCTGATCATTGCAAACTTCGCAGCTCGAAATGACCAAATGTTTTAAGGTATTATTTGCAGCAATGGCCTTAAATGTTGACTCATCGAAATTCACACCAGGAACATCGAGCATGGTCAAATGTGGCAGGACACCTTTAGCCAACAATTGATTGGTAGCTTTTGGATCCCATTTACCCATTCTGAAAGTAATGCTTTGCAAGTTCTTACAATGTTGTACAACTTCTGTGAGTCCACTCTCGTTAAAAACTCGAGATGGAGGAATTTGTGACAAGTTCACATCCTTTTGTACCTTAGTATCTAAAAATACAGTTCCAGAGACAGCCAAATCCACAAGGTTTTTGCACTTTTTAGCAAGTAATGAACATGTTTCATTACTAAAGTTTTCAAAATAGTCCATTGTTTTCCAAGGAAGTTGTCCATCAAATGTTCCTTCTCTCACTTGTTGTGGTAATAGTCTCCAATCAATGCAACTTCTGTGAATATCTTGCACACTCTTGAAAAATAAATCTCTTTGCATGAATTGTTCAATTCCATAAGTTGGAACACGCGAAAGTGAGACTAAATGTGGAACCGTACTCAACAAATCAATGACAATATGTTGCTCCGAGTTGTGACTCATGGTTGACAAGGAAAGTGTTGGAAATACAAGTCCAACATCTCTCTTCTTTTCTGAAGTGCCATGATCTTTCTTTGGATCTTTGGAAGTACTTTGTGTGATGGACGCGTTGGTATTAGTCTTCTTTGCACCATATAAATTCTTAATGAGAGATGAAATGAAAACCATTTTTCTCAATTGATACAAGTACATTTGAACTTCTTCAATAGAATTAATGTCAAGGTCGGATTGGAAATCATTGTCTCTCATACCCTGAACTGCATGATGATATTCGTCATAGTATTCAGCATTGTGACCTGATGTAGGAGTAAATGTTGTTGGTGAAGAGAAGAGAGATGATTTTGGGCTATCTGTAGCTACTGATTGAAACTTTTGAACAGAAAGAGGAGATTGAAGTAAATTAGAACTTGATCCAGATCGAGTAGCTGGAATACTACCAGTAGAGGGAGATCTAGAAACTGGAGAAAATGTACGACCTTGTTGTTGCTCAGCTCTTCTTTGTGAATTCATAGATGCAATCATGGCTTTCAAACTCTTTCCATAAATGTCCAATCGATTCACAATTCCTTGTTCTTTGAACAATCTCATTTGATAATCAAAAGGTGTGTCAATATTAACCAAGTTCACTAATGTTTGATCCATATGTTTGGTTGTCAAAATGTGACACTTTTGATCTGTTGTGACAGGTCTTTCAAATAAATAATCAAATTCAGACTTTTCTCTCAAATGTTCGGCATTGTAAATTGATTCAATACTCAAATCTTTCTTTGCACTGGGAATCAACAAATCAGGTAAATAATTGGAAGGATAAATCATGTAGTGATCCATCAATTGTCCAGCATTTTGTAATGGTTGAATTCCACCACTCAAAGCAGAATATTCATTATGCTTGTATACAGGTTGACCACAAATCATATCCGTTGGCAACTGACAGGCAATGGGCAATACTACATTTCTAAACACTGAAAAATCATAAAACTGTAGCACATGTCTCACACATTTCAAATCCAATTTTTTCAAATGTTCTGACAAGGCAAGATCTGCACGTGTCAAATGTAAATGATGAAGTGTGAAATTTTGATCCTGTAATCGAGAGAACAATAAACCAAGTTTGTTTGCTCTTGGAGGTGGAGGAGGAGTTGAATTTGTTGTAGTTGATACTGCAGAGGAAGGAGAGGAGGAATTTGATGATGTATTTGAAGTTGTTGTTGTTGGTGTTGTTGTAGGAGAAGATTGATGATTATTATTATTGGAATTATTCATGAGATTGGCGGTTGAGAGAGTTCGGGTACCTCTTGGAGGAAGAGGAGGAGGTTGATCAGAGTTGTTGTTGGCAATGACCATCTTTTGTTCACTGGTGGGACAAACGATGATAATCAGATGATGATGAAACAAGTGTAAAATTTTTTTAAAAGTGTTGATGACACTTGACTGGTTTGGAAATTTTCACAGATCATCCATTTGAAAGTTGTTGAAAGTAGCGCACACTCAATAACCACTCAATTTATCTAATCACTTGAATTCGATGATTTCCACAATCCACAACAAATAAATCACCAGTTGAAAAATCCAAAGCTAATCCAACAGGATAATTAAATTCAATGGTTGACGAGGAAGATGAAACATCCAACTCATGACCTTCATTATTGATGGTACAAGCGCTGGCCAAAATTCTTCTTGAAGGTATTTCTTCATAAATGTATCGATTCGTTCCAATAACATCCTTAAATGTACTATGCTTTGCTATCGAATAATTTGGATGTGAAGTGGTGGTCGTACTGGTACTGTGTGAAAAGGATAATTTGGGTTTTGAGAATATTTTCACAGCATGATTGCCACTATCTGAAACAATTAAATGATTACCATCGATTAAAACATGATATGGATTTTTGAGGAAGGATTGAGTGAGAGAGAGTTGAGAGGATGAAAGAGTTTTCACGTTTGAAATGGCATCTCCAATGTAATTTCCTTCGTTGTCAAACAATTTCACAGTATGACTTTTAGAATCAGACACATAAATAAATGTGTACAATTGAGAGGGAGATTCTGAAAGCATATTGGGTGTCTCTACGGTTGTGTGTGATGGATTAGTGGATATTTCATCAATATGGACATTGGATGAATGATGATAAACATAATCAATGGCAATTCCGAATGGCCCATTCAATTGAGTAGTTGTCTCAGATGAAGTGGAAGAGATGACATCCATAACTCGAAGATGTTGACCAAAACTCGAAATAAATTCTCCATTGTGTAAATGAAAAATTTGAATTCGATTATTTCCATAATCAGTCACGTACAATCTTCCAGTACTCTTGTCGATACACATTCCCGTAGGTCTATCAAAATAACCATTCTCTGTACCGAAACCTTTTCCAATTTTTTGTAATAATTTTCCAGAATCGATATCAAATCGTTTCACAACATGTTCCAAACAATCCGAAACTAGAAATGTTTTTTTAAATTCTAAAATTTCGGAACCTTCAGATTGATGAAAAGTCTCTCGATCCACACACAAACCATGAGGATACATGACATTATCAATATGATTTACCAATTCTCCACTAGGTAATTTCAAAATTAAAACTCTGTGATTACTATAATCGGCAACGAGAAGAAGTTTTTCATTTTCAGAAATACATAGAGCACAATCGAATGGATTCATCACTTGATTTTGAAGGGCATTGGTTCCTTTCGTAAGATACGAGGCGATATGTTTGTGTTTGTTTTGAAAGGCATGCCGTAGTACAATTGCTGAGGTTGAAGGCATTTTTTAATTTTTGACATTTTAGAGTTTGACATTTGAAAGCGATCGAAGAAACTCCTGCAAATATTAAACACCCTGATTATGTTCAAAGCCTAATACATTTAATTTCACTGAAAGCTTATGAGTATGTAATGTTTCTTTGCAAGTTCGTTAAATTTTTTCAAGATTTGGTATGAAACGTATATGTCCTTTTTCGAGTTCCAATTTCATCATCTGAAAAAATGCTTTCACATCACAACAAGGCAAAATCAAAGGCTGTTCGTGATACCAGCAACAGCAAACAACAAACTCAGGGCATCGGGTCCATAGGCTCTTTTTCTGAATTATTTCAAAATCCTCATATATTTCACCAGGCATCCTCTCCGAATCAGATCCATGTGTATGAAGGAGTTCAACCTGAAAAACTTTTCGGAGGACAACAATCGCCACAGATCAGGTGGATGACACGCGAGATGAATCAATTGATGCAAAGTTTGAATCATTATCAACCACAACCAAATATAATGACATCCTCTTCTGAATTTACACTTTCAGATGTTGAATTTAGAGTGAGGTCATTTGTTTTTATGCAGGTGATTTCTTCATCATCAGATGAGTCCTGGAAGAATGATGTCGAGAGATTTACTCGTGAATCTTCGCACTTTGTTCACAACATTCCATTACAAGGATCCTATGCTCGATCTTCTGATGGTGGTCTGACACAAACATTGTATATGGCCAGTTTACCTTTCATTGATAGATCGGATGCTCCGTTGTTGAACAATCGTGTCAATTTACTAAGAGATTGGTATTTGGGAAAGAACCAAAAACAAAGTATCTTCACAGTGAAGTCACTCGAAGAAATTATTGAGAATGGTGACGACTTTTTGTCTGATTTAGGGTCTCAAAAGAATTTGAGCTTTATTTCTAACTTGTTCTATGAAATTGCAAATTGTATCAAAGAGTTGCATGATCAATGCTCCATTACACACAACAGTATTTTACCAAAGAATATAATGTGCTTTCAACAAGGAGAATCGTTCCATTTTCTAATTCAACCACCATCCTTTGGTCTGGCTTCCATGATTGATAATCTCAATGATGACCATGTGACATATTTCTCACCTCAAGTATTCTCCAGATTTGAGAATGGTGAACAAGCTTTCACATTTGATAACGACGTGCACATGTTGGGAACATTGATTCTGAGAATTTTATTAGGTGAAGAATTCGATGCTAAACAACTCGATGTTGATGATTGGAGCAATGAATCACAAAATTTGATTCATTCCATTTCCTCTCGTGTGGAAAATTATAACGAAAGAACTGCCACTATTTTTAAGAATTTAGCGACTTTAGCATTGCGTTGTGTGGATCCTGACGATACAAAACGACCATCAATATATCAATGCTGTAAAGAGATTAACGAAAATCTTGGAAATTTGTATCAAAACCCTCCACAACCTGTATTTGACGACATACAAGTTGAATATGGTCAGGATAAAGACTCAGAACTTTCCTCCTCTTCGAGGGCTTCCTTTTCTGCTGACAATGATGATGAAGATGAAGTGAGCATTGTTAGAAGCAGAGCAATAATGGAAGAGAAAGAAGAAGAAGAACGACCTTCGTCAGGAAAGAAAAAGATGAAAGAAAGCAAACGAGCGGAGCAACCTCTATTACTGTCTTTGAAGAAAAGTTCTTCACTCTCTAGAGGGCTAAAAAGTGATTCTAGCAGTAAGCAATTATTCGACTCTCCAAGTACATCACGGAGCAGAAATGCACCAACAAGATCCAGCGATTCAACAGCCACAAAGAAGGATGAATCTGTCTCACATTCTGCAGAGTTTTCTCCAGTGTCTTCGTCCACTGCTTTGAAAGAAGCTATTCCAGAGTTAAGCTCTGAGATAGTTGTTCCACCAAGTGACGCAATGCTTGATTCCATAATACAGTTATCACCTCAAAGGTCTCAACAACCACAACAACAGCAAACACTTGTACCTCCATCACCACGACAAAGCTCTTCAGCCATATCACCACCTCCATCGGCATTCTCTTCATATGCCGTATCAGGTAGTGCCGTTCCTCCTCCCAAACCCATCACTTCCACCTCCACTACCAAAGAAGACAACAATACCAAACCTGCCTACGGCTCCAGAAGAGCAGCTAGAGACGATTTTGGTGGCAAACAGGCTGATAGTACTACTGAAGAAGTATTGAATGTTAAAAGAGAAATGGAGAAAAGTATAATGCAGACACAAGAACATCTAGACCGTCTAGAACCACTCGATGAAAGGTGTGACGAGTTGTCGGTAGAAGCCAAATACTTTAAAAAGAAGTCCAAATCTTTTCATTTTGATTTTTCATCTGCCATATCCACCTTTTTCAGAAACATTGGTCAATTTTTCAAAAGTTTTACATATGCCAAAAATCGAGAAGTACAGGGCGTTTCTAGTGAAAGAGGGCATGTGTCTTATGAGCCAGCAAAACTAGAGGAGAACCCTCAACCTATTGTGGGAGATATAGGAAAGAAAGACCAATATACTATCGTGAAACGACTAAACGACGGAGCATCTGCCATTATTTTGCAAGTGAAAAAACAAGACTGTGATCAACTCTATGTGATGAAGCGTTTTAGAGAAGGCGTTGATACAGATTATCAACGAGAAGTTGAGTGCCTTAAAGCATTTTCTCACAACAACATTGTAAAATACGTTGATGACTTCTCGTACTCTGAAACTGTTGATAATAAGCAAGTTATGACTCGTGTGGTAATCATGGAATTTTGCAATTTTGGAGATTTATTTAAACAGACCATGAGTTTTGCACAAGGTGGCAAACAAAGGTTAATGAGACCAATGGTAAGTTTTTGATTTTTTAGAATTGTCCCTTTTTCAACACTTTCATGCATGTTTTATAGAGAATGTTGAGATTTACACTTCAATTGTTTTCAGCTCTTGAACATGTCCATGAGAAGAAATATGTGCATTGTGATGTGGTAAGTAGTTCTGAACACGACAGCAGTTTTCTCATGCGTTAACTCAATGAAAAATTTAGAAACCTCAAAACATATTCTTGGCCAGCGATGGAAATTTAAAGCTTGGAGATTATGGTTTTGCTGTTAGAGAAGGTTCTGTTGTTTGTGGTGGTACTTTGCATTATTTGCCACCTGAACAACAGGAAGGTCAACCATCTTCCTGTAAGATGGATATTTATTCTGCAGCCTGTTCTCTGTTTGAAGTTCTCTCTAAGAAGAAAGTGAGCTTGAAATCAAAACAAGGAGTACCTTTAAACTTTGCTGACATTTGGGATCAACATTTGAAGAATAATCCTCATTTTCACAGAAAGAGAAGCAATCCTCATGCTATGGGTCTTTTTGAAGTTCTAAAGAGCTGCCTTGAACCAGAGGCTACCAAACGTCCAACTGCTAAACAAGTGGTGAAACAAGTAACAGATATTTACCATAATTATTCGGCAACTTTATTGCAAAAAAGATTCAGAGGTTATGATGTACGTAAGAAAAGACCATTGAGAAAGTTGTAAATTGATGTTGCTCCAAACAAGGATCACAATAATCGGAAATGCGCATTGCTTCTTTGGGTCCTCCATTCCTTTGTCTCGTCGCACTAGTCGAATAGCCAACAAGAAAAAATGTCACAACCACCCACGCAACAACTGTCAGAATCCTTTGATCTTGCCCGTAAGTGGTATGAAGAATCCAGGTCTTCCTCAGCCCAACAGCATGGCTGGACCAAGTACAAAACCACTGAAGAAGGAGCACACTATTGGATCAACAAGGACAAACATGATTATTGGGTGTTTCAAGGAGAAATGTTGAACGTCGAGTGTGCCAACAACGTTGCTTCTTCTCCCCGAGACATTATTCACTATTTGGAAGTGGAAGAGAAGAGATTGTTATGGGATGAAGAACTAGTGAAAAGCGAGCGTATTCCTATCGGATCTTCTTCTTCAACCAGCATTGCTGTGACAAGTCATCATCATGAGGACTTGGGTGCGTTTTACAGAGTGTTCAGTTCAGGATCAAGATTTATCTCCAATCGTGAATTTGTCATTTTGAGAAACATTTACCAAGATCCAACACATCCTGAAAATGTATTGTGGCTCGTGACAAAATCCGGTTACGAAGTGCCAGGGTATGAGCATGACAAGGCACCTAAAAATTCTTCCAATGTTCGTGGAGTTGTGCATTTGACAGCATGGAGGATTGAACTTGTAAAAACGGAAGGCAATAATTCATATTTTAACCTCTTTATCATGACTCACTCGGAGCCTGGAGGATGGGTAAAGCCCTCGATGTACAATAGCGGTGTTGGTGATCGACCTTGTGCCACTGTATTAAGATTGGTCAAGCATTTGAGGTCTTTAACCAAGTCACATTAATCAAATGTGACAACATAATTTTCGTACCTTATAAACATCTACTCAGTACATGACACACAATTTTGATTCTCGGAACTTATGTCTCCACAATCAATTCATAATAATAATGAACAATATTAAGGTTCCTATATGAAAAAGTCTTCCACGTGGTGCAGTGAAAACTAAATCAGAAAGATCGTTTTGGAGGCTTCAGAATTTCCGAAATATGTCTCGATTATTGGGGATGGGACCAATTATGGTGAATCTCGTTCAAGATTTGTACAAGTGTTACAACCACACCAATCAGTAATCCATGAAATGCATGAGAGACCATCGAATCCATCAGGACCAACATCTCCCATTCGAACGGCATTCCTAGAAAAATAGAGATAGATCTTCCGCTTGCTTGCATCTGTTCCATCTCGGCTTTTAAAATCAACAGTTATCTTTGTCCATCATCAATGCGAGGAGATGGTATCATGATGCCTTCATAGACTCGTCGAACAACAATGCATCCCGAGTCTCTTTCACCGATTCGTAGCGTCCGATGCCATCATCATTTGACAACAACATCAATCCTTGTTTTTCGTTCGGGTGTTTTATTCCTTCCATCTTTCAAACAAACACAACAACATTTGATGAAGTAATCCTTACGGAAAATGTCCAATGATGAAGCTATCATGCACGCAACCACATCTTCTCCACCCTCTTCTCCCAAGTCTCCTCAGCCTAGCTCTGAAACCCATAAAGGACCTTGGCATTCGAACAACAACAACAACAACTCAACACATCAAAACGCAGGATCCAAAATCCCTCCGGCTTCAGCTCGACCTGGACACCTTCTTCAAGCACGAGGTCATTCGGGTTTGAATATTTCCATTCCTTCGAGTCCATCCTCATCTAAATTACCTCAAAAACCCTCTAGTCCATCCTCATCAAGATTACCTAATTATTATACGAATAGAAGTATTCATGTGGGATCTCCAACATCAGATGGCATGATGGAAGATTTTCATATCTTTTCCATGTACAGCCAACACATGTTGAATGGTGAATTTTCTTCGAATCAAGGACAATATTCGGAATGTCTCAAAACTTGCTTGTCAAGTTTGCGAGTCAAGACCATGAGTATTTTGTTTTTAACGTTTGCTTCCATTTTAATCATTTGCTTGATTGGGTTGGGTGTGGCATTTCATCTCTCTTTTGACGAGGTTGAGAACAAGGTGGCAATTGAAACTTTCAGAAAAACAAGTCGAGCAATTGAGGATGATTTTCGAATGCTGTTGGAAAAGGTAAGCTTTCTCAATGACAGCACACCCTTGTGTATTCATAATTTTCTAATTTTCAACAACCATAGGTCTATGATTATGCAGCTTGGGATGAAAGTTTTTTCATCATGAAAGACAATGACTTGAAAAGAGCTCAGGGATTAATGGAAACATACTTCTTAGCTCCGTTTATGGAGCGTGCAGCAATTAATTATGCTGGAATGTACTATTCTAATGGTACAATGATGGCAGGAGTTGGTGCATGGAAATCTCGATACCTGAAAGACATACCTTACGAATTGAAACAACTAGATAGGCAATTGTTACGAGAGTCGGATCACCCCGAAACCCGCAGCATTGGCTTTGTTGTGCCTGAGAAGAGTTTATTGGAGTTATTGAGGGATGAAGATAGGTCCACCTATTTAAACGATACACAGCCAGCAACAAGAACTTCCAATGTGTTGCAAATTGGCTTGGTACCTATTCAGCCGAACAACAACTCTGTGACTTGTGGCTTTTTCATGTATGGAAAATATGTATCACTACGTTATGTTCATGACATGTCAATACGAACTCAAATGTGTACAAGCTTTTTCGATGTGCTTTATGATAGAGACGCATTAAGGTCTCTCATGAGAGATTTTCCTGGACGTTCTGAAGGTGAATTGAAACAGTTTTTTGAGAAGGTAGAGTCCACCAAACTATTGGATTACAAAAACGATTCTTGGACAAAAGGGTTACCATTTCATGTGACAAAGCAAGTACCATATGACAATGAAAAATATAGAGGTTGTCCAGAAAGCTCAGTCACCGCCACAACACCCCGAATGGCTACTTATCAAATGTTTACTGATATCAGTGGTACCCACAGAATACTAGTACGTACGGATTTACCAAGGGATATGGCCGAAGTTGGATGGAATTCTTTTGCATACTCGTGCTTGGTATTAGTTGCAATCGTATTGGGATTAACACTGACAGTAATGGTATTTGTAGAATGTTGTGTTCTTCGAAGAGTCTTAAAAATTGGAAAAACAGTGCAATCAATAACATCGTCGAACGACATTAAGCAACGTGTTCCTAATGCAGGACGAGACGAGTTAGGAACGCTTTGTCAGGATATTAACAGGATGTTGAACGCGTTAGAAGAATCACAATCCAAGCTGGCAAAAGATAACAATATCATGCAGATCTTGTTGGAAAAGACAGCGCTTGAGGAACAAAAATCGAGATGTGTCATGAACGCTATACATGACTACATTGTCACAGTCGAGTGCACAACAGGTGTGATCATCAACATGAATATGGCCTTCGAACAAAAATTATTGAAGAAGCATACATCTGACAACAGCCGTAGAAGCCTCTCTGAGAATCAGATAGCTAATTACATCACAGAGTTTGAGTCCATTGAAAGGTTACTGGAACATCTAGAGTCGCTTTCAAAGAGTAATGACGATGGCCAATTTGAAACTGTAGTGGTAACACCATTTGGTGTAAAACATCCAGTAAGCGTGAATGTGACAAAAGCCAAAATGACTCTAAGGGAGGGAATGATTGGAGACGCATACATCATTGTGCTTCGAAACTTGAGCGAACAGAGAGAATTGAAAAGCCAGCTTCACCAACAGCAAGAAAAACTTGAAGAAATGAGAAAAGTTTCTGAATTTAATAATGTCATGAAAGATGGAATACTGAGAAACTTGTTAAAAGAATTTGCGGCTTCTGAAATGAGTTTGGAAAACGTTGAATTTTTGGAACATGTCGAAATTTACAAATCCTTATCTAAAATTAGAGACAGATCGGCTCTACAACAAGAAATTATTGCCAAATATTTAGACAGAGAATCAAGCGCACCACTTAATGTTTCAAAGCATGTCATTGAGAGCGAGTTCAAAAAAATCATTTCAGGATTTGGGCAATTAGATTTATTTGATCGCTTAGAAAATATTATTAAGCAAATGGTTATTAATGACACCTTTTCACGATTCCTTGTATCCAAAGACTATTTAGATTACATCAACAACAGTGACATACCTGAAGATACCACCAGCACAGAAGGAACAGAGTCCAATGACGTGACACATCCAGAGTGTTGAAACTTTTAAGAAAAAATTTATGTCGTCAGATCCAAATTCAACCATTGTACACATTAACCACCCTCTGGCATTGGCAACAACTGATTCAACACCAACCAGTATAATTCAGGACAACAAGAATGTTTCATCATCAACAGTCATAGTAAATAGTAATAATAATAATAACAATAATAACAAACGAAAAACTTCATCGTCGGGATCATCACTCCCAAAAACACCCATCCATATTTCTTCTTCCGATGCTGATGAATCAGAAAGTGCAGAGGAATCATCAAGTGGAGGAGAATTTCATGATGCCAATGATGAAACAAAACCCATGCTCTCCCACCAAGAATCACCAAGCAAAAGACTCTCTAAAAAGTCGTCTTTAAAACATACAACAAAAGCTGCTTCTTCTTCGGATGTTATCACGAACAGTATTCCACAACCTTCGGCATTGTTTAGCGGATGGTTTGGATCTGCAAATAGAGAAGAGAACCAACCGATTACTCCCACACGTTCCGAAGGAGCCTTGGCAAAGAAAGGTGGTCCGAAATGGTGGTGGCTTGAAATATTCAATAACAATGAAAAATCATCACCAACGAATAATTTGTTGGATGAAACCTCCCTTAGCGGAATATTGCCATCCGATAGTTTTAAGAGAAATTCCTTGACACAGCTTGAACATCAGAAAGAAGTTTTGGAAGAACGAGTTCGTATGATTAATTCAATGATGCAACGAATGAAAGAAACTAAAAAGTCGCTCAAACAGAAAAGATCTACAACTCCACTGACAGTCCCTTTATCCAAAGATGATGCACCATTGGATGGTGTTGACTCCATTCGGGAGGATGAGGAGGCAAATTCATCGGTGATAATTTCCACAGACAAAGTATATGCACTTGGTGTGCCATCACAACAAAACAAAAAATTAAGAAAAAAGAAATTAAGCAATTCAAACACCTCATCACTAGAAAAGCTATCAAATCTCAATAAGAAAAAGAATGCACATTCTGTACAAAATGAGAGCGAAAATAGCACACCAGCAACTCAAGACAGCATCACTATTATGGAAAACCCTTTACTTTCACCTTCTCAGTGCCAAATCGACAGTAATGACCAAACACAATCAGAAACTCAAAAAAAGGGTATCTTTTCCAATGTGTTTGACAATTATTTCACTAAATCCTTCAAAAACATACCAGTGGAAGAAGGTCAAGAAAAACTTCCTTCAGATCGTATTTTTTCAAAAGATAGCTCTGTTACAGATTTAGAAGAAGGAAATATGTCCAAAATTGTTGTGGACGAAACTCAACAAGAACAAGTCATTGGAACCTCATACTCAACATTGTATGATTACGAAAGACAAGTACAACTCATATTAATTGATTTGGGATATGCATTAGCTACATATGGCGTACCAGCCCATCGATTAGAGTACCACTTAACTTACATTTCAAAACAATTTGGTGTGAAACCTTGTCAAATCGAGTATACTAGTACTGGGCTATTATTTTCGTTTTCAGATCCAATTGATTGGGCTCATTATAATGTAGAAAATGGGAAAAGCACGTCAACAACTCTGTACATAACGATTGACAATGCCAATCTATCATCCACTGGAGGCTCTATCAATTTGGACAAATTATACCAACTTGATAAAATTGCCGAAGAGCTAGCAGCACGTACAATTACTATTCCTGACGCAAGAAAAAGAATCAGAAAAGTTATTCGTAGTAAGCCAATTTTCAACCATTTTGGTTATCAAATTGCTACCCATTTATTGAACACCTTTGCGTGGGTAGTATTTCTTGATGGAAGTATACTTGAAATGATAACATCCTGTGTTATTGGTGCCATGGTTGGTGTTTTTTGTACATTGGCAGATAGATATCCATATTTTCATCGTGTAAATAGTGTCATTAACTCAGTTGCAGCAGGATTAGTGGCAACAATTTTGAAAATTATTTTTGCACAATTTACAGACCCAGTAGCAAGACCACTTTCTGTTTTTTTAGTTACTCTGTGTGGAGTGTTCTCCATCCTCCCTGCCATACAATTTACGACAGGAATTGCAGAGCTGAGCACAAGACATTTATTGAGTGGATCTGTAAGATTATTTAGTGGTTTTATTGCAACTCTACAGCTAGGATTTGGTGTATTAATGGCGACAGGTATTGACAACTTTCTCTCCAATTCTACAACTATTTTTGCTCACAACAAACCGGACAAGTTTCGAAATTTTAACAGAGTAGCCGAGTGGATATTAGCTCTAGTTCTACCATTAATTATTATATCAAACATCTTCACTTTTAGAGTGCCTAAGAAAATATTGACCTATCTATTTGTGGGCATTATTTCATACATTTCATTCTTTGTTACGACCGTCAGTGCTCACTATTTGGGAACTGAAGTTGGAGCTCTTCTTGGAGCGTTAGTTTGTGGAATTATTGGAAATTTATATGCTCTGATAACGAGAAATCCAGGACTATTGGTAACAGTTTGTGGAACAGTGTTGCTTATACCTGCAGCATTTGGTGTACGAGGTGTAAAAGACTTTCTTGCATCCAACTCTGGTAATGAGACTAGCTTGATTAGTGGTATTGAGTTTGTTTTCAATCTTCTCTCTATCACTGTATCAGTTTCTGTTGGGCTTTTATTAGGAGACTTTATTGTTCCCGTACCAAGAAAGCTTAGCTTCTAGTTATTTGAGAATATAATCCATTACCAACCAATAAAAGGACGTTCCAAACATATCTTCTATTCTTTGTTTGCCATAATTTTTGTTGCGCATGACCCAATAAAACAGAGAAGCTACTTCACCGCTACTGATTTGAGTGTGGTTGGACACCAATTGTTGAATCAAGTCAACGCATGATTGTCTACTGGTGTTGGTAAACGTTCGTACTTCTTCGGGGATTTCCTTGGAGAGTTTATACCATGACTTTCCACATTGTACTTGCTTTTCTTTAAGGTTAACCAAGCTGAACAATAATTGGTGCTCAGCTTCGATATGGTATCTCTTCATTAAACTTTTCAACCCGCGTACATAGTCTTCATACAAGTTGTCTATTTCGGAATACAGCTTGTCTTTGAACGTTAAAGAATTGGGGAATAATTTAAGCATTTCCAAGTCTAGAACATTGAAAGTATTCGAGTTAGTAGTACTCGAATGTGACAAATAAAGGAAGTTGTTGCTTCTAAAATTCTCAACCATGTCGAACAATTGACCCAACACTGACTTGGAGTGATAAGTATTGTCAGAATGACGATCCTTGGTCATGTAGTGTGGAGTGTTACAATTAGGAAAATTGTATTTGATCTTCTTGCCTGATTTGGCATAATCCACTTGGTGACTATGAATTTCAGCCAGCTGCAAACATTGTTTGTCACGAACACCTTCATGACTTCCATTATGCTTCGACCAGTCATACAATTTCAAGTGGGCGTTTGCTATAGCTCCAATATGCTCATTGTGAATATATTCACAGAAAAACTGTCTCGGTGCCAAGTAATTTTGATAATTTTCGTCGCACATTTGGGCTGATTCTAATTGAGCATTAAGCCGGTTGTGATCAAGCAATGGTTCACACTCTTGAAAATCCATCAGTAATGGCTCCCAAGATACAAAAAATTCATCTCCATCAAGATCACCACCTTTAGAGCCATGTCAACATTTTCAATTCCATATAAGAAACTTCACTTACCTCCCATTTTGCTTGGTTGTGAAATCAATGATTTTGAGCTGAACACAATCACGTCTTTCAAATGAGATAGTTTTCCAGTCCCGTCATTGACTGCTTTCAATTTACGAACATCTCCCGGATGAAGAGCTGGACTTCTTGTAACAATCACCTGACCTTCCACCACTCCTCCCTTCTCATAGCAATTGGCATGGTTAGCATACAATGGTTGTTCACATTCATGATGCGGAGAGAGTTGAATAAAAACCTCATCTTCCTCCAGTACTCCTTCAAAATCAAGAACACCCATCAGCAAGGCTGATCTTTTTAACGGAATGTGACTTTTCAAATGTGAAAGTGATTTTTCGAATCCTAGCCTTTGAGCCAGAGTTATCAATGGATCATGTTGCAATATCACGCTTGCATGTTCGTTCTGTAATGACAGTTTGATATTTTGTGCAATAGCATGCTGCTCCTTCGACAGTGTCTTTCTCAATCCATGATATTGTTTTGCATAATTTTGAATCTCATCTAAATTTTCTTGAACGAGGTGCAAAATATTTTGTTCAGGAAGTCCATTAGAATCCAACACGGCAATTATTTGTCTATTGAGATCGGCTGGTCTTCTTCTCGAGTATGAAACTAGCCCAAACGACTTATTGTCCGAGTTACTGAATTTACATTGACTTTTGCTCAATAATAATTCTTTCGAAGTTTGTTTGTGCAAATTTGGATCCACTACCACTACTCCTTTATAACCTGCCAACCGAAATTGAAATGCAGAAGGTATATACGACTGACCATGAAGTTGAATGTTGTGTTTACGTGCAAGCTCTTTCGCATAGGTTTCAGAAACTCTTCCAATTCCATCACTTAAATTACTGTTAGCACTGCTGATAATGTCAGTTGTCTTGTCGAAGAGGACCTCTTCTCCTTCATAGGTTTGTGTGAGGCAGAGACCAATTCTGGCTGCTCTCTTTGCAACACATTCTTCGTCAGAGAAGTTTCCCAACTTGTCAATAATGGTTTTAGGAAGGCCTTTCTTGTCCGTTTCGTTATCAACATAGATACTCCAGTAACTGAATGCTCTAAGTTGACTTGATGAGTAAGCCAACATTTCGTATCTTCCGTTAAAGAGAGGAATTCCATAACTGTCAACAAAATATGTGACTCGATGTGCGAGATTTGCAAACTGTTGAGGAAACAGCGAGTGTCGATCTTCGTCACAAAATGAAACCCTGCTAAAACTTTCCACATAAGCTGGATTATGTCTCAGCAAATAATTTCCTCCTTCATGAGATTTATCAAAAAACAGTATTCTTGTTGGAGTAATCACCAGTTTTCTAATTTGATATCCGTTCTTGGAGTTGCCTGTCGTCTCTTTGGGTTTGTGTTCATCACGCCATGCATGGAACTTGTCCATAAAATCGTCTGGATAGATTATTTCTGAAGCCAGTATTCCTCTCAGCACTTCTTCCACCATGACAATGTTATTCGAACATATTTGAATTAGTTCTGAAATGGAGTGGCATATGTAGTCCACTCGTTGTTGACAGTTCAATAGCCCACAAATTTGGGTATTGAAGCACAGTAAGAGATATCTTATTCCAAACGGGAGTGCATCAAAATTACGGTTGTTGGGAATTCCGTTCATGCCAACACCTTCAACAGTGTATTGAAGCGACACATGATCATGGACGTTGGTGTTAAATTCCACAAGATAGGGTTCATAAGTAGGGTATTGCTGCATACATTGTGGAATGCACCGTTTGATCAGAAGGGAATTACACGCTGCAAAGTTACACATCCAAAGGCTACTTATTTGTTGTATGTCCTCTTTTTCGCTCGTTGGTGCCACCAATCGTTGCCACTTCTGATCCATTTCTGTTTTCCTGCGTACTTGTGGAGGATGTTTCAATTCAAGAAAAATATTATAACAAGCACAAGTGTCCTCTACAAACTCATCAATGACGACCCGAAGTATACTACTCTTGTCAATATCAATGCGAAAGCAATGTTCCGTGAACATAGTGAACCTGATGGAGAAACCACCATCCAAGGACCACAACAATTTGTTGGAACGACCAGCAATTTTGAAGTGCTTGGAAAATTGTGGATCAGTCAAGCGAAATGATTTGCGGTTGTCAAAGTTGCCGAATCTGATTTCTTCCCAAGAGAATGTTTGACGCTGGCGGTTGTTTCTTGCGATCATTTTTTTCTTTTGACAAGCGAATTCAACGAACCTGTCAAATCATTTGTCAAAAAATGTATCATCAACAAGCACGCTCACCAACTAGTCCCAAATTTTGCAGTGATTGGGCGTTTTGTGTCGATTGTGACTTTCTTCAGCAACAACCCCTGACTGATCAAGGTGTCCAATGTAACATGACAGTCTTTGAAAAGTTGAAAACTTACATTTGCGATTTCTTTACCGCACACGTTTATCCTTCGGAATCTTTAACCATCTCTTTGGCAAATGCTGGTACTGTAGATGAAATTAGAACATGTTATTTCCACAACCATGAGTTAAAGCAGACCGTTCAACAGCAAAAATTGAATTGGATCGATCACGTGTTTGCAAATGTTCCTCTAGTGAAACCACGTGTTGAACCATCGTCAGTAGTCTCGTTGCATCTTCTGCTAAATACATTGCAACACTTGTTGATGAGAAGAGAGAGGGCTGGATATCAAGATCGTCCTTTGAAGATCGTATACGTGTGTTCGGAACTTGAATATCGGTCGTCTAGTATTGTCAATCGTGAATTACATCACTTACTTGCTGGATCTTCTTACAACATTTCAGTCATTGGAGTTGGACCGCATATTTCGTCTTCACAACAACATGTCATGCTGAGTCCTCTTGGCCGTGATTGTCAAGCTTTAGGACTGACCTATCTTTCGTGCTCAACAGACAAGCAAAAGTTTTCAGCATCTATTAGTCAGCCACTCTATCAAGACTTTCAACAAATAGGGTCCATCTATGTGTACCTTTTTGATACCACAGCCTTACTTGAGCTCACAACCGATCAACTTCGGAACTTGTTCTCTGCACTTGCAGACTCTATCGTGAGTATTCCTGAATATGTCCATTCAGAATTGGAACAATTGCAATCCGTGTTTAAAAAGTGTTCGGTTTTTAAACAAATCATCCAACAACAACATAATGTACGATGTTTCAGCGAGGCAGTCAGTCATTCTCTTGATAGCGGCAACAATCATCGAGAAGATATTCTCCTTACCATTGCAAGAACGATAAGAAAACAAGATCAAAGAAGACATGTCCTAATTTTCTGCAATTACGAGGTGTATCATTCCGAGCTCGGAATTACATGGTGCTCGCATATGAGAGATTTGGAACAATTAAGAAAGTTTTAACGCTTGATGAAAAGAGCATCAGGTATAAACAAGCTTTTCATTTTTGTTAATAATAATTAAATTCAATAATTAAAAAAATGCAAAAATTGGGTGGTTATGAATTTTGGAAGAGTATTGGTTCTCCAAAGTTTGTCTGTGCTCCGATGGTGGATCAAAGGTAGATTTTGAATGCTTGTTGTTTCAATTTTTCAAATTTAGGATTTATAAATTTTTTTGATGACATTTTTGGATGACGCAAAGTGAATTACGTATGTTTGTGAACAAGGTGCTTCATGAAATTTGAATTTTAATATTATTGTAATTTAAAATTATTGTGTGGATTTAAAAATGTAAAACTAATTTTGAAAATTTCGGAAAATAGCCTTTCGATTATTGATAAAGGAATATGGAGTGACTCTGGCATACACTCCCATGCTGCATGGAAGATATTTTCAAAATGATAAGAAATATCGACAACGGTATTTTCAATTCGAACCAGAATTGGAAGTACCTGTTTTTGCTCAATTTTGCACACATGATCCAAATATTTTTGTGAATTGTGGAAAGCTGGCATGGGAAATGAGTGGAGGTAAAATTGCAGCTATTGATTTGAATTTAGGGTTAGTATTATTCTAGTATTATGGAACCCCAAAAGAACTTTTATGTTAAAAGATGTCCACAAAGAATTGCAAAAAGAGGAAGATATGGATCCTTTTTAATGGAAGACTTTGATTTGGTTTATTCCATTATCAATAAGGGTAAGTAACCTATATGAGAAAAGACCAAATTATTTCAATATTGTGACATGGAAAATGTTCATTCACAATTAGCTCATTTGGAGCTTCCAATACCTGTCACTGCCAAGATTCGCATTTTTGAAGATTTACAATTGACACTCCAATATGTGGATACCGTGGTTTCGGCAGGAGCTCAAGTTCTTTGCGTACATGGTCGAACGAGAGCACAAAAAGGCCCTTTCCAAAATTATGCAGATTGGAACGTCATTAAAGCAATTCGAGAACACGTCCCGCAAATACCAGTCATTGCAAACGGAAATATTAGAACGTATCAGGACGTACTTGATTGTCTGCAATATACTGGAGTGGATGCAGTAATGAGCGCTGAAGCACTGTTAGAGAACCCATCACTATTCAATAAGGGAGAGCATGTGCATCCACTGCAGGTGTGTGACCGTTATGTGGATATTTGTAAACATCATTTTCCACCTGATCATAACAACATTAAGAGACATTTATTTCGAATTTTGGATAGATCTTTGGGTGGAGCTGAAAATAATGATTTGCGAATTATGCTTGGAAAAGCCAAGTTGTGGGAACATTATCGAGGATTTGTGGATCATATCAAGGAACATCAAGAACGATTAGATTTTTCGAATTACATTGTTGATTACGAACCATCCATTCGAGTGGTTGAAGATCCAGAAAATCATCCAATCATTAAGAATCCAAAAAAGAATCGTCAAGAGGATGATGTCGCAAGTGATAACGGTGACAACAGCTGTTGTGAAGAAGAGGAAGATGTAGAATAATATTATATCTTTATCGCTCATTTCTGCATTGAATTGAAGAATGAATTGAACTTTCCTCCTATAACTAAACTAGATCCTAAACCTAATTCATAATCAATCTCAAAATCGCTGACTACTCTCTTGTCCAGAACTGTTTGTATGAATTGTGAACTTTCCTTCTCATCGGTGGCATCTATTACAAATGTGTTAGCAATGATCATGCTTCGTAAGGTTTCTTCCAGAGCACACTCCACATATTTCGAAATGATGAACGTTGCAAACGTTTGTTCCTTAATACCACTTATTTGAGCTCTTAACCGTGATTGAATGGATTCTACCTCCGTTTTGGACAACTTGATTTGTGAAATTAAATCTCTGGACTTGTCATTGTTGGTTCGAGTTGTGGTTGAACCTTGGAGACCTAAATCAAAACTTCCTTTCTCTGACAAGTATTCTTCTTTGAGGGGAATTCCTTTTTCCACTTTTTCGATAAATAAATCCTTATGCGTAAACACTAGGTATGGTACACAGCCAGTATATGATTGAATCATGTTGCTAGCAGACGTTCCTCGAATGTGGCTTGCAACAAAGTGATTCAGCAATTGTTTAAAGAAAATGATTGACTCGGACAAGCTGATTATTTCGTCATTCTCTTCATCATTGCCTTCATTTTCTTCGTGTACTCGTCCTCTGATACTCTCATGATCACTATAATAGGCTTGTCCTATAAACGTTCAAACTTGGTTAAACTTTAAACAATAAACATGTTTAAACAAAAATAAACAACATAAACATGTTCAAACTAGTTCAAACGTTTAATCTCGTTCAAACGTTTAAACGTGTTTCTACATTGTAAACAACAACAAGAGTTTGGAATTAATTGGAGGAAAACTAATGGGTTAGTTCCGAGTATTGAAAAAAAATATGGAGGTGAAATCGCTCTCTGCAATACAACATCGTCTAGCGCAACTAGGCACATATCTGACACCCATCGACCCATAATTTTGTTGACATTAATATTGGTATTCCTTAGAGGAAAATTATTGGTGGATGCACCAAACGCAAGTTATGACCGGAGATCTTCAATGTGTTGTCAATTTGTCTATTGTGTTGCAAATTAATTCGGATATTTGAGTTGACGTAAGATATTGACTGTTAGGTGGCTAAGATCCGAATAGGACAAAAGGTGTTGAAACCTTGACCAGGATTAATCATGGCAAGGTTGATCATTAAAGAAAGACCTTGTCGAGTGATCATTAAAGAAAAACCTTGTCGTGTGATCACTGAAATTAGAATCATTCCAACCTGATTTGGTTTGACCATTTCACCTTTGACCACCTCAATTCACAACGACGAGCCAATAAACTTAAATTAATAACTCAAAAAGCCGAAGCGTGGGAATGTAAAAACGGTCTTCGGGAGATTGTTGTGGATTACGTGTGGTGATCAAATTAAAGATGCGAGAGGAGCTAATGAGGTCGCTACTTGCTGTATACAAAAGATCAGATCTTTGTAGAAATTTTAAACTATTCCTCCAAATCAACTTGTTAATTTAGCCACCCTCTTTCCATCTCAGCGAAAAGAACTGAATGGTTCTGAACAATACGGTTTCTACTAGTCTAGCAAGGTATTTGGATTGAGTCGACCACCATTTGAAACTGAATACCACGACCAATCACGAGTAGATATCATAAGATATCGAAATCCCTCTTGCGGGCTGAAGGACGTGGAGAAACAATTACACTTAAAACTGTACAAAGGTGAAGCAGATTGCTTACTTTGAAGACAATCATCTCCAAATAATCGGAACTAGTTGAATAATTGTGTCTAAGGCTCGCATATAAA